AAAATATGAAATGACGTCATGATGACGTTATCGGCTAATTTGTTTTTAATGAATTTGTAAAGTTAAAAAAAAAATTCTTTCTACAAAATTTAACATTTGCTATAAGATCGACACAAAACTTGGCAGAGACAAATAACACTTAGCAAAGATGTGTATATACAACTTACGTCGTTATGACGTCATCATGCGCCACGTGATGGCAATTTAAATTTGCTGTTTTATAGTTCTATATGATGAGAACCACAACTCCTGTTCGGTTTATGTTTGGTTTATACCGATGTGATTTACATATTTTCATTTTCAGGTAACGTAAGTATCGTATTTTTATTTCAATTTGTATAGTTTTCCAAGCCATTTAGACTTTGTATACGATGCAGTGATAAAATATTATTTCTCCGCGGTTACCTAGTGTCCCGTACATGTAGATTTTGAGTGCTGATCTAAGCGCGAAATTACAATCAGGAGCACAATCAAGAGTGATGATGTCACTGCGTGGCTACATGACCTTCAGTAAAGCAAACATCTAGTAAAACGACCCAATGTTACGATGTAAAATTCAAACCAATATGACAGAAAGGAGTCACAACCAGGTCTTGGTAGTTTAATATTTCCTCTCAAAAGTATTTTGATTCATTCTTTTGCATTTTCTATTGAATTGTACAATTCCCGTGACATCATCACTCCTGATTGCGCTCCTGAATATGATTTTGAGTCGAGGGTTTTTGAAATCCTCTGGATACGCCACTGAATCCAATGTATAAATGTTACCAACTAAAAATGTTACTAACATTTACGCACGGTCCCGGGGGGGGGGGGCTGGTACCAACCTTCCAAATGGGGGCGCTCTTCAAAAATTATATACCCATTTTCACGGCGCATTGTAATGGTTTTTGAGCGGGTCTTTTGGGGGATTGATGTCAGAACTCTCTAACCATTTATTGAAATAATTGCTGGGGAAAAAAACATTGTTCCAAAATCCGCGGGGGGGGGGGGGGGCAAAGACTGAGTGCCCCCTCGGCCCCCCCCCCCCCCACCCTCTGGATACGCCACTGAATCCAATGTAAAAATGTTGCCAACTAATAATGTTACTAACATTTACACGTGGTCCTGGGGGGTTAATCATTCCCGATACAGATATCCATACGGGTATGCTTCGCCCGAAAGGGATGATTTTAGGCAGATTTGAAAATACATTTACATTATATAGCAAAATACCCGTGGTATACGTAATCACCGTGGTATACGTAATACCCGTGGTATACGTAATACCCGTGGTATACGTAATACCCGTGGTATACGTAATACCCGTGGTATACGTAATACCCGTGGTATACGTAATACCCGTGGTATACGTAATACCCGTGGAGCAGTCAAGGGCGGATCCGGGGGGGGGGGGGGGGGGGGGGCCAAAGGGGGCAATGCCCCCCCCCCCCCCAAACGAAACCAATTGTTTTTTTTTTATGTGACGTCGCAATAAAGGCAGGCAATGAGTACACCACCATCTTTTTCTAAAAAAAACATTGGCTAAAGTGGTCAGAAATTGCCTCAGATCGCACCACAGAGCATCGAGAATCCAATTCGGGGCCCTGAAGCGGGCCCCAAACCCCACGCCGTAATTTTTTGACCTACTTTTTGGGAGACACAATTTTTTTTTTGGCCCCCAAAAAATTGTGTTCTGGATCCGCCCTTGGGAGCAGTATGAGAGACATGAAAAACTGTCGAATTAAACTCATGGTACACCAACACGGTAGAGGTCAGAGCCGAAACAACATTTTAATGGTTCCTCAACCAAAGTTAGAATATGGTAAAAAAAAATAGGTGAACTTATTCAGGGAGTGTTGCATGCAACTCACTGTATTTTGTTCTTAGAGCTTAAATCTCGACAAGATCAAAAATGATTTTATTTAAAGTGTTATTGCGTTGGTAATTTCTCATTAATGATTATGCACCCGATTATGCCGATTATGCATAGGCCTAACCTTTTAAATTGAACTGTACCACCCCTACAATTATAGCACTGAAGATTTGCCATGTGATTAAACTGTATAGCTGCTATTCGGATTAGCGATTAAATGTCGACATGATAATATATATAGCCAGTCGGAACAAAAGTGTTCCCAAAAACAATTTACTGCATTAACGTTGCCAGATCCGACAAATTTTAATATTATATAGGTAGAATTACCCAAGGCAAGTGTTGAATCGAAAAGTGTTGTCGAAAATCATGCAGTTTTTGTGTTAGCGCAGGCGCAAACACAAACAGGACAAGACAAAAGCAAGTCCAGTAGGCCTACAGAGTAAGGAGCAGAACCTACACATTATTGAAAGAATCTATACACAGCAAATAAGAATAAAGTTAAGATTAAGCACTACAGTACTTTTCCATAAGCAAAAACTTTTTCTAAAGGCCGACTACTAATACTTCTAAAAGTATCACTTCATGAGTTCCAGAATTTGGGGCCCTGATAGACAATACATTTTTTTTTTAGCTTGAGCAGTACGTATGTACTTGTATGAGACATAGAAATCCCTGGACTGTATTGTGTGAGGTCAATGAATAACGGTATTAGTCTGAAACTTTTGTTTAAAAGAATTAAGTTAATCGTTAGCAACGAGCTGATACATAAACATTCCAAGCTGGAGAGAATAAATATCATTAAGTTTAAGGGTATTATGATTAAACAATAAAGGATCAGAATGAGCCCTAAAATCTATACGGCAAACATTAATGCGTTGTAAATATTATATAGAATTTCAGAAGGAAAAAATATTTCAATTTGTTAATAATACCTATATTTCAGGAAATTAATTTACATAACTAATTTACATGATAATTCCGCCACGGTGATAATTCAATGACAATTTCATGATCATTTTTCATCAATATATAGACCCAGAAATTTGATACAATTGGTTTGATAATCGGTTTGATTAATCGATACATTATCAAATAAAATCTCAATAGGAAGTGAAATGGCTGTATTACTTAATAACACAACTTTTTTTTCAATGTTGAGAGATAATTTGTTGGCTTTGATCCATTTACAAACACAATTGAGTTCTATACGTTAACCGTGTTATCCAGGGTGATCAGATTACTATGAGTATAAAATAAATTGGAGTCATCTGCGAATAAAATAAATGACAGGATCCTAGAGGATTTATCAAAGTCAAGGAGTGGTCCCAATCCTTGTGGAACTCCACACAGCAGATCTTTAGTAGAGGACGGGTTGTCATTAAATATACAAATTGTTTACGGTTAGTGAGATAATTCCTGAACCACTCCAAGGCAATCCCTCTGATTCCATAAAACGAAAGTTTAGCCAACAGAATGTCATGATCGATTGTGTCGCATGCCTTGGAGAGGTCCAGAAAAATTCCCAAAGTATGACAGGACTGTTCATGACCAGCGATAATTGTATCTAACAATTGTAAAATAGCATGAAAGGTTGAGTGATTCTCCCTAAACCAATATTGAGAATCAGATAAAACATTATGTTTTAGTAAAAACTGAGATGTTCAAATATAAATCATACGTTCAAGCATTTTAGAAAAGGAACTTAGAATAGAAATAGGTCTATATTTATTAACTAAACGGGATCACACCTTTTTATGCAAGAAAGGAGTAACTTTGGCGAATTTCATGGAATTGGGATTGTGAAGGTAGTCATGGTAATTCGAATCACAGGCAGGGATTAAATTGGCAAGTTTAGGACCAATGTTTACAAAATAAACATTATAATGCTCTGCAATTAAAAGGGGATCATTAATACACCGGTTATTATCATTAATACTAGGGGCTTTAGATTATGCATTTTTTTCAAAACAGCCTATTAATGACGTTGCAGGTATTTTTAATGTTGTTTTTCTCTTTTTCAAATTGCCGAGTAAAATAGTTTTGTTTTACAGAAAGCACTTGTGAGTTTCTGTAACAAATGTACTTTTGACGATTAAACTGAGTAGGAAACCGAAGATATTTATGGTGGAAAACTGTGGTTTACACCATATTTTGGCAATCCAAAATACCACAAAGTCGTCTTAGTTGGTTAAAAGATGACAAAATGTATCCAAGTCATTTTGGAAATGAGCGCTTTCTTTGCTTGTCACCTTGTAACCTACACAATGGTCGAGTTTTATGCTAAGTTATCAATATAAAGTAACTGTTTTTTGTTTATTTTTGTTTAAGTAAAAGAAAAGTAACCTCCGCCAAGGAGGTTATGTTTTCATCAGCGTTTGTTTGTTGGTTGCTTGGTTGCTTGGTTGTCTGTTAACAAGATAACTCAAAAAGTTATGGATGGATTTGCATGAAATTGTTTTAAGGGGTGGTCCTTGCTACAAGTACAAATCAATTAGATTTTGGAAGTGATCCGGATCTGGGTCTGGATCTAGGATTGATTTTAAGGATTCTTCACCATTTATGCGACTATTTCTTTTGGTGTACTGACAATATGGCGGGGAATTGTTTAGCCTTGGCGGAGGTTTGCGCTCTCTGAGTGCTTTTTAGTTTTCACTGTATTCAACAAGACGCTTTGAGCATTTTAACATGGCTTTAGCAATGAGGCAGCATAAAATATACCCCAAAAAATAAAAATTTACACAAGAAAACATACTTTCTTTCAACTCCCACTGTATATACAGGGTGAATCTAAATAAAGGTAACCCCAAAACAATGGGCTCATATGTAAAGTTAGGAAATTGTACACTGTCAAAGTGGCTCCATCTTAAGGGGTGTGTTAGAGGTGTTGTTGCTATAATGGTACATCATGTCCATCAATAATTAATCATTCCAAAGATTTTGTTTGTCATCACAAGCTAGCAATGATATTTCACAAATCTTTAAAACAGCTTGCAGTGGGCATAGCCAAGGCCATGACAAGTTGGGCCAATGCTCAAGCTAGGTTTTGAGTACATTTTTGCATTAGATAGTTATTATTTTAATGAGTAATACAACAAATCTGTGAAATGATTGATTTAATCATAAAACATGATATTCCATTTACGCTCAAACATTTTCAACATGTCTTTCTCCTCCCATTCAACACAGTGCGACTGCGCACTTTATTTGACAGCTCAATTCGCCACTGAATCAGGTTAGCTTGGAAAAAGTAGGTGTTTGGCTTTGTGATGATTAACAAAATCTCTGGAATGATCAAACATTCACGGACAACATTATTATGTACCATTTTAGCACCAACATCTTACATATCCCTTTTGACTCACAGTCCACAGTGACAGCGCATTCATCCGACAGCTTAACTCTTTTATTGGCCTTTGTTTTGCAATCAATGGTACTCGGTCATCTGTGTCTGAACAGGTGTAATTAAGATATCAATTGAAAGCTAATGAAGTGTCCTTTAAGATGGAGCCACTTTGACAGTTTTTAAGTTCATAACTTTTGCATATTAACCCATTATTTTTGGATACACCCTGTATATGCATATATACTTGTGGTAAATATATATCTATTTAATAATGTGAATGTATAAAAAGCAAAGGCTAGAGATGTATTTAAAAAATGTCTTATCTGGTACCCCGATCAACGTTTGGCCTGAGCTCCCTATAGGCACACCAGTAAACGTACACTATGGTATTGAACAATCCATGTATGGCATCATGCCTAAATACATAATATATGTATGGCTTCTTACATTGTATGTTGGTGCAAACGACGATTGTAATGTGCAATCGATATCACTTTAGTTCAATATGATGACCTATTTAAGCTGCACCCAACACAGCATCCAAAGTAGTGAACCCGTACCTCTGTGGAGCTCGTGTCATTCCAATATCCTTCCCTTTGATTTTACCATCGACTAGGAACTCTTTACCCATTAAGCCCTGTCCCCATGTGATGATTTTGTCGATATTCGGGGTAGGAACGCCAACGATTTCAGCGATACCCCGCTGTACAACCAGGCCAAATGGAACGTCCTCCCAAATGTAACGGGCCTTGAAGTCAGGGCTCACACCGCCACCTTCATTGTTGATGACGGGGTGACGCAAGCCTTCGAACGCTTTGTTGCTCTGCATCATCCTTAGGAATGAGCTCTTGTCCTTGATGTCTTCAGGGTAAAACTCTAACATGCTGAAAATCAAGGTTAGGTTTGTATCAATCTGTTATTTAGCTTTTTATGCAATGTCTTATTCCACAACTTCTGGTACATTCGGAACTTGGAAGCAACTACTGGTCACTACTAGGCAGGATTCAGATGCACCTAGACATTGTTGTGGGATAGACAAAGTACCAACTGACCTTGATATGAATCTATAGAATACCAGTATTCAATCATATGACAGAGATAAACGACAGAGTAATATTATACTTACATATCAGAGATATGTTTGGCATTGGACAAGTCGATACCAGCTTTCTTGGCGGAGATGGTCTTGGCAATGGCTACAATCTCACTGCTGACCCCCGAGAGCAGGTCCGCGGACGCTTGGTCCAGGCCCTGATAGAAGAGAGGGGACTCGCTCACCGGCTTACCGTCCCAGTCATGCCATCTAAACAATTAGATTTATAAGAATGGGGAGTAGATATTACTTTGAAAAACATCTCAGAACGCACTTAAAAGTTGATGAAAGCTTCCGTTACACCAATGTCTTCAACCTATGGTTTTGACATGTTCATGGCACCAATATGATTGTGACCAAAATCACAACGATGTTTTGAGTGAATGTAGTACAATCAGCTACGACTGCTAGATTCAACAACAAGTAATAGGTCTGCATCTGTTGCAATCTTTGAGTTTAATTTCACTAAAAAAGACATTCAGTATCACATACATGTCAGCAATCAACTCACCTCCCATACATGATGGAAGGATGAATAAAAGCATTGGTGTAGGTTAAGGTCATTCCTAGAAGGTCACCGTAGGCTGTGCATACTGGGCGGGGGCCAAGAGATTGCTGGATGGCTTTCAATGGGTCAACCTGTATAATAACAACAATATATTAGGTTTGTGATCCCCAGCTGACAACTCACAGTAAACACATCAAATATGATCTGACTGATATTATGATATGAAGACTACTCGGTACAAAAGTCATCAGTGCTGTCTTACAACATATACCTCACCTTTGGTTCCACACTGCCTTTCCTGATGGCTCCCACGAAATAATCCTTGAAGCCAACGATGCCAACCCTCTTCCCAAACTCCGTTATACGACAGTTCCATGGAAGAGTGTTGAAGTTAAAGAATGTGATCCCCTTGGCCTTGTCCCCTGCACACACACAAAAATCATCAGTTGGCATCTTTAAAAAAGTAATTATTATAGATTTGTTAAGTGTATACCGTTGGTGTAATATTTAATTTTAAGAAAATCAAATTGGTATTCCTACCTAAAATATCATAAGCTTGGAACTCCCAGCCAGCTGCACCAGGCATTCCTATGACAACCATGCCTGGCTCCATATGAGGCTTCAATGCTTCCCAGTACTGCGCATGTGCAAAAGCAGGAACAACAAACACGATGATGTCACTTCCCGGAACAGCTAATTTGGGGTCCTTAGTGATCAACCCAGGTTTTGAAACAAACTGCTTCTCTTTCCCATCCTTGTCCGTGTAGTCGAGCACAAGGTCTGAGCTTTCAAGGGCTTTACTCCAGCGTTCAGCCTCGTCTTGGAATAAGGTCATCACACGAACCTCATTTTCAGGGTTGCTGGCCGCAATACCTGGAAGTTAAGTTACTTAGGTCATCAATGTTGAAACACTATAGGTCTATGCTGCTTAACGATCTAGTCGTGACTTTGAAATTGTATTTGGTGCGAGATGACTGAAATAATATTTGCTGAAAAGATGCAGAAAAACTGTCTTCGTCAATTACCTTACTGATATAACAGTAAAAAATGCGTAGACTATGACAAAATAAAAAAGGTAGTAATTTTGAAATATGCCTATCTATAATTTTCACTTTTCGCCATTTGAATATTGAGTAACTGAATTCATACTTACTAAATATCACTGTGTAACTTTTCAGTTATTTTATGCATACAATTAAGTACATGTACGTGATCGCAATCCTTTATTTGAATTCATTTTAAAATTTAAATTACATCTTGCAAATTTGGTGTTCTACGTGTTTGTCTTGAATCTTTAATTAAAAAATGAAATGACACCATTCCTTTGAGACTAACTATGTTTTTTTATTCTATCTTTCGGGAGATACAACCTCCTTCTTCATAAAAAAAAGCCACAGGAGCCTTGGAATTAGGGTAATTCAATATAAACAGTTGGGAAAGTTGCATAAAAGACCCATAAAAGATAAACAGACTAGATATCGATACATTACAAATACAGGTATTTTAATTTCTATAGTAAAATGCCTGTATTCGTAATGTAGCGATATCTAGTCTATTTATAGGTTAGAAGATATTTTGTTTCCCTCTAACCAACTTAGACGATGGTCACAGTGCTTGAGTTTGCAACATTGCAGCGTCAGTTTGACAATGTTACTTTCTGCTTGTCGGATTCTTTGTTATTGACACCTTAGTAAGTACACTATTCAGTTTACTTAACCAAAATCGCAAGATCCCCTTTCTTGGCTTACAAGCCACAGGGATTATTAAAGCCAGGGGGATAAAAATGGTCACTCACAATGATTCCAGCAGTTGTTCAGTCACAAGCCCAGGAAAATACAATAAGGGCTACAGAGACACAGATATATGTCTTATTGGGGTTTAAACAAAGTGGGTCACTAAGTTTGGTTGAGAGTGAAGTCTGACTTTTCATATGACAGTACTGACTCAATCTAATTGTTCACATTTCTACAATCAGAATGGATCCCCACCACAAAAAAAAAGAGAGAAGAAGAAAGAGAGAGAGAGAGAGAGAGTACTTACCTGCGTGCACATGGGCACCATTTCCTCCACCAAGAATCAGCACTTTCAGAGGCATATCTAAAACAAAGAATGCACGTATCAGCTAGGATGAGTTGTGAGCTGAACTTACACAATGCATGGTTTAAACTTTTAATTCTTTTTTGAGAGATGACATTTCACACGTATGACATCTCCAAGGTTAAACAAGTGTAACTTATTTAATCATTATTTCAACATTTGTATGGATATCAGTTACATGAGCTTCCTTGACGTAGCTGCCGTAAATTAATTAAATATTTGGATCCCTGGTGGCTCAGTTTTAGACATGTCAGGAACTATACAATAAATAAATACTGAGAGTTCAATAAATCTTGTATCCGTCAAATGCCATTGCAATAGGTTAAATAGAGATTTGATTAATATTGTCATGGTATGCATCATAATAGACACTGTAATACTGCTGAAGTCTATAACTTCAGACACTTTTAAGTCTAATTTATTTTCCATAGCTTGACAATGTATGTCATTTTCATATGCTGCAACTAAATGCAAGATTCATTGATGTATCCCAAAATCTCTTTGATATAATCAACTTTGTAATTTATTTGTTCTCAAGATCTATATACAGAGAGTAAAAAGTGAGTAAAGATACATTAAAGCTTGAACATTAGTATTACAGCAGTTGTGCTAGCGAAAGCAATGGAAAGAACATTACCCCAGGTGTCTAGACCTTCTTTATAGTTTTTATAAATACACAGGATATACATGTACAGTGTGTATAAAAATAGAATGTGTAGCCAACATCTATAGATAATGTAGGTATGGTTTGAAAAATACACCTTTCCACTTTAAAATGAGACATCAAACGTCCAAATCTGTTAATTTTTGTGACAGAGTTATGAATATGAGTAATTTTCCAAGAGGTCAAATTGATCATGGGACCAAGTTTTCAATTTTAGGCATTGGGACAAAGGTAGCCTATTTTGCCTCTGTACTGTCTGGATATTTGCCTGTCTTTAGCGAGTAAACACTGAAAAAAACGTGAGGGAGTTGAGACCGGTTTAAGCCGAGTAGAATGTTTATTAAACGATGTAAACCGGTTGGATGAAAGTGAACCAGTTAATTATACTGCCAGCTAATCCACCCTGCTCTGATGTTTATCCCGTGTTCAAGGTTGGAAGTTACCCCATGTGGTTTCCCCGTGAGATTTTCCCGTGAGATTTTCCTGTGATTTATTTAAAATCACGCACAGGAATGATCTTGGATGATTTAAGGATAACTTGGGATGGAATTTGAGTCAACCTGGGTTTGTTATAACAGAAAAATGGGTCAACTTTGGATCGGAAAATACTGGCACTAAAGTGTGGACAAAATGTGATTGGTAAATAAGGATATGATTGAGGGCGCCCTACATGCCGACTGGTAGTAAGGCCTTGATTAGCATAAATCACAAGAGGGCGCTAGTCAGTATAACCATTAGTTACTGCTTTCTCTGACAAACACAATTCTAAACACTTTCTTGCTATCATTTCATGCTAAAAATGTTTAGCTTGTAAACATGTTTACAAACTGATAGCAAGAAAGTGTGTGTTTAGAATTGTGTTTACTCGCCAAACACATTTTTTGAAGGCCTGGCAATTATCCACACAGACGCAATCAGGCTACCTTTGTCCCAATGTCTACAATTGAAACCTTGGTCCCATGGTCAATTTGACCTCTCTTGGAAAATGACTAATAACTCTTGTCAAAATTTATTCGAGGAATGAAGTATCAGAGCATAGAAAAGGATGGGGGGGGGAGGAATGCGGATTGGTAGACTGTTCAATCATGAGGATATTAAAGTACATGAACTGTTGAAAAAGTACATGCACAATCCGTTTGTTAGTCACATTACCACTGTCTAGAAAGGGAAAAAAATGAATTGCATACCATCTCCAAAAGTTGTGAGCAGTCGAACTTGAATCTTGGAATATTTTTTTTAAATTTTTTTGCTCATTTTGACGAAATGTTGCCTCCAAAGTGTTTCAGGGTTTTCATGAAAAAGGTGAACCAATACTTCAAATGTGTGAATTGGTACAACAAAACATTATTCTGTATTATTACTCAAGAAGTTGTAATCATATATAGGGGGGCATTTTATCTGCGAATCAAAGAGTCTGGTTAATTTGGTGTGATGAATGTTATTCATATACAAGATAATGAAAAGCGTATATAGGGCCTATGTACATTTCTATTATTTTTTTGTTATAACTGTCCCGATTAGTATTGAGCAACATGCAAATGTTAAAGTTGTCATGTAATTTTGGTACTTGATTTCATCGATTTTATCGGTAAGATTGAAATACGAAATATACACCCACATGAGTGATTTTGTCCATGGGTATGATTTGACCACACTGAAATTAATTCAAGCCATATTTCTATCGACTACATTATATGTGCAAACTCTCCAACTAAAGTGGCATGCATTTTTTTGTTCTGATAAACAAGATGCAAAATTGAACTGGGATACCAAATATTTTGACTGACTTCTGATACAGTTGATAAACAAGTCAGGTGTGTTTACAAACACAAATGCCCCGCAACCGTGACTGTTTCCATGACATAACACCACTCTAACATCAACTTACATGTACCTTGGTCACATGGAACGTTCATTGACAGCATTAGTGTCTTCTGTAGGTTTTATATGAATTAATCCCTAATCCCTATGATCTCAAAATAAATACAAGATTTCTATTGTTTTAGCCACTGTGAACTTGACCCTTGACCTTTTGGCCCCAAATGCAATAGGCTTCTTAGGATTACCAAGAACAATCCACAAACCAAATTTGAAGTTCACATGTTAAGTATTTCTCAAGTTATCGCGCTGACAAGATTTCTATTGTTTTAGCCACTGTGAACTTGACCCTTGACCTTTTGGCCCCAAATGCAATAGGCTTCTTAGGATTGCCAAGAACAATCCACAAACCAAATTTGAAGTTCACATGTTAAGTATTTCTCAAGTTATCGCGCTGACAAGATTTCTATTGTTTTAGCCACTGTGAACTTGACCCTTGACCCCAAATGCAATAGGCTTCTTAGGATTGCCAAGAACAATCCACAAACCAAATTTGAAGTTCACATGTAAAGTATTTCTCAAGTTATCGCGCTGACAAGATTTCTATTGTTTTAGCCACTGTGAACTTGACCCTTGACCTTTTGGCCCCAAATGCAATAGGCTTCTTAGGATTGCCAAGAACAATCCACAAACCAAATTTGAAGTTCACATGTAAAGTATTTCTCAAGTTATCGCGCTGACAAGATTTCTATTGTTTTAGCCACTGTGAACTTGACCCTTGACCTTTTGGCCCGAAATGCAATAGGCTTCTTAGGATTACCAAGAACAATCCACAAACCAAATTTGAAGTTCATATGTTAAGTATTTCTCAAGTTATCGCGCTGACAAGATTTATCCGGACACACACACCCACACACCCATACTTGTTTCACATGACTAGTGTGGACTTTCCATTGCTTTCGTGTAGTTAAGAAAACCAGTGAAAAAACTCATTTTTCTCAAACTGTGAAAACTCTTTCAACCCAATTTTTTTTCTATGATTCCCTTTAGTGTTTCTCTTCATTCTGCTACAGATAAACCTAACCCAAAAATGCCTCTAAACCTGTTTTCCAGAAATGGGGAAACACTGTGTGGACGTGGGGTAAGTCCACACAACGTCGGTGCTACCTACATTATGTGGACGTCTTTTGTTCGGAAGTCCACACTGCGTATGTAAGACAAACTCACCCACCCACCCACACACACACCCACACACCCACCCACCCACCCACGGAAGGACAAGGCGGAAACAGTATGCCCCTTCGGCTTCGCCGCGGGGCATAAAAACCCAAATGGTCGAGGCCAATTGTTTAATGACAGAAATTCCACGTTATAAATTAGATAGGCCCTATCATTCATTTGCTTTTTCTGGTACGATACATGTACTTTTTTAGATTAATACAATCAAGGTCATCCAAACCTAACATATTTTCTTAAACAATGGAAAGAAAAAACGGTAAAAGTAAAAGGGTGAAAAAGAGTAAATGCTACACAAAGGAGAATGACATAAACAATACAGATTTAAATTGTTACATGTTAAATGTTACATGTAATTCATGAATGAAAACTGATGTCAGATTCGTTTTAGTCATCATTGCTTTTTGAAATTTGGCAAGATTAATCCTGACGTGGATGAGCTTGTACAAGTTTTGTTTATTATATGCATTTTTTGATAGCCCATACATTGTGTATTAACAATTCATTCAAATTTAAGTTGTACATGATTTTTGGAAAGTTGGTAATTTGTACACAATATATATTTACAAAATTACATTTAATGACTACGGAGAAGTTGTGGATGTAACCAGAAGCTACGTCCTGTTACATCCAAACCTTGTTTTGTTCATAATTAATAATATAAAATAGTTCAAATTCACACCAAACTTGAGTTTATAATATAGCTTCATTTAATAATATCCATACTTACTTTTAAAGACTGCTAAAATTGTTATTTCCAACAACAACAAAAAATAATGGTTGTGGATCACGGTAACGTGGGACGTAACCACTACATCACAATGCGGTATTCTTCACCTAGATACGAATGGAACTAAATGTTGTTTGTGTTTAGAAATGGCCTTTTCGTATATGCCTCAAAGAGGGCACTGTACAATCTAGCTGGCTTAAAATCCGGCACAATATCCACTACTGGGTCATTCTGGGTCATTCCGTGTCATTTCTGCGCACCCTTACTTGTTGAGTTCCTCAAGGTTCTATTCTAAGACCTCTACTTTTTCTTATTTACATTAATGACTTCACTACGTCTTCTAATCTCTTTTATACATTTTATTTGCTGATGACTCAAATTTATTTAACAGTCATTCATAAATACCTCAGACAGTTTAGCTATTCCTATTGGTCGAGAGCCCGTCACGTGGCCGGTCTTTAACGGATGATAAAGACATGGCTAGCTGGTCTTAAACACTTTTCCAGTGTCACAATAAAATGTGGACTCCTAAAAATCCAGTGCCTCTTATCGTTTCATTGGTTGAACGTTCACAATCCTCACGTAGGCATGCGCAACACTACCAGGGAGTCAGAATTTTATAGTTCTAAATTCAAAACGCAACGCGCCAGGTGCGTTCTGCGGGACATCGCGCAGAACATGATACGCGCGCGTCAATCTCCATAAAAGGGTTGTTTACATCTTACTCGCCAGCTGAACATTCCATTATTTTGCAAGAGGGATGTTTCAAAAAGCATAAAGTGAATTTGTTGAACAAAATCGGGATGTTTTGAACGAATTATATGATTTTTTCTTACCGAAAAGGTATTTATGAATGGGAATAAATATGTGCTCCGTCGGTATTTATCACTCTGTTTAAGACCACTTATAGAGTCTGGGTGCTGATAATTACCCTCGCCTCCAGCTCGGGTAATTATCAGCACCCAGACTCTAAGTGGTCTTAAACAGAGTGATAAAAACCTCCAGAGCACACATTTATTCCCTTATTTAAGATATTGATGTTCTATTAAACTTTCAAGCAATTCCTCTTATTATACGCCTAAGCCTTGTTCACTATTTATTTTGTCATAGTTTATGAGCTCCAATACACTTTTGATCATTTCATTCTAACTAATAATATAATTATCGACATGTACACGGGCCTACTCTTTGTTCACTTTATGTTTGACATATTATGAGCCCGTGTGCATGGTTCCGCCGTGTGCGTGTGTTGAGGTTTTGACTCCTGTGTAATTCGACACCCCACTGAAGTGCCTAATGTAGTAATGTTGTCACGCCCCAACTATCGCATCGGTCCCAACTATAGTTGGGACTGTCCCAACTATAGTGCGGCAGTTGGGTCGGCCCAACTATAGTTTAGGACTGGAGTTGCGCCGGATGCTCCATGCTTGATAGATCTTGTTGGATTAAATGTTCCGCGGCGCTGGCACCGTGTATTCGTCGTGCATGCATGCCGCAAGGCTGGCCGGTCACGTGGTACTGCCTAGTTGGATGAGTTGTCCAGCTGCTGGGTTTTATTATCCAGCAACATTTTGCAAAATTCAAAGATTGCCATGGCCGGCCAACTATAGATGGGCCCCTACCATAGCTAATGTCAAAGGTCTCAAGTCGGACATGTAAGCAGAGCTGTAGAGAATGTTTTATAGTCGTACATCAATGTAAACTATAGTTGGGACTGCCAAATAAAAATATTGCGGTGGCCCAACTACAGATGGTCCCCACCCATAGATCATTTCATTGGTCCCCAGTAAAGTCAGATGTATTAGAGTTGTAGGGAATGTTTTATAATCGTACAACAATGTACACTATAGTTGGGACCGCAAATTAAAAAGATGGGGTGGCCCAACTATAGATTCGCCCTATCAATAGATAATTTCAGTGGTCCCCAGTAAAGTCAGACGTGTATCAGTGCTGAAGGGAACGTTTTATGGTTGTACATCAATGTAAACTATAGTTGGGACACCGCAAAATAAAAAGATCGGAGTGGCCCAACTATAGATGGGCCAGCCCAACAATGGAACTTACAGTTGGGACCGTCCCAACTATAGTTGGGACAGGCCCAACTATAGTTGGGCCAGCCCAACTGTGGAACTACAGTTGGGACAGGCCCAACTAAAGTTGGGACAGGCCCAACTATAGTTGGGACCGATGCGATAGTTGGGGCGTGACAATGTTATTCATGTTGTTATCTCGGGGTCCATACCACAAGCTTAGCTTTTTATGGCTTCCGCATCTCTATAAATTATATTAATTAATCTGCTTATTACCTTGTACTCATGTAAATTAAAAGATGAAATAAGTCAAGTTCAAGGCACTGCCGCTAGCGCTACGTACCCGTCCCCTAGCTAGCTAGGCCTACGTACTGTCATGACTGTATGTACATGTACGTGGCCTACGTGACAATCCATCTAGGTCAACTACGGCAGGGACAACGCTAGCCGTGACCCTTACCGTAGACATGGCTATGTATAGTCATGTTTAGGTCTAGGCAACAGTACATGTACAATAATCTCCAAATATCCACCGTGTAATTTGTTGTCATACAGTAAAACGCAGCCCATGAGCTCGCTAAACCTTTTTGAAACGTCCAGAGGTCGTCACCAATAACCCAAGAAAGAGTTATACTTACCGAAAGACGAGCTGTTCGCTTAGAAGAAGTTAGAGGTATCGGTGTACAGGTGTAGCGATCGCGATTTTCAGTTTCGGATAACACTAGCATGCATAGCAAAGATCCTGTACATGTACATGTATATAGCGCTAGCCTAGCGCCTACGGCGCAAAAGGATCTTTGATGCATGCATAGCCAGGGTGACCGAAAGGTCATGGAAAAATTCTGCTAAATGCACTTCCAAAAATCTGTTAGATTTTTCAAAAATCTGCCAAATTCCCCAGAATTACTCGAAATACAATCACACGCAGATGTTGTAGTATTTCCTTAATTAAGGTTTAAATTACATTATAAACAATCTATAGTCACACAAAAGATGTTACGAAATTATTGCGTAAATTTCAGGCAAAATTTCAGGCAAATTTCCCTTGGGGACAGAATCCCCTAGCTTCGGGGACATTTTTTGGGGAAAATATTTGCACCCGCTTTAACCCGATTCTATTTGAGCTTTTTTTTCTTCTCGATACTATAAAATATGTTTCTTCTGTAAATAGTTTTGTTTTTCACACTATTCCCTCTTTTGATGACTATTTGAACCCGTTACTATGTACCCCAATAGTAATACTATGCGAGCTTCTTTCCCCTTGATATACTATAAAATATATTTGTTGTAAACAAAAAAGAAACTAAAAAGCAACGACCAGACTAAAGACAAATACTTTGAGTTGTTCCAAAGTATTTTATGTAGGTCTACACGTCACTTGTCATTCTTTTTTGTTCATATTTACAAAAGTGATGCCTATATATCTTACAATTCATTTGACTTTGTCTTCTTTTTCTTTTCTCTCTCTTCATGATTACATATAAAATTAACTGAACTGAACTGAACTAAAAAAAAACAGTGAATGGTTTTTCTTTTCACTTTTCATATTTACAGTGAGTTGCACTTTATTTTGAAGCAAGGACTATAGCACAAATAAAACGGGAACTTCACAAAAATAGGCACATCGGAACCTTCTTTCCTTTCTGATCTCTTGTACTTCGCTCGCTGCAGGGCGGTGGGTACGAGCGAACTCTTGTACAAAGTAACAACACAACGCTTGAAGGATGTGGCACATTTCCACGTTGAGGGTGTGTCAGCAGGAAACGGTATTCAGTCTATATTATACTAGGGGCCATATTCATGAAACCTTACTAAGGCTAGTTGGTTACTAAATAGGCATGTAGTTGCTTACTAAGCCTAGTTGGTAACTAAATTGTATTCATGATACTGCGCCTATAGTTACATTCTAAGTTTCTTACTAAAGTTAGTGTAGGGCAACTCCGCGAGTCACTATAGTTAGCAACTATATCATTTTTGGTTGTGCCAGACTTGGCTTTTTAGGTGGTTTTCCCCTCCGGTTGCCTTCTTGGACTTTCTCATACTTGACAGGCATTCTCTTGATTCGGATTTTAATTTGGATAATCTAACTTTAAATCATCCAATGATCTTTCAACCTGTGGAAATCTTGGACGGTGTTGGCTGAGAATAGCTGCCCATGCATCTTTCTTGTTCTTGTGTTAGTGTTTGCACCCTTAACCTTATGCTTAGCATCAATAATATACAATGAATGTTTATGAGTGCAATGGTGAGAATATTTTCATGAGTTGAAAGATTAAATGTTCCATTCAACGAGGCGAAGCCGAGTTAAATGGAACATTCCATCTTTCAACGAATGAACTTATTCCCACCATTGCACTAATGCAAAACATTCATTATATAACATCCAAGTAGATCTTTGTCATTTGATTGGAGGATAAAACTTTGAGAACAAACAAAAATCACAAAATTGTTTCATATTCACTACCTTTTTCAGCTTGTTCAAGGCTAGCAAAGGTTTAAAAGTCATAAAAAGTCAAATTATTGACAATAATACAAATTAACATTGTAAGTTCTTAAAATATACAAAAAAAATATCAGGGCAACTGCATCAACTTCAAAGGCAGATTTGATTTATAAGTGAGTCCTTTTCCGGAGTTCCCAAGTAAACCCACAGCTGAAAAATAGTCTTGAAATCAGAAACTGGGACTCGTTAATCTCAAGTAAGATTTTTCTCAAGTAAGATTCTTCATCACACACTGTATTCGGACTAGAGCTGTGAATTCTGAACCGGGTAATCCAGTATCCGACCATTGATGTCAGGAATCGGTTCCAGCTTATGGGATCGGGTACCTGCTGTAAGCAACTTTACAAATAACTTAGTAACTTCTCACTGTTCTCAGACAATGTCGGTTGTGGGGAATTTTCAAAATGAAAACCATGCAGGCTACATGGGAAACCAAACATAATTCAGGTTAGTGGCGCTCGTGAAAGTTGCACTTTTCACCATAAAGCTAGAGCATACTTGTATCTTGGATCTTGATGAAAACTGAACAGCAACTAGCGAGGTTTGAATTTTGGGGTCGGGCTTCTGTAACGGGTACCCGTGTAACTGTTTATTTTTTTTCAATTGGCTACCCAGTTCCTGTACTACCTATAAATGCAAACCCCTAATTTGGGCACAGCACAAGTCAGTTGAATTATGGTTGAAATATGTATATGAGTAGGCATTCAAAGATTTCATAACGTTCGAGGCAAAACCTAAAGAAAGCCCTGCAGGGCAATTGAATAGGCCTATATGTTTACAAATAAAAATGTCCCTCTACATATACATGTACACCCAACACCTTCCCCTCTTTTTTCATCTTCCATTTGCAAACGCATCTTTGAATCTTAAGAAAATAGAATTAACAAGCCAACCCATTTCTTTCCAAATTGAAAAAAAGTAACCATCCTGTCCAGACAGTCGTGTTTTACTATACTCTAGAGGACGTACAATATGTTTTCCTTTGTCCCTGTAACACTCTCCCATAGACTGAGCACATAGCCGTACGATAGAGGACCGTTTTTACTAACAAAGGACCCAACACGCCCGAGGACTGAAAGGATATGTTGTTCTGCCTTTGTGTGTCGGTCCTCTGGGGTTATGTAGAACACGTACAATTCTTACTTGCTTTGATTCATTATTTTTGTCCTAGTGTGAATGACAGCATCTTGAAGGTAACCAATAAGAATCAGAGTTGTAATGACTCGAGTCAATGACTCGACTCGAGTCCGAATCGAGTCACATTTTTTGGTGACTCGACTCGACTCGAGTCCCTAAGGGTAAATGACTCGACTTGACTCGAGTCACTGCGAGCAATTGACTTGACTCGACTCGAGTCCCTCATCAGAAGACTCGACTCGACTCGAGCGAAGGCTAATAAGACTGGAGTCCCAAAAATAAAAGCAAAACTTTGCGAAAAGTAATTGCAATGACTTACGGTGCAAAATGTATGCTCACCAAGGCTTCGCTTTGCGAATAGCAGTCATGTATAAATATACAACGTGTCACAGACTCCCACCTCATGGTTCTAGAACGCACAAAATACTATCCAGGAACCAGATTTTTAAACACATTTTCTAATTCGCTGTTTCATCATTGGCTTGGGCGATTTCTTATAAAGCTCTTGGATTTGAACGCTGGTTAAACTTATCGCCTCCTTTTATAAATTTTGGTATATAGTGTTCAAATATTCGTGACTCGAATTGACTGAAGCTAAATATTTGACTCGACTCGACCTTTTGACCTTATGACTCGACTCGACTCGAGTCACTTCTTTAAAATGACTCGACTCGACTCGAGTCACTTTTTTTTAAATGACTCGACTCGACTGGAGTCACAAAAATCAATGACTCGTTACAACTCTGCTTTCATGTATACATCATTTGCTTTTGCTGTAATTTTCAGAAATGGATGGAATTGGGGGGTTGGAAATATATAGCAAGTATAGTTACACTGACTTTTTTGAGGTTTTGGGTTCGAAAATGCTATAAAAACCAAGAAAAACGATCATTTTCCTGCAGTCTGGCTCCCTGACTCCATATAAGAAGAAACAGAGCAGTTTACATACATTGGGGAATTGTAAGGTCAGGGAACCAGTCTAGCTGGCTCGTACCCGTTCATAGGTTTGTAATCGATTGCAAACAAGTGCGATGGTCAATTGGGGCCAGTATTTGAAAAAAAGCCAGTTGTTTCCGACGCTGATCGGCCGATCAGCGTTGGAAATTGATACAAAAATACCACTGTTCTTGAAAATGACAGTATACCAGGTGCCATGATTTTACAGGATGCTTTACACTGTCATTCACTAACAGTCCAGCAAGGTATTTCAAAATGATTTGGTAGTTTTATTTTTTGATGTTTGCAAATGTTGTATTTTTTAACCATGCATACTTCATTGTCTCGAGAAAAATTGTGCATTTTCACAGTTTTCTCAAAACAGTGATTTAGTTTACATGCATCTACTGAACTGAAATTTCGACATGTTATTTTATGAACAAATGTGCTTCAGAGTTTTTATTTCATGTTATTTTATTGTACTTTGAAACGGCAAAAATACTTTTTGTGCAAAAAGTGTCTATGACATCATGATGACATGGAGCTGTATAATACAGCTCTATGGTCTATATGATCATTACTATTGTTCATGTACCCTAACGTGGCGCGGCCCCTAACGTGGCGCACTTTTATTTTTCGCCTGTAGCGCCTAGCTAGAGCAAAAGTTTTAACTGAAATTTCCAAGAAAGTGAAATTTCATCAAGTTCTTAACACTCCCGTTCATAAATCGCGAGTTTATTTACCCGTTACAAGTTAAAAGAAAAAAATATTTTGGCGTGATTTTCCGATTTTATTTTCAAGTGCAAAGTGAACCCTTTGAAAATGCCCCGAAAAATAAGAAAATAATTTTCTGACAAACATCTGGCTGGGTTTGTAAGTAAATATAATAATGATTTATCTGAATTTATCAAGTTTACAGAAATTCTTAAATGTTAATTTGGATTTTTCTGAGATTTATTCAAGTGCGCCACGTTAGGGAACACTCCGCCAATTTGTGCCCAATTTCCGGACGCGACCGTTTTTGCATTTCGGATTAAATTTTATGAAACCGAAATTGTTCACAGAGGTTAAATAGTAAACATTAATAAGGTAAAAGTACCAGCATTTCACTGCATGAATTTGAGGTTTATCAACAAAGAGGTTTGGCAACACTACACGAGGAAAGTTGGGTAAGCTTCGAAGTGCGCCACGTTAGGGAACACGACTATACATGTACCAATAATATTGACGGAGGGACTGCACACGAGTCTATCTATATGCAGACTCGCACATTGCATGCAGGGATGGGGTGAAATTCTGTCTACAAATTGAAAAGTATCAAGGAATCATTAAAACCGGCCTAAGTGGGTCTGTTTACACACTCTATTGGTTTAAAGAGTCTCATTTAAGGTTGCAAGGAGTAATGATTACGGGTATCATTTCAAATACCATCCAAATACATCCCCGCCAAATATAATTCACCCATGGTATTAATGGATTTGCCTTAAAAATGGCGGCCGTCAGTGCATGACTGGCCGTGGTCACAAAGGAATTTTAGTACTCTCTAGCTCGGCGATTGTTTACAAAAAGCTTGTGATTGTATCACTATCAGGTCTTACACTTAGACTTTGTTTTCGTAAAAAAAGCAAAATACCCCCGTGTTTTTATGCTTAAATTCCAGAAATTTACCGTAATCGATCATCGTACATGTCGTATGACTATGAGATGACAGCGCGGATTAACGTTACGGTTTAACTTAACGCTCACATTCGAATGTACCTGCACACGTGGGTCAAACGAATTTCGGGTCAAACCAGCAAGGCCGGCTGAATCTGAGCTTTTTATTTCTCCGTGATATATCTGAGTATTTTAGTACATGATCTGAGTGCTGGTCCACGCGTGAAGATTTGTGGTAAGAAATTGTTTTTTATACAGAACACTATTCACTAATTAGGTGTTTGGCGAAATTTGCGGTAATCGCTTCAAAATTAAATATATCCTCGATCTATTTCTGCGCAGACATGGCAGATAAGGCTTTGCAACCAAGTAGCTTAAAAATAGCAAAGCAACCACTCTTTTCCTCAACGAAACTTATATTGTTGGCTTACGATCAACCACCGTACCGATTAACAAAGCAAAATCTCTTTATTTGTGGCAGCAAGCTAGTCCGAGTAACTTGGACCCAACTTATCGCCTTTTTTAACATTTGGACATGGTCTGGCGATATCGCCAGACCATGTCCAAATGTTAAAAAAGGCGATAAGTTGGGTGACTTGGGTCCAAGTTACTCGGACTAGCAGCAAGCGGGGAATTCCAAAGCGTGCAGTTTTGGCGTTGTAGAAAATAATCCTGCCTAATTCTGCGCAGGGGATGCTTCATGAAAAATCTGTGCTGTCCGGGCCATGTAACTCAATATAAACATTTTTTTTTTAATAACTTAGACTTGTTGGCTTTAGGAAATTATATTTTCTGAGCTTTTCAAACAAATTTTCTTTCATTTCCTTTCTTTTTTTCAATGCCGATACGCTTTTCGTAATTTCAAGATTATTTTCAATATCCTATTTTCGAGATTTATACGAGGGCTTAAATTTACATATTTATAAATACATTTTATACATATTTACCTATTAAATGTAGATCCCAATGATATTGTTATTCTGATCATCCCAAACAACGGAGACAGTTTTTAAGATGTCGGATTTTAAAACTTATGACCAAAAAATTCCCAAAAAATATAAGAATTGTGTCTTTTTAGTTGCACCGTAAGTTTTACATCCTCGTAGAAACTGCAAATTCTTATATATGACATCTTAACTATAATACTGACGATATTGGGAGACCAAGAAAGGTCACCGTTCGGTCATATTTTCGACTTCTGCAGGCCCGGAAGCATCTGCCTGCATTTGTACCTAGTAATTAGCTGTAAAAAGCAGATGTTTTTCATATTGTGCCTGAATTCCCGGTAAAGCCTTCAATTTCCAATTTTTTTCGGCTGCTGGTTAAAGTTCATGCATCAAAGCATATGATCCCAATGAAAGTTTGTCATTTTTTAGGATGCACGCCTTGCAAAATATAACTTAAAGGCAAGTGCGCAGAAATAGGAGCGCGTAGCTTTAGGAGGTCTGACGATACATAGGCCCCCTAATGAACTTAATGCAGACAAGACCTGTGTGCGAAAAAAATTGATTGCGTCATCAGACCGGAAGTAACAATAAAACGACCTTTAAACCTTCAAAAATTGCTAAAAAAATCAACCGTGATAGATATAATCACGATTTGGCTATATATAGCACAGTTACCATAGCTCTTGAACTTTCAGGTAATGACGTTACAGTGACGTCATCAAGTGTCATATTACAAGCAATCAAAGATTGTAGATTCAATCTTTGAAAATCAATGTAAAATCAACTGCTACAGATTTGATTTTGTTTTTTATGGCAATCGATGGAAAGAGTTCCATATAACTTATAAGAAGTTCACTAATTTTCCTCTGTATTGACTAACAAGCCCCCAGATAGCAATTTCACGTCATCAAAGTCATTTTGAGCAGTGAGAAAATACAAGCATTTTCTTAGAAAACACTTAGAATTTTTCAGTCCAATCTCATAGGGTTTGTACACAGGGTGTTGAGTGAACTTCTTATATGGAACTCTTTCCCAATCGATACAATATTGCAGGGTCGTAATTTTCGGTATTAAGTGCAAAATCTTGTGACCCTTCCTTCCAGTCGAAACCGGAAGTGCCTTATTATTTGAAATTGGCAGAAGATGCGAACTTGCTTTCAACGATGTGAGTGTCTGCCTAGGCAGTACTGTACACAAATATTACAGGTGACGTCATCAAATGTTAGAGCGCCCTCTGGCTGCATGTTGAAAAAGTCAAACATGGATTTAAACATGCATTTTGAGTTGATGTGTGTGGCAAGGTTTGCGGTAATCCATGGCCCAACACCGTGTGGTTGTTCCTACAACCTCTAGTTTTTCCTGATTTCTGTCCAAAAAAAAGTTGTGCCAGAAATTAAAAATACAAATTTTACAATCTCCTCATGCATTGCATGATGTGATGATGCAGTGTTGCCAAACGTGCGGTAGCACCAATGTGGTAAAGAGATTTTGCCACATGGTCATGATGGTGCTACCGCAACAACTGAACTTATTAAAACCTTGAAGCGGAAAGAATGTTGCATCCTGATGCCTCTTTTGTCATCATATGTCAATGGAGGTCAGTCATTGCAAAAATATGGAAAAGATATGAATCTGGGACTGAGAGACATTTCCAATTTTGTTAGAAAATGCTTCGAAAATCTTCTTGACTCTCCATAGACTTTGTACACAACCAACAAACATGACAAAGTGGCGTCTGGATACTACATTCTTTCCACCGCCTTATCTGGGCTGATGACCAATGACTTTGAGGCGGAGTATAAGTCATTTAGGTGGTATGAAATATATAAATTTGTGGAGTGGTGTGAGAAAAATCATCTGATTTTAAATATGTACAGAAAACCAAAGAGATGATATTTGATTTCCGGAAAATGAAAAACATGAAGAGACCAGTTGAAATTGACGATACAGATGTCGAAATTGTTCCAGTTCAAATACTTGGGAACAGTTGTGGATGATAAGTAAGTTAAATTGGAATGCAAGCACAACAGGGATGGAAGCCAGTCAACGGCTTTATTTTTTAAGGCAATTAAAATCTTTTAATGTGAACTTTCAGATTTTAAAACTGTTTTATCAGATTTTAAAACTGTTTTATATATGTAGTAAAAAAAAATAGACATAGGCCTACCCTTTTCAGGGACAAAAAAATCTCTGCTTCAGATACTTAACTTTTTCTTTGCAAAGTCACATCAAAAATTAGCCCCAAATGTCTGTCAAATACTGGACTTCAGTGATGCATGCTAAATTTCCCAAAAAGTTGTGTTTCATGAAATTTGAAATCTAGACTGTTTTTACTTGAACTTACTTTACAGAAAAGTGCCAACCCCATCCATGTCATCCTGCACTTTCCGTACATTACAATCTCCAGGAACTGTTTCACAGATACTGCCATTGTGGATTAATTTTGGTTGTCCCGTGCCATCTTTAGGGGGGGGGGGCAAACATAGTCAAATGTGCTGTAAATTGTATAGATAGGTGACATCCAAGAGATGCTTAGGAAACCCCAAAATGGCCATAAAAATAATGCAAAAAAGTAAACTTCTTGAATATTGAAGTAAAATTTGTACAATAAAACAAATGTCAATTAAATAAATCCCAGTTGTATCTTTGAAACACTCTATGATATTTTGCGTAAGCAGAGTTTGGATGAAATATATTTAAGTGGCTTTTTCTTGAATGAAAACTTATGTTTTTGTCGCCTGTGGTTTGGAACGCAATTATTATCATGTACAGTATAAGTCCATTCCACTTGTGCATTTTGATTTCCCACAGGTGCAAGATTCTCCCCCAAGTTCTTATAATTATGGCAGAACATAGTCAAGAAACTGAAGCACAGCAAGTGTCTGTACTTGCACCTCAAGAGCATTCACTAGCACCTGCTGTTGAACTTGGAGACGAGATGGAAGTACAACCTGTTGGTACAAGCAGTCCCCCCGGTGTCTCCTCCCCCATAGCCTGTACTGAACAGAAAGAAGATGATGCACAAGAGAGGGTTGAATTAGAAGAGAACAAATTAGAGCAGTCTGAACATGAACTGCCTCTCAGCAGACAAAGTACTCATTTACAGGAAGAAGCCAGCCCAAGTGTTTCAGAGACAATACCCTCTGTGAATCAGTGTCAGGAAGATTTGCCAGAAGAAGTCTGTAATTCTCATCATGAAGCAGTTGATGTCTCTATCTCCCCTAATCCAGCAGATAATAAAAACATGGGTATGGATCAGGAAACAGTCTTTGCTGCATATACTAACAGCATTCAGACAGTGACGGAATCCAAGACTGATGAAGGAGTAAATGATGCTGATGCCATCAAGTCTGACAGCGGAGAGTTTTCAGAATTGCTTGAACCAGATGAATCACAAAGTCTTCAGGAAATTGTTCCCATCGAGGTGGGACGATCCCCAGAAAATCATCCAGAAATTGAGGATACTGATAACACAATTAAAGATGCTGATAACACAATTAAAGATGCTGATAACACAATTAAAGATACTGATGACACAATTAAAGATGCTGATGACACAATTAAAGATACTGATAACACAATGGAAGACTCATGTTCTCTTCAGGCTTTCAAGGAGCCTGAGGTAGACCCTCTTGGAGGAGAAGACCAATGCCCACAAAACTATGTTACTGAAGAGCAAAACCCTTCCAGCCACGAATTGTCAGTAGGTGAACCACAGCCAGTTTGTGAGAACCTGACAGCAGTGGAAGAGGATGTAAAAGCTTCCTCTTCGGAAAATCAAGACCCTGTTGTTCCTACTGCTGTCACTCCTGAAGGTATCACTGCAGCTTTGATCAGTGACGATACCAGCTCCAGCCAAGATTTCATCAAAGATGACACGCTGCAAGCCAAACCATTGGCCACTTTGGATGCAACTACTGATGCCAGTGGGAGAAGCACCCCCAATATTGAAGTCTTGAAGGACTTGACAGGGAGAGACAGTCCAAGTATCAGGCCACTCAAGGAAGATTCAGGACGGGACAGCCCCAGTCAGAGATCCAGACGGAGAATAGGACGAGACAGTGTTGTCACTGAAGCTAATGAGGCAAAGTAAGCAAAAGGTTTTTTTTAGTCAAAACATTGTAGGAAAAATGGCATTCAGGTCAAAGAGCAGCCTTAGAACTTCATTGAATTAGTTGGGGTTGGGGGAGTCTCTGTCTAGAGCCCTACATCTTCAGCATTCCCATATTTTATATATTACACAAATATAACATTGTTTGAGGGTGGATAGTCGATATTAGCTCCCCAAGGTATTGGAAGATAGTTTGTCAACTTCCAATACTGAGGGGAACCTAATATCGACTATGCACCCGAATTAAACATTGTTATATTTGTTTTACTGTTCCTCATACATAATGAGTTGCCAAATTTTCCCGTTGCAGTATGCGCCTCGCGGGCATAAAATCTTTGGAGAAACTTGTCCAGCTCACCAGAAGAATATTGCTCAACCTCGGAAAAGTTCAGTTCTTTCGCAATTTACAGTAACTCCTAAGAGTTTATACCGCTAGGTGGACATCTTTTTTAGTAGAGGATGCATCTTTATTGTCCACAATATTCTCCAGTTTGGGCATTATTACGCTCTGGAAAAAGCTAATTAACATTTACGTGTGCTGCCATCTTTTTGTGTGTACATGTAGCTAGGGCGATGTTCGTGCGTGCGTATTACACCCGTGTGACAGTTTCAAGATTGCTTTGTATTAATAGTGCATTTGTAGTGGACTCTCACGGCTAACCCTTGCGACTGTCTACTACACATGCATATTTACCCTGTGCGTGAATACTCGCACGCACGCTTGGTAAACAGCAAAAATAGCATCTGGCACATGATGGTGAATGGCCCAGTGAGAATTCGGCTCTCAATCATGAATATGTATGAGGTATAGTAAATATATGATCAATATTTTCACAAATATTTTGTAACTATTTGTCAAACCGTCCCTTAAAATTTCTCTGAAATTTTCCTGTTTTTTATTGGGCGATAACTTAAAAGAAAATCTTCACAGCTACTCAATTTTGGTTGGTCTAGAACTGTGCCTTGCACACTTGGCAAGTTATTCTGAAATATTATGGCTTGCTTATTCTTGCTTATTCTTCGTAGTTCTCGTAACTTAGTCTCTTTTTTTCCCTTGGAAAGTTTGGGCATATTCCCAGCTGAGAATTTGTTTGAGTATCAGTGGCCTCAGGAGAAAGGCTCAGAGTGGTACTTTGTCCAGGAACAAGTCAGCGAGTTTCTTCAAGTCAAGTCATTCAAGCGAAAGTATCCAGGTAACAAAAATTATTGTTATATTTAATTCAGTCAAGTTAATATTCATTACATGTTGAAGGATTTTTAAAGATGGCATATATGGGATAGTACATTCAAGTGTATGAAGTTGCACCTTGCCCAACATGAACCCAGTGTTCATGTGGCCCAAGCCACAAGAATGCAAATCACTATCATTTAAATTCAATATTGGGTTTTGCCCTTCACTGACATATTTTTATATTCACTGTTTACTCAGTGTTGTCCCGAGCGATTGAGAGAAAAAAAATCACTCGGGTCCGGTGGGACTCGAACCCATGACCTCTTGCTTACTAGTGCAGACGTCTCGACCACCAAGCTAGCTGGGGTCGGTTGGCTGGTTCGAATCAGATATAGCAGCGGGTATCGCAACTATCAATTACTATTTGGCTGCAAAATTCAACAAGAACATCTAAGAGTGGAACGGTGGGTACACGTACCTCTGAAACTAATAGATGTTTTTCTCTCAATGTCTAGACCTAGAAAGAAGAGTGATGGACATAAGTGAGAAGGATTTTCTTCGAGAGAGAGGGGTTGTCACCGAGGAGCAAGTCACATTAGGTGAGTAACTTTGAAGGTTATTCATGCAAGTGCACAGCATAACATGAACTGAAGTGAACAAAGAACATCACAGCTACACGTACATGTGTTGCTTTGACCTAGATTCAAGTGAGAATAGACTGCTCCAAATCCCCATGGTGTTTTGACCATTTACAGTGTCCGACATGCCTCCGCACCAATCACACACGTGTGCATGTGGGTATGAGGTGTTGGTTGGAACATGCAGTGTGGCAATGGACAGGTGCACATGTAGTGTACGCACACAGTGGGCTGCACTTTAGTGGAAGGGTCTATTGTACTCATGTCTGAATCATGAATTGGTGCAATGTGATGAGTGTTTTATGCCATAAGTTGGGTCAAACAAAAAAATAGTTCTGCTTCCGGTTGCCCCACCTACCCAATTCTGACAGCCCCTACCCTAATTTTTGGGGGGAAAATGAGGAAAACCCCCCAAACCATCAATTACTACCTTTTACCCTTGACTACATGCAGATACCTCCATATGATCGTACATAAAAAATATTGCCAAAAAGATAACTTTCCCTACCTACGTACCTACCCTATTTTCAAATGCCATGTAATCGGAAGCAGAACTATTATTTTATGGCCTTCTTCTTGTTGTTGTTTGTGCATTAAACCATTCGCAGTTTTTTTATTGAGAAAGGTTGAAATAATAAAAACAATTACCTGTGTGGATGACTTCAGAGATTTCAAATCAACCATCCACCATATATATATATATATATTACAAACTTGAGCCACTCAATATTTTTGATTTGGTTTGAGTGATATATGATATGTAAATGTATAATGTCTTTTGATTTAGGACTGACAGCGCTACGTGCAGATGAGGTATATGACTTGATGCTGAAAGATGCACCGGATAAATCAGCTGAATATGCTCGAGTTCTGCATGAAAAAGAGAAGCAAAACATCAGCAACAAACACAAACAATATGAAGCAGTAAGTTGCAACAAATAAGACAAATGAAAAACAGTTATTTTCCTCTAATTTGACATGCAATCTCCAAGTTCTCACTTTTTGGCTTATTGAACCCATATCCCTGTGGTTCTAGGGCGTGTTTTCGCAACCGTGACCAGAAACATGTTTCCGCTTTTGTCATTGGTCTGGCGTTTTCGCGTCTTTGGTTATGGCTGTGTGACGTCATTGTTTCGACCAAACGAGATGGTTATCACAGATTCAAAAAACGAATCTGGTTATCACAGATTCAAAATGGCGGAAAATACTAAAACGTAAGCAGACGATATTTTTTGTTGTCCCAAACATTAGGGAATTATGAATTCCCTAAAGTGTTATTGCATGCAGTGAACCAAAACAAAAAGATTACTCTCTTCTAGAATGCGAAAAGAGAGGGCAGCAGTGGTGGAAACATACCAAATGTTGGCCTGTAAAGTGAGTGAAAATGACGTTTGTCATTTGTCAACAATGTCGTCTGCTACGTGCGGTAAATGACGGTTTCTGGTTCTGCGTTTTCTCGTGCCTGCGTAAACATGTTCCTGGTTACCGTTTTAACGTCTCAAACATGTTTCTGGTCGGTGTTGTAGTCGAGGCCACAACCGCGAGGCCAAGGCCAAGGCCGAGGCCACCACCTCCGAGGCCAAGGCCGAGGCCAGCTATCAAAACACGTAATAAAATATAAATGACTAAAACAAGGATAAGATTATGTTGGAGTTTCAACATCTTTTTAGTTGAATTCACTGAGTTTTGGAGTGCCTGGCTTACAAATTTACAGCTTGCAATGGGTTTCCTCTTGTAGGGAGTCTGGCGAATTTTATTTTTTAAAGAAAGAAATTTTAAGTTTTGTATCACTGAAAGCAAATTACACAACAAAATCAATGGCGTTTGAATCAGGCTCATAGGTGTTTGCCCTTTGGAGATACAACAATTTAAATGGCCAAATTTTGAGTTTCTATTCTGTAAGATTTACATCATTTACTTTTAGCATGTTTTATTAATCTTATTTTCAAAACCTATCAATATGCCTAATATCATAGGAATCCCCATTAAATAAACAACAACTTGATTTTTGAATCAGGTTTTTACCACTCATAACCAAAAAGTTACGACCAAACCCCCCCCCCCCCCCCCCCCGACCTTCGCACTGTCCAGGCGCGCGCCGAGCAAACACTGCGATGCGACCAGACAATGCCAGACGACCCGCCGTTACGCACGGGCAAAGCATAGTTCCGATCCCGCTCCACACAACGGGATAAGTGTCCACGCATTATCACTGTTAATACCGCGATACCAGACAAAGTCTGTCAATGGCCAATCCCGCTCCAAACAACACGGCAACACGGAACATGCGTGCATGATATCACTCAGTTCATCAAAATGACCATGAATTCTCGGATCATCCGATTTGAATCCAACTTGGCTTCGAAGTATTTTAAGATCATGGCAAGAGGTAGGGAGTCCAGAGGTTTTGGCCGTATATCTGTAATCACGTAAAATTAGTCAATTTCAAACCGTGCTTATACATGTAATAAGTATCAACATGGCTCTAAAAATACAAAAAAATATCCTGGTACCACGAGGAATACTGACTCCTATTATTAAAACATTCATTCAGAACTTTGCATTCATTTGGATGGAAAAACGAATTCTGTAATCGCGCTTTCCATATCGACCATTTGCGCCAAACATTACCGTGTGAGCCGGAACTTTCATTTAAATCGCCGTGTAAAAAGCCCCAGAGCATGTTTGAAATTATAATGAGCATTTCTGATGTCAGATACAGGCCTTAAGTTGCATGTGTTATCCTTCAAAAGACCCTTTGTATGAGGCTGATTTTTTTTCATGAAAATTATGATAATATAATTTTTCATGAAAATTAAGTTCAATGTGCATTTTTGTGCCATTTGTTTGTATTTTTTAAAAAATTTTCACCACTGGCAACTGAGCATTGCAAAACGGTTCACCATAACAAAATATAAGTGAATGCTGCATAAAAAATGTGCGAGTGGTTTTTCAAAAATTGTCATTACATAGCAATTATCACATAGTTGTTGTTAATACTTAGATTGAAAGTTAAATTTGATCTTTGATATCTGTAGGACAGTACATGTCTAGGATATATTTTGGATAGTAATTTGTAGGCCAACTTTCACATGCTTTTATATAGTTCTTTATATTAATTTGGGCTGAAAAACAGTTGTTTTACCATTTGCATAAGGCGAACCACTTGAATAGATGGGTGCCAAGTAGCACTCAGCATTGCTTGCATTGTTTGAAATCTGTCTCATTAAGGCAAGTCGTTCTATAGGTAAAGAGTTAAGCTGAGCAAAACCGAAGATTGAAAGCATCCAAATAATTGCATTAAAGCTAACTCATAGCATCATTACATTTCCTGTATACTCCAGCCATCCGTTGACTCCAACAAAGTTCAAGAGTATGTCAAGAAGGCAGTCAGGCAGGCCGCTGAGTACAACTCAGCCTTGATGGCTGAACGCAGGGAAGAACGACAGTACTACTTTGACATGCAGACCCTGGTATGGTTTATCATTGGGTAATAAAGTGTGCAAGTGGTGTGTCGCACATCCAGAGCTCTTGTGGAGTGTCATGTACTGTTCATCCACAGAGTTCTATTACTTTGAGGATTCAAATCGCTTTGTCCGTTTTCATTTTCAAGCTGGTCTATACGTTGTCAATTTGGAATTGAGGTGAACAATTCTGCTTCCTAAATTTTTTAAAATGATCCACACAGGAAAACTGACTAGGTGAATTATAACAACTGAAAGTTGAACAAAGAAATTGACTGGAGCGAGGCTTGAACCTGCGACCTCCGGATTACCGTTCCGGTGCTCTACCAACTGAGCTATCCAGCCCTATATTGGGGGTTCCCCAATTAGTCAGTATCTTTGTTCAAGGGGCGCTGCTTTTTGATCCTAAATTTTTAGTGTGATCCACTAAAAGCGTCAGCAGTTTTGCAGTATGAGAAATTTAACAAAACTTCTCTGGGCTTTGCCCACACAATGGATGAAAACTGCATTCCTATCGTGGTGTGTTTCCTGTGTTCACACGAATGATCATGAATTCAAACTGGAAATTCACATTTCCTGATGTTAGAAATTCTAACCTGCTAATCTAAACCTGATGATGTTATGTTTGTTTTCTTTGGTTCGTTTCAGACAGTACAGATGCCAGCCAGTAGAATGAAGAGACATGATAAAGAGATAACCAAACTGGGCCCATACCCTGTGGCCGTCATACCCGGACAGTATCAGAACTACTATCGCAGGTCAGTTGGTAAAATGGTAGCAATTCAAGAATGACAGTGACCAGCTGAAACATTTCAAACAAAATTGAAAACGAGTTTAACTGTAGTATAGACCATGTCACATTTGTTTTCAAATTAGATGTTGTAGTTGATTGACGCAAACTTTCTGCAAGCTGTTGTCTTCTGCACTACATGTGTATATCTTGAAAATGTTATTATTCGGAAGTTGCCTTGTAATTGCTGAGGGAGGGAGAAGCTTATGATATTAATATTGCCAGCTTTGACTATTTGTTGACAGCTACTCATCTGATGAGTTGAAGTATTTCCCTCTGAATACCTCTCTGTATGGTCCCATGGCACCACGCCGACAGACAGACCTTGCACCACCCCTAAGCAATGATGAACCTGACCAGTCTGATAATGAAACCGTTCTGGTAGGTAGATGTAAGCTTTCTTCAATTCAGTTTCATAGGAAATTTGGGGTTTTCTTGAATACAGCAAGGTAATAGCTGCATTCAATGTTTCAGTTGTTATTGTAGGTCCATTCTTTAAAGGGAGTCTTTTCGGCTGGACACTTGTAAGTAGTTGATGGAACACTTTTGAACACATTTCTTATAAAACAACAATAGCAGAAAAAAAGGTAAATAAAGGTTACACAACTGTACCTTGAAAATTGGTACCACGTGAAGGAATTTTTGGATACACAATTTTGGTCCTGAAAATCGAGCCATTGGAGCATTCCAATCATACATGTAAATGTTTCGTTTAAAAAATGTTGCTGCAAAATCACATCATGCTGTCATTATTATGGGGCCTGATTTCCAGCAGAATTGTCATTTACTGAGCATGCACTATGTCTGACATTACCAGATTTGGACATAATTTGATAATATTATTGACTGCTGGTAATACATGTATGTATAGGTAAGGCAAATTATGTGGCTTTCCTGTTACCAAGACCTTGGAAATACATTCAGTAAACTATAAAAGCATCCAGTTAATTATGGTGATCTCTGGATAACTGGTATCTTGAAGCCTGATTGTGGTTTGCAGTAATGCCCTCTGTAGATTTGGGTAGACCCGGTGTCAACAATTTTCCTGTAATTCAGCTGAACCTGAGAAGGGCTATCCGGTTCGTTAGTGTGACGTCACCTCCAGCACTTTCTGCATGATTGGAACCAGAAGTTAACGCAGTTCGAGCGTTTGTAGCCAATGGGCGCCAGTAATCAGTGCTGCGCGCGTGTGTATGACGTTTTCACTAACGAACCGGATAGTCCCAGTACAGCATGTACACTCTTAGTTAATTCATACATTTAATTTGTTTAACTATTCTTGATCCTTTGCACTTTGTCACAGTCGACTGAGAATTTTGACTCGTCTAGTGACGTAAGTGACCGTGACCAACCCACTCCCATGGACATGGACAGTCATGGCAATGTGGAGCTAGATGCTGGTGATGATAGGACAGCCAACATCACACTGCCTAATGATTCATCTTGTGTCTATAAGGTGAGTTATATCAATACATTGTCCATGAGACAACAACCAATGATCAATTGAAATCATTAAGAAGAATGAAAAATATTGTTTTTGATGTTTAATTATTTTCATAGTTTTGAGAAAATTGTTTCTTATTAGTCATGGAAAGGTTGTTTGGGACATTTTCAGCTAATTCATTTTTTTTTTCTTTTTGGGAGAAAGAGCTGGAAATGCTGGTGATTGGCTGCAGTGTTGAACTGACACTTAAATGAATGTTTTTAGAGGCAAAATACACTGTTTCTGAGTAGGTACATCTGCCCAGCCTCTCTTTGTACATTGAAACACATTGTCCAGGTTCTACTTGATCAAGCCCTTGTTATGTGCATTGGGATATCAAATACATTGTAAACATAGTGTTCTGAGTGTACTCACAATTGCTGTGTGTATATATTCATGCAGCCAGTGGCTGTACGAGAATTGGAGCCTTGCGTTGTGGTTGGTCTAGAACGAGTGAGTACTTTGCATTACTGGAAATGTGCTTCAATTGCATCCATTTGGTTCAGTTCTACCTGTGATCTTGGATGCCCCTCCAAATGACAATCACTATCAGGTCATAATAAAACTCAACAGAACTCAAAAATTCATTTTAATGTAGAATCAACAATATATTGCATATATTACATATCATTTTTGTTGTATGTTTAGCATCCATGGAATGATGAAAGCCAAGACACAGAAGATATCCATTGGAAAAGGCATCCCTTTTTGTAGCACAAAAATTTTACAATCCACATCAAACTAAGAAACAACTGCGATAAAGATCTTGCGGACAGTGTACATTCATTGCATATGCAACTTGCATTGTTGGCCTTGTGGAAAAAAAACATTTCATGCTTATGGTTCTGATGGTGACATGTACTGCTTGAATCACCAACTGAATATTCAAATAGCTTTTGCCTGTTTGAATATTCGAAAGACAAAACAAATTATGCACGTGTACACACAACTGTGATGTTATTTCAGTTGTAAAGATGCCCCATTGTCTGTTGACGGTGGTTCGTTGTTCCTATCCTAATAGCAGGTTAAAGCCCTTGACACTGAAATAGCTGCTGTAAAACACTCCGGCCGTCCACAATATTGATCGTTGCATGCACCTTTTAAACAGCGGGCTTTGCTTGCAACTGTGCCAGTATGGCACGCAGTTGCAGCTGGCATTTGTAAAACTTGATGAGAGATTTTCAAATAATCAAATATTCAGTGAAAGGCAGTTCCGGCTAATCTAATACTAAATTATTCAACAATGGCAGTACTAATGGGACCAAAAAGCCCTAGGAACAGTGACTACTTAGATCTACAGAACAATCATTATAGTTCATCTCTGGCTTTCCCAAGATTCCTGTGTTGTAGCAACTACATCATGTATAAATGTACATGTGGTTGTTGTCATTTGTAATTCCCATGAATGTATGCATTGATGCATGACACATGTACAGTGTAATGTGCTGCATAATGTTGCCTGAATGCAAAGCTTTACCACTGCATCAGTGTTACATACAAAATGCATCATGTTGGATATTTCACTTTCTTGTTCATTTGAAAGTTGTTTGCTTAAGGACCTTATATTGTACAGGGTGAGTCAAAAAAAGCGAAACCTAAATGTCGGGACTATTGTTTTAGTGAAGTTCTGCATGTAGCACTTTGAAAATCTAGGATATAAATGCCCTATTCATAAGCTTTCTTTTAGTACAAGAATCATTCAAATCACTCATGTACTTTTCAAGTTACGGAATTTTAAACATAACCACCGTATTAAAGTTCTGTCCACGGATCACAAAAAAAGGTGTGCGTTCTTTCAGCAAAACGAAAACATTTCACACACGCTATGTGATTTGTTTTCGTTTTGCTGAAAGAACACTTACCTTCTTGTGATCCGTGGACAGAACTTTAAAACGGTGGTTCTGTTTAAAATTATGTAACTTGAAAAGTACATGAGTGATTTGAATGATTCTCGACTAAAAGAAAGCTTATGAATTGGGCTTTCGTGTCCTAGATTTTGAAAGGGCCACAATGCAGAACTTCACTAAAACAATGGTCGAGACATTTGGATTTCGCTTTTTTTACTCACCCTGTACAGTAACATACAGTACACAATTTCTTAAGAGCATAATTACATGAAATTTGTACTGATTGGACAATTGGACAAAATGTATTAATACGGCCAGTTTTGTTCAGTATGTATGTTCACATGCATGATGACAACATAGCGCAATGGACATTTTACAGGTTTTTTTTAATTGTTTAGTGATACAGGGAGTTTTACTATTTCATTGATCTATAATTGTGGCTATTATTAAACTGATTTCAACTTAATTTGGCAAGAGTCAACGTCTATTCGTAACATTTATAGTTGTGTGTCCTTTTTTTGTCAAGTTTTTATCCACATTCATTTTTGTTTTGAAAAGAATTTTAAAGAGGGTATCCCTAAAATCTTACATTTGAGCAATATTGCATGTAAAAATAAGGTTTCCTTTGCCTAAAAATTGGCAGTGTTTATATAGATGCATTTAGTTTTCACTTGATGCCTGATTACGTTACGTCTTTTAAATGTTGCTTTTAACGTTTTTTTAACAGCCCAAAGACATTCCTAATGCTATCTGTGGCCTGTGTCTCAAGAACAGCTCTGAGAATAAGATGGGTGTACCAGAGAAGATGATCCATTGCTCACAGTGTGACAATAGTGGTATGTTCTCGCTTAGTTGGAATATGGACTCTTTCTACATACACTGTACTGCGACAGAACCCAGAAAATAAATCTCAAAACAATGGGGAAAAATTGTTGAGAAGTTTCTCAAAACTTAAGGTACTATATTGCTGAAACATGCTGTGAACATGCCCCACAAGTTTTGTTTGGCCACAATTTGATTAGTTCACTCTCAATCTTGAGGAAAAACCCTGATAAATCGACAATGCATAGAAGTGCAACACGTGCACCAGACCTCTCATGCATTTCGCCATGTTAACACAAGGAACATGACGTTGCAAGGTGTTAGAGTTAAACTTCAAACCATATTTATGCCAGGTTTCAGCAGTTTTTTCACAATAGTAAGTTTTGAGAATTTCTCTGTAACAATTATTTCAAACTTTGGGAGGAATTTATTTCCTGGATAACGTTAGAGTACACAATTAGTACACATAAGACACCTGGTCTAGAATGTGCTCAGCATTGTTGCAGAGAGTTGATTCTTGGTACTAGACAATGCCCTTGCCAGATTAATCATCCAACACATGCAGTGCAGGAATGTCATTGAAGTATTCATAATTGTTTTTGATTATTAAGTTGAGTAACTAACTGTTAGTCAACTTTGCCTTGCCCCCACAGCATAGCAGTACAATTCCTTACATGTGGGGGAGCTGGAACAATGTAAAAGCAACACATACTATGTAAAATAATTCAAGTAGTCAAAAGATGACAATTTCAGAGTTTTAAACAAATCCGAGTGAAGATAATTCTGCATGTTTTGATTCTACAGGTCATCCGTCATGCTTAGACATGACTCTGTCTATGGTGGAAGTGATACAGACCTATCCATGGCAGTGTATGGAATGCAAAACATGCTTCCATTGTGGAGACCCAACACATGAGGTATGGTAACACCAGACAGTCATCATGATACAGTGTGTTAGTCAGGATTGTACTGTAGAATGTCGCTATAATGAATACGATGGGATCCTCTAAAGAATGTTCAGCAATGTGGTTGTTCATAATATCATTTTTCAGCGGATGGCATGACACTTCAAGTGGCCAATATGGCTTCCATATTCATGTACTTTCCAAAGAGATTGCAGAAATGCTGAAGAGATTTTTATTTTATAAGACAAGCCTTTTTGACGTCCATATGCAGCTGAGAAGGATTGGCTCACCTAAATTGTTGTTATAAGATTTGAGGCTTTGCATGGTGGAGTATCGGTAACACCATGTGGTAATAACTACTGTTTGGAAGATATTTAGTTCTGAAAAGAACTTGTCCTGCTTATTATCAACTTTCGCTAAGTAGTTTTTGGTTCTGATAAGAACAGTCCTGCTTTAAGTTCCAAAGACAAGTTCTTTTAGAACTTAAAGCAGGACTGTTCTGATAAGAACAAAAAACTACTTAGCGAAAGTTGATAATAAGCAGGACAAGTTCTTTTCAGAACTAAATATCTTCCAAGCAGTAGTTATTAATTGTTGTATTATTAAGTTTGGAATCATTACTTGAAGGATCCTTTGTGAGCTGATTTAGTGTGTATATAACATAGTTTTGAGCTTGCAGAGATATGGTTTTCTTGTTTTCAGGACAAAATGATGTTCTGTGACATGTGTGACCGAGGCTATCATACCTTCTGTGTTGGCTTACAAGACATCCCTACAGGTAATAGACCGATGGACTTATTTCCTCACAAAGTCAACCAGTTACTTATTATCGTTTTACCCACTCTAGTGGCTGTCATCTCTATGAGGCAACTGTTGTGGAAAGTCTGTAGGTTAGCAACGAGCTCTAAGTGCGTAGTCACAATTAGCTGAAGGGATGCACCAGGAGTCAAGCTTTGTAAGCAAACAGCAGCTTGATATAGATAACTGTGAACCATCCATTAGGTTTTGCTGGTCCTAGAAGGGCAGCCAGAGTCCTGTTTGCACCTATCCTCATGGGCTAACTCACTCACTGACTAAGTGACTCACTGTCACATACGAAGCAGACTTGCTTAAGCCCAAACTTGTCACAAAAGATTGAAATATTACCCAGTAATGCCCACAATGAATGGGCTAAATCCGACCCATTGTGTTGGTCTCGTGGGTGAAAAGACTTCCAGTGAATAGCCATTCTGAATTGATTGAATAGAATTGTGTGCACTCTGGGACCAGCTTGACTAGGCTTGCCTTGTCTTGTGTGCACAAAGGTTGAACAACCCAGTATGTAATCCAGAATGTAACAACAGAAAACAGAGCCTCCACTAAACGGTGACATTCAAATCTTTCACCACTCAAGATGTGTCTTCATCACACACTTTATGACACCGCTACACTGTTGTTTCTACCTTTCACCATCCAGGTTTATGGGCGTGTGAGAGTTGCCAGATGAGGGACGTGCCAGCTGCACTTGCCCCTCATGTTCCCACCCCACCCCTGCCCCCTACCCCACCCCCAGCAGAGCCCAGCCTAGGCGAGGAACCCCCGTCCCCTCAACCAGCTGAGTCTACTCCGTCCAACAAGAAGAAGGGACGTAGATCAGCTACGCCAGTATCTGTGACCAAACAGTCCACTCCAGGGGGGAAGAGGTCCAGGACATCTACACCCACACCCAAGAGAGTCAAGAAGAAGTAGAAAGACATCAGACATGTGGCCGATACACTCACAGACTCAAAGTCTTCAAAGTGAAAGCTTAATAGTGTTAGCTCTGACAGTTCTTGAGATCAGTTAGTAAGCAGTACATTGGGGATGTTGACGATTACTTTACCGACATAAGCCGCATTCGCAATGGACTTAATTTTGTAAAAAGGTTACTGCGAGTGATTGTTATTATTCCATTGTGGTCAGTCTACTGTGCGTCTGCACTTGGATTGATTTCGGCCCACGGAAAGTCATTCATTGCATAAACGTCACCTTGCCATGCCCTCTCAGAATCTTTTAGGGCACCCAGCTATTGACCTTTTAACCTAACACTGGATGTGGTTGTCGAAAAACAATACTGCAGAACACAGCAGAAATACGGTAGAATCTCACAGGCAGTGTGTAAACCTATGCTTGTGAATTACAAAGGTTAATACAGGTGACCCACACGGCAGTCACGTGATCATAAAGTTTGCAAGGAACTTTTCAATGATGTACAACTAACAATGTAATTTTTTCGTAACCGGGTTGGCCCTGTAAAACTTACCGCTGCGGACCGTTAGACCTACAATCAACAGTCGACACTTGACATTTAAGGAAGTTTACCAGCGGTCTGCACTGGACTTCATTTGGTTAAGGCGACAACAGTCTCTGTTAGTTTTACCAAACAAGTCCCATGTGAACATTCAAGTAAAAAAAGAATTCATCTTTTGAAACCTAGTTTAAAAAAGTAAGCTTTCTGTAATCTATAGTTCTGCTATATAGCTTTGGTAGAATGTCTTCTGGGTATTTTAGGGGTATTATAGTTCATCGACGTGAACATGTTTCAGTGTTTTATGTTGTAGGTTAACTGAGGATGACTCAACTCCAAACAGGGCATTGTGATTTTTTTTAAAGTTCCATTTTCTTTTTTCCTGGGATGTGTATATCAAGATACTACTCAGCACTGAGCGAAGTAGTTGGGTGTAGCTAGTTTTGGTGGGGGTTGTGTAGTGTGAAATTTGGACTGAACGTAGTACGACCTCCTTGGTTGCATTGGGCATGCCCAAGTGGAAGTAATGACAGTGACAGTCATGTGTCAGGGTTAGAATCCTGACAAGGTAAACAAGACCAGATGTTGACAATGGGACTGCATTTTTTCTATTCAAGATTACTGTAATACCAAGTTTGGAGGTACACACATCTAATAAAAAAATATTCTATATGCATGTATTTTAAGAATGTTACAGCACTCTCGAATAGACCACTTACTAATGTTCCTCTGTAATATGCATGAGTAGACCTGTTGTGCTTTCATTGTCAGTGTATTGGAATGACAGAACCTGTCCTTTTGGGGGGTGCAATATGCAAGGGGATTGCAACCATGGATAGAAGTCAGAGACTGGCAAAAGCATACAGGCAACTTTCTGTATTGATGACATCAATGTGTGGGATCGTTGGCCGTTATCAGAGTGCTTTTCAAATTAATGCCATTTTAGCATCTTGGAGGCCATTGCACTTCTCATACTATACAGTCTGGTTTCCTGTCTAAATACGAGTTCCAGCTAGACATAGGACGTACTTCCACGGTATTGCAGGGTTTTATTTTGAACTCTCTTCCATGAAGGATCACGCATGACAAGTTTATACACAAGGAAATTTGTTATATGTTGTAGATCTTCTTGAATGTACATGTATTGTTGATGAGAGGGAAATAAACTAAACCAGAAACTGAAATACATGTATGCCAGAATCAATCATTGAGTTTAATGGCTCATTGCTTTAGATTCAACAGACACCCAGTTTGTATTACAACTACATGTATGAGCCTAACATATAATCCTTGATCCAAAATGAGTGAATAGTACTCAAGTCACAAACCTAATTTTCAAGTTCCTGAATTTGTTACAGAAGAAGTTTTAAAAATAATTATATGCACAGTGTACTGTACAATATACCACTTGTAGTTGTACCATAATGGTGGTGGATCGCTGGGATAGACATGAGTAAACCGTTAGTGCATTCATTACAACTCATTACAATTACAAAGAACACGCCCTTGAGAATAACTCGATACACCTGCACTGCATAAACCTTTTAAAAAGGGGTACAAAACTACTCCAACCAAAAATCTCCCCAACAGATTTCTAAGTTGCATTCCCACATTTTCAGTCTTTGTCTTTAATACCCTCTGTGCTTAAAAATCATTTAAGAATACTGTGTCTTAGAAAGCATCTTGAATATTAACAGTGTATCTGTGTCGTAAATGATGTGAAAATACTGGCTAATAGTTGAGGATAGGAAATAAGAAAAACAAAATACACTGCAAAAGGGAAAGGATTCAACATTTCAAGTGGTATTTTCTTATCTTTAACCCTAACCTCCCCAACTCCATCAAAATCCATGCCCCCATTTTGGTGGATTTTGGGGGACTTGGTCCTGCATGCCTGGTGTGACTACATATTGCTGGAGTATGATGGACTTGGGCCTGGAGGCCTAAAGCAAAGCATGCATTGGAAGCAGTGTGATTGATGGATTTTGGTGGACTTGGTCTAGTACTTAGTAAAGACAGTACGGAGTTAGGGTTAAAGATGCATTCCCCATGCTATTGTCAAGTTCCATCCCAAAATTATTAACAAACAAAAATTGAATTTGTTGAAGAGCACAGGGAATGCAGCTTTAACAACTGTGTAACTCTGTAGATTTCTTCAGTGAGGAATGGTGTCAATAATTGCATAGATATTGTACAAGTTTTATATGACCACTCCATTCAGACATGACAATTTAAGCATGTAACAAAGGAAAATGCTATATGTAATCATGGAATCCATTCACGAACCCATGGACACAAGGTGGGGTCTGTACAAGTGATGGGAATACATGTATAACTGTGTATCTAATGCTAGAAAGATTTCAAGCTGCCCCTGCCTCAACCATTCACAGTACACTACAAAGATTTCTGGATAATCTGCTAACATTTGATATTAAAAATAAACATGGTTATGCTCACACACATTGATAGGTTCAAATCCATTTTGAAATTTACATACAATAACTTTTTTGTTTATGGAAGCCCAATCCTGCTTCCATTGTAGAAAGTGGGCACAATTTTGCCACTCAATTTAGCAGTGGAGTAAAAATAATACCACACGTTTTTATATTGCATCATCAGTTGTAACCGTAATATAAAAATCAAGAGAGCATAAATTATAAGCACTAAGGTTGTACTACTCTCTATGGTATCCCACTTGACCCTGGTTCAAATCCACACCATGTGGTTGGGTTTTAACACCAGGCCCTGTGTGAATTCAGGGTTATGCTTCAGTGTATTACATTGCTACTCACATGGATAAAATGACATTCCTGTGTTTTCCTTTCATTGAAAGTATGAACATAATGTGGAATCGTCTTTAAGCACACGGCTAATCATGAATAAAAAAGTAAATACCATCGATTAGGGAAAAACAGTATGGTAGAGCAGTTACAAACATCTGATCTAAAAGCGGTTTGGTGATGGCCATTATCGGCGACCAGGCCCCTGACTGATTTTCAATCAGACTTTTAAAACTACTCTACCACACTATTGTTCTCATTCATGAATACCTTATTGGTCAAAAACTTTAAAAAGAAAGTCATAAAATTGACAAAATTCCGATGATACTTTTTCAAACAGTTTTAAGACATGTTCAGGCCACATCTATGGCCCGTGCCGCCAGCGTGGTTTGCTCGATATCTCATTCTCCTTATATGGAGATATATCAGTGGTTTCCAAGTACCCAGTTGTAGTAGGCACGTGCGGCAAGTACTGAATGCGTGTGGCGCAGAATTCAGCGCGTCTTGCGAACGATTTTTAACATCTCTGAACGGTGTTTAAACTGCAGTGTAAGACCACCCATGAGACGGGTTCTAGACCAATAGGACCAGGTAAACTTGAGAGGTATTAATACTTACAGTGAAACTCCATCTGATTTCATATTGTAATTTGCTTGTGAGGACAAAAAATAAATACGGACGGAACAGATTGGATCTGATTTCATATGGTCATTGATTTGATTGGACGGAATTTAAAAAAAATAATAACATTCGTTTCAATAGAAAGTTCACTTGCAGGCTACTTGTTCTGTTGGTGGAAGTGTATACATGTATATTCTACACGGTGCATTTGGTTTAAAAAATAAAGGTTTCTAAAAATATTTACAATTGCTTTGGGTCTCTTCACCAAAAGTTCTTATTGCTTTTAAAAATGTCATTAAGGATGGATTTAAAAATAGTACAATAGAGCAGGATATCTCTATATGTATTGCTGTCAAATGTCCAAAAGGACTCCTGGTTTTATATCTTGAATTTTAATCATTTAAGTTAAATACATAAATTTAACATCGTTTCATTCAGTCGAACCTTGAAATATGACTTTTCTCCGAAATGTACAAAACAGACAAATATAAAGTGATGACTACTATTCAAAACTCCTGTAAATATGTCTCTAAATTTGTACAAAAATATCCACAATACAAAAAATATCAACTGTACATGTAAATGTTTACTGAAATTGTATAAATCTTGTAAATACATAAGTCTTATTGTAATTACTTAATTTGGTCATGATCAAATGGACAGTTTTAGGGGTGCGGCGAGCTACCCCTCTTTGGCTAAAATAAAACAACTTCATCTTGAATTTGAATCATCAACAAAATATGAAACACATTGGCTCTATACAAAAACACTGCACCAAAATATCTTGCCTGCATAACTCCCACTTTCAGTAAAGTGTACATATTTTGCACCTTTTAATTTCATATTATCCTGAGGATTATTGATCTGATACTGAAAGCAATTTTTCTTCAATTCCATTTGGGATCTCAGCCAGGCCACTGGTAGCATTATGCTATACTTCACTTTCTCCATCTGCTTGAACCTTCCCAGGTAGACTTTGCCTAAACAAAAAATCGCAATAGTATAGTCAGAGAGGTGTCAATTAAGTGTTTTACATTGAACTAGGCACCAAAACTCAGGACGTAAAGGGCCAATGAAGTGAATTTTCTTAGGAACACATTTTGTGCAACTTTGTACTACTCTTAAATGTATGAAAACTATTTGACATCCCTTTTTGATTAATTTATTGAAAGTGCATTTCTTTAAACTTTTCAAATTTTCCATTTTTTTCCCGGACAACTGAGAGTGATGTTGCTGTGATGTCATTTCAGGAAGACACTATTCAGTAAGGTGTTTTCTGTTCAAATTGTGAACCCAAACATTTGTTCATTGAAAACATCTGTGAGAAAAGTTTGCTCATTGGTTTACTGCCATGTACTGACACAACAACGAATCACTAAAAAAAAAAAAAAAAATTATGACAGCGAAACATCTACAATTCTGCCAACTTCTGGTGCTGAAATAGCTGTAACATTGAGGTTTCTGCCTGAAATGACATCACACTTTTGCTCATGAATATTGAAATTTGCATTAGTGTAAAAAAAGAGGCACCAAAATACCCTTGAAAATGGCAAACCGAAAACTGAAAATAGGGCTAAATGGGACAAAAAGGTGCATTTGCAAAGATTGCATTAAACAAATTACATTGCATGGGCCCTGTAGAGTACTGGCATTTCAAATCAATACTATATAACTGACATGCAGATCCTTGTCATTTGATTGGTTGAACTCACATCACGTGACATTCATAATTGCTCCCATTCACGCCGGGGCTCAGAGGTCCCATTCGCACATGGTGAATGGGATTTACTATTCAACAGTTGGGATCATCCTTGTTCCATCCATGGCGCGGTATTTGTGTGCAAATGCATGCTGGTGTGCGCATTGAGCAAAGCGCGTATTGTTCCCAAGAGCCAGTAGCTACAGAGTTGGGTTCAAACATTTCGTGAAGGGGTGGTTTGGAAGAGAGAAATACATTTCCCACCAATTTTGTATTGAAATAGAAGTTCATTTTAACTGCAAATCAAACAACAAGGATCTATATGTCAGTTATATAAAACAAATATTGAGTGGCTTTAATTTGTGACATTGGAGTAATATTATCGCTCGGTAAAATCTGAACTTTTCTATTTCACGAGGCAAAAAAGTCCAGATTTTACCTTGAGATAATATTCCTCTAATTCCACTCTTAGCCACTCAATGTTTGTATACTATTCACTTCTAACACAAAAACATACATGCGTGGTCTGATTTGACTATGGACTCCGTGCACAAACAGTAGATGGCATTTTGTGACCATTTTCAAAAGCCCCAATGGGAGGGACACAATGATTGTGCATGTATGTGATATATAGTCTGAATTTCAACCCAGGAAATTAATTCTGGTTAAAATAGGAGGATTTTGAAACTAGATTTTCAAACTCTCAAATTTTAATGAAATTTTTGCGAAATGACTCCACAAGGATACAAATTCCAGCATGTATGCATGCATAAGTGCAAAGTATGCCCGGCTTATTCTTTTCTGAATGCGCACAAATCTGTAGTGTCTTTGCTTGAGCTGTCAGCAATGTGTTGGAATGTCCCTCCAAGTGGTCTCCCCCAACTCTCTCTTTGTAACCACGTCAATCCATACTATTGAGGACACTTATTGTTACCATCTTTTGTTCCCATTGTTTGGACAAACTTTTTTTGACGTGTCCCATAAGGTTTGTGCACCAGAACTACGCAAGGACTCAGTCGTTGGGGTTATTGCTATATCTTCGTTCCAAGTCAACCGTCATCAAGATAGCATATAATCCATCATAAATGTCAAAAATGGATGGAAGTGACTAATCTGGGAGAAAAGCTACACATAGAAGTAAATTGCAAATTGGTCTTACATTTCCTCATCTGATGTTGAGACAGGAGCAGCTTCCTTGTTGGACTCCTCAAACTTGACGTCCGACAACACATTGAGCTTGTTGTCTTGGGCAAACTTCAACATCCAAGATGGCATCTCACCATTCTTGGTCTTCTCACGATTCTGTTTCTTCTTGACACTGGCTGGAACCTCTGGCTTGTCAACCGTTAGAGTGTCTGTTGTAGGAACAGTGGACAAGGAGACATGCTTGAGTAAATTTAACACAATCTGTTCAGCCACTTCCAAACGACGTCTCTGAATGCATCAAGATATCAAGGATTTGTCTTGCACTGTAACCAATGTCATCATTTAACCCACCAATAGTCATCTGTGGCAACTATGGCCACAAAAATTATACCTTTGTAAGAATTGTGGTGATGTTTATTTCTAACCTAAGCTCTTTCTCCAGACTTAACATTTTGACAGAATGATGTGTAACCTCTAAGTGTTATAGATAAATTTGGAAATTCTAGTTTCCATTTTCTCTGAAATGCCAAATCTGAAAGTTCTTTACTATACAGTCTCATTCTGTGGGAGCAAGTCAAGTAAACTGCTTATTGGTCTCCAAGTTTAACAATTATTCATAAAAAGGCAGCTTATGAGTGTCAAATTGCTTGGTGTTTTGCAAACAGCACATTTAAGATGGTCAATGTTGCATGTAGAGTGAATATGGTTTCAATGTTGCAGCTGGGATGCATCTCATGGTCGGAAATTTGGGAACAAAATGTGACCACGGTTATGGCAAAGTTTAAGCCTTAACACACAAACAACATGTCACAATGGCTTCATTGTTACAAAATACAAAAGAAAAACAAACGAATTACAAATGATACAGCATTGATAACCGTAAAAGAAAATGTGAATAGGTTAACATGACTCCTATGTCAACGTGTGGATATCAATTTTCCATTAGGGTACCATCAATACATCTTACCAGGACCTATAACACAGAACTAAGCAAAATCATTCAGACATGTTTTGTGCATTGTAATGGGGACATGTAATCTCGGTTAGTTACGTTACAAAAAACGGACACTGGAAAAAATTACATGTCTTTGCATTTTCGCAAATGGTAAACAGCTGAAACAAATTGTTGTATTTCTATATTTGCTTACTAAAGGGCTTGTCACATTATATGCGATCTCATAGGAGACCTTACGGCGACCAAAAATATTTCATAAATTTAACAATCGCAGCGAGGACGCAAGAAAATGACAACTTTCTGTCTCAAAGAAGCTCAAGCTACGCTCATACTGTGCTCTTCCCGCGCTTACGATGCGCTCAACTCGCTCTCTATGCGCCCCTGTCAAGCTCAATTACTCGATCTAGTCGCTGCCGCTGCGCTGTCACTGCGCCCACACTACGCTCTGCCTGCTGTTATACGTCCTAGTAGCTCGCGTCGCGCTCTCTATTCGACCAAAATATGCTCATGTGACGTCACTTGCGCTGTATAAATACCACGACAAAACGGTCAATACACAGTCCAGTTTCAAAATTATTCTACAAGTTCATCGCAGTCGAGTTACTTTCTCATGGAGACTACATCGACTGCCTTGCGCCTATATGCTGCCTCAATACCACTTCAATGTCGCACGATTCACGCTCGCACAGCGCCCGAGATGCGTCATTACGGCGTCCTGGCCTGGGCGCAGAGGTGTCGCGATTGTTTTGAGCATGTTCAAAGACCTTAGCGCTCATCGGAGACCATTGAAGCGTCTGCACGCGGGGTGCAGGAAGAAAGAAGGCAATTGTCCTGTGTATTATTTTAAATGTTGTGGTCACGTGATGCCACTTTTCAGCAAACGGTTCTCTTCTGAACTGCATGTATATCTCTTGAAATGTGAGTGGTTTCAATAGCTGATATACACTGTTTAAAGTTGGCCAAATAACATGCAAATACTCTTAAATGTTTGGGTTGCCTGTTGGTTGCCTGTTGGCGTGACGTCATAGGGCACAGTGTCTATATTTTTCACAATTAATTAAAACAATCCTATTTCATAAATCCCTACACTGCCAGAGTAGGCGTGTATCCTAGGTTATTGAGTGATGAACTGAATTGAGTCCTGGTATTTTTTTTGCCTTCTATTGTTGCATTAGTTTCAATAAATAAGATTTTTCTTTTTCAGTATTATTTTAATGTAGGTCAAATCTAGAAAACACTTTAAAATCGTAGCCACAGAAAGTCTATTACGCATTACGGCTGAACAAGATTGACAGAAATACATGTTGCTTAGTCAATGGTGGGAATGGAAGAAGCTGAACATGTCCACATGTTTCGTAGAACAGTGTCTGTCTTGATGTGATACATAGAATGAGATGAATAAACCATGCATCCATCCTGGTCACCAATGGAACATAACAGGAACAAATGTTGACAAAACCATCATGAGTCTGTATGGTTGGACAAAATGACATGGGTACCAGACATGCAGGCACAACACATGCCCCTCAGTACGGATACGTCAACTGTATGTCACAAGGATTGACAGAGTTCAGTGTGTATACATATACGTTTCATCTCTACCATTATAAAACAGCACAGTATATGACAGTTATAGTACTGAAAGATTTGGGAAAATCAAATCCAGTGCGAGTGGAAAAAGTTAAATTTCAATCTTTCATACCTCCTCAAAAACATATCTCCTATAATAAGTGTCGGTAGTTCTTTAATGTTGGACGAGGTTTCAAAATTAAATACCAATGGGACATATGCGAAAAAAAAAATTTTATATCATCTTTGAAAAGGAAGTGCAAAACGTTGAAATCCAACCAAAAAGATTTTGTTTTTACATACAAATGTTAGTTGAGACCATGGTGCATATTTTTCAGAATTTATACAATAATGTGCATCAGGTATGTCGAGGTCAGAAAGATGTGGTGACGACATTCAAATTGAAAATAAGACAACTTCATGCGGGTTAATGATAGAATTGGACAGGAACTCTGTATCACACTCAAAACATAAAAAGAAACTTCCAAGACATGCATTTCAAATAATATGAAAAATGGAGGTTTGAAATATTTGGGTGATTTGGCACAGCGAAACACATGGCACAAATCACCTGACAGGAAAGCATATGTCAATGGCATGCAAGATTCAGTTGATGTCTGATCTGTTAAGGATTAGTACTGGGAAACAAGTTCATCAATGGCCAAGCATTCTTACCAGTCTTTGAAGGATAATTGTCCTCATCTTTGAGTTGCAAAACGAAGGGGAACAAAGCAATAAATTGCCAAAAATTCAAAAAAGAATTGATACTATTTGAGACAATGAAATACAAATAAAGAATGTTTAATTTCGCATGAAATTTATCACATCAAGAATATGTTGTGCCATATGATATAGCTATGTGTATGATTATCTTTGCAAGACCACAACAACATGTGTAGCATAAAAAATGTTTCAGAGTACAATTGTGTGACCAGGATAACAATTTGGATATAATTGATATCAGAAAATCATGTCATGCTTTGATAACCGACAGAATTTTTCTTCCAAATTTATATTCATTTTTATGGATTGTACAGAACACAATCTGAATGAATTCAAACTCAAGTCTCTCAGCAACAAACTTTGCTTGAAGAAAAAAACACCCAGTTTTATAACAAAGCTGAGATAGTTTGCAGGGCAACATATTAGATGAAGCATGGTGCTTTCAGCCAGTTTGCCGCTCAACATTTGCGAAGTAAGATTAACTCCTCAGCAGCTGTAGTTAGCTCCTAGAGGCACAGTGTGCTAAGACAATAAACCAGGCAGTATTTACCGTAATTTCCTGCGGATAAGACGCGTCTTATCTGACTTTTTAGACCACAAAAACATCGCTGCGCCTTATCTACAGGTGCGCCTTATCTGGTGTCGCTTGAGTTTTTCTTTGTGTGAAGAATTCTTTCAATGCCGCAATCAATAATGCAGTCAACCAAGGCTCAACTCTCCAGACATTGTGACCGTATTTTCATTCCAACAATGCCGCGATGTGTTGATCCCCCATGATCGTGCTTTCATTCCAACAATGCCGCAATGCATTGATCCCCCTTAGTGTTCGTGCTTTCGTTCCAACAATGCCGTCATACAAACGTTTTTCTTTGTGGCCGTTTTTTCATTCCGAAAATGCTGCAATCAGAATTACTTAAACGTTTGGAAATCGCATTCACTCAAGTTCTATTGTGTGAACGTTGAGGGTGTTTATTGTACAGGATATCTTCGAAGTCTGCTTTAGACTTTAGCCGTGTCCGCACTGGACCTTTTTTTTGGAAGGTTTTACCGAGACGATGGTAAAATGAGAAATGGTCAAATGTGACCACTGTCCGCACTTGGACTTTCGACACGGGAAAATTTACCCAGGCCGCGTGGGAGAAGTAACCGAGCTGTCACAGTGTCAGTATAATGACTCACCGTACACAGAAAACAAATTGCCGATCACATTTTCAGCCGCCGATACGCACAGTAATATTACACACGCCATTTGCATGCACAACATAATCGTTTACACGATATTATTTCATCTTGACACGCTAAATCTTGACGAAAAGGCCGATAATTCTGACGCATTTGTGATGCACGTCGTCGAAGCCATGCCGCTGTGCGATGTTCCGTGCGGCAGCAGTGCCATCAGTATTCGTTGGTTCCCATCGCATGCTTACAGAATCGAAGCTATGATGTGGGCCAGGAACCAGTGACTACGGCCTACGTACGGTACCAGACCATGATGTTCCGTGCATGTTCCGTGCAATTTGGATCGTAGAAAATAACATACATCGGTGGAGAAAGAGAATTTCCGCAAATTAATTCTCAGAACGTGATCTCTCTTCTCTGTGTATGTATTTGTCCGTTGAAATATATATTTTAACGAGATTTTACCGCTCGGACTTGATGATACACCGCAGCGTGTTTCTACAAAATGTTCGGCCACTGCACGTGCAGGTTCGTGCGGTCTCTGTATGCATAACAGGGCGCTCGGGCCGGATGTACGCTTTCCTGAGCCGCTTTTACCAACTCGCACTGTCCGCACTGGACTTATCGTCTCGGGAAAAGTGCTTCGTGGCTCTACATGTGACCAGCCATTGTGGTTACGGTTTAATTCATCCTCCGAATAGTGTGATCGTTCTAAGGCAACACAATGGCCCCTTTGTGGCGATGTACCGACACCGGGTGACGCCTGGTGTTCTTCTGTGTGCGGTCAAACATGCGTCTTATGCGGCGGTGCGCCTTATCTGTTGGCGTTTGAATTTTTTGTGTGTGATTTTAGGGACCTGCGCCTTATCCGCCGCGCGCCTTATCCGCAGGAAATTACGGTAGTGTAGTCAACTCACATTTGCTAGGACTGCCTGGCTTGGATGTAGAAGCTTCCTCGTCTTCTTCAACAATCTCAGCCAGGTCTGGCAACGGTAAGGTGTCTGCTCTCTCTAGACTGATCTGTGGGTTGCATTACACAACATTTAAGGTCATAGGATCATTTGCTTTTTGCACATTTTTTTTTTCTTTTGAAAATTCAGAAGTAAAATGCATAAAAACTAATCATTTGAAGGTTCAGCTCAGTGCCTACTACACATTTTAAGAAAACAGAGAAAACGTATACACAATTTTTGGGTTTAGTATTAGATATTAGAATGCATGTAAACGTTTTGAAACCACCTTCAACGATACCATTTAGGCAGAATTATTGACATGGCATTTGATACCAGTCCTATCTTCGATTTGAGCATAGTCTAGAGACTAGACGTTGTTATTGTTTGTACGTGATAACCTGCCGTGCCACCGCGATAACCGGCTGCCGCACGAGGGCGCTATCACGACCAACCAATATCACCGACGAACCCATCAGAACAACGTCTAGACCACTTGCTAAAATCTCCCCCTGAAAAATGGGGGAAATTAGTGCGCATGCGCGACTTCTGCAGTCAATTACGGTCCATTTTCAGTCCTACACATACTACACACAACAAAACAGCTGACCAGTGAAATTGCACAAAAATCTTGCTGCAGCTTTTATACTACTGGAAGAAATTTGAGAGCTTGAATTTTTTAATTTGCGCGCTGCATATATTAGGCCAAACAGGTGCGTGCGCATTACACAGCCAATAGCAAGTGGTCTAGACGTTGTTCTGACGGGTTCATAGGTGATATTGGTTGGTTGTGACAGCGCCCTCGCGCGGCGGCTGGTTATCGCGGCGGCGCAGTGGGTTATCGCGCACAAACAATAACAACGTCTAGCCTCTAGTCTTCTTTGAGCAAGGTATCTGTCATTAAATCGGTAGGTACTTTCGGGGTAATTACATGTGATCCTATAAGGGCTGGTTCATTAACTGTGAGAATGTGAATGTCACAAAATCAAAACGTCACAAAAAACCATTAAATTTTGCTCGATTGAAAATTGCGAATTCACAATGTTGACATTTGTGATTACATCATTTTCAGATGTATCTGATTCACAGGGTTACCATTGTAAAATTCCAAACTGCTTCAGAATTATCCATGATCAACCTGAGGTATGGAGTGCCATTTATGATAAAATGGCTTGCAATTTCATACATTGGACCTGATTAAAAAACTGCAATAGCTTTCTCCTTTTTTGCATATTAAAGCAGTCAAGGAACAAACCTTTATATATGCACAACATTTTCCATTTTGATTTTGTCCTTCATATTATAAAGCTAGGCTGCATGAAGTACTTTTGATCTTTGGGTCTATTTTCACATTCCAAGTGGTTTTAGCATGACTAAAAAAACGCTAAAACATGGTACTGGGGAGAGCTAAGTCAATCAAGATGTAATCTACTCTTCCTCTAAGGATCTGCATCCATACCATGGGAGGAGTTACACGTGGTTTGGGGGGTGCAGGCAGAGGCACTGTCCGTGATAATGATGCCTCACTGTCAACTTCTTCCTCTATAATGTTGTCGTTCCTGAAATAATAAAAAAAATATTGTTTAGCTTTTCACTTTTCATACGATATAATTTAACAGTTTAATTTAATTATTTTATCAAGTACCTTAACGATTAGCAAATAAATCTGCTAAGTTCAGCATAGCATATAAATATTGACTGAAATGACTCATGATACAGTAAAACTTTCCCCTGGGGTGATCCATGGGCCGTTCTGTTTTTCCCAGGTGAAGCCGAGGGAAATGGAACGCTCCATGGATCACCAAGGCAGACTAGTTTTACTACACCATGAGTTAAGGCAGTCACGCTGCTAAAAATAATTTTCTTACATTTCTTTATGTAAGAAAATATTCCTTATTTTAAGAACTTTTTTCTGGGGAGTGAGACAAAAAAGCATTTCTTAAAATAGCACTTTATTTCTAAGTTTAAGAATATTGTTTTCACTAATGCAATAATTGTTTTTAATGCCTCAACCACAGATTCTGCTTGATTTTTAGAGATAATTAATAATTCAACCAGAATGCGATGAAAACATTCTTTTATTTCAACATGAAATTAGTTGGAAATTACATGCACATTTCCACACTACCCCTCATGAAGTATGGAACCCAACTCTGTAGAGCATGGGGACGATATGCAAACACTCATAAGCATGTGCACTCAGACCTCCCATTGCTACATGTATGTTAGTTGCTGTATCAGTCATTTTTCAGAATGAAGCAGCAGTTGTTTAGTCTTTTTGGGTCGTGCACAGTAATGCAGTAAAAATAGTGAATGCCATGTGACTCGCTCTCGGCCAATCAAGATACAGAATCTGTGGGCAAGGTGTTATAAGCATATTTCACGGCATAAACATGCACATGGGGATGTTTATTGTCATTATTTGAAGCAAAGTTTGTTAATGATGGATCCATTACCAGCGCAAGAAAATCAGTTTCTTGTATTAACTACCCTGAATTAATAGACTTCAATATGGCAAATTTCAGGCTACAATTCTATTCACTTACATGACAGATGGCTGCTTCCTTAAAGTTCCTCCAAGCTATAATTACAAGGAAAACAGAACACTTCCTTGAAAACATCTGAAAATTAATGAGGCTTAAAAAGCCTGATAGAATTGTTACTCTAAACATCTCCTTTTTTAAAACTTTGAAAAAAGTTATTTTACACATGATTTATCGGTTTAAAGACTTTGTCTCCAACCCAGCATTTAACCACAACTTATATAAAAAAAATACAGTTATTTGAGGATTTGTACAATGTCTTAATCACAGGGTTCTAATCATGTCTGGTAGGTAAGACTATCTTACTGTGAGGGAGCCTGTCAGTGAGCCTCTTCCTGATTGGCCTTTCAGAATCTTGTTGAGTGCTTTCAGCTGGTGATAAAAAACACATACAATCAAGCATTAATTATCATACAAGAATGAGTATTGTTTGTTACTAGAATGATGGACTAGAAGAAACACCTAGCTATTAGGTGTGTATGGGACGGTATGCCAGCAATGCAGTGTGCTATATTCAATAACTGCGTGGTAATAACAAAGGTTTCTGAAGTTTTGAAACTAACAACGGAATCCATGAATGGAGCACATCACAGTTAACATGCAACACAAGCACGGATAGGAAAGGAGTGGGTTTGAAACACTGAATCAAAATAAACCATGGTATCTGTTAAGCCCCTGCAGTGCACTATTGTAAATGTAAATTACAAGTTTAACCAGAAAATTGGACATCTTTTCCAATATAAAATTGGGGCCAAGTTACACATTTAATTGCAACCGCTAGAATTCTGATACATTCTGAATGAAGTGGGTGATCACATACTATTAATTACTCATAGTCAACACAGGCCACTTTGGACACCCCAGATCAGTAACTGGACTGATTACTTTGTTTTGATCCTTACTTTTGTGAATCAAAGCAGTGCATTTTATGAGCTAAAACTCTGACAGTACAGTCTAGACAAACCTCATGTGAATACATGAATATACAAATACACTTTACAAAAGTACCGACGCACACTTATTTTAACAATCCAATGGCTACTTGTAACATGACTGACCTCTTCTGGATTCATGACGGTGATGTCACCCAGGATTTCTTTACGCCAGCTGCCTGTATTCCGCACCTTCAGTCGTGGTTTGTGTTTAGCAGCAGTGGCCAGGGATGCAATCTGACTCATACCAACTGGACGTAGATGATCCTTAGATGTGTCTTGTGCCTGATGTCAAACAGTGATTGAGAATATATGGCAAATATCACAAAGCTGAATATAAGTGTACCTATCTGACTGACTGACTGACTGACTTGCTGTCACTTGTGACGTGGCCTGGTTGTTGACTGGGGAAGACAGCGAAGCAGTGATATTGTCTATAGGACTACCCCGTAATGACCTAAATCCTGCCCACTAGGGGTCTGTATCGGAACCGGGTACCTGAGTACCCGACCGCTGATGTCAGGAACTGGTACCACATTATGGGATCGGTACCTGTAACCATCTTTACAAATTACATAGTAACTTCTTAGACAATTAAAAAAGAAAGATTTAGAACGCCATTTGTCGGAAATTTTTAAAATGAAAACCAGGTTACATGGAAATCCAAAACAGATTTCACGTTTATGTGCATGTTACCAAGCAACAGATGACGTTCACTAAAGTTGCAGTTTACATTGCAAAGCTATACATCCTTTCAGACAACTTCCGGGATTTAAATTTCGGGGTTGGGTTTCTTTTACAGGTACCCAGGTACCCGTGTTTTATTTCAATAGGGTACCCGGTTCCCGTACTAACCGTAAATGCACACCATAACTGCGTACAACAGTGGCATGAAAGACTCCCAGTGAATAGCTAGTCTGAATTGTTCAAATAGAATTTGGCACTTTGGGACCAGCTCTACTAGGCTTGTCTTGTCGTGTTTAAGAAGTACTTAAACATCTTATTTCATTTCTTTTGTTACATTTGGTAAAAAGACTTTCCATTGTCTACAAATGATATTATATGGCATCTATCAGTCTGCATAACTGCTGTCAGCAAAAGCCTTTGCCCCAAAATGGCATGTTAAATGTCTTCAGTATTTAAGAGGGCAATTTCTTCAATATGATAATGGTAGAGCCTCTTTGAAAATTCAGTGTTTTTTTTTTACTTTTTGAGAGTATTCTACCTCAAATCTGAGTTTCATTGAACAGTCTAGTAATCTCTTGTAGTTACATTGACACCCACTGCACTGACTGTGTTTATAATAACTTGCACTTATAATAACTTACTTGTCTTTATTTGAGTAAGCAATCAATATTGCCTTGAATTTAATCGATGAATCTTTGCTTACGTTTGGTAGTGTAGCATCAGCACCATCTAGTGATCCCATAGTATCTGTATTCCATGCTGGTTTGGGATTGTCGTTGGATAAGTCAGCAGTTGCATTGCTTTGGAAGTGAACCACACTGTTACGTTTGACCTCTTGGACATGTGATGCTGGGAACCAACCCTTCTCATCATTGATCTGACCCTGCCACCAATCGTCTTGCTGCAAGGCAAACATTACATCAAGAAAAACCTTCAAGTTTTGCAAAACCACCTCTGCCCAAAGAGTTAGCGCCCAGACTTCAAATTCCTTTGAGGCAATCATCTGTGGAGTATGGGTAACACTACAAATCCCTTCACAATTCTTTTGTGTGGTTAAGCTGAGGGCAAGCAGGTAGCTTTGGTCAAGCTTCACTGCTCACCACAGTGGCGTTTTTGTGTGCAGTGACCCTCTGTGTGACACAGTTTACACTTCATATCCCTTCACCTGAAATTGACCTGCAAGGTTTTAAAGGGTTTTACATTACTCTGAATATGATTTCCCACTAGGACGATTAATGCTTTATTCTAGGGAGAAATGTCAGTTCTTGCGCTGGCTGACACTAACAGATTCAATATTGGGTTTTGCCCTTTGACATTAACAGGCCCTCTACTGCTGAAAGTTGTTTCTGGTAGGTTGTACATTGCCTTAAAGAAGTTCATACATAGAAGACTATCAGAATTATGTGAGTACAAGAGATGTATGCGGCTCTAAAAAAAAGTTTGTTAAATCACTATTTAACAACTGAGCCGAGCGGCATTCTGGAACACAATTAAAGTATCTTTCCATGGAATCTGAATGATACAAATGCTAAGATAACTGGGAAAACCTAACTTATGTGACTTCCTTACTTTCTGTAGTATGGTGACCTCATCCCCCACATTCAGATCTAATTCCTGATCCTTGCTGCCTTTGTAAGCTGTCACCACAATGATCTTAGTCTTAGGAACTTTCTTCTTCTTCTTGTTCATCATCTTTTTCTTCAGCTGTTTCCTTTTGCGCTCCTGGGGAGTCAGACCAGAGTAATCTTCCACCTCCTTGACAAAGGAGAAAAAAACACAAATAAACCAGATGCTTGTTTTACAATTTGCTTGATGAAACTGGGAGTTACTCCAGTGAAGAAATCGCAGTTCAACCAAGGAAAGTATTTTCACATCAGGGAACTGATGAAATGTTTTCTTGTGAACTCTTGTGAACACTTGCATGAACAAATAGATACCATCCATTGTAGTACTGTACAAATTTACAGCAAGGATAATCTGTATACATGTACACATAACATATATTTATCCCACAAAGCTAATGAATAAATTTGCAGAACTGAAAGTGCAGCCCAACACACAGAAAATTCTCAGTGCTGTATTTAAAAATCTACATTAATATTAATATTAATTCAATTCAAACTCTTCATCTTTTGAACAACTGTATCATTTCTGGAGCTGTGTAAAAGAACTCTGTTGTAACGTTGAAAATGAGGTGAAAAACAAGACAGAAGCCTTCAGTGTACACCCAATGAATGCATCAACTTTTAATTTTTGCATGCTGAATCCATTTCTATTGCTTTTATTTATGACTAGAAAAGCTCCTTAACACTGAGTTTTTAATCTGCAGAATAAAACCTAAATAAGGGTGATGACAAGGATGAAGATCTGAAACTTAAAACCAAAGAGCAAGGAGACATGGTTCTGATGAAGTGCCCTTGCTTGACAGAAATTTTCAACTGTGACCACAACTGTGTCTTCTGCGTGCATGATGGACCATGCATTAAATGTTATCAGTAAAAACAGTCAGTCTAGTTAGCTTAAAGGAAAGCTGCTGACAGGATGGATCCTGCAATCTCCCTGATTCACAGCCTCACCTCCTCATCTGGCTCCTCTTCTTCTTCTGTGGTCTTGAGGCTGGACTGACTCATGGCCTGAAGGGGTAGAGGACTGAAGGATCCACCCCTGCCAACCACGCTCTGATAAAACACAACAGGAGAATCATTCAATCAATTAATACAATCAGTTAATAAATGAAATCAAAAGATGAGTAACTGAAACTACCTTCTCATGTTTGAGTACAAGTTCATTTCGATTTTTCACATACAGTCCAAACACATTTTCATGAGTTCGAGATTGAGTATGAGTAAGAGGTATGTAAAAATGAGTGCTATAACAGACCCCTAGCTAAAAAAAAAGTGTAGCCAAAGTTCCTTTACTTGTGATGTAGAAACAAGAATGAACAAGATGATATAATCTTGACTACAGGGTACTAGACCAAGATGGCCTCAGCTTGACAAGGTCACTGATCCAGAGCAATAGTGACTTACCACCCTGCTTGGTCTTCTCATCCGTGGGCTGCCATTCTGTCGATTTGTTCGCTCAGTTCTATCCTTGCCTTGCTCTGCCTACATCCAGATAAACAAAGTTAGCAGTTTGGAGTTAGCAGTTTGGAGTTAGCAGTTTGGAGTTAGCAGCTGGTCACAACGTTCATTTGCAAGGCATTGATATTTGTCATCTCTCATTAGTATGTCCAGACATCAACTGTGAACTTGTTACGCTAAACCAATATTGTAATTGTAGCCATTTCTGTAGTTTTGGTACATCAAAGAAATTTTGAAGTGGCAGTGAATTTATTTTCTTCTGTCTACTTAAATGATCAAAATGCTCAATAGACCACGTAAACCAAAGTCTCGCCAGTTCACATACACTCTTCACGTGAACGTCTTGGTACCAAAACACTGACCAGTCTAGTCACAGATTTCCGTCTTAAGAGTTTACCCAATTGTTATCTGAGCGATTACACAGAAGTTGAGGTCGAACATTTTCATTTAATTATAGACATCAATTCACAATATTTTCAGTGTTGTAAACTGTAATGCTTTCTTGTCTTTCACAAGGCCCAATTATTGCCCTTGACTGGATAAGCCCAGTCAGGACACACAATGAAAAAAAGGGGACGTTTTACATGTTGTAGATCCTATACATGGTACTCGGATGTACATTATCCTGTAAAATCTCGCAGGTTTTGAGGTCAACTTGCATGCTCTTTGAAGACAAATCTATTGTACTCACCCTTGAACTCTCAAAAATATTATTCAGAAACGTCTTTGCAGATTCAGCAAAGTTGGCGTCCTGCACAAGAAGGAACAAACAACAAATCTATGAAGTAACTCACAATATGTGGATTTTTGTGCACATTTGTTACAGATTTCTGTCAATGTGTGAAAAGATGTAAAACACATCGGATTTAAAACCTGAAATTCATTGCAGATCTGTCTACTATGCCCACAATATTATTAGTAGCTGCACACTATTCCTATCGTTCTTCACCAACTGCAGTCACTTTATATTTTCAAAAAGAAACTGAAAAGATTTTGTAACAATAAACCCCAAAAAGGTTTACATATGAATATTCAAATGAGTTGATTCTTGTTTCATATGTATGGATTTACAGGTTTCAGATTTACAATGGACAACATAAGCATGCAGTTATTGATATTCTGCCCAAAAAAAATCCTTGACAAATCTTGAATTTGTCGATGAACTTCAACATGCAGAGCTGTTTTTGTTTACTGCTAGATATTATGTTTTACATCTTCCTTATGTACGTTTATCTAAATCTGTACATTTTGTGAGATTTCAGAGTCCTAAGTTTTTTCTGAGTTAATTCCCTTGTTAATAAGTTTAAAGGGCTTAAAAGTATCTCTGTTTTAAAGGGAAAAAAAATTAAATAGTGGCTTTTGTTTGCATCGTTTTTTTTTTATTTTGGGGTTATTTTATAATTAAACTTTTTAATATTTCTTCATGCTTCTAATTATTGTATAGTGTCAGTCTTCTTCATGTTGTCTTGTTAGGTTTTTTTCAGTGACATTTAGCATGTAACCTTTAATTTACTATGTGTGAAATTGATTTTTTTTTTCTCACACGTTCCTGTAATTTGAATGCACACTATTTAGTCTCCTCAAGCTTCATAGCTTTTTTCCAGAGACCTCCACCACTTATTCTAATTAGTCACATTTATTAACTCTTGTCTGTAACCTTGTATTGAATTGCAAAATAAAACAAACAAAACTGAACTACAGCTTTTAAGCCTAGTAGTGACTAGGCTTGATTAATCCAGCCCAAACTGCCATATTGACTAACTCTGACTGGCCAACCTACCTCTGATTCAGCTGGTTTATCTGAGATTAACTAACTCTGACTGGCCAACCTACCTCTGATTCAGCTGGCTTATCTGAGATTGACTAACTCTGACTGGCCAACCTACCTCTGATTCAGCTGGTTTATCTGAGATTGACTAACTCTGACTGGCCAACCTACCTCTGATTCAGCTGGTTTATCTGGGATTGACTAACTCTGACTAGCCAACCTACCTCTGAATCGGCTGGTTTATCTGAGATTGACTAACTCTGACTGGCCAACCTATCTCTGATTCAGCTGGTTTATCTCAGATTGACTAACTCTGACTGGCCAACCTACCTCTGATTCAACTGGTTTATCTGAGATTGACTAACTCTGACTGGCCAACCTACCTCTGATTCAGCTGGTTTATCTTGGATTGACTAACTCTGACTGGCCAACCTGCCTCTGATTCAGCTGGTTTATCTGAGATTGACTAACTCTGACTGGCCAACCTACCTCTGATTCAGCTGGTTTATCTGGGATTGACTAACTATGACTGGCCAACCTACCTCTGATTCAGCTGGTTTATCTGAGATTGACTAACTCTGACTGGCCAACCTACTTCTGATTCAGCTGGTTTATCTGGGATTGACTAACTCTGACTGGCCAACCTACCTCTGATTCAGCTGGTTTATCTGAGATTGACTAACTCTGACTGGCCAACCTACCTCTGATTCAACTGGTTTATCTGGGATTGACTAACTCTGACTGGCCAACCTACTTCTGATTCAGCTGGTTTATCTGGGATTGACTAACTCTGACTGGCCAACCTACCTCTGATTCAGCTGGTTTATCTGAAATTGACTAACTCTGACTGGCCAACCTGCCTCTGATTCAGCTGGTTTATCTGAGATTGACTAACTCTGACTGGCCAACCTACTTCTGATTCAGCTGGTTTATCTGGGATTGACTAACTCTGACTGGCCAACCTACCTCTGATTCAGCTGGTTTATCTGAGATTGACTAACTCTGACTGGCCAACCTACCTCTGATTCAGCTGGTTTATCTGAGATTGACTAACTCTGACTGGCCAACCTACTTCTGATTCAGCTGGTTTATCTGGGATTGACTAACTCTGACTGGCCAACCTACCTCTGATTCAGCTGGTTTATCTGAGATTGACTAACTCTGACTGGCCAACCTACTTCTGATTCAGCTGGTTTATCTGGGATTGACTAACTCTGACTGGCCAACCTACCTCTGATTCAGCTGGTTTATCTGAGATTGACTAACTCTGACTGGCCAACCTGCCTCTGATTCAGCTGGTTTATCTGAGATTGACTAACTCTGACTGGCCAACCTACTTCTGATTCAGCTGGTTTATCTGGGATTGACTAACTCTGACTGGCCAACCTACCTCTGATTCAGCTGGTTTATCTGAGATTGACTAACTCTGACTGGCCAACCTACCTCTGATTCAGCTGGTTTATCTGAGATTGACTAACTCTGACTGGCCAACCTACTTCTGATTCAGCTGGTTTATCTGGGATTGACTAACTCTGACTGGCCAACCTACCTCTGATTCAGCTGGTTTATCTGAGATTGACTAACTCTGACTGGCCAACCTACCTCTGATTCAGCTGGTTTATCTGGGATTGACTAACTCTGACTGGCCAACCTACCTCTGATTCAGCTGGTTTATCTGTCTCCTGTTCATCAGCCAGCTCCTTCTCTGTCCCCAACTTGTTGAAGGCTTCAATGGCAATAGCAACAAACAGGCTGTAATATTGACAAAATACAACAGCAAATTAAACACATCCTGGCAACCTGTGACATTAAAAAGGCTGGATTTTGACATTGGTTTTATCTTATGAAATCAACGTAAAGATTGCTCTTCATACTAACATTTGGAAAATCTATCCTGTAGCACAGTTGATATCAGACTTCTAATATCAACATCATTACTATAGGCTTCTTCACCTGGTCCCAACAGGTAGGCAAGGCATACCATTCACAGTTACACCAGTGTATACAAGGGTCAGCTGTAGATTTTGGATTGTCTACACAGGTAGACCTTCTCGACCCTGGTCCTGTCCAGGGTTGGATTTTACCCGTGTAAAGTGCCGGACCCGTGTAGAAAAGGGTTCCCCAAATCTCCATTTTGACTGAGGTCCAACAGAGATTTTGTGTAGTGTGAAAGGCCCTTAAGGTTCAAGTGCAGTTCATGGAACACAATAGAACACATTATCAGGCACACAGTTGAAGACATATTTGCAAAAATGTCTAGTGACAACTTACTTCATGATGATCAGATTGATAAAGATGAAGCCCAGAATGAAGTACAAGCAGGCCCAGTCTGTGGTGGAAACCATCACCTGTGGAAGCAACGATATCAATCGTTAACATACCAATGGAATGCAATTTTGTTTCAATTCAATACATTCATTTCCATCAAGAGCAAAATATCAAATAACCATGAGAACAAGTAACAGGGATTTAAGTGGATTCTGACAAATTCAACTGACATCTGAGGTATAAAGGAAAATAATACACACACGTATGGTATCATATGTTTTTAAACATTTTAAAAAGGTGAAATCATGCAATTGCAGGCAGACCTTACTAAAAGATAAACAGACAATTTCAAAGAACTTAAAGATTGACGGACAAACCAATGAACAGGTACATGTACAAACAAATAAAAACAATCACCAAGTATGGACTGACAATCAATTGCAACAGGGGTCAATGACACATTCATGATTTTAAACCTGAACAGGATTAACAATGGTAGTTTCTAGTGGCTCCCAAAAGTTTTTTTTTAATGTAAACTTGTGTTTCACGGTCATAATCACCACTGAGACAATGTTTAAGATGAAAGTCATAAAGATTCAAGGAAATAAATAGATCATGGACTTACTGAGTTCATAATCTCATGCCAGTTACTTGTGGTGATTATCTGGAACACGATCAACAGGGAGCAACTGTTTGAAAAAGACAGAATTACGGCCAATCAGTTAGGTCTAGCCCAGGCTAGTAGAAAATAAACTGAACAAGATATACATTTTCTTGAAACGTAGTGGTTCCTGTACCCCTCCCCTACAAGTGTTGAAATCTAACATGTCAAATATGGGGATCTTATGATGATCTATGCTTGACACAAAAAATTAAGCATTTAAGTTCATGGTAAAGTTAAATATAAACTCGGTGTTAATGTACCTCAAAACTAAATTGAACATAATGCCTTGTACTTGCAATATGTTGCTTTTGATTCCGTTCTGAGATAAATTACAATGTTTTTCTTTGCAATCTTTCAATCCATTTTGCCACTGATCACTTACGCAACAGTTTCAAAGCCAAGCTTGCACTTGTAATCATAATGCCCAGAAGTGTAGTCTAGATTGGGTGTCTGGCTGTAAAACAACTCATACCCAACGATGGCATAAAAGAACCTGTCAAGAAAAAGACAAACACAAATACTCATAATCACATATTATCCCATATTATCCACAGAAGGGTGAAATAGATAGAAATGACAAAATGAAATGTCAAAATTGAATTGTGAAATCAACTTCTGCAAAAATGCATATACAATGGTTAACCTCATATACAATGCGCATTGCACGCTTGCGTGTAAAAGCTGCACGCGTCCTGCGTGCTCACGACTGTACTGAGAACTGTGCATCCGCTATCTCAGTGTGTAAGTCCAGCAGGAAAGCGTGCAGATATCAAGGGTTACACTGCACTGATTTACTTTATTTCTTGCATAGTAAGTTCAACCATTTATCTTTTTGACTTATTGGCGATATAACAAAACAATTGTTGACTGCTGTGATGTGGGATATGACGTATTTAACCCCCTCGGGGTGCATCACCTCGCGCTTAGCACTCGAGGCGAGAGGGGGTTGAAAACATAGTATCCTACATCACAGCAGTCAACAATTATTTACTGCGTAATGTTTAACACTTTGGTGCACAGATTATAAAGTTTCTTGTGCACCAAACGGTTAAAGTTTAATGGGGTACAACATGTGACCTTTATTAAGTTGTATAAAACTCTCAAATGTATTCTTTCTGGGCACTGAGATGGATCTAGGATTAACTATAGCCCAGATATTTAGGGTAATAACATCATATCAAATCATTTCGATCCTCCCATAAAAGAGCAGTGATACCTTTTCCATAGTATTAAGAAAAATCAAACCTCATTTGGCAATTGATTTCGGGCTACATGAGGTATTTGGTACTTGGGTATTTCTACTTTATCATTTTTAATATCAGAAAACTATTGGAATCGTTTGTTTCAAATATTTCATTTAATTATCCTTTTAAGCATTATTTTTTCAAATGTATGTTTTTGACTTTACCCATGCAGTTTGCAATGAGGTTTGGAGTGTGTGAATGTGTTTAAAATGCACAAGAGGAATTTTTTAGTCACTTACATGATGACAAACACAAGAACAATCAGATCAAACATGACCGGGAAGATTTTGGTGAAGAACAACACCACAACTTTCTTTGTCTGAAAGAAAATGACATGACAAGATGGAAATGAAATAACAGTCATACGATACTGCAGTGTGATGTCTTATAAACAATTTCCATGATTGCAAGTATGATAACATGAGACAATTTTGAAGAGAAGACAGCTATGATCATCTTTAGGACTTCAACTATAAAGCTCTACAAATTTGTAAAATAATGCAAAATAATGTTTTTTAGCTTTTAATTCTTGTTGTGTGAGTCCTGCGTAAAAGTTGTCTGTTTTCAAAAACATTGTTCAGGCCAAAATATTGCAGATACAAATGCTTGAAATTCTTCACCGAACAATGATGATGAATCTAAAAGCTATTACAAAAGATAGGTTTTGATGATAAGCAACCAACCTGAGCTGAGTTTAAGCCGACTCTGAAGGCTACCACCAAACCCCCAATTACATCAAAGACCTGCTGATGCTCGGTAACAAAGTACCACAGGATGTTGTTTATCAGTGCAATGAGAATCAGGAGAATATCCAAGACTTCTATCACCTCCTTGAGTATCTTCCAATCACTGAAGACACGTAGACAGGCCTCAACCTGACCACATCAAAACAACAAGCAAGGTAGCAGTGATATCGTTTTCAACAACAAAAATGTGTCCATGCTCGTCAACACATTTGCTTTTGTGCGGTAATCATGTGGTACAAATTTAACATATAAACACAGAATATTGAAAACACTGAGAATATGGGAAAACCAAAAATTTGAAATTAACAAACTTAACTGCCAGATTCCGATTTCTGTTACTTTTGAATTGGATTGAACTTGTTGCATTTATAAAGACTAATGTTACCCAATATCGTCCTGCAAAAAAATAAAGTCAATTGGAACAAATGATAACTCACCACAAACAGACCAATAATGACTGATTTGCCCATTGTGATGCCTAGTCTGCCAGCTTCAGATAATCCTCGCCATTCAAGACAGAAGAGAATGCTGTAATCAATGGGTAAATCAAATACAACAATCACACATGACTCCAACGGAGGATGCTACCTTGACATTCCAACCCCTATCCTGCTGGATTACATGCCATTCAAGCAACTCATTTCTCTTATCACTTCAAAGGCGTAGGATCAAATTAATCAAAAAGCTTAATTGGATTAAAGATCATACTGGCACTAAACAACCCGTAAAATTATTCCTAGCTTGCTGTTATTTAGAAGAAACCAAGAAATGTAGGTGATATCCAACGATTAGTCAATTGACTGATTTTTGGAAATAAAGAGTTGAAGAAAACGTGTTTCGTGATCAAAAGTTGTACATGGTTTTTCACTCTTTTCTTGAAAACTTCAACAGGTCAGGTTTTGAACATTCTTCTTTGGATTTTGAGTGGTGTTATTACGGAGAACAACAAAATCCATGAAAAGCAAATGATCCTATATGCTTTTAAAAGGTCCATGAAATGAATTTGACACTAAAAGTATCTTGTGCAAATATCCATTCCTTCAAACAGTATCAAAATAATGAGACATTGTTTGGTTTAGTATTTTTGTAAGTGCTCTTTTCCAACATTTCTCATGCTGTCCCTGACAAATGTGGGTGATGTTGCTGTGTTGTCACACAGCAAACAGCTCTAAATTTCATGACCCCCAATTGTGACTTTACTGAAAACATTTGTATCCGCTGTTTCCTAAATAACTGACTGTCATGAACTGAATAAACAAATGAGACACCGACATACAAAAACTTGATAAAAGCAAAAACTTAAAAAAACAAAAACAAGCTTACCAGTGAGCCACAATGAGAACCATGACAGCACGGGTAAACCATTCTGAGAAGATGACCTTCTTGGCAACTTCCTTGAGATGGTTCAACCACTTAGGGCGTGAGCTCTGTAAGGGTGGATGAGAGATAATACCCAGAGATCAGGGAACAGTGTCTGGAAAAGCCGTTCAGTACAGACCAAGTATTATACGATACCACATTTAGTTCAAATTTAGTAGCTCTGAAACGTACACAAGCCATTTAGCTTATACTGGAGAATAATAGTGTATGGTACAGGTATCTGAATTAGAAATTAGCAAAATCTTGGAGGGTAAAAGGTTTAAGATCAGTCACTTTCATGTAGCAAAAGTTGACTAATTTTGAAGATCATATATACATGTATTTGCAATGATCTAAAACATCGAAAACTAAATAACGGGAGTTTCAGCCATAAAAATAAAAGTTTAAAAGCAGCTCTGTCCCCTCTGCCAAAAGCCAGAAGCAAAACAAAGCCGTTGGTAGCATCTGCTACAAGCCAATTATGACAACATTGAGGTACGGCTCTACATTCAAACAACTGTTTTGTGCCATATTCGTACATTCGCATGCATTTCACACATTTCAATTGACGATTCGGTCTTGAATTGAAACATTTTAGGTCTATTGTCTGACGGCGCATCTGGTTTCAAAAATTTTAACAAAGGAGAGAGGCACAGGTTTTGCAAAGATGTCCTCCCTGGCTGAATTAATAAAATGTTGGGAAGCTTGAGAATTCAACAACAAACGTAGCCTACACACATCAAGTATGTTTAGCGCTGTGCACAACCAATATAGGCCAAGTAGCTTTGAGTTTTTGTGGGAGCACGAGAGCCATTACCATGATGTAAGCAAACAGGCAAATTCTGTTTGCTGCCCTCTTTGATACAATTTTCCATTCCGAGTAACCTCGTGCTTCACTTATTTCGCTGAATGTCACTTGTTTTCATAAATGTGGGAGAGAGATGCCCTTTTCCAGGGTTCAACCTTTACTTTTTTGTTCACTAGCCAGCCGGGCTACTGAAACAGCCTCTTAACTTGCCCATGGGCATTTTCACTAGCCCGCATTTTTTTTTAGCTCAAATACAAAATGGCACATTTTCAGGCTCAAATTTGAGGCAATTTTGTCAGTGTTTTTAACAAACAGATCTAATAATTTAACCTTTTAAAACAGTTGAAAATACTTGACAGAAACTGATGAGGTTTTCTTTCTGAATTTAATGATTTATTTCTTCCTGTTCATCTTTGCCGTATCCCAATATTTTTTGACTCCCCAGCCGGGCTACTTAAGAAATAGTTTGACTAGCCCGCCGCTGTTTTGACTAGCATTTGGCTAGCGGGCTACCGCTAATTTTGAATCCTGCATTTTCTTGGTAATGGCTTTAATAACAGACAAATACCCAAAGAAAAAACATTTTTATGATGAGGCAAAGTGACTGAGCTTAATATACACATTAGTCGGTCCTATCTGATAGCTAAACTCAAGACTGTCTCACCGTATCCTGCATTTCATCCATCTCAAATTCAAAGCTGAGTGCCTCGTTGAGTCTGATGGTCCATTCTAAGGAATCCACTACTTCATCTTGATTGCTGTCTAGATAGGAGATCAGCTGCATGTTCATCTCATCTGTGTTCTAATACAAGTATCAAAATGTATGCAAATTAGTGCTGCCATCCCGCCATCGGAAATACAAAAATCAAACACAACAGCAGTGTCTGGATTTGTAATGAAGTGTTAGCTTTCTCAGTTTTTTTTAATGCAATATCCTCACTAATGTTTGAACATCAACTCTAAAAAAAAAAAACAATAAAGGGCAAAACCTAATTTGAAAAAAAAAATAGTTATGAAATGTGGTATGCCAGTAAAGATATTCATACTCAGCACTAGTATATGCAAGTTTAGCTCAATGGGACCAATTCTTTTGCAATTAGGATCATTTATTTTCCATGCTTCTGTCCATCATGGGTATGGGGAGCTTTTCTATTCACTATTAAAGCACTGTATAGGAAAACACAAGGTATTTCAATGTCCTGTGTGATAAACTTGACATTTTGTGCAAATACTAAATCCACATTTTGTGAAATTGGTTTTAAACTTCATGAAGACATTTGTCTGCACACTCAAAAAGGCTTGGCATGAAAATTAATTGCAAAGGAATGATGTTGGCGTTTGGGTGGGGTGGCAATGATGATAAAGGGACAATAATATGGCAAAATCTACGAGGAACATTTAAATAGGCTGGATGCGGTTGACTCCGTTTATCATAGAATTAAGCATTCTTGACAAGCACAAAATGTGGATGTAAAGCGTTTGACAAAGGTCACTGTCTATAGTAGGAACTTGAAATAATAACCAATTCCAGTGTTTTTTTCATTTTAGTGAGTGTCTGCATTTCTGCATGCTGGAGGAGTTGAAGGTTAAGAAATGACTTTTCATTAAGGGATTTTTTTTAAAGTGATTCCATTGAACAAGACATACCTGTGGTTTGAGAATTTTGAAGAGCTTGATGAACTTCTCATCATATATGGGCAAGCTGCCTTTGCCTAACGGGTCCATCAGGTTCCATGCTTTGGCCAGCTCAGCACGTTCCCTTGATCGCTCCGTTTTCACATGCTTCTTGGCAAACTCCCTGGTTCGAAAAAAAGTAATATTATCATACATGAAAGCGACACTCTCAGTATGTAGCAAGATACCCATGGAACCTTTAATGTAGAAATTTCTAATTTTTATACAAAGGGTTTTGGTAGTACATTTTGTAAAAACTTCTGATACCAACCAATCTACCAATTGTTGTTTGTCAATCATCTGTTTACATAAACAAAACACCAGATGTTATCTCTAAAGATCCTTCCTAAGGCCCAGCACTATTGCAACTCACCAATAGCTGTCCACAATGATGGCCAGTAGAATGGCCGTCAGGAAGAACACTCCCACAAAGACAAAGATACCAAAGTACAAAAAACTCCAGTTGCTCTTGTTGAAGGCTGGAATCATGAATTCCTATTGAGTGCAAAACAAAAAGTACAAACGATTACACAGAAAAGCACGGATAAGTACAGATTTCCATAATAAGATAACAAAAACATAGATGTCACCTACATGTATAAACATTCCATAATGAGACAATTAATATGAAGAGATGTTACTTAGCAGACCTTAAAAGCATTTGACACTATACAGACACTCATTTCATATGCTGCTACATGTACATATACATGAGAGTTAATACAAAGCGACAGGAATAATAACAATATAAATTTTAAATTACACGAAGCTTGGAAGAAATTAGACTGTACTCACCGGAAAATTCTCTGTGGACAGTAGAACAAAGAGTCTCAAAGCTGTGATGCCAATGTTATCAAATGCACTGAAACCAAGACAGTACACGGTATAATCAGTGTGGACCTAATTTTGTGAGATCACATTTAAGTGGCATTCAGCCCATGCCTGCGCACTAAATGCATACATGTATATATTACTTTTTCACTTACTGCACTGCCACTCAATTTGACATAAAAATTAAGACGCAGACATTGTGCAGTCATGTAACTTACATGTAGGTCTTTAAGACACTACTTAAAGTTGTAAACATTGCTCCTCCAATCCACAACAATTTGATATTTGCTGGTCCCAGTGGATCATCCTAGCGTCCTCTTTGTACCTATCTCGCCATCTGACAGACTCACTCACCGAGTGTAACTTGTCGGGCAGTGCTATTGTGTAGGATTACCCCGTAATGCAATGAATGGGCTAAATCCGGCCCACTGTGTAGACCAGATGCTTGAAAAAAAATTCCAGTGAATGTTCTGATTCAGTTAAATAGAATTTGGTGTGCTCTTGGACACGCTTTACCAGGCTTGCCTAGTACTGCATGAGCTTGCAACTTGCCGCTGTCTTTGAAACAATTAGTCTTGTGATTTGACTTCAAGACTTTGACTATGAGAAAGCGATGGATTGCTACTTGTCACGTTTTGGAAAAACTGACTTTGGCGTGAATTGAGTGAAATTGACTTTGGTCTGATGAAAACCGAATTCCAATTCATATGGATAAATCCTTGAATGCTGCCTGTGTTCCATCTTTGGCAGAAATTCATTTGCTCTTCATTCTCACGCAGATCTGAATTGAAATCTCATCTTCTCTGCCAGACTTACCCAGTGTAAATGTTGAAGGTTGCATTATCTGTACAGTTGCTGGTGTCTGTGCTATTGCAGTCAATGAAGTGATATGACTCAGAGAAGAGATGCACACCCATGGCCGAAAACATGATAATAAATATTAAGATGATGAAGAAAGTCTACGGGGAAAGAAAACAAATGAAACCAAAAAAATACATAAATCAACTGGCTGTTTAAGTTCTCATATTTTTCAGCTGTGATATGGACTCTGTGCATTAGATGGTGCCTCAGCACCACTCATGAGAGCTCTAGTTGGACACACACTGCTCGCACCTATTGCTGTAAGTATGCAGAACTAATTTTATTCTGAGTGAGGACAAAGTAATAGTATCTTCACCTGAGCGTCAGATCCTTTCTGCAATGCATTTTATAGTCCCTGCCAGTCGCCTAGCTCCCAAATTTCTCTCTATAAGCGTTGAGGGGTACTTGTGCACAGAATCCATTGTTTTTTTGTAGTGGATGGAGATGTAGTAAAAATTTGCATGATCTAAGATGTTTAATATTCGGTTTGCCTTTCACTGACGTGATTTTCATAGACACTATACTCAGTGCGGTCCTAGGGCTTGCAAGCACTGAATATACAGTGTTTACAAAAGTCGCTTCAGTGAAGGGCAAACCCTAATATTAAATTTACATCTCTCTGATGCAAATAATTCCATCATAAAAATCACAAGGTGTGCTCTCAGCCAATCAAGAGAAAGAAGTTTGCGGTGCCCGCTAGGATTTGAACCAGAAATATCACACGGAGAATAAAAAACTAAGTGCACCACGTGATCACTCCCAAACCAAAATCTGATAACTCCTGGACTTCAGTTTGGGCTATAATCCTGAAGCCATATCTACATGTAATGCTTTTTTTGGGGGGGGGCAGCATACTTACTTTCATGAGATTGAATATGATGGAGCGGACGGTGTCAAAAATGTGACCCACATTCCTCCATTTGCATATGATGATGACTGCCCGCAGACATCGAAAAGGTTGGTAAAGGCGCTGTGGGTAGAAAACAGAGTTATATCCGGTCAAGACGTGTCTGAAGCTGCAACTCTTTACTGCTTGGTCAATTTAACTCACAATTTCTTAACTGAAATGGGGGGGGGGGGGGTAGGTGGGAGGGTGGTCAGTTGACAGTATGAGGTAATGAATCCTTTGGACAATCTGTCTAACGTCCCTTCTGAGAACCGACTTCAAAACTAGGACAAGTTTTCCAAAGGATCTGGTAAGGATTGGATGGTCCTTCTATAACCAATCCCTTGGCCACCATACCTAGAAGGTGCCAGGCAGTAATCAGTTCTCCTTTTTGCACAAGAAAAATGATGAGATTCTTATTCCTTGAGTATCCTTACCACGGAAATGTGTCCCTTATAAGGATGAATTCTTGAATGAAGATATCAATGAATGTACAGGTGGGAGTAAAGTTTTAGCTAACGTTCCTATTTTTACATTTTTTTTTATTACAACAAGAAAAGTCAGGTCCCGCACATAAGTGCTAATACATGTACTTTTGCAAGGCAGTGTACATGTTTACATGTTGACATGCTATAACATCACAATAAAGGCAGACAATGTTCCATACTTACAACTTGCAGAATTTCTTGAATGACCAGGATAATAAAATCTATGGCGAACATGCACAAGAATACAAACTCCCGTCTAAAAGAAAAAGAAATGGAAAATGGACAGACAAAATAGTAGTGTAGCATATAACACAAAAATGCATCTTGCAAATGTAATAAGACACTGTGTGTGCGTGCATATCAGTATCAGTGTGTGTGTTGTAAACATTGTTTCTTGGACATGTTGGAAAAGCTTTTAACATCATGACATCATTAGTTCTTACCTCATCCATTTGTTTTCATCAAGAGACCAAAAGACTCTCCAGGAGAGAAAGCCTATATGTACCAAGACATCCATGGTATACACCGCCAAGGAGACGATGGTCAGAACAAAGACTGCAGGAGATGTCCTGGAGGGAGACGGGGTACCAGATTATCATACTTGGTATAAAACTTTCAATTGGCATAGACAGCCATTTCGTATGGGTGGCCACCAGTTTGTATCTCAACTGTGGTTGGCAACACATTTGGGCAAAAATGAGGAATTTATGTCTTGAGATTTTCTTTAAAAAAAGGACTCTCCATACTCTCCATTAATTATGTGTCTAGTGTCTGTTGTTTATTAAGTGATTATATAATACATTTAGTTGCATAGCAGTCTTAAAACTACTTTTGACTTAGTCTTTCGTTTTTGAAATGACGGCCATCCATAGTTTGCCAACCACCCTTTAGTAAACAACTGTGGCTGTGAGGTAGACAAAGAAAAGTCAGTGCACTTGATGTGACAATTTTGCAAGTTAAAATTCTAAAAGTAGAATATTCCAAAACTTCCCCTTCCAAAACGAGGCCCTTTCTGAAAGATATGTTGACAAACAAACAAACTACATGTAAACTTTCTCAAACAGATTTGAATGTTATAAGACAAGCAAATTAATGGATATCATCAGCAAGGCTAAGACCTAGAGCTGGAAGAATTTTGGAGGCGTGTTTGACTCACGGTTGAATCGCTGGAGGTTCAAGGAAAGCCATGACCATGTGCAAGACTGCCGCTAACAGCACGATATAGGTGAAGAATCGATTGTTGAACACCTTGAAGCAGCTAAGGATGAGATAAACAAAGCTTTCAAGAAAAACATCTACAAGGAATAACACTAAACATCTTATATTTTTCTTCTGCAATTGTTAGCAATTAAAAGAAAACTGGAAATGCTGTTCCTGTGAAATACTAATTTTTGGATGTACATGTGTGCATGGTGGTTAAAAAAACATGTTTTTCACTGAGGCAAAAAACAAATAGTTCTGCTTCCGGTTACCCTACCTACCCTATTTTGACAGTGAAATGGCCAAAAAAGGGCTCTTTTAGACTTTTAGGGTTAAACAAATAAGGCCATTTCTGTGCTCTCTAAAAAGCTTAAATTTGTCCACATGTGGAGTATATCTTCTGTTCACACAAAAGGAAGGATTAGAGAAGCACTAATCAAGATACATGTAAATATTTTATATAACCTAAGCATCTCATTAGAGTTATACTACAAATTTATACTGATAACATCTGTCAGTAGCAGTGTTGTAGTACTCATACTCAAGAACTTTTTTTCGTACTCGTACTGGTACTTGTACTCATGGAAATGTACATGTACTCATTCTTGCAAGAAAACAATTCCCTGTACTCGTATTTGTGGCAAAGTACTCATACTCGTACTCATACTCATGGAAAAGTATTCATACTCGTGAAAAAGAACTTGTACTTGTGGAAAAGTACTCGTTCTCATGGAAAAGTACTCGACTACAACACCGTACACATTAATGTTATTTGTATTCATGTACAAAGTATTCACACATTGCAACTTGAACATAAATGAAATCATATATTATGTTAGAAAGAGTCAGAGACTTACAACTGTCCCTTCTTGGAGGCAAAGAATGCCCTTGCTTTGCCCCACTTGCCCCTTCCATTGATAGCATCATCAATGTGAGCAGCAGCCAACTTGAGCTCCCGGTGCTCACCGCACAGATCCGAGAAGGTTTGAGTCAAGGCATCGTGCTGTCAAGTAAAACAGTCAAGAGGGGTGTCAATTATAAAAGTTAACGTTTAAGCGCTGGTTTACAGTACAGTTGCTTTTGCGAATTCGTGCAAACACAAATTTGCCAGTGAGCAAATTTTGGGCTCACAATTTGAACAGAATGACATCAAAGCAACAATGCCCTCTGTTGTCTGGAAACGCATGGACAATTTTTAATGTTTAAAAGTAGGGAAGATTATTTTTCATTTGTCCATGAAACAATGTTTGTAGCAAATATCCATTCCTCTGAAAAAAAAAGATATGTAACAATTTTTGCAAAATGCACTTTTTTAAACATTTAAAACGTTTCATGCTTTTCCCGACATCTGAGGGCACTGTTACTGTAGTATCACTTTAGGCACACACTCTTCAGTTAGGAATTTTTTCCTAAAATTGTAGTTGACCCAAAATTCTGCTTATTGAATTTGAAAACATTTAATACAAGTACATGTACATGTATGCATAAAGTTTCCCCATTGACTTAATTTCGTACTGAAACAATGAATGAATCACTGAAAGCAGAAAAGTAACCACAGCAAAGCCCCAAAATTCTGGTGACTTTTATGCTTTTCAAAGCAGATGTAACACTGAAGTCTCTGCCTTTAATAATCAAGGTAATGCTCATGAATATGAAAATCTGCATTAGCATAAAAACCAAAAAGGGCGCCAAAATAACCTGATGATTAAAATAGTTAAATGGGACACAAGGTATATTTAAAAGACTGTTTAGAAAAATTCCATTACATGGGCCCTTGAAACATTCCTAGAAGAGGGAATCAGACGAAAGAGTACATAAACTGCGGCTCGATCCACATATACATGCATGGTGCCATGGGCGACACTGAAGTACTGTACTGTGTTCCACAATATTAAAGAATTCATCATTGGCATGCATAGGGGTGCCTGATAAGAGTGCACTGTACATAGGAACCGAATGAGCAAATATTGACATATTGGTGTCTCCATGGCTCCAAGTTTATATGTCTGTGCTTATGTCACTAGCGCAGAACAGGTTAACAATAATCAAGGTCCTACATACGTGTTAGTGGCAAATGAAACACAATAATCTACATGTAGTCTGCCATGTGTTTGTGTGAGCAGAGGCTAATGTGTAATGTCATTTAATTTGCCCATCAATTTTATTAGTGTTAAAAAGTACTGGCATAAATGTTATACAAGTTAAAAATTGTAAATTTTTGAAGCACATGTATATGTACGTGTATTAAAATGATATTACTGTAGTGTTCACCTTTGGCTATCATGGTTAATTTTCTTGTAGTATAAACAGAAGGACATGTTTGATAATATTGTATCTTGAGTGGACTAAAAACAGGGCCAAAAGCTTTCTTTTATACCTAGTGGCTGGGACATGCAATATTCAATGTAGCTGTTATTGCATCTGCTGAATTCGGGCGATTCACAATGTACCGCGCTGCGACCATCGACCATCTCCCACAATGCACAGGGAAAAATGAACTCTCAGTAGCAAACTCTTGGTTGCGCACAGCATTGTGGATCACCCAAATTAAGCAAGGTGCTGTAACTTAACCAAAAGAGGTGAAGGTAATTTCAAACTTTATAAAGTTGTTTTCCTGTTGAAAATATTAGACTAGACCTTTGTTTATTTTGACTTACCCCATCAACTGCAGGCACTAGACACAGTGCGGGTGTCAGGAGACCATACAGACCAAAGTTCTCCTGAGCTGAACGCTGCTTAAATGTTCTTATTCTGGATTTGGGAGGCTCTGGTTTCTTCCCAAGTGCCGCTTTCTGTCTCTCAACCGAGTCCACATCGTCCATCAACCGTGCTTTGCCATTGCTTGTGAGACTTCCCCTGGCAGCCTTCACCTGTATCACGGGATCAGACACCACGGCACTCTTGCGATTCCTGGGTTTCTTCTCCCATAGTGGGGAGGTGCTGCGATTCAGCACAGGTGAGGGAGTTCTGACCAGTATGGGAGAGTTACTCCTTGGGGAAGTTGGCGTCAGTGTACCGTCTACATCCCCTGGGGGTGTGTGAACGGTCCTTATTGGGGAACCCCTGCCAGTAAGACCTGTTATAGGTGAACTACTCCTAGGTCTGAACCTAGCACTATCCATGCTGGCATGGTCTCCACCACTGACGTTACTGTTTGAATGTACTACCGGTAGGACTCCATTGGGAGGAGCTGGTGGGGTACCTAAGCGTCTACCAACATCTGGAGGTTTCTCAATGGGCGATGCTTTAAGTAGAAGCTTGTTTTCTGGCTCCATTACCCCATCTGGTGACTGTTCCTCAATCTCTCTCTCCATCTCCACGATGAAGTTCCTATAGGCGGCAACGTCAGCATCCTCTCCTTCCTCTTTCTCATTATCCATCCTGCCATAGCCTGCCTCCTCATCCATACGTTCTCACTGGAAAAGCTATAACGCACAATGAATGTCCACGTACATACATGTACACAAATCACCTACATGTAGGGAGGGAAGCCACGCAAGGCCTCAATTCTGCATGAATAGAGAACTTCATGATGTCCATTGATTTTCACCCGAGTTCTGGACTCTATAAAAAATCACTTCTGTGACAAACGGATGCTTTGCAGTGCCATTCTTGATCATTGATACTGCCCATCACATTGGTTCATAGATGATGTGCTTCCCGTCGATTCCATGATCAATCTGTGGAAACACAAGTAACAATTATCAGATAAATTGGCAGATGATTTGGGAAAAGTTCAAATACTTAAAACAAGTACTGAGAGTGATAACAAAACATACAAACAGGAAAGCTACACTAATGAATAAAAATACTATCATCACTTTGGCTTTCAGCCTAAATGTGCCAACCTTAAAGGGCCCATTAGGTGAACTGCACAACTAACTGCAAATCACGCAGTACATGGATTCAGATGTATTGTACATGTACATGTAAGTATGTTACCATTAATTTGAAGGGGGTATTTGGGTACTATCATACAGTATGAAAATTGTTTATCAAAGCATTTTCTTTAAAAAAAACACACAAAAAAACAAGCGTTTTGCCAGCATACTTACAAATTTAGACAATGTTCGTGTATTACATGTAATTACCACAATATGTTATTTTAAAACTCCTAAAAAACTTAAGTCTTGTCATTCAATTACTCCGTGGGGAAAAGTCTCTTTTCTGTGATGCCTCATAAATAATGAAAAAATTAATACAGTCAAAATCTCTTCTATTAACTGGTGAAAAGTAAATTCAATTTCACTGGTTAAGACTGCAAAGAATTTACACAGAACAAATGGGAAAGTTTTGACACTTGATAATGCATAACACCTCTTCAATCATTGGCTATTGCATCTTAGCTAACTCCCATGTACGTACATGTACATGAACAACATCACAGATCCTTTTCTCAGACCAAATAGAGACTCTGTTGGTTTAATCAAGCCAGTTTCTAATCAAGTACGTGTACCTCAAACAAGCGCTAGAAAAGATACTGCAAACACCCACCCAATCAATATTATTTTCTGGCCATTTCTCCTTGCGCAAAGAGAAGGTGAACAAATATTGACCGAAACGGAAGGTGATCAGTATCGATTGGGTAGCTTTATTCTCCAGTGTAGCTTATAAATACACACTCAATTCTGCAGACCACAATTTCATACAATTTGAGCAATGACTGAGTTTTTGGGTGGGAAAACAATTTATAGGAATAAAATCCAAAAAATAAATGCCAAATCAATTCAAATATGGTATGTTAGACATGAAACATGCATGTAAGGCTCATAACATTTTTTCATGGACACTTACAAATTGAGTTAATGGAAGGAATTAAATTGCTTAAAATGTCAACTGAAAAAAAAAGCAAAAACAACTCAGATAAGTTGCAATTTTGGAGGATGAGAAATTGCCCAAACAAATTCTTGTCACCTGACTCTTTCAAGAAACACTCCCTCCCCTCCCACTTCCCCCCCCCCCCAAAAAAAAAACCCAACAAACCAGAGACAATCTTAAACAAAACCAGAAACCCACAAATTCTCTTGTCAGAAATATCCAGATTGAATTGAAATGACAGTCCCTCTAACTGTTGAAAAAGATACCAAAAACAAAGTTCATGTAGAAGATTCAAACAAATTTAACCTGCCATTTGTGACCAAGAAAAAAACAACAAATCCACACAGCTCTGATACTATTTGAACCCATTACTCCTTGTACCGTCCCAAAAAGAATACCCTGCTAGTTACTCCTTTTACTGCCCAAAACCATCCCAGCACTGAATGGTTTAGTGAAGTAAATAGTTAACTTAATACACAAATTTATGGGTATACTACATGTTCAGATGTATTTGCATACACAACCTACCTAACATTATACAGTTTAGATTTGAAACTGTATAGTACATGTAGGTAGGTCCAGAAAGTAAGCTCATAATAATTTGAACTTTAGAAAAGAAAGCATGTAGGAGTCTGACATTTACAATACTGGTCACAACATGTACAGGTGCATGACCAACTCAAAGAAGTCCATCCTTTATCGCTGTATTTAATGGCACATCTCTAAGAATCCTCCTATTCATGGCCTCAGTGCATAAACCATTCTATTCAGTGCCATGGAAACCAGCTAAGCCAACCTCAACCACCCCAAGCTTTTGATAATAGGGTCTGTTGGAGCGTAGAGAAAGGGTACATGGTCCAAGCTACATGTAGGACAATTGACACAATTGAGGGATAAAAGTTGAGGGTAAACAGGCATTAGCTTACACTGAGCCAAAGAATTCATTGTATGGTACATATATATACTGTAGCTATGTAGTTCAGCAATTTACAAACAGGATGCTGTATTCATGTAGATTAAACTTGTCATTGTATGGATCCCCAGCAGAAGAAACAGACATTGAAACTGACATTTTGCGTAGTTTATAAATAGAATGAAAAGAATAAAACTATCTTTGTCCATGATCCTAATCGCACCCATTCTATTAAGATTCTATTTATCCAGATTTATAAAGACTCTCTGAACAAATAAACCCCTAAAGAAGAGTGCTCCCTGTTTGCTGCTTTCCAAATCTGCAGCATTGCTAATGTTGCGAGAATTCTGACTTTCGGCGCGGTCCCTGGCTACATGGTTACAGGTTTATGGCTTGTATATTTTGTGACTGGCACCCTTGAACAAAGATGTTGACAAAATTGGGCTGGATCGGACAGCTCAGTTGGCGCAGCCCCTGAATGGCAATCCAGAGGCCACAGATTTAAATCCTTCTCTAGGCAATTCCTTTGTTCAACTTTATAATTAAGATTCTATTTAATGTAAACAGAATTCTGGGGTTTTTTTCTCGCAAAATCACAAAAGTAACCTTTTTACAAACAAAACCAGAAATCATGACACACACATGTAGCTACAGGTAACTGTATTTGGCAACCCAAATTAGAAAAGCCACATTCTAGGGTTTTAGTTCTGTGATTTTCAGGGGCACACTTCATTGGTTCTGTGGCAAATGATAAATTAAAACAAACAAACAAATCCAGACCTTTGCTTCTCTCTGGGGGTCAAACAAACCCTCTAAACCTACCCTAAATATTGGCCGGAAAATGACACATCCAAACTGTTGATATTTATTTGACCAAAAGAAAAGTAAGGGGCGATATTAAAGTTTCCTTTTCAGCAGTATTGATGCATACATGTACTTTGGGAAAAAAACTGTGACAGTTTTACATCAAAAATATATTTCCAATTGCTAGGCTCGACCGCTCGAGTTATTTAAATAAAAAGTAACAAATTATCTCCTGATTTAAAACCAGTCAAATGCAGAAATTGCCTATGGGGGATTGAGTAAATATTGACTTGCTATGGATGACAAGTGGCTGCCTGGCCAAAGTAAACAATTTCCAATCATTTTCTGCTACAAAACACGCACTGGTTTCTGCAATCGAATTTGATTGCTATCACATTGGGAGCTCCATGAAAGTTCAAAATGCAGTACTGTGCATCTTGTGCAAGTAACACCTCATGTGTTTCTCACGTTTATTATTTGTATGTTGAAGTCAGAATGTTAAAATGTGTTAAAGTTTTTAATCTTTCCCTGCTATTTAAAAGAAATTACTGATTGCGTGTACACAAGAAGCAAGGTGCTGGAATTAAAGGCTTTCTGGACTCATTACTGAAAAGAACAGTAGGCCTAAAACCTCTTGAACCAATGAAGCCTACCAGAAAATTAGTCCAAATTTATTAACATGCATACGAATGAATTCTATTTGAGATTTAGTTTTAAAAATGAGCTAAAAATTATTAGCAATAACTGATCACTGGGTACAGGATCCCGATACGGCAATGGATGGATTATGTACATTTTGTACACACAATTTCTGGCTTATTTTACACAGAACCTCATGAAAACAAAAATTGAAAACGGGTTTTGAAAAACTGTGCATTTATTCTTATTAAGGGTGGAGGGTTGTTTTCTCACAGGTCTGTTTCTGATGTTTTATGGTTGTATACTTGTGGTATGACACATCATGGAGGAATAAGGTGTTCTTATTCCTCCATGGATACACGTAGTAAAACATTTCCCTTTCATTGGTTGATGTCGCAACACATCAGGGAGGTTTAAGTAGTGATACACGACTACCAAACAAGTACACCTTCAACTGGCAATCGTAAGTGAGGTTGCTGGTGGTAGGACAGGACGCTGTATTAACGCAGTATTGTTAACGTTTCTCGATTGGAATCAAAACCTTCCTGAATTGTCCCATCTTTTCTACTGTTTAAATCATTGGCCTACTTTTCACATTGATATAAAATTAAAAACTGCACATTTAGTAGTTAGCCTAGTTGCTATTTTGCAATAGGCTGGTTCTGCCCTAACATTATCGTTTTGATTTTGTATTCAGGGGGCGGGATTCACTGCTGGCTACCTGCGACCATATCAAAAGTCCGAAGGACAATGGAGGGACCGGCAACCAGTCTACCAATGACCTGGATGGAAATCGCTGCTAGAGGGCGTACTGGCAACGCCAAAAGCTACATTTCCAAAGCAGCGATGATAGAGTTGATGCTATAGATTCCAACTATACCATTGAGTACGGTTAAGTTTAACCCTATCATTTCTGTGGCCAAAGGATTTCCAAAATATTTTGTCAACTTTTGAAAATGAAGCTAATTAGGCGTGTACAATAAAACAAATACAATGTTCATTTTTGTTTATTTTCTACTTTTTAAAAAATTTGTGCAAATTTACGGTTCCTTCGTGTTGGCTGATTTTGACTGCCTTGTCCTACATGTACTTCGTGTCGCGAGAAAGTCAAATCAGCCAACACGGTCCGGGGGGGGGGGGGGGGGGGGGGGGGGGCATGGGGGTCGGGATGTGTCCCTCCCCCCCCCCCCCCACCCCTTTTTAAAGTGGGGGATATCATATATCATTTGTCCCCCCCCCCCTTTTTTCATCATGGAATAAAAATTGTAGCCTACATTTGATTCTACAGCTCAGAATAGCTGATTGAATGACTCCTAACTTGAAAATCAAGTTTCAGTGATGATCTTTTGCTCAAACAAATTGGTTAAAGTGGTCAGAAATTTCCTCAGATCGCATCACAAAGAATCTAGAATCCAAAACTTGTCGGGGCCCTTAAGGGGAAAATACAACATTTGCAAACATCAAAAAATAAAACTACCAAATCATTTTGAAATACCTTGCTGGACTGTTAGTGAATGACAGTGTAAAGCATCCTGTAAATCATGGCACCTGGTATACTGTCATTTTCAAGAAAAGTGGTATTTTTGTATCAATTTCCAACGCTGGTCGGCCGACCAGCGTTGGAAAAACTGGCTTTTTTTCCTTCAAATACTGGCCCCAATTGACCATCGCACTTGTTTGCAATCGATTACACACCTATGAACGGGTACAAGCCAGCTAGACTGGTTCCCTGACCTTACAAATCCCCAATGTATGTAAACTGCTCTGTTTCTTCTTATATGGAGTCAGGGAACCAGACTACAGGAGAATGATTGTTTTTCTTGGTTTTATAGCATTTTCGAACCCAAAACCTCAAAAAAGTCAGTGTAACTATATTTGCTATATATTTCCAACCCCCCAATTCCATCCATTTCTGAAAATTACAGCAAAAGCAAATGATGTATATTCCCTTTAAGCGGGCCCCCATCCCCATACCGTTATGGCTTCGTGCTCGCATTAGTTCTGATCAAAGTATGGTCCCCCCCCCCCCCCCGATTGACGCCCTTGCCAACCCCTCATGATCATTCATTTCACACTTCCTCCCCTCAAGGCTCAACCATTATCTGTGGATATAAATCCTGCACATACATATGTGTAAACATACAAAGTCAAAGTCACAGTCATAATGACCTCTGAAGTTTGACAATGGTGATGACACAATTTACCACGTGACAAGCCGTTACTTCTAGAACTAGAAAGCACTCAGCGGGCACAAGCCTCCACCAAAGCTCAACAATTCCCCGCCATATTGTCAGTACATGTACGTGTACACCCAAAAGAAATACTTGCATAAATGGTGAAGAATCCTTTAAAAAAAATCCTGGAGTCAGACCCAAATACGGATCACTTCCAAAATCTGATCAATTTGTACTTGTACCAAGGACCACCCCTATACAAATTTTCACACAAATCCGTCCGTAACTTTCTGAGTTATCGTGTTAACAGACCAACCAACCAACCAACCAACCAACCAACAAATGCAGATGAAAACATTTCCCTCCTTGGCGGAGATAATTAGAAGGCACCCGTGTGCACGTGCGGAAACACCGGTGCCTTCTCAAGTTCTTTTATAAATTAAATAAATTAAATAAATTAAAATAAAATCTAAATTCTAATTCTAGAAGTACATGTATCATGCCATAATCCCATCGTCCCAAGCAAATTAATAAAATTTACAACATTTGCAAACATCAAAATACAAAACGACCAAATTATCATCATCATGACAGTCTCAAGCATTCTGTAAAATCATGGCACCTGATGCCTACTGACATTTTCAAGAAAAGTGGGGTTTTTTTATCAACAGTGCTGGTCTGCTGTACAGCATTGGAAAAAACCTGGCTTTTTCAAATACCGCTCCCAATTTATCGTATTTAGTTAGGCCTAGTCCACATTTTCTTTGCAATCGATTACAGCATAAAGTGATAAACAATATTTGCTATAAAATACTAACCCGCCCCCCCCCCTAAAAAAAAAACGAAACACACTACATCATGCTATTCCCTTTAAGGCCTACATAACCCACTACTTAGATCATGACAATAATTATATAGTCCGAGTAACTTGGACCAAACTTATCGCTTTATCACCAGACCACGTCCAAATGTTAAAAAAAGGTGATAAGTTGGGTACAAGTTACTCAGACTAGACAATATATACACCAAGTCAAGAGTTTGGTGTTCAACTTTAATATAATGTCAATGATGAGTAGGCACTATGACTATGACTATGAGCATGAGCCTAAATTTAAACATTGAATAAAGTTGGATCACATGCCTACCTCAGCACCTGTTTAGTTGTCAACCTTTGTGATTCTTGAGCTTTATTCTCCAAAGGCATGACAGGCTTTTCTTCTATTTCTAATCACGTCAGTATATTCCAGTAGGCAGTAACTCAGTCCGGGACATGATCATGCCGGTTTAGAGTGATACAAACGTACATGTATGCATTTAACGTGCAGCTGCTGGTTAAGCAGTACGCTCACACCACATAGCTTTTTGATTGATCTTTACCCATTGTCATTGATCACCGTCGCAACAAGTGCTCTCTACGTCAATACGTCACGTTGATGCACATGTGTACGTGTGTACAACACACCCCGCACTACGTATGCAGGATACATGCACACTGCACAAAATTGCATGCTTCGCTTCGACCGTACAGGCGGATTGCCGCCCTCTATTGATCAGATCAACGTTAGTTCCTAGCCGGTGCTAAATCAGGAATTTATAAAATACAAAAGATGTGTTGTTTACGCACAATACTCGTGAGCGTCGCCAGGATTTGTTTCTTACTGAGAGCAAAATCACAAGCAGGAATAAAAAAATAAACGCGTGTAATATCCTTTTGCACAGCAAGGGTCTATGATAATGTGAGCACATTCGGCGATTAAATATGCAAGTAGACTGCATCTTGACATCGAGATTCTATTATGACCATTCAGCGGGCGCCTTCTATATCAGGTCTTCGGTCAGGTGTTGTATATAGGCCCGTTGTTGTATTACAAAAACATGGCATCCAAATTTACCAATCAACATGCTGGCCACCAGATTTCGGAATGAAATGACGCCATTTCGACTCCGATTGGCTGGAGTGGCGCGCGGGGTAGCATAAATGTGCATGCTTAGACGTTGGACCGGAGAGAGAGGCCTCCCGGTGGGACAACGGGTGATACTCAGACTAACCGGGGGGAGGGGTGCTGGCCAGTGATGTAGTGCCTTGATGCTGGGCCTTGGCCTTAAGGCTGCCTTAAGGCTGGATTTTAGGGCCTTGGCCTTGGCCTCGAGGCTTGAGGGCAAAAGCCTTGGCCTTGGCCTTGGCCTTGAGGGATCAGTGCCTTGCAATTTTGAGTCAAGGCTCTTCAAGGCCCATAGATTTTTGCATTTTCCAGATAAATCTGTTTGAAATTTTGCTGTTTCCATTTTAATTGTGTTACCATGGAGGAGGCAAACACCCTATAGATTTGTGTTGGGCACACTTCCACTTTTATAGCATCACATTTTGTTACCATTGTAGTAGATTTGCTGCAACAATATTCTGTACACTTGTGGGGCTAATGAGACGATCACTTAAATTGTATACAATTATGGAATAGATCTGATTGGTTGTATATGTCTCCCTGATAAGTGCTAAACATTTGCATGTATCTGTTTTAGATAATGCTAATATTTCTGACCATGTTGGCCCATCAAATAAAAATTTCCCAAATCAGTTTCTTGGATCCCCCTTTTGTTACACTCGGGAGAATTGTGCGTCAATATATCGTTATTTTGTTTTAGTTAAACCATATTCATGAAGACCTGAACTTATACTTTAATAGATACAATGCAGTCATAAAACAGTGTATGCGAGCATGTTGATTGCAATTAAAGACAAGTTGTTCTTCTTAATGAGCGATTCGTGATGATGTGTCATGTGACTATAATTAGTTCTATATTAGTGGTCATTTTATAAAACAGAGCCTTGGCCTTGGCCTTAGCCTTGAGGGTTAAGCCTTGGCGTTGGCCTCGAGGCTTGAGGGTCAAAGCCTTGGCCTTGGCCTTGAGGGTCAAAGCCTTTGCTCCAACACTGGTGCTGGCAGGCCCGCCGTCAAGGGGGGGGGGGGGGGGGCTGGTGGGGCTCGCCCCTTGGCGAGCAATTAGCCCCCCAACGGCAAAACCCATACATGTGTATTTTTGAACTTCAAGGTAGTGGGCCCCCTAGTTGGTATACTTTGCCCCCCCCCCCCCAGAGCTGACGACGGGCATGGGTGCTGGATACCTAACCATCTAAATAATGCAAATCAAAATTAGGTTTTGCCCTTCAACGACGTATAAACACTGTACACTCAGTGTGTTACCTCCCGAGTGACTAAGCGGCAAAAAAAATCACTCTGGTGGGACTCCTGCTTTCTATTTTTAAGCTCACACTACCTAGTAGTAGGTACTACTAGGTATATGCTTAAAACTGTGTAATTAAAAGGCGGCCGCAGGTGAACTTATGAAGTGCGCTATTTATTGAGAGAAAAATGAGTACTTGAACAGCAGCAGCTTAAAATCGCTATTATAGTAAACCGAACAATAATTGCTCAGTATTATATTACGAACAATTTCCGTGGATCCCGCGATCGATTTTCTCTTGATGAATGAGAATGTTTTCGACTGACAAACTGGGTCATGCAATAAGGGGTGGACCGCCGTGCAAGTCAAAACGTTTAAATTAATGACACTTTTGGAAGGGAAGGCTTTCAACAGAAACATTGCTTTGCGTCGAGAAGGGTAAGATGTTTTTCACAGTTTTCTAAAAAAGTATGATGTGAGTTAAAATTAAAAGTTATAGTTATTAATGTCCGGCCTGCTTCAGATTTATTGTATTGTTGTTGCCTTGAATCGGCCAAAAGCAATTTGTTTTTGCCTATGGGGTCCATGGAGGACAATAGGGTCCCCCATTTGGAGATGTGTTCAAAACATATGGGAGGTCTTCCTAAAAAAGTACAAACAAAAGAGGGACAATAGGGGGTCCCCGATTGCAGGCAAATACACACTGGCGTGTTTATATAAACACAGCTTTACCAGGAACAAAGGGCAACAATAGGGACAATGGTACCCCACAAGTCGGTCTTTAGAAATCTCAGTACCCCATAGGTAAAACGCTGTGGAGTTTGAGATTTATACTATTTCAATAGGAACAAAGGAGAACAAAAGAAGGGAAGTCAAGTGGACAATAGTGGTATACCCATAAATACCCCAAAAACACGGTTGTGTGCGGGGGTTGGGTGGTTTTTTTTTTTGGGGGGGGGGGCCCAGCCCGAGATTTACGCCTCTTATATCTGGTTATGATAGTTATTCAAAGTTTTATATCCATTTTGTAAAACATGCAAAGTCTCAGAATCTCAGAATCTCAGAAAGTTGACTGGATATCGTCGCTAGGCATCATTATCCAGTCTCCTGTTTTTTTCCCGTCTATTTTGAATGTCTGTATAATGCTAACTGATCATGGCGCCCTACATGAACTTGTGACATGTTTTGAAGTCACTGGCTAAAATAACTAGACTGCGCAAAAAGAAGTTTCTTTTTCTTTGAACAGGGCGTCCAATGTCTAGCATGATTTTTGGCTTTTTCGCAATTTGCGAAAAAGCCTTTATTTTTGTTCTGATTCGGTTGAAACTTGGTATGTGGGTAGACCGGGATGTGTTATAGGTAAAAAATGAGGTGACGTCATGATGACGTCATCATGCGATTTTTATATGAATATTTGAATTTTTGGACCTTTTAGCAATATCTCACGAACGCAACATGCAAAATTCAAAATTCCTTTTTGTATTTCGTTTGTTAGGTGATAAGTATTTGCACAAAATTTTAAAAAGTGTGTGACGTCATCATGACGTCATCAAAAATGCGATTTTCCAAAACACATATAAGGAAAGGTCTGATCGTCATGAAACTTGGTGGGCAGGTAGATAATGGTACTAGTATGCTAGGTGCCGAAGTGACGTCAGGATGACGTCATCGGTCAAATTTTTATGATTTCTTTAATATTTATAATTTTATTTTGCTTCCAAAATTGCACACTTTCTTTCATTGGTTTGACTGTGAACTTGGTTCAAACCAAGACCACAATGACAAAATGTGCATTGAGAAGGGTTTTCAAGATGACGTCATCGCAGGACATGTGACGTCATGTGATAAAGCTATATTTTTGGAATTAAAAAAGTTCTACTAAGCATTGTGAACAACCTTTACCTGTATTTAAACACTCAAAAAAGTGACCGTAAAGGACAAACATAGCATAAACATTTATAAAATGCGAAAAAGCCCCGTGTTCTGTTTTCAAACAGACATACAGCTCTAGTTTCACGGTCATTATAATTAGTCGGTAAACCTGGGCTTAATAATGATAACAACAGGCCTCCGTAGCAAAGAAAGTGACAGACATGCGGCGCGTATGCATGGTATGGCCTTCGTCTCCGCGATCCGCGCTGCGTGCGGCCCGGACGTACGTACCTACGCACGGTACGTTCGCAGCCGTACCCGCCGCGGCCGGTTGTACATAAAATACATGTACAGTACATATATGCATACGACGCGATCGATCGCGAGTGATGTGAAGTGTGAGACTCGAGCGGAACCGTACCAAATTACATTAGTCACTAAATTGCCTTCAAATAGGTAAGTTCGGACATTTGGGTGATGGGGTTTTAAGTAAAGGAATAAACAGATCCTCCCAACTGACGGAAATTGGAATGTTGCTTACTAGCTGATCGAAATTCAGAACCAGGGATTGACAACATTTAGGACTGCGGCTGAGCAGGTTCTTGTCAAATTGGAAGTTCACACTTTTCGCCCCACTCGGTACCAGTTTACATGGGGCGAAGAGGCAACTACATTCTAGCACTATTCTATTTCTATGGTGGCCCCGCCGGAGTGCCATACATGCCATACAGTCGTTTTCCTAGTTCCGGACTTTTCCTAGTTCCGGATCGGGGAAAAGTTCCGTACTCGGACGTCAATTTATCTGCTGCCAAACATATTAATTGTCACCTCACCTTGTCATTTGAACCAAGAGAAATCCAGGAAGCTGTGTAAAGGTGAAACAAATTTACTCAAAATGTGTTTTTACTAGAGCACATTTTGGATGCATACGTCGTGCAGAACTAACTTGAAGCAGCCGGTCAAAACTGATTGTAGTGGCTGAAAGACAGCGGTACGTTATACACGTGACATCAACAACCATGACGTCGCATGAGCCTGCCAATGAAAGTGCAATACGCCATTATGAATATTTATTTTCTCATGAATATTTAGTTTATTTCAATGGATACTTCAAATACGTCCAAAGATTGATTATTGCAACAGCGATCGTGCGCGGCCTAGCGGTTAAGAGTCTCGTGTATCAAGCAAGCGTCAGAGGTTCAAATCCCGATGAAGTAACTGACTGATTAATAAATAGAAATTAAGGAAAGGAGAGGGTGAGAGTAGAGGAGGGAAAGTGGAGGAATAACCATAAAAGATGTAACTTTTGGCGCTAGAAAATCAATTGAAAAAAGTGACGTCCGAGTACGGAATTTTTTCCGTGCATTGCTTAATTAATTAAGATAGTGGATATTTTGCCGGAGGTAATGACGGCAAACTAATGTTTACTAAAGGTTTGCCGGCGGCAATCCATATCAACAGAGGGCGCTGTACTCTTTTAGATAGGGCTGAATTATAAGTTGTATTAAATTCCCACCAAATGTTGTGAAGCACGTTTGGTGTAGTGGTTAAGCAAAAGCTCTAGTGAGCGGGATGACTCGGGTTCGATCCCGACCCCGGCCACATTTTTAAGTGTTTTTTTCCCATCCCCAAATAAATAAGAATATTCTTCTTTTATTATTTTAACATGTCTCAAACATTTTATTGCAGAGTATTACATTTTCTTTTTCAGATTTGTGGCTCTGGAGGATTTTTTTTAAAAGGGAAATAAAGTCCGAAATTGTAAAAAGGTCTGAATCCCATCTTGTGAATATGAGGTTACAACGATAATATTGGCATGGAGCCAGACTAAAATTTGTCACCGTAAAATGTTTTTAAGTACAAAAAAACAGTAACTGCGCATGTTCAGTGCATATCCGGCAAACTAACGTTTACTAAAGGTTTGCCGTCTCCGGCAAAATATCCACTGCCATTAATTAAAGGAAAATGTTAATTTTTGTATGCTCCTTGATACACAAAGATCTTTTTGATGAAATCTTTAGATTAGTAGAGGAATTTTGGCCAGATTTCCGACTCGCACTTCGACATGTTATCGCAGGAGCTGCGAATCGACGATAAATTTTCTCCTCGGTACATCACTCGTACCGTATGATTTCGAATATTTTGTTTATACACTACAGTCGTATAAACTCTTCCATCGAATGCTTGTAATATTTGAACATTTGCCAACGAATGACCAGATTGCCTAGTTCCGGATGGCGCATGCACTTTCGACCCAACTACACGCGCGTTAATCAATTTTGTGTGATGTATTCTGTGCTGGGTCAAAGATTTTTGGTCCGTGCATGAGTTCGTGCCGTTGGGCTGCAGACAAAAGTTTCAAAATCATTTACATTTTTTCTCTTTTTAAAATTGGAAAAAATGTTGCAACCTGACGCCACTTCCACGATTGTGTACAAAGTCTATGGAGAGTCAAGAACATTTTCTAAGTATTTCCTAACAAAATTGGAAATATTTTTCAGTGCCAGATTCATGTCAGATTCTTTTTTTGCAACGAATAACCTTCATTGAGATGATATATGAAAAAAAAGTGGCGTCAGGTTGCAACATTCTTTCCTTAAAATTTGCTGGATTTCTTTTGAATGAACTATTTTTCGAAATGAAATAATAATTTATCAGAAAATATGCTTGATTCTGTTAGTTCTGGCTGAATAAATTGATTTTCTCGCATGATATTTTTTTTCGCGCGAAGCAGTTTTTGATCGATTCGGAACTGATTGAATCGATCCGGAACTAGGAAGAGTGACATCGGTACTTTTGACGTCGTAAAGTCAAAATATAAAGAGCTTAAATTTGGAAAATTATTTTGTAGTACATGTATCTCCATCACTCAAAGTAAACTTTTTAACCAATGTCACTTGAATTCGTGGAGTAGTTGAAAGGCGTTCGACACAGTGCCACACCAGAAACTCCTTCAGAAGATCGATCATTACAGCATCAGGGGCATTTTGATTAAAGCTACAGTCCATCATTTGCAGCTAAAAAGTAACTGACGTTATTATTGTTGAAAAACATACTTGGTTGAAAGATTGTAAGGGGACTAAACTCCCTGTGAAATTATTCTTTCTGGCAAGCTGTTATTTTGAAGAAATCAACGAAGGAAGGCCTTTCCAATGGTGCGTCAAAAGAAGCACCGTTGGAAATTTCTGTTAGTAGTTCGTTATTTTATTCGGCGGAGCACGCGCAAGTGTTGGCTCGCCGCACACGTTCTCGTGGTTGCTTTAATTTGTCGTTTCAGTGCGCGACATCGTGTAGCTGCAATCGGCTCAGTGAGAACGTGTCTCGGACGTTGAATCTGAATTCAGGCCCAATTCAAAACATGATTCAGCAACTTTTAATTTGAAATCGAAATCCTACAATGCTGTTTTTTTCCTCAAAATATACACCTGAAGCTGAGCTGATACTTCATCCGGTTAGTTGTTCAGCACCCTTCTTTAGATTTTGAGCATGCTTGTTGCTTCAAACGAACACAATGCACAAATTACAAATGATGGACTGTACCTTTAAACATTTTTTTCAATCACTATCTTTAACTTTATTTGAGATGATAGGCCTGTCGGCCTACAGGCCTGCCAACTCTCAAGCTCATTTGAGGTTATTCTCCCGTTCTCATGCCCACACAGAGTTTCTCATGCTTAAAAAAAGGCAAAAATTAAAATAAAATAAGATTGATATGATGATAAAAAACATATAGGAACACTCCCTTTAGGGGTCTTATAGTATGCTTTTACCATTTTATATGAAAAGTATTGGCAGAAAATGGGAGCTTTCTGTGTAAAAATAGTGCAATGTAGACAGCATTAACTCAACAACGTCCATTTACTCTGAAGCAGTTAAGATCAAAGAGGGATCTGCCCAAGCTTTGCTTGAATGCTGGTCAACATGCCTCATGGCCAAATTGCCCCCCCCCCCCCACCCCACCAACTCTCTAATATCCCGGAAATACCATAGAAAGGTATTTAAATGTAAAAGGTTGTCAAATTTTATTAACAAGTGCATTTCCTTTGAATGGAAAGAATTTAAGGCTTTTCTTTTTGTCAATTTTTTTTAATGTAAAAGATGTAATAAAAAGGTATTAGGATGTGAATTAGAGTTAAGCTATGTGAGTTATTGGTAATTGTCAATGAATATACTTATGTTTATTTTATCTTCCATGTGCAGGTCTCTTCATCAGAAAGTACTGATATGTTCTTGGAATGATTCGTAACATGGGTTGATGCCAAGTCATGGCCTGCTCATAAATGACAGAACTCAATTGATGACTTGTTCTAAAGATTTTGACAAGAAAGAAAAGAGTCAACAAAACTCATTGTAGAAATGGCTGGTAGACTCAATGGACCGCCAACTGGTCCACCCAGAGTCCCGTCAGACGACGAACTTGCTCGACTTTCTCGAGAAGAACTGGTGCGTAGGTTACGATGGACAGAGGGTGACCGTTTACGTAGGATAGCAGAGCACAGCAATATTATGAAAGATGTAAACCGACGCATGCAGGCTCTAAGAAATGATTCCCGGAGTGGTTCTACTGATGGTAACTCAAGGTTGCAGAGTGATAACCAGGAGCTGCGTGACCTCTGCTGTTTTCTGGACGATGACCGACAAAAGGGACGCAACCTGGCCGAGGAGTGGCAGCGATTCGGCCGGTACTCTGCTAGTGTGTTGCGGACTGAAGTTGTTGGCTACCAGGAGAAACTCAAAGAACTGGAATCGCAGCAGCAACAGCTATTGCAGGAAAACCTGGAACTGAAGGAGCTGTGTTTTCTGCTTGATAAAGAACGCCAGGCCAACAGAAGGAGTTCACTTTGTAGCCAGTGTAACACCACCCTGAATTTGGCTTCAAGAGCCCAGGGAGATGGGAGCTATGATAACGGTGTGGCAAGTCTTCCAGAGATGAGGCAGGAGATACCTTACTCCTCAAGAGGAAACCAAGGTAACAAAACATCACATCAATGAAATGAAGTAATCAATGAACACTGACCGATGTTCTGGTTTCATTTGAAGAGTTCAGTAAAATTATCAATGGGATAGTTTACATTGAAATATTGAATTGTTTTCAAATTGAAGAAGCCAAACAACCAAGTCATCCCTTTTCTTATTTACTTTAGATGATCAGAATACATACATTCGTCAGCTTGAAGACAGGGTACATGCGTTGGAGAAGGAGAAGCGACAGATGGGCCAGGTAATTCAAGTCAACTTATCTCATTCTCCCGTCAAAGAGGAAAATAATAATGCTGTGTGACCTTCACATTGTCTGGATATACAGCTTTCCCTTGCCGTTTACTGATTCATGCTGTCCTCACTGGACTTTTCGTCACAGGAAAATTGTCTTGGTTACTTTTACTGGGCAAAGTTTGGCAGCTGGACTTGGGCAAAGTAACTGAGAGGAAAGTGTCCCAGGCTGTTTGCACTGGACTTAAAATGGCAAAAATATTCGTTGTCTTGGTGAGTTTTATCCCCAAAAAGTTTCATTGCAGACTTGGCTTACAGCCGTGCCCATATTGGACTGTTTTTGTTAAAGCTCGCTGAGACGATGGGTACTTTTGCCCAGGGGAAAAAAATCTCTTTTCCCCGAGACTAAAGGTCCAGTGCGTACAGCGTGAGTCGGTAATACAACAAGGAAAAGCTGTACATCTGGGCATTGCGTGAAGGTCACACTACACAGTCACACTGCGCACACACTGTGCATGATTTCTTAGGCTGCATTTCAATCATTGCTTCACACACTGCACTCAATTTTCTGGGTTTTTTTTAACGCAATCGTAGATATTATGGAAACTATTAGACGTTTTTGTGAAAGTCATCGTACACAATGTATGTAGATATTATGAACACCATTAGATGTATTAATGTACTCCATAACAAGTTAGTATATGTTGGCAAACAACGTTCCATAATTTCATACGATATGACTATCGAGTACATAGGATGATGTAGCATTTGCTAGGCTTTTTCTATGGCACCAGCTTACTAGGCTTGCCGTGTCTTTTTTTATGATAAATATATACATGCACATAGAGTTAGATTGATGGATTGGTACTTTGTATTTTTGTTGTCTAGGCCTCACATGGAGTTCAGCAGTATGCACCTGGACTCCAAAATGGAGAGCCACAGCCAGGGAAGCCCAAGGTCCCTCATAAACCAGACTCAATGGCCCATGCACTCAAGGTATGGCTTACACACTAACAACCCTATTATAGACGCAGTTCATTTTGGTTTCAAGTTGGGTCATTGTGTATGCTCTGTCATTTTAATACACAATGACTGTAAACCCTGTCAAGGATATTTTCACAAAATATTTCAGTTACCAGACTTTCCTATGTTCAGAAGAGATATGAATGGATGCCATTTTATGATCACTCTTGGTTGTCACTCATCCCATTTGTCATTGGTGATCTCCAGAACAAGTTGATCCTTCTTCATTCTAAGGTCAATATACATGTAATAAAAACTGAATGCGTGGAAATCAAATGATCCTGTCATCAGATACTGCCAGGATTTGGAAAAAAAGGATTACAGCAGTGAACTTCTAATAATTTCCCATTCCCTGGTGGCATTCATCGTTTGTTAGCTGTTTCGGTGTACACACCGAAACAGCTCTTGTTTCTGTTATTTTTTTTTTTCTCTTTTGTTTTTCAGACTTTTTTCTCATAAGATAACACGTGTTTTCGTTCTACAAGTCACTTTTGGCTTTTTTTCAAATCCGATCGACTTCAAACCTGGCACACACTTAGACCACCATCTGAAGATGTGCGCTGAAACTTTTCGTCATGCTGACGTCATCACATGATTTATTATAGAATTTCGAATATTTAATTTTTCCCATAGACTTTGTACACAGAAATTAAAAAAAAAAGTCAATTTTCAGAGGGCATTTTCGACACTTTGCCAGTAATTCATTTACACCAATCTTTGTCCAAGCAATGACCCTAATTCAAACAACATTGTGTCATGATGACGTCATCCGGTGTTTATTTATAGGCAATTAAATTGTGACATTTTTAATATTTAAAAATGTATAAGAAATCAACCGTACGCGTCCGCAGCATTCTGTTGCCGGCAAGTGGTAGAGTAGGTTGAGGTCTTTATTTCATTCAGTGTGCGTAAAATCACGTGACCCTTGCTTCCGGTCGAAAAAGGCCAAAACCGGAAGTGGCTTATTAGATATGAAAGTGGTAATAGATATGAACTTGCTTTTAACGGTGTTAGTCTCTTGGCTGATAGTTTTCTTCAAATCATCTACCGATGACGTCATGCAATCTTCGAGCGCCCTCTAGCGACAGGTTGAAAATTTGCAAAAATGTATTTTGAATAGATGTCTGTGGCGAAGTTTGTCGGAATCGCCTAAATATTGGTGTATATGATGACCTTGACCCACTTAAGACGTGTGCGAAGTTTAAGGTTTATGACGTCATCAGACCGGAAGTTATAATGAAAAGACCCTTTTTCCTTAGAAAATTCCTGAAAAATAAACCATGGCAGTTTTTATATTAGTTTTTACTTTAATTGTTTATTTAAGGGTAGGTCTAAAATATTTCAAAGCTTCGAGGCAATAAGCAAACTCGGACATGCCCTGCGTATGCTTAAAACTTCAGGTTGACAATAACTCTGCTTTAAAACATGCACAGGACGTGTATGTACATGTACATGTACATGCACGTACGTTGTACATATCGTATGTCAGTCAGCCCGCGCGCAGCGCACGTGTTGCTGAGGTCAAATCCTGTCCACAGTGACCGTTTTAGCCGATTTCCGGCTAACTTTGACAGATTTTATGTTCATGCATAGTCAGGGACGTATTATTAATAAAAACAAATCATAATGCGGAAAAGCCCTACCTTCTGTTGCAAACAGAATTTTTGCAAAATTTCGTAAAATGTGTGACGTCATCATGACGTCATCAAAAACGTGATTTTTTTTTTGGATTTACATATCAGGGTATGTCCGATCGTTATGAAACATGGTGGGTAGGTAGGTATAGATAAAAGCATTCAAAATCTGAAGTGACGTCATCATGACGTCATCATCTGATTTTTTATGAATTTTTCAAATTTTAATATTTTCTTCAAATTTTCGACCGATCGACCTCAGAGAACCTGATGTCCGATTGGGTTCAATGTCGGTATGCAGATATTCCAGGAAGTGTTATAGACAAAAATTGCAGTGACGTGACGATGACGTCATCATGTGTTTTATATGAATTATTCAATTTTTGGACCTTTTACTCATATCTCATCAATGGAACGAGGTTAATTCAAATTCTTTTTTGCAAAAGGTTTATTAGGTCGTAGATAGATACAGAAAAATTCAAAAAATGTGTGCCGTCATCATGACGTCATGAAAAAATGTTGTTTTTTTACATAGCATAGACACTTTTTGTATAGAATACGCATGTACATGTTCATTCGTCCTGGATGAAACTCCTTTACGGCAGTCATTAATAAAACGGTCGAAACAGCTCAGTGTTTGTCCACAAACACATTTCTAGTTATTCATTTGTGTTTGTTTTACTTAAACATGCGGGTACTGGCATTCCAAGCATTACATACTCAGTCTGTTAAAATATTTCTTCGAATGGGTTTTGCTGCAAACAATTGTTTAGATATCTCCTAGTGTTCCCTATTGTCATTTGGACTGTTTGTACAAGTGTACTTATTCAGGTAGATAGACATGCAGTTTACAGGATCAAAACATTGTAACACCTTTCTTTCACTCAAGAGCAGCAGACCTGTTTTGAAGTGTACCCTGAAATGTTATCTGTTTAATTCAGTGTGATCTGCCTATGAACTTAACCGGATGAAATATGGTCAGTTGTAAAGCTTTTCCTGTATTGTTTTTGCCTTTTTAGGTTCTGGAAGTGCATGATAAACTTGATTATGGGACACCAAGTGGTAGTGACACAGAGCACATGAATGACAATCACAAAGCTATTGTCAGAGAAATGTGCAATGTAAGTAGGCATTATACATTACAAGCATGACAGATAAACTAATCACTCTTATGGTCACATTGTCTCAGTAATACTCCTCATTTTTTGACTGATTGGACACTCAGGCAGACACATGAAGTGTGTGTACAGTGTTATAATTGTGTGGGTTTTCCCCACAATATTTAGACTGACATTTGATACCTATTCTGAAAACAGTGTTTATTCATAATTTCATCATACATTTAGGCCTACAAACTGCATGTACGTTATCCTCCTTGGAAATTAGAGATTGTAGTTTTCTTTTCTCCCAAATACATACATTGATCTAAGGAATCCGCAATGTTTATTTTTGAAAGCCTGAGAGGCTGTTTAATATTTCGAGACCTACCTACTGCTTTCCAGTTTTTTTTATGTTTGATGAACACTATCATTGCTGTGTACTGACTGTGTTGCAACTTTTCTTTGACCAACAATTAAGGCACCCATTAAAGTACAAAATACCATATCACAGAAATACTACTTACAACTGCAAAGTGCGAGTGAAGTATGATACAGTTGGTTAAGAAATCCTTTCAAAATTGTAGTTCTGTTTATTAAACATTTGTAAATTCCAAAAGACAGTTTACCCATTCCTATTGGTCGAGAGCCCGTCACGTGGCCGGTTTTAAACGGTTGATAAAGACATTGCTGGCCGGTCTCAAACACTTTTTCAGTGTCACATGAAATTTGCACCCCAAGAACTCGGTGCCAGCACTGTTTTTATTGGTTGAATGCGCTATAGAGAAAATACTACCAGTGACTCAGTATTTCATAGTCCTAAATTCAGACTACACCGGTACATCTGCGTTGTGCGCCACATCATGCGCGCGTCAATCTCCATATAAGGAGTTGTTTACCAGAGGGCCGTACCATTGTATAGCTAGAGGGATGTTTTGTTGATTGAAATCGTTAGAAATTTATAATTTTTGACTTGTTTTGACTTATGGACCGAAAAGTTTTGATTTTTGTGACCGAAAAGGTATTTATGAATGGGAATAAATATGTCCTTGGTCAGTATTAAACACTTTGTTTAAGACCAGTTGGAATCTGGATGCTGATAATTACCCTCGCATTCGGCTCGGGTAATCATCAGCATTCCAGACTCCAACCGGTCTTAAACAGAGTGTTTAACACTTTCCAAGCACACATATATTCCCTTACTGACAAATTTCTTGAACCGCTTAAAGATCTACAATAAACCATCACAACAAAGTGTTGTACTCCGTACACAACTCCAGTTTTGCTATCAGCTTGGCTAATTCTGTCTAACTCTCATTTTGTCAAAGCAAGCAGGTCATGCATGTTTTCAAGTATTGTAACTTTTGAAAGCTTGTGCAAAAGCATTTCTCTATTTCAATAGTTGGCAGCGTATAGACTTTGTAATAGTCATAAGGGTCAAACCATGTCACAAGCCCCCAGGTAGTCCTGATATTGCGTGTGCATGTGCTTTTCAGATACTTGTGTGTAAAAAGGGGGATTGAAATTGACTTCACTGCCATTGTATTGACGGAAATGCTGTCTGGATATTTCACAAACAAGAGGTTAAAGAAACCCAATTAATCATTTATATCAAGTTATTGCAAAGGTAGAGGATTTGCATGGATGACCCACGCCAATCGTTTACTTTTTTGATAACTGATTTCATAGTTAAAAATCATGAGCATCGTACAGAGCACATTATAAAATTCTCTCTTTTGAAGTGGAGATTTACACATTGTACCTCTTTGATGGTGTACAGGACTTCAGCTAGCATTTGAAAATGGGTGTCCATTGTGGACTTGAATTGAAAGCCAGGATGTCAAAGTTGCCTTAGTACCATGTTTTTACATACATTTCTGTTACAAAATTAGGTGTGGAAATAGCCAACAGGATGTCCAAAGGATGCCCAGACACCCCCTGGCCAAAACCCTGATTGTGAAAATGTACATCTTAAACCAGGTTTAAAAAAAGGTGTGTAACCATTGTTGACTTAGTATGTTTGTGTTGTCATGTTGTAGGTGGTATGGCGTAAACTGGGAGATGATCCAACTCGGCAAAGTAATCAGTCAGCCCCTGCAGTATCCGCACCCTCACGGTACCCAGGGGTGTCATTTGGACCCCCTGGTGCACCGCCCAAATATTCTGGAAGCACAGGAAGCTTGGACAGGAAAGGCGTCTGAATGTTTACTTATTGGTTGAGGTATTACTTCAATATAATACATTGTTACTCTTTTTGAATGTGGGAATGTATCAGAGTTTTTAGTTGAACAAAGAAATTAACTGGAGCAGAGGTTAAACCTACAACCTCCAGATTACCATACAGGTTTCAGAGTTTTAACCTATCACTTTTTTGTTGTTGGTGTATTTAATGTATTGATGGGTTAAGTGGGAAAAAATGGGACAAAAAGTTAATTAATTATTAGTAAAAATACTGATTGTTTAATTGCTTTGTTGATATACTAACTTTGAATGGGAAAATATTCTACATCAGTGGGATATAAGCTTACTGAACTCTAAATATCTTGAAAGTTACTCTATTCGTCAAAACACTAATATTTAGCTGCAAGCAAGCGTTTGTTAAATCATAACCTGTTCTGCGAGTGAAGGATTCTCTTTTTTAAACAGTTTTTGGGCCTATTTTATAATAGCACCAGAGTGTTTTATAAAAAAGGGACCTAATTCTGCATTACTTAAACCATCTGTAAAAACTGATAAAGCAACCATAAAGAAACTTTCGAGTGTTGACATAGTTGATGTTATAACACCTCACCCACAGATTCTGTGTCTTGATTGGCCGAGAGTGAGTCACATGATACTTTCTATTTTTGCTATCTTTCTGTGCATGGCCAAAAGTACTATACCCACAGCAACCAAAGTACCATACCATTAGCAACCAAAGTACTATTTCCACGGCGCGGTATTTGTGTGCAAATGCATGCTGGTTTGCGCGTTGCGCGTAGTGCGTTTTGTTCCAAAGAGAGCGCGCCACACAGTTGGGTTCAAACATATCGCGAAGGGGTACTTTGGAAGAGAGAAATACATTTTCCACCAATTTTGTATTGAAATTGAAGTTTATTTCAACTGTGTTCAGATTTAAATAATGGGGAAAAATAGAATGTCCATGGATCACCTCGGGAGGCTAGTTTTACTACACCACTCGAAGCATTCAATATTTGTATAGTATTTGATGACTAAGTCAATACAATACATATTCTGAAGCTGCTGCAAGGGTATGCATAAAGAGCCTAGTAATGCCAGATTTCTGGAGTCTTTGAAGTGAAGTCTAAGGGTGCGTTCATCTAGCTGACCCGGGTCGACATGGGTCAGCCTGTGCCGTTTGATTAGCTCTGATGTCATTCTCGGGGCTCACCCGGGTCAGCCACCACAGACCCTGCTCGTGGAGCAGAGTCAGTGGTGGAAGTACGTCACACGCATGCCTTGTTCATTCCAAGAGATTAACAAATATGGCGGCCGGATGGCGGAAATCTCAATTGGACTAAAAAAAATATAACTTTGTTTGAAGTCTAAAGGTAATCATTTATTGAGTTCATTGTGACTTTGTGACTATAATTTCCAGCCCAACTTTTTTGAGTTTCCCAATTGACTGAATAGCAGCAAAGCTCAAAGTAAGACCAAATCCGAAACGGGCATTTTGTCGGTGGTTACGGCCATGGCTATGGACGTCACAAGAGGATCGTAATTAGCCTTGCTGTTGTGGCTAACCCGTCTGCCTTAACTGGATTTTTCCCCCCGAGTTGATCGGGTGAGCTACTGGAACGCACCCAATGTTGATATACCATGACAAATTTTAAATGCTTTCAAATATCAGAGTTTTCAAAATTGGTTTAATATTAAACACTTTGGGATATTTTGCTGTTGGAAGTAAAAAAATCACATGATAGTTTTGGGCACATGAATATCAACTCTCCTGTTTCCATTTTATATGTTCCTGTATTGCCCCTGGTTAATAGTTACATATTATAATGCTGCTGTCATTTCCTTTCAGAAAGGTGGAAGTTATTATGGTCAGAATGCCGGAATGGTCAGAATCTTTGGGTTGTACTACAATGTTATTGAAATACAAACTTGTTCTGCTCGTATGCAGTGTTTGGTATTTTGATCAGCTGAAATACTGTTGATGTGAGCTGGATGGGAAACGCAGGAGAAGTAGCCATGATATTTATCCTTCGCACCCCTACTGTTTTCAATCAATGTTCTGATCAATTTGCCGTAATCTCATTGTATGTTTTGTTCAAGATACTTCCTAAAATTTCAAAATTGTATATACATGTATATTTACGTGGACGTTTTTTTTTTATGTTTGTTTATCAGTACAGTGTTCTTAACCATATTTTCTACCTAAACAAAGTTTATAATTCTAAGGTAGATCAGGGAAACTTCATTCTTTTTATAAGACATTTGTATTTGTATATAGCGTACTTCTTAGTTAAGATTATGTTATGTGGAGAGGTTTTGTTGAATTGGTTTGGGTTTGTGCAGGAGTACATGTACATACAGCTATTACTCCTGCAGCTGATCTTTCATTGGCCATCAGTGTCTAGCTCCTAGAAGACTTGGTGCAGTCAATACACTGATGGAATGTATGTGTACCAACCTGTATCATACGTACGGTGAACCACACGTACATACTGGTAGCGAGCTGCCCGGCTGCAGTGTTTAGTGTAGATGTGTGAAGCACAAAAGTTCATTCAGCGGAAGAATAAAATTTGCATGTAGTATGACATGACAAAATGTATTTATGTACTTATCATCAATGAAAACAGTATCTAAATTTGAGGTCAAAATGTAGGTACATGTACATGCATTTGACTACTTACTTGAGTACATACATTGCATTAGGTGCAGGAAGGTGCAAGCATCTCAAAAGCCAAAGAAAGTTATCTTTTTATCTTAATGAAAGACACCTAGATTCATTGGTTCTTATGTACATGTTTGCAATTTATAGTTGCTGGCGTAGAAAGAAATTATTTATAAATGGCTTCGCATTGGATGAGAAAGTTTGCTTAAAATTTCAGTTATCTTGATTAAAATGTAATAAATTATAAAGCTTAAATATAATGCATCACTCATGTGAATGTCAGGCGAAATAAATATGGTGTCGGAAAATGTTTTACAATTTTTGTTTGAAGTTGCATACCCTGTGCCCTTCAAAAACATGGATTTCTTTCTACTTGTGAAATTTTTAAGGGCTGTCATTTTGAACAAATGTACCTGGCCTGCAAGAACCAAATTATTGTCTGCCCCAAATAATTCGAATTTTGTAAAAAAAAAAATAATTAATAATTAACTGACCATGCATTTTTTTATTCTGTGTATCATTCAAAAGTGAATAACTGTTCAATTGCTAGGAAAATAGTGATTGAAAAAAAAATTCTATTTTTCGAGATTAAACTGGAAATAGCTTGGGGAATGCAACTTGAAATTAAATATGCATGTATTATTTGGCTACTAATAGTAACATACAGCTGTGTACAGCCAGTGATATCTGTTGGTGAAGTTTAAATAACAATAAGAGTATTCAGTGTTATGGATAAAGAGTTATTTTTTGATCCGTCAGATTAGCAGAAAGTATTGTATTGGGAAGAGCTCTGTTGAAGATGCAGTATTCGTCAAGTACGGAATTATACAATTTTGTTAACTTCAAATTTCTGTCTATAAATTTGTCTAAGGAGGTTGTATTAATTAATTGAAAGATGGTTGTGATACTATAGGACTAAAAAGCGTGATAAGCCAGTCATGACCAGTACTTTATATTCTTCCTTATGTGTGAATGGAGGACACCTTCAAGTTGGGCAAAGCTTTAAGACATGATAAAGATCGTTTTACCTCAATTTATTTGCTTGTGATGGATATTGACTCATAAGTGGTGTTGTACTCTCAAAAATGACTCAACTAAATTCAAGTGTTGTGGCCGAGTCCATCACAAGTCCTGACAAATCCATCACAAGTTATCATATACCAAAACCATTTCACAAGTTAATCAATGAACTGTGACTTTGTGGGTTTTGTTTTTTACAAAGCACCGCTCGACCCCATCACTTGTGACTGCAGGACTTGTGATTTACTGATGATCAGACTTGTGATGGACTTATAATTGGGCTACAACACTCCATTCAACTATCTGTAGTGTCTTTTTATCTGGGGTGCGTATATAAAGTAGTTCCAGTATGGCGAATTATGTGGAAAATATTAAACAATTATGTATTCTTAACTTGAAATTGTCCTTTGTTTGTTTATGATTTGTTGTCAACATCTTTCATAATAGTGTTTTGATATTGTCTCTCCCTGCTTTGCAAGTGTTTTTAGTACAGTACTGTGATGTGCTGTGCTTTGCCAACTACATTGTATTAGTAAATATTAGTTTTTTGCTTTCAAATTATTGTTCAATATACATGTAGCCTAGTTTTTAATTTTGGTTTTCATTTCCTCAACAAGATTGGAGAGATGACATCATGTCATTTAAATCAACTAGACTTTGAGGTTTGCTATGTTTTTTTTTAAGACTCTTGTTTTTTTCATGTAAAAAGAAAAGCTAGTTTGTAGCAACCTAAATTGACCAAGAAGATTTGATCAACTTCAAGTTGACATTGGATGCATTTCTACTTCGAAAACAGCTGTTACATTGGGCACGCTGTACTCCATGACGTGAAAACAATGTTGTCGGTGGACTAGAGATAATGTTTTCCTACCCCTTTTAATTTATGAAAAAAAATATAAAACTGCAGTGTGTAGAAACCTTCTAAATATCATAAACTTCAAGCTCACATTATTTAAAAGTTCTTTTTTGGAAACATCGTGTATGTTTGGCCCTGAACTCCACTGCAAAGAAACAATGCTACTGTTGAAGTCTTATAGACCGTTTGCAGACGCGTTCGATAATCGACGCGCGAAGGCGCGCGACGCCATGTTGTGGGACAGGCGTATATCAATTCACGCACATTTTGTCCCATAACATGGCGTCGCTCACCTTAGCGCGTCAATTATCGAACGCGTCTGCAAGCGGTCTATAGCTTCTTTTAAATGTTGTGGTCGGCAAACCCATGACATGCATTGATTTTGCGTTTCTCGCTGGCGGCTCGCGTGTACTAGAGGGCGCCCTACCGCGAGACTGTGTACGAAAACTGCGCGTGCGTCGTTTCGTTACAGAATGGAAAAACGAGGACTGCGGTCGAGGGCTGCGATGAATGACACAAATTTTCGCTCATAATGGCCTGTTTTAAGCTTTGAAATCATGGTAAACACGCCGAAGAGGATCTATTGTTGAACTACCACAAGGTAAGATACGGTTTTTTTCCCCAGAAAAAATTTACATTATGTTGTACGCAGTGGCTATTATTACGGCAGCCGTAACGCATTTCCCATTTTCTATCGTTACGGTAGACTACAACTTTTATAGAAACATGACAAGAAAATATAAAATTAGAAGGAAAAAAAGTGAATTTGAACGTTATGAAATTCGGACTTTATTTCCCTTTAAAAAAAAAAGGCAGTGTATATTTTGCCGGAGACGGCAAACCTTCAGTAAACGTTAGTTTGCCGGACATGCCGGATATGCACTGAACATGCGCAGTTACTGTTTGGAGCAACTATAGAATGCAGGGCCACGCCGGAGCAAGGTTTTTTATTTTGCTTGGAGGCGTGGATGGATAGGAGTATCCTGGCGTCACCGGTTTTCGATCGGATAACGGGAAAACTTCTCGAAAACGAAAACTAAATGGAATTACAAAAAATCGACACACTAACCATTCAACTGGATACTTCCAATTTATAAGCTGTTCAAATCATCGAAGTTGAAGCCCTTTTTTCCGAAATATCGTCCGCGATTTACAGCGATAACATGTCCGCCATTCGGACGGAACGTCACCAGTTTTCGGTACAGCGGCTGTGTGGCCATGTTTACCAACATCGGGGATGCTATGGCGCGCGAAATCACTTAAAAATGATAAAAGTATTGTCCCGACTGTCAATTCTCCTGTACAGATGATGTATAGTTCATAAAATAGAGGATCTGAAAAGTTTTTGAACTGGGAAATTGTGAATTAGGCCTATATATTAAAAAAAAATTATGAATAAGTGGCTGAATCAACAAAAGGAGAATTTGGTATGGATCACTTTAGTTTTAGCTGTGTGCATTTTATTAAAGGAGATTTTTTTTTCCATCTTGAATTTTTTTTTTTTTTGGAGGGTAAAGGGGAGCGACAGCTGGAAAAGTGGAATTTGTTTCTTGTAAGGAATCTGTTCCTTTGCTTGAATGAAAGCTGAATGACAATTTTACTCTAAAATATCACTTGGTCTAGTTTTATAATACCGGCAGTGAGCAATGTCCCCTGTACTGCATAGCATAATGCAATGCATTTTTAACAATCTGTGATCCACTCTGAAAAAGCCATCACAGAATTTTGCAATGAAAGTTGGAATTCTTTAAAATTGAGTTTCTTTAGAATATTTGGAATTTCAAAATGGAATAGTATATTTGGTATCCCAAATTTCAAAATGAAATCACTCGCAGCGATTCCCCTTTTCTGTTTAATATTTGCTTGTTTTTTTTATTCCTCTGATTGATTGTGGCAAGGGCACCAGAATTTGGAATGCGTGCGAACAACACGGACAGGAGTGCAATATCTTAGGTGTACCCAGTGACAGCAATCCGGATATGTACACTGTGCCCATGAAACAAAGACAAGGGTGTCAATGTTTCTCAGTTCTGCAGGTTGGAACCTTTTGCACTTGCAACAGAGGTCCTTTGGGTCAGTTGTTTCAGATTCATCACAGTCTTCGTCATTTGTATCTGCAGGCAGTTGACTATGTGATTTTCTCTTCTGATGACCAACACCTGAAGTACTTGGCTTGGCTGAATTATTGCTGACAGACTTCTTTGGCTTCTTTGGTTTCTTTTTCTGTTGCTCCTGATGTTTCTTGATGTTATTTATAACTGCATCTTCAGTGATGGCTTTACCTCCCACTATGGCACTAAGGACGTTTCGCTTCTTTGTTTGCTTCGGGTTCTCTGTCAGCACAACTTGGGCTGTCCTGAAAAAGTCAGTACATCTGTCTGTCGTGTCATCAATAGATTCGTCAGCTGCTGTGACAGACGAGGAAGGAGTAGCTGAAATGTTCTCTGGATGGTTGACTTCTGATGAAGTAAAAACTGTAGCTGGCTTAAAACTTGACGGGTTGACAGCACATCGGTCAACTGGATAGATGCCGGACTTTCGGAATGATGCTTGCAAGTTGTTTGGCGTAAGTGCACTTGCATATGCCTTGCAGGCTATCTCACACAGGGAATACTTGTCAATGCCAGATGTTGCATGGTGCCGCATATGAGTGTGCCGCATACCATTGAGGATTTTCTCAAATGGTCCAAAACATCCAATGTCCATCGGCTGAAGAACATGTGAAGTGTGCGCTGGAAGCACAAATAAAATGATATTGTTCTCCCGTGCCCATTGAATGAGAGGCAGTGATACATGAGACCTATGCCCATCATAAAGCAGCAAGACAGGGTCATCTGATGTAGCAGGAAGGGAGTATTTCATGAAGTGCTCCTTGAGGTATCTCTCAAAAATGTCAGAGTTAGACCAACCTGAATCACTGATTGTACCTCCTGTACCAGCTGTACAACCTGACAAGAATTCATTGCGCATCCGTTTTCCCTTGAAGATGAAAAATGGAGGCAATGCCATTCCAAGAGCATTACCACACCCAATGACAGTTGTAGTTGATGATTTGCCCATGGTAACTGCTGGAGGTACCTCATAGCGTGAGGATACAATAGATGGAGGTGTATGATTCTCAACAATGCCCTTCTCATCAACATTGTAGATGGCCTCTGGTCGATCCTTCAGGTTATATTTCTCCAAGATCTTCTCCATTTCATCAAAATATCTGTTGACCGTTTCTTGGGATGTAGCTTTAGCCCTCATTATCTCAAGCGATCTCGGTTTCTTCACCTTGAGCTCTGGCCAGCGTGTCATGAAGTTGTAAAACCACCGTAGTGAGAGTGGCTTATCTACTTTCTTCCTCTTTCCAAGGTGAATAGCCAAATCAGTAGCAAGCACTGTCACTTCAGTGCGAGTGTAGCCATAGCCATAGGAAGACATCAATTCAATGTGCGTGACTAGTGTTTGTTCCTCTTCCTGAGTAAGCAGGGGGTCAGGACCAGATCTAGTTGACTCCAATTTAGTTTTTCCATTAACTCTGTCATGCAGGGTGGAATATGGGATGGAGAAAATTCTGGACGCTTTCTTATATGGCATTCCCTGACCAACCACAGCTTCATATGCATGATTGAAAGATTCATGGGAATATTGACGATAACTGGCCTTCCCTTTACTTATCACAGTCTGCAGTACAAAAAAAAAAAAAGTTCAATCCAATGATAAAATTAATGAAATTAATCCTATTTATTTTATGTTCTGATGTTGCAAAATCAAAAATAAAACACATTAATAATACTGTTTTTACCTGATACAAAAGTTGAATTTTGCATAAATTCAGATCATAGTATTTTTTATTATATCTGGCATCATATGAGTGGCCAAAAAAAGAACAGCTCAAGTTAATCAGCTTATCTTAGTTTAAAGTTAAACACCGAAAAACAAAACAAAGTCACTTCGATTTGTGAAAGACCATAACATTTTTGTCACATTGGCATGCCATACAAACCCAAATAGCAACAAGATCACGTGACCTGTCGTCTGACTTACGAAGAATGAAAGTTGCTCTAGCAGACGAAAGTTACGTTTGGAATATTTGGTCACGGATTATGTTTCTTTGGCTCATTTGAAAATTAGTAAAATAGTGCATTAGTAATCTATACCCAAAATTATATAACTTTTAAACATTTGGGTATAACTTACGACTGGAAACTTTATTCTCAACATCTTGAAAGTCGGAGATAGCGGTGAGTAAAGTCGTCACCTCGGGGACACTGGTCTCGAAGGATCACGCACGTTCTCGCGGTAAACGGGAATCAAATTTGGGGATCGAAAATACGTGTCGATCGAAAACATGTAACGGGACGATAATAGATGCAAACCTGCAAAAAGTGCTAAGTACAGCGAATGCACTTGTCTTCTAAGCTTCTCATGAAGGATCGGAAGGGAGGGCGTGCTTGTAAATGTGTTGGGGGCACGGTACGGATCGGAGTGGCGGAGGCGTGGAGTCGCAGAGTCGCGGAGATGCGGGGCACTGGAGTGGCGGAGGTGCGGAGTCGCAGAGACTGGTGCCGATAGAGGGCGCAATTCTCGGCGGAATTTTTTGGAGAACGAAGCATCTGTATCCATTTTAAATGGGCTCGCAAATTAGGAAGGGAGGAGGGCGACGGGGCACTGTCTGGAGTGGCGGAGGCGCGGAGTGGTGGAGTCGCAGAGTCGCGGAGACGCGGGGCACTGGAGTGGCGGAGGCGCGGAGTCGCAGAGACTGGCGCCGATAGAGGGCGCAATTCTCGGCGGAATTTTTTGGAGAACGAAGCATCCGTATCCATATATGGACGCGCAAATTAGGAAGGGAGGAGGGCGACGGGGCACTGTCTGTCTGGAGTGGCGGAGGCGCGGAGTCGTGGAGTCGCAGAGACGCGCACCGATAGAGGGCGCAATTCGTGCGAACGAATTAGGAATTCGTGCGAACGAATTAGGAATTCGTGCGAACGAAATAGCAATTCGTGCGAACGAAATAGCAATTCGTGCGAACGAATTAGGAATTCGTGCGAACGAATTAGTAATTCGTGCGAACGAATTAGCAAATGCCAAAAAAAAATTCCACCCTGTCCCTTCCCGGGCTTCATACCTTTTTAACATTCGGACATGGATGGCGATACTCCTAGAACTATGAGGCTCCACGTAGGTTCAGAACCCCGCAAAATTGTTGTCAGCACAAAACACTAATTAAGTACAAAAACGTCCATCCCAACCAAGCTTTTACCCACAGAACCGCTGCACAGTTTGCCCCTAAACTCCGTACAATACCTCATGACATACTCACGTTATGTGCACCCAACAAACATCGGTGGATTCTGTCTGTTTTTCGGCAAAAATGATAAAAAATATGCCCTTTCCGCACTAAGCCAACCTGACACTTGAAACGTGCACCCGCGCAGAATGATCGCAGTCATTTTCGGTTCGATCGCTCGGAGCGCGCCGCGGGGGGTATGGTGTAGGAGCGGAACGATAGTATGCGCATGCGTACAAGTGCAAGTACGTACCCCCCACAGCTTGGTTGGGATGGACGTTTTTGTACTTAATTAAGTGTTTTGTGCTGACAGCAATTTTGCAGGGTTCTGAACCGAGCCTCATAGTTCTAGGAGTAGGATGGCGATAGTAGGGTCCAAGCTAATCCTTATATGCCGAGCAACACAATTCTGTCATTGACCCAAAAACCCAACATTAATTGCCCAACAAAAACGTTAGATTTCACAATCAAAACTAGTCCGAGTAACTACATGCTACAGACTTGATAGAACTAGCTTGAGTAACTCCAGCTGACATGCTCCATATTCATTTACATGTGAATGAAAATGGAGCATGTCAGCTGGAGTTACTCAAGCTACTACAGAACTAGGACTCTACGAATTGCCTTTTTTTTTAACATTTGGAGATGGTCGGGCAATAGTATCTTAAAGTACATGGCGATACCAATAACCTATTTTGACCATTTTCACTCGTACCCCCTATCAAAATCTTCAGATTTTACCCCCAAAACTAGTCCGAGTAACTTGGACCCAACTGATCGCCTTTTTAACATTCGGACATGGTCTGGCGATAGTAGGGTCAAAGCTAATCCTTATATGCCGAGCAACACAATTCTGTCATTGACCCAAAAACCCAACATTGCCCAACAAAACATCAGATTTCACCCTCAAAACGGCCTCCAAATTACTAGATACGCCACCTGAGGTACAAGTAGACATCGATAATTAAGATGGTTGTACTGAAGTTTACTTACGATCCGAATGAAAAGTGAAATTTCCCGTTCAATTCCGAGAGCTCCCCTCGCGATCGTGAACACATTAAAGAGGTTGTGGAATGCTGAAAATCGTTTTGTTTTTTATATTTTTATATTGTAGAGTAGACCCATATATAGCATAATGACAAACTCCCATTCTTTTCTAATGTGCGTTTATATGTTTATAAAACTGAAATTCATCAGTAATTTGTTAGTCGGCGAGCGCATAATTGAAATCAACAGTCGTCGGGCTCTTCGTAAGATCAGAAAAAGCGTGACGTAATAAACAGGACTCGTTTATACAATGACTGTTTACTGCTGCCCAACCCGCCCCGTCAGCACGTGTGACTCGCAGTCAAGCAGTGAAAAATCAACATTTTGTAAAAGACTCGCGGAGATTGATATTCCTTCCCATTGCTTAATTTTTGGATGAGTATATTGAACAAGGACACGGTGACCTCTGAGCTGTTCTTCCGTATAAATTTGAGCCCCAACTACCCGAAAAAGAGACCAGCGAAAACACGGATACTGCAACTGGCCAGCTGAAAACGCCAGGCAACGCGGCTCTGATGAGTGGTAGGTCTGCGACATTTGCGTGAAAAAAACAGCTGCGTTTTATCCAAGGACTCAAAGTATTATGTTCATGATACCATTTTTAGATGAGCACCAACAGTCTCACCGCAACTTTCTTCGTGATTTACAGACAATCTCATACGTTATTCTGGTATTTACCAGAATAACGTCCAAAGAGACGACAAATCGTCAGGTTGTTTTCGAATTATACGCGTACGGCACGCATAACGCATCACGGCAGTGGATGTGGTCGACCGTGTCCAGAACTAATGTTGTACGGTTAGCAGCGTCGCGGGCCCCGGTCAAGTTTCTTGCGTTGCTTGGTGCTTTTTATGTATACGTTCGCCACAAAAAAATTAGTCCTCTTCTCTTTTCTTTCCTTGTGCATTTTAACCCTTGTTTTAACATCCTGGAACGATAATTACGAATTTACTTGAATTTTGAAATTGTTAACTTTATTGTTTACCAAAAAAAGCCGTAAAACAACGCCAGGAGACAATGGGACTACCCAAGTTCACCTCGGCCTGTAAACGTGGCTACAAAAAAAAGTACAATTCATAAATCATAGTCATGCTCCGTTCATTTAACAAAAATCTCTGGACTTAACGACATGTTCGGGATTCTGGTTGAAAACAAAATTCACTGGTCCCGAAATTTAACGAGCACTATCATTATTTTCAGTACCTAATTAAGACTTTATTCAAGAAATTCCAGTGGCAGAGAATTTGTCATTCGATCAAAAGAAGTTCTAGGGAAAATGGAGGCCTGTCACATTAATCAGCACCAACGTAAGGAAAACTACGCGATCCTTTTTCTACGCATTTACCTTCAATTTGTGTGTGACAACGCGTGCGCGTATGCTGCACAGATAATGGAGGGTCGAGGATACATTTGAACGGCCGGTCTACGGTTCTTCAAGATTGGCAATGGACAAATGGTCCAAAACAGTCTTCCCTATAAATCATTAACAAATCATATCTCTATTATTTCTTGTCCAATTTCAACAAATCTCTTGAGAAAAGAAGACTCTTGCCGTACAAAATGTACAGTGCATGATCAGCGCTATCCGTTAATTTGGCTGAAATCCGAACTCGTGTTTTCGCACGGTACCCTTCGGACAAACTGCATGGCTACGGAGGATTCTTATTCCTCCATGCTGACACCCGGACGGGAAAGCTGGAAATTTATTGCAAACAAAATGTGGTGTGATTACCAGCGACTGACACAATTATAGGCATATAGGTTTGCCTTGGCCTAGTGCGTTCGCTACCCGTACACGTATCAACAACGAATTATTTTGAAATTCCAACACCGTTTACCAGTGTGTCAAAATCTACGGTCCCAGCGGCCGGGCCAGCGGCACAAGTACACCCGTGAATTTCCAGCCAGCTTTGCATAGCGCGTGTCATGGTGATGCGATGTGCATGTGAACGATCGAACGTTGTTGATGTAACGCAGACATTTCTTACTATGGTTGGCCGTTGGGGCAAACACAAAAGGAATGATCCCTGATCTATAAATAAAATGATGTGTAACTATCAAAACACTGAATAATCAATAGAAAGTACAAAAAAGTCAATGGAGTATTGGAGATATCTAACCCTAACCGCCCTGAATCCTCCAAAATCCTTTTTGCAAATTGGAGGAATTTGCAGGATTGAGGTTACATGGCAAAAGTGCGTTGCTGATTTCGGAGTACGCACTGTGTTAAGGTCTTGGGCCGGACCTTGTGTTGTTTATGCTCAGCCGTGCATAAATGTAGCCCTTGATTATACTTGACATCCTCCGCACTGCTCCAGGATGTCACTGCCTCTGCCTCAGCCTATTGACAGACATAGCCGGAGGATTTTGCAGGATTCAGGCAGTGGTCATCCCTCCATGGACCATATTCAAGAAATAACGGAGGAATTTGCAGGATTGAGGCTATATGCTATTTTTCCATGAGGCCAATTGGAAGATTTTGCAGGATTGAGGCTACGTCCTAGCAAAAAGGCCTAGGGAGTTAGGGTTAAATTCTGAACTTCCCCATTAGAATTTCGGGGGTAAAAGCTGTTGCCAACTACGGTTGAATTTATGGAGCATGTGGCTGCCCATACAAAATGTCGCTCAGCGTAATTGTAAACAAAGTCATGTCGTTGCGCGGAGTGATTTGCAAAAAGTTTCGCTGGAACTACGCTGCATCGGGAGTCCTGTTTATTATGTCACGATTTACTATGTTTTGTTTGCTGCCCCCAACGACGACTTTTACACAAATTGAACGTTCGGGTCGAAACAGGACCTGAAAAGTAGCTCTCAAAAGTACCTTTTGTATTCATTTCATGACAGAAACAATAGTCGTTTTTATTTCATCACACCTTAGGCTACATATACCCGAAAAATGACGGAAATGTCTTCGAGCATTCCACAACCTCTTTAAATTTACGATTCGTGTTAATGTTTGAACAAGGCGATGTGGTCTTCATGCCCAGCGTACATTCGATGGTTCCCGTATCCCGAGTGCAATTCCGTTAGCGAGCGCGTGCAATGCATCGATTATTACAGAGTAGACTGGATCACGTTTGTAGACACAAGTGCATTACGAACGATAATAGGGAGTCTGGAACTAGGGCAGCTTTTATGGACGGATACCAGTTCAAGCTGGTTCCCGATTCCCTTTTACTGAATCTGGGTTGGGATAGAGAGAAAAAGGACCATTTTGTGGAGGGAAAAAAGAACCATTTCGTGGAGGCTGTTTTTTAAGGGTCTCTTACGATCTCACTCTCCAGCGTTACATGTGAATTCCTGATGAGCTTGTTAAGCTGGAGTTACTCAAGCTACACACCAACTAGCTCCAGTAAATCTAGCCCTAGTCTATGGCCCGCATAGCCCTGTTAGTACACCCCAACTATGGCATTGATCCAACTATAGTTGGGACCGTCTGGAGGCGTCCCAACTGTAGTGCAACAGTTGGGTTGGCCCAACTGTAGTTAGGATGCTCGCCGCGTGGCACTGGATGAATCGGCCAACATGAATAGAGCTCAGAGCTGTTGGGAATGTTTTATATAGTTGAACAGCAACGTAAATTCAGTGGCCCAACTATAGATGGGCCCCACCCATAGCTAATTTCAATGGTCCCAAGTAAAGTCAGACGACTATCAGAGCTGTAGGGAATGTTTTATAGTCGTACAGCAACGTAAACTATAGTTGGGACTGCAAAATAAAAACAATTTGAGTGGCCCAACTATAGCTAGATGAGCCCCACCGTACCCATAGCTAATTTGAATGGTCAGTCCCAAGTTTATAGGGGGCTGGGGGTGCAAAAGCTCATTAAATAGTTCCACTAGGGTTGACGCGTGCATATGAGTTTAAACCACAACGTTTCAGTGTTTCCTTGTTCTGGCATAAAGGGAGTTCACTCTGTAGTTCATTTAACAGTAAGTCGTAGGCCACTACAGTTGGGACTATCCCAACTATAGTTGGGACGATCCCAACTATAGTTGGGACCGATGCCATAGTTGGGGTGTAACAGCCCCACTTGTGTGGCCTCGGTATTGCTGCGCTGTATGTTCGGCCACACGCCTGGTTTTCCAACCTACTGAGTAGTTTTAAACTAATAGTCCAAAGCCTGGCGCACTGTTTTTGGCTTTTTTTTTACACACCACTGCATACGGTTGTATTCAACGATGTCTTTTCTTTTGCCTTCCATTTAGATAAGGTAATCCTTCTTCAAATTTTTAGAGAAATTTAGACATCTTTTTGGAGTCCTCATGTGTGCAAGTTTCGGACTAAACTCCTCAGTAGATTGGGAAACTAGACGTGTGGCAGACATGTGGCCTAACATACAGCGCAGCAATACAGAGGCCATATAAGTGGGGCTATGGCCCGCTCTGGAGTAGACTCTGCATGCTGGGCCATACGGATATTGCTTCCTAAAAGTGCGGCATTTAAAACAAAATTTTGTTGCAACCATTCATACTCTGAGGACGGGTTCACTTACCCCTACCTCTCACCATTTCCCAAAAATTAGGACTTTCCCGTGCTTCCTTCTGGTGAAATTTGTCTCTTCAAAAAATTAGTTTGTCAACCGAAGTGGAAGTTCATGACAGGCATGATGTTGGTGGCGATTCTCCAGAAACCATGAGAAAACGTAGCGCGACACTATTCTGCCTTTGACAAAAAAACAACAACATTGACCAATAAAAACATCAGATTTACCTCAAAACGGCCTCTAAATTACTAGATACGCCACCTGAGGTACAAGGAGAGATCTATATATCATTACATATATACCCAACTCGTGTTTGAACAACGCGATGTGGACGTACGTGCCCAGCATTAATTCGATGGTCCCAGCGCGATTCTGTTACCGAGCGCGATGCATCGATTATGATAATGAGTAGACTGGATCTTGTTTGTACTTAGAAGTGCATTTCGAACTATGGTATGGAGTCGTGAACTAGGGTAGCTATCAGTGGAAACCAGTTCAAGCTAGTTCCCGACTCCGTATCATCGTTCAAAATGCACTTGTACAAACGAACGTGAGGAATATGTTTGTCCTTGAAGCACAACTCGATGCGATGATAAACTGGTTCCTGCCGCTGTAATAGATAATAATATAATTTTTGGCCCAAGTCTTTCCGTTTTTGATGTACAGTGAAAATTTGTAATTCAAAATCACTTAACTCGAATTCCCATCAAAAGAATAGCAAATCATACATAAACATGTCCACGCTAACTCGAGATTTCAGACCGGAAACACCTGTTAAGTCAAACTCAAAATTGCGAGGTACAGAAATAAACTTGCGTATTTAGGCCACAGAAGAAACTGGAATTGTATTGTTAAGCTAAGAAATCTCCCATGACTGCAATCAATAAACCCAACCTCGGGTACAGGAAAGCAACAAAGAGGCTATTAGCATTCGTAGTATATTTGAGTCCGAAGTATCGTTTATCATGGGGACGAGACTTTATGTACAGTCACAAGCTGCACATGCTCAGCTCAGCTCAGTTATCACTTTGGTCCTCATCATTTTGAGCGAGGGGTGTCAGTCATCAGGACAGTTTACTATTCGCTCAATTGAAATTGCAATCGTTAAGGAAAGTATCTTTCTTTTATGATATATCTTCTTTTCAAATCTCATTTTGAAATATTTGTATAGTATTAAGCTACCCTCTTGAACCATACAAAAGCCCCCGAAAAAATGTATTGTCTACATAACCAAAATGTCGAAGCCTTCAGATATTCAGCCGTGGATAAATTAACATCGTGATAAACATGTAACATGTATTTTTACATTGCGACTATTTCAAATTATGAATTTAAACATACTTTCACTTAAAAGGAACCATTTTGTATTTGATACGGAAAAAGTAAAAAAATCCTGTGTTGTCTTCTGTTAGCACAAACCCTTGTTTTATTTGATCATTTGCATCCCCCAATTTGTGTTACAGTTCATGAAGATGGAAAACTGAATCTAGAGGCAGAGGCACACATATAGAACTGACCACAGTGACATCAAGATGAATCAGTTTCAGCAAGATTTTCAACAGTGGATGCTGCTGCAGCAGCAACTGCAACAGATGTATCAGCAAAACGTGCAGCAGCAAACACAAGGGTCAGGATTTGAACTTCTGGTAAGTCAAAGGGATACCCGAGTACCTGACCACTGATGTCAGGAACAGGGTCCAGATTATGGGATCGGGTACATGTAACCACTTTTACAAATTACAAAGTATCTTCTCAGACCATAGAGCAAGGACCCAAAGAAAGGTTTTGAATGCCATTTGTGTGTAGAGAATTTTCAAAATGAAAACCAGGCTTCATTGAAAACCAAAACAGATTTCATGTTTATGTGATTTTTATGTGCGTCAAATGACGCTCGTGAAAGTTGCAGGTTACACCATAGAGCTACATGTACATGTATGTATTAGCCTTTTCAAGGTTTGATTTTGGTTTAGGAAGTGAGAAAAACAACTCAAGTCAATTTTAAACAATGGAAAATTCAAAAGTAAAGAAAGGAACGGGATGGAAACATTCAATCAAAGATTGCAGACTTGATAATTAATAATGCAGTATTTGAACAGGAAATCAATTTTAAGTTTTGAAAATCAGTGGAATCAATATCACAGAAGCTTATCCGTAAATGACATTTAATTTTTTGTGTCGCCTAACAAAAGTTTTGGGAGACACTCAATAACAGTCCTACATGTAAATTCTGTATGACCATATAGTATGACCGTAGACCCCTGTGACTGTAGACCCGGATCTATGTTAAAGTTTCGGTTCAGTTTTTGTTGAAAAAAATGTATAAATTTTACATGCTTTCATGGATTTTGATGATCACAAGTCTTCTGAAATTGGATGTCAAAGGTCATCTAGGGGCCGTTTGAGGTTGTTTAAAAATGTACAAAATTGGATCTTTTTAAGAACACAAAACATATAGGGATCGACCGCAGAAAAAGGTGACACGTGCGATCACTTGTACGAATAGTGCCACTAGTCGACTAGTGCCAATGCCAAAAGGTATTGGTAGTCAGGACCATCGATTTTCAGATAGACGACTAGTCGTTATTCGGTGACTAGTGCTCTGCATTTTGCGACCATTGCGTCGCGAGTACACTCAGCGATGTACCGAAGCATGGAGCTATTATCCATGAGCAAAGTGACCACACGTATCACAGTCAGTAGTGCATGTGATACTGAGAGCGCTGGCAATCACACAACGAGGCACTCGCAAAACGTATTGTGAACGTAGTCGGTACTACCTTCAGTTGCCCGCACAAAGGGTGATATGAATGGCGCACGTGTTCAGTGACAATCCCCACAGGCGGTTTATACACACCAATGAGAAAGGAACAAGTCTTCACAGTTTAAACACAGTCAGGAACGTATGTGTAACGTTGGCCACTTCTTGCAATTCATAAAAAAAGACAATGTACGGTATTTTAAATACGTGAACGTATAATGGAAACTTCTGATCTCGACGCGATTCTGCCGATCTTGGACTTTTGGAAGTAGCTTCAGAAGTTGGAACATAATTGCCAATAGATCTCTACCTACGAAATTAACGGGGATATTTGGAATATTTTTCTATAATTTTCCCGATCTTTTCCAATCCCCCGGTCTCGGAATAGTTTTACAAGATTCAGTCAGTCGTAGTCACTATATTGCGATAACACAAATATAAATCAAACCGCATCCCTTGCGGACACTTGCATCCCTGCACCTAAAATATCACGTGATGGAGTCATGGGAAAATGAAAATGATACCAACTTGCCAATCAGAGGACAGTACGGTCATTGAATAAGCACGTGCTCATATACAAGGGAATTCCCCAAGATGAGAAATAGATTGCTTGGGCAAGCCACTTGACGGCTCCACAGTACATGTGCGCGCAAGTTTTTCCCCTCGTTTATGCTTGCTGTGTGTTTAGGTATGAAATGCTTTTTTAGCAATGCTTTCTCGCCTCGTATGCATGTGGAACTTTTCAGTTCATATTTCCGATATTTAATCTTGGGATTTGTTGTTCGAAAATAGCGGACAATTCATCACCAATAAGTCACGTGACGTGACTGATGCGCGTCATGCATAAATGCATGTTTGTGGACCTCATTTATCTTTGGGTGGACTCTGCGCAGCACATGGCCTGTTGCAGTATGCAATGCCACGAAACTGAGGTCACGTTTTAAGTTAAGTAGTATTCCATATGAACCATGTCCTTCAAAACAAAAGTAGGCATGTTATTTCCCTTACAAAATGTCAGCGACTTTATCTCCCTTCGTCTACATGGCGCCAACCTCCCTCCTGACAAATGGAAGGATCTGAATTAATTAGAGGCATAGCTCTTTATGGAAAGAGGAAGCCCAAACATGAAGACCTGTACAAAACTACAATGCGATGTATGACAGACCGTGGCATGCGCGGCATGCTTGCACGAATGAAATATCAATGGTCTACACAATCTGTTGTTCCTATCCTGCAAGAACAGCCTGTCGATGTAAGCAAGCATTTTTTATACTTAATGACGATCTGGGAAACATTTGGCTGATAATAATATAAAGATAATTGTCATTTGATCTTACAAACCTGTCTCATAATTATTTTTTCATGATCTGTTAAAAAAAGTATTCAACTCCACCTATGTTAAACTAAAAACTGCGTGTCACGTTGTACATTGTACGTCCACAGATACATATTACGCAAAGGCAGACACGTGTTCGATATTGTGTGAACAATGTTACTAGTCGCGACTAGTTGCGACTTTTTAGTGACAGTGGCTGCGACTATTGAAATTCACTAGTTGTACACTTGTTAATCACTTGTAATGATACACTCTGTAAATCAGTGCACATGTTTATACTTAATTATTTTAATTGTAAGTAAGGCCTTTTGCATGCTCCGTAAATTGAAAGTATACTTTTTAATGGAATAAGAATTTGCAAAGCAGAGATCCAACAATAACTAAGGAACTCCAGACATTTGGCCTTGTATGAATCCTGCAGACCGCTTTCATAAATATGAGACATAGGCCCTACTCATTGTCTTGTTGCTATTCGCTACATTCAGACGTGTTGCCTCTCACATGCTTAAAATCATTTTCTTCCTTCTTACAGTTTGCATTGCGGGAAAGACGAATGGATTTCAATGGCCAACTTCAAAAGTGGGAGAGGGAATTCAAGCAATGGAAAGATGACCACATGGGCCATCCAAACAAGGCGCAGTTTAACAGTTACCTTGAGCTGTGGAAAGGATGGCAGGTGCAGATGGAAAATACGCTTAGGGAAATCCAGCAGCAGATAGTTAATGAAGAAGATGCAATTCGGGCCAGGGGAATGGTCGTCCCTCCAGAGGTCCATCAAAAAGGTCGTGGAAAAGAACAAGGGCAGAGTAAGGAGTTAGGAAGGGGTCCAGGAATGGGTTCAGGTATGGGTCCAGGTACTGGTCCAGGCATGGGTCAAGGCATGGGACAAGGTATGGGTCTAGGTATGAGTCAAGGCATGGGTCCAGGTATGGGTCAAGGCATGGGTCCAGGAATGGGTCAAGGAATGGATCACAGTATGGGTTCAGGTATGGGTCCAGGAATGAGTCCAGGAATGGGTCCAGGAATGAGTCCAGGAATGAGTCCAGGAATGGGTCCAGGAATGAGTCCAGGAATGGATCCAGGTATGGGTTCAGGTATGGGTCAGGGGATGGGTCAAGGTGTGGGTCCAGGAATGAGTTCAGGCATGGGCCAAGGAATGGGTCAAGGAATGGGTCAAGGAATGGGTCCAGGAATGGGTCCAGGAATGGGTCCAGGAATGGGTCCAGGGATGGGTCCAGGCATGGGTCAAGGTATGGGTCAAGGCATGGGTCAAGGTATGGGTCAAGGCATGGGTCAAGGTATGGGTCAAGGTATGGGTCCAGGCATGGGTCCAGGCATGGGCCTAGGCATGGGTCCAGGCATGGGTCCAGACTTGGGTCCAGGAATTGATTCAGGAATGAGACCAAGAATGGGACAAGGTATTGGTCAAGGAATGGATCCTGGAATGAATTTGGGCAAACCTGGTATGAGACCAGGAGTGAATCCTGGGGAACTTTGTCCGCGGGCTCATGGAGGTGACGCAAGAAGACCAGGACATATGGATCCAAGGGATATGGGTCCCGATGGTGTTGGTGTGAGAGATTTAAATGGAAGGGGTCCAAGAGGTCCAGGTGGTGTCCATCCCAGAGATCCAAGAAGATTAGGCCCTGGTGGGATGGGATCTGGTGACATGGATTCTAAAGGTCCTGGTTCAGTGGGCCCAAGGGGCCCAATTGACCATGGAACAATGCTTATGGAGGGTCAAAGGGAAATAGGTCCAAGATTTGCTGGTGGAAGGGGTTCAAGGGGTCCAAGAGGCCCTGGTGGAATAGATCCAAGAGTTCCCGTCGGTATGCGTCCAGTGGGTTCAGGTGATATGGGTCCGATGGGTTCAGGTGAAATGGGTCCAAGGGGTCCAGGTGGCATGGTTCCAATGGGTCAAGGTGACATTGGTCCAAGGGGTCCAGGTGATATGGGTCATAGGGGCCTCGGTGACATGGGTCCCATGGGTCTAGGTAATATGGGTCCAAGGGGTCCTGGTGATATGGGTTCTAGGGGTCCAGGTGATATGGGTCCCATGGGTCCAGGTAATATGGGTCCAAGGGGTTCAGGTGACATGGGTCAGAGGGGTCCAGGTGATATGGGTCCCATGGGTCCAGGTAATATGGGTCCTAGGGGTCCAAGTGACATGGGTTCAATGGGCCCTGGTGATATGGGTCCTAGGGGCCCAGGTGACATTGTCCCAAGGGGTTTAGGTGATATGGGTCAAAGGGGTCCAGGTGACATGGGTCAAAGGGGTCCTGGTAATTTGGGTCCTAGGGGTCCAGGCAATATGGGTCTGAGGGGTCCAGGTGATATAGTTCCGAGGGGTCCAGGTGATATGGGTCCGAGGGGTCCAGGTGATATGGGTCCAAGGGGTCCAGGTGACATGGGTCCAAGGGGCCCTGGTGACATGGGTCCAGTTGGTCCTGGTGATATTGGGCAAATTGGTCCAAGGGGTCCTGAAAGAATAGGCCAAAGGGGTCCTGGATCATTCGGTCCAAGTGGCCCTGGACCTATAGTTCCAGCTGGAGAGGGCCCTGGAGAGTTTCAAGGACCTAGACACGACATGGCTCCACCTCCTGTTAGTAACCCACAAGGAATTAATAGTGGCATGCTACCTGGTGTTATGGATCCTCGAGGATTAGGAATATCAACCAGCATGGGTGGACCAAGTGTGAACATGCAAATGGGAATGCAAGGCATTGCACCCCAACAAGTGATAGGTCCACAAGGAATATGGCAGCAGGGAATGCTACAACCAGGAGTTCAACAGAGTGGCCTCGAGCATCAACCAATGATGAATCAAAACATTGGAATACAAGGAGTCGTTCCGCAGAAAGTGATGACTCAAGGCGTGTCTTTTCCAAAACAACCTGAACCAGAACCTGTTGTAGTAGTTGTACCCAGCAAACCACCGAAAGAAAACTCTTCAAAAGACAAGGCCAAAAACAATTTAGTCCCACCAGGTGTGGACTTCTTTTCACCTCCAACAATTGGTCCTCCACCCAAGATACCCACTGCAAAAGCTGAGGAAGAAGAACAACCTGAACCTGCGAAAGACATTTCTGATTCTGACAAGATATCTGCCTGGCCACCTACATCCCAAGCTGGGAAAGTCGCAATAAAAAAGTACCCATCTGTGAAGAAAGAACCACCCATTATTATAAAACCAATTGTAGAGAAGACTGACAAAGTTTCTGGCAAGCAGTCTTCATCAGCTTCTAAAGAGGAACCTGAGCAGTCACAAACTAAATCAAAGTCAGAGGATTCAAAGTCAGATGATTCAAAGGAGGTCATCGAAGTGGAAAAGATGGAATCTGCCGCAAAGTCCGATGACTCAAAAGCTTCATCAGATACAAAGGTTGCATCAACGAAACTGGCCACTGAGAAGGTAGAAGTTGGTGGCAAGGTTAAAAAAGAAATTAGTTCAAGTGTAAAGGATAAGTACAATTCCCTGACCCTAAAAGAAGATACTCAAAAGGAACCACAGTCTTACATTAAACTGAGCAAAAAGAACTACACTTCAATCTTTCCGCTTAGAAATCGAGACCGTTTCCGGCGAAGGTTGAGTAAAAGTAAAAGCAAAAGTAAGAGTAGAAGTCGCAGCAGAAGCCCTCGCAAAACAAATCGAAGCAAAAGCAGGAGCCGCAGCCGGAGCAGGAGTCGTAGTCGTGGCAAGAGCAGAAACTGGAGCAAAAACCGAAGTCGTAGCAGAAGTAGGAGTCCGAGCAAGGGAAAAACTCGAAGCAAAAATAGGAGCAGAAGTAGGAGTCGGAGCAAGGGCAGAAGTAGGACTAGGAACAGAAGTAGAAGTCGAAGCCGGACCAGGAGCAGAAGTCGCAGCACGAGTAGAGGCCGTGACAGGAGCCGTAGGAGCTGGGATCGCAGTCATAGCTATGGCAGAGATCGTGGTCGCAACATGAGTCCTTCCCGAAGTGGCAATAAGTATCCTTTCCGGGATCGTTATAGGAGTCCCAATAGAATTCGTAACAGAAGTCCCAACAGAAGAGAACCATTTCCGAGAGATCTGCCTGAACGAGCAGGCAGTAGGCAGTCTGAATTGCCAAGGAGCTACAGGCTTGACTCCCCACCTCAATCTCAGGCTCCAGCAATGCAGGCCGTAAGCGCTGCCTCCACAGTGCAAGAATTAAGTGATAGAGAGCATGATATTATCCTGAAAGCTGCACAGGAGTTAAAAATGATCAGAGAACGCCAGAAGAAACTACTTCCTGGTGGTCCAGAAGGAGGATCAGCACCCATAAAAGACATGCTAGTAAGTACTCATGTTTATATGCACATTTGCTCTTTTTGAAACACTGCTTAATGTAAACGGACCTTTTAAATTGACATTATAGACCCTCGGATAGAAATGTTATGATGATATAATTAACAATCATTTGGATTAAATTGTTTGCATCATGTAACGCTCTATCAGGTATGCAACTTTTCCTCGGATCCGCTGATTTCCTCGTTTTTTACTTCGCATGAATGCCATTACAAATTGAAAAACACTGTACAAAGTCTTGTGTGGTTAGAAGTTTCCTCGTTTTTTTTCTAAATTCCTAACTGCATGCCTGTCTATGAGTACAGAGTAGTACGGCTGGCTATTTGAATCTCAAATAACAAGGGATAAATAATAAGTATTCAACCATTGGACTGAATATGCTAACAAAAAAGGGGGAATCTAAATTCTAAAAAGAGTTGTGGTTTCACCTGGAATAGGCGAGACAGCTCATGCAATTATGCTGTTGAATTTTAAAATATCTAAAGCATGTGTTCATTTGAGACATGCATACCCAAGGGACTTTTTGCATTAAACTCAATCTTATGTATCTTTTGCAGGTTGATAAACTGGTTCCAGAACGTGAGAGACTTGATCCTGAGAGAATGCAGCATCCCATGGGCAGGCCGGGACTAGACAGGTATAGAGGCGGAAAGGAAGTGGGAAGATTCCATCCTGAAGGGTTGCCACGAGAGGGGTTGCCTCGTTACCGTGGTGAAGGGGAGCCCTACCCACCAAGGGAAGAATTCTATGACCGGGAAGGTCCTTACGTGAGAGGACCACCACGCTACAAGGATGACCCATACCGCCGGGATCCCTATGCAGAGGGCACTTACCGTCCCTATCCACCTGAGGATTGGGAATATGAAGAAGAACGGGTTCGTGTTGGGAGGCTACGTGATATAGAACGGAGATTGGACATGGAACTTGGCTTTAGACGAGAACAATTTGAATTGGACAGGTGACTTAACTTTGTATCATTTACTTTAGTAGGTGAATGAAGGTCCTTAATTTTATTTTTCTAAACTTGAATCAGGGATGCAAGTCCTCTGCAACTGCCTGACTTCAGTTATTTTTCCAAATTGTGTATTATTGGCATCATACATGAGTCCGCCTACATCCCTGTTGTATAACAATTGTATCAAGGTTATCCGCCTTGAAGTTATGGAACAAGTCTATGTACCAGTATGTTGGTAGGAGCTTTATATACTTGTGTACTGGTACATTGCCATAACTTGTGCACTTTACTTGTTATGCTTTGAAAGGTATTCAACTTTAATATATCGTTGCTCTTCTAGGAATTGCATTCAATGAATTTTCTGATTCTTATTATGAAAGAAAACCATAATTTTCAATGTAAAAAGCATGTACAGCTACTATACTGTGCACTCTATTTGGTCGCCCAAAGCTACATGTTTTATATTTATAAGTAAGATTTGAGGCTTTGCATGGTAAATGAATGCAAGGTTTGCGGAAACACCATGTGGGATTAATTTCTCAACAAAGAGAATGGTTCTGAAAAGAACCAGAGGTATAAACTCGACGTTCCGGTCAGTATGCTCTGACCGTCTTCAGGAGAGTGCCTGAACTCTAAGAAAGTAAACACTTAAGTAGCAAAGCAGAATCGAGTCTGAGGTGGAAGCAGAGGACCTAGGGTATAGGATATACCCTATCCTCTGCTTCCACCTCGGACTGATGGGTCTCCTATACCCCAGGTCCTCCCTCTACTGAGACTGCAGCCCTACTGTTCTACTTCAGTGGGCATACCAGGCTTACTCTAGGCTCCCGTCTACTTGGCATCCACACAGGATGCAACTTCACACTTCATCGATTTCGCTTTTGCTACTTAAGTGTTTACTTTCTTAAAGTTTACGCGCTCTCCTGAAGAGAGTCAGAGCATACTGACCGGAACGTCGAGTTTATACCTCTGGTTCTTTTCAGAACCATTCTCTTAGTTGAGAAAATATTCCCACATGGTGTTTCTGCAAACCTTGCATTCATTATTATATTCATGTTGTACTTTTACTGACTTGTACATATGCAAAGATGGGTATTAATGAATTATGTTGGAATTATTAGTGTTCTGCATTAAATTTCAACAAATTCTCAAATTGAAAACAAAGTACTTTTTTTCATTGAAGTAAATTATACAAATTGAAAGTGTTGAACATGGGTAGAGCAACTTTAAGTAGTTATTTTCCATGATTATTACTACTGCTAAAAATACTAATATAATAATACAACATGTACCTGTTAACGGTACCTTTGGAGACATGTTGTCGTCATTAATTATACCTTAGGGAGACACCGGACATTAGGGAAACATTTCAGTGTCGCAAATACTAGGCTAGATTGATTGCTCGTGGTCCAAAACATAAATATTATACCGAAATTTGTGGGAGTACGATGAGGTAAAATTGGGGTTAGGTGACATTAAAGGGAAGATACAACATTTGCAAACATCAAAAAACAAAACGATCAAATTATCACGAAATACCTTACTGGATTATTAGGGAATGACAGTCTGAAGCATCCTGTAAAATCGTGGCTCCTAGTGGGCTGACTTTTTCAAGAAAAAAATTATATTTTCCATCACTGTTCGGCCGACCAGCATTGGAGAAAACTGGCTTTTTTTTCAAAAACTGCTCCTACCTTTTGTATATATTCAGTTATTCCACATTTTCTTTGCAGTTGAATACACCTGCGAAGGGCTACAAGCCTGCCAGACTGATTCTCTGACCTTACAATTCCCGAAGTTTTTAAATTGCCCTGTTTCATCTTAAGTGGGGTCAGGGAACGAGACTATAAGAACATGATTGGTTTTCTTGGTTTTTCCAGCATCTTCAACCCCAATACGTGAAACAAGTCAGTTTAACAAAATTTTCTGTAACATACTAATCCTTCCAATCCATTTATTTCTGAAAATTGCAGCAAAAGCAAATGTTGTACATCCCCTTTAAAGATGGAGAAGATTTGTGCACACGTCTATGGAAATGTCTCCCAAATGACCCATTTCCCGTAATGAGAATATTAATTATAATAAAAAGGCTTTCCATGTCACAAGGACAACACTAAGTGCTGTACAATTTTAAAAACACACAAAAGTCATAAGAAAAATGGATAAAAACAGTCATAAAGCAACAATCAATTCCAAATGATCACCAGTTACATGTGTAAGTAATTAAACATATGTGGTACTGTTTAAAGAGATGAGTTTTCAAATAAGTTATAAAAGTTTCAAAAGTAGCAACAGATCACATTGCTGCCGCTAGCATATTCCAAGACAGGGAGTATATTATATTGTAATCATTGATTGCAATAGTAAGTGGTTTTGCCAAGTGGCTGCCTTAAACATACCGCACTGGGGGTTGTCGATCGCAAAGTGCGCGTAGTTGATTGAACTTACAGAGATAAACTTGAGCCATTTCCTTTAGAATCTTATAAACAAGACACAAATATTTGAATTCCAAACGTTTGTTTACCGGAAGCCAATGTAACCTGTTCAGCACTTGAGTAAGTTTCTCGAATTAATGGTATTATGCCACCTTTTTGTTATTCCTCTAGGCAAGGTGTAGGTAGAGGGTATGATACAGGCAGGCCAGCTGACCCTGACTATCCCAGACACCCTGGTAAGTGATTAGCATCAAGTACAATAAATCGCAAGCGAGTACATACCGGTACTGTTAAATCACATTTTCAATATAGATTGTGTGCATTCCAGTCTCCCAGAATAATGGTTTGTTATTATTATCATTATTATGTATTTCTGGTAATGAAACCAAGGATTCTTCAAAAGCACCCTCGGCACTGTAGCTCGCAAGCCTGAAGAAATCTGTAGAGAGAAGACAATGAGAAGAAATTACAGTTTTAGAGGTGGGAGGAAAACCACAGAGGAATATTCTAAATCGAGTACGAGTTAGCGAGTACAGGTATTCTAAAAAGAATACTCAAATTGTACCGAGTACGAGTACTTTGTACACAACACTGCAGATAAGCCCTCTAAAGACATTTAGATAAGCCCTCTAAAGACATTTAGATAAGCCCTCTAAAGACGTTTTCATGCACTCCAGAATTCGCTAGGTAAATTATACTTAAAAGAGCAAATGGTTAAGAAGGTGTGTGCAAAAAATGAAATGACGACATAACTTTACTCCCCAGTTGAGCCAAGGGGTCTGGGAACAGCCGAAGGTCGGCCGATTGGGAGAGCTGGGGAAGGTCGGATGATGAGAGCTGGGGAAGGTACGATGGAGAGAGCTGCCGAAGGTCCGATGGTGAAGACTTTCGACTATGGTCATGGTCAAGGAGGTGACTCGCCACATGCAGGTAGTAACATTATCATTGACAATGCCTACACAGCAGCACATGTAAATTGTCCCTGTAAGTAAGATGGCGTATATTATCCTGAAAGTGCTTATTAAATACAAGTATTAAACTTAATGGATCTCAACACTTGATTCTTGAAGAGGATTTGAAGATTGTTTTATTATTCACATTTGGTTGATATTTAAAGAGATATGGTATGCATATTTTAATAGCCATTCAAGTGAATAATTTGTACATTAGTGCTACTGTAACTAATGAGTTTTTACTAGAAAGGTTAATGTTATTATTTCACAGAGCAAAGGTATGACAGAGGAGATAGTCGCTATGATGACAGAGACCCCCGAGGCCCTGAGAGATATCCAGAAGAGATGGGCCGCGAGCGTGGATTCTATGATGAAAGGGATCCTGCAAGACTTAACAGGGAAGATCAGGGAAGAGACTTGCGGCCAGATGACAGGAATCGTGGTGACTTTGACCGGGATCGTGAGAGATATGAGAGGGATGTAGCTGAAGACGGTGGTAGACAGTACAGAGAGCAACCAGGAAGACCTTATGATGACAGGGAGGCTGGACTACGGGACACCGATGATAGAGATTACAACCGTCCAATGCAGCCTCGTGATGATCCTCGGCAATCAGATTGGCAGCAACAGGAGCAACAGAGGTTTGAGCCACGGCAGAGTGATTCAAAGCATCAGCAGACTGATCCCAAGCATCATCAGTATGGTAGTGAGGCTCCCCGCTATAGCAAAGAACCCAGGCAATTTGAGCAAGATGTGGCAGGCCAGGGAAGGGATCCCTATGAATCAGACGACAGGTAAATTTTTTTTTGAGTGTTTAAGACATTCATGTGGAATGTGAAATTTTAGTGCTACACAAAAATAACTGGAAATATATTGGGTTTTGTAGGAAACTATGCATGTGCAAGACCAGGGGCGGCGGAACGCTTTTCAAACCGGGGGGCAACACCAAACAGGGGCACTTGCTCAGAAAAAGGGGTAGCTTCCGTCGGTGTGAAAGTGGAGAAAAAGAATATGGTTCTGTTAATTTTACTATAAACCTATATGACAAGGAACAAATTATGAATACATTGTCTGCCTTGCTATTTGTGTTTCTTTTACCTGGTTATGTAGAGAGACCTTTTTTATTGCGAGAGGGGCACCGTTGCTTTTGATGGCCAGTTCAGTAACCCATTTTATTCGCGTGAAGAGCAGTATTATTTTTAGGGGCCAATTTTCCATCTTTGGAGGGGCACAATTTTAATGTTGCGAGCAAGGCACTAATTGTGCTATCGAGGGCAGTTTTCCATCTCGAGGATTTGTTGCGAGAGGAGCACTATTGTTTGTGATGGCCAATTTTTCCATTGCGAGAGTGGCACAATTTTATTTTTGTGTGAAGGGTATTTGTGCTTTCGAGGGGTAGTATTCCATCTTGAGAAGGTGCACAATCTTGTTAATGCGAGAGGGGTACTTGTGTTTTTGAGGGGCAGTTTTGCATTACAAGAGAGAAGACAATTTTGTTTGTAGCATGATCATATGCTTTCATGTGTGCGTGTGAGGGGCAGTTTTGTTTTCATCTCGAGGGGGCACATTTATAACAGCAAGAGGTCACTTTTGTTGGAGGGGGTAGGGGGCAAGTGGCCCCCCCCCCCCAGTTCCGCTGCCCCTGTGCAAGACAGTAGTCTCTCTGGAAATACTTTGATATCCTAAGCTTCAAGTGTCCAAATTTGCATTTGTCAACAGTCGGTTTGTGTCTACAAGTTACCCATCAACTGTTGATGAATATGAGGGTCCTTACGCTGTGGATGAACGGCCACCTTTACAACTCTATCCACCACCCCCACCGCCTCCACCACTTGCTGCTGAAGAACCCAAACCAAAGAGCATTCCTGTCGAGGATCTGCTGAAGAATCCGGGTCGTCATCATCGCCCCAAGCAGATTGTTATCATTCTCAGAGGGCCTCCAGGCAGTGGCAAGACATACGTCTCTAAGCTCATCAAGGTAGGATTTGAAGCGTGGGATCTTATACATGTAGATTTCTTAGATTATAATTTATTAAATGCAGTTATTATAAGGGTGGAAGAAAGTTTCAAATGAGTCTAATTTGCAAGCTGTTCAAGATAACACAATATTGTGGAATTTAGTCTATCTCTTAGTTTCTAATTGAAGTAAGCACTGTTATTGTGTTAATGAGACTGATAATTTCCTACAAACTGGCAATAAGCTATTCAGCTTAGAAGTAAAAGTGACAACTACAACTGTCCAGTTGTGCAGAGAGGGTAAGGTTTTTGAAATGCAGGTCAGTTAAAATCCTTCACCAGAGAGTAAAATAATATTTCTTGCATTTAAAGGGTAGTTAACATTGACTTTTTTTTTTTTTAAGTTAAACATTTAACCATCAAACATTGCTTGGAACCAAATTTTCTAATGGGTGTGCTCTATTAACCCTAACCCCCTTGAGTGATTTACTAGGAATCTTCCTCACCCCTGTGAATTCCAACACCATATGGTAAACTGTACACCCAAACTGTTGGACTCTGATTATTGGTGGTATGCCTGACCCCATGTAAAGCATAAACAGTTTACTAGTGCAGTACCCACCCCAACAGATTCCAACAAACCCAAGTGTTTGAGTTTGACTGAATGGGGATTGTTAGGGTTAAAATGGCACTCGCTTTTGGAGCTAGTACCCATAAGAATAGATAAAAATTGGTCTTGTAAAAGCATGGTTATCAATTTGATTTAAAATTCCGTTTCAAAATCTATGTTTTTCTTGGAAGAACAAATTATCAAATGAAAATACTGTTTATTTCATCAGTTTCCTAGTTCTGGCAGAATATTGTGTGCTGTAAGGTTGTCCATTTTTTCTTGTTGCCTTTCAAATACTCTGGTTGCTTCGTGGTGGTATTACCCTTCCATTGTATCATACAAATATTGGCAGATGTGTTGTAGAGAGTGTCATGCATCAGCTTATTGGCGAGCTGCGAAGCAGATGCGAGCCTATGTAATACCAATTTCCGTCCGTCTGTCCGGGCGTCCGTCCGCCCGTCCGCGTTCAGATAAAAATGTTGAAGTTTTTGGTTCTAGTTAACTTGGGGAAAAAAATTAAATGCAGTTGTCAGGTATCATCTCTAGGCCTATAACTTCAGTTAGGTTCATATCATTGCAGTAAATTTTATGATTTTATTGAGGAACTTTAATTCAAGGAAATGTTAAAGTTTTTAATTGTTACATGTACACGTATACTGGTATAACATGTACATGTGTGTATACCGGTATAACATGTACATGTACACTATGCATTTTGGGGATGTGCATGAGCTTCTGGTTTGATCTTTTAGTTTATGGGGTTGGAGTAGGGATGGGGTAGGGGAGGGTGGGGTGGGGTGGGGTGGGGTGGGGGATAGGGTTGGAGTTAGGGTTTGAGTGAGTAGGGGAGCTAGGATGGGCGGGACGGGGCGGGTTGAGGTGGGGTGGGGTGGGGAGAGGAGAGGGGTTGGAATACTGGGTTTGGGTGGGGTGGGGATTTGTAGGGGTGGGGTGGGAACAGGTAGGGAGAGACAGGTAGGGGGAGACAGGTAGGGAGAGGATGGGCATGGATGAAGGGGTTGGGTTAGGAGGGGGTTGGGCAGGGGGCGGGATATAGGATCGGAGTAGGGGTTGGGTTGGGGATGTGTAGGGATGGGTTGTAGGGGTTGGATAAAGGGAGGGGGCAGTATATAGGGATCAGAGTAGGGGTTGCATGGGGTCAGGTGGGGATGTATGGGTGGGGGAATGGGGTGGGCGGGATATTGGAATCGAGTAAGGGTTAGGGTGGGGATGTGTAGAAGTGGGTAAGGACAGATAGGGGAAGATAGGGTAGGTGGGTGTAGGGGGTTGGGGAGGGTACGGGTCAGGGGAGGGGGAAGGAGATAGGGATTGGAGTTTGGGTGGGGTTTGGATGTGTAGGTGATAGGGTGGGGATGATTAGGGGAGGATGGAATGGGTGTGGGTAGGGGGTTGGGTGGGGGAGGGGGGGGGTGGGGATGGGGTAAGGTTTTGGGATGGGGTAAGGTTTGGGGGAGGTGGTGATGGTGCTGTGTCTACATGTACATGTATACCCATTCTTGTTCTGCATTTGTGGCGACTACACAAGAGTTTTTCCATGGTAATACAAGTATGGGGAGCAGAAGACACTGTTGGGGCTGCAAAAATCCACAACTGGGTCCTAATTACTCTAACAATGGAAAACTCCCCCATAATACAGTGACGGCTAACCTATATTCACATGTATTTATTAGGTAATCTGTTGACTTTTTATGTTGACATTTAAAAACTGACCCCTACACCTAGGCACATCAACAAGAATCCTGATCCCCTTCCATCATGCCCATCCCCAACCCTACCTTCAGCCTCCCTTCCTGCCTTGGACAGCGAGCCATGGCGGCTTCGCCGTTCTAGTTTTATGAACAAAAACTGAGTTCATCTCTTTAAAAGGCATCACTCTTGTGATGAGGTTGTTCTGATGTAGTAACAGTGACGGTGCTTTGCTTTCCATGTCAAGGGTCTGGAGACTAAGATGGGTGGTCATGTGCCTCGCATGCTGTGCCTGGATGACTACTTCATGACAGAAGTAGAAAGGATGGAGACGGATCCAGAAACTGGGAAGAAGTTCCTTCTCAAGGTAGGCAGATTTGGACATCACCAAAATTGTAGAAGTTGTGTTTTTGTGACTCAAAGGTATGTTGCAAAGATGCAGATGCTTTTCTGAAGTGTTTTTTTTTTTACTTAGCGTTCTGTGCATGAACAGTACATGATGCCAACTGGCTTGAAGTACATACAACATTCTTTTCATCTGAATATGCACCTTAACATGGTTGCTGGGCATTCAGATGCGGTGACGTTCAGGAGCTTGCCTGACCTTATCTTTGTGTCTGTGAGGGAGGACTTATGCACAGTTTTCAAAGTTTTCAGTTGATCAGCTCTTTTAACTGTTGTCAGACTTCGCAAAACAGCGGACAAATATGGCATGTACATGTGCATTACTGGATAAAATGGGAAGTAGTTTGTTCTTTTTTTTACCTCAGAATTACAAAAAAAAGTTGGCATGATCAACAAATTGCCATGATTTTCATGTGAATTTTTCAGAAAATGACTTTTTTAAAAAGCATCTAAATTCTCTGTAAAAAAATCAATGTCATCTTTTTCTTGGTCACAGACACTTTGTTTCATAAACATGATGAGTGTGTTCATTTCTCTTTGTGATGTTGAGGTTCTGGAGTATGAGTATGAGGCAGTCATGGAGATTGCTTACCGCACCAGTCTATTGAAGTCCTTCAAGAAGACTATAGATGATGGCTTCTTTGATTTCATCATAGTCGATGCCATCAATGACAAGATGCAGTATGTGGTTCCATTCAGAAACTACAGCAAACTCAAAGGCTTTGAGGTATGCTTGATGGCCTTAAACCATTCCAGTAGTGTAGTATAAATCATTTATTTTTCAGTGAGCAGGCACTAAAATGCATAGTCAAGCCTGTTTCAGGGATGGGGGTAGAAACCAGAACATTTTTTCGCAAAGGCACGAGACAGGAGACTCTAAGGGGAGATATGGGCAGAAGTTGTGTTCCCCATGCTATTTTGCAAGTTGCATCCCAAAAAATAGATTCCTTTTCATTGCAATTTTTTATCAATACAGAAGTTATTCACTTTTGAACGAGACATCAACCGAAAAAAAATAGGCCCATGTTCAGTTATTGAATTATTACCTTACAATTGTTTAATTATTGGCTGCCAGATAATAATTCCATTTTCAAGGGGTATGCTGGTTCCCGCCCCACAACAGTGTCAATAATGTACGGCATTCTGCTCGCAAAGCTGATTTGTTCGTGCCCAAAACAAAACCTTTTTTCGGACGGTTGCAGACATCCAAAAGGAAAAAAAGGAGGTTTTTTGGTTGGAATAAAACATACAAGTTGAAAATTAACAGAAAAAAAATTGAATTTGTTGAAGATTACGGGGAATGCAAGTTGAAACTTGGCCTTGATGTATTCTCTTGTTGTAAATAGGTATTTGTTGTGGAAATGATGGCTGATGCTGCCACCTGTCACAAACGAGACACTCACAATCGTGGTCTGCCTGATATACAGAAGGTTTGTCAATTCCTTGGTTTGAATTATCATGACATAGTTGACAAATTTATGTTTTTGGAATTTAAAAACTTTATTCAAGTTCTTGGTGTTTATATTTTGTCCTTCCTTTGTGGCTACAACAGTAGCTGGTATTTTTTTAAATACCTGGCAAATTTGATAAGAAAATTGAGTACCAGTACGCTTGCCCTTCTTAATTTAAAGGTCACTTAATTGGTGCGATATCTGTGTTCTAGTGACCGAAAATTATTTGATTACCACAAACATATTGGCACATACAATCAGCAAAACCCTTCATGAATTTACACAGTTGACTACAGTATATAGCCATGCCCCTGCATGGTGGCTGCCCGTGAGCCTTTTCCATCAGTTGTTGTGTTTTTGTCTGGATTTCTGCGCGGCATTAAATGATTTGTGATAAAAATATCATTTTGTGAGTTACGCTCGTGCAATTGCACCAAATTTGGAACATGTATAAAACACTCTTTGAGTCTAACTTGTTCCTAACGAAGTAGCAATTTCTGCGCCGTGCTTATATTGATTAAATATTGCCTGGAGTACCAGTGTCTAGCAACAATCAAGGGAAATGACTATGCTTTTTGATATAACAAAAGATAGCCCTGATGTCTTGGTGAGTAGCATATATGCTTTCTAGTGCATTATCTTAGATATCAAATATCAGGTATAGGTATGTTTTGCAATTTCTACATCCCAGAAGATCTACACATATTTCCTCGCTTTTTAAAAGCAGTACACTGTCAGTAAACAGTATCTATTATTTTACAGTAATTCGTAGAGGTATTGGTTTTTCATTGTATTTACATCCAGTACTGCGATTTTCAAACTTGTTAACTGGCAATTTGATTTACAGATTAATCGCAATTTTGAACCTCTGCCAGCTGACTACACCCGACTTGATGTGCGTTCTCTCCTACAGGATGATTGTATTGAAGAGGTGGGATACATGAGTTATTAGAGTCTCAACAGTCACTTATGCGTGCAAGATGTAAAGGCTACTTGTGTTGTTGACATCTATAAATGAGACTTGTAGAAAGAGTATATGTGAGGCGTTCTGTCATAATGGGCTGAGGTGTTCTGGGCATAGGCTGTATTGGAGAAACACGCAATGGAGTACCGAAGTGTGACGTCATTTAGAACCAGAAAGTGTAGTGCAAACGAATGGAGTACGCGTGCGTGTTCAGGGGCTGAATCAGCGCTAATGTCTTTCACTCACATTTTGTGCGCATAACATATTCACTTCGGTACTCCATAAACCTAATGGGGATGATTTTTTTTCTGCAATTTTCAGATTTATTGATATTTGTAATCATTGAAATGTCTACAACGCATATTTTAAAGAAATAGTATAAAAATCATGGAATTCAAGTGTTTTTAGAGACAAACAATGGGATCTTTTATTTTCACGACTATAAAGTTGAAAATTTAAAGTCCTTTCTCAGTTTTCACTGTCAATAAATGCAAACTTTAAACAGCCATAACTTGTCAACGGAATGTCAGATTGAAGTGCAACAGAAAATATTTTAAGGAGAATTTTATCCTCCTTCCTAAAACTCGCCAACCCTCATTTCGACCACTGCTCAGTTGTGTCACATTTTGCCAGAAGACCTCGCATATTAAAAGAACCAAAAGTAGAGAAGTGTATAGGTCTCATTCACATGACATCATTTCCTACAGACCATCCATGTGCATCGTCATTTTGAGCATCAACTTGCATAATGCGTATCGACTGCATCGTATTTCACACAAATTTCTAGCAACAAGCGCGTTTGGAACATTTTTAACACTGTGCAATGCGTGCTTGATTGCGTAAAATACGCAGTTGCAGTTCTTGTACTGAGATGGCCGTCATTGAGCAAGCCCTATTAAACCGGCCTCCACACCCGTATTAAAAGTACTATCCATTCTAGTTTCAACTAATGTATAAATGTATTGTAATAGACCAATTCATTCAGCCCTGCCATACTTGTGTTTTGACCAATCACAGTGATGATTTACGTCCAACATGTGTGCCCAAATGTCAGACGTGTGCACGTGTGTATCGCTCGACTGAGACATGCTCGGTTGGAGAGGTGCACGTGCGCAGTGGACAGGGCTTAATGGATCAATCTACCTGAGGATGAGAAAACATGGTCTTTCTGATGATAGTTGATGGGATTTATTGGGGTCCAATCTTGCAGGTGGAGATGGAGGATTTTGATGAGGAAGCAGAGGCAGCCAGACAGAAGGAAGAGGAAGAAGACGAAGATGAAGATGAACTGGTAGGTGTAGAGTCATCTCTCATTCCTCTCCTGGTTACATGTAGGACAAGATGCAAATAGTTGACCAAGATTAGAGTCTCCTATCAGAAATAATGAGTTGGTATCTAGGCTTTATTTGTAGTTACAGCTCTTAAAGTGTTCAATGATAATGACACTACACGTATGTTAAATGGTGTTATTGTTAAAATAACTTTGAAATCACAACTGTGATGACACTTTGCTCATTGTAAACTATGCTTTATCAGATAAACAATTGATCGTAGACATCCACGTTTTTGTCGAGCAGGATATATTTTTAGAAGTTAGTATTTTTTTAGGATGCCATATTTTGTAGCTCTTTGCGTATGGTGAGCAGATCGCTGGGGCCTGCTGGTGAAGGTGAGTTGATATCTTGGCTTGAATGTCAAACTGCATTGTTTTGATTCCCTCGAATTAAGACAATTCTGTTTTTTGCAATTAATTGTGGTTTCATGTACAAAACAAGTCTTGTGCCTTAATCAAATAAATGCTGGCCTAGCTGTAGTACCTCTTTATAATTATGATATTTTCCTTGGAAGGCAGAATGTTCACTCGAAACAAATTCAGAATTACCTTACCAATGTGATGAAATACATGTAGTAGGGCATATAAATAATCGAGTTGATACTCAGTCATGATAAGCTGCATAGCAAATATAACAAATCTGAGGGTTTTGCTTGTCCACTGCTGAAGGTTTACACGGATCCCCCATTTTAATCCATACAAAATAACAACTACTTGATTGTATAGCCTGTATTCTGGGCCCAATCAGTCATTTCTGTGGAAGTGTGCCATCCATGGCTAAGAAGAATTGACAAGAGGGTATTTATCTGAAACTTGTTTCTTAAGAGAAAACCAAGGGCTTTACAAAGCGGTGGTAGTCTTTGACCCCTTAGAGCGTAAGAAAACTATTTATGCAGGTGTAGTATATTTTTAAGAATATGGACTCAGTGCGCAAACAGTAGATGGTGCTTTGTGACCACTTTCTAGAGCTCCAGTGGGGGAGACACACCACGTGCATGTATTGGTTCGTGGGCGTATTACGCAGAGTATGCATGACTCATTTTATTTGAATGTGCACAAAACTGTAGCGTCTTCGCGTGATTGTCGAGCGCCAGCACCAATGCTTTTGAATATCCCTCCCAGTGTTCTCTCAAATTCTCTCTTTGTAACCATTGAGGGGGTACTTGTGCACAGAGTCCATATATTTTTAATCAAGGTCTAGGTTTTGTTATATGGTGTAGGATTAATGCATTGTAGTCTTAGATAATATGACAATTCTTTTTAAGTATCAAATGCGTGTGTCTTACACTTGTTAAAGTTCATGTGGAATATGGTCCTCTGTTGAAATCCAGAGGACAATTGCATGGTGTATATGTATTGCCAACTTTTAGGTTAAGAGCAGGTGAGTATTACAGATAGTTTTGTGGAAGTTAATTACTTGACTTTGTTAATATTCAAATGTTAATGTTTTCTATGTAAAAAAAAAGTCAATTCGAAAACGAAAAATAGTTGTACGCGCTGTTATTTGTTACGGTCGGACAGTGGTCAAATACTCCGCAGCAAATAATATTCAGCAGCACATATGAATGAAGAGGACAATTCAGCTCCAAATCCTGAAATCATTTCAATAGATGATTGAGGTACAGTATGATTAATGTGTGCTTTCAACACTTTTTGACATTCAGTTTTCATAGATTTTTTTTAATTTTAGTGATTTTTCAAACAGCAGTCTTACAAAGTAGAAAGATTGCGGGTAAGACCATGTAGAAAGTAATCTCTTCTTTGAAGAAGTTCTGAAAAGAACCAGTTGATTGAGCGTAGAACACGACGTTTTGGACAGTGTGCTCTGTCTGTCCTCAGGAGGGTGAGTGATGAGATGTGGACGTTGAGTTCTACACTCAACCAACCGGTTCTTTTCAGAACCACACTTCTTCCATGAAGAGATTACTTTCCACTGGTGTTACCTGCAATCTTTCTATTTTATCTCATCCTCCATGCACAGCTTCAAGTCATATATAGCAATCTTACAGATGCCTCTCTAATATCCTGTAGATCATATTGTATTGAAAAAGACTTACATTATTTCAGTGAACTCTGTACACGACCTTTCAAGAGCTCCAGTGGGAGGGACATACGGTGTGCGCACATCAGTTCGCGCATGTATGGTGCAGCGTATATGTCAGGTGCCGTCAGCAAAGCATAATGATGTCCCTCCCAGTGGTCTCCTCATTGTAACCATTGACGGGGTACTTGTACATGGAGTCAATACTTTTACATTTCTTCATGGCCATGGGAGGTTTTCATTTTATCAGAAAAATCTCTCAAACTGAGATTAAAAAAAATGAAAAGTGAGCAATTTTAGGCCTTATGACGTACTCATAGCTTAACAATAAATTGCTCAAATTTTCATTCATTACTGCGAACAGGACAAGGTTATACCTTGGACAAGGTTTCTTACTGGATTTTTTTCCCAACTGTAAAGAAAAGTGAAGTCATTTACTAAAAATGTAATGTAAAGTATTTATCTCACTGCAGTAGTCTTTGTTTGCTTCTCTACAAAGCAAGAATTTAATGCAATTAACAGTTTTGGGTCAACACCAACCAAAGTTGTGTGAAGATTTGTGAAGTTAGTACAAACGATTACTTGTGTTTTATACAGTTATCACATAGAGTTGCCTGTAGTGAGCTACAAAGCAAATACATGTACAGTGTAGTAGGTTTAGTAGGGCCCGTTTTCACGGCACCTGTAAGTACACAGGTTTACACTGGAAGAACTGTTATAAGACTTTGCATGGCAAGAATTCCAGCTTGTCATAAGTGGTTCCATATAACTGGACACGGCAGTTGAGATCTCATTGAACATGGAAGAATTCGCTAGTTGAACAAAATAGCATATTTTGAATGTTAGTATAACTCACTAAGACAGTACAGTATTGGACATACTATTTGCTTCACCACGATTCTTTGACTTGCCAAGTAATGCTGCTAACAGCTGACATGAGTCTTGATTTCTACAGTCTTACTGCAAAATGTACAGTTCCTAGTTCTGTCCTTTCATTGCTTTTAAGATTTGGTCATTGTTAAACTGGTACTAGAGGCAAGACCCAATACCTTTAGCATATCCAGGAATATAAGGTTGCAAAAATGCAACTCAACCAAGCTTATGAGAGTCAGAACTGTGGTGCTTAGGTTCTGAGCAAAGAAGGCATTCATTCATATTTGTTTCGATACACATATTTTTGTACATGCCACTGTGCAAGAAGTTAGGGATGTACATGTACGTACTCGTTGATGATTGATTTGGGGGTGTTTTTGTTGTTGGTTGCAGGGTGTGTTCGTCAAGAGTAAATGGGAGACAGCGAGTGGAGAGAAACTTGGTGAGTACACGGCTGCCGAGACACTGGGCACTACCGTGCAGTCAACCAATACAAGGGTTTGCACAAGATCCAGGAGTTGCTTGCAATACATTGCTAGAAGGAAAAGGGAAGACAAAAATGTAGCGTTGATAGCGCGGCCGTTTTGTTTGCTGCAAGGTTGGTTCGGGCGATTGCACTCACCAGAAATGCATAGAAAAGCACAGTATTTATGTGCATCGTTGGTCATTGTCAGCGGTCAATGTTGAACTTTGCGTAAAGGCAAATGAGCAGAAACTGGAGGCTCTGTATTCAGCCGTATATTTGAGGGTAAGACATGGTCTGTTGGGTTACAATGATGACTTAGTTACTTTTTAGTTCCAATAATATTTTCACTTGAACTAATGTCGAATATAGTTTGAAAACACCTAAAACATTGACCAGAAGAATGGAATTAAACCGTCCTTATGTCTATGTTAATGTGCCTGCGGTATAATAGACCAGTTTACATCTTGCAAGGATTGATTGCTTGCTGCTTATAGAAATTACTGGATTTTTAGTTATCCTTATATCCACCTAAGAAAATGTCTACAGCAACACTTCTAATAGCAGAAGATTTTCATTTCAAAACACATTCAGTTGAATGATGAATAATGTCAACCTGTTAAAGATCATTTTGTTCACTGAAGATTCTAACTATTGATTGGGTTCTTTTATGTCTCCTGCAGAACAAAACATTGAAACAGTTTTCTTGATTGTTTAAAAAATAACGCTCATTTCTTTAAATTTGAGAAGTTTAGTTTAGTTTAAAAACAAAAATCAGAACTAGTTTGTACAGTTTTTCCACAACATTCTTATAATCCTGTTTACTTGTCAACAAGAGATAAAGCTAGTTGATAGTGATAGGCAGTGGGCTTGAATATGTGCCATTTCAGTTAACAAGTGTGGCCACTAGGCAGTTCCATTTATCCTTGGTGAAAAGTGTTGTAGTCAGTTTAGCACCCAAAGTAACAGTCTTACCTGTTAATATATTGTAATACCCCTAAAGCCTTACATTGAGTAATAGGCATCGGATTTTTTTCTCTGGTATTTTAGTGACTTACTTGGCTATGCCTGTGCTCTGTGTTAAGTGAGCAATACAATTGGACCAGTGTGTCTACTCTCAGTAAAAAAATAATATATCTCTCCCTGTCAATTCTTTGATAGCAATTGTTTTTTTCCCAACAGTGTTTTGCTTTTTTTACATCACCAGTGATAAGTTACACTGTTGCTTGCTACTCGAAATAAAATAAAAACGAATGGAAAATATGTGATGTGTTCTGTCAAAACGAGACTCATCTTGGCAGCTGGCCAAAAAGTGTTTTTCTAGTAATTGCTAAAATTGTATAAATCTTGCTCTTTAATTTTTGGAAAGAAACCGACTTCTTTGGCAAAATTCTACCCATATAATTTTTTTTATAACACAGATGAAAATAGTGGAATTGCCTTTTAAAGTTTGGGGTTGTACATCTCTTGAACTAAAAACCTTGACAAATTATCTGAAAAAAATCACCATTAGATGAACATCACTTCTAAAAATCACCGTCTAAAACTTTTACAACATATTCTTTGACAAATTTAGGATCCCAAATTGGGGGAAAAAAACAAAAGCAAGAAAAAAATCTGAAAATAAAAAGAAAAATCTTGCTTTAAAATCATTTGTTGGTAGTATATCTACTTCAAGCCCTGCAAACCCTGCTCATCTGGTTTTGACAGAACACATCAAATATGGTTTATGATACTTGAGAGATACAGTATGTGAAACTAGATTAAAAAGAGTTCTTTGTTGTGATTGCTTGAAATGCTTTTACTCATATTTGTCATTCTGTCTACTCCCTACTAACAGACAAACTTGATGGAGTGCGATCCTACGGCAAGCGTAAACATTCAGCGGAGGAATCCCAAGTTCAGAGTATGGAGGACTATCTAGGCATGTCAGACTACACACAAGATGCACACAGGGATCCTAATGCCAAACGGGTTGGTCATTTTTGGTTCATTCTAAAATTGATTAAAGAAATTGACTGGAGCAGAAACCATACTATCCAGCCCTATGTTGGCAGTTCTCAAGTTTGTTGATGTCTTTGTTCAAAGGCACTAGTCAGAAGCCATAAACCTGTATATGCCATGTAGCCAGGGATCACGCCCAAAGTCACGATGCTTGCAACATTAGCATTTCTGTAAACGTGGGGATTTTTTGGGTTAAGAATTATTTCCCATCAACTCGTGAATAGTATCCACTGCCAAATTAAAAACAACAGCTTTAATTTGATAAATAAACATTTCCTGAAATAATGTTTAAGGAATTGATCAAGTAAATTGCTTTGAGACAGTACGTGTACATGTACATATAATTGTAGGGTTAGACATTTAACTTAAAAACTATAAAAGTTTAAAATATACAAGTTGTGTTACATTTTCTCTACTTGGTTCTGTGCAACAGTTAAGTCTGTTTGATTTTGACACTATACATTAACTTGTGCGAAACACTTTGAGTAAAATGACATAGGATATTGAATCAACATCTGTTCTGAACTTATCACACTTGTCTTGTTGGTGTGCATTACCGTCCTCAATCATTTATAGATTTTGATTTGAGTGGAAAAATGGACTGAAGTCAGATCCTAATGAGAGCACCAAAGTGTAGATCCAATACCTCACACACTTGTCATTTGTTGTGACTGTAGGTACGCTGGGCTGACATTGAAGAGAAGAAAGACCAGGAGCGAAAGCGAGCCTTGGGATTTGTGGTCGGCCAGACGGCGCAAGACTGGGCTAAAATCACTGATGATAACTTTGCAGAGAAAGCTCTCAATCGCACCAAGTACTTCTGAGGTCAGTTGACCAATAAGATAGCAGTAAGCAGTTTTTGTGTCAGCAGTTTTCAAAGGATATGAGGGGGATGGGTACAGACAATGAACTTACATGCACGTGGTGGCTTGGTAGGCTTACATACCTGTCGGTTGATTCTTTGAGAAAACATTCAAAAATGTTGGGTATGTTGAGTAAGATCTGCCCGTCTCCCTCATGGTTGTCATCATTGTGGGCTCTTAGTGGATCAAGAGGTCTACAATGAAATTTGGCTTCAAAGAAATTCAATTTGACAACAGAGTTTCTTGAAGCAAGTACTTCGTTTTGATGAACATTTTATTCTCTATTCATAAATACCTCAGACAGTTTACCCATTCCTATTGGTCGAGAGCCCGTCACGTGGCCGGTCTTAGACAGTTGATAAAACATCGGCTGGTCTTAAACACTTTTCCAGTGTCACATGAAATTTGGACTCATGAAATCTGGTCCCCTTTTATTGTTTGAACGTTCACAATCTTCACTTAGGCATGCTCAATACTACCAATGAGTCAGTATTTCATTGTCCTAAATTCACACTACACCGGAGCAGCTGCGCTCTGCCCCACATTGCACAGTTCGCGCCACACGCGCGCCAATCTCCATATAAGGAGTTGTTTATGACTACCCGCGAGAGGCACATACCATAACATAGTTAGAGGGGTGTTTAAAAAAATATGTAAAATTGTTGAATGAAACAGTTGAAAATTTATACTTTTTATTTACTTGTTATGACTTTTTGACCGAAAAGGTATTTATGAAGGGGAATAAATATGTGCTTGGCCGGTATTAAACACCATGTTTAAAACCGGTTTGCAATCTGGACGCTGTTCGGGGAGGGTCATTATCAGCATCCAGACTCGAGACAGGGCTTGACATAGTGTTTAAGACCAGTCAAGCACATATTTATTCCCTTATTCCAAGCAGTCCATTTTCTGAATGCACAGCGTGGTTCATCTTTGACTTTCCCAGTTATAAACAGTGTTATACAGAACATTTAGTGATTATGAATATTCCTTGTTTTCTTAGTGCTACCAATTTACAAGGTAATTGTAATAATGGAATTGTACTACATGTACATGCATTAAATCCTCTTGATAATCTCTCCAAGCAATCCATGACAGACAAAATACACCATCAGCCTTACTATGTAGTTCACTGAGGGTTCCAATAATCAAAAATGCATTTTTTGAGACTTGATGTTTATGTTCTATGACTCACTAAAACATACTTATTTCTAATGTTCACTTGCAGATTAATCACTGAGCAGTAGCAAGGAGATGGTGTATGTATGCGTTGAACCACAAGCTTTGACTCTACAATGTTGGTGGTCTCTGGAGGACTTGCGCATATAATGTCAAGCTATTGATGGCCGCCTTATGCTGACTTTCCATATGCATGGTTTCAGTCTTCTTGTTTGTCTGCTGCGTATCTAGGCCTATTCTACATAGGAAACCTAATATGCAGCAGACACAAAATGTTCATATGGGAAGGCAGTTTAACACTCAGAACATCATCGAGTACGCAGCCAGTTAAAAGAAGTATAGCACAGGATGATGCCCAAATGTTCATTGTTAGAACAGGTTCCTGAATTGTAATTATCTTTTCAAGATGTCGGGTGTTTTTTCATTGAGAGGACTTTCAAACTTTTATGCCGTTCGTCAGATCAGACTTTGTAGTTTTTGCAATCACAAAATTGGTGGTGGACTTATTTCGTGCAGTTTCTTCAACAACCAAATTCTCTCCAAATTCATATTTGATAGGAACAATTTTATGAGTGAATAAGTAACCACCAAACAAATGTTCAAAAATAATAGTAGATTTAGTTGTGTTGAGGATTTGGATCCATCTAATAGTTAAAGATCAAGTTCATGAGAAACTTCAGCCGTATGCTATCAATTATCAAAAATCTTCACAGGATTACTTCTAGCTCTATCTCCTGTTAGTCTCGTGGGGTTTATTGTTTGAGTCACCAGTTATACCTCCTAAAGTGAGAAGAAATGTTTCTCTGGCCATTGATGTCTACATCAGCATTCATCTTGATGGTGTGTGAAATTGTAAAAAAAAACAACTAAATAAACAGTGAATTTTTCATGGCTTACTGCATCTGTGGTCCAGAAAAGACAGTGACTAACTGTTCATCTATGAGAATGTGATGATAACATCATCATCATCATATTGTCCAAAAGACAGTTACTTTTACCTCACCTAAAGCTAGAAAATACTACTAGTAGTAAACTGTAGTATGCACTACTTCAGGGTATAAGCGAGCACAGCACTCTAAGTATTTTGTGGTATCGGGTACTTTACCCCAAATTTACTCTTAAGGGTTAGGGTTAAACAAAGAATACTTATTTACTTGTTTCTCATGCATTTGCCTTCTGTAATCTGTATTGATATTTTTTTTGTAAAAATACTTCCTGATCAGTGCACCATCACTCTGCTGAATTGTTAAAACAGCGTAGAAGCTATTTGTGAATAGCAGTTGGGATTTTCTGTTAATTGTTATACATGTACTTGATAATTCAATACTGCGTGTTATCAGAAACAAGCTTTGTAGCAGTTAGCAGTAATCAAATCCGTAGTTTAGACATTTACTGTGGCTTTTAATTAAAGTATTTCTTTTGTCAGAAAGACTAGCATTGTAAGGAACAAACTTTTGTTGTGTTTTACTTAAAAATGTTAAGACCAAAAAAGAAGCAGTTGAGTTTAGGTTCTTAGGTATAAATTCAAGGAAGTAAAAACAGTGTTGGAATGAAGTGTACATATTTATGTGATGTTCTTGAGGCAATCGATGTGCTGTAGTGGCATACATCGGGCATGCATACTTTCAGGGCAGGTTTTGTACATGTAGAATTAACCATTCAGATTTGGAACAGTTGGGCTACTGCATGCACTATGCAGTCTTCGATCAATACATTTCGACTTCTTTGAAGTATTTTTTATCATAGCAGTATTGAGGTAATATGCCAATTCCCTAGATTAGGCCTATGTCATTGTCATGCTGTGCCATTTGCAGTATCAAATTTAATTTCGGAATTAGACTACGTAATTATCAAAAATGCTGGATATTATACGATGGCTAAATTGCGTATCAGATAACTTGAACTACTGACTGCATCAATGTATAGTTCCACGGAAGAAATTCAGTTTAACCATCTTTTTTCAGTAGAAATATAAACAATTAAGGTATTATATACTATTGACGAAGTAAGGGTCATTTTGAGAAATAGCAATGTCAACGACGATGCCCTAATCAAACCCAAAGTTGCTCAAATCAAAGCAAACGTCCTGGCATTATTCTCTTTCAAAAGTCGTTTGCTGATAAATTCGTGGTACACCAGGACCACCTCACAGCTAGCTATTACTGTAGAGTGTCAATGTTATTAGACTTGACAAATTAGTATAAATAACCTTTTACTTTAACACGCGGTGTGGTCCATTTTATGACGCTGTTTTGTCTAGATATGTGCGCCATTAAATTCTGGCACTGTATGAAACAGTTTATTTATTTTGTGTTAAAGCGTTTTAGTTTTTTTTTAATTTTGTCTTTAACAAAAGATAAATAGGACGAGAGCTTTTCGGATCATAGACGTTTTGTTGCTAGGTTCACGTTCAACCATTATTCTAAAAGACACAAGAAATATGTTTTGCTGGCTATGCACATACACAAATAGGCTACTCTGATCTAATTACATGTATTATGTTAAGTACATGTAGTCTAAATTCAGACACGTTTTTAGTTTTAAACGTTTGGAGGTATTTTTCCGTAGGAGATGTCATCTGTCTATAGGCCTACATCGCCTACAAAACAGGTACGGTATACTTTGATGATCCTCGCTTTCTTCGATATTTTGTCTAGTTAAGTACAATGTAATATTTTGTCTTCTGATGCCAAAATGTGGTATTTTGTATTCTAATCCTTGCGTTCTGAAAATGTTATTTGCATTTTCAAGCAGATGTTTTATACAAAGCGTGCAGGGTGGCGCGAAACACGACCATACTAACACATTATTATTTGTAGGCGTTGGATGACTTGATTGAAGTTTTGATTGAAACAGGTAGCGTTTCACGACCGCTATTAGGCAGTTAGCAATACCACACAGTAATCTGTGTGGAATTGGAGCAACTGTGCCTATCCCCTTACCCACACGACCACAACCAGTGCGGTGGCAGCTGAATCACTTCAAGTTGTGAAAAACAAATAGAAGCTTTTTAGAGGAGTTTATGCCAATGTCGCTCACCTGCTGACGGATTTACGAGCCGTCCAAGCGGCGGCAATCGGAACGTTTGCAGCTCGTTAGCCCAACGCAGTCTTAACATGGCGGCCAGAATGTGCTCAAGAGCCGTCATTATTTGGCGCCAAAATACGCAGTCCTTGTGAAATGTCGTCTGGAGTGCATACAGCGCCACATTGGCCTTGCCGTTGGATATTTTATTGATTCATAAAAATTCAAGCGAATCGGTCTGACTTTGTTGATTTCTCTCCAAATATTTACTTTGCTTGTTTTGCTGCTGATGAAAATGTACGGATTCCCGAAAACGACCGTTATGTAGGTAGCATTCGCCGTGCAGGCCCGATCAATAGTTGCTCGCGTTTATTTCAACTTTCCGAGCATATAATTACATCAAAGATATCGGTTGCCCTGACCCTAATTAAACCCAGGAAATCTGGCGGAATTTATGATTGGTCCACGCGACAGAAACAAATCCGTTGGGATGGATTTTATTCTCGGAAACCTAATCCCGTGCTGTTCGCTCTACGGGACGACTCGATAGTGTTATCAACGCCTAACACAGGGAAAATCATCGTGGTTTTCCTGATTGCTGGACGCAGTTCAGCTTACCGTATTCTAATTATTGATAATAATTATTGACAATAATGTGATGGATTGTGTGTATTATAGCTTTCAATCTCACAAATGTGGGTTCTCAGTAAAATGTGTGTGGTGAATGGCTGTGGCTGTGCAGCCAGAAGACGCACAGAAGTGCAAACCATAAACGCTTGAAACTACAGAGACATAACAATCTGGATGAGATGCAATCCATATCGGGCTAATATCGACGGACCACCCCGGGGTGTTTACGATTGAGCTCGGGGTAATAATAGGGAGGCATTTTTCTTGGCAAGTCACGGATACAAAGCCAAAGACCCCAAAATCCACAGTACCATGCAGGCTAATCGCCGAGGCCCTGGAGTTACCCCGAGATATTTTATAGCTGCGCTGAGTGACCATCTCAAGTACAGCTGCTTACTGCTTGCACTCGATCCCCCGCCAAAGCTAACAAAATGTCGCCAATAAAAAGTTCGTTCCTATAAATATACCTATTGATTAATTGCGTTTTCATTCGTTTAGTGGTCTTTGTTTTAGTCTACCTGCCGTTGTGTATACTTGCCTTAAATTTGACTTAAGGAAGAGATGTAAACAAATAATGCCGTCTGTAGTCTTCTAAGCATCATGTACTCATTTTGGTCATGGAGGGAAGTACAAAAAAAAAATTCGATATTTTGTATTGGTCAAGTCTCGCCTTCGAATTAAAAGACAAAGCCCTTCGTTGAAAAGAAACTGATAACAGTTAGGCCTACACTGCCATCTTGAGTAACCTTGCGGTAAAATGTGCATATGTTATCGCCTGTTGCAGGTAAGGAAGGTCCGTTAATTGGCCAGGATGTTACAAGATTACCGATAAATGAAATTGCGTTATGTAACTCCAAGCACCGAAAACAAAAATAGACTTCGATATTTTGAAATCTGCAGAAACTGGAGAACTATGAACGAAGCCGCAGTGGGCCACCCCTGTCTTGGGCACGTGCTGTACATTTCACGACCACCTTAATTGTATATTTTGCAAAGGGTCGATGGTGTCATTTGGCGTGGATATTTATTTATTTGTTCTCTTTATACACGGAGTATGACACTCGTTTAACCTTGGCGAAGTGAAGACAGGTGTGAATCAGAATCCCCGCGGCGGGGAATGCAAACACACAGACGGCGCAACTTATTGTCTTGTCTTTGAAATCCAAGCTTCGTTTCTATTAGTCAAATATTTATCGACAATTATTTTAGGTATCTCCAATATTGTCATTCGTATTGCGTTTTCTTCTAGGCGCCACTTGGATATGGTTAGTACATGTACGTGTATTATGCACGTGAAAATGTACTCAAGTTCGAACATGATGTGACAGCATGTGAAAGACTGACTGTCTCGGAATGCGCGTGTCCCATCACTTCGTTGGGCGGTGTTAATATTAATATGTGAAACAAAACTAGGCAAGCCTAAATGCTATTCCCAGACGAATTTGGATTAAGAGGTCTACGCATATCTATAGTCATCCGAGTCAATTTTTTTGGGCCGGTGAGGCTTATGTAATAGTGTGTCACAGAGAAAGCTTACATGATACAGTCATTAATTGGGGCGAATGGCTTTATTTAATAACTTGCTCTGAATGTTTGATTTTTAGTTAGCACGGTTCAGCGGCCGATGTACGAATTAGGTACTTAGGTCTTCAGCCCCTTTGGCCGCAAAAAGAAGAAGAAAAACGTGAAGAAAAACAAAGCCAATCCCTGCTAAACCCCCTCTCGGCAGTTAACGGTTAACCCCTACTCCATCCAAACCTGGTACCGCCCCTGGTTCCTCTTTTGTCTTAACCAGGAGTTTTTCATTGTAATTGTGTATTCGTATTGCTTTTTTTATGTTGCATAATAAGATAGTGACCTTATTCAAGATAATTTATGATTAAAGACGGCTGCTAAAAATAAAAGGCGGGAAACTGGCGTGGTTGGGCTGGAGTAAATTGGCAAGGGTGAGGTTTTGTCGAAGCATGCCATGGCCAGCACTAGCAAGGGCAACCATTTGGATTGCTTCAGCTGTATCTCACAGGGTGGTATATGCCGTGGTGTAATATCAAAATAACCCCGCTGGCAACGGCGCAATATTATCCGCCATACTTAAGGAAAAATGTGGACCCCAAAAAGGGGAAATCATAATACGGAACAATGTCTGTCCCATCGCCGCCCTTTGGAAATAAACAGACAATGTTTCAACTGCTATGACCCGCTGAGATGTCCACTTTGGTTGCGGCAGGGCCGCCTATTGTGTAGACCTTTAAAGGGAAATACTGCTCGGCTCATTTATGCCGGTTTTTATTTCATAGATGATTGATTAAATATGTGAGAGTTCTAGCTAGAATAATTTGTGATGTCAGATCATACATTTCAACTTCAAATAGATTAAGATTAAGGAAAGTTCCAATTAATAATCAACACGCTATTTTTTTTTTAATGTTCTTGTATATAGCTATAAATTACTTTATTACCATCGTGGAAATCATCAGTGGTATTGTTAAATTGGGCTCCAGGACTGTAACACTCCTCCCCCCAACAAAAATCGGTTTCTGATTTAGTGGGCTTGGGCCTTTCCCCACGTGTTCTATCGGTGGTTGAAGATGTTTTGTTCCTTTGTCTGTGGAAGATGCTTTGTTCCTTTGTCTTTGGTCTTTATATGGGGGGAGGGGGGGGGAAACATAATTATACAAAATAAAGTATATATTATGAGGAGAAATCCACTGAATTCAAGATAATTTCGGTAGGCCTATACCCAGCCTTCGGACTAGCGCAGGAGCTTCTACATGTCACTTGGTGGTCGGCCTGTCTGTCCCTGGAAAATTGACCAAAATAAGCCCGCTAGTTTCCCATACAATTTTGATTTTCAAAAAAAAAGCAAACAAAGTAACTTGAATACTTAAAAGATGTTTATGAAATGTTTGTAAACGGAAGCAAAGTATGTGCAGTATTGTTATAGTCACGTGATATTTATCACACATCGCAATGCTAGGTATAAATCCAAAGTATGGTGTTCCATATGTGCCATCGGCGTCGCATTTTTGGGTGTCGCATTTTTAAGCTCTGGCTGGGCCGGGATCATTTCGATAGATTTCATGCAAGGCGGCCAGTTGTGCACTGGCGCTTGTTCTCGATATACCTCGATTCGGTATATCAAGGCCCCATTCTGAAAGTTTGTTTGGAATCCGTCCGCACACTGCTGAATAAATCTGTTTTACTTTTAGGATTTCTTGTTTTTAGGGGGATACACCACAAACAAGTGATTTCGGGAAATCAACGCCGTGTCCTAACGCAATGTTGCGAAACCTTGACCAAAAACGGGAATGTAACTGTTCATTAAATGTATTAACTTACAACGTTTACCTCTGCTGTCATTTTCAAGGGTAAATCCACGTAAATAACCCGCTATATTTATTTCGCAGCACCCATTATTGTCAAATTCCCCACCGCTTCACACTAACCGTCAGTTACATTGATAGCGGCGGACGGTCTATGTCTTTATGGGCCCGAGACAAGGGGGCTTCGCATGAATGATGATGATGCATTTCGTGATGTATACAAAAAAATCTAGCCCACACAGGCCGCCCAGACCGCTGGTAACAAGTCATCACTGGGCAGGAGGCTGAAGAACATCGGCCCAGACTGAGGCTAGATACCTCGAGTACGCAAGAATGCTATAGTTTTTGTTCCTGTTTGGCTGGCCGAACAAAGCAAACGTTCGTGACTAATTGGGTACTTGAGCCCCATAATTCCACAGTGTTTGTATCTATTGATGACATTAACGGCACGGTTATAAAGTGATAATTGGGAAAGAGGCCGTAGACTCCCACATAGGAAAGGCCAAACATATCAACCATAACTCTGCTGGCAATTTGGCGAAAACAGTTTTGAGTGTAATGGATTTTGTTTTTAATGAAAGTGGTTCGGATTTTAACAAAACGATATATGCACGATGCTCCATAATATTTGAAAGTTGAATTTATTTAGCTAAAGCTGAGCAAAACACAACACTGTTGAGCATTAGTATTTACTGTACAACCATTTAACAAGCAAAATTGTATACCTCAGCAGTGAAGGCCAATACTTTGTAAATGTTTATGTATTTGTCATGAGCCTGGTTAGGCGAAATAGTGCTGAAAGGTCATTTACTAAAATGTGCGAGAAGAAAAAAACACATTTTTAAGAGAAGTTTTGGAACAAAAGAAAATCACCTTTATTAAATGTTTCATCGATAAGCTGCAAAATGCGGAGAAACAATTTGAAAGTATAGTCTTCGCATCAATTCTGCCGCATATTTTAAAAATTAGTTTAATATACACAGTTTTGACAACGTTTATGCCTCTTTTGTTACCTTTGGAAAATTATTTCGGTACAAATAAACAGGTACCGTTTTTTATTAACTGTATTGATTCATTAACTTTATATAGCTTTACTAGCTTTTTTCGCACAAAATCCCCCCCCCCTTTTGCGATAAGTTTAAATTAAGCTAGCAAAGTTAATTGAGTTTCGTACCTAAAATGGGTTTTTCAAAAAGATTCGTCTTGTACCTATTTTCGCTGGCTAGTACGGCAATTTGTTTTATGCATTTTTGGCGTAGCTAGGAACTTGTAGCACATGGTGATTTATAATAATCGTGAGATTTGCCAGTATTGTCTGCACAAACAGAGTAAGATTTGTTTTATTCTGCATCCAATATGTTGCATAATATCCCCGTATCATGGATTTCATGTAAAGCCGCCTATAGGCTACTTTATATACGCAAACAATCACTCAGGCAACCAGGAGCGGGCGTCCTTTACAATACCACGGTTGTCCATGCTAAATCGATCTCGATCTTTCATTTCGTCCTTGTTGCCTACGGGGAGCACGCCGCGTTTCTCGGTAGGGTCCTCCTCGTCCGTGCCGCTGCAGTCATCGGTCAGGAACCGTTCTCTTTAAAATATTTCAAAAGAACATCTTTGAAATATGAATAGAATAGAAGGCAAGACATCGAATCTGTTTATGACTAGTTCTTCTATCTAGTAGCTTTTATTACAGGAAACGGTGTATTCTTATATGGGGTGCAATATTACATATAGCCTTGCAGTTAAGTGCGAATGAGCTGATTTTGAACAGGAGATGCCAAAATGAATACAGTGCCAATTTCCGATGGCCAAGTTCTGATTTCGTTAGTACGGCAATTTGTTTTATGCATTTTTGGCGTAGCTAGGAACTTGTAGCACATGGTGATTTATAATAATCGTGAGATTTGCCAGTATTGTCTGCACAAACAGAGTAAGATTTGTTTTATTCTGCATCCAATATGTTGCATAATATCCCCGTATCATGGATTTCATGTAAAGCCGCCTATAGGCTACTTTATATACGCAAACAATCACTCAGGCAACCAGGAGCGGGCGTCCTTTACAATACCACGGTTGTCCATGCTAAATCGATCTCGATCTTTCATTTCGTCCTTGTTGCCTACGGGGAGCACGCCGCGTTTCTCGGTAGGGTCCTCCTCGTCCGTGCCGCTGCAGTCATCGGTCAGGCGCGTCGAGGCTCCCGCTGAAGACGTGTCAGCGGCCTGCTGCTGCTGTTTCTGCATGCGCTGGAAGTGCCGCCATTTCATCCGCCGATTTTGAAACCAAACTTTCACCTTGGGAACGAACGACATAAACTAACATAACGATCTGTGATTTAACATGCCAACAATTGACAGAAAGTATTACAACTCAAATAATGATTTCGGACGGCAAAATTAGAAACATATTCTCGTTTATGCATTATAGATTGTTGTATTCTATTTTGTTGTTTTTTGTTTGTCATTATTTTGTTTGTGTTTTTTGGCCATTATCCTCCTCGCTATCCCACTTTCACCACCTACAAACGCCACCAGGCAACTCCCTTTTCGTTTAAAGTTAATTGCGCCCCTTCTGTGGTCCTCGTAACCAACAGGATTTGCTCTCAAAGAGTACATACATGTATAAGGATTGGATTAAACTCTGAATATTTTGTTCCTATAGCCTACCTGGGCGTCGGTCAAACCCAGAGCCGCAGCCAGCTGTCTCCGATCGGGCTTATTGACGTATTTCTGCATCTCGAATCGTTTCTCCAGTCCCTTGCGCTGTAGACTGGTAAAGACTGCCCGTGACCAGCTTCGTTTCCTCCGCCCGGCAAGCCTGGTGTTAGGCGCTGTGTGTGCTTGCTGATGTGGGTGGGTTAGCTGATGCGACGGGTGGGGCTCCTTGGTGGAGTACGGCAGGTTGGGATCTAGGCGGTAGGTGTATGGAACGTAAGACCATGGCTCACATCTGTGCTGAGCCAGTGCAGATTTGTCTGCAAGGAAAGAATGTATTTGAAAAAAAAATTAAATGATTTCTTAATTGAGATGTATCTTTGCATCTCCGCTATGCCCGATACACAAAAGGTTGTGTGATCACCACGGTGTAATAATGAAGCACTCGTTTGTAAAAAAGTTTTCAGGATTTAAATGTGGATCTACGCCGTGAATATAACGAAATGATATGAAAGTGAAAATGTGGAAAATGTCGTTTGAATGATTGACATTAAGTTCAAATTAACACATCATACTGGAACCGTTCTCTTTAAAATATTTCAAAAGAACATCTTTGAAATATGAATAGAATAGAAGGCAAGACATCGAATCTGTTTATGACTAGTTCTTCTATCTAGTAGCTTTTATTACAGGAAACGGTGTATTCTTATATGGGGTGCAATATTACATATAGCCTTGCAGTTAAGTGCGAATGAGCTGATTTTGAACAGGAGATGCCAAAATGAATACAGTGCCAATTTCCGATGGCCAAGTTCTGATTTCGTTAACCTCAGCTTGTGTAATGACCTGCCAAACTAAATATGATCCAATAAACATGTATATTAGTTACAGACCGCCCACATATGATTATTTTCCCGCAACCATAACAGCCCAAATTTGAGAAATGATTATTGACAAGAGGTCATTAAATTGAGCATATATGATCAACAATGTGGTTCATCAAAGCACCAATAACAAAAACAAGCGGAAATGATAAATACGAAACTACAAATAAATGACAGTGCATGAAAGTTTGACAGTAACTTTGTTGTATTGTATTGAGTTGGTCATAGTTGTTTCGTGTGATTTACTTGTCCGAGACTTTTAGGCTCGGGAATGTGTAAGGGAAGGGCGTGTTGACCGAAATGAATCATTGTACCCATTCGACACCCTTTGTAACAATTATTGCTGGATACAGTGCTATAAGTTTCTTGTTATGTCCCAAGTCGTACTCGATGCGCGCCGTGTAGAAATGCATGATGTTTGCAGAGTTAAAGAAGTGGGGTTGACGCCAAAAATAGTCCCATCACCAAATACCATCATTTACTTCGTAATCCTTCCGCCATATCAAATTTCATTTCTGAAATAATAATAAAAAAATACCACCCATGTTTTCATTGGCCGAACACCGGTGGCTGATCTACGGGGGTAAGGTGGTCTAAACCCCCTATTCGGACGCCAAAATATAGAAAATAACAGCAAATGCCTGCTACTCAACCCCCCCCCCCCCCCGCCTTGGCAGCTAAACCCCCTCTCGATCCAAACCTGGATCTGCCCAAGTAAGCATTGTTTTTCGAACAAAAGGAAATGGATAAATCACGTAGTGATTTCAGAGAAACAGTTAATGTGTGTCACGAAAGTTACGAAACGTGCTGGTGAGTTGGCATTTCACTTAAAACTGCTGATTGTTGAGAGGAAATGAGCAGGCAAATTGCGATATGTTGTTAAAGATAGCATATGATTTCCTGGTTTTTTTATTTTATTTTTCTAAATGATGTTTAGTTGTTCACTTGCGTGCGCGTATTTTAGTCAAGTGTTTTCCTGTTAAGGGGTTTAGTTTCAATAAGCCTATTGATATTTGTAATTGGCCAATCGATGATAATTTTGCATTACATTATATGATTTTGTTCGTTTTTTATGCAATTTCTTTTTGTCGATCGCTATTTGAAAATCCCCTAATTTGATTTAAATTAAATTGTTCTAAAAAAAAACCAGCTGCATTGTGACCAAACTTCATTTCACGAAGCTCAGATATTATTTTGATTTTGATAAATTTTGGAAAGGCCATAATTATAGCAGTTAAAGAGTTGGTTACTCGTGTTGCAGGCCAAAAACCGTTGTAGTTTTAATTGCAAAATCAGCATTTATACTTCCGTTCAAGTGGATGAGTACTTTTGTAGGAGGTTAATGCAACGCGTTATGTTTTACTTGTGGATATAAGGATTGCTCTGATCGTGGTTGTGTGAAGTGCACGAAGTAATTTAGATAAGCCTTTATTGATATCAGAGAAGTGTCATTTAGTGTGCGTATAATCATGGCAACTTGCTTACGATTGAACGCTCCTTGCGCAACCATTTAAACGTACTTTACTGCGGAACGTTTATGTTGGCGTATCTATACGCACACGTTACAGTGCACAAGCGTTAGCATTTAAGACAATACACTCTTATCCTGGGAATATTCTAATATTTAAAAAATAACACCATCGGAAATTCCCACTATTTTCCCCGATTCCACAAAGTAACGCTAGTTTTCTTTGTCAATTTAGGCATTCCTTACATTGTCAGCAGCACATGTGCTGTGTTAATTTTGCTCTATATGTACCGCCACAAAAGCAGATTTTGAAAATCGTTTATATTGCAAAGATTTAGCAATATTTCTCGCGATTGTCTGCATAATGAGAACGCACCTTGATAACAGCCCTGGCAATAGTCGGTCACAGGACTGAATTTGGACGGTAGTTGTTGCAGCTGAGTGCCCGTGTGATTACCGGTCCGGCCCTGCCCGGTGTAGCCCGGGATGCCGTCCACGTCACGTCTGCTCTGCGACCAGCCGTTGCCGGTGACGGCGTGGCCATTGAGATCGTTGATATATCTCTCAGTTCCTGTCACGCTAATAATACTGGCTGGGTATCGGGGTAGTGGCTCGATTGTTTCTGTGTTGGGAAATATATATATACGAAGCCTTTAAAACCTATAAAACTTATAAAGAAACACTATATATTTCAACGTGGGCGCCTATTTTATTTTTAAAGTAGCCTATAAGTTATAACCTATACAAAATTAAAAATTATTTTTATTCTGCCATACTTTAAAAACATATTGTAAAGAAAATCATTTTCAGTTTGACCCACAAGTTAAGTTACCATATTGCCAACATAGCAGCTTTGTTGGAATATATACCTCTCTGACATTTTTGTTTACAAGTGTTTTAGAATTGGGTCGTTTTGTATGAAACTTGTTTTCGGTTTGGCCTGAATTTGTGTGGTGAACTTAAGCAAGTTACTGCTACCTCACTCGGAAAAATTGCATGGCTTTGCACCCTAAAAACCAATTAATGCCTCTATTTTGGCGCTTAAAAACCTACATTATGATTTTCAAAACCTATCAAAAACCCTATATTGACAAAGAGGGGCACTGCGAGGCATGTGCTTGTAACAGTTACTTAACTCTAAAGGTAACGAGTTAAGTTGTTAATGAAGTTGTAAGTTACCGTATTCCAAACACCGGGAATTATTTCCTTTCTCAAGATTTAGATGGCATTTCTTGAGGAATTGAGGTTTTTCTCCTCAACTTCGCGATGTCTATTGTAAACTGCTCACTCACAGTACTGAACTGAACTAATGCTGTTTCTTAGCCAGTTCCATTATTTTTGCTCAACAATTATTAACGCAAAACTAATTCAACTTGGATTGTTTTCGTGCTCAATAAAGTTTTAATGAACTGGTTTATCTGTACCAATAGGAACAAGACAAGTCATCAGTGCGCGTTATATAAAATGTAATCAATTAATATCGTTGCAGTCAATGTTATTAATGGAACTCGTCTGGGCAAACTGTACGTTCAGAATGAAAGCACTCAAAGTGACGAATGATAATGGTTACGTCATCTTGTTAATTAAAAGTTCGTTTAATTGCTTTGTGGTGTTATTGTTTTGAAAACTAATCCCGACGCTTTCAGTTTGAGGTATTTTGGACGATGGAATGTTCAATGTCGTCGTATGATTCGTTGTCAAAATGAACATAACGAGCTGATCGCTCGAATTAAAACAAAGCATTTAAAACTAACTTACCCCACAAATTATATTGGGGGGAAAAACGGAACTGTTAGACTACTCCATCTGTGCAGGAGCCTTTTTTAGCCCAGATTTCTTTTCCATTATAGTTGTATACCATGTCTTGTCTTGTTGAGGCATTTCCATAAATCTTTCTTTCCTGATATAATCTCCGAATTATAATCTCACCTGAAATATTTAATTTCAAATTTTGTTTTAACAATAGTTTGTCTATCGAATTGTGCGCTGGTTGTTAAGGGCCTTATACACCGTTTTCAACTTCAGCAAGTTCCTCATGGACATAATTTTTTGTATGAGTGACCGAGTTGAATTCAAGTGAATGGTAGTAATGCGTCATGACATGCACGTGAAACGAAACGTATCATCTGGCGCACTACGCAAGTAAATGGGTTTTTTTCTTGTGCATGATGTTCATGATCATTGACTTCACTGTCGTCAACCCAAAATGATAAAGCAAGATTTGGGCCGAGAAAATCGGAAGCACTTTCAACTCACCAACAGCTTTCCTTTTCTCTGTTCTCTCTGATGCAGGAGACCCATGGTTTCCAAGAATCGTGTCGATGCCGAATTTGAGTTGCTTATTGCCCTGGGCCGAGGAGGGCCGATCACAGCCTGCCTTTTTCTCCGCTCCTCTACCGGCCGGTGATAAGCAGCCGTCGACCGGCAGCCCTCGACCGGCGGTTGCGCGCTCGACTCCGTAGTCCGTCCCGTCAGTCGCTGGTGCTTGTTCTTGAGGATCGGCAAGTATGCCCGTGGGACAGTTTAAGCTCTTGTAGCCACTTGGAAGCAAATCCTCACGTGTGATGGTGGGAGAAAGGTGCTGATAAGAAGTCTGTCCAGTACACCGAGGAGTTACGTGTACATAAGATGATGGTATCGAGTAATAAGGGACCAAAGGTAGTCCTGTTGAATACATATACATCATCGTTATCATCCGGTATCAGCAATCCCTCCAGCAAGACGGGTTTTATAATTTGCCCCTGAAAAATTCAAGAGAGGACAAGCTCCGAATTGTTTTAGTGTTCCTAAATCAGATTATAATCTCTAATTTCAGAATGACTGAAATTGTCACAAGTTATCGTCGGATGTTACGGGCCTCGGGAACGATACAGCACCTGATTGGTCCACGGTACGGATGTTTTGTGGTCTTCTCACCGTTTTTTGGCTTCCAGTTGGTGAGATTTATTAGAGTGGTGATGACATGCTGATGGGCTGCTTGGTGTGGCTTCCTGTCAATGAGGGCGCTCATTCTAGACAGCCTTGCGGGGTGCGTAGCTAGCCGCACGGCTCATCATTCCATTGTTTTGCGCATTAGGCATGTTTCTACATATCTTTCCGGAGTTCTTGGAATAGGCAGTATTTTGTGTGGTGTTGTGATGAGTATGGCATGATTAATTGAACCTGTCATTATTATTATTTTTTACAGATCTGCAAACTTGATGTTTCCAATGACGTATACCGGTAGCACCTGCTCATCAGCGGTAAGTGGCAGCCGGATAATTGAAACTATTGGGAAAACAAAGTTACTTATATAGTTCTCGTCAACAAATTGATAGGGTTTCCATATGCCGTGCTTTCGCTTCGAGGAAGAAAGGAAAGTGTATATTGGGTGGGTGGAAAGCTAATAAAACTCCTCGGAAAAGTGTACAGGTATGCAGCATAGAGCACAATCTCTTGATACAGATAATATGGAAGAGTAAGATAAAAACGGAGGTCTCGAAATTCCCGATGTTTACCTATAAAACTTGGCGCACTTTTTGAGTTCGGCATCTGAAACCCACGGTAATCAGATTTTGTTCAATGAGTTACGGTTTTTGGTCTGTTCCCTTCGCTTCGTGAACGGTGGACCTTTCACGGTAATCTTAACGTGGAACTTTAAACGCACTGTGAGTTACTTGTATATATATGCGGGAATCTTTTTGTATAATGCAATCCCCATCTACACCATCCCTGAAAGAAGTTGACCTTTTTTTGGCCTTCAAAACAATATTGACATTTATAGTGTTTTCAGTTATGAATTACTTGCTGTCAGCAAACGGAAATAAAGAATATTGTGTCATGAAAAGCCGAATGTCCAGCTGTGTTTTGTCTTTCTTGAGTCGATTTATGTGCCCAATTGTACATGTAGGCCTACTCCAATGTAATAATGTCTCCCATAACCCTCTTAATTGAGGCTTTCGCCCTTTGGACCTGAAAGCCAAAACAAAACTCGGCGGTTTTAGTTTGGCTCTGGAAAAGTTAGCGAAGAGCCACTCACAAGCAACGTACGGTCGCTAGGATTAGAGTACCTTTTTTTTCAACAGCATTTAAGGAACAGTTTCTCCTACTACTACTAGGTAGACCTCTGGGCTCACATCGTTTGTTTTCACGAAGGGACGAATTTCGCCATTATGCGCTTAACTCGTAAAAGTCCCGAGAAAATCGGATTTTAAGTTGGTCACTATAAAAAAAATTCACTTGGATAAACTGCAAGTGTTGCTTAATTTGTTTAGATCTCAAACTTAAATAATATTATCAGCGATTGAACTGTAGAAAAATAGACTAATTAATCACATAAGAAATTCGTCTCTTCGTGAAAAACGCAAAACCGATATATAGAGTGGGAGTTGACATTCGTCTCCGTGAAACCTAAATAGAGTGGACAAATAACTTCACCATATAAGCGTTGGTTTCGACCAACTGCGAAAGGGACCATTATAGAAGTGGTGCGCGTGCGTATAACGGGGCGGATCTAGCTTTTAGGAACCGGGGGTGATATGAAGGGGTGGGTGGGGGTTGAGGGAAAGCGTTACGACTTGCTTAAGGGTGGGTCCTGCCCGGAAAAATTTAAAATCAACGGTGCTTTCTGCTGCATTTTAAGGCAATTAAGGATAACTTTAGGAACTTTAGCATTCCAAGGAATTATTTGGCCCCATTTTACTAGTATAACAGTCGGCGGCTGAACGGGAGGGGACCTCTCCCCCCCCCCCCCCCCTCCCCCTCTAGATCTGCCACTATAAATGAGGCTCGGGATCACCATTTTCTGTGGTTATTCAACCAGACCTTTATATTGCATCTCAAATCTTTGTGAAATGAACATTGTCAAGTTTGCCAGATAAATCACACAATATGGTGAAGCTGACCTGTTTGCGGCGCTGACGTATCCCTGCGCACACGCACTGAATCCTCGTTTCCTAATGACCCCTATGATAATTGCCGAGTACGGGATGCACGAACTACCAGGAAATCCTTGCTAACACGTGGACAATGCTTACCATTTGCGCAGTTGGTTTATTTTGCTTAAGTTAGCGGGATTGGCCTCAGGGGCCAATTTCATAGAGCTGCTTAAGCACAAAATTGGCTTAAGCACAAAAAAGTCTTGCTTCATAAAATCAGGTTACCGGCCAAAACTCCATGCGATTGTTACATGTATGCTAAGTAAACAACAGCTAAATACCAGTCACAAGCAATGTAGGCCTACATCACATGGAGTTTTGGCCGGTAACCTAATTTTACTAAGCAATGTTTTTTCGTGCTAAAGCAAATTTTCTGCTTAAGCAGCTCTATGAAATTGGGCCCTGGTCTCAACTGCCACAGTCATAGCCGCGTCGATCCCTGTCTGCTTTTAGTTGTTCCACGGCTTGACGTACGTATTGGAAAAATGAGTGAGCCCCGGCCACCCCCACCCCACCCCCAAAGTTAAAACTACAGCTTGTGATCAAGCATTAGGAAGGAGCAACCATCTTTAGACTCGAGAACTTGAAGGACGCCTTAGAAACATGATCGACCAGCATCCCGCCTAAAAAGTCCCAGTGCATAAGACACGACAGTCGAGAGCAACTGCATCTTGGAGGAACCTCGGAGTCCTGCTCAAACTCCACTTCATGCCGTTTGTATGGAAGAACCATTCACTATTATCTAGTGGACGGGTTAATGTATCCCATTGGGGTGGCTGTTTCCCCGGTTATGTATGAAGGAGATCTGCCAAATAAATCGTTGGAATTTCACATGATATTGATTTTAAGTTGGAGGCCTTTTTCAATTCAACTAGGAGCACCCAACTTTGGTTATGACAAGGAAAAACGTGGCTTTATTGGAGAGAATGAGTAACCCCCCCCCGCCCCCCCCCCCCCCCCCAAAAAAGTCGTGGCGTTGCGACAGGAGGGGGTAGGGTGGGGGTGGGAGGGGGTCGAATCTTCCTTGACTTGAAGGAAACAAAAGGGGGAGCCAACTTGGCTATTTTTGCATGGAACTTGGAACCTCACATGAAGCAAGCCGGCCGGGCGGGCGGGCGGGCGGGCGGGCGAGCAGCGCCTCCAAGCGTCCAATGATAGCTCCTTCCCCCATTTTAATTTTCAAGGCCGGCCGGCCTATTTATTTACACCTTAGTGTAGGGTACCCATTTTCCAGGCGACTTGAATCAAGGTTACGGGCGCGGTCCGTTGCAAATTTTGGTAACCACAATCTCCACACCCCAATGAAATTCTCACTTTCCTATACTGATTGAAGCCGTAGCCGTACTATAGATATGAAAGAGCGCCTTCACGACATAGCTGGGAAAACTCTTCCCATTTCCATTGTCGAAAATGATATAAACTAGAAAACAAAAATGGCAAATTTACTCCAAGGTAACCAACCTACACATCGCCTCAATGTATAAACGTTTAGGGTTTTCTTTTGACTTCACTTTTGTGTGCTGAACTGCAAACCACCATTTTGAAAACATCCATTTTGCTCCAGTACAGCTCAATATGTCCGCTTACCGAGTTAATTGTAAGGTAGTCAACGGTACACATTAGGCTAGTGAGTTTTTCATAAATCTCCCCTTATTTTAAAGGCATGAAACGCTGTAAGCAATTTCGAAGGCATGAAAAATCTGATTACGCCTGGGTGGGCAACTTTAGTTGGTTAATTAAAAGTGGGGGAACCTAACTTTTAATTATGTGCAGAACACGCTCTCTCTGAAGATTTAGCCTTTTCGTCAAGTGAAATTTGTTTTGCTTTAATATATGCTAGTCATTTTTTTTGCCTGCGTTTTGTGAAATACCTACAGCCCAACGAATGTGGGCTTGTATTATACCAAGCTACAGGTAATGAAGTAAAAGACACCTCAAATGACTTTAGACATGAAACGATTCACGTAAATTATTTGTAAAAATTTCTTTTTCTTAAGTTTGATAAATTTGAATATAAAATTTACAGTCTACAATAAGTGTTTACAATTATAAACAAATAAAATTTACATGGTGCTAATTACAAAAGCCATCACATAGTACCAATATACATGAAAGCCTCTGCTTCATTTGAAGGTTTGTGCGTAATATAAACTTTAATACATGATGGCAGCACATATTACATGAGCATCTTTACTTGCTTTAAAATCTACATCAAATTATTGATTAAGAATATCGAAAAGAAAATTTCAAAAGAGTAATAATATTATTTAAATCTCAAATGAATAATAAAAAAAAAAACTTTTAAATAAATTCATATCGAAAAATTTTTTAACTTCAGTTTTTGTCATCATACCAAATGAGTGAATATGATTGATATCATCTCAATTAAAAAAATGTTATTTCATTTAAAAAGGAAGTGCACCTTTGTACTTTGTTTTAGGATGAAGTGCTAGATTAACTGTTATTAATACACTGTGGTTCCATTCTCCTGGTTTTGTAAATAACTAATGCACGATTAGAAAAACACCAATCTATTTTCACAGCGCTGTACAATGATTGGTCAGTTTCATTATTTATTACAAATATATGAACAAAAAATAAACTCAAATGCTAGAAAGTACATCTAGTTTAATTGGTTATCACATTATGAAAACAAAACATAATCTAAGATGTGACCTGAGTGCTAAGAAGGTTGGCTTGTTACAGATCAAGGGAGACTACTAGTGATTGAAAGCCCCCCCCCCCTAACGTTTGAAGTCTCCTCTTTGACCACCTGTCTTTATAATCAATTGAATATCAGTGATAACGATGTCATGTGTGACAGCCTTACACATATCATACAGAGTCAATGCTGCCACAGATACTGCTGTCAATGCTTCCATCTCCACACCCGTCACTCCCACTGTCCTCACCTCTGCACACACCAGCACGCTGTGGCTCGCCTCCTCCATGGTTAACGTCACGTCCACCTTGGATATCGGGATATTGTGGCACAGGGGGATCAAGCTACTCGTCCTCTTGGCTGCCATGATGCCAGCGATTTGTGCCACGGATAAGACGTCACCCTTGGCTATTCTATTTTGACGGACCAAGGCGAAGGCAGTTTGTCCAAGGAGAACCCTACCAGAAGCCACGGCCAGCCTGGAGGTCCCTGGTTTGTCACCTACGTCCACCATCTGTGCTTTGCCGGTCTCACTTACATGGGTTAGATTTGGTTGGGATGCTTCTTTGGTGGTAGACGGTACAGAGCTTGAAGAGGTCCTTGTGTGATTTGGCCCTTGTGTGGCCGAGGGTCCATCGGGGGCGAGGTTTATTGGGGAATGGTCAGTTGAGAGATCAGGAGGTAAAAGGTCAGACAGCTGACCTGACTCGGTGTCAGCTTTGGAAAGATTAGAGGAGTTTTCATTGTCTGCATTACTTGTAGCCGAGGACAAATGCCGGACCATTTTGATGTTGGTAGTGTTCCTCTGACTGGGCGTGATGAAATGCTGAACATAAGGTACGATCGGTGCGAACACAGCCCTGGCTACTTCAGTTCTGTTGACTTTACTTCTGGTCACAATGTAGTCCATATTGGGGATCAGATCCAAATGAACTCTCCCAGGGATGTATGGTTGGACGTGATGCTGATTACCTGGAAAAACAAGTATAACTTTTAGGATTAGCAGTTGTAAATTCAACAATGTGATATTTAGCTAAAGATTGAATTTAGATTTTTTCATGTTATTAGCAGGCACACGTTAGCTACAGGAACATACACATCCGTAAAATATGTCATCCAGTATCTATTTCAAAATTCATTCCACATCTCCAAACTGCCCTGTCAGTGCACTATGGCCTTGCTGAAAAATTCCCAATTTTACTTCTAGTTGAAACAAATAACTAAATATAAAAATCTAAGTAACATTACAGGTTAAGTATTTGTTATTACAAGAATGTTAGAGCCCGTCTCAATTCACATCCGGGATGAGTTCCAGACAAGTTCCGGACATCGTAGAGGACATTGGTGAGTCGAGCAGTTGCTAATGAAAATTTCCCCGGAACATGTCCAGGGCTTCTTCCAGACAAAGTGAATGATTCTAACTGCAACTTGTCCAGAACTCGTCCCGGATACGAATTGAGACAGGCCCTTATGATAAACACGAATGACTCACCCACCAATCAGAATCATCGGTCTATTCTTCATCTTGGCAATGTTAAACATCCCTGTAGTAGGAAGGATAAATAGAATGCAGAAATATTGGATTGAATTTGAAAAGCATACATAAACCAAAAACATTGAACCTTTGGGGAGGGAGGGAGGGGGAGGGAAGGGGAAGTGACTTACACTTTTGTGCTGAACACTTTTTTTAAGGAGTCCTCATATTTAATATCCGGCATAAGTTGCAGGAAAATGTATTCACAATAAGCCTATTGTATCAGGTATTAGTTGTAAGATTCTAAACAACGTTAACTTCCAGTGATGAAGTTATAACCACTGTTTACAAACTTAATTGCAGGAAGATTACAGGAAAGTTGTTCAGAATCCTGCAATAAATAACAGATACAATGGGCTTATTGCAGATAAACTTTTCCCCAAAATATCCCAGATAAGTCTTATGTAGATAGACAAGACATCATACAAGAAACAAAAGTTCTACCATATCAGTCACTCCTAGCGTCTATACTTACATACGGATCTGAAACATGGACCCTCCTAAAGGAAGATGAAAACAGGCATTCAGCCTATTTTCATTAAGTCATTTCATTCAGTCTGTGAAATGTCATGCTTAACAAGAATCTTGGGTGTTACTAACACCTAAGATTCTTGTTAAGCATGACATTTCAAAGACTGAATGAAATGACTTAATGAAAACGGGCTGAATGCCTGCCAGAGTTGTAACGAGTCACTGATTTTGTGACTCGAGTCGAGTCAAGTCATTTTAAAGAAGTGACTCGAGTCGAGTCGAGTCGAGTCATTAGGTCAAGAAGGTCGAGTCGAGTCACAGTGTGTAGTCGAGTCGAGTCGAGTCACAGTGTGTAGTCGAGTCGAGTCGAGTCAAGTATTTCACTCGAGTCAATTCGAGTCAACTATTTGAACACTATACAATAAATGAACACAAGAGAGAAAGTCATTTTTTGGCTTTTTAAATTTTACATTCGGGCTACTACATCTGGTGACACCACATTTGACTCAATGAAAATAAAAAGGGGGTGCCAGCTGATCGTCATTCAACTAATGGGGACACTGATCAAACCACGTGTGTATATGTATACATTATTTGCGAACATTGTAATGTGACGTGAACAAAAACTGGCACCGATGTAAGTCATTGCAAATATTTTTCGCAAAGTTTTGCTTTTACTTTTGGGACTCAAGTCTTATTAGCCTTCCTCGAGTCGAGTCGAGTCTTTCTGATGAAGGACTCGAGTCGAGTCGAGTCATTTGCTCGCAGTGACTCGATTCGAGTCGAGTCATTTACTCGCAGTGACTCAAGTCAAGTTGAGTCATTTGCCCTTAGGGACTCGAGTCGAGTCGAGTAACCAAAAATTGAGACTCGAGTCGGACTTGAGTCGAGTCATTGACTCAAGTCATTACAACTCTGGGTGTTACCAGACTCGGCAGGCTACAAAACACATACATTAAGGAAAGCCTTGGTGTTGAAAAGAGTAGATCTTGTGGCAGAAAAAAAGATTGAGCTATTTTGGTCATGTAAAATGTATGATCCAAAGCCGATTTCCCTCAGGCCTCTTCGGAGGAAAGAATCGAGGGCAAAAGGCCCAGGGGTCACCCTCCAAAAAGGTGGACAGACTGCATTAAAAGTGACAGCCAGCTTAAAAACGTCCAGTCACTAGTGGTGGCAGCAAGGCTCACTGAAGACCGTGTAAAATGGAGGAAAGTCATCATGCATAAGCTATCATGAGGTGACTAATGTGATCAGCATGGAAGGCTTTAAGTATTGAGATGACTCCAAAGCTAAACGCCATTGTTATGTCGTGTCTTGGATACTACAATTTCATTGTTGTAGAACGGCCTCATATACACCGTGTTGCATGTAAATTATATTGTTGTGCACGCGTTTGACCGGCCCGCGCACCTCGTGGCTGAGAACGTTCCTGTGAACACAGGCTCGTCCCCCTTTACCTTTTACCTAAATATTGACTTAAGACAGAAATGTGCTGAGTGCTATTTCCTGCACATAGCTCCATGAGATCAAGCCCAGTTCTGTGAGTGTTTTTACTCCTGCTTACCAGCATGCTGTTTTTTCTTCCTGCCGACTGCTGCACCAATAACTTCCAGCAAATCCTCGTCGCTGGCTCCCTCTCTCATAATATCCCTCAGTGACACCTCCGCATTGCCAAACAAACATACCTGTAAACATAAATTTCACTATGGATGGCCTTGTTCTGTCCACTTTTGACAAAATTGAGGTTGTATTAGAGAACAAAAGGTGTTTGTAAATAAACACACTGCAACAGATCAATGCAACAGCAGAAAAGACTGGAAACAGGACACGTACCACAACCAAATCAATAAAACAAAGAATAAATCCAAATTTCAGTCAGTCTGCATTGTATCTTATTGTACAGGTACTGTTCAAATTATGTGACAAAGGAATATGACACATTATCTTGGCTGTGGTTATTTAATCTCAGACCTGAACGAGAGCTTTCTTAAACGATTGTGCAGTTGAAGAAAGGACGTCATTTCAATGTTCACGTCTGCCAAATAATTGACGATGGATATTTTTCAACTACATTGCACAACAGAACAATAAAATATAATTCGCTGACTGCACAACCTATGATAGACTTGTACCATGATCGTATCCTCTCTCTGGAAAAAAAACCCCCGGAGAATCTTGGGTGGAAACCAGAACAAGAAAATTCTAAATGTGGGAAGAGACTAGACTGCAAGGACATGAATTGGAATGGCTATGTTGCGCTTACCTTGAGGTTGCCATCAGCAGTAAGCCTTAGCCTGTTACACGAGCCACAGAATGGCTTGGTCATGGATGCAATGAACCCAACAGTACCTTGGAATCCAGGCACCTTGTACACCTGACAAAAATAACATGACCTCATTAGGGGGTTGAAACCAACACTTCTACTCACCAGGGTCTAACTTAAGGACTCGTGCTTACCACTGAAATTTGCGCTTACAATTACCATTCTGTGCTGACCGCGCTAGCAGAAAAATTCCGTGCTAACCATGTAAGCACAGAATAAGCCAACATTTCTCACTAAGCCGTAAAGAATGCTAACCATAAGCACACAATTTCTGCAACAGTAAGCAGGGATTTTTTTGCCGATGGTAGGCCGAGCCATGAAATTGGGCCCAGAAAATAGCGGGTCTGGCTGGTTTGAAAATATCACCACAGAGGGATTCATGAATCAATGGGAGGAATGAAATCTCTTTGTGAGATACCGCACATTAACAAAGGTCATAGGACTTCTGGGTTATGGGCTCTGTGCACAAGTACCCCATCAACGGCCAGAAAAGGAGAGTTAGGGGTGACCTAGACTGGTTCCTGATCCATCCACTGCTTATTTAGAATGTATTCAAAGTTATTGGAGGCAAGGATTAGTTATTGGAGACAATCGCATGTTGCATTTGAACGTATTAGCGCGCCGACAACGCTGACGCGAAGACAAGGTGGCTAATAGCGTTTGCACATTCGGGAAGTAGTGCGTACTTCCGCACGAACCAGTTCAGTACAGTATGCACATGAACCAGTACAGTACAGTACACACATGTTGTGTGTCCCGTCTGCGGAGCTCTCAAAAGAGGTAAAAACGCGCCCTCTTTTGTTGGCCCACGGAGCCCATAACCACCACCACTACAAAAGCGAAACACAAAAATAGAGGAAAAGGGAAAAAATTAAGAAGTAAACAATAACCAGGTTTACAGATCAGACACTGCGTCAATATCACTCTCTTTGGTGAGGAAGTGCTGGTTCCAAAAGAACTGCTTGCTCATTGTCAAGACATAAGAAACAGAACCTGATGAGTTGGTTGTTTTGAAGACATTTGAGGACTATTTGAGGACTTATGTTTCAAGACATTCTTCCCCCCATGAAATGTTCTTGGCTACACTTGATTTCAAAAGCAAGCTTTTGGCTGTATGACTGTTGGCCTGTTGACAAGGCGATCTGACTGAGTACTAGTGTAGAAGCTTGGAGACCCACAGGAGGAGAGACTACACACAGTGAGTGAGCCATTTTCCCTTGGTAAATTCTCAACCCTTTTTGGAAAAGAAATGATATCAGCATATATTAGCTACATAAATTGGAGTTTGTCTCGCCAGCCTTTCAGCTGTAAAGATTTGAAGGTACGTGAGACAAGATCTCGGGAATGCAGTAAAAACAGGTCAAGTACAATAAGGCAGTTGCAACTGTTGCCATGAACAATGGTTGGAAGCTCCCAGTGGCTGGTTTCATGCATGCATGAAGTTTGTCTTGACAATGCGCCAAGTTTTGGTTCCAGCGCATATACAGAGACTTTCTGCAGGCAACTTATTTGGATGATAAGTATAAATAATTTACGTCACTGCACTTTAAAAATAATTCAGTAGCATCTTTTTTTTAACAATGGCAAAGCCTGGTTTTGCTGCTCCTTCTTTAAATTTCCAAAGTCTAGCTTGTCTTGTCAAGAGGCTACCTGACTGTTTACTCACCACGGCAGTTGCATTTGGCTCTTCTTCTTCCAGAGGGGCAAACTCAGGCCACCTGTCCCTGATAGTCTGCTGCATGTCACTACAGCTAAACATCTTCTTGTCATTCCACTTGTTCCCATCAAAGGGCATGTACTCAATGAAGCGCACTTCAATCGGCTGAAATTATATGGCACAATATGCTCACTTGCACGGGTAAAATTGTATTGCTCAAAATAATGAATAATAAAGTGGTGCTTGTACAGTACTTATGCCAATGTCCCACAGCACTTCACAATTATTTGCCCTGTTCATTAGACCATGCAACCAGTTTTCTTTCTGCAGCTTTAGATCAGTGCAGTCTGTTCTCTGCCCTTACAGGCAACTATTTATATGCCTTGGTGGAAAGAGGAAATTGTGGTTAAATTCTTGCCCAAGAACACAAACACCTGTCCGGGATTGAACCCACATACAAGAGTCTGCTACAAACATGTACTATAACCATTGGCTTATGGCACTGACTATTAGGGGATAATAGCATGAGGAGCAGTTATAATAAAATCATGGCTCCAGTTTTAAAATCACGTTTACAATTGTTCCATCACATTGTTCCCATTCATAAATACCTTTTTGGTAGAAAAACATAAAAAGTTGAAAAGTTGAAAAAATTCCTAAACTTCTACCATTTCACTCCATGTTTGGGACTTTTCTATGGTGCGTGAGGCACGTGCAGTGTGCTAAACCTCAACTAATAGGAAGATTATATCAGTGGCTCTCAAGCTGGCAGAGCGCGCGGCATGGCGGGTACTTGTGACCAGTTTTAAATATTGATGTTTAAACACTGAACAGTGTTTAAATGGCAGTTTAAAACCACCCATGTGATGAGCTTTCCACCAATAGGCATAGGTAAATTGTCCTAGGTATTTATGAAAGTGAAATGTATATATCTATTGCTTGGCTCCTTCTCCAAAAAAGTTACTTGTATGTAGTTCAGCAACTCAGACTTTGGCTGAAACATACATCAATACTATAAAGCAGAAAACGGGTGTAAGCGTGTTTGTTTTCATGAGTTGCTCATGCAAATCAGGCTACTACAGCTTTTATTTGTATGTGTGTGAGAGTTCATGAGTTAATCCCCCCACAAATAAGATACAGGTGGCTTTCTGGGTTAAGCAAGTGTGAGGTGAAGCCCCTTGTAAATATAACAGCAACCCCTGAGATTGAATAGATCTCTCTCAAATGATGTCACTTCCTACAGATTGCCACGTGCATCGGCATTTTGGGCGTCAAATTTTCGTGACGCGTATCGGGTTCGCCATGTGTCTAAGAAATTTCGAGCAACACACGCGCGTGTTTAGAACATTTTGCACACTGCACGTACACGCACCTGCTTTTGAAAACGCAATTAAAAGTTTCCTATGAAGATGGCATCCTATGAGAGATATCTATTGTATCTGTTTCACCTTTCATTGGCCTAGTCAGACCGTAGTCTTACCTTGTCCTTTGTGAGTGCAACAAAGTCACATATCTCGTCCTCATTCAGACCCCTCATGACCACACAATTGATCTTGACTGGGTCATAACCCAGGTCAATTGCCTTCTCTAGTCCTTTCCAGACTTGGTTGAAACCTTGCAAGTCATTCGGCATAAAAAAATACAACAAAAATGTTTTAACCAGATTGTGCTGTACTGTGCAAGTAAGTCATGTAAGTACTGTACGTGTAACTTATTAGTGCACAAAATGTAACTGAATACAAGAATAAACAAAACCACTTTTTTCCATGCAGGATACACCAACTAAAACAACCAAAACAAAAACAAAACAAATCACCCCCCCCCAAATAAAACCACCAAAATTGGCTACAAAAAAGTGCAACATGCCAAACAAGGCTTCAATATCACACAACAATGAACTCTAATCTTTTTCCTTTGTTTTGATTATTGAATAAAATTCAATGTGTACTTGTAAGGCTGTGCTTGACTTCAAACACAGAACCATTGCAATACATTCAATAGAGAAATCACTGAATTGACATCACTGGAATCATCATGGGGAGGCGGGGCTACAAGATTGAAAAGGGGGTGGGACTAGATGAGGCTTGAGACAAGTGGACTGGAAAAAAGTTGAAATTGGTGGCCAATCCTGAAGCTGAATGCATTAACCCTCACCCTGCTTAATGCAACAGGCAGCCACAGTTGTACAAAAGTTGTTGCATACTGTTGCATTGAGCAGTCAACTCGGGTCCCATGCTTTGTTGCATCTTGTTGCATTTAGCTGACACAACAGAATCCACTGTTACATTTGGTTGCATTTTAGCAGGGTAACTATGTAGTGCCAAGGCTGATAGTGATACAACAGAATCCACTGCTGCAGTTTGTTGCATTTAGCAGGGTTCTCATTTCATCTGTGTTTGATTTTGTTGCATTTTGCAGGGCACATGAGGAAAACCTGATGGGGGTCAGGGTGAAAGACAAACTCTTGAAGACACCAACCTCTCCTTCGAGTGATGAATTCAAACTTGGCAGGGACCAGCGTATCCAAGCTGATATTCAGCAGGTTCAGCCCACCCTCTCTCAGCTTGGCTAGCTTCCTGTGTAATGCTACACCATTGGTCGTCATTGCTAGCGTTCTAAGCCCATCTAAGCTACCTAGTTGCTCTATGAAAAGTTGGAACATACACACACACAAAAACACAAGATGCATGCAAGAATGACAATTGTACACTTAAAATAACCACCAGCAGAATATGTACTGCACAAAATCCCTTTTTTTCATACAAAATTCAAATTTTGAAACAAGACTAATTATTTGTCTTTTAATTAACCCTATAACCCCCTAGGGTATTATACTAGGATCCTTGCAAATCCCAACACCATATGGAAAACTGTGCACATAAACAGTTGGACCTCGTTTATTTTTGGTATGCCTAAACCCATGTAAAGTTTACTAGTGCAGCACTCATCCTAACAGATTCCAACAATTCCTGGTGTTGGAGTTTGACTCGTTGGGGATCGTTAGGGTTAATAAAAACCCTCCGCAGTGGGATTGGAACAAAAATGCTGTTCGTTTTGCTTAATTTTTTAATTTACTCTGACACTTTTTAGTTAAGCAACAGAGAATATACGAAACAATGTCAAATTTTGTTTCTCATATATATTCTCTGGCAAAATTGTTTCAAAATTATTCATTCTTGGAGTTGACTTCCACAACATGGCACCCATGTGAAGGAAATTTGTGTGCAATGTTCTCATGGAATCTGTAAAATTCCCAAAGGGAAAATCAGTGACTTCACACAATGTTGCATGCAAAGATGATGACTGTGATCTAAAACAGCACCACATACAAGATACATCTGATACAAAAACCCAGCATCAACGGAATACCCCATGCAAAGGTTGTAAATGCTTTTTCACTGTTTTCTCGAAAAGTGTAATATATCCACTGTGCTGAAACTTCAACAGGTTAGGTTTTGAACATTCTTCGTTGGATTTTGAGTGGTGTCATTATTGGAAACGAACAAAATGCACGAAAAGCAAATGATCCTATATGCCTTCAAGCATACATCTGACCTAAAAAAAAAGTCCATGGCAATTGCGAAAGTCTAAATCAGTTATCTTTGATGTCTTACAATGCAGTAAAATATCCTGCCCAAGGACACAAGCAATCCAAATTCCTGCCAGGATGAACCAGCACATGACAATAAATGAGACTTGGAGATAGTCTTGTTGCTTTGTAAGACTTACCCACAATGTCAATGATATCCTTCCTGACCAACGGTTCGCCTCCAGTTAACCTGACTTTGTCCACACCCTCCTTGACAAACAACCTTGTGATTCGGAGGATTTCCTCAGAGGTAAGGAGCTTCTTCTGAGGAGTCAACTCCACTCCGTCCTCAGGCATGCAATACTGACCTGCTCAACAGAAAAACACAACAACAAATAGAATGTGGTTTGGGGATATCACTCAGTGTTTCCCCTGCCCATTCAAACGTGAGGCGACCCACCTCGCTACTTTCAGTGACCACCTCGCTCAATTTTTGCCAATATCACAACCTCGCTGTGAAGATTTACAATAACGGAAATACTAATCGAAAGATTTTCAATTTATGTAATTTATGAGCGTTTTCCTTGACCTCTATGTATCAAGAACTCACAATTTGGATATGTAGATGAAATCATCGTGCATTTTTTGTGAGTGCTGCGTTCTTTTCAGTTTGCAGACTGCGTAAATTTTGTTTCAATCATCAATTTGAATGTTTACCACCTCGCTCAGTTCATAAGCCAGGGGAAACACTGATATCACTGTCAATGCAGTTTTGAAAACCCTGGTTTCATCTCCAGCCTCGGCTTCATATCTGGCTTCAGAATCAAACAGAATCTTTCAATGTCCACATCCAACAGCTATTCTCCTAACTGAGGCCCAGATTGAAAGTCTTGGTGTTCCTGTTAAAGGGACACTAGGTCCTGGAACAGCCCAATTGGGCTACAAAACGCGCTTTGAAGGAGATGATGTTAATCGGAAGGAACATTTAAAAGTAGGATATAAACATCCACACAACTATCCTTTCAAAACTGGGCGTTTTTGTGTTATTCCTGTATTATGTGTGCAAAAACGAATTTAGGGGTCCACTTTTGCGACCCAATAAATATGAGCTGTTTTGATGCTAGTTGCAATTTCATTCGTAAAGTGTTCGCCTTTTGCGGACGTCGTTGAAGAAACCATATTTTTTTGCATTGGTGATTGGTTACAGCTGTTCCCGAGACACACAACGTGTATATCGTACACTGAGAACGACACGAAAAACTTATTTGTACTCCGCTGTGTCCAATGTAAACAACCGGTTTTTTTGGGTGTCTTTTCTTGGGAACGGTAAGACATTAGGTTGGTTTCCTTTCAACCAGATGTTTGAAATAGGCTAAGTAAACAATCCAAATCATGAAATTTTCGGGGATTTCAGGACCTAGTGCCCCTTTAAGAAGATGGAGCCATTTGGGGAGGAGTCTCTTGCGTCAGGGCCTAATAGCTCCTGAAGCCAAAGCTGAAGCTGAAGCCATGGTTGTGAAAACCTCCTATATTACTCAATTTTAATAAACTGAGGTTAACATGATGATGTTGTTATGCATCCAAAGCTGATGAAAACTTCCTATGTTACTGAATTTAATAAACTGAGATTAACCAAACGACAACATGAATAGTTTTTACTTCATAACTACTGCACTGACCCCAACTATAGATAGGACAGTCCCAACTATAGTTGGAGTCACCCCAACAACAGACGTGACTTTCCCAACTATAGTTGGGACCATCTTAGCTGTAGTTGATTTACGTGTGTGCTTTCTTAAGAGCGCTGTGGCTTTCGTTCCCACCAGGCTCCCATAAGAAACCGCACATGTAAACAAAGTGTTACTCCATTATGTTTAGTCCTATTGAATTCAGGCTGTTATGCAACATCTTTTTTTTTTTAGAGAATTCCTTATTGAAAATTCCCAAAATTCTGAAGATTGATTTCTCCTCCAAAACAGTGACAAAAAAATATGAAAATGTTGAGTTCCTCATCCATTTCACCAATCATCATTACTGGGTGTTATATTGTAAGGCATAGTTCTGCTGAAGTTTATTTTTTGTTTGTATGAGATTACTGGACATGTTTTGCCTCATGTTAGCATGACTCACATCTCAGGCTGCACTTCTCCGTGAGTGAGATTCTCAGGTAGTTGTGTTGTCTGCCAAACGAGTCTGTAAGAAAAGCTGAAAATGGCAACAGCTTGTCCTCCCCGAAGAATCTTGGTTTTCTCTCTGGTGAAGGTACCTAGAGTAGACAATAAGGATGTAAAACACCATTTCATTTTTTACATGTAGGCCTATGCAATTGAACTTGTGATTGTGCAGGTTCTTTTCCCCACAAAATCCATTAGCCATGAATAACCTTATTTAAATTGCAACAGTTAGCAAAATCTAAATGAAACCCCAATTTTCCATCAACCCTACTTCTGTCAAATTAAATGTTATTTAAGACTAATACATTTTATTAGGTAAGACTTCAAATTAGCCCTTGTTTTGGAGGGACCACAAATTACTATGATCTTAAATGCAAATGCATAATTTAACCCTAAAAGTGTCATTTTTGTTGTCTTACAAGGGGGGGGGGGGTGGGGGTAGAGAAATTCCATCCCACCCCTTTTTGATCTCTAAAATGCAATCATCAATTCTTATGAAATTTGGTATGGTAGTGTACTACAGGATTCATGCTTTTCAAGTATAAATGCAGTGTTGTTAGGCCCAACTAAGGACATGGTCCCAACTTTAGTTGGGACTGTCCCAACTAATATTGAGACTGTCCCAACATTAGTTCGGACCATTGCCATAGTTAGAGCGTAACAGTTTTATCTCAATAATTGAATCAGACAAAGTGTTTTTCCACATCTTTGAATGAGCGAATAAGAGCCTTTCCCTGTTTACTGTACACTTACCATGCATGTACTTTGATGAGCCTTCTGACATTGAACTGCAGAATGATGATGTAGCCTCTTTGCCAGTCTGCATGATGACCACCACTTGCTTAGACTGCAGTACTGTGTAGAGCGTGAAGAATGTTGCAGAAGGTAGGATCTGCTGGCATTGCTAATAGTGGCTGTCATGGCTGTGGTCATCAGCTTTTCAACTGCTGTGCACTCACACTATAATGCAGTCTGTCATTAGTTGTGTGGAGAAAAGTTGACTTTAGGATCTCGTTCCTGTAAAATAGCGGGGGCAAAAAAACTTCGTGGTTTTTGGACTCATCTAAATCCTAAATGACGATGTTGAAAATCAACAGAATTGTTCTGAAAAAAAGAGCAAAATTTGTTTTCATAGGAAAATTTGGGGGTGACGAAACACTTGAGAAGACGGCAATAATGCTGCCTACACAAAACTGTGTTGCCGTTGGTACGCATGGCACCAACTGGAAAATACGCCAAATTGAGGTTTCTTTGCGCATGTGCCAACTCGTCTTGCAGGAGCAGATAGCTAGCTTTCAGTAACACGTGCTTAGGTTTATAAATCCAAATTTCTGTTCCACAATTCATTGCTCACACGAAACTTTGATTTGACTTATCGCAAATGGGCATGATGTGTGTCTTTGAACTCTTCTACTAGTTTCTAGCATCAACAGTAAGTTCTAGAACTTAATAGGCCTACCATTAAAAGTTACAAACACAAAGAAGTCATTTTGGACTTTGTCTATACGAACTTAGTCCGAGTAGGACAAACTGGGACTCTACAAATCCCTTTTCTTGACATTTGGAACATTTGATAGGCGCATTAGGGTTAGCACTGGATTTTCCAAGCTGCATTTAGTCTAGTCCCAGTAACTACATGTAGAACTCTACAATGCCTGTTTTAGAATTTGGTAATTAACTAGGGGTGTGGTGATAAAAATTATGACCAAATGTTAAAACAAATGTTTAAAAAAATAATTCAAAAACTGAACGGTGGAATTTTTTAGTCCGATGTCTCATTCAATTATGTTCAAAAGTGAGTAGGCCTAAGCCATAACTGTTATATTTCTAGGAAAATAGCAACTGACATGACTGAAAAAACTCGAATCCTATGCTCGAAAATAGCATAGGATAGCACGGGGAACGCAAAATAACAATTTACAAACCATGCAGGAACTACAATAGGCCTAGCCCCATAAATGTGGCCAATCTACTGGAATAGGCCTACCTTCATAAATAAAAGCCACACTTCCACCATGTACAAAAACATGTCGAACTTTGTCAAATTTTGGTTTTCACATTTAGGCTTAGTTTGTAGTTTATTTTTGCTTTAGAAGCATACTCACCCTCTGTATAGGCTAATCAGAAAGTGCTGCCTTTTTCAGATGTCTAATTTTCATGAAATTTCATGTTGAAATTTTGATACGCAGACGTGTGCAAACGAATCTGGAAATTTCACGAAAAATAGACATCTGAAAAAGGCAGCACTTTCTGATTAGCCTAGCTATAGAGGGTGAGTATGCTTCTAGTTCTACAGCAAAAATAAACTACAAACTAAGCCTAAATGTGAAAATCAAAATTTGACAAAGTTCTACATGTTTTTGTACATGGTGGATGTGTGGCCTTTATTTACGGAGGTATGCCTAGTCCAGTATTTTATTTGGCCACATTTATGGGGCTACAATGCTGACAATAGGCCTCGAAGTCGAAATACACTTTAATTTATCACTAAGTCATAATCTCCGGTTGAATGAATGTGACCCGGTGAATGGCCATGATGCCCCCCCCCTCACACACACACACACAAACCACCACCACCATCACCACTTGACACCGCTTGCACAAGGGTAGCGCGGCCATGGAGGTCGCGCGATCGCGCGAGTAAGTTACTCACCGTGTGCATGTGCGCGGATCTTACTTTGCCTGGTTAGGTTTCGGGTTCGATCGACGATGACAAGAAGCAACAGATGATTTTAAGTATGCATCAACAATAAGCAGTTTATGAATCTGAGGTATTGAGGCTTAGCATATTTTAGGGAGAAACGCGAATATTTCGAGGTTACAGTTCAGTTTGCTGACCATGAACAGTCGAGGGCGCCGCCATATTTAAGACATAAACTGGCTAGAGTCGCCTATACGCTTTGATTTGTCATCAAGCTATGTAGCTTGTTTAGTTGCTGTTTCGGGGTTTCTAGTGGATATATTCACATTTAGCCGGCTTTAGGAACACAACATAGGGTAACAGGGTTTAAAGATACTGTATACATATAAAGTATTCATCAGGAACCAACTGGCATAAGTTTATCATTACGCTTTCTAAATTCATTATGTTTTTGTTATTAAATTTCTTTGTTTTTGACATAATGAGCGACTACTACAAGTTTAAAACGTGTGGCACAAGGGCATGTATACGTACGTGTACGTGAATATGAATGGCAAGGCTAGGCGCTAGGCAAAATCACACGTCATTTAACTTGAAAGCTCCGCAACTCTGCAGGTGTTTCCTTGATCAGCAAATGAAATGTCCACCAAAGTTTGGAGTTTCTGATCGAGTTCGAACCAAACATGGCAGGATCAGAAATGCTTCGAGTTGTTTGGTGCAGTGTTAGTCTGTTTGCTGCAGTCGTTTTTGCGGTGAAGGAGAACGTGCGAGTAAATTTGGACATAGGCATGGTGAACGTTCACTACCAAATTCAAGAAGGAAGTCAGTGCGGATCAAAGCAAACTGCACAGAAACTACTGCATGGTATTCCCAAAGAATTACTGGAGAAAGTGTTTCAAGAACAAAATTTACAAAGACAGGTGGGAAAGGATAGGGTTAGACTTAATTATACATTACATTTTTTTTGGGGGGGGCGTATTAGTCTTGGTACTCTACCGTATAAATTTAGTACCGGTATGTTTACATGGTTTATATTATAAATTATAATGGTTTGTTTACCTTTGTAAAGTATTCTTTTACTTGCAGTGGCTACGGAAGATCCCGATTTTGCAAGGCTAAGGAACAGACAGTTACTCTGAATTTAAGGTTTTAGTTAGCCCAGGTTGGACGAAGTCCTCATTGCATTAACGTAGGGAGGAAAGGAAGTCCACCTGGGCTAGGTTTTAGTTTTCGGTAGCCACATTGGCAGCTAGCTAGTAGCTTGCGAAGAGCCTTGGTGGGCTAGTGGATATTTGCGGTGCTATTTTAAGATCTCCAGGGCCTTGGTTCAATTCCTCGTGGGGACCAGGTTTTGCTCTTACTGAAAACGTCAAGTCCTACTTCTCAATGAAACAAAATTTCAATTTTTGGGCGAATCGTGGTTTTGGAGGATTTGTTTTTTCGAGGCAAGAATAGTCTGAGAACCAATTCCCAACGACTGCTGTATGTGCGTTATTGCTGCAAGTTCTGTAGTCTCACGAAATTGGGGACTGGTACCAGTCCCGTAGCCATTGCCTTTGTTTTAATTAATGGGTCCCAACTAATTTTTATCCCCCTGGCTACGCCAGAAAGGGGGATATTGCGATAGTGTATGCCTTCTGTGTGTCCGTCCGTCCGTGTGCTACCTTTTGGTTAGGTCAACTGTTTAGTGCTGTCATATGAAAAGTCAGACTTCAATCTGGACCAAACTTGTTGACAATAATATTTGGGTAGGAAGGGACTTCAGATGACTTGTGACAGTTCAGGTCAAAGGTCATTTAAGGGTCAAATGAGGTCATTGTTAATTTTGGTTAGGTAAACTGAAAAGTGCTGTCATATGAAAAGTCAGATTTCACTCTCAACAAAACTTGGTGACAATAATCTGTGGGTAGGGGGACTTCATATGACTTGAGACATTTGAGGTCAAATGTCATCAAGGGTTCAGATGAGGTCATTGTTGCTTTTTACTTATCGTATAAATACTGCCACCATGCCAGGGGGGTCGCATTTTTTTTTACTTTTCAATTGTAATTAGTTCCAGTGATTGGACTTGTACAGATGCAGATGGAATCCGAATAGCTGTCACCCTAAGCCTCCTCAATCCTCCGCATTCCGCTAGGATGTTTTGCAGGATGTAGCAGAATTGTACATTGTCCATATGGACCTTGGCACCACTTGAAAGTTAAACATGAATGTGACAATGACATTGTGCTCCTTCCAGAGTTGTAACAAGTCACTGATTTTTGTGACTCGAGTCGAGTCGAGTCATTTTAAAGAAGTGACTCGAGTCGAGTCAAGTCATTTTGAAGAAGTGTCTCGAGTCGAGTCAAGTCATTTTGAAGAAGTGACTCGAGTCGAGTCATTAGGTCAAAAGGTAGAGTCGAGTCAATTCGAGTCACGAATATTTGAACACTTTAAATATATACCAAAATTTATAAAAGGAGGCCATAAGTTTAGCCAGTGTTCAAATCCAAGAGCTCTATAAGAAATCGCCCAAAACCAATGATAAAACAGTGAATTAGAAAATGTGTTTAAAAATCTGGTCCCTGGATAGTATTTTGTGCGTTCTAGAACCATGAGGTGGGAGTCTGTGACACGTTGTATATTTGTACGTGACTGCTATTCGCAAAGTAAAGTGAGCATAAATTTTGCACCGTAAGTCATTGCAAATACTTTTCGCAAAGTTGCACTTTTACTTTGGGACTCGAGTCTTATTAGCCTTCGCTCGAGTCGAGTCGAGTCTTCTAATGAGGGAGTCGAGTCGAGTCGAGTCATTTGCTCGCAGTGACTCGAGTCGAGTCATTTACCCTTAGGGACTTGAGTCGAGTCGAGTCACTAAAAATTGTGACACGAGTCGGACTCGAGTCGAGTCATTGACTCGAGTCATTACAACTCTGGCTCCTGCATAGTGAAGGATTTTGAGGATCAAGGAAATTTTGGTGGGAAAAGTGCCTCAGCAGTATGCCCCTTTGAAATTAAATGTCAGACTTTGTAAAACTAATTATGCAAAGTTTATTTCAGCAGAGGATTGCACTACATGTATCAGAAAACCAAGAATTGAACCAGTTAGGCACTCCAGGCGTTGCTGATTACAAGGAGAGTAGCTGTGCTCACTGCGGGCTGAGTGTCACACCGCATCTCATGGAATCAGTCACCATAGGAGAACTCGTCCAAGCATGTGGTATGTGCCGCCGTTCAGCAATCAAACTAGCCCCATAAATGTGTTTCAAATGCTGGACTTTCTCTGTGTTGTGAGCCATACAGCGATGCATGCTAAATTTCCTGAAAAGTTGTGTTCCTGATTTTGAAAAGTGAGACTGTTTATTCCACTTACCTCGAAGCTGCTTACACGTACCTGGTTAAAGAGCAGAACAATCCAATTCCCTACCTCTGGAAGTCCAGTATTAGAGACACATTTATGGAGCACTAAGTGACTAATGTTCCGCAAGGCTTAGACTGACACTCAATGATTTTGGCTCCGGTAATCCAGTACTGACCTACTCTTAGTCTGTGGAATAGATGCTTGTTCGGCAAGTATCTATGATATGCATGAAGATTATGCAGATTCTGACCATTCAGCAGGCGTCTTCTATCTTGGGAAAACAGGGAAAAAAGGGGTAGTCCTATTTTTCAGGGGGTAATATATCTCTTCAACGACTTGGAGTTGGCTGCTAAACTTCACTGTTCATAAGAACCACAGTATGTTTTAGTTTCATTCAAATTTGAGTCAGTGACGTGGTAATCACTACAGGCCCGGATTACCCAATAGGCACAGTAGGCACTGTGCCTAGGGCCTACGAAAAACTTGGGGGCCTACGAAAATTGCGGGTGCCTACGAAAATACCGCAGTGTGCAATAAAACGCACATAGGCCAACCCACAGAACACACGCCCACATGCAGAGAAAAGTCTTTAAAAAGTTTTAGAGTCTCTCTCGGAATTTTCAATTTCACCAACTGACGCTGTATAGCAAGTGGGCATACGTGTAGGCCCTAAGTATACAATTTACGTGTAAAGTCTGTCTTTCTGAAGTACGGTGCCAACCGTGGGCATTGATCAGTGGGGGACGGGGGGCATGTCGTTCCCCCCCCCCCCCCCCCTTTTTCCAAACCCCGGCTTCGGTCCGTCTCTGCTCCATTCCTGCAGGTTGCAATGGGGCTGGATCCGGATACGGAGCCAAAGCCGGGGTTTGGAAAATGGCAAAATGTGATCACATGACGCTTGAACACAACGACGTCACACGTACACAACGTGCACGCACGACAGCCGTGGTACACGTTTTTTTTTCTGGAGAAGCCACTGTAATCATCAACATTTCTCATATTTGAGTCACTTTTGTTCTGTTTCAAGTCGATCTTTAACTCTGTGAATGACTGCTGCATGGTATGAGGTATGTCTAATGGAATCTGGGTGGGGACAATAGAGGGAAAATGGACCATTTTTGTAATACACTGGGGATACAATACAGGATCCTGTTTTTAGGGACTCTTACGATCTAGTTTCTGTAACGTAGTTTTAGCTCCAGCTCTGTATGTTGAATTCTGATGAGCATTGGAGCTGGAGTTACTCAAGCTACCCTAACCTTATAAGTATGCATATTACTGTGACGTTATGATGAACATCATTGGATGTCTTTCAAAAAATTTTAATACAAAAAAATAATTACTAAATTCTTTCCATCATAACTAATATGAACAAAATGAATCATGTTCGTACGTTGGAATCTGAAAGATTATGCCTTGATGAACTTGTCTTTTGTTCTGGAGATACGGAAGATCAAAGTATGTTAAGATGAAACAAAATTCTAATGCATGGCTGAATTCAAATAGACCCATTAACAAATGCTACAAATTTTACAAAATTTAGTGTGAACACTCTTTGGGGGAAAAAAGATTACTTTAGAAAGTTTCAATAATGACATCATTAGACTGAATGTTATTATAGGGAGTATTTAAATATGGTTGTTTTGCCGCTAATACTTCAACTCCATTGAATACACATTCAGCAGTTTGTTTTCATAAATAATAGAATCAACTACTGTTCTTGATGTTTTTAAATCAAATGTTAGGATGTCATCAAACAGAGTTATTTCCCTTTTATCTTGGATGCAACTTTCAAAAATAAATGTTAGTCATTTTGCAATTTTTTTTTATCAGTGACTTCATCAAACTGGAAGATGTGTGTAAATAGAATAAAATCTAACCAACCCCGTAATGGTGAATTTGGTCAAATGGTTAAATGGTGGAACAGTCATGCTTCAAATGTGATTTTGGGGACAATTTGGATTCTTTTTTTTTTTTTTTACATTGTTTTACATGTATTCATAATGGTGTTTGTAACTGGATCCAAAACAAACTCCTAGTTTTTCGTTTATAAATTTCTACTGCAGTTCCTACTACGGCAGTGCAAACAAATGGAACTATTTCATATCCTAGACATTTGTACTCAGTTCCAGTGCATTGTGCTAGTTTCACAACTAGTGCCAGTGCTTGGATACATGTATGTGCATTGTGAAAAGCAAGTCAGCCGTAACCCCAACCCCCCAAAGTCACAAGTATGTATTGTAGAATTTAAGCTAATTTGTATGTCTGTGAGCCTTGACTTTTGAACAGGCTTTTATTTTCAATGGAGCATAATGATTTTATTAAAACTCCTCTGGCGATTCGAGGAAGGCATTTATGCATGCACTCTCTCGTCTCTTTTGTACATTCAGGCAAATAACTTGGCAAGTGGCTGCATAACAATACATAGCCTAAAGGGCAAATTGCGTTTAGTCTTGCAGACAGCCAAAGTTTCTGGATAAACAAGTTCAGTGCAGAGGAAATACTGTAGCGCTTGCCTTTCAACATGTATCTTATAAAAGTAAAGTTTGATCTTGTCTTATTCCCAACAAGTTTCAAAGAAGTTTAAATCTTGAAAGTTTAGGGAGGTGAAAACTTCAATTTAACACCATTAAATTACACATGGAATAGATAACGATGTACATGTAGATCCCAAACTTTTTCTGTGCAAAATGATTTGTTTTTATATTTTGGGAAAAACTTAAATAAAATAAATGGCACACATGAGTGAGTAATGTATTTTCATTTTTGAAGTTTAAGAGAGAGATAAGGCTAGAGGTCATCTGCATGGGTCTTAGAATAGAAAATGGGTATCAGATGATTATTGTCAGCGCACTTATTTGAGTGAGACAGGTTTTTTATGCGTTAATTTGATTCTTTCTTTGTTTGCACAAGTTGTTGTAATGAGCTGACACGACATGCCCATTTTTTGGGTGTTATTGGAGAGCGGTGGGTTGGTTGTTAAAGAGGTTATGGAATGCTGAAAGTAGTTTTGTTTTTTATATTTTTTTATTGTAGAGTAGACCCATATATATCATAATGACAAAGTCCCATTTTTTGTAATACTGTGCGTTTATATGTTTATAAAACTGAAATTCATCGAGTAATTTGTTGGTCGGGGAGCGCTTAATTAAAATCAACAGTCGTCAGGTTCTTCGTAAAGTGAGAAAAATCGTGACGTAATAAACAGGACTCGTTTATACTACGCTGCATTGGTAGTCCTGTTTATTACGTCACAATTTACTATATTTTGTTTGCTGCCCCCAACGACGACTTTTACACAAATTGCACGTTCGGGTCGAAACAGGACCTGAAAAACAGCTCTCAAAAGTACCTGTTGTACTCATTTCATGACAGACACAATAGTCGTTTTTATTTCATCACACCTTAGGCTACATATACCCGAAAAATGACGGAAATGTCTTCCAGCATTCCACAACCTCTTTAAACAAGTTCAGTTTTCTATTCTCCATAAAGCGTCCCAACAGTCAAATGTACATGTACATGTACGTACATGCACAGGGAAGATTTTTGTGCCTTAAATGAATGTGGTGTGTGCATTGAGTACCTGTAAAAGATTTTGAGCATATTATGGATGTTGCTTGAATTCACAAACCGCCCTGCTTTCTCAAAGTTCTCAGGGAGATTCCTGATAACTATTACTGTTTGTTATTTGCCATATTTAGAGTCAGGGGATGCACGCATGGTACCCGGAGCCTGTGCTAAGATGGCGGCATCCTGGGTTGAGGAAACTAACAACCCTAAAATTGTTGAGGTAATAATGAACTACATGTATGATGCCAGTGTTGTTGTTGAGACCATCATGAATCCCTAACAAGTCCAGGCACTATCAACAGGGGATTAACAATAACAATGGAACGACTTTCATTTTATTTGAGTAACTTGTGACCTGAATTGGGAGTTGATGACTTTTGACGGTCTGGTCTAGTGAGTACTTGCAGAACTTTTGATGAACTCGACTCTAACACTGTACATGTACTTAGTACTTACATGTATAGTGCACAAGGGACAAAAAAAAAACCCTGTTCAGTTACCAGTGTTGCAGTTTCACAAGGAATTGTTGAGTTTTAGTGTTACAGTAAATGGGTGTATTGACAAACATCTAACACTTAAAAGAAATGCTAAACTGAAGGAAACTATCAAATAGTCCTGTTACTTGTCCAAAATTGTTTTGTTTTTAAGAGAATCAAGCATCAACAATCAGTGCTGTTGCCATGTTTCATGGAGACTGGCAGGACAAATGTAACGGTTGACTGAATCTTTCATTATTTTCAGACATATTCTCTTGCAATGGTGGAAAAGGGCCTAGTCCCCTTTGCCACAGGCAATAGGAAAGTGGACCACAAGCTAGGTGAGTTGAGATGTGATACGAGTTAGTGAGGCAAAACCAATTATATTGTATACACATAATAATATTTCAGCACAGATGTATTCACCTGATTGGTTTGCACGTACCTGATGTACACACAATGGAAGGCATGTACATGTACTACTGCCCAACAGGTTGGTAGTACCAGGGAAGTAGTATCCTGAGATTGACCCATAGAACAATTCCACGGAATTACAAACCTCATTGAAAAATCTTCACAAAATCCAGGTCCCAAAAATGAAACATGTACATGTGTATATCATTTTGAAGCTTATTTTCTGTTGAGTGAAAGGTTTGCGGAAACACCATGTGGGAATAATTTCTCAAACGAAGAGAATGGTTCTGAAAAGAACCAGAGTTATAAACATGATGTCCCGGTCAGTACGCTCTGACCGTCTTCAGGAGAGAGTTATTCCCACATGGTGTTTCCGCAAACCTTTCATTCATTAGTATCTCCACCGTGCAAAGCCTCCAATCTTACTTATTATCTGTATTTTACTGAAATTGTTGTAGTTCATTTGTAACAATGGTCAGCAGCTCAGCTGTTACTTTTCATCAAAAAATTAATTAATAAGTGGGCAGTTCCATGGTAACTCATGTTACATTAAGGGGGGGGGGGTTTCCATCAACTTTGTGCCGTTATTCTATAAAGTCAAAGCATTTAGGGTGGATTTTTCTCACAAAAGATCCTTTGAAATTAATTGACTTAAATGCAAAAAAGGCCAACAAAATAAAGTTCTGTTGGTTTGGCAATAACTTTTTATTGGTATTTGTATACTGCCCCACTCATTGAAGTTGTATCCATGTATCTCACCCATTCAGCATATGGTGTAGTTCTCCTCAACACTGGCCATTATGATGACGCTATTATGCACATGAATGAAGTGGTGAAGGAACACCCTGACCTTGTAGGGGCTTACCATACACGAGGCGCAGCATATGCAAAGAAGGGTGTTCGGGTATGTCTTCATGTCAACTTTCTTTTCAATTGTTGTCTATATTCTGTATTAATAGTAGAACTCTTTCAGTGGGGGGGGGGGGGGGGGAGGGGGAATCTGTGAATCTGTGATGCATACATATACATATAGGTCACTCTATAAATTTAGGGTCCAGAGTGTGACATTTTTCCTGTCCCTAGTACCTTATAATTTACCATTCAAGTATCATGAAGAATGACTTCAAAATGATTGTTTATTTGTTGGGTAGGTAGTTTGCTGTTCACAATCACTCTTGGAAGATGACTGCATAAAGGAGTGCATCTGAATTATAAAAATACAGAAGTCAAAGTGGACCCCAAATTTATAGAATGACCTATATGTATATGTATGCATCACAGATTCACAGATTCCCCCCCCCCACTGAAAGAATTTACAGAAACTATTGAAAGCCATCTTTTTTATTTCTATTTTTCTCATATCTAATCGACCCTATTTTTGGCTTCCTGCCAAAGACGTAACAGATACTGCCAACCCTTTCTTGAACCACTTGCCAAACAAAACAAAAGTGACACATTGCAATAAATTGGTTTTTACAATGGAATATGACGTGTCCTCTTACATCTCTTGTTGTTGTTTGTTTCCTTCAGTTTCCCCTGAATGCAGAATTGGCCTTACAGGACTTCAATAAAGCTATCGAGCTCCTCCCCAGTGCAGAGGAAGGATGGGAAAGAAGAGCAGAGGTCAGTGGACTACCTAATCCATCAGCACCCCGTGACCTTTAACCCAATAGGCTATATTCAGGAAAAATGGAAAACAGGTTACAAATTGGTACAGCTCAAATTTAGATTTAGATTTGAGTAAGGTTCCTAAACTGCTTCAATAAAAAGGATTTTTCTTGTATTTTTTTGCTCGGGAAATGTGATTGTTACACTGCCCATTTGCTTAAATAAATATAGCTTCTAGTAGTCATGTGTCATTTCCTTTGTCCCCTTTCCCATCCCACACATCTCAACTTTCAGTGAAGGCAATTGAATCATAGTCCTTTAACTTAGTCCAGACAATGTATTATCCCATTATCCCACTCCACCCGTTCCCTCCCAACCCACCACAGCCTGAATGGTTTATTTAAAGCACTCTAAGTATTGTACATGCTGGTCACACCAGGAGAGGTAAGTACCCCAAATGGGACAACAGTCAGAAACTCAAGACCAAGATTATTCCTCTGTCACCCCACCCCGACCTCATCCCTACCACATCAGAGAAATGTACATGCACATGTATGTCCTTACCACACGTTGAGAGTGGGGAGGGAGCACAGGCCAGTTCGCCCCTCCCCTTCTACCATAGATTCCATGTACAGTAATCTAGTGTCCCAATGGTTGTCCCTAACCCAAACCCTCTGGGGTAGTGTGGCTGGAAATCCTGCTTAAAGCAAAAATATGCAACACTTGTCAAAATGAAAAGCCTACCCAGTGTAGCAAGATCCATTAGGGCAATGATCTCAAAGCAAACTTCAACAATCTCAACGCAAGCTTGCCTCAAGAGTCTGTGGTCACTGCAGCAGGATACAACAGTGGCATCTGTTCAATGGGACTATTCTCAATGACTCAGATATGGCCATTGATGCTGCTTGTTTTAACTGCTCAATGCAGCAAGTTGCCACAGACCTTTACATCTGATGCACTGTACAGGGTGAGTAAAAAAAAAGAAACCCAAATGTCGGGACCATTGTTTTAGTGAAGTTCTGCATGTGGCACTTTCAAAAGCTAGGACACGAAAGCCCAATTCATAAGCTTTCTTTTAGTACAAGAATCATTCAAATCACTCATGTACTTTTTAAGTTACGGAATTTTAAACACAACCACCGTTTTAAAGTTCTGTCCACAGTGTTCTTTCAGCTTCTTTTTGCTGAAAGTGTTCTTTCAACAAAACGAAAACAAATCACATAGGGAAGTGTATGAATTGTCTTCGTTTTGCTGAAAGAAGGCACACCTTTTTTTGTGATCCGTGGACAGAACTTAAAAACGATGGTTGTATTTAAAATTTCGTAACTTCCAAAGTACATGAGTGATCTGAATGATTTTTGTACTAAAAGAAAGCTTATGAATTGGGCTTTTGTATCCTAGATTTTGAAAGTGCTACATGCAGAACTTCACTAAAACAATGGTCCCGACATTTGGGTTTCGGTTTTTTTGACTCACCCTGTACTGTATCTGCCAGGGTTAGGGTTATTACTTGGTCACAGAAAACAACACCACGGTATCAGACACTTCAATATCTATCATGTATGCGACAGCATTGTGACATCGTACTGCTTATCCATACAGGTATACTCATCCCTTGGAATGCACAAAGAAGCAATGTCAGACATGACTAAAGCCATCTCCATCAAGCCGTCTGCTAAGCTGTATGCACACAGAGCTACGGTCTACTTCAGGGAAGAGGTGAACTTAGACATTAATAACAGCAATGTAAAGGAACACTTTTGAACAACTGTTGAATTGAATGGGCCCTTTTGGGCTTCAAAGTTATAAGATCATTTGCATTTATCCCAAAGTAACCTACCGAATTATTATCAAAAATACTTGGATTAAAAATTGTATTGGTACTAAACACCCCGTGAAATTATTCCGTCTGGCTTGCTGTCATTTAGAAGAAATCAAGAAATGTTGGTGACTTCCAATGATCAGTGTATTGACTGATTTTTGGAATAAAGAGTGCTATAGATGAAATCGTGTTTCGTGATCGAAAAGTTTGGTTTTACACTGTTTTCTCGAAAATTGTAATATCCACCGAGCTTAGGTTTTTGAAGATTCTTCTTTGGATTCTGAAACGTGTTATTATTGGAAACAAACAAAATACATGAAAAGCAAATGATCCTGTATGCCTTTCCCATGAAACGATAGTTTCAAAGCAGAATATAAACGTCCATACAACTACTTTTTAAATTAGCAGTTTTCATTTAAATATCCTGTGAAGGAATTTCTGGGTGCAAAATGTTGTTCCCAAAATGCTAGTCTTTATTCCAAATACATATGTTTCTGTTGGAAAAGTTGCTTCAGACACAGGTGCTAACACTATTTTGGTGCCAGATTTCTTGCTGTGACTTGTCGCTTACTTTGTTTTCATCATAATGTGGCACCAGTACTGGTGTTTACAGCTTTGGCTCATAATTTCACTCCTGCATCTAATGTAAACAAAACAGTTATTGAACATTTTCTAGATAAGTGTAAGACGTTATGCAGGTTTCCTGTACCCAGACTTGATAAATAAAATGAATAAACAATCACAAACACTATATTTTGGCAAACCCAAGAAGGTTGTGCACCTTAAATAGGAGTGTGCGACTAGTCGACTAGTCGCTAATACTAAAAAGCATTGGTAGTCGCGACTGTCAATTTCTAAATAGTCGACTAGTCGTTATGCTGTGACTAGTCACGACTATTGACATTAGTGGTGACCATTGAAATTCACTAGTCACCCATGCCTGCAAATTCGTAATCCAAGTAATTAAAAAATGGCCATATAAAGAGTTTAAGGGTTTTAAAGAAGTTTTAAGGATTTAATAGGAATATTTCACAATTTCAGAGTCAAAAGTGTATTTTCTAATGTGATCACACACAGCTGAGTAAATTGGGTTTATACACTGAATGTTATGTACATGTATGTACACACATATGATTCGGTCATTACTTTGAAAGTACACCAATGGCTTAAACTACCCAGACATTATTCATGTGCAGGGCCCTGTTCTGATTGTAATGGAATATTTGAAAGTATGAGGATTGCCTCTGAATTTCACTGGAAAGCACAATGTATGTATGTATGTATGTGAAATGAAAGATGACGTTTGCTCATAAATAGTAATTTATCCATAATAATAATAATTGATCAAACCATGTTTATTCACTACAATCTGTATTTACTTTATTTTACACAATATGTAATAATAATAATCAATTCTGTCAAAATACCGCTAAACAATATGGAACCATCTGATCAAGGCAACCTGATCTGCCTGTTGTTTTTTTCTGCCCCAAATTCTTATTGCATATACGTGTACGGTATTACTGAATAAATAAATAATGTGTTACTAGTTTACTAGTCACGACTAGTCGACTAGTCATGACTTTTTATTGCAACTAGTCGCGCGACTATTGAAATTCACTAGTCGCCCAGGCCTACCTTAAAAGCTGTTACGTTTGCTGAGATATGGTAAGAAATGATATGTGTGGTTTCTGAGGGAGACCAACATTTGTTATGAGGAGTACCAAAATGCCGTAAAGAGTGTAAGCAAGAGAAGACTTGATGAAACGGTAAACTTTGTTTGTTCCCTGCTCATTCATGAACTGTTTCATTAAATCCAGGATTATGTGGGAGCAACCAATGATTTCTTGGATTCGATTCGAATCAACAGACACCAGCCTGACATATATCATCTCCTAGGCCTTGCCTTGTACCATCAAGGCAAAATAAAGGCAAGTAGCAATAGAAAATCATTGTTTGTAAAAATGTTTACATCATGTGAATATGTGTAGAAGACGCAAATTTAAATATGTATTAAATGTTATTGTCGGACTCACCATTAAAACAACCCCTCAAATTTACAATTAAACATTCGGTAATTTATTCTTGTAACGGAAATTGCATAACATTTGTTTTCCTGATATTAAAATTCAATTTTATTCAATTTTATATTATTTAAGTTCTACATTAATTAACACACACTATATGCTGAAAACTCACTCAGTTTTTTATTTCAACCAACATTTGTGGATATGTATGCGTTTGTTGTACTGTTTTCAGGAAGCCATCAAGTACTACAATGAAGCCCTCAAACTGAACACCAACTTTGTAGACTGTCTACGAAGCCTGGCTCATGCTTACAGGTAAAGCAGGTTGTATTCAACTGTTGTACATAATTAGAGTAATGCAAGAATTTATGAAGAACAAATTAACATTATCCACCAGGATACTGCTTAAGGTTCTACATGTATTGCCTTATATTCAGGCTGTTTTGGGGCAATGGGTGATTTGATCAACTTTGCCTTCAAATACAGGTCTAGATTTAGAAAAGAATCTATTACATGAATTTTACAGTGTAAAGTTGTGCGAATATCCATTCCTTAGAACTGGCCACCTTGATTTTTTAGATTTGTGTATTTCAGGTCAATCCAGTCAGAGAGCTGCTTGCAGCAGTCTTATTCAGTTTCGTGTTTCAATTTACTGTAATTTATGTACAGACATGCCCCTACAAGCTTGATTGTACTTCTGATATATTACCCTGGTTTTGATGGAAGTTAATGCTAGTGAAATTGAAAGTAAAACTGAATTAAAATATTGAAACCCAAAAATAGAAAGTTAAACACGCAAAAGCTACAATATTCTGGGAACTGTTTATGCTGGAGCAGCTGTAACACTGAAACACCTAGTCCTGGCAAATATGATAGAACAGGGTGTGTTCATGAAAATGGAAATTTTGTTAGCATAAAAATAAAAAAGCCTGAATAATCACTTAAAACTGGCAATGTGAAGTTAGAATATAAATATTGGACACAAGGATTTATTGTAAGGATTGTATTTAAAATTTCCATTACATGGGCACTTTAATTTAAAAAAAATCGTGCCCAAAGGTACACATTACAATCCTTTAATGTGCGCTTGAAGCCCCATGTTTCAGAATCACCCACGTGATCTTGATTTTGACTAAATTCATATTCCTATCTTCAAACCTAAAATGTAATCAATATAAATCACCTGAAAATGTAACTTGTTGAACTAAATGATTATATGTGCTCATATAGTTTCATATATACAACCACCTTTTAATATACAGTTTTAAAAGCAGCTTTGCTTGATAAATAAACACAAGCCTAAGTCGTTTACCACAGCTGTATATGAAGAACAGAACACCTGTTCAAATTGAAGGTTTTGTTTTCCACTCTTTATTCTTTCCTTAGTATCACACTAAAAACAAGAACTTCAATTATTAATGGACACCATTCTCATTTGTAATAATTTCACGAAATGGACTGATTTAAGGGCTATTAATTTATAGCAGACATCGTTCCACGGATCTGTTCAATGTTTCGTATCCATTGATGCTGGAATAACATGAAAAAAATGCAGTATCATTTTCAAATGTGAAAGTGCTGCTCACGGAATCCATAAGTTATGGGGAGTGCCCCAGTGCCAACTCTGTGGGAATCTAATTACATACATATACCTAGTTTACCTGAGCATACGCAGGAAATCAACAGCTGGCTCTCGGCCATTAATGGATGTAGTATTTGAGAAAACTGTTTGTTCTCAGTGATGGTCAGGTCCTAACCCCTCTTAATCCCTTATCCTTTTTTCTTGAAAATGATAGCATATCAGGCACTACGACTTCACAAGATGCTTCATACTATTATTTACTTGCAATCAAGTAGACTATTTCATAATATTTTGGCAGTTTCATTTTTGAGTTTTTGCAAATTTTGTCCAAACTGCTCAGGTGTATCCTAAGTGCTGATTAACACAGAAAACTGACTTTCAGACTTTTGTATTCAGCCAAGGCTTCATGGTTTTTTATCCCCCTGGCTGTAAGCCGGGGGGGGGGGGGGGGATATTGCGATAGCGTATTCCTTGTGTGTGTGTGTATGTCTGTATGTATGCGTGCATTTTGTTTATGGTGTAAAATGAGGACACACACGTGCAACATCATCAGTGAATCGAGGTCAGAAATCGAGACGTGTACAAAACCAATGAAAGCTGTTGCGAAAAAGTTTGAGTACAAACAAAAGAAAAGGGAAAAGGAACACAAGAAAATCCTCGATTTACACCATAAACAAACATGACTGTGATGTGTGTATTATGATTTGGTTAGGTAAGGTTAACTCTGGTCAGCATGATAACTTGAGAAATACTTTACTTCGGAACTTCAAATTTGGTTTGTGGATTGTTCTTGATACCGGTAGTCTTAAGAAGCCTATTGATTTTGGGGCTGACAGGTCAAAGGTCAAGGTTACTACTGCTAAAACAAAAGAAATCTTGTCAACGCGATAACTTGAGAAATATTTTACTTAGGAGCTTGAAATTTGGTTTGTGGGTTGTTCTTGGTAGTCTTAAGAAGCCTATTGCCTTTGGGGCCAACAGGTCAAAGGTCAAGGTCACTTTATTGCTAAACAATAGAATTCTTGTCAATGTGGTAACTTCAGAAATACTTTACTTAGGAACTTGAAAGTTGGTTTGTGGATTGCTCTTGGTAGTCTTATCAAGCCTATTGATTTTGGGGCCGACAGGTCAAGGTCAATATTGCTAAAATAATAGAAATCTTCCATTTTGGTTAGGGACACTGACTTTATAAAAAAAAAACTGCCAGCATGCCAGGGGGATTGCGCAAGTCTTACTTGCAGTATTTTTTTTTTTTTGCAGGGAACTTGGTAATTTTGATAAGGCCTTGGAGAAGTTCAACGCAGCCCTGTTGATCAACCCTAATCATGTACAGTCGCTGCAGCTGCGAGGTAGCTTGTTGTACCAGGCAGGTTACCCTAAACAAGCACTGCCTGACTTTAAGGTAAATGACCTGCTGTTAAGGAAGCTGGGATTCTAAGCTAAAGGTTCTGTGCTTAACAATGTGGTCTGCAATGAAAATACGAAACAAAATACTGCGAGGTAAGATTTTTTTGTGAAAAACAAAAACATTGGAGAACAAAAGATGGTATAAAGGGGGGGGGGGAGATTTTCCAGATTTTCCACAATTTGTGGGTTTTAAAGAAAAAATGAGAACATTTCAACATTGTTCTCTTTTTGGGTCACAGAATCATATGAAACAATTGCAATGGGCAGATTTTAGGTGTGACTTTTTAAACAAATATATATCTATGCTACAGATAGCCTCCTTTGTTGTTAAATATTTTCTCAGATTCCCCCCCCCCCTCACCCTCTCAGCCCTTCAAAGGTTATTTTGAAGGAATGAATTTTCTTTTCACTCTTTCCGTAGCCTTGAATGCAATACCGTGTATGTGCTGTATCATCGTGTGGGCATTGCTGGCCATAGCTTACCAAGCTCCACGTCACACAAACACGGTGAACCCTGATCCGTTGTACGCACACAGCCCGCATGCACACCACAGTGCGTGCACACCTGTAGTATCTAGAACTGCCCCGGCCCTGTGTGGAGTCGTAGCCCGTGCATATTCCGAAGGAGCACAGCCTTGATTCAACTATAACTTCTGGGTTTTGCGGTTATGTTAATGAGAACGAGCTGCTTACGATCGAACAAAATCTGATTGGACACGCAATGCTGTTTAAGAATGTTTGTCGTGGGTCACGTGGCCAGCATTGGGTTACCAAACTAACCATCATTGATCTGTGGCGTGATTGGCCATTGAGAAACATACATTATTCATAGCGGGGTAATTGCCATATCCTCTCCCCCCCCCCCCAATTTCCCTCGGAATCGCAATGTAAAGTAAAGAAAAACATAAAACCTGGTAGTTACAGAATAATCAAGGCTGTAATCCAAGGTGACTCGCACATGTACATGTACACCCAAGTGTATGCGGTCTGGGACTCTCACATGGGGGCAGTGCATATACATGTTATGTATGTACAGTATGCACTGTGGGCATTGTGCATGCGATGGATCAGGGTTTCGCCGTGTATGTGGAGTTAGCCTGGTAAGGCCAAAAAAAAAAGTCTCCGGTTTCTAGCCATGCGCGTCGGCAAAATGAAAACGTTTTTTTTTCAATGAAAGATGATGTCTCAAAACCGCCAAACTCACTGGTTTGACTGGAATCCTCCTGCTGCACAATTTTAACGTGTTTTTAGATTGGGTTATGGTCGAGAATAAGCTTTCTGTGGCCTCTCTGGACTCCCATATATTTGCACTAAGTTTAGTCGGGCACCATTTGCAGTTATCAGCCGACATTTGAAGCAAAAAAATCAGGTAAAAAAAAAAAAAAGCCGCGTCGCCGCACCACTTTTTGGGCAAGCTCCATACCAGAAACCGGAGACCTTTTTTTTTTTGGCCTAATAGGCTAGCTATGGCCAGCGATGCGCGCACAGTTATTCAGCACATACACAGCCTTGCTACTCTTTCCTCAAAAGAAAAAAATTAAAGGATAATAATAAACAATGTGCAATGACATCAAAATTAAAACAAAATCAATGGTGTGCCTCTCTCACTTGGGCTCTTAAACGATGTCAAAAAGCACCATCTATGTACTGTTCATTGCTGGAGCTCATACTCATCAGTCTTCTTCTTAAACTTCACTTCTTACAGGCCTGTACCTCCCTAGAGCCACACAATAATGTGTGTCAGTACATGAAGGGACTCTCCTATGCAGCATTGGGCCAATTCTACAACGCCATTAAAGTCAGCACTAAGCTCAAAGTACTACACATGCCTGAGCCTGGAAGCAGTGAGCAAGATCGTGTCTTGTATGTCAGAGGTTAGTGCAGACACACTTCAAAGTAAATTTTGGGCAGCAATTGTTATACCACTGTTAAAGATACGAAGGATCGTTTGCTTTTTGTTCCCTTTTCTCACTTGAAGCAACAAAAATGCTCAAAATCTGAAGAAGGGCGCCTAACAACTAACCTGCGGCACTTTCAGCTCTGTGGATGTTACACATTTTGAGAAAGCAGAGGGAACCTATGCACAATTTTATTCAACTCGTAAAGTTTCCGTTGCATATTTTGAACCACTCCCTGTCAAGATACAGTCCCTAAATCAGCAATTGGGACGTGATTCGCATTCAGGCGGTAAGGATTCTGGTGATTTTTGGCATTTATGCTGTAAGCATGGACCACTGATCTCTGTTATTGATTGATACACGCTTACACCGTGAGGTGGACATAGTCCATTTACGGATTAAACCAACTACGAACCAACAACACGGTCTGACTAATGAGGGCAGTATGGAAAAGTGTGCCCATAAATGCCATCTCCAACGATTGTTTACATCTGTATGGCACCATTTAAAATGAAATAATTTCACAGGGTATTTGATACCAGTCCTATCTTCACTTTGCTTCTGTCATTAAATCGGTAGGTATTTTTCCGGATAATAGAAAACAATCCTACGTGGCTAAGCAGCACATTTATGTTCTTCAAACGTAAATGGATCAATGCAGATATGAACAGAGAGTTGATGATGAGATGTGGTTTTGTTTGTTTTTGTTTGCTTGTTTGTTAGAGTTTTCCCGTTACCTCCATGCTCACCTTGATATACCAGTTTATGCGTACAGCATTGATGATGATCTTGATGGCGCTATGAAGGATAGATGGATCAAAGGCAAACCATTTGAGACCAAAGGATATGTGGAAATGCCAGGCCTCTCCCCAGAAATTAGGTAGGCAGCTCATTTTGTAAAGTTAACATAAACAGCACTGTGTGCTGAAACTACTTTGAAGATTGAAAACTTTGAAGGTTGATTTTGGGGTTCCATATTTTTGCATATTGAACTGTATTGTGAATGTTTGAATTTAACAAGTACAGAGTCCTTTAACATTTTTGCATGATGAATTACAACAGTGGAATGTAAATGTAATAGTATTTAAAATCCTTAGCAGTGTATGTTATCTGTGTCTGTGAAAATGTGCTTTTTCATTCCATAAACATGACTTTTGATGGAATTATTTACCAACAACATTTCAGCATGTTTAAACAGATTTGTGGTTTTCTTCAGAATAAGCTCAAGGATTTTTCATCACATGTATATGTAATGAAAAGTAACACAAGATTTTGCTCTACACTGATGTCATTTTATAAACACTGTGTACTCGGTGCTTCCTGAGAGCTTATAAGGAAGGCAATCTCTGTTGATGGGACTTTAATCTATCCTGCTTACTAGCACAGGTGTCTTACCTCTTGGCCACAAAGCTGTTTTGTGTAATTTATTTATTTAACTTATTTATTTATTTATTACATTTCTTCACCCAGGATATGTCCAAACAGTTTAAAAGTGGTTTCTATTGGGGCCCTGCATACACTACAAATGACTACACACATGTACAGATACAATACATTACCAATACAATACAATACAATATAATAGTAAAATAAAATCATATGGGATTAATGCATAATTGTTAAGCAACTATTATAAATGTTGTTAAACTATTATAACTACATATACAGTGTTAAGCAACATCGCTAACAGGCTGTACTATATAAAGGTGAGTTAAGTAAACACAAAGAAGTTTGGATAAAAACAAATAGATGGCTATATATTCACTGATTACGGGAGGGGCGAAAACCCGTGAAAAACCCTTTTGAGAGAAAACACGAGGAAATTCCCATCCGACTCCTTACTATTATGGCAACCAAGTTTGTTAACTCCGTATATCAGCTCAGATTAAATTTGTGTAATCATTGAAGACATCGAAACATACTTGTATATTTGCAGAAATATTACTGACTGAACGTTTTAAGTAGTTCAGATTTGAATGAGGTTAGAGAAGTCAGGCTTCTCAACTGTACATGCAAATTATTCCATGTGATTGTACCAATTACAGCAAAGCTTGAGGCACCAATGATCTTGCACGTTTTTGGCTTCCAGTAATGACTGCTTGTTTCATGTACTTTCCAGGCAGTAAGTCAAGTCTCCATGCGAATGCCAAATATGGATTGTTATTCAGTCACGCTTCCACTACAGCTTATTCTATGAACTTGTAGCCATTCTGAATCAGTACAATTGTGTGCACTCATGGACCAGCTTTTCTAGGCTATCCTTGTCTTGTTTCTTGGTTCCCAGTGATGTTGAGGACCTGGACTTCTTTGAGCTGAGCAGCGCAGCTCAGAAGTTGATTTGTCGGGCAGCGCCGTTGGGTCGGTTAGGCCAGGTGGATGCTGAGGGTTTCCTTCCAAACCAGAGGGCTCAGCTAGCCATGGGACTAGCTAGTATCCAGGTAGCACAAACCATGACGACGGTATGGGAGAAAGCCAGCATGAATCGAGTCTTTAGGAACAGCCAGGGTAAACGCTTTGGATGGAGGGACCTGTTTGACTTAGCTGTCAAATGGAGGAGGTAGGTTAAGAATTTTCTATTTGTTTTGTGTATGGATGGACTCCTTGCATGAATAGTAATTGGGGCTCAATGACCCTTTTCAGAGAGGGACACACACCACGTGGGTTTACTGGTTTGCGCAAAGTTTTGCACTACAAATTTTACACTGTTATTTCTCTTGTGCCACAGGTCGTTGGTGCGTTTCAGTGTCCCTCCCCGTGGTCTCCCCCAACTCTCTTGTTGTAACTGTTGAGGGGGTACTTGTTCAAGGAGTCCATATTCTTCATGAGGTTTTTCATTTAACTTTGCAAATTATCAATTTTTTATCCTATCTATCCATTTTTTTGCAGTACTCCATGATTAACCCTAACCCCTAGGCCCTTGTTGCTTACAACCATCCTCAATCCTCCAAAATCCTCCAAAATTTTTCAACTCCGCCTAAATTTTTCAAAATTGTCAGACAGTCCTGCCTCAAAATGCATTCATCCTCAATCCTCCTAAATCCTCCTCATCCCAAAACTTTGCACTCGTGTTTAAATGAAGGATAACCAACGCCAAATCCTTCAATATCATCAGACAGTCCTGCCTCAAAATGCATTCATCCTCAATCCTCCAAAATCCTCATTTGATTCAATCACCATTCATCCTCAATCCTCTAGAATCCTCCAAAACCGCCAGGAGGATTTTGGAGGAGTGAGGTGGGTTAGGGTTAAAGGGACATTACGGCCTGGAATGTGCCCAATTCGGCTACAAAATGCATTTTAAATGGAATGATATCAAATAGAATGATATTTAAAGTAGAATATAAACGTCCACACAACCATCCTTTAATAACTGGGAATGTTTATGTTCTTCTTGTGAGAACCTTGCAAGAACAAATTTCAGGGTCACAATTTTGTCCCTCAAAAATCGAGCTGTTCAGTGCTAGTTGTGAACCAGCCGCACACTGGTTCACACACTGTGGACGTGTAAGAAACAACATTTGTGTATTTGTAATGTGTGTATTATGTACCACACACACAACTTGTACGCTGCATTGAATAGACACAACTTGAAATACGTATGGGTATGCCACAAATGTCTGTCGCGTCCGATGTAATTCAACCGTTTTTTTTTTTAGTCTTTTCTCGGGCACGATAAGACATTAGGTTTGTTTCCTTTCAACCGGACCTTTGAAGTGTTATAAGTAAACAATCCAAAACATGAAGTTTTCAGGGATTTCAGGCAGTAATGCCCCTTTAATGTTTGGACACCAATCCACTGTTACTTTACATGGGTTTGATGTCTTAATTTGTGCCATATGTTTATTGCACAGTGTGGAATTCAGAGCGTCCTTGCACAACTGTCCAGTGAGTCGTGGTTAAAGAGATCCATGAATGCATGTTTCGGACCCAAGCCTGTTGAAGATGGTTTTCTCTGTTTATCCATTACTTTCTGACATTTTGTTATCGCCTCACTGCTACCTCATGGAGTTTCTTTATTGCAATAACTATGTTAGTAGGATTGTACAAGCATTGGCAATTAGAGGCTGTGCAGTATGTACCTCATTGATGCACGTATTTAGATTTGTGACTGCTTGATTCTACCTCCTGGCATTATTATCAGAGATTGCTTTTGGTTGTATACATGTACATCTCATGAATAGCGCAATTTGTACTTGAAGAATTTCTTGTCTGTGCAGACTAGTGGATCTAGATCAACCTGTCTTATGGATTGACATGATGCCAACGTCCAGTGTAGAGGCAGGATTTAACAATCACATGAACCTTCTGAGGGGCCAGGTCTTCAACATCCGATTCAGCAAGTACTTTGATGTTATCTTCAATCTCACCAAGAAAATGGTCCTCCAGCACAAGTGAGTGCATGTCTAGTGAAGTCTGTTACACCATATTAGATTGTGGAATCGTTCTCAACACTTTTGAGTACATTTTCATTATCGCTGCTTTGTTCAACATAGCTAGAATAGACCGTGCAGGCAAGGTTGGTGATGTTGCCTGGGGTGAGGCATGTCAATGCAGATCGGCGCACATGTTAACACAGACATTCTCATTATCAAATACCAAAGCATTGGACTGCTCAATAATGCATAGGGGTTTTAAATCAGTAATAATATGTATTTTAATACAGAACTGACATTTTAATGATCATCTTGTTATTCTTAAAACTTGTTATAAAAAGTAATAACATGGTATAAAAAAATGGTTGCGTGCTGTGATATAGTGCATGTTTTTTTTTACACCTTTGGGGAAAATGGCACCCTAGGCTTCCCCTTAGGCGTACAAAAGGCCATGGATCCCTCGGGTGTACATGTACAAACTGCCACGGACTACTTCACAGCAGACAACAACTTTTGTTATATCCTGTGCTTGGATACTGTAATTTCATTGGTCTAGAATTTTCTATAAAAATGCATGTTACTCACTAATATCCATTTTTACGTGGAGATCAGTGATATCGCACTGCATTCATTGCGTGTGTTGCGTGCACGCATGGAACCTGCCAGGGCGCTAGCTTCACGCAATAAGACTGCAACAACTGCTGAGTCTCATGTCCGGCAAACCAGCAGGACATCAAAACTCTCAGTTATCAAAGGCTATACATCGCAGTGGTTTTATTTATTTCTCACACAGTTAGTAACAACCATTTATCTTTTTGACTTACTGGCACGATATAACAAAACAGTTGTTGACTGCTGTGATGTGGGATATGCCGTTTTTAACCCCCTGGTGCGCATAGCACCCGAGGCGATTGCACCTCTCGGGTGTTAAAAACATCATATCCCACATCACAGCAGTCAACAATTGTTAAATGTTTTCAAGATAATTATATTTCTTTCATGAATGCATGACGCTTGAAAATTTTGTTAAACTTTTACTAAATTAAATATGGATTCCCATCCTTAGTACATGCCATGACACGGTCAACAGGTCGATCCACTAGGCCCGGCCCTAGGATGTTACTGACCTATCACAGCCGTGATTTATGTTTGACATGCGTGCACAAATGTCTGACATGCATGCACTTGCATATGACACATGTGTCTAAAACATGCAGTGTGGCATTGGGGAAGCGCACATGTTCTTGTTCATGTGTGTAATGGGCGGGGCTCAACAGATTGGTCTATTGACTGTAATATTGGAAAAAGGAACTCAAGTTTCTTCACGAGTAAACTCAGTGAAGCATAACCAGTGTCTCACCCAAGGCAACTCAATTACTAATGAGCCCTGATTTCTCACCAGCCTTTACGTCAAGTCCTCGCGAGCGGAGGCCAAGTTCCAATCAGCCCTGGAGAAGGTCAACAACTGCGAGGATCTACTCAAGCTAGTCAAGAAGCAGAAGGTGGGTGATGGCACGGTGCCTGGCTTCATGGTGTCTACTAAGATAGCTAGCCAGAGGGAAAAGGGCCATAAGCTAGAAGGATCCATCTTCTCACTGACTGGTGACATGTAAGTAAGGCTGTGTCTGCATTATTTGGCTACAGCCAGTAATTACACACATGCCTATGGAAGGGGCTGCAGCCACGTCCCATAGACTAGTGTGCTATTCCCAGCTGTAGCTAAGTAACTTAGACGCAGCCTAGCATTCGGATCTCTAACAAATGATTATCTTATTAACCCTAACTTCCTAGGCAGTTTTGCTAGGGTGCAACCTCAATCCTGCAAAATTCTCCAACTGCCTCGACGTAAAAATAGCATACAGCCTCAATCCTCCAAAATCCTCCGTTCTTTTTTTAATGTGGTCCTTGTAGGGGTGACCACTGCTTCTGCAATCCTGCAAAATCCTCTGGCAATCACTGTCAATATGTTGAGGCAGAGCCAGTGACATCCTGGAGCAGTGCGGAGGACTTCAAGTATAATCTAGGCCTAAATTTATGCACGGCTGAGCATAAACAACACAAGTTCCGGCCCAAGACCTTGACACAGTGCATCCTCCAAATCAGCCACACATTTTTGCCATATATAGCCTCAGTCCTGCAAAATGTTCCGTTTTGCAAAGAGGATTTTGGAGAATTTGGGAAGGTTAGGGTGAAACATCAGTCTACCTACACTCGCCTCCTCATGAGAGCGCAAAATATTTCCTGGAAGGAACATAAGACAAAGGTGGAAATATACCGCAGCATCCCACCTATCTCAACTACAGCAGCACAATGCCGAGCCTGCTTTGCCGGCCACTGCTACAGAGCCAAAGAGCAAGGTGTCTCCGACCTCATCTGCTGGAGATTGCCTTGCCCCAACATGGAGTGTCATGGCCTAGCAGTTAAGAGCACCGGACTCATGCTCTGGTGTTTCAGAGGCAACAGTGGCATGGGTTCGAGCCCGGGCCCGGACACTTGTGCCCTTAAGCAAGGCACTTAACCATTATTGCTTCGTCCTTTGGACGGGACGTTAAGCCGGAGGTCCCGTGTGTTGTATAAGGCCTAACGCACATAAAAGAACCCAGTAACACTTATCGCTAAGAGAAGGGGTTTGCCCCGGTGTTTCTGGCCTCCTAGTTATACTCCCTTGTGGAAGTCCTTAGGAGAAGAACCAACCAAGTACCAACAGAGGGAGGAGACCCCTCAACTACGTTGACACTGTATGCAATGATGTGAGCCAGCACGTTGATGACATCACCACGGCCATGGCGGACAAGAGAGTCTGGAAGAGTATGGTTTCATCCATCTCGGCTGTGGCCGCCTAATGGTGATGATGATGAGCAATCAAGTGCTGCTTGAATGAGGGAAGACTAACAATGCTTGGGCTCTGAACTTACATATGGGTGGTTTGATTTCACATTAAAGTGTGATTTAAAATTAATATTTTATGTAAAAAAAAAATGGATCCCGAAATGGTCTTGAAGGAAGTCTTTGTGAGACCCTGACTCTGAAAATCGCTGTGTGTTGTTTCCAAAACAAAAAAATAAATGAAGAGTTTATTCCAAAATGCGATGAATACCATTTTGTTCCCTTTTAGAATCCTGCCCTCTCCTGGCATGCCTGGTTGCCCAAAATCAGTTTCGACGGATGTTATAAAGTTAAACACAATTTCAGAATGCAATAAAACAAATAAATGAAGTTAAGAAACAGCTGATGTAATTGGTTTTATTCTTTTTTTTCAAATGGATGCATATCAGGTTTTGGAAATAAAATCTTCAAATAAACCTGTATTCTTTCATCATGTAATGACACTGTATAGGCTCATTATTAGATTTTTCTCTGAAAATTGAAGAAAGAAACGTAATTTAAAAATAATGAGGTTTTGAAAGGCCCGGGAATTGTCTCCACATCAACACTGGTAGGGTTTCACTGAATGCAACACTTTAGAAAATTAAAATGTATGTGACCTAAATGTATGTAACATGATCCAGCTGAAATAAGCCACACGCCAAAAAGACCAATACTAAAATGATAAGATGTCATCTGAAGTTTCATTTCATTAGAATTTCATTTTGAAGCATTATGTCAACATCCAGTTTTAGGAAAATCACCCTAAATGTCAACCTGATTAAAAAGTGGACGTGATCCAATCATTAAATGTGTTAGATTTATTAGCTTAAAAGCAATACATACAGAAGCTTGTGTTACTTGATAGCTGTCTAAATTTGTTATTCACAATTTCCAATAATGAGGTTTTTAAAATTCAAGTTTCCAGCCTGGATTTACGCCCACATTGGCTAGTTGTATTTTCCCAACTTACCGACGGCTTCCTGAAAATTCAAATTCTGTTATACATGTGCTGAAATACAGGTAGTACCATGAGAAAATACAATCCGAATCAAAAGAAAGCTTCACCGGGGGATGGTCTGTTCATAAACCTAGCCTGTGGTGTAGATGGCCTGTAGTCATGTGTATAGAACCATGACTGGTTATTTTGTTTTCTTGACATTATAATCAACTAAAGAAGTATTTACACATGCCCTGTACATCAAAGCCTCAGCACGCTATCCTTAATCCAGCAACATGGTCAACGCTCCAATTTCTTGAGTTATCCACAAAGTATATTAAGTTGGTAATTCTTCCCCCCCCCCCCCCCCCCCCCTTTTGGGGTGTAATTTTACAATGTTGATTTCCTGTAATTTTTCATCCTACTTTTTGTTGTTGCTGTTTTGTAGTTCAGGCAATGTGCTGTTTTCCTTAGACACAGCAACAACCAAGCAGCGGACGGATCAGTTCCACGCAGAGATTGATTACATCTGGATGTTGCTGACCGAGGAAATGAGAAAGGCCCACATAAATAAAGATTTGGTGAGTTTGGCTATTAGCCTTAGCCACAGCCACAGCCACAGCTTATCTCAGTTTATAGGGATGCAATTTCTCAGATGTGTCTAGCTGAAAATAGATGTGCGAGGAAAAAGTCAGTTCAGAGCCAGTCAAATATGCATCACAGGAATTTTGGCATATTTTCATTTGTTGAGCAACAATATTCAGCTGCATGCAGTTTGCTTTTGGTCATCAGGGTTCGATTTTAGCGGTAGCCCGCTAGCTAATCAAAGCAGCGGCGGGCTAGTCAAACTTTTCCTTAAGTAGCCCGGCTGGCGAGTCAAAATTATTGGGCTACAGTAAAGATGAAAGGATGGGAAAAAATAAAGCATTAAATTCAGAAAGCAAACCTGTATCAATTTGTTAAATTATTGGATCTGTTTATTAAAACACTGACAAGACACACGTTTTACATGAATGCACATTGTTGTTTATGAGACACTCTACAAAAGAAAAGCATGCGGGCTAGTGAAAATGCCCGCGGGCTACATGTAGTTAAGAATCTGTTTCAGTAGCCCGGCGGGCTAGTGAACAAAAATAGTTAAGGTCGAACCCTGAAGGCTTTTGGTCATCCAGAATCAGCTCTGTGCGTGGTGTGTTTATTGCGTTTAGGTATGGTTGCGGCGTCTTTAAGTTGTTACTGAATTGGTTAGGTCTTTGGTCATGGCAAGCTGATGTATCGACAGTAAGTCGATATATTAACTCAAATATCTCGGCTTTTTGTTGTTATTCCATCCAATAAAGGCAATTTATTCTGTAGCTAAAAGTCAAGTGATTTGCATGGCATGCTCTGTGCCAGCTGTGCATTGGTTCATAAATGCTTAGAATCTGAATTCAGAGCTTTACCGAAAAGCTGCATCAGATTAGAGGAGGATTTTTTACTTTGCTTTGGTAAAATGGATAGAAAGAGGTTCATTTTGAGCATTCATTTCTGCATTTGATCTTGGTGCTTTCTGAACCATGTTCACTTCAATTCAATTCAATATTTTATTGAAAAAACTTTAAAAGTGAAATTCGTTTTCCCAATGTGCACATGAAAAACAGTTCACATATATATACTTTAACACATAAGAATTAACATTATACGAAAATACCATTACAAAAATATATATAAAACACCATTAAAAAATCCCTCCTTTGGAAAAAAAAAACAGTTTGAAAACAAAAAGGTAAGAATCTATAAAATAAAAAAAAAACTCATTGTAAAAAAAACAATTGAAATCTGCATACTGAAATGCTGTGTTACTTATTTAAAAAGTTCCAATCTGAATATTCAGTCTTGTGTATCATTGCTGTCTTTCCTTCAGGATTCGGACTCGGTCATTCATCTGATTCTCTCCATTGTCTACTACTTCTACAACCTCATGCCGTTATCAAGAGGCTCTAGGTGAGGACAGTGCTTGGTTATGGTACTTCCCTTGTGATGTGTAGCACACTAGCCAAAGTCTACCATGACTAACTACCAGAGCAAATTTGTTCCTGACACAAAAGTCGAAAGGCCAAAATTTCCTTTTTTTTGCCTTTTTTAGGGATGGACATAGGACTGGAGCATGATGTTAAAAAAAACATCAAATTTCACAGCTTCAAAGTTAATGAAAACCTTTCTCAATTTCCCATCTCCGTTGTGCATATTCTCCAAGCTAATACCAAACAAAGGTCAATATTTTGCGCTGTAAGTGCAGTACATATTGACTTTGCTATCAGTCGCCATCTTTGTTTTGTTTGCTTTAATTTTAGTAACAATAAATGCGCTTAAGATCTTCTCATGCGCATCCCTGTTGAAACAAAAGTGTGCACCTAAAAATGGCATGCATTGCAATAGGATCTATACATTCATGCATGCCTGCTTTGGTTACATTGGTTTCCAGCTCCGTTGCCTACAGTGTGGCCGTGGGTCTGATATACGCCATTGGGCAAGAGGTCACAGGTCACATACCCAAGGGCAATATTGTGGATGTGGAGGCATTGCTGTCTGGAGGTCCTGAGAACTTCATCTCCCTCATGAAAAACTGGATGAACATCCGCGGGTAAGCAAACACTCACTCGGATTCTTGGGATGCCGGTTTTGTAGCTTTAGCTGAAAATCCTGATTTGTCACGTTTTTGTTGTTGAAAAAATGCCAGCATTCCATCCTTTCACAGGCGGAAAAATAAATCTTCATCATTCATGTTAGATACATGGAGAAAATAAAATGTAATAAAAACCTAGCTACATGTCGTCATTTAACCAATATGAAAATTTGTTGCATGTTTGATAGTCGCTCATGAGCCATTAAGAAAATTGGTTATACACTATAAGTGTTGTCAGTGTGCTAGACTCATACTGAGTGTGCTTGATTCTTGATTAAACTGAAGCTTTCTGCATGGACGTACAGCATTTTCGTACAGTGAACGATATTTTGCAAGCCAAGTGTACTGGTGTGCGAGTCTCTGATCATTATGCATGCGCCACTCCATGACAAATGCCGTGCTATACACAAATGTATGTATTGTATGTTCATTGTCGACATACGTAACGCATAGTCAAATGGTGATTGGGAATATATCCTCCCCATCCAGTGGCGTAGCCACCGGGGGGGCGTGGGGGGGGGGCGACCACCCCCCATGAAACCTTGTCGCCCCCCAGTCGCCCCCCCCCCCCCCCCCCCCACTGAGATTTTGAGTTTCTAAAAAAATTATCATTGATCTACATGACGCCATGGGCGTCAATCCTGGGGGGACAGGGGGACTGTTCCCCACCCCCCCCCCCCCCCCCCTCTCGTTTCGCAAAACTTATCTATGGAGTCTGAAGGTGTAGTAAATACTCTACACAATGGTCTTTATCCCATCTCATTTGAACACCCCAGTCCAGAGATACAGCTAATTAAATGAAAGGACTTGAATTCCAAGTCGGGCCACTTGGTATCTAGTGAAAGGCATTCACATGCCAAGAAGGTGAACATCGACATCGTGCATGAGCTGCCAGGCTGGTCATTAGTCTGCTCCCTTACATATTGCGTCAATTAAAAAGCGTTTACAGGTTCCAGATACACGACCATCGCTCCCTCAGTCTGGCTTCTAGACGCTTAATTACAAAATTTCAACACTGTCTGCAAATGGTGCCCGACTAAATTTAGTGCAAAATATATGGGAGCCCAGAGAGGCCACATGAAGCTTATACTCAATCGTAACCCCATCTAAAGCACGTTAGAATTGTGCAGCAGCAGGATTCCAGTCAAACCAGTGAGTTTGGCGGTTTTGAGACATCATTTTATATTGAAAAAAAAAACCTTTTTACTTTTGCTGATGCGCAAGGCTACGGCGATGCGCACGCAGACCAGAAACCGGAGACTTTTTTTTGGCCTAACATTGATTTGTTTGTTTCCTCCATATTAGGAATCCATCCAAGGGCAGTGACTTAGCACCTGTGTGTGAAACCTTTCCCACATTGAGGGCAATGCTGGAGGCACTGAATGCGGGATCCAGAGCCTGCACTATGGCAGGCATGTAATATGCTCCAAACTCATATATTTTTATACCAACTCACGGCACAAGTTTTTATTTTGTGAAGTTTCTTTAAAAAAAGAAAGACTGTTTTTAAATGGAGCTAGCTTCTTTTTTAATGCTGTTATAATAAAATGACTGTTTGATGAAATTTTTTGTATTGACTTTATATAGGCAGGTGTTGGGGTTTAGGGCCATTACATTTTTGTTTTAATTCCAACCAATTGTTACTGGTACCTGTGCATTGTTAAGTACTGAAATATCCACGGTTGACTTCTCAAGACATTCGTGCCTGGGAGGTAAGATGTATCCATTGAATTGTCCTACTGTGAAATATAAAGCCGCTGGTCGCTGAAACTTTGAAGGTTTTGGGTTTTACAGAAACCTTGCATTGTCAAGTAAAGACAAATGAAGGTGTATTTTTACAGTGTTCTCAAAAATAATTATATCTACTGAGATGAAATTTTGACGGGTTAGTTTTGTAATTACCTGCTTGAGATTTATTGTATTGTTGTTCCTTGAATCGACAACAATACCTTTTATTGAAAATGGTGTCCATCACCTGTGAGTGGGGTGCATGAGTAAGTAGAAGTTGGATTCAAATCCCTGCAACCCCCCCCCCCCCCCCCCCCCCCTCCATAGCACTTTACAGTGCTTATGACATTGGTGAAGAAAACCCCTTAGTTCAATGAACTTACATCACCCAAGCACGAAATTCCTACTAGTGTTAAAGTGTAATGTGCCTCTTTTTTGTCTTGCCTTTAGCAATGTTAATAGCATATTGGTTGGCGCGGTAATCGGTATTTTTTCTTGGTTTCTTCAGGTTTAAACAGTGGTTGAGGGTTCTCTATAGCCATTAAGAAAATATTCCTGTTTATCTTCAGTATATGTTCATAAGTTCACAGCGGCTTTGCTCATTCTGCCCGATTTGTAATTTCTTACTTTATGATTAAAAGCAGTGTCTTTTCCCCAGCCCTACACTCAGAGCGTGCTGCAGTAGGGTGTGTGAATGGAAACATTTTATACCTTTCTAAAATTGGGATCCCATGAAGCTTACTAGCCTTTAGGTAAGAAACAAATTCTGCAACCGAATTCACAAAACAGTGCCTGACTTACACTTTGGGTAGCATTTACACAACAAAGTTGTCGGGCAGCTGCACAGTATTCCTACCATTAATTTGTTACTTATGCTACGTACAAATGACTGCATAAGTTATGCCATTATTTGTTGTCTCTGTAACATTTTCATGAAGTGTCACATAACTTGTTGCACAACTTATGCCATGAAATGGTGTGTCCGTGGAGTTACTCCATTATGCAAAGTTTCATCAAATTGGCTGCAGGCCTTTTTTGAAATTGAAGTCTCCATGATACAGGGTAATTGGAAGCCCTTGGTTTCAGTCAACGCTTTGATATGATGCGTGGACTATTTGTACTACGTTAGTTCTGTGATGAACCCCAAAAGAAATAAGCTTTTGAGACCTTTATGTGATTTTCTGTATGAGAGAGAAACATTTTCCACCTTAGACTTAAGATTATTGAGCACTATGGAAAAGTAGTTTGAATCCCTTTAACAAATTGTGTGTGGATGATGAGAAACAGGAATATTTTTTTTAATTGGCTGATTGTAAAGAAATATTTCAGTGTTTATACAAATATCCGGATTGGCTATACTTTTGGTCTTCTTGCCTGTATGTTTTGCTACATAAAAGCTGGTGCTATTTTTGTCTGCTGAAAATCTGAATAATGTAGAGAATGTAATTATGGATGTGGATTGACTGGCAAAATGGATAAATCATGGGCAAGTAATTAATGTTTTTACTGTAGATGAAATATTTGGATCACATTAGTTCTTGATAGAGGTCACCCCATAAGGGGTCTTATAAATGTTAAAAGTCCAGAAGAGGACAAAGCTGAATCCCAAGCAATTCTAGACAGATTAGGATTGGGTCATTCTATAAGCTTAGGGTCCAAAGTGCGACATTTTCCTGTCCCTGTTACCTCTTCTTTGTAATTTGCCATCAAGTATATTTAACCACTTCGCACCGGGATTATTTTTTCCGAAAATTTTGATTTTTCGCAAAAGGCAAAATTTTCCAGCCAACTTCTGATATACAGCCAAACGCCACAAATACTGATTTGTACGATATTTTTTGCCAAAACCTTATATGTTTCAATACTCCGGTGTGTGCGCTGGAGCGTAAACTGTACAACAATAGGCCGTGCACAACGGCCAATTCAAGATCAACACGCGGTCCGCCTCCACAGACTTCACAGACTTTGTGTGTGTGTGTACAAAAACAGCCAGTGCCTGTGTACAAAAATAGCCAGTGTGAACTGATTAAGAATGACTTCATAAGAATGACTTCAGACAATTTTGTATTTGTTGGGTAGGTTGTTTGCTATTCATAATCACTCTAGCAGGAATGCATTAAGGAGTGCATCAGAATTATAAAATCAACGATGTCAGGAAAAAAAGTTGGACTCTAAATTTATAGAATGACCCATTTTCAATGTCATGCAACACTTGCTAATATACAAATAATGAATGTTTGTGAGTGCAATGGTAAGAATAATTTCATGGGGTGACAGATGGGGTAATGGAACATTCCATCTGTCACCTCATGAAATTATTCTTTCCATTGCACAAATGTGAAACATTCATTATTTGTTTTATACAACACCTGAATAAATCCTCGTCATCTGATTGGTCAGAGCCACCAAGATTGTGACCATGCAATGGAACTTTCATTTACCATTTATTTTTGTGGTGCGGCCAGGCCCGCGCATTGGGACGAATAATTCAATGGCACATGATCAATGACCCACCAATCAGATGAGGATTATCAGGCGTTGTGTAAAAGGTAATATAGAGATATCTATCATTCCTTAAACAAGGTAGTCTTCCTCTGTCAACTATTGTGAGATACCAGCAAGTAATATGAGAGAACAAAGTGACCAATACCCTGTGTGAGTTCAATCTCAATAGTATTTGGCATACTGCCACATTTTAACATTGAATGCTCCAGACTTCACTTGATTTGGAGTCTCGGTTTATAGCAACATAAGAGGAACCCAGCTCCAATTGACCTATCGCGGTAGAATCGCGTTAGAAACGCGTCAACACAGTTTGTGAAATATTGTCCAATTACATGATATACAAATGGACGCGGAACAAACAAAATTTGGTGTACAAAAACTCCAAAGGGTTGTCTAAGGGGCGTGGCTAACTCGCAAACGGCGGTGATAGGTCAATACATGTGAACATGGCAATAAAGACACCAGTATTATCACTCCAGAATTAGCAGTTGCTGGCATAAGGCTTTCTCCCGTCAAGTGGATTTAGTTGCATTAAAGTTATTCTAAAATTGTACTTTGCAACATAATTATTGAATAGAAGATTATATTTTTCAAAATTCACAATGAATATTTGAGTATCTGAAGTCCATCCATACATTTTTTTGTTGAAATTTGAGAGAGGTATTTAAGTGTATATGGAGAGGTATTTAAGGTATTTCGATGTATGGACAGGCGGTGGGAAATTTTTCTTCCCTCTTTTTTTGGAGTCACTTTGGAATCATGTTGTAATCGAATACAAATTACAAGGTATTATCAGTTTTGGGAATATTTGTCAATGTGCAAAGATGGAAGTTAACAAGGGCAATGTGGTCTCAGGGATTTTTATTAGAAGATGTAAGGCTGTCCGACATACAGTCACTTAACCATTAGTCTCTGTACCGTCCCAAAGCGCCCCAGCGCCCTGCGTGTATACTCCTTATACTGCCCCAAAACTCTTTGCTTTTATGGATTTGTCCAGGAGTAAATACAGTGTTATACAATGTAATACAAGTGCTAATGGGTTTGCATTTGCATTCTTGTACTTTTTTCCTCAAATTTCGGTAACACCACTCTAAACGGAAAAAAAATGTTGCAACCTGACGCCACTTCAGCCGTTGTGTACAAAGTCTATGGAGAGTCAAGAAATTTTTTTAAGAATTTCCTAACAAAATTGGAAATGATTCTCAGTCCCAGATTCATGTCTTATCATCAGTTTTGCAATGACTGACCTTCATTGAGATGATATATGAAGGAAAAAAGTGGCGTCAGGTTGCAACATTTTTTCCGTTTAGAGTGGTGTAAAATAGTTGCAACATTTTTTCCCTCTAAACCTAAGTCACAAGAAACCTATTGAAAACTAGTGGACACTAGACTACTCATGAGAGTACGAGTGTTTTGATTTGCATGTGGAAACTCAAGTTTCTTCTGACCTGTCACACAATATTTCACAGGGATGTTCTACTCCAGGAAGGCCTGGCTTGAGGCCGTTGCAAATGACCCAGCCAGGCTTGTAATACAAAGTACCTCAGGATTTCATTATTTATCTACATATAAATTTCTGTACCCAGAGTTCAACCAGGTGGTGCTATTTACTTTGAATTTGCTTGATAGATACAGGTTCTTCCAATTAACCTTCTTGCTTAGGCATGCTAGTACGCGTAGTGTGGGAAAATTTGCTAGATTAAAGGGGCAGTACGGCCTGAAATCGCCGCAAATAACATGTTTTGGATTGTTTACATATACTGTTATAAAGGTCCCTTGAAAAGAAACAAACCCAATGTCTTACCGTTCTCGAGAAAAGACAAAAACCCGGTTGTTTACATCAGCGCGACAGACATTTTGTGGCATATGTATTCGTATTTCAAGTCGTGTCTATTCAATGTATCGTTCACGTTGTGTGTGTGTGTGATACATAATACACACAGCACCAATACACAAATGTTGTTTCTTAAAGGTCCGCAGAATGCGAACCACTGTGTGGCTGGAGTCACAACTAGCACCAACAGCTCGATTTTTCGGGGACAAAATTATGACCCCCAAAATTCTTTCTCACATGGTTCATGCAAGAATAACACAAAAACACCCAGTGTCAAAAGGCCTAGGATGATTGGTTGGACGTTTATATTCTATTTCTAAATGCTCTTTCCATTTAATATCATTTCGTTGAAAATGCATTTTGTAGCCCAATTGGGCGCATTCCAGGCTGTAATGTCCCTTTAATAATTAGTAATAAGTAATAGGTTTGCGGGTACACCTTGCAATATTTTCTTTGTTTTTGACGTGTGGTTCTGAAAAGAACCGGAGGTGAGAACTGTTCTTGATGTTTTTTGGACAGTGTGCTCTGTCCGTCCCGAGGTATCTGTCCACCATGCAAAGCATCAGACCACACTTGTAATTTGTAAATTTTCTGCGGGTTAGTTTTTAGTTATTTTAAACTAATGGGACAAAAGGAAAATAAAAACAGCTCAAATAAACAATCGATTGTTCCAAAGAGTAGTGTTTTATTCTGTGTGTGTCTTGAGTTCCAGTACAATTAGGAAATTGGGAAACTAGAAACTTGTCAGGATTTTGCGTCGCGCATAGAATAAAATACAAAACGGAAAGAATATTGCATCCTGACGTCACTTTTTTCATCATATATCATCTCAATGGAGGTCAGTCATTGCAAACATTATTGAAAAGACACGAATCTGAGAAACATTTCTAATTTTGTTAGGAAATACTTTGAAAATGTTCTTGACTTTCCATAGATTTTGTTCACAACTGCTGAAGTGGCTTCTGGATACTACATTTTTTCCAACAAACACTCGAGCTCAGCTTTTCTGTTCAATATGTTCATGCTTGGATCATGTGGCAAGCTTTTGTTTCATTTCTAGTGCAATAGTGGAAGCTTGGGACTAAAGTAGCCAAGTCAAAAATAAAATGTCCTATTTATAATAATGGCAATTAGGCCATCAGCCTCGGTCCAAAATTTTGGCCACTGGTATCAAATGAGGGGAATAATGCACTAGCGATTTTTGGCAAGGCATGCACCCGTATAACTTTTTGGACATAATCACCCTTTTTTCTCAAAATGTTCACCAAAATTCTTGTTACCACTCTAGGGGTGTATGCATATTGACCTTGCCAATGAGCATTATAATCCTTTATTCCCCTCATTTGATACCGACCAACCCCCAGGCCGATGGCCTAAATGGTCTTTGGTAGTTATGTGACCTGCATTGTTCAATTATACTGCTATGTGATCAATACATATGCCAATAGGCATATATTCAAATAAAAATGACTATACAGAACAGATTTGGAACTCTAGTTTTACCAGACATTTTAAGTATTGGTCTGTAAGAAAAACATGGTATGCATTAAATTTTCCTCCACTTTGGTTTCATAAAATCTTCAAAAAGTCTCGATCAGAACCATTTGTTGTTTAATGTCTTACAAAATAATCTAGTCTATTTAAGAATTCCTTGATATATTTACAATTAATCTTGTTGAAATTCTCAATGAAATGTGATGTGCAAATGCAACATTTATTTTTTGTTCCAAATAATTCGCTGTCTGTAAAAACAGCAAGACAAATATAGTGAGAATTCACGTTTACATAGTATGCTGTTTAGCTAGGTACTAAGAAAAACTACAGTAAAAGAGCACACTTGAAACTGGGGTCAAATTATAGCGTCCTAAGCCTTTCTCTTTATGCACTCCACTTTTCTGTTGCAAAATTTATTTCATTAGAACCAAATAATCTTCTTACTTTCACAGCTATTTCGCATAAAGAAGATTCAAGAGAAATCTTTTCCTACACGCTTGGAGGACACTACCTCTTAACTTACTACTGACCTTGGACTCCAGAAGTTATGTTCATTATTGATTACATATAACTGATGGTATCAGACAAAAAGTACCCTTAAAAAATCACTTACAAGGTACTATCTCAGCGCCAGCGATTCCTCGCTTACAATAACTCATTACTTCTGGTTATTTCTCCGGCCACGATGACTGTCCTCCCCCATGGGAACCTCTTCTCTGTGCACTCCAGCTGCTATCACGCCCTGTGATACGCACTGTAGCTAGACCCATGGGTACATTAGATGCAAAGCCTGCCTCTGACTGAGGACCAGGAAGGATTCCTGTGGGAGCAGGCATCCGCATCATGTCAAAATTGGGGGGTGGCTGATTGAAGGCTTGATTGGTAGCTGATGGCGGGGGAAAGTTGGGGAAGGGCTGAGGAGGGGGCTGGTTGGGGGGCATTTGAACTGGTGGTGGCTGGCCCATCAAAGGCAGCGGCTTGGAAATTAATGGTGGTGGTTTGTTCATATTGGGCGGGGGGACTGACATATTGTGTGGTGGAGGGGGTATATTGACTTGGGGAGGGGGGACGTTAATTGGCGGGGGTGGCATGCTAGATGGTGGAGGACATTGGACAGGTGGAGGGTATTGGTTATAAGGCTGGCTGTATGGCTGCTGTGGAGCTGGTCCTGGTGGGGGTATCTGTGGTGGGGGCTGCTGCTGTTGTTGTTGCTGCTGCTGCTGTAGTGGTGGTGGAGGTACTGCTGTGTTAACCCCAGTCTGTGGGGGTACATTTGGAATGTATCCTGGTGGAGGCTGGTTCACATTGTAACCAGCCTGTCCATAGTTGGGAACCGGATTACTGGGCGGCTGCGTTTGGTTTCCATAATTCCAAACAGACTGGTACTGTGCTTGACTGTAGACCGGCTGTGGAGTGCTAACCGCTGCGCCAGACGGTGCAGATTGATGGTAACCAGTGGATGGGTAGCCCTGACTGACGGGCGGTGGTGGTGGCACGCTGTATGATGATGTTGGGGCAGTCTCCGTATATGAAACAGGCCCTTGATAGGACTGACTAGAAGGAGGTACAGACTGAGTGACTAGGGCAGGTGCAGGGGGCGGGGCTGCATGAGCCTTCGGCTGAGACACAGCAGGGGCCGACTCTTTCATGATTTTTCTTGGGGGAGGTGGGTGGGCCTTTGCACTTGAGGACTTGTCCACCTGGTCAGTCCCTTTGGCTTGGCTGTGGCCAGAAGTTGAGGCACCTGATGATGAGGATGATGGAAGGGGAGGGGGAGGGGGCCGTGACTGGGTGTAGGAATGACCATCCCGTGGTTTCTCTGGTTTCGATGCCGACTGCTGAGATCCGTGAGAATCATCTGGTGAGAGTAAAAAAAAAAAAAAAAAGGCAATATGTTAGTTTTAGTAGAATAGACCCTTTATATTGTAGCCACTTGTGCATTCATTGTTACTGAATTCAAATATCAAAAAGCACCTCAACAATGTCTGCTGAATGCAAAGGGTGTATAGATCTTGATTAATGGGTAGCGAGACTCGGGTGTAAAAAGTACAAATGTGAAAGAATGCTTGCATACAACCTCAGGTTACATCAACAGCAGCCTTGGTTGTATACTTCACAGATACCTGATACAGTTGAACAGTTTTTAGCGGACAGAGGAGAGAGAGGACAGTGATGTGATGAGCACTGAATACCAGTCCCACTAATCAGTAATATCTAAGGAAAACCAACTGTGATCACTAACAAAAATTAATATGCGACTTCTGTAAATCCCCATTCTCAGTCCATACCCAAATAAATGTTGCGTTTTCAGGAAAACAATCTATTCAAAGTTAAAAAGACTATCCAGTGATCCATTTATTTCTGAGTCATTCAAGCTACGCTTACTGCAGATTACTTTCAGACCATTGCAATACAGTAAAATCTTGATAAGTCAAACCTCAAGGGAACAGGTTCAAAATGTGACTTAAGCAGAGTTTTGAGTTAAGCAGGGTTGTATATCATTGTTATACTACTGAATGCAATGGGTTCTTTGTTTGACTTAACAGTTGCTTTGAGTTATCAGAGTTTGACTTATCAGGATTTCACTGTATTTTGACCATGTATTGCACCTCATGAACTCACCTGAGCTTTTGCTACTCTCAGCACCAGCCACTGGTGGTGTTTTCTGTAAAAATGTAGCCAAAGGAAAAACATCTGTTTGTGTTCATAGGCAAGACACTTTGTCACAATAGCTGCCCTCCTGGTCCGGAGTATTCAAGGGCTTTACTTAGGGAATAACAGTGTGAGTACCCGGTCTTCACTGCGTGATAATGACCAGGTTGGGGGATGGCCGCTGCCCCAACCCGGTCATTATCACGCAGTGAAGACCAGGTCCTCACACCGTTATTCCCATAAATAAATACCTTTTTAATGAAATAAACAGTTAAAATGCTCCGAATTTGTGACTGTTCTTGTGATATTTCCAAACTTTTTGTATTCATGTTCAGGGGCCATAATTTACATGTAGCTTATGCACGGTACTCTGCCTAGTCTCCGCGTGATTGAGTCTCGACCAATTAAAAGCTATCAACTCTCCAAGGTATTTATTAATAATGAATACAGATATGAAGAAATCATTAAAAAACCAAGATATGACACTTTTCTTTCTCTACAGTAAATACCGAAAAGATCACCCTTCAATCCAATTTGACATGCACACACACACATCATCAAATATTCCTCCTGGTTTGAGGGTCTTCACTGTCTCCACAAAATTCATTACAAATGCAGTGAATCCTACTGGACATGTATACATACTGGTCTGGGGCGTTTGACCGCTGCCTTGGTTGGTGTCAAAACCGATGGCTTGGGTTCTTTGCCAGTAGAGTACAGATCCAGAAGCAGGTGACATATATCTGCATTAGGAATATGCAAAGTACAATGCATGGCTGTTAAATCAATACTCTGGAGCATTGCTGCTAATATTTTCAGGGACTATTGTTAAATCTTTTTATTTGATTATTATATGTTAGTTAACAACTGCATATTTTTCCCAGTATGCTGTATAGTAGATCATGATGCTACTACAAATCCTCAACATTATTATTGAACTGCAAACATTCACATTGTGTCTTCTTTTTTTAAAAATGTTACTAAGTCTCTTGTGATGAGATCAATTCCTCATACAACTTTGTTATTGAAATATCTACCCCTCTGAAGTTGTTATTACAATAGGGGCATACATGTTCCCTCTGTTGTATGTTTAATCAAACAGAGGTGTAGGCTTGTAATGATGGCTTGAGATCCATAAAAGCGACTCAGGGCCTGAGGCCAGAGCCAAGGTGATGCATAGTGCACAGGTGCTTTCCAAGGTCTGTTAGGGAACCAAGGAAAAAGCCCCCTAGCCTTCCATTAATACCACATGACTATTACATTATCACACATTATCTTTCCTCTATTCAAAAACAATTCATAAACAATTTTTTTTCAAGTATTTAATTGTATTTTGTTTTGTTTTTTTGGACAGTTACAATTTGGTACTTACAGTTTTACGGGCGAGTTAGGGGGTTCGTTTTTGATCATTTGGGGGGGGGGGGGGGGGGGCGACCAACCAACCGACACCAAAGTGACTTGTAGAAGCTCTGTGCCAGAGCTTAAAAAGTAAGTCACAGCATACACGTACGATCTCATGATTTATCACATATCAGCATCTATTATCCATACTAACCTTCCATAATATCCAATGACACATCGTCAGCCAGCTGCTCCCACCACTTGACCTTGGTGTTCTTGCCTGACCATTCCAACAGATCACTCTTAGACAGACGCCCCGCTAGATACAGGAAGGCCACGCCCACAATGTGGGGCTCCCACTGTAAGCACAGAGTTGTGCATAGGCTGAAGAAAGTTCATATAAACATATGAAAACAGTAAATTTTCCATTCTATATATAAAACCAATGCTATGTTTCAAAAGAAAATTGCAGCGCCAGATATGATAGTTTTGGTTCTGTCTTGTTTTTGTGTGTGTTATGGGTACTTTCTGTTCCCTATTGAATTTCTGAATTCTAAATAAATTAGCTTGTCTTTCTTTATTTGTAAAGCATCTGAACTTTATTAAACTGAAGTTTACTATTACGTCACTTTTGTCACCATTGTACAATAATATTGGCGATTATGTAAGATGTGCTAAACTATACACAATCACTATTATTTGTGTAAATATAGAGAAACAGCAAGTGTTGAATGATTGTGTGGCAGCATTTTCTGACGGTCGTTGACATGACAACAGTTTGACTAGAGTCGTTCGCACTTCAACTTCAGTACGCATGCACTAGGTACGTCACAAACCAACCACTAGTTAACCACTGGTCCTTGCGCGAACTTGTCCCAAGTAAAAAAGCTCTCAAACTGAGTAGCCAGGTTCTCAAAGTAACTAGGCCCTCAAACTGAGTAACAACGCCCTCAAACTGAGCAAGCAGGTCCTCAAACTGAGTAATAAACTCTCAACTGAGTAACCAGGCCTTCAAACTCAGACACTAGGCTGACACACTGAGCATATACACTCTCATTCCTCACCTATCATTGACAAACGTCCAAGCCATCTGCACTAGCTGCTGTATCTTAGCCTTGTCTCCTTTGAGTGTCTTGGCATACTTGAGGAGGTAGCTGTATGGATGATCAACCTGAAGATCAAACTTGATGGTCTGAAGAAGGATGCGCTCATAGGTCATTATCTCTTCCTGCAATTGAACCAATGATACGTGTTAGTTGAATAGTGAATGCAAACATCTAAGCAGCCAGTACGGCACATCTACACATAGATACTATAGATACATGTACTACTATGTAAGTACTTTACATGATGCTGTGTGGACTACATGAACAATGAGGGACACATTGTATGTATGTGTTTATTTATACATGTACAGTCGACTCTCATTGTAAAGAGCACTTTTATAAAGAGGTTCTGCTTATAAAGAGCAAATTCTGAGGTCCTAAATCTCAGGTTCTCTTTGTGTTTCTTTGTTTCACTGTCCTTTTATAACAACATTCCTGTTATGAAGAGGTAATTTGGCTAGTCCCATCGACCTTGTTATAATGAGAGTCGACTGTATACACATGTTAGATGTGGCGTACACATGGTTAATTTTTAACAGTGATGTTTACAATATTGTAGCATCTGTGTGTAGGATGAACACAACTGAGTGTGGGTGCAAGGCAGCAGTAGCATTCCAAAGCGCGTTAGAATCACAAACTCTTTGTCATTTTGCTCAATTGTGGGGATATTCGTACAGGTGTACATACCTTTTGATTTAAACATTAAGCTTGATAGTCCCACGGCCTTGTAAACATTCAGTTTTAACTATAGTCAGTATTTTTTTGTGTTAATAACTCAGTCATTCCATACCCAACTCTACTCAGCCCTGCCCCTCTCTACACTACCCTACCCTGTTCCAATGTTTCCCTTATCCTCTCTTTCCATGCTACCCCCCCCCCCCCTTCCCTTCTCACCCCCCCCTACCCTACATTGCCCGACCCAGCTGTTTCCATCCTGTCCCGTCCTATTTTTCCTCATTTCCTTCCCTAATCACCCCACAGCCCCAAATCCTACTTTACTGTTCCTAGAGTTTTTATGATTGTATAGTAGTAACTGTGTTTTTGTGTATGTACATGTACATGTAGTAATATATTTTTGGCTTTGTCATTTTTTTTTGGTATTATTGTATGTATACATTTTTAATTGTACACTGGGAAATAAATTTTCATGTAATTTTGAACATGACAATAAAGAAATCTAATCTAATCTATTTAATGATACATATAGTGTTTTTATAAATCTTTGTATATGGATTCCCTTTTCCTCGTTTGAAACCACGCAAGATCACTGCTGTCAACAACAACGTCATATTCTTGTTCAATCAGTGGAGTAGTCAGCAGGTTTCTAACATGTCTTAATAGCGTTATGTTATTCAAACGTCACGCACAGGTCTATATGTGAAGGAATGTGAGTTTAAAGTGCAACTTTGCTATTTAGATCAAATTGGATGATGTTCTTTTTGATATAAGTGGAAATTGAGAGAAGTACAAATTGAGTCTAAAACTCCACTACAACAATTTGCTATGAATAAAGAGGCATCAATATCATCATAAAATGCACAATATTCACTACAGAATAAGGTGCATCTAGCAAACGATTGTCACATGATCATCACATGATTGTCACATGACGCTACCTTTGGATCATCGCCGAATGTACTGAAGTGAGGCTCTGGAACCATGAGCTTAGCCACACGAATGATGTCCTTGCACTTTTTGGGAGTTTCTTCCACTTTTCCTGCCAGGAATAAGCAGGCTGCCCCTGTGACCTAAACAAATGGCAAACGTTAACATGAATTCAATCGCTTGTCCCAAGGTTCAAGATGGAACTGATCCAATCACATTCTATCAATCAAGTCGTGCTAAACTCAGATTTTATCTGTGCACTCAATTACATGCAACAAATGTACGCAACATAGTTGAATTACAACCATGTTGACTGCAACAAAATGCACGAATAGGTGTACACAGGTTTCAGCTGTCCTTAACCCTGCACAGCAAGACCGATCTATTATAACCCTAACCCCTAGGCCTTTTTTAACTTGGAACCATCCTCAATCCTCCAAAATCCTCCAAAATCCTCCAAAGTTTTGCACTTATGTTTAAATGAAGGTTACTCACTGCCTCAATCCTTCAGAATCCTCCAACAGCCCTGCCTTTCAAAATGCACTCAACCTCAATCCTCCAAGATCCTCCAAACCGCCCAGAGGACTTTCTATGATTGAGGAAGGTTAGGGTTAAGCCCTACAAAGTGGTGTTTTGGCCAATCAAAGCCGTGATGAATATCCGACATGCATGCACAAAAGACTGACATGCGTTGCATGCGCTTATGATGTGCGAGGCAGGAACATGCATATGGCATTGGAGAAGTGCATGTGTTGTTGCCCACATGCGCAGTTTTACAACATTTGCAGCAACCCTGCAAATGTAGTCTAATCCAACATCTAACATGACCTTGCTAAATACACAACTGATATGAAACACCCAAGCCTGCAAAATACCACAATACCCAACTACGTTCTTCTATAAATTTAGGGTCCCTGTTAGGCCAAAGACAAAAGTCTCCGGTTTCTGGTATGGAGCTTGCCCCAAAAGTGGTGCGGAGACTTGGCTTCTTTTTTTCTTTTTTTAAACTTTTTTTTCCTTCAAATGTCGGCTGATGACTGCGAATGGTGCCCGACTAAATTTAGTGCAAAATGTTTTGGAGCCCTGAGAGGCCACACAAAGCTTATACTCGATCGTAACCCCATCTAAAAACACGTCACAATTGTGCAGCAGCAGGATTCCAGTCAAACCAGTGAGTTTGGCGGTTTTGAAACATCATCTTACATCCAAAAAAACACTTTTTAATTTTGCTGATGTGCATAGCTACGGCGACGCGCGCGCATACCAGAAACCGGAGACTTTTTTGGGGGTGCCTTACCCTGATACTGTGTAAATTGCCATTCATGTATCATTAAGAATGACTTCAACAGATTTTGTATTTGTTGGATAGTTGGAGGATGACTGCAATAAGGAGTGCATCAGAATTATAGAATCATAGGTGTCAGATGCAACGGGGACAGGAATAAAAATGGACCCCAAAATATAGAAAGACCTAACCGTGAATGGGGATTTTATTGACTGCTAAATGCAACAATTTACAGTAATAGGTCGCTCTCAAATGATGTCACTTCTTACAGATTGCCATGTGCATCTTCATTTTGAGCGTCAAATTTTTGTGACGTGCATCGGCTGTGTCGTATTTAAAAGAAATTTGGAGCAACACTCATGCGTGTTTAGAACATTTTGCACACTGCGCACACACGCACCTGATGGCATTGATTAGGCAGTTGTAATTTTCCGACAAAGATGGCGTCCTATGAGAGAGATCTATTGTGAATCATTGCTAACTTTTGTTAAAATTTATTGAGCAGGGTTAAAAATACACAAGCATTATTTTGATGTTAACAGGAGCTTTACTGTAAACCTTAAGTGTACTTACAAATCTTGGGAAGTCTTTGAAGGAGTGGAACATGTAAAAGCGATGAAAGTAGACGACACCAGTTGCCATGGTATCATATCGTCTGTGCCGGCTTGGTCAAGGAAGGGACTAGGTGTTCAGGCTTGTCCAGTTAATGCAGAGGTTATTGTCATGCTTTCTACTTCCAGATTTCAACCTGCATAGTGTATTTGGTGGATTGGGTTTTTTTCAGTCCCTACCTGATTTGTGGGGTTGCCAATCTTGGTTAATCTTTATTAACTATTTCCTCTTTGAGTTATAATTACTTTCTGAAAAGAGTTTTTAGACCAGTGAGCTACAAAGCCATCAACGTAAAAAAGGGATTCTTGATGTTATAACCACAAATAAATATAACTAGGAACAGATTTAATTTCTTCAAGACAATTCTGGGCTACATGTTTTAACATTTCTGTTGTCAAGTGTAATGCAAGTTAGTTAATAATTTATTATAGCTTGAGGCATGTGCAGTAAAAGTCAAATGTTGGCCCATTTTTGACGTATATTCTATTTTTATATAACCGACATACAGATCCTTGTCATTTGATTGGTGGAACTCAAATCATGTGACAAAAAGTACTATCCGCCCATGGGGAATGGGAAATACTATTGAACAGTTAGGATAATGACGCGGTATTTGTGTGCAAATGCATGCTGGTGTGCGCGTTCAGCCTTGAGCATAGCGCGTATTGTTCCAAAGAGCCAGCGCTACAGTGATGGGTTCAAACATTTTCGAGAAGGGGTGGTTTGGAAGAGAGAAATACATTTTCCTCCAGTTTTGTATTGAAATAAACGTTCAAATATATCAAATGACAAGGATCTATATAAAACAAATATTGAGTGGCTTTAAATTGTGAAATTGGAGGAATATTATCGCTCGGTAAAATCTGGACATTTCCAGTTCACTCGGCTTCGCCTCGTGAAATGGAAAAGTTCAGATTTTACCTTGCGATAATATTCCTCCCATTCCACGCTGAGCCACTCAATATTTGTATAAGGACAAAATCGGATTGAAAGATAGGAGTCGTAATTCCACTATTCAATTGGTATGACATCACACATCTGTGACATATTAGAGTAAGGATACAGTCCCTGTGAGGTGCCAGCATCAATGATGAAACGAGCACCTTCCTTGCGATATCTGGCCTCTGTAGCTGCATCAATGCTATCCCGCCTAGACGGTGTGTCCACAAGGTCCTCCTTTTCATAGTACCAACACGGCATCCTTACTGCTGTAAGTCAACAAAAGTTACATAGGCATATATTTAATACATTAAGTTTGTGAAGTACATGTATTTGAGCAGATCTTCACTTCTTCAGTATTTTCAAAATAACGTAACTAGGAAATTACATTTTTCCTACTTTTTAACCAGGTAAGTAGCTTTCAATTCATAGTGAATATGAAGTGGGAAAAAAAAAACCAGTCTGGATTTAAAAATGGAGAACCTCGGCCCGAGGTTTTGGGCATTGCGTTGCATTTTTAGCGATATCTTCAGAACTGATTGTCCGATTTCATTGATTTTTGGGTGGTATGACTATGCCTATAACCGAAGATATCAGGAATTATGACGGGTACATTTAATTTTTGTAACCTGTGTAGTTTTTAAGTTACAATTTTATGTAATTGGCCGTCATGTTTTTGTCCACAGGCAGGGACAGGGAAAAGTCATGTAACTAAAGAGCAGTGTTATAGTTGAGTACTTTTTTCCGAGTACCGAGTACTGCCGAGTACAGGTCTCCAAGTACGAGTACTTGTATTTCCGAGTACGAAAACGTCGGTGAAGGGCAAAACCTAATTTGATAACATCATTTACAAATTTATACAGATTCTCCAAAAATAGAAACATTTGCACTGTAACTTTAGTATGCCGTGGCTATATTTCTAAGTACATGGACAAATTTATTTGAAATGACCCCTCCATCAAAAACTTATTGCTAATACACCTGCGATCAATCAATCAATTATACAGGCGCGCGCACCTGCACGCGGTCGACCATACTGTGGCCGATCGCACCGCCTCGACATATGGTTGCATGATACACATCATTTCAATAAAAACAAAAAATAGGTATTGGCCTACTTTTTGGGTACTTTAATTAAACATTACGATTAGGTCTTATTCTGACAGAAATATATTTTAAGGCATATTCATTCCAACAAACAACTCGGTACCGAAATCTGCATCTCGGCGAAACAGATCGTAAAAATAATAATGCATAATAAGGCGCACATCGTTTTTCGTGCTCCTTAATTCTGATTACGCCCTCAGCGCCCTCTGTTGTTTAGTGAAAGTCGACCGAAGTTGTCTTTCACGTTTCGGGGTTGGACGGCGACACTGATCGAAAAATTCGTAGCGATGTTTTTATTAGTTTTCTGGGCCATTCAATAATGTTACGTTTTGTATCTGGTCAGTACGGCAATCATTACACTCTTTCTTTGATTTCTTTCAAATTAGGCAGTGTATATTTTGCCGGAGACGGCAAACCTTTAGTAAACGTTAGTTTGCCGGATATGCACTGAACATGCGCAGTTACTGTTTTTTTGTACTTAAACATTTTCCGGTGACAAGTTTTAGTCTGGCTCCATGCCAAAATTATCGTTGTTACCTCGTTTTCACAAGATGGGATTCAGACCATTTTATAATTTCGGACTTTATTTCCCTTTTAAAAAAAATCCTCCAGAGCCACAAATCTGAAAAAGAAAAAGTAATACTCTGCAAAAAATGTTTGAGACATGTTAAAATAATAAAAGAAGAATATTCTTATTTATTTGGGGATGAGAAAAAAAACTTTAAAATGTGGTGCGGTCGGAAGCGAACGCGAGTCATCCCGCTTACTAGAGCCTTTGCTTAACCATTACACCAAACGTGCTACACATCTTTTGGTGGGAATTTAATACATCTTATAATTCAGCCCTATTTTAAAGAGTACAGCGCCCTCTGTTGATATGGATTGCCGCCGGCAAACCTTTTGTAATCGTTAGTTTGCCATCATTACCTCCGGCAAAATATCCACTACCTTCAAATTACTTCTCAGAAAAGCTTTTGATTTCCACATAACTGCATTGAGAAGAAAGGCGATGTGACAATGATCGACGACGGTGATTTGACGTCGGTCCGTGTTGTGTGAAAAAAGATACGAGCCGAGAAAGTTGGTTGCGCGAATATTGGGTTGCGCGAATATTGGGCAGCGCGAATATTGGGCAGCGCGAATATTGGGCAGCGCGAATATTGGGCAGCGCGAATTTGGGGCACGATACGTACGGAACTGGCTTTAAAAATTCATATGAAATTGAAGCATGAACCGGCCAAATTATGGCAAATCGGACCATCTACCAATACAATTGCAAATACAGACAAACCAAAATATTCAGAAATAACTGTACTTTGATTCAAGATAGGAATACCTGAAAATTAGCTCCAACAAAAGGTTAAAATAATCGGGAATCGTGGCGCGATCCTCAACAACGACCTCATCAGCAAAGTGTCGAATATATGGTGGTGTACTCTAACGTGGCGCACTTCGACAACTCACTGGACATCCGTTCAAATTGCTTCAAAACCCAAGAGCCGATTCTGTTCAGACTTACACACGTTAGTGCCGGATTGAACACCCTCCAGAAAAACTATCTGTCATTCATTTTGGTTTAGTACAAATGACAAAAAAAATCTGAGAGTACGACAGAATTGTCGAGAAGTTACTTACGCAAAACTGTCGAACTGTCCCCTAACGTGGTGCACGCCGCTGATTGGCTGAAATGGTTTCGTACCATGCTACGGTGGCCTATGACGATCATTTGCCCTGACGACAATTTGCCGTGAAAAAAAGTTTCATTTTATTGCATTTTATGTTATGCAGGAAACAATATGGATCTTTAGGTGTTTACAAGTTTACAAACGGCTACAACATTAAAAACAGTTGAAAAGTAAAGCAAATCTCTTGAACCTCGAAATCAGAAAATATAGCAATGCAAAAAGACATGACCCTTAAATAAAAAAATAAACATGGTCATTTTTGTTTTAGCCTCTGAAAAGGAACTTGCAACGTCAGGCCACATTGATTTTTAGAAAAAAATAAACAGTTACAAAAACGTACGCTCGTCCAATATTGTAAAAAAAAATAAAAATAAAAATATCCAGTAACTTGAATAAATGTTTTTTAAAAAGAAGTACGGTCTACAATACCAACAAATGACAATACAGACAAACAATACACTTTTGCCAGCTACCAAAATCGAATAAAGAAAAACAGTTACGAAAGTTGACAGGTTAAAAAACAGTTAGGCCTATGAAAGTTAACAGGTTAACTCTGCCACCGATACTGGAAAGTAAAAAAAATAATACATATCCCCACGTACGCTGAAGTTATTAAAACATATTGTTCATATATTTGTGACCGTGTGCATGTTATTTATAGTTTCCTTTTCCTCGTTCCAACGCTGCAAATGGGACACAGAAATTCTTCTTCGAGCGTTGGTTTCGTCACTCTGTTGCAACAGTACTTCAGGTGAACCCAGCTGTAGCACTTGTCGCATCGGGCCCAAAGTATTATCTTTGGACCTCCAGTTTTCTTGACATTTTTCGGCCATCTTCTGTTGCAAACAACACAGTTGTCGTCCTCATCGCTCACATCATCTGATGATGGGTCGGGAGAAGAAGCCTTTCGGCAGCGTCTGCTGGTAGATGGCTCTTGCGACTGCGGCAGTGACGCCGTGCACGTGGCCCGCAGCGGCGGGGACTTGGGTGCTTCCGTGGCGGATGACGCTATAGTCGGTATGGGCATTGACGGTGTGATTAGCGGCGACAATGGCGGAGGCATGGGGGACATCGGTGGTGACTCGTCGTACGATGCTGCCAAGTGGTCTGCTGCTGGTGCCAAGTGGTCTGCTGCTGGTGCCAAGAGGTCTGCTGCTAATGCTAGGTCTGCTGCTTGCGGAGTCGGCTCCTTCGATTTGCGGCCTCCTTGTTTACTTTTAACCTTGAGGTATTCGTCTTCCTCCGTCAGCATTCGGGCACTTCTGATTGCTTTTGGTTGCCTGGCGAACACTTCTGGAGATGATGGAAACTTCTCGATAGGGGCGAATAGACCATCGATGGAAGAACTTCCGGTTGCTCAGGGAGCTTGCTCAGCACGACGTCAGGGTTGAATGGGCAAATTCCAGTGCATCTGAAGGATGATACTAAACTGTCACTGCTAATTCCCATCATGTAAGCTTTGCATGCCAGCGAGGCGATGTCTTCTTCGACCAGAATGCGACCTGTGTTCTTGTACTTGTGGAGCCAATTGTGAACTGCTCTGTTGTAGGTGGCCTTGAAAGGAGCAAAGCAGCCCACGTCAAGGGGTTGTAGGATGTGGGACGTGTGTGGAGGTATGACGAATAAATGCACTCCTTCCAACCGGGCCTCTTCGATAATCTGCACGCTGATGTGGGTAGAATGGCCATCATACAGCAGAAGAAGCGGCCTAACTGACCCAACTTGTGGTAGGAAGTGACCCTTGAACCATTGGAGAAAGGTAGCACTGTTGCTCCAGCCGGTCTTTGTGGCATTATAACCTGTCCCTGACAAAGTCCCCTCCGTCCACTCTTGTCGAACCCTTACCCCCTTGAAGATGATGTATGGCGTGAGCCGATTTCCCATGGCATTCCCACAGGCAATGATGGTGTGTATTGGACCCCGTCCACACGAGACAGCATTGAATGCTCCTTGGCTCGGCCCCAGAGATTTCGGTGGCTTGTGATCTCTCGTGATTCCTGTTTCATCGACGTTGTATATCTGGGCAGGACAATCACGCAGGTTGTACTTCTCGAGAACCTCTAGAAGTTTCCCAAAGTACGCCTCTAAAATTGATCTCCTGGACATTTCTGCCCTCAAGTGATCCAGTCTGCTTGGCCTCCTCGGTCTTATGATATTCTTCCATCTTGTGAGGAAGCCGTAGTACCAGTTCCGTCCTGGTACGAAGTCGGTGAATCGGCACTTGCGCTCTTGATCCTCGCTGCACAAGATCCGGGCCATTTCGCCGGCGATCTCACGGATTTGACTTCCAAGATAGGAGTACCCCATTTGCCCCACATATGAAATGTGTTCTGCCAGCTTCTTTTCTTCATATTCTTTGAAGAATGTTGTACGTCCACCTTGTGGTTTCCCGGCAGGTACTCCATTTGTTGCCCATCGTCTCAGCGTGGACTCGGGCAAATTGAATTTTTTTGCCGTCAGTCGATAGGAATCTTTTCGCTTGACTTCCAAAGAATGAACGGCAGCAAGCATGGAATTCTGCCGAAGATCTCTCTACAAATATGAATAAATAAACAAACAAACGATATACTACAAGTTTATTTATTTTAAAATTTAATACATGATTAAATATACAACTCTAGCTCAAGTTAAGATAGAAAAATCAGCAGTGTTTCAATAATACATTTATTTCTGACACGATATTTAAAAGGCATCCTAGACGTTTTAAATACATAACAATTTCAACAATATTCATATAATGTCAATTACCTCTACGTTTTGCATATCCACTACATTTACTCGATTATAATATCTAATCAAAAGTGCACCCGCACGGTACCGGTGATGCCAAGCCACATAAAAACTAGGCCTAATTGTATTCACTTTATATGTCTATTACAGGCTGCCGTACATGACGTCATGACAACCTAGAGCAGACGACACTATTTTTACGTTCCGGTAAATTTCCAGTAAACTTCGGATTATTCTGCTTACTTTTCATTAATACTGATAACGTTGACTAATAATATTACTTTCTAATTAGTTTAATTGTTTTGGAATCTTGAAATAAAAGAAAACGTCTGCTTGTTACCTTTTTTTGGCCATTGTTTCTGGACGTCGACGGCATCTTGATACTTTTTGCTATGGGATCGTCTGGCTTTCTGTGTAACCTTTGACCTTCTACGCGCAATCGTGACGTCAGAAATTTGAATCTAGTATGTATATTTGCGAAGGATTGGGTGACCTTTATTAAGGGAATAAATGTGTGCTCCGGAGGTTTTTATCACTCTGTTTAATACCACTTAGAGTCTGGGTGCTGATAATTACCCGAGCCGGAGGCGAGGGTAATTATCAGCACCCAGACTCTAAGTGGTATTAAACAGAGTGATAAATACCGACGGAGTACATATTTATTCCCATTCATAAATACCTTTTCTGTAAAAAAAAATCATATGATTCGTTCAAAACATCCCGATTTTGTTCAACAACTTCACTTTATGCTTTTTGAATCATCCCTCCTGCAAAATAATGGAGTGTTCAGCTGGCGAGTAAGATGAAAACAACCCTTTTATGGAGATTGACGCGCGCGTATCATGTTCTATGCGATGTCGCGCAGAACGCACCTGGCGCGTTGCGTTTTGAATTTAGAACTATAAAATTCTAAATCCCTGGTATTGTTGCGCATGCCTACGTGAGGATTGTGAACGTTCAACCAATGAAACGATAAGAGGCACTGGATTTTTAGGAGTCCACATTTTATTGTGACACTGGAAAAGTGTTTAAGACCAGCTAGCCATGTCTTTATCATCCGTTTAATACCGGCCACGTGACGGGCTCTCGACCAATAGGAATGGCTAAACTGTCTGAGGTATTTATGAATAAGTGTTAATTGTAAGAAAAATGGACTGTTCATTTCGTCAAGAGAGGAGAAAAATCAAAGTGCGCCACGTTAGGGGGCGCGCCACGTTAGGGTACACCAACAATATTTCAGCCGGCTGCTAATTCAGTAGCCCGCCCTCAGCGTTTGTTAATCGCGCATATCGCACGTCGCGTTCTATGAGAGTTCGAGTGAAACGTACGTGCAGTACTTAATACGTGCATAGCGCATACAGTCGAGCGCATGCTGCATGCCTCATCATCAGATCAGAGCACAGAGCGTACATTCGGAAGGACATGAAGGAGTGCCCCCGTTATTACCGGCGTAAATTGATGGTTTGAGGCACATATTTCCGCGTTCGTTTTGCTCTTTTGTGTACGTGTGATCTTCATTAAAAGGTATGAAATATGGTCATTAATATTACAATCTCAAGTACGCAATGTGAAAAAATAACAACTTTAACCTATTGAGGAATATTTTAATAATAATGATTAACATTAACAATCGTGTATTGTCAGTAAAAGCTTTCATACAGGTCCTTACCATGTCCAACAGCATGTGCTAATCTGCTTGTATGTGTGTAAATTTGTTGTTTACATAACGGCAGTGTATATTTGACTGTGAGCCGATGCCTGATTGTTTTCGTTGTTGTACTGGCACTGCACAGTATTGAGAGTCCCAAATTTTGGACTAGCACATGCACTGAACATGCACATGCGCAGTCAGTGTTTTCTTAATCATGTTAATCTTAGGATTTAAAATTTGCTACCATGCCCATGCATAGTGAGTCTTCGACTGGTTTCGCATTTACATTGTTTGTCATTGTTGCTTCGTATTCAGGAGATGGGAACCAGACCTATTGCAGTTTCAGACTTTGTATCCTTTTTTTTTTAAATCCTCGGCTCTAGAGCCACGAATCAGAAAAAAAGATGAAAAATTCTGCAATAAATGTAGGATTTGATTAAAACTTTTACGTTTGGGAGAAAAACGTTTTGTTTTGTTTTTAAATAAGTGGTCTCGAATTTTTTTAATTAAGTGGCTATTTTTATAGTTCGACGTTTTCCTTGGGAATCCAGACATGCGATGTTAATTTTCGTTAACCAATCCTCAATGAGAATGTGTTTGGGCTTCACTGCATGTTCTCCTTCAAATATTTATTTTTGTGTTAAATCGAGTCCCACTTTTTACTATTTTTTTAAGGGAAGTAAAGAGTGAGAACCATTTAGTTATTTATCATATATGTGTTGATCAAATCCCATGAACAACCAACAGCATATAACAGTACATATATTTTGAAATGCAAGACAATTGCCTATTGGCCTCCAGAGCGCGCGTGTACTAACAGCATCTTTGATGAAAACATGGCACACCATCCCTGACATTACAGGCCCAAACAGCCGATAAATATGACTTTTCCCTGGGAGCTCTGCACATGTTTCACGCTTGTCCTTTACAACAGCGTGAATTGCTGTCTTGCGTAAGGGAATAAATGTGTGCTTGGAAGGTGTTAAACACTCTATTTAAGACTGGTTGGAGTCTGGTGCTGATACAATGTAATTACTCGGCCAAAGGCAAGGGTAATTATCAGAATCCAGACTCCAACCAGTCTTAAACATAGTGTTTAATACCGACCAAGCACATCTGTAGGCTTATTTATTCCAATTCATCAATACCTTTTCGGTCAAAAAATAAAAACTTTTCAGTCTAATTAAAAGTCAAAACAAGTCAAAAATTATTAAATTTCAACGATTCCGATCAACAAACCACCCCTCTAGCTATACAACATGGTAAGGCCCCTGGTAAACAACTCCTTATATGGATGTTGTTCATGTAGTTGTGTGCTGTAATGCTGTAGTGTTTTAAGAGTCAGACATTGAAGACTTTTCCCTTTTTATGTTGCTTAGTGTCTGATATTTTTCCCATTTCTGATTTTAAATTCCACTGTGTTTTTTGTCTGCTGAATTTACAGGCTCAAGATGGGTAGAAAGAGCAGACGAAAGTATAACCAGGACCCGGAGGATGTGGCTAAGGCTGATAAGAAGGAAATCACATCATTATGCTCACAGATACTGGAAAGTAAGTGGATGTAACCAACCTTCTCCCAACCCCTCCACAACACCACCACCACAGCCCACCCTATCCCACCCATCCCCACCCCACCCCGTCCATCCCATCCCTCTCCACCCAATCCCACCCCTCCAACCCCTAAAAAAAAAATGGTTTCAAAGGTAAAAGAGCCATTAAAATACAACTTTTGATAAATTTGCAAGAAAGACAAACCATCAAGGAACCATTTTGAAACTGTATGGCTATTATGCCAGCCTGTGACCAATCTACAGTCAACTTTCCCTGGTGTTTTGTTTTCTAGTCGCTGGCAGACCGTCACCCATGACTCCAGCAAAACAATGGGAAGAATACCTGCAGATTCACAGCTTAGTGGAGAAGATCCGCAAGAAACAGCATGGTAAGATTCAGTAGTTGTCTGGTTGGCTGTCAGTTTGATATGTTGCCCAGTTACTCACGGCCTGACGTATTCGGAAGAAGATACTCACAGAAAAGTGAGCTCTGCTGTTAGCTACACGTCATGATGCATGTGTGTTATTCACAGGTTTGTGTGTATTGTTGTTGTATGATAATGCCGTGAAGGATAAAGAATATCAGTGGAAATGTAACAAAGGTGAAATGTCAACCCCTGAAACAGAGAATTTGGGATATGCTTGGAAAGTACCAGTATTAAAATTGTGTTGGACCCATTATTTGAATATTGTGTTTACAAAGCAGTTTTTTTTTATTGGGCATCCTGTCGAGTTTGGGGGTTATATACCTTAAGGGTCTGACAATTTGATGTAATAATAATCATTGTTATACCTCAGTCTTGAATACTGTATTTTCATTTGCCTAGAATGATCACGTGTTAAGTTTATAAAAAGTCATGGCACACTCCCTGTGGGACATCACGTATGTGATATCCCACAGGGAGTGTGCTATGACTTGTACAGTGTGAAACGTTATTTTCACCATGTTTTCACGCATGAGTGGGAGCAGCAAACTAGCAGACGATCAGCCGTTTCCAGCACGGTACGCGTACGCGACATGCATGTGAGTTGACATTCTATTGTCGTGATTGTTAAGCTTACTGCTGTTTGCTTCCGTGCTTTCAAAGTCCAAAGAATCCAAGACAGAGGTATAACAAATTGGCCTCAGGTGCTATGCGCCCCTTGGGTGTTCAAAATGTCATATCCCAGATCACAGCAGTCAACAATTGTTAATTGTATGAACATGCTGTGAAATGGCATTATGACACGATGACTGTGAATCAACCTACATGTACAATAACGACAGACTACATGTACATGTACTTTAGACACCACAAATCTCAATAGGTGGCCAACATGTTTTGTCATTGTGAACAAAACATTCATCATTTAAAAAAGTTACCTTGAAAAACAAATGAAATTTAGGAGGGAAAATTGCAAATATTTGGAAAATATAACCCAAATCACATGCACAGATTGTAGACAACTATGTTCATGATACATATTGTGATGCATGTCATTTTATGATGTCAGTGTTTGATGTGTATCATAAGAGAAAGAAAATACCGCTAGTTTATAGTCCCTTACATGATATACAAAAATGTGTGTTAAAGGATTGCCTCTGAGTTCCAAAGAACTTGGCATTCACAAGGCTTATTCTTCAATAACCCCCCAATTTAGTCGTCAATTGAATGCTTTGATGCAGATGTTTCCTTTGATGCAGATGTTTCCTTTGATAACCATAATCGAGAGGAGCACGTTGAGGAATTCATGGCGTGGGCTCACAGCCAAGACATCATATGTGACTCGGTCAGCATCCATCAAATTGATGAACAGGGACTTGGACTGAAAGCAGTCAAAGAAATCAAAGTAAGATATCAACAGTATTTTCCTATCATGACATTATAAGGGCTGATCCTGAAAAATGTGGCCATGCAAATCCCAAGCTCACCCCAACCCACCCCACCCCAACCCATCCCCACCCCAACCCATCCCCACCCTGCCCCAACCCTGCCCCAACCCATCCCCACCCTGCCCCAACCCATCCCCACCCTGCCCCAACCCATCCCCACCCTGCCCCAACCCATCCCCACCCTGCCCCAACCCATCCCCACCCTGCCCCAACCCATCCCCACCCTGCCCCAACCCATCCCCACCCTGCCCCAACCCATCCCCACCCTGCCCCAACCCATCCCCACCCTGCCCCAACCCATCCCCACCCTGCCCCAACCCATCCCCACCCTGCCCCCTCCCTTCCCCACCACACCCCTCCTTGCCCCACCCCACCCCTCCTTGCCCCACCCCACCCCTCCTTGCCCCACCCCACCCCTCCTTGCCCCACCCCACCCTCTTCAACGTTTAGAGTAGGGTGAAAAAATGTCCCCTACAAATTCTGGATATTGTGGTCTAGCCAGTACCAACTGGCACAAACAAATGCTAGACTAGTAACACCACAGTGCATACTGATCAGACAGCCAAAACCATGTACATGTACAAAAGGGGGGGTTCGGGGTCCAACCCCTCCCCCCCCCCCCTGCTCTGACACCAAAAAAAAGAGAAAATTATAGCAATTATAGTAATACTAATTACCTATATGTCCACCTGTCTGAATATCTGAATCTGATGGACCTGACCCCCCCCCCTTCTCAAACTCTTAGATCCGCCCCTGTCATGTCTGGTTATCGTATATGTCTGGTTATCGTATAAATGTATTTGTAGACAACTGAAAGCCTTCAAGGCAGGATACCAGTGCACTGGTAACCCTTATTCATTTGTCTCACACACAGCGGCGGCGGAACGGGTTTGAAACTGGGGAGGGGGCATCACCAAAAAGGGGCACTTGCATTTTTTTTTTTTTGCACATCTGTGCTGAAAGGTCGACACATGTTTTTCACCAGACACTTGGCCTCCGTAAAATCAAATAGTGGGGGTGGGGGGGGGGGGGGGGGGGGGGGGGTTACCATCTTCCAACATAGGGGGCGCTCTTCAAAAACGATGATTATATGCAAACTATACATTACGTGCCCATTTTCAGGGCGTATTTATGGGTTTTGGGGCTCGGTTTTCATATTCCTCGTTTATATCACAACTTATCTTTACCATAATTGGGAAATGGTTAGTTCTAAGAAATAGTAAGATATTTTAAAGGATTTTTTTATATCTCGAGGGGGCACATTAATGGCCGCAAAAGGGCACTTGGGAAAATCTGGGGGGGCAAATGACCCCCCAGCCCAGCCCCCCCCCCCCCCCCCCCGGTTCCGCCGCCCATGCTCACACACGATATGAGTTAACTGTGCATCCTCATTTAACGATGACAGATTTATCGTGCATTTTCTGAGAATTATCTTATAATGAAGTACAGTTGACTTTGATGTTAATCATGGATGTAGAGGTGCTGTTAATTACGCTTCACTGCTTGCATTGACATGAAGCATGTATGTTTCCGTTTCCAACAACAACATTTTCAAAAATTCTTCATCCCTGTGCCAGTTAGAAAACATCTGTCCTGTTGTATGCTGTCAGTAGCAGCATAAAGTGATTACACAAACTCTCATTAAAATTCCACCTTGAATTCATTTTGATGCCTGTGCATTTTAAGGCACTGCATCCCTTTAAATCTGCGTAGCCTGGCCTAATTCTTCTAATTTAAACCTTCTGCCAAACTGGCACACGTGTGTATAATGTATTGTCCAGAGGTTAGATGTATGTGGGTTATGATTCATACTCATTGATCAATGTCACAGGCTGTTGGGTGATACCTTCCTGTATTGCTTTGGGCTTTCTTTGCAGGAACACGATCCATTTCTAACGGTGCCCAGGAAAGCTATGCTTACCGAGGACCGAGTGCTGGACTCACCTTTAGGTAACTAACCATGGCATAGTTTGTTTTGACAAATAGGTTTAAAGGGGCATCTTTTCTTCATGATGTCTGGTTGCATATGACAGTGCAGCTTATGGACAATAATTTAATACCTGTTTGATTTTCTTTGATAATACAGTGCGAGTCAAAAAGAAAATGACTGAGTAAAAAAAAAATGTTAAAGATGTATGTGGCTCGCTCCATTTAATAAATATGACATAGGAAAAAAATACATGTTATTGACTAAGTACTAACTGAAGATTTCACGTAATTTGCGTACTCTATTCTCATATTATATCTATTTTAATAGAAATACCACAAAATTCAGCTGTCCACCACTGATCATTTACAGATACGCATTGATGAATACCTTGTTTTTTACCATGTACAAAATTAGCAAAGCAAAATAAACAAAACTCACAATTCTAATTTCAGAAAAAGACTTTATTTATTCCTCTGATACAAAACAAAACATAAAATCTGACAGTAAAAATGACGTTTCGGTCTTGGCTCACACTGGAGTTCCTTTCATAGAGGATGAAATAAAACTGTAAGATAGCTGCAAGGCATTTAGCATTTCATGGACAGCTGTGAAAATTGGGTCTTTTAGTAAAACATGCATAACTTTTGATTGCAAGGATCAATTTCAGTAAGTCTTTTTTTCACATGAATGAATGTATGTTTTATTGGTGTATCGCACGTAATCCCTTTTTAGGGGGAAAAATGTTAATCTTGGTCACTTTTATTTTGACTCCCACTGTAGAAATAAGAGCTTTAATGATAGTAAAAAAATTCAATGAGAAAGAATATTTATGAATTCACTATCCGTTACACTTAAAAAAAACAAAAAAAAAAACCTATAATCACAGTGCTCAAGTTAAGGTAATGTTTTTTTTTCAAATTCAAAGGCTACACAAATTTATAAATTAGGAAAGAGTTTTTTTCCCACAAAGGTCTTTTCATGGTAATTATTTTTGCAAATTGAGAAGTCCCAATATACCCACATGACGGCCTACGATTGGCTTTCAAAACATTAAAATATGTCTTTCCACACTATTGGTTCAGTTACCCACATAGAAATAACAACAGGTCTTCCTTAAGTGTGAAAGGCCTTGTGATTCCATACCCAGCCAGATGAATGTCAGTGTCTGACTTAAATGAACGGGATAAAATGCCAACAAGAATCAGAACTTATCGTAATCACCTGGGGGAAGTCATTAGGGGACGGAATGACTAATCTTGTAAGGGAAGCCACATGCTCTGTCATGCTCAATTAAGACTCCTTCAGAAGATGTACATATGCTTCTGTTAGACAAATTAAAGCTTGCGTGCCACGATAGCCCATATTGGGAGTGAATTTGATGGATGGGAATAAAGAATACATGTACAAGCAAAAGACTCCAAATTGGATGCGGATACGTGCCTCTTACGTGATGTGCCGGCATAAGGAAGGCGATATCCCCATGGGATGTGTTGATGGAGCACACAGAATGTGAATAATGACACCAAGATACATGAGTAAAGGCCACTAATTATTTTCCACTGTTTCTGCTGTTGGGGTTTTGCAGATAAAAGAATTCATTGTATGAAACATGCACGTACACAAGTTCTGTAAATCTTGTTCAAAAGAATAACATTTGGAGTATAAATGGAGTCGGTGCACATTTCCATAGTTTCGTCACAGCCCCACTTACATTGAAATTGAACTCATTTGCTACCACGGTTAATAAAATACAAACTTCTTAAATAAGTTCGGTCTCCAGATAGTAAACTAAACCTTTGAAATCTCAGTATCCAATCCATAGGGCAAGTGATTTATCTGTGTTTGACGGAGACAGGCAGAACAGAATTGCCCAATTGAAAAAGAATTCATTTTGTGGAAATAAGCGCTTAACTGAATACAAGAGATGCAAAACTTTGAAGGTAAGAAAAACCTGTACGCCATTTAACAATACAATCACGCACCGTACAGTTCCAATGGAAAGGTTAAGTCAAAATTTAAAGAAAGGGTTTCGACAATAGATGAAAGTTGAGTGGAATTATGTTGAAACAAAGTAAACTGCAGATCAACAAAAACAATTGCAATATTGAAATGGGAAATTTGATGTATAATTTGTTCATTGTGTGATTTGACAGGCCCACTTATCCGGAAGGATCGTGTCCTACAAGGCATGGCCCATGTAGCCCTTGCCCTCTTCCTCTTGATGGAGCGTCAGTCAGAGCACTCCAACTGGAAACCCTACATAAGTATCCTTGCAAGCAAAGTACAGTCTTGTATTGAAAGCATTATCTGCTATAGAACATATGCTTTTTTACTGCACTACCTACACATCATTATTACACTTTATGTAATTTCAGTTGGTCAGTTTAACTGGACTGTTATTTTGGTCGGACATTCACAACTTCGGAAATTCAAGTATTTTGGAAAACAATCAGTTTCTGTTGCAACCACTTTTCCCTGTGCTTTTTACTGTGGAGCAATATGGGCTGTATATAACAATGGAGTCCAAAAATAATGAGTTAGTATGTTAAATTTATGTGCTTGAGCAATATCAGTGGGTTCTGTCTGAAAGGATGGTTTATTAACTTTCCATTGATGTGATACTTACACCCCTGCAGTCATGGATGATTAAGCATTCATGGATGATTGTGAGCAGTGATGTGAGCTGTCCAAACAATGCACCGTCACTGTAGACTGTGTGTTGAAATAGGAGGCTGACATGGTCCACAGTGCATTGTTTGGCCAGCTTATGTTACCCCTAAATCAGACCAACTTGGCAATTTGTTTTTCTCCAAAGAACCTTTAAAGGTACCATACAACATTTGCAAACATTATGAAATACCTTACTTGATGGTTAGTGAATAACAGTCTCAAGCATCCTGTGAAATCATGGCACCTAGTGTGCTGTCATTTTCAAGAAAAGTGGAATTTTTGTATCAATGATGGTCGGCTGACTTTTGTTGGAATTTTTGGGTTTTTTCTATATGCCCTCATTTTACCAAATTTATTTAGTCCACATTTTGTTTGCAAACTGTTGCACATCAATGAACTGGTGCAAGCCATCTAGTCTGGTTCCCTGACCTGACAATTCTCCTACATCTCCTACATCTACATATAAATTGCTCCGTTTCGTCTGAAGTAGGGTCAGGGACCAGGCTACAAGAACAGCATTTTTATTCTTGGTTTTTCCAGCATCTGTGAACACAAAACTTTAAACAGGCCAGTGTAACAATATGCAATAATATACTTATCCCGAATCCATCCATTTCTGAAAATTACAATCAAAGCAAATGTTGTATATTTCCTTTAAGAAGGAAAATAAGCTTTATAAAAGAAACAAAAAAGATGTTTTGAGCCAACGTTTTGTTTTTCCAGGGCTATGGTCGAGTGTAACAACCAAAAGATGCCCAAACGGATTTAGGAGCATGGTATGATTGTGAAATTAAATGAATTGAACCAAATTCTGACTAGTACCCTTTGGGCAGAGACACTAATACATTGAATGATGGCTAACATAGAGTGTGGGTAGCTCAGTTGGTAGAGCACTACTGCAGTCTTGCAAAGGTGGATGGTTCAAATCCTGCCAGAATAAATTTCTTTGCTCACTTAATGAGGGATTCTGTCCCCACGTCTCAATAGTCTACTTTCCAAAGGACTTCATCAACTTACTGATGAAAAGATTTTCTTCAACAAAAATAAAAATTGACCAGTTTTAAAAATTCTTAACACACACTTGAAGATATCTTACCAAGTTCCTACCAAGTTCCACTGTACTTCACTCCGGATGAGCTACAGCAGCTGCAAGGATCCCCAACATACAGTGAGTAATTGTTGCCATTATGCAGCGTCCTTCCAGCGTTTGATGCTTTCCGTCTACCGGTGTGAGACGGGAACAGTTCTCAATAGCTTTCAACATAGAGTAGGTAGTTTGCATTTACACTGTAGTGAGCATAGTATGCAGGGAGCCAATGCTGCAATGGGGTTGTGTGACAGTATGCTTACAAGTAGGAAGATGGCACAGCAAAGCTACTGTAGCATATAACATGCCTATTAGAAAATGAAATAATGCAGTTACAAATGGCACATTCCAGAACCCCCGAAAGCCTGTTATTTTTCTGTAAACATGCGTGTCCTTGGGAAGGTTTGTTTGTGTAACCCTTCCCATCGCAATATGTATGTGCCCCTCAAACCTCAATTAATTTTTTTCAAGAAAGAATGAAGGACCCCTTGAGGCAATTAAATATGCATGGTGTGATTATTAACACAAAGCGGTAGATTGTAACATAGATGGCTTTGAAATCAGGAATACTATTGATACAGGAGAAGCATAGCTTAAGAGGTAAATTAACCCAGTTACCCATGGTGTTTTTGTTAGGAATCTTCCCAAATCCTCCAAAATATACTTCTTTGGAGACCCCCCCCCCCCCCAACCACCAGTTTTCAAAATTAGCAGCAGCCAGTTAGCCTTGAGAAATGGCTTGGTATATACTGCCTGATAGGAGTCCAACCCTCGTGGGGGAAAAGCTCTAAACCGACCTGAAGTAGCTTCTTCGTACTCAGTATGAATGCAAATTCCAATGCAAATTTGTGACGTCACGTCAAGTTTTCGTGCTGCTAATTCGCAGAATTTGAACATAATTCAACTCTTGCAAATTTTGCAGTGGATGTTTTGTGACATTGAATTCGCTGAGCATTCGCATTTAGCATGAATTATATACCAGCCTTAAGCCCTGTAGAATCCTTCAAACCATGTGGCTAGTTTGGAAGAATTTGGTGGGTTAGGATTTAAAGAGCACTCTGATGCTACTTCAGACCAGTGAGTTTGTATCTTAAGTTGAAGATAGTACTATTCTCACAACTTATCTTTCTAACTTTGGAGTTTTAAATTCTAAGAGGTTGTATCTTGAGTGATGTTTGTTGATTAATCTGCTTCCTACAGCCAGTTACCTTTAATTGAAGATAGTAATATTCTCACAAGTTATCTTGTTAATAAGCCACGTTCCCAATGGAGTTTTTCCCACGGCAATGCGGAACTTACCATGACATTCCTTTGTGTAAGTCTTCCATGACCACTTTCGGCTTTGTAATTTTACATCGCGGTCGCGTTAAGTTGACAGGAAGGTGATTTACCATCAATCCCCATTGGACTTAATTTTGTCATTCTACAGGAAAGTAGTGGTAAGTTAACCAAAAAATTCCAATGGGAACATGGCTTGTCAAATATATGAAGCTCCAGAAGTGTAATTTGCATGAAATGAGTGCATCCAAAATGCCCTTTTATTACTTGAATCATGTGCATGTGAAAAGTGTGTGTTTTCTGTAGATTAGTAGTAGTTAATACTAACACTGTTGTGGATTGCCTTGTTTGTTCCTTCCTCGCATGCAGCTGATGCACTAAAGCAACACAAAAACATCGCCAGGCAGTTTGCTTACTTCTACAAACTCTTTCAGGTTGGTGACAATTAAAGCTCCTCCCCCCCCCCAACACAGACCCGCCCACCTGAAAGGGGAAAGTATCTTATCAGATCTTGCTGATGTGATTGTGATTAATTACGTGTTCACTTTGTGAACAAAACAGCTGATTCTTGCTTTTGATCACAAAATTCTTGCTTTTGATAAGGGGCAATTCCACACCAAAGTGGACATGACACCAAAAAATTCAAATACATGTGACTTAAACAAATTTGGCATCAAATGAAAGCTAAAAGTCTATATTTTCAAGATTTGAAGTCGGAATTTTATTTTTTATACATTTCGGTACCAAAAACTAGGATTATGTAATAATCCTGTTTTAATCCTAAAAATGGGATTAATAGTGATATGAAAGTATTCTACCAATAGACACACAAAAATATGTACTAATGCCATCAGTTTCTGTCATGAGAAAGTATTGGTCTTGAAAAACTGACTAAAACTTGTTTTTAACATTTTGCGTAATTTGTTTCGCTTCAGTGACTTCTAATATTTCAGCCTTCGAAAACGTCCTTCCGTTACCGAAAAAATACATATTTTTAATTTATTTTGAAAACTTGCAGTATGAATGCATTGAAAGTTATTGTGCAAAGCAAGTTTAGGTAGGCCTTCAATATGACATTATAACTGACACTGCTGTACTTCTCGTTTTTTAATTACAATTAATTAAATCACGTCCTTCCGTTACCAAATTGGTAACGGAAGGACGGTAACGGAAGGACAAATCGTATTTTTATCAAATGTTACGACATTCGGCTCATGTTTGAAAAATGAAAATCACTGCAAATACATGCATGTATAATGAGCATTGAAAGGACATTCATGTGACCCACCTTCACAAAAGCGGGATAAGCAGGGCAAGGTGTTTATTACAAAGGAAGGCACAGGCATGTACAACATGTACAATGTACATGTACATATATGCCGATGTACCAGTACTTGTACATGTACATGTATGGAGTTGTTGCAGAAAATCAAATCATAAAGTTGCTGCCATCAGCATTCATGGACAATAGAGAAAGATACGAATTCTGTGAAGCCATTCCAGAAGCAAATTAAGTCAAAAATGAGATGGCAGAAAGTACCGGTACTTTGGGGCACTTTCATTCAATTTACATGTGTAAGACATGTGAGGTGCAGTCTTTGACAAATTATGCCCAAGTTAGCAACTTCAGTTTGGATGTTTATAAATTAATTGTTACTACTCTAAATCATTGTAATTTGATTTCAAACATTGATTTTAGAGTTCAATTAAAAGCAACACCCAACTGAAGCCATCAGTTCTACCGGTAGATGTTTTTACCTTAAATGTACATGTAGGCTGGTCGCCCCCCCCCCCCCCACCCTTTAGGTAAACCTTTGAACCTACCGGTATTATTATTAAAAGTTGTTGGTGAACATGTAACCAATATACTCAAGTGTTCAAATACTGTGTATTTAAACTTTTAAGGATTGAGGTGATGGGTTTGAAATCTATTTCTGTAGTAGTCCTGTGTTCGTGAATTATGTGTTTTGGGTTGTTTTCGTTTTTCTTTTGTTATCATTAATTAGCAGGCTTCTATCTTTATCTCAATAGTTTCTTGGGTATAATTATTTATGCCAGGTCTGCATATTGTTGATTTCACATTCAGTTACACATTTAAGCAATTTGTTTCACTTGTATAGTTAGTGTAAATTCACATTTTGTTCGTGCTATAATTGAGTAAACCTTTTGTCCTTCCGTTACCGTCCTTCCGTTACCAAATCATAATCTGCTTAAAACGTTGTAATTATATTACCGAAACACTTAAAGTCAAATGAAAGGTGGTATAGTATAGATAAAGCTTCAGGGATTCCAGTTCCTACCTTTAAAATATAATTGCCCCATAAAATTCACAGAGTTTTTGCAAAACGCGAGTAAGTTGGAAAACCCTTGTCCGTTTTACCGTCCTTCCGTTACCGACCTCATTAATATTCATAATTCATAAACGGGAGGCATTCATGCCCCCCAAAAGTGTGGAAAATGAAAGTAGCATTATAGCAATACAAATATGACATTTGTTTGCTGTAACTATGAACAGTGTCTGTGATACACACATTTGAAATTTTGTTTAATGAGTGAAAACGTCCTTCCGTTACCGTGGAATTGCCCTCAGGCCAAAAAAGAATAGTTCTGCTTCCGGTTACCCGACCGACCCTATTTTTAGGCTGCGACCCTAAAATTTTATCGGCAATTCCAAAAAACAAAACAAAAAAAATGATTGAATAAATAAAAATAAAAACATTATGTCTTGTCTGTCTTCACAAAATACCTCTCAACAACCCTTTTGCATCAAAAATGCTTGTATTTATTGTTTTCTTACTTACATTCGCTATTTTTTCAAAAGAAACCTCCGTTATTTTTACAAATTCGCTTCGCGATTCAACTACTTCGCAATTCGATGTCTATAATCACGTGCGTAATAAGCGCAATGCGGCGACGACTGGTTCCCGCCGCGCCGCGCAGGGGCCAATGATGAAAATGTGGTAACTAGTCTGTGCACGGCTATGCGATCGATAGCGCTAGCATGGCTATGCAGGCGCAGGCACGTGCTCTGTCAACTGGTCGGATTCGACATCGTAAAAATGCCAAGAAAGACATCGTAAAAATGCCAAAAACACCGATGGAGAAAGAACATTTTTGCAAGTTAATTCACAGATTTGATATAGCTTGTCCGTGTATGTATTTTCCGTGCTCAAGAGTTCATTTTGAGATCGCACTACTCGTGTTTGGAGTGATACAATGCAGCGTGTTTCCCGAAATGTTCGACCCGTTGGCCGCGGGCCACACATGTACAAATGTACATGTACAGTGCATCACACACTTCGGAGTTTTGGCCAGCTCCCATTCTTGACTAGCGTTGTGCATATGGTGCGAACGACCTGAATTTTCCACAATTTTTTTTTACGAATTATCGAACGTAAATATATTGACAATAATTAAGGTAGGTTTTATTCACTTTTTGTGGCCATTTTGTGTATAGCTTTCGTAGTGCAATGGAAATAGTTCAGGCTAAAACTTCGCATATAAATGAATACCCCATTCAATCTGCATAAAAAAAATTGGCCAAAAAAAAAAAAATTCCGACCGACCGACCCTATTTTCGAAAGGCATGTAATTGGAAGCAAAACTATTCTTTTTTTTGATAACAAAGATTGACATAAGGGCAGGTACCCAGTACTTTATCTGTTCAACAAAGATGACTTTCATTGTGCACCAGTTTTTCTTTATTTACAGCAAAAGTGATATTAATACATGATCAGTGTACTTTTGAATTTATTAGAATGTGCATCAGAACCGGGTACCCAAGTACCCAACCGCTGATGTCAGGAACTGGTTCCAGATTATGGGATCGGGTACCCATAATCAACCCATTTACAAATTACTTAGTAAGTTCGCAGACAATGGAAAGCAAAATTTGTGAATGCCAATTGTGGGGAATTTTCAAAATGAAAATCAGGCTATATGAAAAACCAAAACACATTTCACACTTCTGTGCATTTTAACACACCACAGATGACGCTCGCAAAAGTTGCAATTTACACTGTAAAGACAACTTCCAGACAACTTCCAGGATTTGAATTTTGTGTTTGGGATTCGTTTACAGGTTTTTATGGGTTTTACTTCAATAATGCACACCACTAGAATTTATACAGACCCAAATTTCTAATTGTTGCTGAAGTTGCTCAAGCAAGTTTCTAGTCAAGGAAAGTCAAAAAAAATATAAAGTAAATATTACAATTGAGAGATATCTTCAAAGTTTAATGTAGAATTTCATAAATTGAGCACACAACAAAACTACGTCATAAATAGCAGCTTGAAAACTCCTGGTCTGTGCTGAGTGAAGCAAAAGTCTGCAACATTTATAAGTTGATTTCCTCTGTGGATTACAGATGCACGTGGATGCTGTCAAGCTACCACTCAAAGAATGCTTCACCTATGATGGATACAGGTATTAAATATAATCAGCTTTGTACATATTGGTATTTAAGGAAATGACTTTCAATCAAGAGGCAGTGGGTCATTTTTACCAATGCCATTTGGAGCTAGAGAGGTGCATACAGTTTTTCTTGCAGAATATTGATAACTTCTGTAAAATTCTTGCATGTCTTGGGTCATTCCTTCAGCCTATAATCCATTGAGTTGTTGAAGCACTGTAAAAGTAGCCTCCGGAGTTGATCCATGGAGTGCTCTGTTTGCCTGAGGCTAGCCGAGGGAAATGGAACACTTCATGTATGGACCACCGAGGAAGGCTAGTTTTACAACAACACGAATTAAAGCAATCAATATTAGTTTTATAACACCTCACCACAGAGTCTGCTTGATTAATTGAACCAAAATCCAATTAAAATGTACTTCTATTTCAATATGAAATTAGTTAAAAAGTTACTAGCACTTTTCCAAACTACCCCTTCATGAAATGTTTGAACCCAACTCTGTAGCATGTGGGAACAATTCGCACAACGTGCACACCCTTATGCATTTGTACACAGACCTCCGGTTGCAATGTTTGTTCCTATGTGTATATAAGCCATCAGCCTGGGGTTTGGTCAGTATCAAATCAGGGCATGAATGATTATAGTGCGCATGCGCAAGGTATACCACCCCTAGAGAGGTAACAAGCATTTTGATGGACAATTTTTTAAAAAGGGTGATAACACCCAAAAAGCTGCCACTGCTGCAATGCTATCATATATTTTCCAACTCTAGAGGTGTATACCTTGCCAAAAAATCGCTATGACGATTATTCCTCTCATTTGATACCGGTGGTCAAAATTTTGGACTGAGGCTGATGGCCTAATAGCACTTTCTCAAACTGACACAGTCAGTGTGTAGTCTTTTTGGCCGTGCACAGCAAGATAGTAAAAAAATTGAATGCCATGTGACTCGCTCTTGGCCAATCAAGATACAGAATCTGCGGGTGAGATGTTATAAATTCAGATATTCAGGGTACAATAGAACCACCAGGTGTTATAGAGCTAGTTCAGTCAATGACCATTAGTCGACATTCGTAGCTTACACGTCCACACTACTTGCAACGTGTGAACCTCTCCGGATGGTCAAAATGTCATCACGAAACTTCTGGTCCCTGGCTCCCTGCTGTGAATTGTGATGCCCAAGGGTACTGGTAACCAGCGATGCAACCAACCGCATTAGGCTGGTTGCAAATTGTTGACTAATCAAATAATTGTCTTCATTTGTCGATTCAGATGGGCAGTATCGACTGTGATGTCCAGACAGAATCAGATTCCTTCTGAGGATGGTTCCCATCTAGTGACAGTGCTCATTCCACTATGGGACATGTGCAATCACACCAATGGCGTGGTGAGTCCCGGCCAGTTGACACTGTGTATTCTGGATCCAGAGTATCCCATTGTTTACATGTATGGGATTTATAGGACCGAATTACACTGCAGTACTGCATCAAGGGGTTACTGAAAATACTCCCTTGTTGCACAAAATTTGACAACAGGGCACAAAATTGTATTCCTTTTTCAAAAGAAATTTGCTTTTTTCCTTTTTTTTTTTTTTTTTTTTTTTTTGGTTTCACATGATTTAAGTCGGAAATTTGTCTTTGAACATGTTGAATAACAAGTTTTTGTGGTTGTGTTTTACTGCACATAAACAATCTGCATAAAAAAATCAAGTAAATAAATATAGGATATTGTGTAAAGGGTGTTGACTGTGAAGTTGAAAAGCATTTTTTAATGGTGGCGCACTGCATGGACTCTGTGGACAAGTACCCCCTCAACGGTTGCGAAGAGAGAGTTGGACTGCGAAGGACATTTGAATGCATTGCTAATGATACTTGATATTTGTTGAGCGCGAGGAGAGCAATTCAGAATAATATCTGCGGTAGCATGTGTAGTAGAACAATTATGCACTTCATTGAGTAACGTCAAAATAACTGAAAACAGTTAAGCAAAATGCAACTAAAATATCCCACATTTATTTAACTAGTTCAAACTCAATTGAAACACAATACTGATTCCTTGAAGGAAGGTTGATACAATGAAAAATAATTCTGGAGGTGAGCCAATGTATGACCCATAATTCTAACGTATCGTTTCTGTCAACAGATTACCACTAGCTTCAATCTGCAACGAGACAGCTGTGACGGCTTAGCCCTTCATGATGTGGCTGTGGGCGAGCAGGTCTGTATCTTCTACGGCCTCCGCTCCAACTCTCATCTCTTGCTGTACAGTGGCTTTGTCTACCCTGAGAGCGAGTGCGATAGTGTCAACATTCAGCTCGGCATCAGTAAGAACGACCGGCTGTACGCCATGAAGAGTCAACTTCTGGCCATGATGGGATCCGCTGAGTAAGATCCCCCCTCCCCCAAGTTACCATCTTTCAAAAACAAACTCTGCCATTAGCACTTGGTGCTGTTGTCTTGTGTTGCTGATTTCCTGTGTAGTCATTTATACAACTGCCGAGCTTGATCTTGTGTTCTTGAGCAAGGTACTTTATAACAATTGCTTCATCTCATTCTGTGAATACACAGGCCCTTGGAAGAGTAAAGTTATTCGTATTTTCTCAGAGTCTGCTACAGCCAACATGTGCCTTCCATGGCTTCTATCCACAGAGCTGACATTGTTTCAGAAATGATTAGTATCATGCTGATCACAGGTAACAGTAATACTTTTTTGGTGTGTTTAATTGAAGATCATCTATCAACCTTGCGGTGGAAGGTGGTGATAATCCTGTCAGTCCTGAATTGATTGCCTTTCTGAGAGTCTTCTCCATGGATGAGGGTAGGTCTAGGATTGTCTGGGTTCTGTTTGTCCAACAAGCACTTTGGAAAAGCCAAGATATCAAAGACTAAATCCTGAAGATGGCGACGTGCTTTCATATCTCAAAATGAAACTGAGCACAACATTTGGTTCAGAAATTTTTGAATTTTCTCAAAGCTACATACAAATGCATTAATTTGAAGGCTGTTGATTATTGATATGGACTTTCCTTGAGTTTCTATGATTTGTGTTTCTTAAATATTTCTCAATATAATTTTTGTTCTGACAGTTTGTTTCACATCTCAACATAATACATCCTGAAATGTTCTCATTCTTTACCAGTGCATTCCAAATAGTGATATATAATGCAAACACTGAATACTGCATGTACTTTCATTGAAAACCAATTCAAATTGAAGTTGAAAATAGTTGTACATGGTATTGCATTGCAGAAGAGTTGGTGATACGTATGTTTGATAAGAACAAGACAGAGTCCTTGGGACGGCTGATCCGTCCCAATTGCCTCATCAGTAAAGCCAACGAGCTACGCGTCTGGTCCTTCCTGGAGACCAGACTGTCATTGCTGCTGAGACAGTACAAGACGACCATTGAGGTAAGCAGTGCACGCAGCATGAATGTCGAGAACAAGTGTTGAGTCAGAAGTCACTTTTAAAAACTCAAGAACAAATACAATTTCAAGTTTAAAAGAGCATATTTGTGACCAACCATCACAAAACCAGTCACTTGGATCAATTTTTGAAAAGTAGGATTTTGCGCTCATTGGAAAGGACATTGAATAAGCTTTCCAATGATGTATAAAATATGGGAATCGAACAAAATCTAACAGAGTTATAGGGCCTTGGAAAGTTACAAAAAATCGCTCAATTTGTAGTTAAAGTTTCCCAAATAAACTCCTTAGCAAGGCACTTTTCTATAAGAGCAGTCCAACTGAAATTTGCACTATACGTTCAGCACTTGGTCTAATTTATTTACACAAATGTTCATCAATATTCCATGAATTATAGGCTGTATCTCAAAACACGGCCGTGTGACTTCCAGTGCGTGAAATTAGACAAAAAAAGTGGTCAGACAAAATGTCCGAGCACAATCAAAAGTGTTCTGCCATTGTCAAGTTTTGATCTGCCATCTGAGACGAACTTTCAAAAGGCCGCGTTTACTATACTTCAAACACGTGGACGGTACATACACGTGTGTACATGTACAGTATGTATGTTTACGTACGTACGTATCCATAATACACACTATGTAGTTGCAATGACAAGCGCCGGGCATTCACGCGCTCGTTTCTGTAGTAAGCCACGTTGTGAGAATTTAGTAACAATCACGCACTTAAAGCATACCGCGCAACACAACGTACTTTGATCTTGCTAAATTCTCATTACATGTATGCGCGTCAATGTCCTTATAATATTTAGACTCGTCACTATACAGACTCGATTCAAGTCTGCAGAGCACATAACTTAAACTGGGTGAAATTGCAGTTCTGAATGTCCAAAGAGGCTCGATCGAATCATTATAGCAAGGAATAGAGGTTGAATCAGGTCCAATTTAACACTTTTGCCCAATAGAAATTAACTGGGAATTCCACAAACGGCCACTGCTCATTTCCATAAAATGACTTGAAAAGTACAAAAAGTTGTATTAACTGATTTGTAGAAGAAACACGAAGACTGCTGATCGAAACACAATTTATCGACTTGATTTCACGTCTATTTTTTGGCAAACGGCACATACGTACGAATGCCAATCTATCGCTGTGCACGCCGCGCTGTACTAGACTGTGTAATGATTGGGGTGTAAACGCGTTGCATCTATTGCGTGAATATAAGACAACACGTACATGTAGTTAGCAGCCGCTCAGGGTACGGTAAGTATTACAGACCGGATCATCGGAAATAAACAACAAAATACTTTTGAGTGCAAGCGTTTATTTCATACTTCTGAAAAAGACAACTCCACAAAGAATACATAAATCGCTCGGACATTTTGTCCGAGCACATCTGCATTTGGTCGGACAAACCATGAAAGTGGTCGGAAAATGTCCGACTGTAATTTCACGCACTGGACTTCCAATTGGTTTTGTGCTGGAGGGTCACATTATTTTGTCATTTTGCTGTCCAGTCCGAGTCAGCAACACAGAGTCTAGTCCGAGTCCGAGGTGTCAAGTCCAAGTCTGAGGACTTGAGGCGAGTCACAACTCATACATCGCTGACTTTTGGTTGCTGCTATAAACAACTTTTAGATACTCACTATGGGTTGAATGCATTGTAACTTTTATGGCAACTCGTCAGGATTAACCAGCAGTATTTTCAGGGTTTTTTTCCATTATTCTAACTTAACCAGTTCGCGTTGGAGGACGTGATAACACGCACTGGCTGTTTTTGTACACAGGCACGGCTAATAGGTTAAGACGTCTAGATTGCCTCGAGTTGCCTCCGGGTGACATCTAAACACGCTAATCCCTCAAGAATTGTTTTCCCTTACATTCTCTTTGTTTTCCCTTACATTCTCTGTCCATGACAATTTCTACTCTCTTTTGGATGGAAAAAAGTTGTCAACTGATGAATATTGTACGAACGTTTCAGACCCAAGTCTGTATATATAATAATGAAAAACATGATGATTTGTGACGTTGAGTAACAATGAATCTGTTTGAATCCCAACAGGAGGATATAGAGCAACTCTCCAAGACTGACCTGTCGTCTAACTCCAAGCTGTGCATTCAGCTGCGTCTCTTGGAGAAACGCATCCTGCACAACGCCATTGCCTACATCAAGATACGGCGGAAGGACACTGAGGAGCTAGCTGATGATGCCGTCTGTTACCAAGAAGAGTTGGAATCAGAAGATATGGATAAAGTCGTGGAGGTCCCTGACGCAAGCCCAGCGCAGGTAGCAAGGTTGGAGTACAAGACCAACCCCATTGACACTCAGTCTGATGGCAGTAGCTCCTCCAATAGGAACTCCTCCTTGTCACTACAGAGTGATACCAGTGAGGATTCGATATCCAAGCCCGTGAACCAGATCACTACTGAACCATCAGATAGCATGGGGTCTGCCGTGACTAACGGAGACAACGAGTCCTACAACAGTGAAATCAAAGTGAACGGTACAGTAGACAGTCTGAACAACGCATTGAATGGTATCAACCTAAATGGGGACAGCAGTCATCCAGTGGATGGCGACACAGAAGGCAATCATGCCGCCACAGTCTCCAATGGTCACAGTGAGTTGAATAGCATAGCTGATAACAATTAGAAACACAAGGGGTCTACACTGCTTTTGTCAACCCTCTTATTGGTTTTTATTTTAATTTTAGCAGGTTTGAGTTGAATCAAGCCGGTGGATGAGAGAAATTGAGTTTAATTCTGTCCTTCCAGGGGTAGGGATGAGTGTCACGTAAAGACCAACATGGAAGGTTAGTCTTTCGGGAATAAAGATGTTTCCAAGATTATTGGCTAATCCTCTGTCTATGTAAGTGTATTGATCTCATGGTAATTTTATGGATTGTGATTACTTGTGACAATCGTTTACATACAATGACTCGGTAGCCTGAAATACAGTCGCTTTCTGCACAAAATGTTTGAATTCTAAACTAAAACAATATTCTTCTGGACCAACATTGTGGTAATCACTGATTACATCTCTGATTATCTTAAGAAAAGTATTTTTTTAAAATTAAGATTGAGTGCAATACATGCCAATACATGTATAAAAAAGACTGCAGTTGGTGTGTCCAATTGCTACTGTAATTTCATTGAATCTAAACAGCTTAGGGGCAGTTTCACGGGAAAGGTTGCAAAAAAGTCTCACGGGGGGTCAAAAATGAAACTTGTTGTATGGATACAACATGTTTATTTGTTGAAAGTACATACATAAAGGTACTAGAAAATGTTAAAGTCAAGGCTTAAACATTTTTTCGTTTCAATTTTAAGGCACTTTACACTTTACAGACCATAAAATTTGTCAAATAAAGGTAGGTATCATAAACTGCTAATTCCACATCTCAAACATGCTTAGAGTTGCTTTAAAATGATTGATAGTCATCACAGTAGTCATATCTTGAATATTAATGCACTCTAGGCTATGAAAAATACCATGTTTTTTCATATACTGACGGAAAATTCAATTTTATAGCTCTCTTTTCCTTGAAACACAAACTTTCATTTCTGATTTACAGAAAACCATGCAGCATGCTGATTATTTGCACTTTTGTCCAAAGGCTGTGTACATGGAAGAACAATTGGCAAAAAAATTGTGTTTATAGTGTGCTGCGTTACAGAGTTACCATGGTCTTTATCATTGCTATGAAAAGGGTTTACTATGTTCAGGAAAGGACAACAATTTTAACAATTACTACATTCAGTCAAGTTTGATCTTATGAAGCAACATTACAAGAAATATAACCATAAAACTAGAGTTGGGAGGCTATACATGTGTCAGGCAGATCAGTTTGTACCTTGTTATTACTCCACCTAACTAAATTTACGTTCAGGAAAGGACAAACTATTTAACAATGCTTAGCATACCGGTACTGGTAGCACCATGCATTTCCTGAATGACAATAAAGTTAGTCTGAAGTAATGTCCATTCAAATGATTATAATTACTGCTGGTGAAAACATAACTTTATATTGAGACACTGATACCGGTATACATTTGTACATGTATGTATACATGTACATGCCCCACAAAGAAATGCCTAGATAATTAAACTGTACTATCCAGTGAAAAAAAAATTCAGTCAGCATGGTGCTTTTTACAAAATGGGATCTAACGAATAGGCACATCAAGCCCAAAACAGTTTGAAGAATTTGTACACACGTACAGTACATGTATGCACGGAGGAAGGTTCATGTGTATCTGTACTTGTTCCTTGTTAAATGTTTCAAACATGTTCAGGAAAGGACACACATTTTAACAAGGATCAACATACAAGTTGTGCATGATCAGTGCATAAGCTTGACTGTTCCATTTTTCATAGCAATTAAACTAATGAAATGGCTGCACACAGAAAGAATTGTTAAAACAGTGCGGTACAATGTATAACAGATGTTGTTAAACTTGTTTAAAAAAGTGTCCTATCCTGAACACTTGAATACACAGAAACTAGACTAAAACAGTAAATTTTGATTACATTTACTCAAACTAATGTGTGTATTTTGTGGAAGGGATGGTTTGAAACTGTAAATTAGCCAATTCCTGACAAATATTGGATTTAAGTGTGACTTGTAAAGATAAATGTATATGCACATGTTTACTCATTGTGTGTGTAATCATGAGTGAGTAAATGACCTGTAAGAACAAAACGTTAACACTTTCTTGCCATTTAGTTGGTTTTAATTTTAGAACATAAACTTTACAGATAATATAAGCATAAACTTCATCAAATTTCTGCAACAATGGTTTTGCCAAGTAGTCTGTTAAACTATATGTTCAGGAAAGGACAATGCAGTTTAACGACAATGTCATGACAGTAAGCAAGGTTCGAGTCTGATTCTTTTTGTAGTCTGTTAAATCTAGTAAGTACACCCCAGGGTACATGTTTATGTCAAAAAAGTTTTATCTCTGAATTCCTGTAAAAAAAGGGGGGCAATGTTCAGGAAAGGACATTTTTAACAAACATTTGCATGGCATATGCGACTGCTGCTTTATCAAATTTACTTGTGATTATCCAATTCCCATCTTTTTATACTTGATTACTGGAGTGTGTAGCATCATTTTGACAGGCAATAAGTTGTGTATTCTTTCTTTTAATTCTGGAAAAAATACCATGTTCAGGAAAGGACATTTTCAAAAAACATTTAACAAACACATCAATGTCTCACTCAAAACGGCATTACAAAAGAACGAGTTGGCCAATCCTAATGAAATTTGGTGTACATATTTTTGGGACATACTTCAATGTCGTTGCAAGTCTGGGTGGTTCCCATGGCATTTATTTTTAATTCTCATCAATTGCAGTTTCTAGAAAATGTGAATGAGACTCCAAATCTTGTCTTTTAGCACCCATGTGAGCTTATAATTTGAAAACCATAATGCGCAGAGCTGCAATTTTTTTTCTGGAGATTGCTACAACATTACAGTCCTTGTGAGACAAAAACCAGCAAATTCCAACCAAGTCTTCCTATGAAATAAAGCATCAATTTCCTATTTTTCATTTTGCAACCTTTCCCGTGAAACTGCCCTTAGGTAAATACTCTCAGAATCATATTAACATCAGTAAAACTTTCAACATCATCTTTGAGTAGATGTCATGGGCAGATCAATTGGCAAGGGTATTTTTTCTGTAAAATTTCCTCATGCTTTCATAAAAGAAGAGTTTTGCTGGCTACTGTTCACATAAATGTGTAAATATCGCTGACAATTGCTGAAAAATCATGCTTCAAAAGTGTAACTAAGTTACTGATATATGTGTCACAATGTGTTGGCTTCAAACAGATTTAACATGAAATTGCTATAAATATTATGCACAGACAGTATTATGAACATGTGGTCAAAAGAGCATGTTTGATTTCATTGAACATTGGGCAATATTGTTGAGAAATTGAGGTTTGTATCTAAGCATTCCACTCGGAAACTTTCTCAGAGAATCTGACGTCACATTCCATATTTCTCTTTCCATATGTTCCTCAGTGATTTTGATAAGAAAGGGGGACGGATCAAGTCAGGAAAAAAAACTTACAGGTGTATTTTACAAGTTTACAGGTGTAAAAATGTAACAGAAGTAGCCACATATCCCAATGGCACCAGAAGTCGTTTCAGTGTGGCAAGTTTTAGCCCACAAGGAGACTTTGATTCAAAATAAATTTGCAAGCTTTCCCGTACTTTACTGTTTAATTTACATGTGGTCTTATACACAGCTAAAAATAGCATACCAGATATGTTATGGCTCTCTTACGTGTAACAGAAAGGCATACACATTCCTTTCCGATAAATATTGTATTATTACATAAGTTGAGCTTATTTCACTGGGGAGCTTGACCGAGCTTTTTGTTTCAAGTTTACCAGAGCAATGATGAAATGTGACGTATCTGTTCATACAAAATGAGAAATTCTGTAAATATGTGTCATGTCTGAGTTTTGTATACTATGTAAGCTGTACTGTGCATGTGGATGTTATAATGAGGACCAAAAAACCTGTTGTGTTGCCCTCATCATACCAACCCAAAAATCTGGAAATCTCCGGTTGTTTCTTGAATTTTCTTTTTCACTTGAAAAACATTATATAAACTTTAACCTTACAGTATCTATTTCTTTGCAGGCCTAATGCCATTATTGTACATTTCGTTACAAAACTGGTAGTGCAGTTCGAATTTACCGTATTTTGTACGTGTAACCGAGGCTTGGGGCATGTGATGTGATATGCAATGTACATTGTATCGCATGTATGTACATGTACACAGTATAGTTGGCCCATGCAGTACATGTAGACTAAATGTTTCATGTACATTGTTAGAGGGGAATGGTAACTGAATGGAATAGAAGAAAGGGTGGGCCTATATGTGTACTATGTATACACCCCCCCCCCAAAAAAATCCCCGACTGACCGACCCGCCTGATATTTTTCATATGAGGTCAACACATTTTTTTTTTTGGCCTGCTGCTGTGTTGACAGTGGCTCCAATCAAATGTTATGGGCTCCGTGCGCCAAAGAAAGAGGGCGCCCTTTTACCTAGCAGAGACATTTTGCTGGTTGACGCGCACCGTTCCTTGTGTGTGACGCACATACACCAGGAGATTTGTACTATGTACATGCAGTGGCCGCGCTTCGTGGCCAATGAATTGCAGTCAGGCAAGATGGCGTCGTTCGGTCACCCCCAACTGTACTTTCTTTGCCGGTGAGGGGGTACTTGTGAACGGAGCGGATACCATGGGATGAGATTGTGAATTTTAATTAGCTGAGAACTGTTTACGTGGCGTACTGTAAAAGTTCACGTATGACGACCTGGTGGACTCCACCGAGTACATCACCTCATATTACCTGGCACATGTAACATGAGCTTAATCATTCTTGAAGACTTTTTTTTTTTTTTTTTTTCCTCCACTGCTTATACAACACAGCTAGAATAGAGCCTAAGTGATGTAGCCTGGGGTGTGCATGTGTCAATGCGGCCCCATGTGCTTGTCAATGCAGAGTGCTTAATATCAAAGACTGAACCATGGCACTGTTCAACTAAAACACAAAGGGTTGTGAAAACAGATAAAAAAGTCCCATGTTGACAAAAAGGACAGTTTATTATACTGTTACCTCGTAAGGAAGTGTATAGTGTGAGCATTTGCACTGGTTCCTAGTTGTCCTCATTCTGTTTATTCAAATGCGGCTTAAGGGGGCGTCCTTTCACCGACAGTAATTTTTAAGGACGTTAATTTGGAAGCATTTCCTGTTAACCAAAAAGTTTTTCTTTTCATAAAATTCTGTATCATAACCATAAAATGTTCATAAAATTCTGTACGTAGTGTGATTTCTCTAGATGCTTTGTGCCTACAGGAACCTCTCACTGAATCACTAGTGATGGAGGACAATGAGAAATATAGTAGTTGCTTTATGTTTTACTTTGCACATGCATGTCCAGCCCAAACTTCTTGTCAAGCTGCATGTGCTTCAAAAATATCATAACAGAAGTTCTTGTTCCTGGCTGTGTGGTTTTTATTGCAATACATAAAGCAACCAACCTAATTGCTATACCTCATACATATTCATGATCGAGAGCCAAGTTCTCACTGGTCCCTTCACCATTAAGTGTCAGTTGCTGGTTTTGCTGTTTACCAAGCGTGCAAGCGAGGTTTCACGCACAGGTTAAATACATTTATGCATGCGTAGTGGACTATTGCACTGATTACTAGTGCGCTAGTCCACTATGCATGCACTTTGCGAAGTAATCATGGAACTCGCGCATGAGGGTAGTGCGCACATGCGAACATCGCCCTAGCATGTGCATGTAGCAGCTACATGAAAAGATGGGGCACACGCACAACATTGTGCAGAGAAAACTTAGGCGTACCTTCACAACATTTTTGTGAATATGTATGAGGTAAAGTAAAACAAATAAAAAGGGTATTGGAAGTCGACAGACTAGTTCCCTCGTCTTTGCCTGGGGAACTATTATCTAGTCTGTCAACTTCAAGTACCTCGGGGAGCTAATATCGACTATCAACCCTCAAACCATGATTTATTTGTTAAATAGTCAACTAGACTAGCCCAACTACATGTATCATCAACTTTGTTATACCTCTGTCTTGAATACTGTATTTTCATTGACCTAGAACAATCCATGTTAAGTTTATAAAAAGTCATGGTACACTCCATGTGGGATATCACGTACATGTACCTGATATCCCACAGGAAGTGTGGGATATGCTAGACATTGTACGTACGGTGTGAAACGCTTGTATCGTTGGTACCCACGCTATTTTCACCATGTTTTCACACACGAGTTGGAGCAGCGAACTAGCAGACGATCAGCTGTTTCGAGCACGCGACATGCATGCTTGTGAGTTGCCGTTAGTCATGATTGTTATGTTTACTGCTGTTTGTTTTCGTGATTTTTACATCAAAGTCCAAAGAATCCAAGACAGAGGTATAGACACCTGAGGGGCGCATAGCCTGGGGTGCTGTACGCCCCTCAGGTGTTCAAAACGTCATATCCCACGTCACAGCAGTTAACAATATTAAATAGACCACCCACATCTCACATCACTTCTTAGAGCAGATCTATGTTCCTCTGTGATACGCATGAGTAGATATATTTTACTTTCATTGTCACTGAATTTAAATAACAAAACCCTGTCCTCGGTATATGAAGTACATGTAGTTTGAGGGAATTTGTTCAAAAATGCAGCCAGCTTTTTCAAGTACAGTTGCATTTTCAAATTTCCTTGTGAGACTGCCTACTACTGAGAAAAAAATAACACTTCTTAAAGTTGGTGATATGGATGTTATTAAAGATCCAAAGGTCCACATATTTGCCGCCAATTTATCATATAAATTTTAATTTTGTAATGGCTTTGTCTTTTACAAGTATTGCCGCCAATTTATCATATAAATTTTCATTTTGTAATGGCTTTGTCTTTTACAAGTATTTCCGTTAATGGGCGAGTTGTTAGTTCAAAATGGTGTTTTAGCTTATTTTTACCACCTTCAAGAGCCCACGTGACTTGTTTTATTCTAAATGAGCGGCAATGCATTCAAATGTCCCTCCCAGTGGTATCCCCCAACTCTCCCTTCTTACCGTTGAGGGGGTACTTGTGCACGGAGCCCATTGGCTGCAAAAATTTAATTTCTCAATGATCTACACAGACAGCTGTAATTGATCAAGTTGTCATACCCAAGAAGTTTTAAGACTGAGAAATCAAATATCTATTGTATAGGAATAAAGTAATTCCATGTATATATAATATAAAAGCAACTGTCAATGTACATATCTACCCGAAAGAAAACCCAAGAGTTTCTGTGTATATTTTTAATTGATATACTTTATTTGCTGACTTTGTCATGATATACAACTTGCATTTTAATTACATACACAATCATTTAATGATAAACAATGGCTATTTTTTTTTTAAGTCTTTCAATGTTAAAATCATCTCTCTTTTTTGTTAACATTGATTTGTTCATGTTTGAGTTTAGGTAACAATTATGCCAGAAATTGTTGTCAGCTGAAATCATAATTCGATTTATGTTGGTGTCGGTAGTATTTCAGTTTGTACATGTTCACATGTTGTAGAATGGGACGTATTGAAAATGCTTTCAGTTTAATAAAAAAAAAATATCGAAGTGACAACATGCTAATTACTGTCCTTTATTTCGTGTGTTTCTTTAAAGATGAACAGACAATTAGAAACCTTCTAGTCACACCCAAAGATTTGCTGATAAAAATGTTTTTCAAGTATAGTGACCACATTTGGTGTGTAAATGGGAGATCTTAAAATTGGAGATCTTAAAATAGTTCCACACTAGCATAAATAGATTTTTCACGTTCTCTAGTGCATAAGAAATGTTACCCTATTACGTCTGTGGCGCTCATGAACAGCTAGGATGAAATGCTATGTGTGTTTTAAGGAGACAAAATAATTCAACAAATACGAGTCTTCAAATTTCAATTTAAAGGGTACAGTATGACTTTTTCAAAGAAAAATAATTGACATGTGAATCTTGTGTTACCAAATGCATGTACTATGATAATTGACAGCCAAAGTGCAAACTGGTAAGAGCACAATCCATGCACTTGTATAGGTTTCTCTCAAATGACGTCACTTCTTACCAATTGCCATGTGCATCAGCATTTTGTCAAGTTGTTGTGATGCGCATCGGCTATGCCGGATTTCGAAGAAATTTCAAGCAACATGCGCGCGTGTTTAGAACATTTTGCAAACTGCACGCACACACACCTGATGGCATCGAACACGCATTTGTAATCTTCCTACGAAGATGGCGTCCTATGAGAGAGGTCTATAGAACCATTGCAATGTTTTAAGGTTATGTTGCTATCCATGAGTAAGACCATAGTCTAAATTCCGAGTACCCACAGACTTGAAACGAATGACATTATTTGAGGTTAACCTAGCAGCTTTCTAAATCAACTGTGTGCATGTTAGATGCATATATTGCCTCAAATCCCTGTAACTTTCTTGGTACAGCAAGTGGCATTCAAAAACATCAGAAAATCCTCTAGCTGGATGGAAATCAAAAATACTGGCTCAATAATCAAATTTTTAAATTTTACTATCCACATACAATCACATTATGTAGTCACAGCATTACTGTCTGCTTTCAACATTCTCAATCTGTTACGATCCATTCCCAATATTTACAGAGCAACTTTGTTCAAAATTGTGTCTGGCATTGTTACCACAACCAAATTGTTCCTAAAACTGTTTGGAACTATGGAATTCCAAAAGAAAATCAACATTCTGTCATGCTTCAAACTTCTTACAATACTGTATTGGATTTAGACTGTATTTCTTCAACTGCTACATTCTGCATAAATAACAGGCCTGCGCGTAACTTTTGGTTATATTTCAAAGCGTGCTGTCAGAAAGCTTGTCATCTGCAGAAGTATTGAGGGTTGCCAACCCCAACACGTTGTCTCTTACGAGACTGCATGTCACTGAAGAACTCATCAATGTCTTGTCTCTTCACCACCTGAATCACAATAAACAAAACAAAGGGAAGTTTCACCTACATAACTAATGTTTGAATATACCACAGGTATTTTGGTTAACAATTCTGAGGCCCGTTCTAAACTCCGTGCTACTGCTGTGTCGAACTCCACTGAATTGAACTCAGCAACTCGGCTATAGGGCGGAAGTTACTCTAAACGCCGAGCTTAATCTGTCAAACTAAATGCATTCGGAGTAGCCTGCCATTACTAAAATAATTTTCAAGCCGTTCAATACACTTTCAATGACACCATGTATTCACGCCGCATTCACTCCACGTATACTGAAGCGAGAGAGGTCATTGTGAGCATGCGCATTCCTAAAGTGTTCGCCCCAACTTGGAGTTGATTTGAGATTGGCAAGGCATTGGCGTGCCATTTGGAACAATGATAGCACGGCTGACCCTTTCGAGCCACAGGACAGTGCCGAACTCCATTTGCCAGCCAAATGGTTTTAAATGCCATTCTATCGCTGTGCCGATTTAAAAACGTCATCTTAATTGAGCAGTAGCACGGCGTTTAGGACAAGCCTAGCCTTTCCACTACATGGATAGACAGGGAACGTGGTGTAGTCATTTGCATACCTCAATGAAAACATGTGCAGTTCACTGTTCAAAATAAAGTTATTTGTGACACGAAACTCTATTCCAAAATAGCCGGAAATTAAAGTTTATGCGAAAATTTTCATTTCATTTTCATTGTTGAACATGAGCAGATAAACTGATGAGTTAGTTACCTTGCCCTGGTTGGCAAAACTCTGCAGATAGTCCCTCAGTGATGCCTTCAGATCATTGTACTCTGCAAAAAAATACATTCAAACTTTCTGTTAGAAAAAAAAGGAAAAAACTGACTGAATTGGAATTGGGAGGGTACACTGAAGAAATTTTTTTAATTATAAGCACGGTTACTAGTTGTCATGTCAAGTACAAGCCCCCAATTTGTCAAAAGTTAAATTTGTGTGTAATTGGGAAATGTTTCACAGGTGTGGATGCTGACATTTGTTTGAAAAAAAATTCGTGATAATTGTGCAGTCAATAAATTTCCTAAAGTTGTATTTGGGTTTAGGCAATTAACATTTATGTATGTCAGGCGTCGCAATGCAAAAGCGCCATATTAGTGCAAAAACATCATTTTTAAATTACTCAATTAATCCTCCACAAAATTACCACAGATTTTGCGTGCAACTATAAAATGGGATGATTGGAATATGTTTATGCAATAACTTCATATCTAGGCAAGATCTGACATTGTGACGAAAAACAACTTTGTGGTCCCTCAGAGCAAAAACATTGTATGTTCATTACATTTAAACTTGATTTTGCTTGGAACGTATTTTTATCTAGATATACTGTACTGGACTTATAAAACAATCAGGAACCTTTATGTTAACGTCTCTCAAAACGACTAAAAACTGAGATATCGTTGCGTCAGTGCAACAAGGTCGTAACTCCATTCTGCAACAAAGAGGTATCTCGCGCGAATACGCTCTGTGCAACAAGGTCGTATCTCAACGTCCATTGAGTTTGTGTGTACATCCGGATTATTTTCAGTGAGATACGACCTTTTGACATTCTGAAACTCGCGTTTCACATACGGCCCATTTTAGGAGATACGACCTTGTTGCATAGACGCGACGATATGACATATTTATCCTTACACAACAACGTAGGACTCTGACAAAGCAGCTAGGATAATGACTAAGATTGACTGAGTACTGACCATGAATGACTTCCACTTGTTGCACACGATTCAATGTAGTCAGTGCCTCCATACCCATCTGGTACTGTGATGTCCCAGCATGCTTCACCTTGCCTCGTAGCTCATAGGCTAACACAGTATCAGCCTCATCCATCAGGAAGCTAACTTGTCTGCTCTCATACAGCATCTACAATCAACATCAGCAGGGTTCATTATAGCATGGTTTGGCTACGGGGGGTTCAGGATTCTTTGTTACACTGGTGGGTAATAGGCCATATAAAGTGCAAAAAGCAAAATACACTTTATTAATCATCTCAGTGGGTAGTCACTATTGAGAGCAATATGACGTAAAACCCATTAAAACCATGCAGGTCAATTTTAGGTGAAGGGATTTGAAGTGTTAAAGTAACTGTGGCTCACAGAGAGCAGTTGTCAAGGAACTTACGACGCGTTCAACACATCGCAACTTTCGTGAAATGGAAGATACGACGCGTCGCGAGTTGCGACGTGTTACACGTCGTAACTCGAGTTGCGACGCATCGCAGCGCTTCGTGAATCGGGTGCCGAGCTTAACCATGCAACAACAGTGGGCAATTATCACAACCCTACTATGCAAACATACATTCTGTGCCAAGTTGTCCTTTCAGTCAAAACCAATCAAATTTAACAAGTGAAAGCACCCAGCCTTCATAAAGCAGGCTTGACTGGCTGTGACTATTGGTGTAACTTGATACAGCTACATGTGTGCTTTGATCCCTTTGAGCGTGCAGACCAGTAAATAGGCCCGAAATTGCCTACGTCGGCAAAATCATGACTTACACGCCCTCGAATAAAACAATTTTGTGGGCCATGAATTTGAGGGTTTGTACAAAAGAAGGGTTGAAGCTGTAGACAGGACTGCAAGCTTGTATTTCTGTGAAATTCAGGTGAAATTGGACCCTAAAATTGCTGTATTTTGCAATGGAGCGCAGGTATCACTTTTCAAAATGGCGATGGGCTACAGGACTACTTTTAGGGGCGATTATCTTCAGATGGAATTTTCTCCCAAAAGTCATTGGTTAACCCCGAAAACTGAACAGAAAATGAACGATGATGGAATAAGCTTTAATTTAATGTATGTGTCAAACACCTTGGAGAATTGTGAGTTTTTCCACTGAATTTCAGTAGTGGGCGTATTTATCGATGGGATCTATGGCAGTTTATTTACTGGTCTGCAACCTTGAACCTACTACATCTTACCTTACAATCCTGACATGTACACAGCTTGCTTCTCCAACCACTGGGCCAGAAGGTAGCATGGCTTTTCTTTTCAACCTCCCTGGCTTTAAGTTCCCTCAGCCTACAGACATCACCAGCGACATGCTCCTGTTGCCTCTGCCCGTTATGACTTGTTGCGGCGACTGTGCTTGCGCTGGTGGAAGCCTCACCACCTGACACAGTAGCAGCAGCAGCAATGGCCTGGGTTTGCATTGCGTCAAAGTCTTTACCGTCCTGATGCACTGTCATTGATTCAGACTGTTCTGGGTTGACATTCTCAGTGGTTGGCGGGACCTCGTTAAGTGGGACGGTATTCTTTGTATCAGTTGACGTGGCATTATCTGTCGATGGGTGGTCTGGAGCTGGTTGCAATGCGGCTGGTTTTTGGTCACTTGTAACATAAGGTTCGGTATCACTAGTTGCAGGACCCTGGCAGAGATACAATTTAATAGAATGGAAATAAGATTTAAGTAGTGTGAGAGAAAAAATGTAGGAAAGTCACAGTTATATGCGTCAGGTTTTCCATCACTATAAATGAGTAATGTTCTAAGTTTGTTAATCAATAGCACATTTCATTGGCAAATTAAAGATGGTAGTTGCACACCTTGCATTATACAGTACAAACTTAAAATATATTAGTTTTGTCCAAAAATATGCAAATAAATCTGTGATTGAGAAGTGACAATCTTTGGTTTACGTTTTGTTTAGGGGCCTGGTCGCCGATAATTGCCCTAGCCAAAAGGGTTTGTTTGCCGCTGATAGCTGAGCTTAAGGTACGGACCTTCATCAGCAACCAGTTATATACCAAAGGTTTATAACTGCTCCAATACACTCTTATTCCCCATTCATAAATGTCTAAAAGCTGTAAAATTTCCAACTTTTTTTTCAAACCATTTTAAGGTTGCTATCTTTGTTCAAGGCCAAATCCATAAAACGGCACATGGTGGCTGTTTGTTTCCTATTTAAAAAAAAAAGATGTTCGCAGAGAAGCAGTATTCAGGATTTCTAATTCATCCATCACGTTCCTTTTCTTCTGACAATTCACAGAACTCATCACATTTGAACTATGCTTACTTCTGCGTGCTCCTTATTGCCGCTGTCAGACACAGGTTGATTCTTGGCCACATTCTCCACCTCTACATCCAAACAGGATTCGTCTTTTTCTATCTTAACCTCTGAAAATGAGCAAAATGTAGAGAACAATGAATCAATAGTGCACTTTTGCACCTTTGCTACTGTTGATGTATTAACTTATTATAGTGTCATAACAACTTCACCAGTATGTAGACTGATGATGTAATACCTTTGCCAATGGGATGGAATTACATTTTGTACCATTGCTACTGATATTGTGATGGATTTGTTAGCAACAATGGACTATCTTTGCTGGTTATCTTCTATTATTACACCTCCTGCATATTTTTGAGCCATACATGCTTCTTTTATTAGTTTATGTTCCAACATGTCTGGAAGTAAGAGTAGCTCCCCGTATGCAACGCAATTGGCCTGTAGTACAAGGGAAGTAGTACCCCAAGATTAGCTCCTAGACTCCCAACCATGCAAACAGTTACTATTTCAAGTGACGTTGCTGGTGGTGCCAAACCTTCATGGCAAACAATTAAACGCATTCCATGGAATAGATTTTTTCCCTCAGTGTTAGCTGAAATGAATACCTCCCTCTATCGGCATTGATGTTCGGAGGCAGTCAAATCAGCCAACACCTCAGGACCAGCAGTTTCGCACAACTTCCCCCTCAACCATGTTGTATTTGTATACTACCTTTGCTAGTGATGTAAATATGCAATACCTTGCTGAAAGCCTTGTACTAACTCAAAAGTGATGTCTGTAGTGTATTACCTTTACTAGTGATAGCGTAGTACCACAGGAAGTCACAGGCTCCCTGCATACACTGGGCACACACCATCTCTTGATAATCATTACTTTCTGGTACACGGACATCTCCTAGGTGCTAATAACACAAAACAAGTTATGGTCAGTTATCACAGTGTCTTCGTATCAATCTCTGAAGCTCAACAACATGAAGTTTGACAATTCTTGAATGATTAAATATAAACTTAAACAAAGAAACTATTTTTGCTTTTGGAGACCCTAAATAATCACACATTGTTTGGTGAACATATGTGTACCAGTTTGCTTGTTCACATGCGTGTAAGAGATATGGTCATCTTTATTGCAGTTCTTTGTGCACGCAGTGCTATTGTTTTGATGTCTCATAGACTTGCGTGTGGACAAACTGGTTTTTGACCAATTTTATGTAAATGGCCGCCATTTCTTAATTGAGGCTTTATTTTCAACGTCGTGTGCACCAAATACCACCAAGATCTTGTAGTTTAGGAATATCTCAAAACAATTTCAACATGTCTCTCCAATGTGCGTCTGAAAATGGGTAAACTTTTTTTGGACCACCCTGTAAAATGGAAATGGAGAGTTTTGGAATCATGATAAAAAAAAAGGACTTGAACGTGACAGATCCTGGGTTTTGAGTCCTACCTTTTTTTGGGCTGGCTCTCTAAAAAAACACAGGGTTTACATGTGCTCTACATGTATAATGTTGTATTGATAAAGGCAGACCCAATATATAATTCAAATCCCAAGTTAGGCGACAGTGTTGCTTATTATGACGCATACCCAATCCTTCCCCCTGATCATATACACCTGCAGGTTTGTTTTTCATTTGAGGGGGAGGGGTGTTCATTTTTTTTTCAGGAACACTTTGTAAGAAAACCTACCCTGCCATGGAACCAGTCTTCGCACACCACGCACTGGATCATCTCATCTTCAATCTGTGCAAAAAAAGTCACATAATCATTTCAAAGTATGTCTTTCACAGCCTTCAGGCTTGGGAAATAATGTGTCAAAAAGCTGTCTGGATGTCACAATGTGGTCTCACTTCAACCTAGACAGAAGGCGAATCACTGGAGGAGGCAGGGCCAACAAAAACATGGGGCAAATGTGTCCTCACAATACCAGTGGAACTTGCACATCTACTACCAAAGGGCCAATATAGTCCAATGCCACTATAACAAGCACTGCTATAGACCATGTCGCATTTGTTTGCACAACTGAATGTTGTGGTTACGTGATGCCAACTTCCAGCAATCAGTTCGCCTCTGCACTGCATGTATATCTTCAAAATTGAATTTAAAATTATACTGTTTAACATGCAAAAGATACTGAATTGTTTGGGTTGCCGGCAGTTGCCTATTGACAATGATGTCACAGGTATCATGGTTGAACAAACTTACAAGTCATTTTTGAGATGGAGCCAAGCTCTTGAGCAAATCGTGCATTCATGAATTTGAGTTGCACGCGTAGTTTTGTAATTACTAATGCTCAATGAAGCATTCAGTCAAGACTCAGTGATCAAAAACCCCGTCAAAAATTTACAAAACAGAGTCAGGCAGGACAATCAGAACGCACTGCTGCCGCAACTCTGGCCCTTACCCCAAGAGGTTACAGATTTTGGATTAGTGCTGCAGCCGAACCACCGAACTGAACTAAAAATAGCCAAACTTGGCCTTCCGAACCGAACACAAAAGTCGGGGAACGGCCTATGTGCTTTTCATTGTAGCCCAATACATTGTACCATGGACATATACATGCACATTATGTATGCACTTCGGAAGCCGAACCGAACCGAAGTTAGGAGAAAAGAAATCGAACCGCAACCGAACCAAACCAAACTTTGAGGATCAGTTGCAGCACTATTTTGGATATTCAAAAAACGCTAACGTTTGAGTTCCAAATGCATTCAAACATGTGCACACGTGCAGTGTCCAACAAACGGAGAAGTGACAAGTGGTCACAAGGAGCCATCTACTACTCACGCAGAGTCCATACTGAACATTTGGCTAGAATAAAAATTCCTTTTTGGCTTCCCAATTTCATGTACAAATACTACCTAGCATTGGTGGCTACAATCACCGTAATGAAAGACTGCTCTATAGCGAACAATCTTCTGTAAACTAGTGCAGGTTTGCGGTGACACAATGTGAAAAATCTCTTTTGAGAAGAAGTGTGGTTCTGAAAAGAACCGGTATGTGAAACTTACACTATGCAAAGTTTTTAAACTTAATTAAGTTTTTGTAAATCCCATAATTGGTTACAACGACTCTCTACTGTATGAGCGTACATCCCATTCAAGGGGAACGGTTTCAGCAAACTAAACCAACCTCATCCTCTGGATCCGGGTATGGACGGTTACAGATGCAGTATACACCACGGAAATTCTGGTTGTACTTGTTGTCCGGGTTGGTGGCATCTTTCTGCTGACAAAGCCAAACAATAGAAGAATAGTGGTAATGTTGCCATCAGTGCTGGCTCTGTTTAGCAACAGTCATAATATCAAACATTCTGAGAATATATGTGACCTAGTACAGTCAATTTTCGTTAATATAAACTCGTTAAGACTAAACTCTGATTTTTCTCCGTCTGGACCAAGCCATGCACATTCCTAGGGGATACTTCATTTAAGAAGGACATAGGACAGAGCAAGTCTCAGTTTATGACAACATTTTTATCAACCTAGCACTTAATTTGGATGTTATGAACAGTTTGAGAAGGTCCAGCAGTTTTTGTATTAAAGTAGTTGACTATATAACTCAACCGGTAAAACCACTTTCATGTGAAAGAGTTTATCTTCACTTTAACTCTAAAGAATTAAAAATTCACATTTGTACAGGAAACCACTTGGCACATTTCCCGCTATCCTGCCACTTTAACTGAACAAGGAACTTGCTGCTCATTGAAAATTCCTGCAGGGTTTTTTTTCATCAGGAAGCTTTCTAGCAAATATGTTGAGGGAGACAGTGAATGACTCAGAAAGTGCTCAGTCCAACATATACTTTATCTCTATATAATACTCACTGTACCTGACTTTCTCAATGACTGACTCACTGATTGGCTGTCACTTGTGAATTTGACTTGCGTATGTCTCATTTTAGCCCGTAAATTTGACTTTGCTGGTCCCAGTCTTCTTTGCACCTATCTCACTGACTGACTGATGACTGACTGTCACTTGTGGAATAGACTTGCATTATACCCCTCAACTTGACTCACAGGACTACCAAGACTCCTTAGACCAAATTGGTCTGGGACAACTACTAGGTTTGTCTTGTTATAAGGGTCAGTGGCATAAGGACCCATCCATAACAGGTGGGCTGAATCCTATTCACCTAGTATTAACTGAATAGAATCTGCACTTTACCTCAATCAGTTTACATTGCATCGATCCAAACTTGCTGTTTCCACAGTCACATCTGAAGTTTCTGTTTGAACCAAAAAATAAAAGAAAATAATTTAACACCTCCAAATCCACAAAACACAAGCTATTTTAAGTTTCACACATTGCAAACACGCAATACACTTCCCATGAAAGTGTTTCTCAAGCAAAATAATGAGTAAATCAGAATATTTTTCACTCATTTTCTCAAACATACAACAGTGCAATAAAATAACTCATGGGTGCAATAGCCATGCTTGGCTGTGTACATGTTGATGAACACAATCAAATGAAACGGAGTAGAAGTGTAACCATACGCAAAACGTACACGCTTCAACTTCAGCAATGCGTGCGACATGCCCAAGAGCGAGGTTCCACCTCAAAAATGGCCTCTACGGGTAGCTGCTGAATAAGGCCAAAAAAAAAAAAGTTCTGCTTCCGATTACATGGCATTCAAAAATAGGGTAGGTAGGTAGGGAATTTTTTTTTTTGGCCAATTTTTTTGTGTGTACGATCATATGGAGGCATCTGCGTGTAGTCAAGGGTTAAAGGTATAAAGTGATGGTTTTGGGTGTTTTTTCCTCATTTTTCCATTAAAAAAAAATTGGGTAGGGCGTTCAGAATAGGGGTAGGTAGGGAAACCGGAAGCAGAACTATTATTTTTTTTGGCATTTAAAGTACGTGTACAATGTACTAAAGACATTGTGATACAGTATGAAATAAATCTGAGTTCAATTTGGTCTGCCTTCATTCTTCTGGCTTCTAGGGCTGTCCACTTTTGAAAAATTTAGTATTCAATTATTCAAAACTGCGTTTGACTGAATATTCAATTTTTTTTAATATGATATTTAATCGGGACAGCCCTACTGGCTTCTGATTTTGGATAGGAGCCCATGTAGTTGGAACACAAAAAGTATGTTGATATTGTTCAAGAATGTATTTGCATTTTGCAAAAGGACATGGATGTGAGTCTGGGTTCCAGTCCATTTACATATATTAGAGCATTTCTTGCATAGTTGTGTCAGGCTATGTCCAAACTCTCATTATTCCAACTCATTTATTGCATGCATTTACTCAATATGGGCTCCGTGCAGAAGCAACCCCTCAATGGTTACAAAGGGCGAGCTGGGGGGAGACCACTGGGAGGGACATTCAAACACATGCCTGATGGTGCCTGACACTCACGAGGAGATGCTATGGGTTTTTGTGCATTCAGAATAAAATAACTCCACACACTTGGCGCCATACACATATTAATACACGCACACAGTGCATCCCTCCGACTGTGGCTCTCGAAGTGGTCACAAAGCATCATCTACTGTCCATACACAGAGTCCATAGCTGTAGTGCTAACGGCTCAACTCCAACACTTCACCTCTCATCATACTTGGGAACTAAACAACACATCTAAACAGCAATACAATCCAATCCCTTTACATGTGGTACCTTTTTGTGTAGAGTTCATAGAGCTGATGTCCCTCATGGCATTCATAGCTGCAGGCCAGGCAAACCCCTGCTGACTCAGTAGATGCTGATGTACACGTTGCACAAGCATACAAAGCTTGTCTGCCTCGGTAGCCCTGTCAACAGAATTGTGCCAAATTTGGGGTTCACACAGGAAAATCAATTTCGGCATTCCAAATTTCTAGTTTCATTGTAGGCCTACTGTCTGGTGGAAATTTTGAGACTCAAAATTGTGCATTATTTATTGAGGTATTACGTGTTATCAGGTCTTGTCATCATTGTCATTTTACCCTAAAATTTCACTCAAAAATATAATCCCTGCCCACTTTCCATGACATTCTTGATACTTTTCATCATCAAAGTGATATATTATTACTGTGAACCCCTATCTTCGGGTACATGCTCGTATGTATGTCCATAGACAATGCGGTGCCCAATATTCAGCAGCTAGCACTATTTGAACGAGAAAAAAATTGTGCTCTGACATGTTCATGCCAAACTGGTTGCATTTCACAGATTTGCAACCCAAAAAAATTGTGAGTACCATTGGAGCCCCAATAGTTCATCTTTGACATGTGGAGAAGCCAGCAGGTGCTTTCAAAGGTATTTTTGTCAAGTAAAAAGACCACACGAGTGCCGGAGCTCGTTGGCTCCGTGCGCCGCCACTGCACTCGCATGGTCTTTTTTCACGTGGTCTTTTGCCACGTGCGCCTTGACTCAAGTCTATGTGACTGACGGCAGAAACGATCCAGCACATGCATGATCTTTTCCATGTTGGAATTTAGATACGCAAAGGTGTGCAAACGAACCTGGAAATAACACGAATAATAGACGTCTGAGAAAGGCCTGACTCCCTTTCTATCACAAAAAGAGGATGAATGTGCTTCTAAAGCGTAAATAAACTACAAACAAAGTCTAAATGCAAAAATGAAAAATTGACAAAGTTCTATATTTTCGGGTACATGTTCTAAGTGTGGCCTTTATTTGCGGAGGTAGTCCAGTAAATTGGCCACATTTATGGAGCTAAACTCAGGCATGTCGAGCCCCGCCAAGTCAATAAACAAGGCCTTTAACAGGTCAGGGACCAGCCCTAAATCTAGCGACGTCGCTAGATTGTACAACAGCTGCATGATCAAGCGACGATGACATCATTCTTCAGTGCGATGACGTCATTCTATTCGCGTGATCACTACGTTAGCGAGTTCAGCCATGGGTTCAGCCGACAAAACAAAACGATTGCCGCAAAAAAAAAGAAGTTTGCCGCAACTTAAGGTATGTATATAAATGTTGATGTTCAATGTCTTCATCGATCTCGTGGATTATATTGTATGATTAGGCCTGACAACCAATTTTCAGCAATGGTAAAAGGGTCTTGAAACCGTTTCAGTTGGATAGATCTCATTGAGTGCTTTTCAAAAATGTATAACTTAATTAGCCGTTTTCGACTTATGATTAAATAAAAAGTGCCATATATCGACTATTTTTTGGAAAAAATAGTGGATTTTTGTGAAAAGTAATAAATTACGACTTTTGTGACACTACATATTCAAAATTATAGCAATTTGTAGGTTTTAAAGTACCTTGTACAATCTATGAAGGATGTACATGCAATTTTGAGAGAAAAAATCATCCAAAAATTCCAGTTTTTACAGATAACACTTCAAAATCCCACCGTTGTTCATTTTGGCATTATACTATGTGAGAATATGCAAATTAATTACTTCCAGCTAATTTATAAACAGCAGCATTTTGCACACAAAAAAACTGACCAAGAGCCCAAGGGCCTAAATAAATTGGAAGCAAAAGCTTAAGTGTGTGCTTTAGTGTATAAAATTAGCTTGTTAATATATTAATTGCCAGTAGTATTGGTTTTAATGATTTATTAATTTAATAAGAAACTCATTTTATATTTCACTAAAAGCAAAAAAAAAAATCAAAATTTTACAAAATATTTTCGATCTTAAATTGATTTTCGGCTCCCCTAGCAACGGGACTGCCCATGCACAGACCATATGTACAATGTGTGACTTTAAATACGGAGGTACATGTAGTCCAGTATTTCAGTCACATTTATGAGACTTTATGGGACTAGTCCCAGACTAGACCCGTGAACGTGGCATTGTATACAGTGCCACGCTCCGGTATCATTTCGAACCTAGTGAAATCGATCCGCGGTATATCATTTCGTATGCAGGTTGAGTACTTACCTAGAAATCTTTGTGTGCCTATCCGCGCGTTTAGGATGTGTCATTTCGAAGAAATTTGCCAAAAATGAAGACCCATACGAACGTGTAGAAATGAGATTTTAACGTTAACTGGACAAGTTCCCAGGGTCACTTGCGTGCCAAATTATTGGAGCCCTCCGAGCTACCTGTCTGCTTCATGTAACGCGTATGATTATGGTTGTCACTTGGACAGATTGATGGCTGTTTCATGTCACATCCTAGATCCTGTGGGGAGGATGGCTTCAACATCCTTTTTGCCCATAAGATGACCTCTGGATTGTCTTTGAGGTGAACTTAATTGACATCCCAGTTCACCAACAAGATCAGCAAGGATCTTGTCCATGCCTAGCCTTTTTACTTATTTTTTTTTCTCCTGATTTTAGTAGCAGGTGTAAGCTAGAGCATGAAGAGCAACTGTTCAATTTTGTCAATGTACTGGCACAACAGGTCAAAAGTGTAATGACTAATGAATGCACTTTTTTTTTTACTAAATTATAAAAACAATATATAAAGAATATTCTTTTATGATGAATTCAATTTGACCTGTTTTTGTTATTTTTTGTTTTTTTTATTGAAAAAAACAATTAAGCACTAGAACTAAATGTTCAAAAGTAAGGTGTAAATTTGCTTTACACTTTTTGCTGAGGAATTCCTTGTATTTATAAAGTAGGTCCTTGTTATTTGTTCGGAAAAATAAAAATAAGATTTCCTCTAATGGTCCCACTAAATTATTTTTCGCGTCGCAGCGAGCAGTGCGCCCAAATTACTAGATACGCCACCTGAGGTACAAGTAGACATCGATGATTAAGATGGTTGTACTGAAGTTTACTTACGATCCGGATGAAAAGTGAAATTTCTCGTTCAATTCCGAGAGCTCCCCTCGCAATCGTGAACACGTTAAATTTTCAACTCGTGTTGGGTGGTCTCCATGCCCAGCGTTCATTCGATGGTCCCTGTATCCCGAGTGCGATTCTGTTACTGAGCGCGATGCATCGATTATGATAATGAGTAGACTGGATCTCACTTTTAAACACAAGGGCAGGAAACCAGTTCAAGCTAGTTCCCGACTCCCTTTTACCGTTCGAAATGCACTTGTGTTTACAAACGTGATCCAGTCTTCTCATTATCATAATCGATGCATTGCGCTCGGTAACGGAATCGCACTCGGGATACGGGGACCATTGAATGTACGCTGGGCATGAAGACCACATCCCATCGTTCAAACATTAACTTGAGTTGGAAATTTAACGTGTTCACGATCGCGAGGGGAGCTCTCGAAATTGAACGGAAAATTTCACTTTTCATCCGGATCGTAAGTAAACTTCAGTACAACCATCTTAATCATCGATGTCTACTTATACAGTACCTCAGGTGCATATCTAGTTATTTGTAGGCCATTTTGAGGACTAAGACACCGTGGAAGATTGCCTTTTTAATTTAATTTAAATCTTTGAGCCCTCTGCAGTGAAGCGCCCCCTCTTGTGTGCACTCTTCATCCGCAGCCACGTATTGCATCCGGGGGGTCCTACTAAAGCGCGTCAACAAGCGTCAACAAGCGTCAACAAGACTCAACGGTCGTCAACGAACATCAACAAATTTTGTACATGCTTTTGAACATCAAAAGTAGCTTGATATGGTAGAAAAAGCGACAAAGAACATTTTCTGCATATCAATTAAAGTTAAAATTATTTCAAAACACTTGTTTTTTTTAACGCAAAATGTACGAAGAATTTGTCGATTAAAGTTGGCCGCCATCTTGTTTACGTGAAGCTTAGCCCTACTACGCATGCCTGACGTGTACAGAGCCATACTACGCATGTGCGAAGTGTACAGCGCCATCCAAACAAGATGGCGGCCAACACTAATCGACAAATTCGTCGTACATTTCGCATTAACAAAACCAAGTTTTTGAATAATTTGAACTTTAATTGATATGCAGAAGATGTTCTTTATTGCATTTTCTACCATATAAAGCTACTTTTAATGTTCGAAAGCATGTACAAAATTTGTTGATGCTCGTTGACGACCGTTGAATCTTGTTGACGCTTGTTGACGCTTGTTGACGCGCTTTAGTAGGACCGCATCCGGGTACTTCACAGAGCGCCTTTGGGCGTTTTCGAATCCCCGTTCTTGACAACACACGTGTAACACGAGAACGTGTTCTCGAGCTGGTAGTTACGAACGCGCGAGTGCGTGTCGCATCGATATAAAGCAATGCAAAATGGCCGACAATCGTCTGAATTTGTACTCAGGCCTATTCCAAATGAACGAGGACGACTGTTGCAAAACTGGACATGCAGGGATGAAATTGCAGACCTGCACTATAATGGTATTCTTATTCCAATCATTAGGGTATTAGCCAAAAAAAAAAAAAAAAAAAATTACGAATCTGCACAGTCCGCGATTTTTTTCAAGCTGCACCTCGCCGAACCCTCCATCAACCGGGGAGTGAAAAAATCGATCCGCGAACGCCCTCTCGGGTCTGTTCGTCACGTTCGAGACCGCTGTTCTCGTGTCGGGTTAACCCGAGTGTTGTCAGGAACAGGGATTCGAAAACGCCCAAAGATTTTGGAATGACAGGCAACAGCCGCGGTGCGCTTTGCCAAAGTTGATGCACGCTCAGTAGATGACTATAGCTCTTGTCTGGTTCCCTGACCCCATTGGCCTTTTGACTATTATTAGGGTGGCCGGGAAACAGTCTGGTAAATATCAGAGACACCATGCTTTTTCAAAACCGTCCGAATATTTTGCCGAATTACCATGATTTTTGGATATCTAGACCTCTGAACTCTGAAGGTACCGAATTTAACGATTTTGTGCATTCATACTACTTAGCAGTCATACTATAGCTGGGTTGATTTTCTGCAGACAAAATAGATCAATAGATAAGGACACATAGAATACTAAGACGTAAAAATTAGCTTCTCCAACAAGGTAAAAATATTGAAAATATTGGTCATAAATTTTTTCGCCCGGTTTTGAGCACTTCATACCCTGGACTCCCTCCGTAACGTAGGGAGGAAAAGGAGTCCACCTGGGCTACTTTTACGCCAAATCTTGCATTTAAACGAAATCCGAGGTAAAATCTGGCAAGATCTCGACGTCCTGCAACCTCCTCCTGATGCATGTGATTTACCACGTGATAATGCTGCGGATAATTTGGTATCGCACTGACTCTCCGGGCACTCCTTATGTCCGGATCATAAGTTCGATTCCAAATTATTAGCAGCGTTTATCACGTGGTCTTGTGATTGGCCAGTACGCCGCCGCGTCCGCGATCATATGCGTCACATGAAGCAGACGGGTAGCTCGGAGAGCTCCAATAATTTGGCACGCAAGTGACCCTGGGTACTTGTCCAGTTAACGTTAAAATCTAATTTCTACACGTTCGTATGGGTCTTCATTGACGGCAAATTTCGTCGAAATGACACATCCTGAACACGCGGGAAATCTACCATGCATTTATCGTCAGGGGGCCACGTGCACCGATCTCTATTCAGGATCTACGGCACAGGAAACCGCCGTCGCATTTGCAACTCGCGCCCTCGCGCGCTCGACAAGTAATTTGCATAAACGCGACGTCACAGCTTGAGGTCATCTCTTGTCACATTCAAAATGGCTGCCATCACCAGACGTTTCACGAGTGCATATGGGCTCCAGAAAGATTGAAGAATATCTCGGAAAATGGAACATCATTAGACCTAAGCATCCCAGAAGTGATAGGTGAGATATCATAGAATACAACCATAAGAAAGTAAGAAACTGAGAATGTAAGAAATGGACCGCAGATTTTATGAAAACTTCGTCCTCAGTAGCGCACGGTACCACGGTGTGTGGCCAGAGGTTCAGCGCAGCATACCGACGGCCACACTAGTGGGGCTAACTGTGATGGTGCTACCAAAGTATGGCAAAACGGTGGAGCGTTTTTTTAGGGTCTCTTGCTACCACATTCTAACGAACAGGTTATTCCTCCAGCGCTACATGTGAATGAATATGAGCATATCAGCTGGAGTTACTCAAGCTAGATTTAATCCAATTCGTAAAATACCCGTAATTCAACGCTCCACTCAGTAGAGCTAGGTTGGGATGGACATGATGGACGTTTTTGTACTTACATGTAATTAGTGTTTTGTGCTGACAACAATTTTGCGGGGTTCTAAATTTATGTAAATGAACTCTGGGTTGGGATATTAGAGGTGAAAATGAACAATTTTTGAGAGGCCATTTTTTTAGGGTCTCTTGCTACCACATTCTAACGAACAGGTTATTCCTCCAGCGCTAATGTGAATGAATATGAGCATGTCAGCTGGAGTTACTCAAGCTAGATTTAATCCAATTCGTAAAATAAAGCGATTCAGTTCACTCATTTATACCCACCAATGGATATGTGCAATATTTATCATCACTGTCACCCAGTACCGCTGTAGCTTCCTCTTCAAGCTCTTCGCTTTCTTGCAAGACATCCACCATGGAAAGCACAGTGTCTTCGTTGTCTTCCTGCTGTACTTCGTCAGCCATTTCTTTCCTGCTCTCCGCCATTACTTTTTTGTCGGCAGCGCGCCAACAACGCAGTGCATCATGGTCAAATGACCTCAAAGGACCTGTGACCTATTTTTCCAAGTTGCCTAAGCCCCGCCCACGCCCCCGGGCGAACAAAAATTTGCAAGCCCGCGAAATATTAATTTCGGGTTTTTTTCCCACGAACGTGCCCCCTAGTTACGCCATGGTGTTTTTATGCAAGAAAACTTTTTTGAAATCCGCTAGTCCAAAAAAAGAGCTGCTTTTGTGTAAATGAAAGGAGGGCCGCCGGCCGAAAAAAATAACATCACAAAATGTAAAGTGTCCAAAATTACGGACACAGTCTTGTTTGGACTTTTGACCCTTCATATTGTTTCATCAAACTCTTAAACTCGTTCCTTTTATTTTAACCATGATAGGCTATACTTTTGTAATTGACTCGTCAAAATCTTCATTTTAATACAGGGTTCGAACTTTTGTTCACTAGCCAGCCGGGCTACTGAAACAGACTCTTAACTAGCCCGCTGGCATTTTTACTAGCCCACATGCTTTGCTTTTACAGAATGTCTCATAAACAACAATGTGCATACATGTAAAACGTGTATCCTGACTGAGGCAATCTTGTCAGTGTTTTTTTAAACAGATCTAAAATAATAAATATTAGCCCATAACAGTTAATCAAATTAGACTCAAATTGATACAGGTTTGCTTTCTGATTTTAATGATTTATTTCTTCCTGTCCTTTCATCTTTGCCGTAGCCCAATAATTGTCGACTCGCCAGCTGGGCTACTTTAAGTTTGACAAGCCCGCCGCTGTTTCGACTAGCATTAATTTGGCTAGCGGGCTACCGCTAAAGTCGAAACCTGTAATATCATTCATACACAGTCAAAAGGTTACCAAAAAATGATAAAGCGTATATACAATGCGGTTGGAAATTAAAAGACTGAAATGTTTATCATCAACTGACAATGTGTTATCAAATCAATGTTAAAGGGAATGTACATCATTGGCTTTTGCTGTAATTTTTAGAAATGAACTATTTGAGAGGTTAGTACCTAATAGATCAAATATTGTTACACTGACATTTTTGAAGTTTTGTGTTCGAAAAACCAAGAAAAACAAAAATGTTCAAGTAGTCTGGTTCCCTGACTCCACAAAAGATAAAATGGATCAATTTATAGATGATGGAAAATTGTAAGGCAAGGGAACCAGTCTAGCTGGCCTGCATCCGTTCATGAACATGTAACCAATAGCAAACAAAATTTGGACTGAAAAAATGGTAAATTTGAAGCAGTAGTTGAAAAATAGTTAGGTTTTTCCAACGCTGGTCGGCCGACCAGCGTTGGAAATGTTTACAAAAATACCATTTTCTTGAAAATGACTTCACACCAGGTGCCATAATTTTACAGGATGCTTTAGACTGTCATTTAACAACATCCTAGTAAGGTATTTCGTAAAAACTTGGTAGTTTTATTTTTCGATGTTTGCAAATGTTGTATATTCCCTTTAAGGGGGGAAAGGTTTGAAATTCCAATGCCAACACATGATAAAATTGACTACACGAAAGCAGTGTAGCTTTGTGCAATATACATTCTGATGCAATTAATATTTTAATATGCAGTTAATATTTTAATAAAATGACGATTTATAATTTACATTTAATGTATTATTCATTCACAAATGATTAATTCAACACATACAATCCACGTTATGGTGCTTCTTTGAAAGAATTTCTTTATTGATGTCTTCCTTTTTACAAGCCATAACCAAGCTTTGAAATGCATCTCTAACATTCAGTTAAGAAAATAATTTGCATTTTGTCTTAATTAACTGGAAGTTGGAGATTTGAGGGTCCATCCAAGCTATTAAAAATAAATTATACTCGATATATTGTGTTATTTTTGTAAATTGAGCAGCACTTTTCCATGCCTACAATGTACATGTATTTTTTCCCCTGCAAGCGAAGTCTTGAGTTGTTAATTTACACAATCTCGATCCATAATTTCATGATTCACAAACCACACAAATATTTTTTTAAATGGTCTCCCCATTTCCCAAATAATATGAAAAACACTGACCTAATGAATACAATTGGGAATAAATATTAAAGTTAAATCCAAAAAAATCAATTATAGTACATGATTCAATGCTGTCGGTAGTATAACAGTTTGAAAGAAGTTTCAAAATGGTTCTTAAACTATAATATTTTATAGTATAGTTTAGCTTAATTTCACTTAAAAAGTTAAAATTGGCTAAATATTAACATATATATGTGACAGGTTTGTAGAATGGAATAGAATTAACAGTATAATAACAACTTTGTCATTAAAGGGAATATACATCATTTGCTTTTGCTGTAATTTTCAGAAATGGATGGAATTGGGGGGTTAGAAATATATGGCAAATATAGTTACACTGACTTTTTTGAGGTTTTGGGTTCGAAAATGCTATAAAAACCAAGAAAAACGATCATTTTCCTGTAGTCTGGTTCCCTGACTCAATATAAGAAGAAACAGAGCAGTTTACATACATTGGGGAATTGTAAGCTCAGGGAACCAGTCTAGCTGGCTCGTACCCGTTCATAGGTTTGTAATCAATAGCAAACAAGTGCGATGGTCAATTGGGGCCAGTATTTGAAAAAAAAGCCAGTTGTTTCCAACGCTGATCGGCCGATCAGCGTTGGAAATTGATACAAAAATACCACTTTTCTTGAAAATGACAGTATACCAGGTGCCATGATTTTACAGGATGCTTTACACTGTCATTCACTAACTGTCCAGCAAGGTATTTCAAAATGATTTGGTAGTTTTATTTTTTGATGTTTGCAAATGTTGTATTTTCCCTTTAACAATAATCAGTTCTGATTTTGAGTGGAAGTGATTAAATGGAAATAAATATGTTTAATTAATTAATATTATATCAAAATATCTATATAACACATTATAAATGAGCTTCTAGGTTCCACTTACCAATTGTCTGTATCAGTGAATTATGAAAAAATTGTAAATGTATATGTCAAGCAAATTCAGTGTGTAGGGTTTGAACCTGCAACCTCCGGAATATCGTACCGGTGCTCTACCAACGGAGCTATCTAGCCCTATGTTAATGGTTCCGCCACATTAGCAATGCTGCTAGCATGGGAAATAGCAAATGGGGATCGCTCAGAGAGGATACAGCTTTTTTTATTACAAATTGTCACTGACGAGATGCATATATAATAACTATACAAACAAATTTTGATTAAATTCTGGATTCTGACTAGCTCCCTTGAACAAAGGTACTGACAAAATTGGGGAACTGCCAACATAGGGCTGGATAGCTCAGTTGGTAAAAGCACAAGAACGGTATTTCGAAGGTCACAGTTCGAACCCTTTTCCAGTCAAATTTCGTTGTCCTATCTCTTATAATTATCATATGCACCAGGTCGGTGTGGTTTATTTGACAATTTGTACATGTAGGCTTATGTACTTGATTATTTCCAAGACTTAAAATTACAGTTGGCAGTACATCAAACAGTATTTAGATATCGGTGACAAAACATTGACCTTTTCATGTTATTCCATAATAACTCATCAAGGATATTTCCATTTCATGAACAGGATAGGTTCCTGTTGTACTAGTTTAAAGTCAATTTGAATCATCCAGTGCTTTTTATATTACGTGATGTTGGATCATACATGTAATGTTTTCCACACAAAAACATTCAGACAAATTCATTTAAAAATGTATTTTTCTAGGCACAAGAATTTCCAGAACAGCTTAGAGCCCTATAAATTCTTTGCAATTTAACGGTATATTACTACGGTAAAAACTCTCATACAGTGAAGGATTATGTGAACATTCTGTAAGCTCATGTTACTTGCAATAAATATACCGTGTAGATCATATAACATTCATGTGGGAAGATGTCACTTTGAATAATATTGAGTAGGTACACACAGATGCCTCATCAACATACAATATATTTCTCACAGTTTGTTTTTAAATGACCGATAAGCAAAATAAAAACCTGCAATTTTCTTTTTTCCCAAAAATTATTCTCCCAAGCAAATACAGCATTTATGACTGACTGCCACGACATTTTTTAAAATTGTATTTTCTGTGTGATAATACTCTTTAAATTACTATTAAGGTGACAGAGTCTCCTTTGAAATGATTGATACAGTGTACACAACATATTGACACAGCAGTGTAGTGCACTTGAGCGGTAAATGTGCACAATATTGGTCTACAATAGTGCATCAATATCAGTGTACAAATGGCCAATTTGGTTTTAACACTCGTAATCACTACACGTTTTCATAAAACCTTCACAAGTACAACAGCAAATTATGAAAAACCCTCAAATTCTCTCAATAACAGTGCAAAACGTTAATGGTGCTAAAAATATTGGATAAAAATATTGCAGTAACTGGAAGTTTTGACGAGTGCTTTTATAATTTTGAAATTGCATCAATTTTGTATTAATTACTGATAGGCACATGTCATGCAGGCATGAAGCTAGTGGTTTATTCAACCACAGAATAATATATATTTCTACAACCACTTAATATTTTTTTCTTATATCGACAAAGTACCGCAATTTTTGTTTTCGCAGTTTGGATGTTAAAGCCTAGCGTAGGAAAAGAAAACTAGGTATGAATATTTGATCATCAATTTCTAAACTTGCTCAAGTACATCCGGCCATCACGGCCTAGTGTATGTAATAATGTCATTGCTGGAATGCCCAGACAATGTTTTGTTGACAGCTGAAAACTGGAACACAGTTTCATTTCATTACAATGGGCCAGATTTTGTGAGGAAAATATTTGGCTGCATAAAAAGACTGTTTCACGTATACTTTAATACCCAACAGATAACAATCAAATAGCTCACCAAAAAGGTAGATTTAATTAATATTTGTGCACAGTGGGGGATGGGGGTGCATTTCCGCACCCAATTATTAGCATTTACATGTGTTGAAAAATTTTATTTTTCAAACTGCCAGTCCTAAAAATAGATTTTTCAACAATGGCAAATGACATGACAAAGTGGATATGTTAAGATCGATGTACAGTACATAAATCACAATACGCAACCTTTATTAACAGGAATACTCTAAAATTTGAGGAAAAAATAAACGATTTACATAAAATTGGAGAAAACACCATTTGTATTTAAAATTTGACAAAAACAGATGCCAGGATTTCTCAAATCTACATTTAAATTAAAAATGAGTTGCTCAATAATAATTTTATATACATTGTGTAAAGTGTACAAAACAATACAATTAGAGACAAGATTTGGACCCTATCCTTTAAAAAAATGAACACCTACTCCATTTCCTATGAATGTAGAAATTGTCGTGGCAACACTCAATGTGACTGATGTTGAAGAATAATAAGCACTGCCCCAGGAGGGAAATGATTATGTGTGGGTGAGGAAGGATAAATACATGTCAACAGTTCCAAATAGTGCCAAAACTGTAAAAGTTACATTACAGGTTTGATAGGAATATTGGGCTAAAGTGGAACGTCGCTATAGCGAACATCATGGGATCCACAGAAATTGTTCGCAATAGCCATGTTTGGGTATAGCAATTTTCACACATTAGTGGTGCCCTCTTTTGACCATTGTTATAGTATAGTTGCATTTACAAACCACGCGCGGAGTCGCCAAACGTGTCCTTCCATCTTTTCCATTCCGTATGCAGAACTTCACCATGTACGACCTGGTACTTACTGAAAGACGACTTTAAACTCATGTGACTATTGAATCATGTAATAACAGTTTTTGAGTTTACACGGGTGGCTTTTCCCTTACATTTCTTGGGGAAACAATAGCCGTTTGTCGCTTTCCGGTTGAAATTTTTCAACAATGTTCGATACATTTTGCACACAAAAATCGGGAGCCAAGGCTGATGTTCGGTATAGCGGAATGCTCGGTATAGCGACATTCCACTGTATATCGAAACATTATTTTAAAGTTGCTCTTACTGTGCTGTTTTCATGTTTCATCCCCATTTTTTTGTTTCTAGCAATACAGAAGTTATTCACTTTCAAAAGAGATATTGAACAAAAAATCCACCCATGTTTAGTTAAGGAATGATTAATTTACAAAATTTCACATGTTTTGTGCGATATTGACACAAAAGCAACCAAAACAATAGAATCATATATTGAGAGGGTTGAAAACATCCCCACAAAAACAGGTACTTTTTCTGATGAAGTAAAACATACAATCAGAATTCGTTAGGAGAAACAAAATTAAACATGTTGTAGAGCACGGGTCCGGTTAGAGAAATTTTAACTAAAAGGCATATTTCTTCGTGGATTAAATTAACAAACAGATGTTCCTTCATGTAAAACACAGACAACATAACATTTTGATTTGCCATGTCATAATTACAGAGTAGTATTTCCACACTCACAAATTACATGGTTCCATCTGTGTTACTTTTATGCCATGTAGACAATCTGGCATGCTCAAGTGTAATTTAGCCAAAATAACAAAAACAAATGCTCAGTTAGGGTCGTCTTAGACTTAATTCTACAGCCTTTATTTTCCTATCATGTTGATCGTGATTCAAATTAAACCCTTTTGCACAGGCCTAATTTATACACAATAGGAAGAGATTTTTCAAGGAGCACAGCCAGAATATATGACGGCATAAAATTATGGATACAAAAATAGAAATGGACGCAATTATTACATGAGAAAAACGCTCTTTTTTTGCTGTTGTAGTACAAGTAGTACAGTGATTAACTGTGAGCAAACAGTCAACGTTCGCTGAGCATGTCATCCAGTTAAGCATTTCAATTATATTAATCAATTTTTCTGCACAACGAGTTTAGTCCTGTAGAAAAATATGTGTGTGCATTGCAATAGGATTTTATTCCTTAGCCACAACCCTTCAGATTTTTTTTTTTTCATGAATAACCCAACGAAAAGCATTATTGTGATATCGTTTTCTCAAGTCACTGAATAGAACAATGTGAGGGGCCTTCATCGCCATCCAGCATTTGCAGTACTACTCTATTCTCCATCTCCACAAAGTACTCATAGTGGGCCATGTACCTGACGCGCTTCTCGGACGGCTTGTCAGAGGCTACAGCCAGGGAGCGTACAGTGGCCTTGGAGGCTGTGGTGTGAGGCATGGTGAATTCAACTTGCACGTCCCCCTGGGGGGTGCGGGGGACCTCACGATGAGACGCAAGGTGGATGCGACACATCAGGATGTGGGAAGCTGAGAAAGCTGGTGGGAAAAAAGTCACGAGTTTCAAAACTATACTACGGAAAATCAATGATCAAGAGGCCATATTTTGAGCAAATGAGAGCACAATAAGACACCATTTTCTTGGTAAAAAATTTTTGAAACAAATCCTGATTATTGAAGCAGTTTGCTAACTCTAATCAAATCCAAAAAACAAATGTTGTACAAATGTAATACTGAGTTGTAATATTTATGCAAATTTCAGTCAATAACCTTGTTTTCATGTCTGTTTATACTCCCAAATGGCAACGTTACAGGGAAAGTCCAACAAAAGGTCCCCTCTTTGTCCCGTACATAACATCATGTTGTTTTTGTTTTTTAAATAAAGCAATGAAATCAATTGAAGGAATATATTAAAGGGATTAAACTGTTGTCACATATGGGACATACATGTAGCCAGTGTGCGAATTCTGGGACTTACCCTAAGGCAACTTCATTCACTTGATATTATATTTCTAAAGGGCCTGTCACATTATATGTGCTCTCATAGAGTTTACGGCGACCAAAAATATTAAATAAATTTAACGATTGCAGCAAGGACGCAAGAAAATGACAATTTTCTGTCTCAAGTGGCCAGAAAGTAGCTCAAGCTACGCTCATACTATGCTCATCTCGCGCTTACGATGCGCTCAACTCGCTCTCTATGCGCCCCTGTCAAGCTCAATTACTCGATCTAGTCGCTGCCGCTGTGCTGTCACCTAGTCGCCGCCGCTGTGCTGTCACTGTGCTCACACTACGCTCTGCTCGCTGTTGATACGTCCTAGTAGCTCGTGTCGCGCTCTCTATTCGACCAAAATACGCTCACGTGACGTCACTTGCGCTGTATAAATACCACGACAAAAAGGTCAATCTGCAGTCCAGTTTCAAGTTTATTCTACGAGTTCATCACAGTCGAGTTACTTTCTCATGGAGACTACATCGACTGTCTTGCGCCTAGGCTGCCTCAATGCCACTTCAATGTTGCACGATTCACGCTCGCACAGCCCCCGAGTTGCGTCATTACGGCGCCTTGGCCAGAGCGCAGAGATGTTGCGATTGTTTTGAGCATGCTCAAAAACTTTGGCATAGGAGAACATTAAGACCCTCCGGGGCCCATCAGGTGACCTATGTAGTTGTCGCTGCGATCTAGTAGTTGTTGTTGCGCCCCAGCCATTTTTCAAGGATGCAGTGGAAGCGCATATATGATTGCAGACAGTGTGACAGGCCCTTTAACAAGCAAACGTTGCAGACTTAGCAACCATGCAGTTTAATGGTAGAGGAATGCAAATACATGTTATTAACTCTACATGCTTTATTTACATAATGTATTAACATACGAGGAAAATACCTCTCTCATTCAGGCGTTGCAGATTAGTTACTGTCTACCTATGTGGGGACGTGAACTCAATATGTACACAAGAAAAACCAATACAATGGCCTTCAACAATGCCCTCTGGATAATGTTTCACAGAAATATCCCTTTATCAAAAGCTACTCATTTGGTTACGTTTCATCCATCACTGCTGGCAGTTAATCTTTGTTTGGAATAATTTTCATTCAAAGGCCTTAATAAAGTTGTGTACATTGTACATGTACAAAAATCCCCTGTTTGGCTATATAGTCTTTTACACTTAACAAATAACATTAGCATCAGCATGCCATATGGTACTGTCATCAGTTTCATCAGTGTCAGCCAAATAAAACAAAATTGTGAATTATAATTAAGTATACAAAATAATACAGTTGAAGATGACAACTCTGTTTCTCTGAGAAATACAAATTATGAAATTTCAGAATTTGACTTTGTATTCAAAACAGACCTGATATTGGAAGGATTTGATTTGTAAATTGCAACTAAAAGTTGTTCTTCATTTGATTCTGTATTTAGAAGCTAACATGCCAACTGCTTTCATAATGTGTATTCCTGTCAAGGTTCGGACCGTTTATATTTGTACTCACCCGTAGCCTTTTCAGGCAGTTTGTCAATCCTCCAAACGATGGATTTATAGGCGTGCTCATATTTTGCTGTGCCAACACTTGTCTCCAGTAATTTCGGATTCAGACTACCTACATGTGATTAATGAAATTGAACTTGGAATTATAAAATTGAGTAGGAAATGGCAAAATGAACATCATCATACAAACGACAAACTAAAATGAAAAGCATCCAGACATCTTTGACATGCCCTCTCAGACTACAGAAATATATTCATTTTCTGCATTCTCAGTACTTTCAACAAGTTTATAGTTAAAAAAACACAGGTTTTATTTTGAAAAACAAAACCGAGAAAACAACAATATTTTGCACAATTCGGAATGTACATGTATTTCCTCTCAAATCAACTATAGACTCGGTAAATATGAAAATCTACTCCTTGAAAATTTGCCTCAGATTTAAGGGAAGAAATGGAAAAGTTCTATGTAACAGACTCTATCCCAGATTCAGAAGAAAAAAAAATTGAAGTTTGTTTTCTTCTTTACTTATTGTCTAATTGTGTAACATTACATTTTGTTACAATATAATGTGCACAAAACAAGGTACACACGTTCTGTGTTCACTTCAGTGCTTCGTGTTGCGTGCACACGTTCAAAGAACACATTTCAAAAACGCCCTTTATCAAATAACTCAGGAATTAAAAAGGGACTTTGTATGAAGATATAAGTCAGAATATTTTAATCATATTGTGTGACCGGAGGCAGCGCTAGTATTTAATTAAATACAGTGTTTGGCTGATGGTTTGGCTACAATAGGGGTCAGATCTGTAGAGGACACGTCTGTTCAATGTATGTACATGTATACATGTAGATCTGCAAGGAAAAGCTATCAAACATGAAGATTAGATACATGTAGCTAGCTTCAAATTGTGAATTTCATTTTAAATCCATTCGCATCTAAAATCAACTTTCACTCGTTACTAGCAATGACAAGGGGACTTCCTATTGCAAGAAAAGATATCCACTTCACTGCACCAGACAACAGAGCTAAAGCCCAGCAGTAACAAATGACTCACTTCGGTCTTACAATGTACATGGGAACTTGCTTCTGGAAAATCAATGAATCCTCTCAAGAAATACTGGCCTTTAAGCCACCACTATGCATAGGGTCATGGATGATAAACTGAAAGCTCTTTTAATGACCATGTACTCAAAACCATTAGAAAGCCCCTGTCTACGTCATTGCGTATGAGGCTCTGCATACTGCCCATTTCAGCACCACAGTAGACTGGCTCAAGTACGGTGCCATGCCATGTGATACGCACCCTCACACATCAGTGCCAGTTGAACATGTTGAAATCTTCACATATCATTTTGCACGCTGGTGCAGCCCGACAACTTGGCTGATTTGCTAGGATGTTAGTGTAACACACTCAGTGGAGCTCATCTACTGATTGCGGTATCACATGTGGGTCATTTTATAAATTTAAGGTCCACTTTTATCCTGTCCCTGTTACATCTGACATCTATGATCTGGCAATTCTTGATGCATTCCTCAATGCAATCGTCCATCCAAGAGTGATTATGAATAGCAAACTACCTAGGTATCCAACAAATAAAAAAATTGTTTGAAGTCATGAATACTTGAATCGCAAATTACAAAATACCGAGGTAACAGGGACAGGACAAATGTCACACTTGGAACCCTTAATGCATAGAATCACTCATTTCAAGAAGCAGAAACAAGCTTCTCAGCTCTGCCGGGCCAACGTAACATTTCCACACACAACCATGCAATTACAAGTAGGTTCAGCCTATGAGCGTCATTCCCACAGTTGCATGCTTTGATTTGTTAATTGTTGTAGTGTTTAATGCTGCATGGTTATCACATACATGAATGAGCGAGGGGAGAGAATTCTAATAACAAACTGACCAAGTCTCACCGAAGGAATTGCAAATACATACATGTACGTGTAGTGTACAGGAATGTACATGTACAGGGTGAGTAAAAAAAAAAAAAAAACCCAAATGTCAGGACCACTTTTTTAGTGACGTTCTGCATGTAGCACTTTCAAAATCTAGGATTTGAAAGCCCAATTCATAAGCTTTCTTTTAGTACAAGAATCATTCAAATTGCTCACATACTTTTCAAGTTACGGCATTTTAAACACAACCACCGTTTTAAAGTTCTGTACAAGGATCACAAAAAAGATAAGTGTTCTTTCAGCAGAACGAAAACTTGAAAAGTACATGAGCAATTTGAATGATTCTTGTACTAAAAGAAAGCTTATGAATTGGGCTTTTATATCCTACATTTTGAAAGTGCTACATGCAGAACTTCACTACAACAATGGTCCCGATATTTGGGTTTTGTTTTAGTTTTTACTCACCCTTTATTCACATATGTGCAAGTGTATCTAGGCTGAGCATGGACTTCTAGGCGCAGACTGGGACGGGCGTTTGACATCAGTATAAGTGTTTTGCATTTCAACTGAGGTCAGACTTGCATCAAGTCTAGCACCACTGAAAATATGCAAAGTCCTAACCATACCATACATAACAGATTGAATCATAATGTACCCACCCTGCTTGATATGGTCTGGCTTTCCATGGGTAGACTTGACAGAGTAGAAGCCAATATGTCTTTCACGGCGGAAGTACTTGATCCAGGTGTCTGGGACGGGAATGCGCACCATAATGTTGTAGCAGGTGAACTGGGATGGATCCCTTCGGCCAGGACGAGCTGCAAGAATGAAGTTTTTTATTGTTAGGTATACTGATCACAAACCAGCCACTTGTAAGACAACTTTTTTCAGTTAATTTAACTTCTGAACAGATATTTCAATGGTAAAAACACTTACAATATCACTAAATGACATAATGTACATGTACAGGATTCCACTTTACCTGCGAGTAATGAATATCACAAAGCTAATTTGATGTACACATGTAATATACTCATCACCAAATGTATGCAGAACTCCAAACATTTACATACATTTATGTGTGCTCGTAAACAAAAACAATCTCTTTAAGACTTCTGCTTTATGCCTTTTTTGTAAATTTCTTGCCCACTAAAAGAACCGACAAACTACATCATGTAAATCCATAATGTTTCACAAGGAACACACAATAACAGTTCACTGGATAAACTGGATTTATATTTTGAAAGTCATCAGTTGGCTTGTTGGGTTGGGGTTGCAGAATTAACTCTTTTTGTGTGCGCAAAGTCCTTATTGAGCTCACTGCGCCATTTACTAAATGTATTCCTTTGTGAACGACACTTCTACTTGAATTTGAACAATCAGGGTTCTAGAAGAATTAAAGCAAAGGCCAAGATATTCAGTCAACAAAACCTCTTCTTTACAAGGAGTCTATGCCCCTGTAATATAAATCACTTACCAGGAAGAATCAAGTCTGTCCTCAGCTCCAGGTATGCCCCTTCCCCTGACACGGTTGCCTTCACATACAAAGGGAGCTCCACATTTTGTCTGGGCCGAGTCTGGAACTTCATCAGACAAAAGCGGCATCCATCCAAAGGCTGGAACTCAATCATGCGGGACTCCACAAACACGTTCTTGTTGGCACACTTGTGAAGTTCCACATTTTCTAGTTTGATCCACTGATTGGTTTTGTTCGGTATGATGTCTCGTCGTGACACAACTTCAATGCCTTTGACCTGTACATCATTTAAGGCTATGGAACATTCAGGTACATCGGAGAGGAACGCAAGCACAGTGACATCAACACTTGTGGACTGCTTCTCCAAATCTCCATTATAAAGAATGCGGCAACGGTAATCATCTGACACCACCACCCCGATAGCATCTTGCTTATATGAAATCCCCCTGTCTCGGAATGTGGATAACCTCATCATGTACTCATTGATGGTAGATATGAAACTTCGGAATACATTGTAGTCTGTGGATCCAAGCTTCATCAATGGGTTTGCATTCATAACCTTCTCATATGGTGTTCTGGTGCCGTACCGTCGCTTCTCGCTGTAGGAGACATACATTAGTTTGACGGTGTGAATCTTACCCAACGTATCGTAGGATTGTTTCTTCCTGTCCCCCAATTCATAATTACACTGCAATGGAAGCTCTCTGAAAGGTTCTGAGCTGTGTTCAATCTCAAATACTTGAATCACATTCCCTTCAAGAAGCTTGACTCGCACAGGCCTCCAATAGCGAGAGCCTGCTACTTTTTTCTTGTCTGGGCATCTGAGCATCATGGGCCATCCTTCAGTCAGGTCATATTTTTCTTTTGGGAACTCATCAACAAAGGGTGTGTCATCCACAACAACATCCTCCTGCTGACTATGACTAGCCTTTGGTCTTTTGCCTGAGGCTCGGATTGTCACCTGTTTGGAACCTTTTGTGTATCTTTGGAAAGGTTGTGTGGACACCGGTGTGCTTTGGACAGGTGTTGGTGATGAGGTAGAAGTGATCGAGGCTTGCTCAGCTACACTCTTGGCCTGAAAAGTCTGAGCTTGTTCCTTCAGTGTGGTATTACTGGGAATGTCTGGGAATGGAGCAATCTGTGGAGGTTGTGCATTAAACAAGTTGGCTGCACTGACAGGTGTTCTAAATGGATTGCCTGGGCTTACACTGCCTGATGCAACACTTGAAGAACCTTCTTCAAACTTCTCCCACATGGCATTTACTGTTCCTGGAGTTATGGGTGACTCACCCCACATGGCGCTTACGGTTCCTCCAGGGGTACTGGGTGTTTGTATGGGACCACTCTGGAATGGGTTGAATGGGGATGCGGCACGATTTTGCTGCCTTAGCATCTCCTCTCTGAAAGGGTTCCCAGGGAGTGGAGTACTGGTTGAAGGGGCACTTTGAAAGTACTGTTGATCATCAGAAGGATATGAAAGGGGTTGAGAGGGAAGGTTTGCTGAAGGAGCCATAAGCTGTTGTGCTGAGGGTGATGATATGTGAAGCTGAGAATGTTGCTGGATTGAAGCTGGTTGTTGCTCCTGCTTTTGTAGCTGTTGCTGTTGTTGTAACTGCTGTTGTTGTTGTAGCTGCAGTTGTTGTGGTTGCTGATGCTGCTGTTGTAGCTGCTGATGCTGTCTGCTTTGGATTTGCTGCTGCTGCTGAAGTGCTAATGACTGCTGAAACTGCTGCAGTTGCTTCCTTTTCTCTTCAGTAACAGGCGATTTAACAGGTGTGGATGGGGTGGAACTATCCGCCTCGTCAAATGACACCCATCCCGCAATGGGCTGATGATGGCTCTTGCCACTGACAGACACTGGTCTTGACATCTGGGGTAGAGATGCCACATGTCCAGGACTGGAAAGCGGTGACGTTGATGAGGAGGCTGTGTCTTGGACTGTTGAGGGACTTGATGCCTGCAGCGGTACAAGCAATGGCGGGGACTGCATCTGCCTCTGTGGCAACTCACCAGGGTCGTCAAACTTCACCCAACCGGATGTGCTACCCATTGGCTTGGGTTGTGGTGAGGGTGAGGAAATAGTGGAGCCCAGGGGTGAGGATGCTAGTGGTAGGTACTCATGGGAGACATGAGGTTCTGACAGACTTCCTCTAGAGGAGAGGGCTGACATGGTGACATCAGACTGACGATCATCAATGGCTGGGTCAAAACTGTGGATAGACGAACCACCTGAAACCAATCAAAAAACAATACTTACTGCAGAAATCACATATATTGCTTTCTTTATAAAGCTGGAATGTTGAATGGAAAATTTCTCTTAGGCCAAGTAAACAAATTTAGTAGTCTGCCCTTTTTAAAAAAAACTGAAGGATATACTGGCGCTTTTTATTTTCTCTTTTTCCCACAAAGATGGCGGACTTTTCAAAATGGCAGATGGATTCTTAAATATTCTCGACTATTTTGCTGATACAAAATTGTGTCCTTAACGGAGCTGTGAACCCTTCTACATCTAGCTACAATTATGTTGGAAACAAACAAAAAGACAAAATATTGATAACATATGTGCACAATATATTGCAAATGTATGAATTTAAAAAAAAATTAAAAGGAGGCGGCCAGGAAAAAAGGAAGCAGTCAGGGACAAGAAACTGGTTTATTTTTTTTACTTGGCCTTACGGGGAATTCACAGTACACATGGTAAAGGAAAACCAGTGCATGCATAAAAATGATACAAGATCACCAATTTCAAATGAAAAATTCCAGTGTCAAGGTGGTTTAAATTATAGTTGCATTGATACATAGATCTGTATTCTGTAAAGTTACTCAACATCACTGTTATTTGGCACAACTTTCATTGAGCACATTGTATGCACATAGGCCTATTCCTTTGGACCATTGATGATTCTCAAGTTAACCAATTATTAGTCCTGCCTTGAAATTGTCCAAGCACTTTTTGGTTTATTCTTCAGTGAATAAATACAATGTAATACAATGTTGAACAAGAGCTAACGGGTTAAACAAGGAAGAGACTTAGTATTACAATTCAAAATATATGGTTTCAGGAAGGAAGGTTTGGGACTTAGGCTGTCCAAAAGCTCTCAAGTTCCTCTGGCTAGTTTCACTTTCATCAATGGCCCACACACAAAATACTGTTCAGTTTTCTACAGTCATAGTTGCATGCTTTCAAGTGCAAAAGAATTTGATAAAAAATAATCGCACTTAAACCAGCATACTGTACATTCCTTTCTCTTCAAATAATTTCAATGAACTTATGCCACATACACTGACTATGTCGATGCCACATACATACTATGGTACATGTAGATGTACCACCAAATATCAATAGTATTGATGCCTGCAGATTCTGTCTGGCCAGGATCTGGCTATAAATACCAGCACTTGTATTGTCAGTATGTACATGTACATACAACATGTATGTAAACCGCCTTTTAGGTTGAGGCTGTACATGTACATGAAAGCTAATCCACAACTCAAAAGCGCAGCCATTCAATCACTGTGCATCCAAATATATCCTGCTATTAGATTTCCATTGTACCTTCTGGCTGCTTATTCAATGCACAGGAATTCACATCCTGTCAACATCGATGCAGCAATTAATATGCATACTGAACATAGGCCTACATGTATCTATTTTTGACACCAGGACCTTTCATGCGAGAACTATGCATGACTGATGACGACAAACACAACATGAACAAACCATTTTGCAAAATGTTGTCAAAATTGAGGGATACTTAGTCATCACATAATTATGTTTGTTTGTGTGTTTGTTGGGGTGTTGGGTGTTGGTTTGTTTGTTTGTTAGGGTTGTGTGATTGTTTGTTTGAACATGTACAAGCTCTGGCTAAAGGTTGAAATGCAAAAAAGAAATGTCTGCATCACAGTATGTATGCACAGTGTATGTTATTTTAATAGCCAATGTATTTTAAAATTTTAAGTCTAATTTTGCTAAACCACGATAAAGTAGTACTATAGCCATCCCCTTAAAAAGTTCTTAATTACTTCATTAGTAGCCATTTCTGTCAAGTGGAACCATGTCCTCGTGCATGTTAAGTTAAACCATTTTGTTAACCCTACTGGTCGAAGCAAAGGAGCCCAGAGTGCGTGTGTACTACCTGAGCACGACCCTCAGCCGGTTCCACCCCAAAAATGGTTTCTAATTTTGTTAGCTGAATTAGTCTATTGACAGTGGACTTCGTGCATGACTGCTGAGTGTCCAGGCGGTACCAAGGCTTTTCTGAAATCTATTTCAGGCTTACTCCTAATAACTGGTACTGTAGATCTCAGTAATTAATCCCCTAGTGGCTAAGCTTTTCAGCACAGCCTTTGTGTGGTCATTAGATTAGCCAGATAACTCCATGTACTAGCAGCCACAACAGAAATCTAATTAACAATTTCATGCTGAAATGAGTCTTGAGGTCTGTATCAGGAATTATGATGTACTCAGTTGCACCACCAGGAATGGATGTTATGAAATGATTTAATTATACAGAGCTAATATATTGACAGTAGGCTTGTGATGATGCACTGTACATGTGGAATAGAGTAAACTGCCATAAAATGTGTGTAATGACAATATTCAAGCACTTTATGTCACGCATTAGACATTTCATATGTACAGTATACATACTATTTTCACAGAACATTAAAAATTGGAGATTTAAACATGTTTAACTTCTTGTCTGGATAATTAAAGGTAGAGTGGGCCATTTGCAGCCATCCAAAAAGTAACTAATTAACATTAAAAACTTGTGAAATTATTCCTTTTGGAATGCTGTCCTTTTGAAAAAAAAACAATAAAAGAATGTCATTTCCAAAGATGTGTCAAGATATGTGAAGTGACACATTTTTGGAAATTTCTGTTTGTTGTTGGTTTGTAATTGGGTGAATCCGTGAATGGGTGCAAGTGTTGACACGACGCACAAGTGCGTGCAGCTTCTATTATTCAGTGTGTGACATCATGTAGAGCAATCAGCTGAATGAGAATTGTATCCTGAATGCTGATTTCGGGATTGTGTCACGCAAGGGCGCAAGTCAAAATACGACATGGCAACTTTTGAACTGAAATCAAGATCCACAAAATTGTGTTTTTTTGAAATATAAAGCATTCACAAAGCTAAAACTTCATCGGGTTAAGCACCTATCTTTAGATTTTGGGCACTTTTGCTGCTTCAAATGAAAAAAAAATGCACAGATGACAAATGGTCCATTCTACCTTTAAGCTATTATTTTCAAAAGATGCTGGCATCCCTTCAGTCTTTAATAAAAAAAAATGAAGGAAAGTGGATCTCAGATTTAAGAAAAGTACAACATAAATTCAATGTACCGCTATTTCTGGTGTTTGTGCGGCAGGGCCAAGTTTCACTTGTAATTTGCAGTGGTGCCCACTATTACAAATCACCCAGTCAAATATCATATCTCTCGGCATCCAAGACATGCCTGTAATTCTGTGGTTTTATTTCCTAATTTCACCTTCAGAAAAAGCAAATTAGTTTTTGTGCTGCCGAAAAAGTTAAGCCCAATATTTAATTTGCAATGGATGACTGGCTGGTCTACAGCCAGCAGGCATCATATTACCAACTGTGTATTGACACTGCACTTGATGGTTGAGAGTTCTTATTAATGCCCCCAAGACAGAAACGTGTGTCAACTCATATGGACACATGGGCATGCACACAGAGCATGAGCAATTCAAGGGTCGTTGTCATGATTTTTTTCACCAAAATCTTCATTCCTCTAAACTAGACAAAAATAATAACACTGCTTTTTTTTTAACCACTTCGCGTCGGGATTATTTTTGTCGAAAATTCCAATTTTCGCAAAAGGCAAAATTTTCCGGCCAAATTCTGATACAGCCAAACGCCACAAAGACTGATTCACAAGAGTCATTTCAACAGTATTTGTATGATATTTCTTGCTGAACCTATTATGTTGCAATACTCCGGGGTGTGCACTGGAGCGTACATTGTACAACAATAGGCCGTGCACAATGGCCAATTCAAGATCAACACACAGTCCGTCTCCACATGTCTGTATGACTTTACATGGAAAAGGCTGTATGGATTAGCGTGTTTAGACGTCACACGAAGGCGAGTCGAGGCAATCTTGACGTCTTAACCCGTCAGCCGTGCCTGTGCATAAAAAACAGCCAGTGCGTGTTATCACGTCCTCCGACGCAAACTGGTTTAAGTGCCCCTTTTCAACATCTGAAAAGTTTTTGTTCTTTTCCTGACAAATTACGACAACTAAGGGCAATGTTGCTGTTATGTCACTTCAGCACACACTTCACAATTTAAGGGGTCTCTGTACAAATTTTGAACAATTAGGGCCTAATGAAGCTCATTGAAATATTTATACATGATTTTTGTTAATAAACTTTCATATTCTGAATCAACAACGAAACACCCAAAATAAATAACATTGAACACTGTGTCAACCTTTGATGTTGAAGCTCTAGCCTCACCACATTAGCATAAAAATTAAAATTAAAAAGACAATGAAAAATCCTCAATACTGGCATTAAATGATAAAAAAGGTGCATGTGGCACTTTAGTGAAAAAAATATATTCATACAGCCCTGAAAGGCCACAAATATGTAAGGTTTAATGTTTGCTATTTCATGACTGCATGCCTTCCTACTATGGAAGTTTACAAAATAACAAAGATAACATACTTGTAACAATAAAAATACAATATGCTTCCACTTCCACTTTACTTTTTATGACGCACATGTTTTCTATTTCACATTTCTTACATACCTTTTTTGTTAACATAATTCTACTTTTAAATAATAACAATTATCTACAAAAATGGATATATTTCATGGATTAGATTCACATTCTACTTTTTTGTTTCATGGAGAAGACAGGATAAATTATAACCCCAAATTCAAATGTGGGTAAAAAGAATCATCCTTCCCACCCTAACCCCCCCCCCCCCAAAAAAAAGCATTTCTGGAATTCTGGTTTATTCTTTTGGGTGGGTTGAGAGAGTGGCTGACAAAATTACCATCCCTTAGCACAATCCCTATGCAGTTTTGGTGACTCTACATGCACCTTTGGTTATTTCAATAAGTGGATAATAATAGAGTGATGGAGCAGTTATGTGTGTGGTTTAAAACCGGGTATGGACTTGGATTGTGGATTTTCAGGCATGGGCAACTAGTGAATTTCAGTACCGGTAGTTGCGACTAATTTCAATAGTCACGATTATAACACCTCACCCCCAGATTCTTTGTCTTGATTGGCCGAGAGAGAGTCACATGGTACTTTCTATTTTTGCTATCTTTCAATGTACGGCCAAAAGTACTATACCCGTAGCAACCAAAGTACTATCCCATTAGCAACCACAGAACTACCGTTTACGCATGGCGCGGTATTTGTGCACAACTGCATGCTGGTGTGCACGTTGAGCGTAGCGCGTATTGTTTGCAAGAGAGCACGCCACAGAGTTGGGTTCAAACGTTTCGTGAAGGGGTGGTTTGGAAGAGGGAAATACATTTCCCACCAATTTTGTATTGAAATTGAAGTTTATTTTAACTGTGTTCAGATTTAAATAATTTAAAATATTAAAACCGAGGAGAATCTGTGGGTTAGGTGTTATAAAACATATAGCTTTATCTCATGGTGTAGTAAAACTAGCCTCCCTCAATGATCCATGGAGCATGCGAATCCATGGATCACCTCGGGAGGCTAGTTTTACTACACCACTTGAAGCAGTCAATATTTGTATACTATAGTCATGCCATAACAACAAGTTATTTATTTAATTTGATAGTTGCGACTACGCTTTTTAGTATTGGCAACTAGTCGCACTAGTCGTACACCCCTATGGGTAAACTGTTTCAGGTATTTATGAATTTAATGTTTAAACCTATGATTTGAAAATGGTAAACAGAACAGTATCAGAATACTTTTGACATAACATTGCTGATTTGTGATCACAGCAATGTCAAGATTGTTTGGTGGCCACAGCCTGCATTAATTTCAGTTGGTAATAATTTACAATATGTGTGTGTTAATAAAGAGGGAAGTATTTGTTTTCTTTGGTAGTGATTCTATATATTTTTAAAATTGCAGTGCATGATTAAAAACTTCGTGGCTGTATGTATGTGTACATTTACATGTTTGTTCTTTCATTCTTGGAATGATGGCTAACCATACTTTGCTATTCACTGGTTGGAAAAAAAAGTACGATTGTGACAAAGCAAAAGAAAGGGTCTTTTGTTGGGCATGCCAACAATGTGGCCACAGTTGGGCCTGCCCCAGCTAAAGTTGGGATGAAATATCAGTTCTGCCCTTCTAAAGAGCTAAATAACAAGAGAGCTACATGTGTAACTACTCCATGTACGATGTACCGGTAGCCTGCGTCCATGTTTGTGCACAAACCAATGGAAACATTGGTATGAGCTTTTCGCAAACCTGCATGTATTTAAACTGAATGCATTAATGTAGCTGATATGATCCCCAAAACGAGCGTTTCATTTTGCTTTGGGCAAACAATGCACACATGTGTGCATTACTGGTGATTTTCCAAATTTTACTTACCAGAACTATGCAGGCTTGCAGCTACATATGTTGTTTATCGTAAAATTGCATTTAGAGCTATAATTCTGAACAATTAATCCATTCCATTGAATTTCAGTATAAACTGCAAACACACATATTTCAGTCAAAAGGTATACATTTTTTATGCACCCAGAAAGTGTTCTACCATGGTTCTGTGCAGTATAATGAGACAGTGCTCTAGGCTACATGTATGTGCCCTTCCTACACACACCTTTAATTTGTCTCCCCAGGCTAATTACCAAGCTCACATGAGTAACTGCTTCAACTTCAAACAAATATCTTTCATCAGCCCAAGGCTCAATCAGTGCTTGATTGGTCTGCATTGGATCAAGTGCTCAGTCAGTGCAGTCATCAATCAGTCTGGTATACAGATAATTGGGAAACAATTCAGACCCAAATTGCTTCCTCTGTCTGCTAGTCCAAGTGGGGCTAAATTGACGGTCCCCTTTCCTATCAAAACATGCACTTCCAATGGGTCTACTGACAGTAAGATCACTTTATTTTAATGTTTGAATGTTTATTCACTGTTTATTTAAAAACTACATGCAAGCAATCATGTTGAGAAATAATCCTTCTCTGTTTCCAACACGTGACATTTTGATGCAATGTCTATTGGACGCAAACTGCCCTAACTTTATACGGGAAAACATTCCCGAAAGTCTTGTTAGTTTAGGTAAAAAATTGACAAAAAATCTTTGTTATTAGACATTTAGAATTAGATGTTATTAATGACTATGATTCGGTTCTAGGAAGTTAATGTACCTCTGAAAGTCCTTTTCAATTTTGTGTTTGGTACCACTATGACAGATGTGCATTTCTTGAACTAGCTGGATGCTTTCTACTTCTAGATCTCTGTTATTTATTTAAAGGCATCTCTATACAAGCTTCGGCTTCCAGAATATGCCTCCATGTATGTGCCGGCATTTCCTTATTTATTTCTTGTATATTTCAATTGTCCTGTGCAGAATGCAAATAAATATTAACGGAAAAAAATAATAATAATAATAATTTGGTGCATGCATACATGTACGGTGAGTTATTTATCCTGTAAATGAATTGCAAATTCTTATCCTGTTTTCATGCACAACTGAAATGCTGAACTGGTTTAATAGTTTTATAGAACAAAACATATCCACACTTATAGGCCTACATGTACAATGTACGTGTACTTAACACCACCACCACCAGCAACAAAACTGCCTGTGCCATTAAAATACTACCTTTCTCAAAGGTTTTAGAATCTTTGTGCATTTTTCTTGTCATTTGAAGCAAAAAATTACTCAAAAGCTTAAGAAGGGAGCCTAACAACTACCGGGGTATCTTGTTGAAGATTCAGCTCTGTGGATACCGTATCTTTTCAGAAAACCAAGAAAACGTAGACCTACATGTACCATTTTGGGGATTTTGTCGCTAACGCACTTAAAAGAATCTGTGCCTTTCTGCAACCACCTTCCGTGATTGGTTTTTTCTGAATGCTACTGTTGTGCCCATTCTTGAAAATCACGCATTCTCGAGAATGGGTATGCACATTCTTGAGAATGTGCAACTGGATCCTTGCTCAATCTTGGCAAAAAATAACTCTTCCAGATTGAGCGCACATTCTTGAGAATGCGCGACAAGATAACGGTCTTGTCGATGCCGAGCACCGGCTGCGCTTGGCAAGTCTAGCTGAATCCTCGTTCACTGATTCTTAATAATTATACTGTTGCAACGCAAGGCGCTGAAAAGTAGAGTGGATATGAAAAGTATACGCGTATTGGGGGAGGGGACCGGGGGAAAAAAATAAGAATAAATAAGAAAGAATTCAGATTTTTGGGACAATAAAAGAGGGGGGGGACGTAAGAATGAAGAATGTGAAGAATGAGAATGAATAATGCGACATCCCATAGTGCTAATGCTATTTCCCATTTAAATTGCCACCAATTTATTGTTCACACCCCACCATAACGTCGCAGAGCTGGATTCTATCTAGTCAAAAGAGCAATTTTGGCAGCTTCTGGACATCGTTTTTTTTTCGTGGCACGCATATGATACATACAGGGACTTGTACTTGTCTAGCCTAAACAAAGCACTTCCCAGACTAGTTCCCAGTCCTCCGTTATTACAAAACTTCCCATAAGTAGGCAGGAAAAAGCAATAATAACAGGTTTAATATGATTCAAATTATCGTAGTTATACGAGTACAGAAGCATAGAACATTTTCTTTCCTCTTTATATGAATTGTTTCCCTTTTAACCGCTATACAATTCATTTAACATAATTATGTCGTGCAATGTTTGTTAAGATTGGGCAAAATTCATAAATTGTGCACGTGATATTCCCACTCAATCTTAAGAATGAGCGCTCATTCTTAAGAACGCGTGCTCGTTCTTAAGAATGCGCGCCCATTCTCGAGAATGCGTGATTTTCAAGAATGGGCACAACACTACCATTTCAGGCGGAATAATTTCACAGGGTATACCAGTATTTGGTAGTAATTGGTACCAGTCTTATCTTCACTTTGAATAAAGATTTTCTCATTAATTGCATACATGTATGCTGTGTTCCTACATGCCTTTAACAAGCAGAAGCTCACTTTGAGGAAATTGTCCTCAATTCTTCTTCAATAAGATACATGTATACTTTTCTCCCGAAGAATAAGAAAAACTATCTTAATAATGTTAAGAAACAGCTGGGGGAAAATGTACATGTACACATGTTACTCAACGAAACCACTGCAAGTGCAAGACAAATTGTTAAAAGTCTGAGCATATTTTCTAACGAACTTTTTTTCCACCATATTTGGAATGACAGTACTGACCATCATTCAGGTTGTACATCGGGAGAAATTGACATCAGGATACTGCATTCTACTCAATAGCTTGTTAAATTTTTAAAAATTGTAAGTTGAGTGCTCATTTGGTCATGCCTACTCGTGCGCCATTACTCTTTCATGCCCATTCCTGTACACACCTCGAAGCAATCATTGATTTTTTTTTACATTACCTGTGAGCTGAGGTATCATTTGATGTCTTGGCATCTGTGGAGAAGTCTCAAATTTCACCCAGTCCTCTTTCACGGCATTACTTTGTTTGTCCGGAGAAGGTGGAACTTGAGAGCCAGCTAGCACAGTATCCTCCTCAAATGAAACCCAGGATGCGGCCACTCCCATTGATGATGCAGCCTGAGATGCAGTCATCTGTGAGGATGCAGAAGCATCACTCGTTTTGCTCATCATATGATCCTCGGTTGAGTTATCAGCAATATTCTGGGCAGGATTGCCGTTGTTGATGACATCTATTGAAGTCTCTGCTGAACTGACTGGAACTCCTTCTCCATTGATCTCAGTGTTGACATCCGCCCCAGGCATTTTCTTCGTCTCATCGAGCGCGATGTAAGAACTGTGTGGCGCAGCAGCTGTTTGGCCATTTGATGACAACACATGCTCTGTTTCGTCCTCCTTATGTCCTACGGGAGCTCCAATGCCACTATCTGCCTCACCGCCTCCGGTGCCATTTTTGCTACAGACACCGTTTGACTCGCTTGAATCCTGGGGGGATTTTTGTTGGTCTTGGAGTGTACTGCAAATATCCACACTGTGACTGTTTGAGTCTTTCCTTATGCTGATTGTTTCTTTCCCGATTTCATCCTCAGATGCTGGGATGGAATTCTCATGGTGAACTGCAATCTGATTTGCAATTTGCATATTGCAAGATGTGTACTGTGATTCTTTCAAAAGACCATCTTCCCTCACTGAGTTCCCGTTGTTCATTGAGGCTGCTTGGTCAATTTCAATGTTCCTATTTGCTTCACCCATATTGTCATCCGAAAAACTAGACACACTGCTAGTACTAGTGCTACTACTGGAGTGCATAGTTTTAGACATAGGAGTCACATCATTTCCCAGATTACGATCGCTTATATCCTCTTGAATTTGACCAGAAGATCCATCAGACAGCATCTCTTCGGTGTCTGGGGTGTCGTCATGATGCAACGCCAGTGGGGCGTCCCCAGTTTGGTTGCTGTTGGCCATATTTGGTGGTCGTGCGCCTAGCTAGCTACACGATGAACAAGTTTCCCACGAAGTGATTCTTTGTTTTGATCGACTTGAGGGTGCCACAAATGCTCATCATCAAGTAAGTAAGAAACCTCCAATGTGGGTTAAAGGTTGATGTCTCATTTCAAAGGATAAAACACACACATTCCTTGACACGATCGTTTCGTTCCTTGATGAAATCATGGAGCTAGGAACACACTCACTCGTAATTTGTAAATAAGGGTGGGTTGCACGCGTGTACACTTGCGAACGTGGACCTTGACCTACCGCAGTGATTTATTACAAAGTAACGTTAGGCGAGCTACGTTAGGCGACTAGATAGTTGTCGTTTACTTTTCTGGTGAGGAAATATTCTTGAAGATCTTGTGGTAGATTGACTAATTCTGCAACTTACTTTGGTTAATTAAAAGCGGATTGTACCAGAAATAAGTTTTGTCATGTTGCGGTAAATATTCCTTGCTCAAGTGCTCGTCTGCTCGTCAACGAGAACGAACGTCGAGGCAACTCGAGTCACGTCTGGGTGCTGGTACGGGGCGACAACGTAATCACGTACTGTTCTAGTCTGGTGCACTGTCTGATGAACATGCGAAACTTATGAGAGTAGTCGATCCTTGCAAAGTGCAACTGCAAGTGCAACTAGGCTCAGTCAAAGAATCAGAGTGGCCTAAATACTTAGCTCATGAGTCAGGAAGGTTGGTGATGCAGCGTTTCTACGACGTGGCGGACCTAATTTTTCTACACACCATGATCACATCCAACACAGCCGGCAGCAAACGAGTAGCAGCTAGAAGAAATTATCCTGACTGAAAAAAAAATTCAGTGTATGTTTTGTGTTGTGTGCCTTGTTGTTTATACGTGCCATGGATATGGAGGTGTTATTCGCAATAGTTTAGGTTTTTACTAGCTAGGCCTACTCCATGGTGAGAGTGATTAGAACTTCGAAAAAGTTTGTTAACCAGTATCAAGTGACTATCTTAACCCTATGTACTGTCCATGCTCTTTAGCAAATATTTATCCAATCGCATAGTATGAGTGTTTTTCATTGGAAGACAATGAATTATATTCTGAGCTTTTGCAACGCTCTGCCTCTGGAATAAAAAAAAACACTTTATATTTTGGGTTGCAATTGTTAACAAAAACAGATCTGCCCTGTTGAAAAGCACATGCTTTAATGTACAGCTGGGAGTTGGTAAGGAAAGAATCAACCAGACGGAGCTTGAGTAACTCCAGCTCTAATGCCATAAGCATTAGAGCTGGAGTTACTCTTTTAAACCAGACGCCACTTCTTTGGTTGTGTACAAAGTCTATGGATAGTGGAGTACATTTCAAAGTATTTTCTAACAAACTTGGAAATGTTTCTCAGTCCCAGATTTACATTTCAACATTTTTGCAACAACTAACCTTCATTGAGATAGGGCTTAATGTATGAGGCAAAATGTGGCTCAGGATGCAACATTCTTTCTGTTTGTGGTACCAACGATTGTTGTGATGATGGTCGTCATGATCATAATTAACATAATGAACATTGTTGTTCATATGAATGTGCATGGATTCAGCTGTCATCATTGAGCTTTTTATAGCTCGCCCACCCATACTCCTATTAGTTTCTGGTACAAACATATAGTGCCCTTGATTAAGGTCCTATGAAGGGTATCACTATCACTGTGAACCACACCAGCGTTTTGAACACCGTTCTACCATCTTATTACCATATAGCTATCCTCATCACCATCAAAGCAACGCTTAGAGGGAACATCTTGATTGAAAAAATAGTTAGAACAAAGTAATTTTTTTATAAAGTACTTTTTATCTTTTTTGCAGTTTCTCTAGAAAGTGAATACAACTTAGCTGTGGAAGAACAAGAGTTTGGAACAAGATGGCTTGCACATCGGTGACGGTAGAACCTGTCCTTTTCCTCTTCATGATGAGTCTGTTCATGATGCTTACAACCAACCAACTGTTGTTTATCAAGAAAGTCTGCGCATCTCACTTTGATGAAACGATTTGCTCAAACCTGAGCGCCTTTAAAGATGAAGAGGATGTGGTTCAGACAGAGGCATCGCACTGGATTCTCTTCTTCAGCATCTGCACTAATGTTCCTGGAGCTTTTATGTCCATGTTCCTGGGAGCCACTAGTGACCGCGTCGGCCGCAAGTACATCATGTGCCTCCCACCTCTTGGTACTGCTTTCTCTGCATCAGTGTTTGCTCTGAGTTCCTACTTCATAGCTTCTCCCTTGGGATACATCATCGTCGCTGCGATAGCTGTCGGCCTGACAGGCAGTGTGGGAACGGCTTATGTCACACTAATCAGCTACATGGCTGATATAACGGACCAATCATCTCGCACCAAGCGATTTGGCATCCTGGAGGCAATGATGTTTATTGGTGGGACAGTGGGTCTCCTATGTGCTGGCGCCATCGGCAGTTTTGAGCACGGCTTCACCACTGTGTATCTCCTTGTTCTTACCATCCAAATCCTCATTATCGTGTACATCTTGTGCTGTTTGGATGAATCGCTGAAACCTGAACACAGATTACCTTCAAATGAAAAAGACAAGCCTTTAGGTGCTGGATGTCTACCTAGACGATGCCTCTGCTGGGGGCCTATCCTGGACAGCATGCGCCGTTCGTTTACAGTGTTTTTCGCCAAGAGGCCAGGAAACAAAAGGAAATATCTGATATCAGTTCAGGTAATCGGCCTGCTAGGTGTCATTGGGCTTTCAGGTAAAAACATTGAGAAAATATACCTACAAGTAATGAACAGTCCAACTGCATAGTACTTTATATACTACTCAAACTACTCTCAATAAAGAATTACAGCTCCGTACAAAATTGGCAGAGTTGTAGTCCATTTGCTAGTGGTTCATTGAAAAAAGGCAATATCTGGTCTTGTTTGATTTCATTTTCATCTGAAACGTAATAATCTATTTAGACTCTATAATGCCTTTCAGATACCCGCTGTCCCATATTACACCACTATGCCTCATATTACTTATTCTTGTTTTCAATCAATTATGAATGAAGATGGTTAAAACAAAAACCAGAAATGTACTGCTGTCCATCAAGTTATCTCATCACAACACATTGTCTTATGAGGAAAGTAGGGAAAGTATTAAAGGTTCTGTGTGTTGTTTTGTTGAGGTTCTCTGTTACTTCCTGTATTTTGTTTAAATATAATACCCTGTACCATTTTAAGATGTTTTGCAATTCTTTGTTCTACAGGAGAAATGGATCTGCTTGTTCTCTTCACCAAGCATTCTCCCCTCAGCTGGGACGTGTCAACCATTGGGATCTTCATGGCGCTGAAGAACACCATGAAAGGTGTTGTCCTGATCGCCTTACTTCCACTGATGTTTCGCTGCATCGGCAAGGAGCGTGTCATACACAGGGACCTGGTGCTTGCACAGGTTGGCCTGGTCTCAACCATCCTGAGTCTAGTCAATGAGGCATTCTCCAGGCAGACGGCAATCATGATGCTGGGTTGGTAGAATGTCGATGCTTGTAATTTATGCCTGTGAACATTATCACTTCTTGTTACCCCTACTGCAGTGTACATTTTACTGGTGCATGCCACACTGTGATGCTAAAAGTGCCTTCAACATGTGTGACTACATGTACAGCCGGCTTGATGAGCAAATTCCTGCGCAACGGTGAGGTGTAGATATGGCGCGCTGTTATACGGGCACTGCACTTTGCACTGCCACGTTTACGGGTCTACCGGAGGCCATTGCTTTTTCCAAACAGGCACGTTTTGAATGGGCACTACACTAGTTCTATAAATTCAAGATCCAAAGTGTGACATTTTGACTGTCCCTGTTACCTTGGTACCTTGTAATTTGTCATTAAGAATGACTTCAACAATGTTGTATTTGTTCAAGGGTGGATCCAGAACACATATTTTATTTGGGGGGGGGCAAAAAAATTGTTGGTCCCCCAAAAAAGTGGGTCAAAAAAATTACGGCGTGGGGTTTGGGGCCCGCTTAAGGGCCCCGAAATTTTTTTGGATTCTAGATGCTCTGTGGTGCGATCTGAGGCAATTTCTGACCACTTTAACCAATGTTTTTTGAGGAAAAGATGGTGTTGTACTCATTGCCTGCCTTTATTGCGATGTCACATAAAAAAATTACAAAATTGGTTTCGTTTTTGGGGGGGGGGGCCATGGCCCCCTTTGGCCCCCCCCCTGGATCCGCCCTTGTATTTGTTAGGTAGTAGATTAATGTTCATAATCACTCTTCGAGGACGACTGCATTAAGGAGTGCATCAGAATTATATTATCATAGATGCCAGATGTAACAGGGATGGGGAAAAAAGTGGAATCAAATTATAGAAAGACTCGCATGTAATTGTGAACCTGGTTTAAATAAAGTGTGTGATTTTAATCATGTATGCTTTTACTTAAAACGATCCACTTGAATCTCCTCTAACAGAAAGATGTCAACTTTGCAATCTTCCAATCTTAAAAACCCTCCTATGCACACATACATTCTGTGCCAAGTTGTCCTTTCAGTCAAAATCAATCAAGTGACAATTTTAATAGTTAAGAGCTCCCAGCCTACATAAAGCAGGATTGGCTGGCTGTGACTATTTATGTAACTTGATACAGCTATGCTTTGACTGTAGGTGATTGATAAGCCAGCTGTGCCTAGAACTTGCCTGCTTTTGTCTTTTGACTGAATTTGACTAGTCACAGTGCTTGCTTGAAATATATTTTGACTGTTGGTGACTAGCCTGTGTAAAAGGCATGGCAGGGGAAGAGGGTTGATTTTTTGACTGCTTGTGACTGTTCGGACAGCAGGAGGATTTTTATGTAACTTAAAAAAAGATCCTAATCAAACTATTCCTTTGTTTCTTTTTCAGTTCCTATGGTTGGATGTTTATCAGGCATTACAGGAGCTGTCATTAGTTCCTTCAAGACGCAGTTGGTTGAACCCAATGAGTTTGGTAAGTGTAAATACAAAATTTTACAATACTTTAGATGTGTGTATGTATACGTATAAAATCAACCTTTGTTTGAAGTTCAATATCCAAAATGGCCTACTCGAAGATGGTCCCCTATAATAAATTTATACTGCAGAGAAGTAGTTGAGAAGTCATGGTGCTAGATTGTAGATCAACAGATTTTTTTTCTGGTGGGTTACATACATGTAAGGTATCGACTACGTGTAATTGTAAAGCTAATAACTATTCAACCACTGCTTTCTTGCCCGATAGGTGGGATGTTCGCCTGCACGTCTTTCTTAGACACATGTTTTCAAGTGGCCGGCTCTCTTCTATTCAACACCCTGTACCCGGCCACGCTGCACATCTGGCCTGGCTTCTCATTCCTGATCATGGCAGCTGTTTATGTAATCTCTCTCTTGATTGTCATGTGAGTATATTGCTGCTTCATTTGTTAATAATATATTGGTTCCCAGAAATTGACACAGGAAAAAAAAATGCTATGATGAGTGGTTCTCAAACTGTGATGATTACTGAAGCAATGAATATTTTGAAGTATCATTCCTCATGCCCCCACCCACAAGAAATAAACTGTTTTGGTTGTTTGTCACCAAAATAAAACATCACTTGCCTGAACCGGGATGTAGTCCAAATATTGTTGTTCTGGTTTATTTCTGAAATTTCAGATTGGTTGAAATTTCAGCGTTGGTTTCCTAAAATGGCAATAAATGTACAGTTGTCATTAATTTCATTGTCAATGGTAACCGTAAGCTGTGGTGATTCAAAATTAGTATTTGATTTATTTGCACTTTACAGATGGCTTCAGTGGGACATGAAGAAATCAATCAAAGAGGGCAAGAATGGTGAGACATATAACATATTTTCCCATGACAGCATCATTTCTTCTGCAACTTTTATTTCACATTTCACCAGCAGCATGTTTAACGAGGAAAGAACGCTGTAATAGGGGCTCTCACTGACCCATGTGACCCGGCCTACATCCAGGTAACGGAAAGTCAGCGTCACCATTGTAATAGGCAAAGATTGCATAGTGCTGTGCACATTAGGTAGCAGGCAAGCCTTCAAAGCTGTGATTGATGGCAAAAACTGTGAGAAAAACGCAGAGCTAACACCCAGTGTTGGGTCGGTACGATTATGGCAACCATACACGGCACAGATAGTGACCATCGGCCATTTGATAAAGAATTTGTGGATTTTTTACGTGAGCAGAATTCCTATAGGTCTCTCTCAAATGACATCATTTCCTACAGACCAGCCACGTGCATCGGCCTTTTGAGCGTCAACTTGCATAACACGCCTCGGCTGCGTCTGAGTGCGTCGTATTTCAAGCAACAAGCGCGCGTGTTTGGAACAATATCAACACTGTACAGTGCGTGCTTGATTGCGTAAAATATGCAGTTGCAGTTCTCCTACAGAGATGGCTGTCTTTGAGAGACACCTATACCATCTACATACAACTGAAGATGTGGTTGCTAACCAGACACTTGCCTACTGCAATGGTGGCTGATCACAGGAAACCGGATGGTCACGTGGTACTTTGACGTCATACAATCAAACCCTATACATTAAAATACGAACTCAACAGTGATATGAAACAAAACGTGATTCATTCAACTTATCTAGCTTTAAAAGCATTTATTAATCAGCTTTAAAAGCATTTATAATTATTCTCAGTCACCTACTGCAACAATTTATTATATTTTCCTCATTTGAATTAAAAACACACTATTAAAGTTAAATTTAAAATCACATTCCATCCCCAGTCCTAAATCAAATTCAAGTTTCAGTTCTTAGGTTGCAAAGGAGTTAGGATTCAAACTTGGCATCAAGTCTCTTAGATCTGATAACAGCCTTAAACCTACTGAATGTTTAAATTCTACATCTAGATTTGAATCTACCAATCATAAACTGAAATGGCATATCATTCTTTTAAAAAATGTAAATAATGTTATGCCACCAACCTTTATGTTTCATTTTACAGGTTTAGGGCAAAGAAGGCTTTTAGATGAGGATGAATCTGAGGATGAATTTGAGGATACCGTTTACATGACACAATTGCCTGTATCCGTCCAACCAGACAGCATTGGCGTATAACATGCTGAACAACAGTCCGCCCATTACAAATATTGGAGTTATGCAATATGGTATGTCTGAACAAAATTCCATTCATTTTTGATTCAATATGGGAAAGAATAGGAATAACAGGCTCCCAAAATGACCCCGCATACAAAAACCACATTTAAGGTAAATTACAACATTTCTGTAATTTTCATAAATGGGTGGATTTGGGGGGTTAGTATTTTATAGCAAATATTGTTGAACTGACCTGTTAAAAGTTTTGTGTTCATAAATGCTGGGAAAAAAAACAAGGAAAATCATGCTGTTCTTGTAGTCTGGTTCCCTGACCCTACTCCAGACACAAAACAGAGCAATTTCTGTAGACTACGTCAGGAAATTGTCAGGTCAGGGAACCAGACTAGCTGGCTTGCACCGGTTCACGGATGTGTAAACCGATTGCAAACAAAATGGGGACTAACTAAATTTGGTAAATCAGGGGCAGTATTTGAGAAAAGTCAGCAGACCATTGTTGGAAATTGATACAAAAATTCTACTTTTCTTGAAAATGACAGCACACCAGGGTGCCATGATTTTTTATGTTTGCAAATGTTGTATATTACTTTTAGGATCAACTTTCTTAAATTCATTGTACTTGTGCCAACTTTGAAAACAGATTGTACAACACTTCAGATGTGATTTTCCAGAGAAGTGATATCGTGGTGAAACACTCCCTTTTTCAAAAGTGAATAGAAAATTTCAAAGTGTGACAAAAGTCCGTTGTTAAATTACACAAATGTACTGGTAAGACATATATTGTATACTGGTTTGACGCTTTTGTGGATGTGTAAGATTGACATACATGTACCAAAATTATTTTCAACAGCCATACTTATGAAATTAGGATAGCTTTGATACCTTGAACTCATCATGTGCAGTGTCAGTTACATTAAAGAAAATCCACTGAAAATTCTTCAGAAGATTAATAGATAACCATCGAGAAGTGTAAAATAGTTGTTGTTTAAAGTGAAATTTGAGTTTTAAATATCATCAAATATCTACATGTCAAGTGCAAAAAATGTGAGGCTTGTCAATTGATAAGATCATTAAATAAGACATGTTTGTTGTTAGCTCAGGATGAAATGTCCACATTGTAGACCTAGGCGTCATCTTTTGCAGTTTTTGACAGCTCGTTCTTCATCACGCTGTGAACAAAACAAAGATACTCATAAGTGAATCAAGTTCAACCAGAAATGCCATTATTTCATGTAGATTAGGATGTTGGTTATCGTGAGACTGAAGCTGCATAACTGGTTATTTTGTTTTCATGCAGTCAGTTGGTAGTGTTCATGTGTGTTCTATGCTGTAAGTATTAGAGTGTGCTTAGAAGTTTTGTGTTGGATATGTGAATTGTTAAAGTGTTCGATTGATCATGCAGCTTTAGAAGGCTTTTATGACTTAAGAAACAGTTCTTCAGGAAAAACAACTGAAATGTATACAATGCTATCAATGACTTTTCGGCATACATGTAGTTGCAATAAATGCCATTGTTTTTGTGTTCATTGAAATTGTATCACCTTTATTCTACTACATATGGTACTATTCAGCAGTACCAGATGAATTGTATTTTATTTTCTTTGTGAATGTGTGCTATTTTTGTTAACAAAAAAAAGCTAAAAAGTGAAAGTTGCTTTGACATTTAAACTGGCATTTTCCCTAGGTTTTTATTATATTTTGGGATCCAAAAATGCTTTAAGCAGTACATCTTTAAATGTGGAAATTCTGTTTAAACAAATCTTGCAAAATGACACATGCTCAACATTATACTCCTAATTTATTTTACAAAGACTAGAGTTTTAAAATCTCATTGTAGTGTTTGAACTGAATTCTTAAAGCCAAAGATTTATATTGATAGCTTTTTTTTCAGGAGAAAGTACATGTATTTTATTGCATAATGTGGAATAAAGAAAATGTGTATTCCTTTTCCCTTATTCATTTTTTTATATAATTTAAATTTTACATTATATTCCAGGGATAGATTTCGAATTATGCTCATTTTCATTGTACTCACAAAATATTTTTTATTATCTAATTGTAGTATTTAAAATTAATTATATATACAAATAAAGGCCAAAGATGTATAATGATTGCTTTTGCATGTATTTGTATAATGTGTATATCAGAATTTATGGCTTCTGTAATTTATTGAATAATATGAAAATAAAAGGAACGCTTATTGCACATTGTGTGCAGTATTTTATAAGGTAATGGAAGTATTATTTATTTATGACTTTTTTTTGGTGAGATACTGTTTGTTGTAGCCGTTGGTTTGTACAAAGCTTCTTTATCGAGGTTCTTTTCCTGGAACTCTGCCCCTATCGTTATAATGTTATCGTTACAAAATTCAAGTTGTTATTCGGTGAACCCACGGACGCCCATTATAGTTCAGAGGCTGTGCTAAATCTTGTGTAGCTCGGAGAAGAATCGATAGAAGTAACTTTATCAAATGTCGAAAGAAGTAATGTGCGTGGTGTTTTATTGGAAAATCCGTTACCCCACTTTGGACACCAGCAGCGTAGGCCTACTTGGTACTCACTCCCAGATAGTGTAGGCGAAGTGAGTTATTTAGGTTTAAAAACTGATCAGTTAAGGCCAAACCGTGAAATTAACCATAATTGAAGAGAAAAGAATGTTCTTTTTTAAGCTTTGGCCGGAGCTTCTACGTGTCACTTGGTGGTCGGTCGGTCGGTCTCACGGTCTGTCTGTCTATTGCCAAAATTGACCAAAATATTTGACTAAAAATAATTGACTAATTGACGAAATGCCCTGCCGTGGTCATAAAATGTACTCTTGCCGAAAGTTTTCGGAGCACCGATTTTGTTTCAATTGATGCGCTTCATTGGTTTATTTTGCATGTGTCTGCCCCGAAAATTGACCAAAATAGCCCCATAAGTTTCCCACAAAATATAACTACAAAATTGTAATTTTCAAAAAAAGCAAACAAAATCAATTCAATACTTAAACAAAGATTGTAACAATTCGGAAAGATGTTTAAGAAAAGTTTGTAAATCGAGGCAAAATATGTACAGTAATTTTGTAGTCACGTGGTATTTATCATAAATCGATATAATCTAGGTATACATCTGTAGAACTTATTGTGCACTCCAATTTTTTTATCGCCTATCTGCTTTTAAATATATGCACACTAACTGCAAAGTTACTCACCCCATAAGAACCAGGGGTATTGTGTACATGACGGCTTGAACGAAGAAGGCAAACCCAGGCGCGTATGCCGACGTCCACGAATACAGCGTTGTGAAGACAAGTGTACCACCGGGCATGGCCAGGTTATTCAAAAACGACGAAAATGACGAAAAGGCTCCTGGAAAGACCAATGAGGTTTTACATTATACAAGAACATAAAAAGGTCGTCGACGTCCTTGGAAAGAAAGAGCCAGGGGCGGCGGAACGCTTTTCAAACTGGGGGGGGGCAACACCAAAAAGGGGCACTTGCTCAGAAAAAGGGGTAGCTTCCGTCGGTGTGAAAGTGGAGGAACAGAACATGGTCCCGTTCATTTCGCTATAAACCTTTATGGCGAGGAACAAACTATGAAAGTATGAATACATTGTCCATCTTGCTCTTTGTGTTTCTTTTACCTATAGAGGGGCACTGTTGCTTTTGATGGCTAGTTAAGTGACAATTTTATTCGTGTGAAGAGCAATATTATATTTTAGGGGCCAATTTTCCATCTCAAGAGGGGCACAATTATATTAATGCGGGAAGGGGGGGTATTTGTGCATTCGAGGGTTAGTTTTCTATCTCAAGAAGGTGCACAATCTTGTTAATGTGAGAGGGGTATTTGTGGTTTTGAGGAGCAGTTTTGCATTAAAAAAGATGAGCCAATTTTATTTGTAGCGCGGTCATTATGCTTTCATACGGGTGCGTTTGAGGGGCAGTTTCGTCTCGAGGGGGGCATATTTACAACCGTGTGACTTTTGTTGGCCTAGGAAGATCTGGGGGGGGGGGGCTGGTGCCCCCCCCCCCCGGTTCCACCGCCCCTGGAAAGAGTGATGAATACCAATAAAGATATGTGACTAGCTGACAAATGCACTAAGAACTTTGGTGGCCGCTGAACGCGTATGGCATATAGTCCTATAGGCCTACCGGTTGGATACCTTTTTCTGTTGGATGGACAAGCTTGGAGGAGAACGATCCACTGGCAGCTTGTCCGGGTCCCGACAATATGCAGACCATAGGAACTGAAAGAAACAGACACAGATTGCTGAACAACTGATAGTACATATTGATCCTCAGAAGATGATCTTTGACTACTGGGATCCTTAGCACCGTCCCGCTGGAGGCGTGTAGCGAGTTCGTGTCATTTACAGTACGCAGAGATAGGACGGAGTGTTCTTTCATCCTTTCTTTCTTTCTTTTTAGTCCTTTTTCGTAAAAGAGCCACTAGGAGCATAGCAAACAGCTGGGTATAGGGGATGTGATTTTTTTTCAGTCGCCACCAAAAGCCTTCACAAGGGAAAAAAACGCCAAATTTATCTGCTAATCAGGAACTCCGCTCTCTTATAATAATCCACGGAGCGGAATAAACAGAAGAGTTGTGGACAAATCTAGACTTTCAGATTTACTTATGGACTATCCTTTTTTTTAACGAAAAAAAAAACCGTCTTACCGAGAAACAGTTGCGAGGATGTAGTGGCAGCTGACATGACCAGCGATCCCACGGTGACGCCAAGGCTAGCAATCTGCATCAGAGTCAGATCATCTCGCCAAGAGCTCCCACTACCAAGCAGCTTCAGGAGGAGCCTAGTACCCAGAGCCATACCCAGGATTTGGCCAACGTTTTTGGAGGCGGTGAAGTAGCCAAACATGGTAGGCTCCCAGTGGAAAGGGGCTCGCCTGGTGTACAGCACCGTCAAACCCATGTCGGCTATCCCAAGCAAAACACAAACATACATGTATGTACTTGCAGAAAATATATTTTTGTAAATACTTTTGAAGGCAAATTAGTCATGCTCTACTGAAAAAAAAACCTATTCGATGGATTTTGAAAGGATAAAGGGCTAACTACTTTCTGTCAACTACATACTTTTTCTAAAAATTATTTTTCGATGCACGGTTAATAAGTGGAAAGCTCATAACTTTAGCAATTAAATGTGAAGATTTTTTTTTTAAAGTGCCAAGTCTTCCAATAAGAACGGACACTACAACTTTAAAGAAAAACTGGTTGGCGGTATAATAAGGCGTGCATGGACCTACAATCGTTAACCTCAGAAACGCAATCTAATCCCTTGCGTTAATAAATAATATAACTCTGACGAAAAATTGGACTTGGTTTGAACATGGAGGCTTACGCCGGCGGAGGTCGGAAACCCCTACATTGCCAAGGTTTTATAATGAATCACGTGCACACATCGTTACATTTATTTTCCAAACTAGAACGAGCCTAATATTGAAATGGTTATGACATATAAGAAAAAGACATACCTCCTACTCCAACCATGGAGATTACCCCAGTAAGAACGAGGAACAGAATGTGTTTCCTCGTGTTGGCGGATCTGGGCTTTACACATATCCTAGCGCCTGCCGTCAGGCTCTCAATCATCCCAGCAATCAAACTAGGCCTGGAAGACACTCTGGAATCCTCGAGCTTGATATCACTTGAATCTTGCATGCAAGCAGCTACCATGATCAACACTGTAGCCTGGGTGCAGAGGAAGATGGCATACACCGCTCCGAAACCAAGATGTTTCGAAACCACGCCTGATAACAGCATACCGGAGATGGTCCCCAGACCGGCAAACGGCTGCACGGCGCTGAGCCGGCTGGTACGTTCTGTCTCTGGGGTGTTGTCGGTGATGTAATTGAAAAGGGTGACCAGGAAGGTCCCAATTCCGCCACTCAGACCCATAGCCACACAGCCGACAAGGAGAAGCGTGGGTGATAAGTAAGTTAAGGTTGTCTGTAGGATGAGGCATAGCGACATGGCAATACCACCGATGCAGGTCAATATAAGGACTGTTGCTCTACCGAATCGATCACTCACCGAGCCTAGAAGTAGCGAGCTGAAAGCCATGATGATCCCCGTCATGCTAGGCATGGTCATCACCCAGAAGGCTGCGGAAGCCTGGACCTCCTCCTCCATCTCCGGATGATCGGAGAGGGAATCGCATACGTCCCGGCCGTACCTACCTTGGCAGGATTTGTCAAGAATCAGGTTCTGTGTGACGGGCCATTGCATCACGATGCCAAATGTGTACATGAACAAGGCTGTCTCAGCAACGTGACGGCTTAGAAACCCGCCATATTCTGCCATATTTAAAACCGATGGAACTGTCCCCGACCGATGTGAACCGAGAAGAATATCTCTGTGAAGAAACGAACACTGCACTGGTTGCAAGCCGTGAATTCTAAAATCATTCAAATTCGCATTTTAGTTGGCATACCCTCACATTTTGGCAGATAATGTTCATGCCATTGAACACTGGTTGGTTCCAAAGTTAAAATAAAATATTTTAGCGGGTTTAACCATCGCAACAAACCCACGAGGAGAAACCTCGTAAAACGTATGAGGAGATATGCTGGTATTTTTAAACACTTTTCTTGTAATTTGTAAATACCCACTTTTTTCACATGTTTAGTCTCAGACATGTTTAGGATCTTGCACAGTATAAAAGCCTGAAAGTGCCATTAAAAAGTCCAATCTTTTAATGTTCGTTTTTCGTAGACAGATGGTAATAATAGTGTAATAAAGGTGTGCACTTAGCATCTCATTTGACGTCAACCCGATACATCATTTGTATTTTACTTTTACAATGTATACTATAGATGATACTACTTTATGGGCTTTCGAGCGTGACTAAACATGTCACAGAAGTCCATAAATCTAAACATGTCGTGGATTTAAACATATTGAAACAATGGGTACACAAAAGTGTTTATAAATGTGTTTAAACTCAAACACTGTCTACCAGTCGTATTTCTCGAACGGTTAATGTTATAGCTTTGTGAAAAGAATGGCAGTTGAACTGCAGAAAGTAGCCTCGTAATAGAACAAACTCTTTATGTGGAAAAAGGTGAAATACAGTTTTAAAATGTCCCTTACGTGTACGGTATCATTACAATAAACAGTGCAAAAATTAATTTCATAATCAAGAATTAATTAGAAAAGGCCATTATTTTGGAAACTCTTGGCGATGTTTACCCTTACACTATCTTGAATTCACGACTCATCAGGTGTTTACTCCCGCTCCGACCGAGGGTATATACTCTCTAGTAGCCTACTCGCGGGTCATATAGTCTTGCCGTTTGTGCTCCCATTAGTATACTCGTCTTGGCACGAGTGACTAGCTCGAACGCAGCCTACTTTTACTGCTTTTCAGTTTTTAACATCTTTGGTTTGAGGGCATTTAATGTACAGGCATGATTAATGGCAAGTTATTTCAATGAACGGCACAAGTAGGGTAGTATCAGGCACTAAAACACAAAAACATATGATGTAATATATAAGCTTAGGGAGATAACAAAGAGATGTCTCATATTAGAAGGGACTATAATAAGGGGATACCGGAGTGTATGGAATATATGAGATAGATTGATGTGTGACAAGCCGGGGAACCAAATATGATAAGAGATGAGTTTCTTGTTTCTGCCCTGAAATTGCTAAACGAAATTCTCGTGATTGACAACCAATGTCAACCGACGTCCTTGTCAAAAAAAAATGCACCAGTGCATACAGCTGGGGGCACAGGACTCTTGATACACTTTTGGCTTCCGTTAATTAGATTATACGTTTTCATTTTGAAGTTAATTTCACCAGATCAGCTAAACACTGGTCTTTTGGAGAGGACAAAGAAGAAGTCCGCTTAATTATTATTTTATAGACCTTGGAGAAAATTCCCGTGTTCAAATACGGACTAACCCGATCCGCGTGGTTATGGACACCTTTCGACTCTAACAAAGCTTGTTCTTTCCAAATCTCGTTGTATTCTCCTTTCACATTTCCCTAGAGGGCGCCCGGCCCTCTTTCTCGGTCCTTGATGACGCCTAATTAACGTGGCCCGTACTTTGTGGCGCACTTTGATTCTTTCCAAGAGTATATTCACAAAAAACAAACCTGGCGCCTAAAAGTACCAATTTTCAACTACTTGAAGCTTGGCAAACGGGATTGGCAATGCTTTCTGTGAAAAATGTCGAGGAAAAGTTCGGCAAGATCCTCTAGAAACTCCATAGGCTACCCGTACGTCCATGGCAGAACAAAAACTTTCTCATATTGGGGTACCCAAGCCTTGAAACCTGCCTGCAAGGTTAAAAAGACAATTTCCCACAACTGTCCAGACCATTATCAACCATTTTAGCTCTTAACTAACTGGGCTTTAACATGATTTTTTTTTTAATGGATTTTCTATTATCACATATGGAATAATGATGTCGTAGGGATTGAATAATGTGCCTATTGTTGGGCACTAGCTGCTGGATTAAATGACTTTTTAATGTTTATGTTTATTTTCGGCTAATTGTTATGTTAATTTTTGAATTTAACATAATTTCGATATTCTGCAATTTTAAGAATAACGTTTTTTTTCTTAAAACTGTGCAAAGAGAATACGCACACGTACTTAAAATTTGATTTTAGTTATTTTTAATGTTAAAATCGTGTTTTATTGTATAATTACTCCGACTTGGACCCATGGGAGATCAGTTCGGCAGGACTGAATGGGCCACCCAGTATAAGAAGAAATAAATAAATAAATACTTAATGCATATTTATATATAAATCTTGTGCACCCCGTGCGAAGCATGCATGCATGAAATCCGCATGCCGAACTGCTTGTAGTTTTGTTCAGAACGCAAGGTCGGTGACAGACAATAAGGTCAAATGCATTGTGTTTGTACCTGCAGCGTTTAAGCCTCAGCCATTAAACTGGGAAGCTGAAAGAAATGTGCAATGCATACAGGAAGCAGCTAGTATAATTATATAGACCCTTGTTACAGGAACAGGCATTATTCATCTATCAAGCATTTTTTGTATAGCATAGACAGACCTATACCGCTTTACCATGTACCACTGGGCATCTAGTTCGCCATGATTCCCATTATGCGTGCTGGATATGTTTGGATCACGTAAGACTAGCTACTGTAACTCATCCAACGGACAACTGTCAGGTATGACTAGGCCGGCTCTGCAAGACCCCGGGTGCCTGTAGGGGGGGGGGGGGGGGGTGTCTACCCGATGTTCCAAAATACGTATGTTCCCCAATACTTATATATGTGCACCGAAATCCTTAGGATTAGGGTTAGGGCTAGGGTTAGGGTAAGGGTTTGGGTGAGGGTTATATGGTAAGGATTTCGGGGAACATCGGTATTGGGAACATAGGCCTAGATATGCACCCCTGTAGGGTTGCCACAGATCTAGCCACTCCTGCCCTAGTTAACCACAAACTATTTGTAAACCATGCACGCAAATAACTTTATCACCATTAATCCGGCAGTATAGTTTGAAGTTGTTATATTTTCTGCAGTTTAGATGTATTTTATCAGCTCTAGAATCAACTGAGCAGTGACATTTTTAATGTTTCTGTCATCGAACTTTGTTAGAACTTTTGATTTTCAATTCTGAAATTTTCCCGCGGTAGCGGCAGCCATTTTTAAATCTCAATTTGCGTGTACACTATCGTATATCGTGCACTTCGTTGGAATCGTATTGCGATTGCTCATCTCGTCGTGCAATGTAGTGAAGATTTACCTTAGTGACCTTTTTTGGTCATTTGGATGGGAAAGAATTCCATATATGGCCATCAATAATTTTTCCCTGCAATGACCTATCAACCATCACAAAGCGATACATGTCCTTAAAAGTCAAATTTAGCAGGAAGTAAAATGAAGCATTTCAACTGAGAAAACACTTAGAATTTTTCAGACCACTCTCATAAAGTTTGTGCACAGGGTGTCAAGTGATGTCCAGGTATGAAATTCTTTCCTTTGGATGTACTAATATTTTTAAATGTGCTTCGTGGTGGACACTTCTGTATATTTTACAGTGGACAACAGTGGAGGATTGACTTTTAACTACTGGCATACAGGGTTGGATGAGTTCGTTCCATTTTGCTTTAAACTCAGATATTCAGAACAACAAGAAGAATTTTGTGATGCTTTCCGATGAAATAAACTTAAATCCAGGGCCATACCACTGAGCCCAAATGTCATGCACAGTGTGCAAAAAAGCAGCAAAACACGGACAGCAGGCTGTTGACTGTGAAACTTCTGTTTACACAGAAGTTGTAGAAATAGCGATCAGGTCTACCAATTCTTATAAATAGTTGACCATCCGTCTTACTCTTGGGCTTCAGTGGTGTAACTGTGGGCTTGCGAACTTTGAACCAATGTTTTTCACAAAATTTAATGGGAGCATTGAAACGTCAAATAGTTTTAGTCAGCAAGCATCTATGCCATGTGATCATTCTGAGATTATGCTGGATGAGATTGATCAAAATGTTGGCTCTCCTGTGAAAGCTTCTACACCTAATTGCAGAAACAAGAAATAGACCGAAATCTGGTAAACATCCTTCCAAGCGGCAACGTAACCGGCATGAGACTCTTAAAATCCTTAGTCTCAGCTTCAGAGCTTAAGGGGAAAGAAATCAACTTTTCAGGCACTGATAGACAAGGAAATTCCGGATATCATTGTCGGTACTGAGTCGTGGGTCAACCAAGACATAGACTCGGAAGAAATATTCCCACCGTTTTATCAAGTCTGCAGAAAAGATAGGAAAACTGACCCCCTCGGAGGAGTTTTCATTGCCATTAAAAATACAGCACATAACCACTCATCATCCCATGCAAATCAGTCAGGGAAACAACCTACAAAACCCTCATTAGGCTGAAGGTTGAGTACTGTGGATCAATGGGATCTTTATCACAACAACACCAATGCAACTCTCGAGAAAATCCAACGCCGATCTGCTCGCTTCGTCCAAAATGACTACAGCAGGAAATCAAGTGTCACAAACGACGTCAGACCTCATGTGGGAACCTCTCGAAAGTCGTCGCACCAAACTTCGCCTAATCTTCTTCTTTAAGGAAGTTCACAACATTTCTCCATCAAATGTCAACTGTCGTCAGAACATTATATACTCCACCAGACTGCAAACCGGGCCTCATATCTCAGAAACTCCACCATTCAACAAGAACAGTTACCAGTATTCATTTTACCCCTGGACTACTCGTGAATGGAACATCCTCCCACCAGACGGTATAGAGCTCTACCTGACATCAAATTATTCAAAATGGAGACACTGGATCACAAAATATGGATGAGCTGGTCCAAAAAGCTCATTACAAAGTTTAATCACCACCGCCACACTGACATATGCGTTCATTATAACCACCATCTGGTGGTGTTCGCATATCCAGCAGAAGCAGAAGTGATTGTCTATTTTTCCTTTTCCTAACATTTATATCATTCATTATTATGCATGGGGACCACGGAGACGGATATATAGTTTTATATATACATGTATTTTAATGATTTTCCCTCCACATGTTTTTCTTTGCAGTGTACTGAATTCCTAGAATCAAGATGGCAACCTTCTGGGGCTATCTGAACGTCGTCACTGTAGAACCCGTGCTTTTCCTATTCACCATGTCTCTGTTCATGCAATATCCAGCCACACAGCTCCTGGTGCTTCAGAAAGTCTGCCTAGCAAAGCACAACAGTACTGCGTTATGTGCCAACCTGAGTGAAGACACTGAAGAGGAGAATGAGGTGCAGTCCGTGGCAGCTCACTGGAACCTGTACATGACAGTAGCGATCAACCTCCCAGGCGCGCTCATGTCAGGTATCTACGGTGCCATCAGTGACCGAGTCAGCCGACGAAGTATCATGGCTCTCCCCTCCATCGGGATAATCCTCGGTTCGGTTAGCTTCCTACTCCAGTCCCACTTCATCCACGCCCACGTAGGCTACCTCCTGATCAGTGCCTTGACTATTGGAGTCTTCGGAAACGTTGGGGCGTCTTACATAGCTCTGATGAGTTACATGTGCGACATCACTGAGACATCTAGTCGGACCAAGCGTCTGGGCATCATGGAATCCATGACTTTCATTGGGGGACCCATAGGGATGATGTCAGCAGGAGCAATTTTGCAACACTATGGCTTCGAAGCTGTGTACTTGATCATTATCGCACTGAATTCAAGTATCATCTTGTACATTATGCTCAGACTTGAAGAACCATTGAAGAAACAAGTAATTCCGGAGGGAATCTCGAGGAACGTATCACCTAACAAAATAACTTGGGTGTGTCGACATGTGTACGACAGCCTACATCGAACGCTGAATGTATATTTTATAAAGAGAGAAGGCAAAAAGAGAAGATACCTTTGGCTCTTCCAACTCTTAGGTATATTGGGCATCATTGCATTTGCAGGTGAGTACATAACTCATTGGGGACATTTGTCGTCTTTAGACAAATCATGTCTTTGGTTAATTTGGAAGTCTGATGACCAGAATGAAACTTTTTGTTTAATTTCAGGGGAAAAAAGCTTTTCAATTGCAAAGGCCCATGCACATCACGGATCATTGTTAAATATCCAGATCATTCGGATACACTTTTGAAATGTATTAACGAGTGACTTAAATGTTATAAACTGCACTGAAAAACAGAGGGCGAGTAGGTGGATGCAGTCTATTAATCGTACAGTCAATCAATTTTCCTTTGTTCACCCTTGGCTTGCAATATTTCTCTTAATTCATAAAGGGGAGTTGGACCTGTTTATCCTGTACACCAAGCATTCTCCTCTGAGCTGGTCAGCCAGCACCATCGGGGTATATCTCTCCGTCAGGACTCTTCTCAAGGGGGCGCCCTTAGCCGTCGGCCTGCCCGTACTGTTCCGGTATTTCAGTGACCGCTCTGTCAGGTTCGACTTGGTTCTCGCCATGCTGGGTCTGGTGTCCATAGCCGCTTCCATGATTCTCGTGGCTTTCTCGCACACCATGTTCATGATGGCATTAGGTACACATAACTTTTTTGGAGGGATGCAGGAAACATATTAAAATCAAGGCTTTTCCAAGAATGTTTTAAAGACTTTAAACCTCCACACTACATTCTCTATACAAAACACACGAACGTAAATCTCTGGCCAATACATACAGATTTGTAAAACGCATGCAAATCTATTTAGCAGGGAGATTATTTAAGGAATGGCAACAATCAGTGGGCAGTGAGAAAAAGAGAACGTACATTTACGATGCATAAATCTGACTTGAAAAGAATTGTGAATTAGAGTTAATTTTGTGAATAATAACATTGACTAACCATCAATCTTTCTCTTCTTCGGTTTGTCAGTGGCCTGCATAGGATGCCTATCTGGATACCCTGGAGCGATCATGGGATCAATCAAATCTAAACTCGTTCAACCCACAGAATTCGGTATGTATATAGATAACAGCTCTAGGTCGGCGCACCGTTAATGTTGTATACAAGTCGTTGAGTGGAGTCATTCTTAGGCACTGTGACTCCATTCGAGCATGATTTGAGTTACATTCTTGCTCGAGTCGAATCGAGTAACTGGCATTTTTTAATGTTATGTATTACTACTGGGTTGTTTCAACGTTCTGTTTTTCCCCACCATTCTGGCATTGGCGATTACTTTCGAGTCTGTTCCTTGCTCTATGGTCTGACTTATGTTCACTGAGATAGCAGGGAAACATGTGTTTATGTTTGAAAATCAGTCGTAAAGAAAAATGTACCTAATTATTATGTCGAGTGAATACAACAAGGGAGCGCTATTTGGTTTGGATAAATCTCTATATACGGCCCGATGCACACAGCTATTTTGTTTGCCATATCTGAAAAATGAGGTGTTATATTTGGAGTCACGTTCGAGAACGTCTGAACTAACTTTGTTGGCCGCGCCTTGTGCGTGCCTGCTTCGAAGATGGTAATTTCTGTAACAATGTCAAAAGGTCCGCGATACGACTTATATCTTCATGGCCCTGCCAGCACAGTACAAGCCTACTTACAACTTGATATGATGTAAATAACCTAGAAGTCAATAACTTATAAGTCACACCCCTCTCCCAATTGAACAAAAAAAGTTGTTGGTTCTTGCTGAGTCTTTGATTCTTGACTTCAACACCAGTCGAGTCGATTTTGTTTTCTCGTAGTGAGTCAGGTCGAGTCACTTTGTCTATTATGACTCAAGTAGAGTCGAGCCACCGAAAAATTGCTACCTGACTTGGACTGAGTCAAGTCATCGAATGAGTTATGAATATGATTTTCGTCCATTACTGATTGATTGAAGATGTATAGGCCTACTGGCAAACTACACTTACCCAGTAGCTTAGCAACCTACACGTTAACGACGTGCATGAAAGAGCCTTTGTGTTGCAAGATCATCCTCAATCTGGGATAGGGGAGGCGACTTCATGCTTACAGCTAGAACCAGTTGATTATTCCTAATTACTGGAGACTTCCATTTGTTTTCCATTTTTATACAGGCGCACTGTTTGCATGCACCGTCCTAATTCAAACCATATTCGTTGCTGCTGGTTCCCTTCTGTTTAACAACGTGTACTCTGCAACGTTGTATGTGTGGCCTGGACTCTCATTCATAGGAATCGGTGCTATTTACATCGTTAATCTAGTCATTGTCATGTAAGTGAAGGATGACAGTCTTTGCGTTTTACAATCAGCGGCGATTTCTTGTCAACTTTGGGGTTACTACCAGCTTGGAAAATGATAAAGCCGGGGAGGGTTGAAAGTGGGGGTGGAAACAATGAATTTATTTTGAACATTTAGGTAATGTGGTAAAAATCTGCATGCATTATGATAAAATATTGGGGACTTCGTCTGGCGTCTCCCGCCCATAGCAAAATAATTTGGGCGGACATTTCCCTTCGTCCCCAGATCGCCGCCTATATGTTTACAATGATGAATGTAAAATATTATAAATGGGTGCATATGTGATGCCGAGTAGTTCAAAATATTACAATCAAATCGGGTCATCCTGTCACTAGATCCAGGGTTCGAGTCCCACCAGTGCAAGTATGGAGAGACTTTGGTTCTCAAAAGGCACCTGAACGTGCCTGCTTTCCTTTTGAATAAACTCTTTTTACAACAATCCCCGGTCATCATGTCAAATGTCAATGACTTAAATATAACTTCAGCATCGTTTGTATATTATTCTGTACATGGTTCCAATGTTGTGTTTGTAAAGCCTTGCTGAAATGCAAAGCTTGTTTGTCAATACCTGCTTATATGAAAACTTGGCAATTGAAATAACCTTAGCCTTTAACTCCTTTACTGAGTGCCCGCGACATTTCAAAAGTTTAACCCTAAAGTGCCCGACTTCGAGCGTTTTTTTTTAATTGTTCAAAATTCTGTAAAAAAAAAAAAAAGTAAATAAGTTTTGCTCACTAAATTTGTTGTTGTTGCTCTCTGGTATATCCTTGGTACATTGGAAAGTCAATAGTAGTCACGCACATAGTGATACACCCTGAAACACTTTCCAGCACACAGGGGAATTCCGCACTTATTGCAGAAAATACGAGTGTCAGTGCTGCGCCCTCTCGCAAGAACTCGAATGAAACAAATAAATACAGGACAATGCACATAACGCGTCGCAAGAACTCCTCTGCCAAGTTGTTTGCATTGGAGCCATTGAGGTACGTGCTTTATTTTGTTCCATAGAGTAAACCTCTTGAACATTCGCTTTAGTGAATTAAATTAACAAAAACACCTCAACGGTTGCTGGTGAATGCAAAGGGTCCATAGCTAAACCTTTTCCTGTGATTCCAGAAGAAGAGGGGAAACATGTATGTTTTCGAAACTTGGGCGTGCCCGATCACCCCCCCCCATGCCTGTATAATGTTTCTGTTTGGATTGTTGTTTTTAATTCGACAGTTACCTGTGGTTTGACATGGCAGACGTAGAACTGAATGACAAACATCGATCCGTAGGTATGTGGTCATACAGTAGTCTTCAGTTTTGTAAAATAATAATCCGTCCGTTTTTAATGAGACGATTTTTAAAGGGACAATGTACAATTACAACTTCGTCCACATGATTTTCAGATTTCGATTTTCAGATTTCGATAAAAACCACGGCAAACGTTGTACGATTTGTTTTTACCATATAGAGATGGATTTTTCCCAAAAGGTTAAAACAGCAAGAATAAAACTGCCGCCCATAAATATCACCCATAGGTGGAAATAATGTGGAGTTGCCACGCTGACAGTATACTAATGTGGTTTTCTGCTCAAAGTATATACTATTAGGGAATAACTCAATCATTTTTATTACGTTTTGGCCTACATTCTTTCGGACGAAATTACCCAGTTTTGAAAATTCCCATGAGCACACCCAGTGGCGTAGCCAGGAATTGTTCAGTGGGGGGCGCGGGGGGGGGGGGGGCTGGAACATTTCATGGGGGGGGGCGTCATGTAGATCAATGATAATTTTTTTAGAAACTCAAATTCTCAGTGGGGGGGGGGGGGCGACTGGGGGGGCGACAAGGTTTCATGGGGGGGGGCTGTCGCCCCCCCCCCCCCCTGAAACCTACGCCACTGAGCACACCACAATAATAAATGACTGAACCAACGAAATAGACTGTCGGGTATATTTAACCCTTGGAAACTAATAGCTGCTTGATAATTGACGAATTGATTCATTGTCTCCTCAACAGGAGATGAGGAGTTCAACATGAAACTTCTGAGCGAGACTGGTGATTCAGAGGTAGAAGATGTCGTGTTGTAACGGTGAGGCTGTAGTCTACTGACTGAAGCGCCAACATAAACTTACAGGATGCGACCAGTTTTTATTGGTTAAATGAAACTTGCAAAGCCCAATTGTCATAGTTACAAAAGACCCGTTATATCAAGCCGAGTCCTGAAGGGTGATGTACTAAGGCCACTATACACAGCGTGATGTCTGTCCTTACGCCGCGTAATGTCTGTCCAAAAGCAAAAACTAAGAAAAACTGCATTTAACATCCATTATCCTTTGTTCTTCATGCTTTGAAATAAAATTAGACATGAGAAAAAAACATTCTAGCATTCTAACACTTGTTATTTTCACCCTTTTGTGGTCGTGGCCTAAATATGTAAAAGGAGGCGGTACATTAGAGCAGATTCAAACGATGGAAAATCATCACTTTCGCTGGTAGAAACACAACTTAGTGCATGGACTTTATGTTTACTATACACTGTAAAGACAAGTTTAAAAAGTTGCAGAATTATACCCTATTATGGGTGGAGCTAAATGTTAAGGTGGGTTATGAATATTCTAAAAAAAATCTACTTATTTTGGCTTTGCCCTGCTGTAAGCCTACTGCAAAATGGCAAATTCCAACTTTATGCTCATTTTGTGATGACAGGGTCACAAATAATTGAACGAAATGAGGGAAGATGAATAGCGACCGGGGTTGGGGCATTCCCAGTCCTATTGATACAGAAACGGAAAAAATCGGAGACTCAACAACTTCAGCCATTTAATGATAAAACTGGATAGTAGACACGTATAATAATACGACTACCCGGCTATTATACAGTACACCTACTATATACATGTACTTTATGGCCATAATAAACAGTGCCCAATGCCTACAGTGTCCGCTTGTTGTAGGTATCTACATTGGTCTTTGGTTGCCATCTTTACATTCCAAATCGCTTTAAAAAGAGAAGGTTTATAGTCTCAAGAACAATGCAGGGTAGATACAAAGTTATGCAAAAAGTGAAACCCACTTTTGACAGCATTTTTCACCTACTTAATGAGAATATTTCAAAATTTCAATTTAATGGTATAATGTTGATCTTTAAACATAAGTGACGAAAAAATGATTGCAAATGCATATTTTGTCTCTCAGATGTTGTAGTTTAAAAAGTTCACGTGCCAAACCTGTTTGTCCACGGATGGCTTTATTCCATCCGCTTGACTGAGCTCCAGAACTTGATTTGAACACAAAAACAGACTTCAGTGATTTTGGTGACTTGTATTCAATTAGCATAAACACTATTCTTGCGATTTTTTTTTAATATTTTTTTTCACCACGTATGAAGAGCTATACTTCACTACATTATAAAAAAGTTCAAATAAGTAAAGAAAGTAGGTTAAAATGTCTGTCAAAAGTGGGTTTCCTTCCTCTTGCACCACCCTGTATAGTTCTCCATGAAATATCTGCTGGGTAAATACCAATCTGAAAGCACATGCAACAGAAACGAATTGAATGCAAACGATTGAAAAAATGCTTGCCAATTGGTAGAATTTATTGAATTCTTGGTCAACCTCTAGGCTGGCTTTTACAAAATGGAAGAACTTGAACGACTTTTTTTGTTTTGAAAGAATGATTAGGCTTACAAACAAAATCGAATAACTCCTTTTGACGATTGAATGGTGACACAATAGGCAGCATTCAATTTGCAAATTTATATTGATTGAGCCATATTAAGCTAAATGACTTTGTGTTGAATTGGCCGTGGAAAAACTACAGCATTCCCCAACCAAAAGTATGACTTTTGGTTGAAAGCTTTTTGAAGCGTTGATTCATTTCTTTTTTTTCTATGCATACTTCATGTGGGTGGATTACATGATTAATTACAAAAATAATATCTGATCATACATGTTAGATTCTATCCCGAATGGTCCTGTATAGCTGAAGCACCCGTCTGTTATTTATGATCCGGGCTTGGAAATAATTATCATCAATTATTGGGATTACGGATTTCAATGGATTATGTTGATCACAGTACTTCCTGGATTAAAAACCGTGAAATAAATATCTGTAGTGGGACATAAGGCGTAGTTGCCAACTGTTTCAGTCTGGCCAGAAGTTCAAAAGGTATCCGCTCCGTTCACAAGTACCCCCTCACCGGCAAAGAAAGTACAGTTGGGGGTGACCGACGCCATCTTGCCTGACTGCAATTTTGCCGCGACGCGCGGCCGTACCCCTGCGTGTACATATAGCCCAGGTTGGACGAAGTCTTCATTGCAATACGACTAACGTCCAGGGCAAGAATTCTCTACATGAAACCACCCAACATTTTTACCAGAGTTTTGTTATGTTTTACCTCGTTATAGAAGCTTATTTCACGCCTACATACTCTATGTATCCTTATCTATTAGGCCACTGGGTTCAGGAATTCCATATGCGATGATGACTGACGTTAATCAGGAAAATAAACTCCAAAGCAACGTTAAACTTGTACGTGTTTGTAGTCTCTTTTCATCAGTTTATTCCCAGAGTCGTACGTCATGTACAATGTACATGATATATACAAATGTACGTGCGTACGATCCGAAAGCGCGCACGCACGCTAGCGCCCTCATTTGTTTAGTTTTGGTTGGAACCCTGACGTCACTCCAGCCAACCCATTGATCTCCATATACACAGTTATGGAGATCAATGAGCCAACCGATGTCACGAAAACGCTCAACCAATGACCAAATCCGAAACGTGTTTCTGGTAACTGGCGCGGAAACACGCTCGGTCATTGGATTAGCGACCGCGCCTTCAAGTAAGTGCGCGTGCGTATGAGAGTGGTTACTAAGCAAATCGCGCGTGCGCACTGCATATTCATGCAGCATAGTCTGTCCCCCGGACCAGATGTGATATGAGCGTCGAGAATAATTGTCCGGTCTAGGGAACCAGACTACACGCTGCACAGACGTACATGATCATCATCATCATCATCTTCCTATACTGTGCAGTATAGTGCAGTTCATCAAGTTCTAAACACCCCCGTTCATAAATCGCGAGTTTATTTACCCGTTACAAAGTTAAAGAAAAAATTATTTTGGCGTGATTTTCCGATTTTATTTTCAAGTGCAAAGTGAACCCTTTGAAAATGCCCCGAAAAATAAGAAAATAATTTTCTGACAAACATCTGGCTGGGTTTGTAAGTAAAGATAATAATGATTTATCAGAATTTATCAAGTTTACACAAATTCTTAAATGTTAATTTGGAATTTTCTGAGATTTATTCAAGTGCGCCACGTTAGGGAACACTCTGCCAATTTGTGCCCAATTTCCGGACGCGACCGTTTTTGAATTTCGGATTAAATTTTATGAAACCGAAATTGTTCACAGAGGTTAAATAGCAAGCATTAAAAAGGAAAAAGTACCAGTATTTCAATGCATGAATTTGAGGTTTATCAACATAGAGGTTTGGCAACACTACACGAGGAAAGTTGGGTAAGCTTCGAAGTGCGCCACGTTAGGGAACACGACTATATACTCGCACATTGGTTGAAGTGCAAACAAGCAGGTGCAGACATAACTCGAGGCATAAAAAGACAAATATGTGCAAGTAAAAACAGCTATTTTGGGACAGGTTGGTTATCAGAAGGTGACACCGTTCACTCTGGTCTTGAAGACATCCAGGGTTGGTGACTCAACAACTTGCTGGGGCCAAGGGCGGATCCAGAACACAATTTTGGGTGGGGGCCAAAAAAAATTTGGTCCCCCAAAAAGTGGGTAAAAAAAATTACGGCGTGGGGTTCGGGGCCCGCTTAAGGGCCCCGAAAAATTTTTGGATTCTAGATGCTCTGTGGTGCGATCTGAGGCAATTTCTGATCACTTTAACCAATGTTTTTTGAGGAAAAGATGGTGGTGTACTCATTGCCTGCCTTTATTGCGATGTCACATAAAAAAAAAAAATTTGTTTCGTTTTGGGGGGGGGGGGGGGCCATGGCCCCCTTTGGCCCCCCCCCCCCCCTGGATCCGCCCTTGGCTGGGGCAGTGAGCTCCACAGGCGGATGGTGTCTGGGAAGAAGGAGCCCTTCAGTAAGGTTGTACGGGTGGGTGGGATGAGGAATTTCTGGCTGTTACCTCTGGTAGATGAGTTGACCTGGATAAGGTGGTTGTCTGGGATGTCGATGAGTTTGTTGGTGATCCGGTACATCATTGCAACCTTGGAGATGGCTCTTCAGTGTTGTAGAGACTCCCAACCCAGTTTACTCAGCATGGTGTTGACACTGCTGTCTCTGGAGTAGTTATTCATGGTGTACCGGGCAGCACTACGCTGGACAGATTCAATTTGGGTGATGTTCCTTTTTGTGGAAGGGTCCCATACGCAACTGGCATACTCAGCAATAGGCCGCACAAGGGTGATATAGCAGCGGGTCTTTACTTCACGAGGGCAGTTGCTCAAGTTGCGTCGTAGGAAGCCAAGAGATCTCAAGCACTTCTTGGAGGTGGTGTCTACATGTCTGTTCCAGGATAAGTTGTCAGTGAGTTCTACCCCTAGGTATTTAGCTGATGGTACTGCCTTCAGAGGGTGGTTGTGGATGGAATAAGTGAACTTTACCGGTTTGCGACGTTTGGTGATGCGAAGTACTTGACATTTCTCTGGATGGAACTCCATGAGCCATTTCCTCTCCCACTCCTGCATGGTGTTGAGGTCCTGCTGGAGCTGGTCGGCATCGTCAATGTTGTTTATGACACGGTAGATAGCACTGTCGTCAGCAAACAGTCTAACACTGGAGTCTTCAGAAATACAGCCTGGGAGGTCATTGATATAGGCCAAGAATAGAAGGGGGCCAAGGACAGTACCCTGGGGTACGCCGGATGACACAGGGGATTGAGCTGACGACTCCCCCTCCAGGACAACTTTCTGGACTCTACCCTGAAGGAAGTTGCTGATCCAGGTAAGTGCACTGCCATCGATGCCGTAGTACTTCAGCTTATGGAGGAGACGAAGATGGGGAACTTTATCAAATGCCTTCGAAAAGTCCAATAGCATGAGGTCAGTTTGAAGACCATCCAGGTTGTGGGCAATGTCATCCATGGTGATGATGAGCTGGGATTCACATGAGCGGGCTTTACGGAAACCGTGTACGACTAGAATAGACTCGGCGGTGAGAAACTGATGAAAAGAGACTAAAAACACGTACAAGTTTAACGTTGCTTTCGAGTTTATTTTCCTGATTGACGTCAGTCAGCATCGCATAAGGAATTCCTGAACCCAGCCGCCCAACAGATAAGGACACATAGAATACTACGACGTAAAAAGCTTCTCCAACAAGGTAAAAATATTGAAATTATTGGTCAGAAATGTTTCCGTTCGGTTGTGAGCACTGTTTACCCATGACTCCCTCCGTAACGTAGGGAGGAAAGGGAGTCCGCCAGGGCTAAGTGTACATAGTACAAATCCCTTGGGGGTGCACACCGGTAAATCGATCCGCCAAGCTCATAAATAAAAGTTATACCCTCAAAATATTCTATATTAGAGAGTTCTGAGCGCCGTAAAATTGGGGAATTGAAGAGATATGGTAATGAACCTCTGGCCCGGACTTGGGGCTATTTTGCCATGCTGTGGAGGGATCGTTTTTCAAGATGGCTACTTTTCCGCTTTGGGGAAAATAGGGGTCGTCTTCTTTGCGTGAAAATATCTCGAAAAGTCAATGGTCAACCCACCAAAAATTGAAAAGAAAATGAAAGATGACACATTGATCATCATTTTTCGGTGCAGCTTGAATACCTGTGAGAGTTTTGAGTATTTTTAAAATAATTTTGAAGTATGGGCATTTAGCACTAGTGTCTATTGGAGTTTATTTGCAGGTATGCATCCTTGGGGGCAATGGTCACACACAAGGAACGGTGCGCGTCAACCAGCTAAATGTCCCACCCATGGGACGTCGTTGCTAGGTAAAAGGGCGCCCTCTTTGTTTGCACACGGAGCCCATAGGCAGCTAAAAGTAGATATAATTACGGTATACATGTACAAATAATGCATGTTTGTGAGTGCAATGGCAAGAATAATTTCATGACGTGCAGCCATCTGTCACCGAATGAAATTATTCTTTCCATTGCACGAATGTGACACACTCATTAATTGTTTTATACAATACCCGAATCCTCGTCATCTGATTGGTCAGAGCTGTCAAAAATGTGACCGTGAAATGTAACTCCATTTACCATGGAATGGAACTTCTATTTTGCGGCCGCGCTGTTCGTTGGGACGAATAATTCAATGACACGTGATCAACAACCCAACAATCAGATGACGGGGATTTATTCAGGCGTTGTATAATATAGCCTATCCCACTTACCGTGCACCGGAGATAAAATTCCACATTTTGTATTAACTTCACAGTTGTGTACTCCTCCATAGTTCTCCCATCCGCTTAATTCTTTTAATTCACTGATTTCGACTTTTTTTTCCCTCTTTATTTTTTAACTTCTGTTTTGAAAAAGTCTAAATGAGCTTCAAATTCTGATGGCAATATACATTCTGCTGTTTAGAATTTGCATTATTCACTGAACTGGCGAACATAAAAACAGTAGGCTATCTGTCGTAAATGATTAACACTATAATAATTATTCCGGAAAATAAATTATACTAAATATTATCAGGTCCTATTTCCTTCTACACAATGGGAACTTTCCAGTATTACAACTAACAGTTCATATATTACGGTGCATAGGTACGGTGGCATAACAGCTGACCCGTCGAAGTTTCAGCACAGTACTGTATATTTTGCGAAAACAAATAAAAGAAAACCTTTGCACAATTTTGGTCAGACTGGCTCCCGATCCGTACATTATCGATACTGATTGTGGGGCAGGAACCAGCCAGAGAACGGAATTATTGACTGGCAGCCATAATTCGAATTGTACATTAATAAATTAATAATAATGGGCCGTTTTTTCGGTCAATATCTCATCATTCAAAAGTGAATAACTTTTGTAGTGCTAGAAAAAAATTGCAACTAAAGGAATCAGTATGAAACTCGAAAATAGCACAGAAAATACATCTTTAACAAGCACTAGGGACATGATTAGTTCAGCCGGTTAGCACATAGTATAGGCCTAAGTGACATCGAAGTCCCTTTCCGAGGGGATGGGTGTAGTCCTCGCAGTATTTATCGAATTATCGAAAACCACCTTCATTTATTGCTTTCTTGCAAACGATAACATTTCAGGCGGAATAATTTCACGTGATATTTCTTTACTTTGAGCAAGGTTTTCTCATTCAATCGGTACTGCCTTTAAAATTCTATGCTAATTTTTTTTTGTCCGGTCCAGCGATGCAGAACCGTAATTTTTGTTTAGTATTAACTTGAATGCCACCCATGAACGATTGTTGTCCTTACAGTCAGTACCGTGGGCGTCGCCAGGATTTTTTCTAGAGGGGGGCAAAACATATTTTTCCCAAAAAATTCTTGTATTTCTCAACAAATTCTCGATTTATCAGTTTTAGAGGGGGCAGGGACATTTTGCTCCCCCCCCCAACTCATTAAATTTGCACCACTATGACTTCGCGCCTCTTTTTCTTTTCAAGTTTTGTTCGCTTTTTTTTTGCTTCCTTTTTTTTTGGCTTTTCGGGGGGGGGGGGGGGGGGGGGCAAGCGCCCCCCTTGCCCCCCCCCCCCCCTCGTGACGCCCATGAGTCAGTATATTGTTTGTGAATCCCTGAGCCTACGCCAAGCGTCACGCACCCCACCACTGGATGAAACCACCAGCATTTTGGGTAGTGCACCGACATGACATTGCACCACGCGTCTAGCTATAAGTAATTACACACATCATACTGAATTCAACATATGCTGAGAATTCACAGAGTGAATAGCAGGCGTTCTTTGGGGTTTTCGGTCAGATAGGAGAGTGAAACCCGACTGACATCAGCAGCAACGAATTAAGCTGTTGCATGTATTACCGACATCTGATCGAGGTGCATTACTTAAATTAAGTTATGGAAGTTTTGCAACGGGTGACAGTGGAACCGATCAGGTTCATTTTCACAATGGCGCTCGCAATGCAGTATAGAGCGACCAGGGCTCTTATCCTTCGGAAGGTGTGTATATCAAGCCACAATCAAACCTTGTGTGGTATTGATGAAGACTCATCGGGCCTGGACAGCGACATGCCTGACGGCCAGACGGTACGGGATGATGTTGCAACTTGGTGTTTCTATCTTGACGCCTGTGCGAACCTTCTCGGTGCCCTGGTCTCGTGCGTGTACGGATCAGCCAGTGATAGGTTCGGTCGCCGGGGGCTCCTTGTGCTACCATCGCTTGGCCTGATGTTGGGATCCGCCAGTTATTTCATACACTACTACTTCTTGCAACTCCCTCTCTATTATGTCTTCTTCAGTTCAGCTCTGATGGGACTGTTCGGTTACTACCAGGCGTCTTACATTGCCACAATGAGCTATATATGCGATATTACAGACCATTCAGACAGAAGTTTTAGACTGGGTGTCATGGAATCCATGGGTTTGATAGGTGGGCCTGTAGGTATGATGCTAGCCTCAGCCCTACTCTACGTCAACTACGATGGCTTAGTCTACTTCATCATCATCCTTAGCCAGGGGGTTGTTCTTCTCTACGTCCGCTACTGGTTACAAGAGACAATTGATGTTCGAGCATTTCAGGAGGTAAACTCACAAGACGCTAATTGTTCGCCTCAAAAAATTTGCTCCGATGTGAGCTGGAGTTTGAAGCGGACTCTCATGGTTTATGTTATCTGGAGAACTGAGAACAGGAGGCAGCTTCTTCTGATCAACCAGACAGTTGGCATATTATCCTCACTTGGATCCTCAGGTATATAAAAGAAATAATTAGGAGATATAATTTTCAGACGTTACTTAATTGTTGGTTTTGTGCAAGGTGTAAGCGGGTGACAAACAAAGTATTTGTTTTACGTTTTTCAGTACCAATTTTGTTGGGGGTTATTTTTCAACATTTGTTTGCAGTGAATACCATCATAAGTATGTACACAATGCAAAAAAAGTCGCTTCCTGTTAATTTTGAAGAAGTTTGCAGGAAAAGCAAAAATAATTGATGTTGTTCAGTTACATCGATGGTTTACTTGTGTGTGACAATGATCATGTTTGTGGTGAGTATGATTTTTGAGATTCTGAAGTTACAAAACCACCATATTCCGTGTCCCTATTATGTATTGCGTATATACAGTGCGCCATGCGTAAAACTAAATTATACGAAATGTACATACATGAAGATAACAAAATTAAGCTTAGGCTAATTTATATTTTTGGCATGTCGCGTTGTGCTTTGCACAGATGACGTGGACACATTGGTCATCAAGCATAACTAATGTGACCCGTATGAGTTTGCTTTCCTGACTTGAAGTGTATTTTCTCAACAAATGAATTATCGACGATATTCGACCCTTTTGGCACCCTATTGTTGCCATTGTAGACTTGACAAAAATTAAGGCGACTGTTGTGTACCGGTGATGACTTCGTGTTGACAGTCACAGCTGATAGTCACAAGCGATCCAATTGGACATTCTGTGAATTCATATTTGCCCGGACTTGACCCTGGCTAGCGAGGATGACCCTTTGACGGCTTTATTGTAATCCTTTATAAGCTTGAAGGTTTCTCACACAAAGCAACATATAAAATCCTAACCCGCGTAGGCTGTTTCTGTATAGGAATAATTTTCCCCATTTATCTCCAGAGAATGGGATTTGTTTTGTTGTTAATCCTGAAGGCTGCAACCGGGCCCTCTCCATATTGGTCACTATGGGCCACTAGGCCGCGCCACCATTATACATTCAGCTCAGAACCTTGGAAATACGAACCAGAAAGCAACAACTACATGAGACAGATTGCAAACATGTGCAGAATCTTTTTGGCCAATTGATTCAGTTGATTTCTTCACGTGAATTAACTTAACGAAGACAAAATTAACGGAATTGGTTGAATTTTGTCGAATTTATACTTCATTCATCTTCGTGGAGTATTAAGCATGATTTTTGTTACTATTAGATTATTGCCTGGCATAACGAATAACATCCAACATGTTTTGGTTTTCATAAGTGTTGACGAGGTAAAAAAAAAAAATCCATACCTGAAAAAAATTATATACCGTAAGGATGGGAGAAATCAAGATCGATTTCTGTTTCTGACGATTGTTCATATTCAATGCTTTTATAATTTGTCTTCTACGTTGCAATTCATATTTAACAACTTGATTGTCACAAATTCATAATTAATGAACTTTTTAGCATGTGTTTGAATTGTTCAGTTGTTCAGGTTAATGCAGATCGATTGATGCAGAGCTTAATTGTTAATCTAAAACGGATCTGGTGTCGTCCATAATAATTTATGACGATGATGATACGGGCCGAGTAATAAGTCCTTCGTAATAATAGACCGGTAACTGAAACCTCCATCACAAACAGATGGTACTACAGTCTGTTGAACTTATAGTTACGGTTCAGTGAACAGTAAAGAGTTGGTTTTTTTGGTTGGTCTCAGAGAGGGCCGGCCTGTAAACCTCTTTGAACCTGAATGACTATGGCTGACTGCCTGAGTGACTGTCACTCGTGAAGTGGCCTGGCTGTTTTTGTTGAAAAAAAACCGGGCAGTGTTATCGTATAAGTTACCCAGTAATGGCCTACATCCGGCTCATTGTGTATACCAGATCCATGAAAGACTTGTTGTTTAGTGCCTATAGCTATTGTGAATCTTGTCTTGTTTCATGGACCTTTTATTCGCACGTACTATCTCTTACCATACATTCTTGGACTAAAAAAAATGGACCTGTGTCAAAGTGCTATAGAGATCTAAAAACGGGCATATACAAGGTATATATTTTAACTGTGGTCCAGTACATGAAAAATGTATTTATTTGACAGGTATTACGATTAAAATGGACGGCAAAAAGTGGTTTCATGTCGAATTAGTGATGAGTTTTTCCTAAATATCCTATATGGTGGTGGGGTGAGGGGATAACCGACAGGCTGGCTGTTGCAAATTTGGGCGAAGGGGAGGCTGGAACTCATTTGACGTTGGGGCGCTCTGTTTGTTCATATACATCACAAATCCGTTAAAGGGAAAGGGTATAAGTAGCATCGATTTAAATGTAGTCGTCTTCACTCGTCTTCTGGATGAATAACTAACAGAATTACAAAAAAATACACTTGCCAGCCTGAAACCCACCCACCCCCACCCATTTCCCTCTCCCGGATCCGTCTATACACTGTTGTGACAAATAATCTTGAGAATGATCGTTTGAATTGACTTTCATCCTCAGGAGAGCAAGGGCGGATCCAGGGGGGGGGGGGCCAAAGGGGGCCATGGCCCCCCCCCCCCCCCCCCAAAAAACGAAACCAATTTTTTTTTTTTTAATGTGACATCGCAATAAAGGCAGGCAATGAGTACACCACCATCTTTTCCTCAAAAAAAATTTGTTAAAGTGGTCAGAAATTGCCTCAGATCGCACCACAGAGCATCTAGAATCCAAAAAAAATTCGGGGCCCTAGCGGGCCCCGAACCCCACGCCGTAATTTTTTAGACCACTTTTTGGGGGGACCAATTTTGTTTTGGCCCCCCCCCCAAAATTGTGTTCTGGATCCGCCCTTGCAGGAGAGATGGATTTGACCCGTCTGTACACCAGCAGCCCCCCACTGAGCTGGGCTGACTCCACCCTCCTGGCCTACCTCTCAGTCAAAGATGCTGTCAAGGGTATGATCCTAGCCGTGGGAATACCACTGCTCTTCCTGTACTTCAGCCACTGGACCATCCGACTGGACATGATTATCGCCATGACTACACTGCTGTCCACGTCAGCCTCCCTGGTGCTGAGGGCATTCGCCTCCAGCACCCTCATGATGATGCTAGGTATGTCAGTTTTCCTTAATCTACTCAATGTGGAATGCCAAGTGGATAGTGTGTGGTGCAAAGTATGTTTTCATTAAGTAAGCCTGTTAAAGCCACGTCGGGACATTTGCAGTTATGAAACCAGAAAACTAACTGTCGACTGGTATCAAATACCCTGTGAAATTATTTCTCCTGAAATGTTATCGTTTGGAAGAAGTAACATTGAAGGTTTCGAGACCCAAGATAATGTTCATACGTTTTCTCTGTTTTCTCAAAATGATCGACTTTGTTTAAACTTCAAGGTTTACTTGTTATTTAACTACTTAAAAAAAAGTTTTGAGTTGTCGTTGCATCAAGCAGAAAAAATAATCCTACGTTCCAGGCAATGAAAAAAATCCAATACTGATTTGATGGAATTCTTGATTTTCATATTAATTGTTTCAAATGTCATTGAAAGTTTAGTTTTAGTCTCCCGTATCAATGAAATTTAATCTCTCATAAAAATGTTTTTTTTCTTGCAGTGCCGGTGGTTGGATGTTTAGGAGGATTTCCAAACACGCTCATCTCATCCATCAAATGCAAGCTGGTAGATCCTGATGAATTCGGTAATTTACCAGTCAATTCCTGTTGTGAGTCGGTAGTTATGGACTATAGGACTAGTACAGTGACTAACATTTTCGGGTTTTGACCGTTATTCCCTCTGCCCCCCAAAAAGGGGGGTGGGGAAGTAGATCTGATGGATTTTTAGGACATGGATTTTGATCCCCATCCCCCAAAAGGATCCGTTTTATTGTTGGGCGTCGGTAAAAATAAAAAAAAATTAGACCAGCGACACAAAAGTTATCAAGGATGATTCAGCAATTCCGTTATTGGAGTTGTACACGCATGAATATACAACCACGTAATTAAAGTGATCCTTGGGAGACTCATGTAATTACCGTAACTTGATACAGGCTTGGCATGGTGGTTTGATATTTGTTTTTCTATTACAATATGGCTAATATTCTTTGCCGTCAAATTGACATTGGTTTCGATTGACTGTTGCAAGTTGGAATGTCCGTGCGTTATAGGAGCTTGGCACTTTAATGTAAAGATTAACATTGAATGTAATCGATTCTCCAATGAGATAACAAACAACTAGGATGGCGATAATTTCTCGGTTGATCTACGGGAAGTAGGCCAGGACGTAATGCACATTCGATTTGCAGTTCAGTCATTATGTACATGCATGCATGCACCCTCACTGACATGTAAATAGGTAGTAAATTTACATGTTGGTTGGGCCATGGATTCTAAAATCTTTGACCGTATTGGAAGAAAAAAAATCGATAACCTGAAATATCGGTGGCAATACTTTTTGTTGTAAAAGCCAGCCAACTTCCCATTTCGCCATATGTTTATTATGTTCATTAGGGGAAAATCCATAACTCCATACAGTTGCAAATATTGCTTAATCATGCTTCGGGCCAAAGTGTTGATTCAACATTCTATCTACTCCCTCCCCTTGAGAATCCCTGGACTTCAAACACTCCAGCCCTACCCACCCCTTTTTGAAACAAATCTGGAATCCGCCACTGTACTGATGCATGGCTGCATATTAATCAGCCGACAATATGTCCTTCTTTACACACCCCAATGTGAGAATCGCCGTTCTTATTTTGCTTTTTCAGGAGCCCTGTTTGCCTGTACGATGCTTATCCAGAGTATATGTCACGTCGTAGGCAGAGTCTTCTTTCAGATGTTGTACGCCGCAACACTGACAATCTGGCCACGCCTACCCTTTCTGGGCATGGGCATCTTTTTTGTCATGTTGTTATCCATAATAACGTAAGTCATTGTTTTGGGAAAATGGTTATAGTAGTGGATTTATTTGTGTTTAAATTTACGAACACCTTTTCATGAGAGACTATCCCATTACTCCCCCTTTCCTAGCCTAATAATTACAATTTCAATATTTATGCGCCTAGGCCGTTTCCCTTATCGGGCTACGTGGTAATTAACAGGGTGACCGTTTTAGCCGATTTTCGGCTAATATTGACAGAATTTTTGTTAAAAAACGAGTTTGACAGAAAATTTGACAGAATGGAATTTTTTTGGCAGATTTCTGGCAGAATTCTGCAAAAATGGTTATTTGACAGAAAAACAGCAAATTTAAACAAAAAAAGTGTACCTTTGGTTAAAAATTAAAGCTTCAATACTTTCAAACAAACCCTTGCATAATGGGACAGGTTGGCTGGTCTATGGGTGCTGAGGTTCACTGGGAAACGACTTTGTCATGGCTGGATCCGTGTTTTGCCAGAAATTTACCAATACTTTCACAACATCTTTATGTGACTAGATTGTACATTATGTAATTTGAATCTTAATTAAGGCAATACTACCAATCTGCATGTGATTTTAAGTGTTTATAGTGTATTTCGAGTTCTTCTGGGGAAATTGGCAGATTTTCGATAAATCTGACAGATTTTTTATGTGCATTTAGTAGAATTTGGCTCTGACCGTACGGTCACCCTGGTAATTAAAATGAGCCTAAACTGTCAATGCAATTGAGTACTAGCTGTGTTATCAAAATGCTGGTAGCTTTCATGATCTCTGCATGCGCGCATGAAGGTGAAGTCAGGTGACCGGACCGGTCGGAAACAATACAACAATAGACAATGGATGGTGAAACGGCCTTCAAATACAAGCTGTGTTTTCGCGTAGTTGTTTATACGTGGTGATTAGTGGTCTCAGCCGGGACCAGTAGCGTAATCGAGATTGGTATTGGTATCACCACCGGTCTCGAGACCCATTGTTTTTCATCTTTTATCCGGATTCTTAAGGTCATTAAACTCACAATTTAATCGAGTCTTGGATTTTTATGATTTTGTTATTTTGGTCTGAACTCTGAATTTAAAAGAGACCTCGACATGTACCGTGTAAAAAAAAACCGAGTCCCGAACAGAAATCCAGCTTGACGTTATTCGTATCAGATTCACTTTAATTCATAGTTATGCACATGAGCCTAATTTTTGCATCAACACATGCCTGTTTGTGGCGGTTTCTTCGTTCGAAATGAGAATCCGAACTACCCATGGTATATGACTGTTCAAAAGGCAACTGCGCCAGAGGTCAACTATAGACATGGCGCTGTTGCCTTTTCACAGATCGGCTCGCAATATTATACCAACATAAAAAAAAATATTGTTCGCACACAATAGGCCACCAAAAAAAACTTTTCATAATCACCAGCCTGCAAAGCCGGTTCAATCAGTTCCACGTTCCACAAAACTTCTTGTTGCTTTGGAGAGCGTTCATGCGGATTTCTGTGGCGGCCTTAAAAAAGGAAATTTGAGTTGAACAGATTAGGTTCGGATACAATAAGGTGACCTTAACAGTTTAAAGAATTTACAAGATTGGAAGAGTGGTAATACAGTATACAAAGTATTCACTGCGTGGAGTGCTGTATTTTTGTGTGTGAGTGACCAGGGTTATTATGCATGTATTTGTTCAGGCATTTATAGACGTTTCAGATACCTGGTATTTAAACCCAAATAACATTAACCCTAACCCCTATATGATGTGTAAAGAGTCATATTAAAATGGGGAATTCACTGTTGGAGTTAAAGAAAGTTGGGCTCTGTTTTAGATATCCACATAATAATGCTTAGTACAGCCGATGAGAAGATAACATTTTCCTTGTTTACATTTTCGCACCAAAAACAAACTGGTAGGCCCTATGCAAATTCGTTTGCAGCAACAAATTGACACGAGAACCATTATAGTCCCAAGTAAGTTGGAAAAGGACAAGCGAATGTATGAGTTAACAGTATGGGACACGTAGAAACATTTGCAGTTACTCGGAAACGCACCTAACGATTTAAAGAAAAAGTCCCGTTGCTCAAAGTCGGACAGGACTGGTACTAAATACCCTGTGAAATTATTTCGCCTGAAAAAGTATCATTCGGAAGAAAATTTATTGAAGGTACCGTGGTTTGAGAAAATGTGCCCGCGGGCAGTTTTTTTTAACGTGCGTTAAAACGGAGTCCAGTCACGGGACCCTACAAAATTGTGCATTTGTTTTTTTCGCTCTTTTTTTAAGTGTTTAGTGTCCACTGAGTTGAAAGTTCAACAAGTTGGTTTTTATGCACCCTTCTCAACCCTAAAGGAGCCGGGTTATTTTGACCATCTCACAGCCGGGGGGGGGGGGCGGATTCCCCTCAGATCTCGGCCATTGAGTGACGAAAAATTATGAAACTCGATGCATGCATAATACAACTTAATATTAACATACCCAAGAAATTTCATGACTTTTGATTAAAGGGTTTTGAAATTATGCCTAATTAATTATTCATATGCACCAGTGATAGTTCTGCTTTGTTTACATTAATGGGGAAATTCAGTTTTCACAGCGCGCAGCGCCGAAAAAAATCCCTGCGCGGTATATATAAACCCATGGTCGGAATTCTATGTTTTTGGTATCAAAAGATGCGCAAGACTCGAGGCTAAAAAGTCAGGAAAGCTCGGGTCGGGACATTTTTTTGCAAGGGTCGCGGAAAAAGTTGAAGGGGGGATTCCGCCCCCGGCCCTTTTAGGGTTAAGGATTTTAGCAATGTTATAGCTTCCCCCAAAAAGTATACGAAATGCATTTAAACCAAATGATATGTAGGCCTGTAAAGCCGACCTTTAAGTTTTGGCTTTTGCCTTTAGGTATCGATCTTGAGTGGTGAACTGAAGGCGAGCATGGCAGTATCTGTTGTAGTGATATAAATGATATAATGTCGACGATGATCATGGTACATGTAATGACTTGTGTGGCAATCGGATGATATAGAATTCTATAGAATAATCAGGTTGGTGTGGATATTATAGATAGGCAGGCTGGGCATATTCATTCAAATTTTATTGAGAGTTCTTTATGAATCATTTCTTAACTGCAGGTATATGTGGTGTTTGAGTGGCCATCTAGACAAGAAAGGTAAATGCTTGAGCTAGTTTAAAAAGTGAAAGGTTAAGTTTAGTTGTGGCTTTCACACGCTGCATATATATACGATTTTTTTGCAATTAATGATTGAGCTCTCCCCGATGATGAATTTCATTTGCCCCCAACAGTGACGTACGCAGCACGGTCATTTTTATTGGGGGGGATATTTCTTGAAAAGGGCACTTGCACATCCGTGGTGAAATGTAGACACGTTTTTTTCTCTCCAGACACTTGGCCTCCGTAAAATCAAAAGGGGGGCTGGTACCATGGCGGCGATGTTCAAAACCGACGATTATGCACACTAACTGACAATATATGGCGCTTTTCGTGAAATGCACAAAAAGGCTCCCGGAACGGCAGAGAGTACAAAAAAGGGCACCACTTCCAATTTTTTTTTCTTGGGGGGGGGGGGGTAAGCGCTGGTGAAAAAAAAGGGCATTTGAATGGAAAAGACCAGTCTTCACAAAGTATTGGGCGGGTAAATATCCCCTGAAGAGCACAGACAGTACATCTTCAAATTTCTATCTATAGCTACAAATCACAAATAACTGGATTTCGTATTTCTTTCCCGATTTTCTTATTGCAGATAAAACGGATGCTCGACAGCAGCTGATCAACTCGTACGATGGCAATGAAGAGGAGATTGAGCTATTTTCTGCCAAAACAAAGTGAATGAACGTCTTAAACTTAGATGGTTCGATGAATATTGGGTGGGGAATTTTACTTTATAAATTCTCGTTTACATGAAATAAGTAGATTTAGTCGTTATGTTATACAAGGATGTTCTTCCGTAGGTTTCCACCTCTGTTGCAATGGTATGATGAATAGGCCTATTACCATAATTTATTAATTTTTGTAACAAAACAAATGTGTATACCAAAATATTTAAGAGGTTTGCATTTAGTAGTTTTTACATAGCAGATTCGAAGTAAAGCTTAGGATGTACCTTCGCCTCGCCTCATCCGGCCAAAACAAAAAACAGTCCCTCGGAAGTAGGCCTAAAAATGCTGTTTTTTATGTACTGGGCTTCATGGTAGTTTTTGCGGGAATTTCAAAGCTTAAATACGGTGAAATGCCAATAATATATAGACGAATGTAATATAATAGAAGGGAATTAAATGTAGTGTTGGTTTCTTGACGTGGGCGAGATCATGGTATCATGGGAATTCATTGATAATGTTAAGCTAAAACTTCGTTAGAAATCACTTTATTTGGGGGGTTGTAATTTTTTTTTTAGTTTTGGAAACGCCCTTTGTAGAATCACTTCTGTTCTCACAAAATAAGCATAGGACCTACATATAGTGGAGATGCTAAGCGAAAAATTGTGCACTTTGTGGTAAAAGCATGAAATTCGGCATGTGGGGTCAAAATGGGCTAAAAATCATTTTAAGATCGGGACCCATCCTGGATCTTGCCCATTTTGGGGGCGGAGCTTGATTTTTAAAAAAAGGGGTGCAAACAATACAAACTCATGAAAACTGTATTTAACATCAAATTTCCTTGGTTTTTTACGCTTTGAAATAAACTTAAACATGAAATAAGACATTCTAGCATTCTAACACCTGTTAATTTTCCACCCATTTTGTGGGCGTGGTCTAAATGGTAAAAGAGGCGGTATATATTAGCAGTTTGGTTCTAATATGGAAAACATCATTCAGTTTGGTGGTAAAATTCTGAAAATTGGCATGTCCAATTGAAATGGGCGAACATAATTTTTAGAGGTGAACGCATCTTGGATCTTGCCCATTTGGGGGGCGGAGCTTGATTTTTCAAAAAGGGGAGTGCAAAAAAAGAAAACTCAAAAAACTGTATTTTACATTCACTTTGTTTCTCATGCTTTGAAACAAAGTGGATGTAAATTCTAACATTCTAACGTGTTATTTTCACCCTTTTGCGGGCGTGGCTTAAATATGTAAAGAGGCGGTACATTGGAGCAGCTTGATTCAAACGAGGGAAAATCATCATTTTTGCTGGTAAAAACACAACTTTTCCATCGGTTTAAATGGTTGCAAGACTAGTTGTTGCCCTTTAGGGGTGGAGCTACATTTTAAAGTAGGCGGCTATAAAAAAAATCATATCTAAATTGTTATCATTGTCTACAAGTAACTTACACAGGGTGAGTCAAAAAAAAGGAAACCCAAATGGCAGGACACATTTTTTTAATGAAGTTCTGCATGTAGCACTATCAAAATCATATGAACTTCAAATTTGGTTTGTGTATTTTTCTTGGTAATCCTAAGAAGCCTATTGCATTTGGGGCCGAAAGGTCAAGGGTCAAGGTCACTTTACATGTGAACTTCAAATTTGGTTTGTGGATCGTTCTTGGTCAAGGGTCAAGGTCACAGTGGCTAAAACAATAGAAATCTTGTATTTATTCTGAGATCATAGGGATTAGGGATTAATTCATATAAAACCTACACGAACGTGTTTGCTTAATTTTCATTCATACAGATGCTAGTAAATGCTTCAAAATTGGAAGTAAAAGCAAATGCCATGTTTTATTCATACGAACATGGTATCATTTGTACTTTATGAACTTTGTTAATATTAATTTTTCGCGATTAACATATGATAAATGCTGTAGCTTTTGCGCAGAATTATTTGCTTTATAATTTCAAGGTTGCCCCAACCCAGCCTTGTGAATGACAAGTGCATATTTGAAATCTGAAGCATTTACTCCTTTATATTCATACGAAACGTACAGATGGGAGTAATGCAAATGCCAGTTTTTATTCATACGAACTACCGTATGGTATTATTTGTACTTTTTCGCGATTAACATTAATAAATGCAGTAATTTTTGCGCAAAATTATGTGCTTTTATATTTTCAAGGTAGCCCCAACCCAACCTTGAAATATGACTAGTAAATATTTAAAATTAGTAGCATTTACTCCTTTTTATTCATAAGAAACGAAGTAAACGCTTATAGTGTAGCAAAAGCTTAAAGGTAAAAGTAATTATTTTCAGAATTTAGCAAACGGTTTTTAGTAAAAGTGTTTGCTTAATTTTCATTCGTACAGATGCGAGTAAATGCTTCAAAATGGTAGCAAAAGCAAATGCCATGTTTTATTCATACGAACATGGTATCATTTGTACTTTATGAACTTTAATAAATGCAGTAGTTTTTGCGCAGAAGTATTTTACTTTATAATTTCAAGGTTGCCCCAAACCAGCCTTGTAAATGACAAGTGCATATTTAAAATCTGAAGCATTTACTCCTTTATATTCATACGAAACGAAGTAAACGATAAATATTTTTTTTCTGGTAATGAAACCAAGGATCCTCAAAAGTGCATGCCCCAGGCACTGTAGCTCGCAAACCCCCCCCAAAAAACGTAGAGAGAAGACAATGAGAAAAAATTACAGTTTTAGAGGTGGGAGGAAAACCCCAGAAGAATAGTCCGGGGAAAACCCACGGAATCAGGTATGGACTGAAAACCCAATCCACATGTAGACCATGGGTGCCGATGCACAGCGCATTGTGCACGTAAACGGCATTGCGTTCGTCGCGTTTGATGCGCTTTTTTTTGTATCTGTCCTCCAGCACGTGACCCTCCCCGGTGCCGCTTTCCATTTCGGTTACGATAGTTTTATTTTCTGCAAACTTATAAACATGTAAAGCTTTACATTTTGCAGGCCATTTACTCAAGAGCAAATGGTTTTTAGTTAAAGTGTTTGCTTAATTTTCATTCATACAGATGCGAGTAAATGCTTCGAAAGTGGTAGAAAAGGCAAATGCCATGCTTTATTCACACAAACATATGGTATCATTTGTACTTTATGAACTTTAATAAATGCAGTAGTTTTTGCGCAGAATTATTTTGCTTTATAATTTCAAGGTTGCCCCAACCCAGCCTTGTAAATGACAAATGCATATTTGAAATCTGAAGCATTTACTCCTTTTTATTCATACGAAACGAAGAAAACGATTATTAGGCCAAAAACGGCTCTGGTTTCTGGTATGCGCGCGCGTCGCCATAGCCATGTGCGTCGGCAATGTAAGATGACGTCTTTCAATGTAAGATGATGTCTCAAACCACCAAACTCACTGGTTCGACTGGAATCCTGCTGCTGAACAATTTTAACGTGTTATTTCTCATAAAGTTATTTCTCATGTCTAAGTTTATTTCAAGCATGAAGAACAAAGGGAAATGGATGTTAAATACAGTTTTTCTGAGTTTTTTAATATTTTGCACTCCCCTTTTTGAAAAATCAAGCTCCGCCCCCCCAAAATTGTGCAAGATCCAAGATGTGTTCACCTCTTAAAATTATTTTCAGCCCATTTTAACTGGCCAATTTTCAGGATTTTACTACCAAACCGAATAATGTTTTCCATATTAGAACCAAACTGCTAATATATACCGCCTCTTTTGTACATTTAGGCCACGCCCACAAAATGGGTGGAAATTAACTGGTGTTCGAATGCTATAGAATGTTATATTTTATGTTTAAGTTTATTTCAAACCATAGAAAAACAAGGAAAATGGATGTTAAATACGATTTTTATGAGTTTGTATTGTTTGCACCCCTTTTAAAAAAACAATCAAGCTCCGCCCCCAAAATGGGCAAGATCCAGGATGGGTCCCGATCTTAAAATGAATTCTAGCCCATTTGGACCCAACCTGCCAAACTTCATGCTTTTACCACAAAGTGCACGATTTGGGCCATAAATGGACCTAAGCAGCTCCACTAATATGTGCTGTACTCAGTTAAACAATTGTTACCCTAGGTTTTTTATAATTATTTGCTCAATCAGTGTAGTCTACACAACATGCAGCACAACATTCCCAGCATTTTTTTAGGGGGGCAGAAATCTATGCTATATGATAATTTGAATAAAATGGCAAATGTACTTCGGACTTGGAATCGGTGTGCATTATTTTATTTCTGGACACATGAGGGCGCTGTTGTCATGCGTTTCTCTGGATACGGATTTCAGTCATCTAATCCAAATAACTTTATGTAAAAAGCATTAAAACAGATCAAAACAAAAAATGGCGCATGAAAGAACTGTGAATTTTTCTTAAAATTTGTTTATTACTTTACTTGGAAAATTAAATGACCACTTTAAGCACAAACAGAAACGATATCACTGCTGTTTTCATGTACTAATACTTCTGAAAATGCAAAAATCCAAATCACTGAAAAAAATTAATAGCTTTTGGAAAATTCTAAGATGTCTATCATATCGGCCAAGTGAATTGCTGTTTTTCAACCAGTTAATAATACAGTAAATTTCCCTCTGAAAACATCTACCCCAAAAAGAGGATTCATTCTTTAACTACAATGGATATTTTTGACTACATTATATTGAATTATGTATGATTATAAACCTTTCATTTTATAATGCAAAGAATGTCATTTCATATAATGAATTTTAATGATTTCGACTGAATGAGCCTACATGCGCAGAAAAACTACCTAAAACGACCGAAACTGAGACGACTTTAAGGACCCTATGAAATGAAAGTTCAAGCCCTTTATGCTAGAACCCAGAAGCAAGGTAATTATCCCTTTGTTAAGGAATATATTTTGCATGCATCTTTAGACGTGAATCAGACTGCCTCTAGAAATCCTCTAAAACTAGATCTTCAGTTGTGTTTATCTTTTACCAAGAGGGCCGGGACCTGGGAAGGCCAGGACCAGGGAAGGCCATTCTTGATGGTACAACCTCCTTCACTGGAAAATAAAGATCAGAACATTATCGCAATGCCTCAGGCATGTTTTTTTAAGACCTCTCATCACATGTGGAGACACAAACTACATCACATGACAGTCATGTGATGGGGGGGGGGGGAACTTGCAGTTCCAGCTGATGGCATCTCAGGTGAACTCCATCATTCATATAACATCTTGGAGGAGTTTTACAGCTGCTGCACCGGTCATTAAAAATCTGTGTCCCATTCACAGTGCTTAAGATTCTGCAAATCACGAAGTCACTTGGCATCGTTGTTTATCCCGGCTGTCTCTTTCTTCTTCTAGTTGTTTTGTCAGAGCAATCTGTTCCTCCAAGTCTTTTTGGTTTTGTCGCTTTCTCCTCTGCCTCTCCAAATCTCTATGTACACCTTGGTGCAGCCTCTGTAGCCATAATGAAAAAAGAAGGAACCATACCGGTTATTTGAGATGTATTTTCAGTCCTATTTTTGAGTATCACCCATAAAAAAAGACTTTGTTTTCAACTTACTCTTTGTCTTGCAATGTAGAAGTTAACTGCTTTTGAATGAAACATTGATTTAAAAAAATCAGCCCGTATTTAGCTTTGGAATGATTACTCATTTTCACGAAGTACACTGGTTCTTGCCACTCTATTACAACCAATACTGCTGGGACAGGAACCAGTCTATTCCTAGGGCAGATTTGTTAGTGGCAAAAGCAACCCAAATAAATAGGATTGTTTCCTTCTTTTCTTGCAGTTAAAATAAAACACTCATGCTTTAGATCAAAATTTGCAAGGAGATAAAATCGCAAGTGTTGCATGTAATGGACACTACACAGTATATCTTTCAGGAATACAGTTAAAAACAACTGATAAAAAGTTAGCTCCTAGAAACCAAATTCTCGTCATTTTGGATTTCTTTACAAATTACACTTTACAACACTTTAAAGTAAGACGTAGCCTGCCCTAGTCGTACTCGATCGAAGGCCTACCAATACCATTGTCACGCCCCAACTATCGCATCGGTCCCAACTATAGTTGGGACTGTCCCAACTATAGTGCAGCAGTTGGGTCGGCCCAACTATAGTTAGGACTGGAGTTGCGCCGGATGCTTCATGCTTGATAGATCTTGTTGGATTAAATGTTCCGCGGCGCTGGCACCGTGTATTCGTCGTGCATGCATGCCGCAAGGCTGGCCGGTCACGTGGTACTGCCTAGTTGGATGAGTTGTCCAGCTGCTGGGTTTTATTATCCAGCAACATTTTGCAAAATTCAAAGATTGCCATGGCCGGCCAACTATAGATGGGCCCCTACCATAGCTAATGTCAAAGGTCTCAAGTCGGACATGTAATAAGCAGAGCTGTAGAGAATGTTTTATAGTCGTACATCAATGTAAACTATAGTTGGAACCGCCAAATAAAAATATTGCGGTGGCCCAACTACAGATGGTCCCCACCCATAGATCATTTCATTGGTCCCCAGTAAAGTCAGATGTATTAGAGTTGTAGGAAATGTTTTATAATCGTACAACAATGTACACTATAGTTGGGACCGCTAAATAAAAAGATTGGGGTGGCCCAACTATAGATTCGCCCCATCAATAGCTAATTTCAGTGGTCCCCAGTAAAGTCAGACGTGTATCAGAGATGTAGGGAACGTTTTATGGTTGTACATCAATGTAAACTATAGTTGGGACACCGCAAAATAAAAAGATCGAAGTGGCCCAACTATAGATGGGCCAGCCCAACAATGGAACTTACAGTTGGGACTGTCCCAACTATAGTTGGGACAGGCCCAACTATAGTTGGGCCAGCCCAACTGTGGAACTACAGTTGGGACAGATGCGATAGTTGGGGCGTGACACCCACATACAAACTTATCGCGGAAATTCACCTATGCAAATTGGGGTCAACACGCCCCTCATTATGACGTCAACGTTGAGTTCGTGCTTGCGCTCATGCCATCAATTTCAGCCCGACTCGCTTCAGTTTTATGAATGAAATCATTATGCATCGGAGAGTGCACATGCCAGAAATTTACAGTAGAAAAGCTCATGATATCTGCTTTCTTTTGCCGAAGAAAGCATCAAAATCGATGACCTATTGCTTGAGTTTTGACAGTTGAAACATTTTTTAGCGGTTTTTTTTTTAGGAATCAAAACTTCTTATTTTTCGAGGGAGTCCATCTTTTTAATCCTAAATTTCTCTCTTCTCGAATTTGGTTCGGGAAAACCGGAATTAGTTCCATATAGAACAGGTTTTCAGCTTTGATATGGTGTGGCACATGTGGGTGGCCGGTCTGATACGGCGATGGCCGCGAGCAATATGCATAAAAATTGCTCGCTAAAACTGCCCAAAATTGCGAACGATAGTGAAGTAATCACGTGATATAAACACGTGCAACGTGCAGGAGATATATATAGCTCAGTGAAAGGCGGTTACGAAGATTAAAGGGATCCCGTTTGATTAAAGGGATCCCGTTTGATGAAATGTGTGTGTGTCTCTTTTTTTTTCTGTCCCTTTTACCCTGTATCCCGATGCAACGGAGTTGGGCGGTGGGTTGGGGTGGGGATGGCCCGCGGGTGGGGTGGGGGAGGCCTGCAGGTGGGGTGGGGGAGGGGGAGGGGATGGGGGGGGGGCGGGGGAACAAAGACACAGTGGGTGGAATATGCACATTCTTTGGTTGAATGGCCATTGCACATATCCCAACACCTTGAGGGGCGGGGTGGGGTCCCCTGGGTGGGGGGAAAGGAACGGGAGGGGGGTACTGAGAACCAGGATAATGGAATAATTCCTGTCTTTCATTTCTTACACCTGCACCATATCAGGACCCCATGGAAGGGGAGTGCACATAAGGGGTTCCCGGTGGAGGGGGGGGGGGGCGTGGGGGAGGATGCCTCGTGAGTGTAGAGGGGGGCCGGGGTTAGAGTACTCAAAACCAGGAAGCTTAAAATCCGGGGGGGGGGGCTCAAAAGGAGGAGGGTGGAATTTCATATTTCCTTTTCTTTTTTCGGTCCTTGCAACATATCCCGACCCTAGTGGGCGATGGGTGGTGGGGGCCCCCACCAACACAGAAATCTTGATATGCAAATTAGGTAAACAGCGCCGCTCATTATAGCATCATCATGAAATTCTTGCTTACCCGCAAAACATCTACTTCGGCCAATTTTCGGCCAGACTCCTTCAGTTTTATGAATAATATCACTGTAGGCCTACATCGGAGGATGCACCTGCCAGAAATTTACATGCTGAAAGCAACAGAATCATGTCCGCTTCCTTTTGCCGAAGACAGAGTCAAAATTGTTAAATGAAAGGGTGAGTTTTGACGATTAAAATATTGTTTTAGCGTTTTCCTTTTTGTAACTCAAACTTCGTATTGTCCAAGGGAGTCCATCTTTCAATCCTGTTTTTCTTCCTTCCAACATTTTGTTTGAGATCAAATGAATTAATTCCGAGTAGTTGAGTTTTTTAGCTGGCGAATGGTGTGGCCTAAGTGGGTGGTCGGTTTAATAGTGCGATGGTCGCGAGCAAAATGCATGGAAATTCATCACTGGAACTGCCAAAAATTGCGAATGATTTTCAAATGATCACGCCGGTTATATCCGGCCCGCCGGCACCGCGCGCGTTCTAATAAAAACCCAAGATTAATAAAATAATCGGTTACACCTCTATGTTCCGACACCCCTATGTTCCGACTGCACATATTCCTATTCCTAGCCCTAAACCCTAACCGGGAGTAACACAATCTAGGTTGTCGGAACATAGGGGTGTCGGAACATAGAGCAGTCACCAAATAATCAAGATGTTTTGTTTTCTGATAAATGATGTGACTTTATTATTGGGAATACCACTTTCTTTTTTTCCTTTTCCCTGCCCTGGATACCATATTCCGACCCTGGGGATGGGGCGGTGGGGGGGGGGGGGGGGGGGGCGGGCGGAGCGTGGTGTTCAAACCACGCCAAGAGGGCTGAAATTGTTTTTTCCAACAAGTGAAGTTTGTCTTTTAATTTGGTGCAATGACGTTCCCGACCAGACTTTCTTTACTGCGATATCATGGACCGGGCCGGGGTTGAGGCGGGACCGTATCATAAGTCCGACGCCTCATAGGTCCGACGCCTCATAAGTCCGAAATTTCGGACTTATGAGGCGTCGGACTTTATTTATTCCGCCTCATAGATCCGACGCCTCATAAGTCCAACGCCTCAAAAGTCCGACAACGGAAAAACGAGTGTCGGACTTACGAGGCGTCGGAGCTATGAGGCGTCGACCTATGAGGCGTCAGATTTATTAGGCGTCGGACCTATGAGGCGTCGGACTTATGGGCCTTTATTTGGTTAGGGGATGTGATTTTGTCGGATTTATGAGGCGTCGGACTTATGAGCGGACCCCGTTGAGGCCGGGTAGGGGTTGTGGGGGCGGGGGGATTTCCCAAAACAAAGAGGGTGGAATGTCCTTTATGTTCTTTTAGTTATTAATCTTAAGACGTGCTGCTCTTGGGGGGAGAGAGGTGGTGGGGCCGCATGAGTCGGGGGTGGGGGTGGGGGGGGGGGGGGTTAAGGTACTCCAAACCAGGAGGGTTGAATATCCCGGGGAGCATCAGAAGGGGAGGGCCTGGAATTTCCCAATCTTCTTTTGTTTTCATCATCATCATCATCATCATCATCATCATCAGACGTCGTAGGCTACTGCCCGTTGACGCAACAACCGTCCACTTCTTCTGGGTTGTGTGACTGGTGAAGGGGTGATTTCCTTCGCTGAAGGGTCGCCGCAGTTAGTTTATCCACGCTGAGACCGCTCCATCTGGTGAGGCCGTCGATCCAGCGGAGTTTGGTCATTGCATTATATCCCGACCCTTGGAGACAGAGGGTGGGGGCCCCGACAAACTATTCACAGAAACCTTCGTATGCAACTAGGCGAACAGCTCCGCTCATGATGACGTCATTGTCAAGTTCTTGTTTCATTACGCGCATGACATCGTCTTCGGCCAATCTCACTGGGAGTCCATCTCTTCAATCCTATTTTTCTTCTTTCCAACATTTGGTTCGAATTCAAATGAATTTATTCCGAATAGTTGAGGTTTTCAGCTGTCGAATGGTGTGCCACATGTGGGTGGTCGATTTGATAGTGCGATGGTCGCGAGCAATATGCATTGGCATTTTTCGATGGAACAGCCAAAAATTGCAAATGATTTTCAATAATTGATCACGCCATCACCGCTTGCGTTCTAATAAAAAAACAAAATTAATCTAAAAAGCAAGATGTTTTGTTTTCTGATGAATGATGCACCTTCATTACATTATTGGGAGTAGGCCTACCCCTTTCATTTCATTTCCCCTGTCCTGGATATCATATTCAGACCCCCGGGTGTGGCGGGGGCGGGGTGTGCGGTTCAAGCCATGCCAAGAAAGCTGAAATTATTTTCTTTTCCAACAGTGATTTTTGTCTTTTTACGGTGGTGGTGCAATTACGTTCCCGGCCAGACTTTCTTTTTTACTGCGAGACTGGGTTGGGGTGGGGGTTGAGGCCGGGTAGGGGTTGTTGGGGGTCGGGGGATTTTCTTCCAGTGATTCTAAGTTCCAAATCTGCATGCCCAGTGGGTGGGTATGGGAGCGGGCAGGGCTGGTGGATTTACCAAACAAAGGATTGCATATTCTTCAAGTAATTTTATTCAGACTTGCTTGCCCGTGGGTGGAGGGGGGGGGGGGACGGGTTGGATTTCCCAAAACAAAGAGGATGGCATATCATTCCTGGGAGAGAGAGGGGGAGAGAGAGGTGGAGGGGTTATAGTACTCCGAACCAGGAGGGTTGAATATCCCCGGAGAGCCGCAGATTGGGAGGGCCTGGAATTTCTCAATCTTCTTTTGATTTGGTCCTTGCATTATAATCCCGATCCTTGGGGCAGAGGGTGGGGGCCACGACAAACTATTCACAGAAACCTTCGTATGCAAATTAGGTGAACAGCGCCGAATTTTATGACGCAATCGTCAAATTCTTGCTTTAAAATACGCGCATGACATCGTCGTCGATCAATTTCGGCCACTCTCGCTAGGAGTAGGAGTCCATCTCTTCAATCCCGTTTGTCTTCTTTCCAGTATTTGGTTCAAATTCAAATGAATTTATTTCGAATAGTTGAGGATTTTAGCTGTCGAATGGTGTGCCACATGTGGGTGGTCGGTTTGATTGTGCGATGGTCGCGAGCAATATGCATGGACATTTTTCGAAGGAAATGCCAAAAATTGCGAATGATCAGTTAGTCTGCATACAGTATACACGTACGTACGTGCAGCAGAGCAGGGGATCTACCCGATGTTCCCCAATACCGATGTTCCCCCAAATCCATAGGATTAGGGTTAGGGTTAGGGTTATATTGGTAAGGATTTCGAGGAACATCGGTATTAGGGAACATCGGAATTGGGGAACATAGACATGCACCCGTGCAGGAGCTATGGAAGAAGCGTTACAAAGCAAGGATTCCGTTTGTTGATGGCCTTTTTTTTCGTCCCTTACTATCCCAAAGCGACGGGACGGGGTTGAGTGGGTGGGGTGAGGGAGGCCCGCGGGTTGGAGTGCAGGTTGGAAGGGTGGGGAGATAGGGGGCGGTGCACCGGGAACACTCCATGCACATTTTTTATTGACCCTTTTGGCCTTGCCAATTATCCCGACCCCTTGGGGCGGGGCGGGGATAAAATTTCCTTTGTTCCTAATTTTTCCTTTTTTCCGTGCACCATTATCCAGACCCCGGGGAAGGGGGCGTTAGGGACGGGGGGAGGGGCGAATGGGGGATGGGGGCAAATGGGGGATGGGGCCGCGTCCCCACTTCTACGCCTGTGCAATTAAGTGTGGGTGTGTGTGTGTGTGTGGGGGGGGGGGGGGGGGGGTTTAGAGTACTCCGAATCAGGAGGTTGGAATATCATGGTTTTTTTTATTCACCCTTTGCGCTGTCCCCTGGCGCGGAATGGAATATGGGGTGAAAATATCTTATTTTCATGCAATGATGTTTTTGGGGGGTTTTTTTGGGGGGGGGGGCTTTATAAGAAAACTTAAAAACAGTAATCATGAAAAATATAAAATTTAATAAAAATGCAAATTGCAGAAACGAATATCTCATATCTATTTTGTGAAAATGTTGTGGCTCTGAAAAGAGCCGTTTTGGTTTTAGTTTGTTGATTCGATGATTTCTTCGAAGGCTTGGCCGACACTTTCTTCTGCTTGCTCGATGTGTTCTTGCTGGCTGGCTTCTTGGCTGGCTTCTTGGCTGGCTTGGCTGACAGATGTATATTTGACTTGGATGGCGTTTTCTTGGCAGGTTTCTTGGGTGACTTCTTCGGCGCGGGTTTCTTGACTTTATTCACCATTTTGGCTTGCTTGGCTTTTCTGCAATCTTGGCTTTCATTTCCCGTTCCTTCTTGGCCTTGATTCTCTCCTTCTCCTTAGCTACATTAGCCTTGGCCGGCAGCCTTCTCTTTCTCCTCGGTGGTGTCAAACTTGAACGTACCAGCGGCTCCCTTACCTGCCATCCGAGTGAGCCTCCAACTTCATTGATTCATGTTTTATTATTTAAAAGTTTACTCTAGCATGGCTTATTACACAGAAATTCTTAGGGTGGATTATCTGGATCCGCACGTCCGTACCCCCGTGGGCGTACCAAGCACCTCCCGCATGCAAAAAAAAAATATCTTTTTTCGCCTCTTTGGCCGACGTTCTGACTTGGTGGGTCCTTTTTCCGCAAGTTCAGAATATTTTCTCTAAAAATTGGAGCAAAGTACATGTATTTGAAATGCCTTCCTTTGTCAGAAACCAACAAAATAGAAACTGCATTCTCATGTTTAGACGATACACAATGACATCAGAGGAGAATAACAATCAGTACTGTCGAACTATTCGCTCACAAGATGCCTTTGATCACTAGTTCTCCATAATTATTTAGAGTATTTTGTATTCGGAGTATTCATCATTTTCCATCGTTTCTGACCTTTCAATAACATTGGACTTAAAGGGAAATCTTAAGGGCTCCGCTAAGCCTCATATAATTATGTCAGACGCATATAGGCCCCAAGTCCGGCAAAATCTAATATAAGGCCCATAACTGTTATAAAATTCCGACGCCTAGGTCCGACACCTCATCAGTCCGACGCCTAATAATTTGGAAATTTCGGACTTCCGAGGCGTGGCGGGGGTCCAGGTTTATCATCGGAGGAGTCGGACTTGCGATATATAGGCCTAAGGCCCCAACCTTGATAGTATAGCCTCCCATGCAGCTACGGAACAACTCGAAATTTGGTTAATCAGGGTATATATATTGTTTTATTTCGTAGTACTATGCAGTTTTCTTTGACCATGGAGGGATGGTTTGACTTTCAGGTTTTGAGTTATCAGTGTTGACTTTATCCAGATTTCGCTTATTCCAATTTGTCAGCGTTTTCACGAAGGGGTGAATTTGCCGCAATAGGTGTTGGGGTTTAACGGTTAGGGTTAGGTTTGGGGAACAGGTATAACATAATGCACCCGTTGAACTTGCAGTGGTTGTCAGAAAAGAGGTTTTAAGTTGGTCACGATTTGGAATAAACATTTCGCATACTACTGACTAACTTTTGAAACACAGATGAAACTTCAAAGATGTACCAATTACAGAATAATGGAACAACAATTGCGAGGTACCGGTATCGTAACTAATCCCCATAGATGTTTGTCTGGTCGTGAAAACTAAATCCCACACACTTGTTGTTTTGGCAAATAACCGATACCCATTCCCCACCCTTTGCACGAATTTGTCTCTTCGTAAAAAATCAAAAGACATTCAGGTGAAGTTTTCTCAACATTGATTTGATTGTTATGATTTCGTTGATTTTATCTGATTTTGACCCAGACTTCTTTCCAAAAAATGTTCGTTGCGTGCAATTTCAGCCGGAACAAGAATTTTGAAAAAAGGTATGATTTTTGGATTGATAATTTAGTCCCTCCGTAAAAACGCTGAAAACCTTTTGCAATTTGATTCAAAAATTTCAAAACTATTTTTTAAAAGACTTGTCATGCTTACTGCTTACTGCTTACTTACTCTGATTCGATTTTTAAAGAACGGGTTTTTGACTATGTATTAGCCTGGGGGAGATTATAATCTGGATTGTTTGTTTTGCGTCTGTTCTTTGACGACTCTTCGGAATTGCCCCCATGATCTACCCCTTTCGTGAAGTTGGCATCAAGTGTATTTCCTTTTATTTTCATGCCTTTGTTGTTATAACTTCTCGACATTATTGACAAGTGGTGAACATTCATATTCGTACTTGTATTAGTCATCTAAGTTAAAAACAAACACATTCTTGTCCTGGTGTAAATCAAAGAGTAAAAACAGTAAAAACAGCATGCAAGAACTGACAATAGTAAAACTTACACTTAAATTAACCTATGAATAAAACATACCTGTAAAACACAATAATTTTTAAAATGATAACATAAAGACTGATAGCAAAAAGACACGATGCCTATCCGCCCTGGGCTAGCACTATGACAATGAAATATAACTTTAAAAATATGCCGGGGAAAAAAGGATAAAGAACTTTAAAAATGTTTTTTTTTCCATCGTCGTAAAATACTAAAAACCACAGGTGCAGATTTTGAATAGTTATTAAACTTAAATAAAGTTATTTTGTACTGTGTTTTCCAGTGGCTTATTCACAACAAATGATGTAGAGATCTAAACGGTCTTTCATATTTGCTGTATTATTATGTAACTTTGAATATACATGTAATCCCAAATTGCATTTTGGTCAAAAATAAAATGAAGCAAGCTTCGAGTCGAACTCCGATTTGAAAAAAAATTGACTTGAAGCTCGCCGATCCCCTGGATCATCCAATACATGTACATACACGTATACGTATTTGTATGCAGGATGTATGCATAGTGCTTGGCCGTGGCGTGGGAACGTATCAGATTACATATCGGCCGACCGCAATATCGATCGGTTCAAAAATAGATGGTCCGCGCGGGAATTGACCTGGATTGACCCGCAAACGTTCGGGTTGTCTGTGACGTAGGCAAGTCACCGACATATTTTTCTAAAAATGACTGCAAGTGCGCAGGCGTGCAAATTCCCGCACGATGCATAGGCCAAGTTCGTATGTGACACCATTACCAAATTTCACTTACAGCTTGATCGATTTTCTTTTTATAATGAACACCTGCGATAATTCCAGCTGCAATCACAATAGAAGCAGCAACAGACACTCTTGATCCAGTCGACATTTTCAGTGTTTATTGCGATTAAGCTAACATTCCATTTCCAAACATAATGCCAGCTCGAAAGACAAGAAAATGCACGTCCAGCCGGGCCGGGTACAGACTAGAATCAATCTGAACAGCGCCCTCAAGAGTTTATTTCTCTTACTATTTGCAAAGGGATTATTTTTTTTCAATTCTTCAATCACTTGAAAAAGTAGATTAAAACATCACTAATGACTGCATGTAGTTAGTATATATACATTTGTTTCAATTTATAAAAGTCACTTTAAGATACTTATGACCAAAATTGAACCTTTATTTTATTAAGAATTTAACCAATGAACACTGCCTCCCCTATAAAAAAAAATTAATTGTTCCAACGGTATTTCACCTTTGACCGCAAGCCAATGACAACAAATTCTAGCTAATAGTGGATCCCGCTCGCTTTCCAAACGTAAATGTTATAAATAAATCTCTCTAATTTCAAGGAAATTCGATCGGTAAGTACACGCAAACCTACATGATAAAAAAATCAAACCACCTGAGTTGAAATGAGGTCTAACATGTTCTTATTTAGGCGTCGTTTTCATGTACAAACATTGGGGTATCGGATCGAATGGTGCTGTCATGGCTGTTATGCGCTTTCTTGCAATTCACGCAATCTTAAGAATGAGCGCGCAATTATAAGATTGTGTGGGAATATCACGCGCGCAATTTATGAATTTTGCGCAATCTTAACAAACATGTTAAATGAAATGTATATAGTGGTTAAAGGGGAAATAATTCATATAACGAGCAAGGAAAATGATCTATGCTTCTGTACTTCTCTCTCTCTCTCTCTTCTGGTGAAGTACAGTCCACCATCTGGTGTATTACTAGCCCCACTAGTGTGGCCGTCGGTATGCTGCGCTGAACCTAAGGCCACACACCGTGGTCCGCGCACTACTGAGGACGTTTTCATAAAATTTGCAGGGAATTTCTTACATATGGTTGTATTCTACGATGTCCCATCTATCACTTCTGGGATGCTTAGGTGTAATGATGTTCAATTTTCCGAGATATTCTTGAATCTTTCTGGAGCCCATATGCACTCGTGAAACGTCCGGTGATGGCAGCCATTTTGAATGTGACAAGAGATGACCTCAAGCTGTGACGTCGCGTTTATGCAAATTGCTTGTCGAGCGAGGGCGCGAGTTGCAAATGCGACGGCTGTTTCCTGTACCATGCATTTATCGTCTGGGGGCCACATGCACTGATCTCTATTCAGGATCTACGGCACAGGAAACAGCCGCGCATTTGCAACTCGCGCCCTCGCTCGACAAGCAATTTGCATAAACACGACGTCACAGCTTGAGGTCATCTCTTGTCACATTCAAAATGGCTGCCATCACCGGACGTTTCACGAGTGCATATGGGCTCCAGAAAGATTCAAGAATATCTCGGAAAATTGAACATCATTACACCTAAGCATCCCAGAAGTGATAGATGGGACATCGTAGAATACAACCATGTGTAAGAAATTCCCTGCAAATTTTATGAAAACGTCCTCAGTAGTGCGCGGGCCACGGTGTGTGGCCTTAGGTTCAGCGCAGCATACCGACGGCCACACTAGTGGGGCTAGTGTATTACGTACTGCGGTTGTTGTGTGCATGCAAGGTGAGGATATATACAGTGCAGGTGATCAGCTTAAACATAAGGTGCGGCTAAAAAGAACTCAGGCTGACTTAGCGGAGCTGGACTGACTGCACACCCTGCTTGAAGCTTGCAAGCGATGTGCAGTTGACAAGATCTTGTGGAAAGGGTGTTCCAAATTCTGATGCTATCTGGAAAGAATGACTGCCGATATACCCCAGTCCTGGTGAATGGTACTAGGTATCTGAGGGAGTGACCTCTCAGGGCAACTGTTGGTGTCAGGTAGGTATGTGGGACATCAACCAGGTTGTTGACAATTCGGAACATCATCACTGCCTTGGCCTGTGCACGCCGTTCTTGAAGGGTGGGCCACTGGAGCTGATGAATCATGGCAGTGACACTGCTGGTGGTCCTGTAGTCCTCAAACATGAAGCGTGCATAACGCCGTTGCACCATCTCCAGCTTTTGGATGTTGCTTGCTGTCAGGGGATCCCATATGATGCAAGAGTATTCAACTATAGGGCGTACTAAGGTCTTGTAGCACAGCTCCTTTGTTTTTTTCTAGGACACTGATGAATATTACGTTGCAAGAAAGCCCTGGTAGAATTTGCTTTGTTGGTAATGCTATTGATGTGATGGTTCCAGCTCAGGTTTTTGTGGATGTTGACACCAAGGTATTTTGCAGAGTCAACCTCTTCTAGTACGTGGTTATGGATGATGTACGGCGCGGCTGTTTGATGAGTTTCCTTTTGTTGGTTATATGGATGACCCGACACTTCTGTGGATGGAACTCCATCTGCCAATCATTCTCCCATTGCTGAAGGTGGTCCAAGTCCTGCTGCAATAAACTTGCATCTTCTTCTGTCTTGATGGTACGATACAGGACACAGTCGTCCGCAAATAATCTGGCTGTTGTGCCCGCCGAAGTGCAGGCAGGAAGGTCGTTTATGAAAAGCGGGAACAGCAGTGGGCCCAGAACACTCCCTTGAGGAACCCCTGATAGGACTGGTGCAGATTTGGACAAAGTTCCATCCAGGATGACTTGTTGAGTGCGGTTCTCGAGGAATGCGCTTACCCACATGTTGATTTTACCATCAATACCATAATAGTTGAGCTTATGAAGTAACCTTTGATGTGGCACCTTATCAAAGGCCTTTGAGAAGTCTAATAGTATGACATCTACCTAGCCTTTGCATTTAACAGTGTTGGCAAGATCTTGTAGGGTGAGCAACAATTGGGTATCACAAGAGCGGCGTTTTCTGAAGCCGAACTGTGCATCGGTAAGGATGTTATTTATGTCGAGATGATTCAGGATTTGGCTACACAACACATGCTCGAGCATCTTGCAGATAACGGAGGTCAATGATATTGGTCTGTAGTTCACAGCCTTATTTCGTTCCCCTTTTTTAAAGACAGGAACGACGTTCACTTCCTTCCATTCTTGTGGTAAGATGCCTTGGTTGATGGAGGCTTGGTAGAATAAGGCAAGTACTGGAGCTAGTTCGTTTGATAACTCCTTCAATAGCCTGGGAGGAAGGAATACCGTCTGGACCTGATGCCTTGTGGATGTTTAGGCCATTGAGCAACTTTCTAACACCATCAATTGACACCGTGATAGAGTCCATCTATGGAAATGGGCAAGGACCTTTATCTTTGATGGTTGTCTTATCCTCATTCTTGTCTAAGACTGATGAGAATTGTTCATTGAGTATGTTTGCTTTGGTTGCACTGTGTATGTAACTCCATTTCTCGCCTTCAGTGGGGAAACACCAGAGTTATCACATTTCTTGCTGTTGATGAACCCCCAACATTTTTGGGTTTGTTGTTGACTCAGGGCTAATGATGTTGTGTAACTACGATAATTTGAATAAAGGAGGACTGGAAACTAGTCTGGGAAGTGCTTTGTTTAGGCTAGACAAGTTACAAGTCCCTAGTATGTATCATATGCATGCTGGGAGAACACATTAGTCCGTGGGACGTGGCCTTTTTTTGCTCTCCACACGGTTTGGTCCGCCAAATTTTATAAAACTTCACAGACATGCAGATTATGCATGGTGTACCTTATCGAAACAAAATTTGTTACCCGATCCACAGTTTGTTTGGAAATGAGAAAATCTGGGATAAAACTGCCGAAAATTCTACATGGGAAAAAACATAATAGTGCCCTCTATTTACCTTTTCTTATGTTCTCCCCCCCCCCCCACTTTTGCTATCCCAAATATCAGAATTCTTTCCACTACACTATTATTATGTCTCTCATTTTTTCCCGGTCCCCCAAATACGTGTATACTATCATATCCACTCTACTTTTCATCGTTAAATCTTTTCCTAGGTAAGTGACCTTGCGTTGCAACAGTATTTTATTAAGAGTCGGTGAACGAGGATGCAGCTCGACCTACCAAGCGCAGCCGATGCTCGGCATCGACAAGACCATTATCGTGTCGCGCATTCTTAAGAATGTGCGCTCAATCTGGAAGATTTTTTTTTTTGAAGATTGCGCAAGGATCCATTTGCGCAATCATAAGAATGCGCATATGCATTCTTATGATTGCGCAAATCAAAAGAAAGCGCACAACAGTGCTACTGCTAGATATGGGCAGGGGAACAGAGTGTCAAAGAGCAGCTTTGGGGTCACGCTTTTTACATTAAAAATGGCTGACATCCACATTTCCTTGCTACAAATTGCGCACGCAAGTTTAAACTTGCGAACTAGATTCACTCGTACCCAGCCCCCCCCCCTCCCCCCGCCCTGCAAACAGGATTTTCCCCATGCATGCAAAGCCGCTAAATTAATTTTTTTTCGGGTAAGCTCATGCAGATTATGTAACATTACTTTTAAAGCAGATTTTCTCTGATTAATAGCCCCACTGTGCTTTGTGAGACAATGCCTAAATGCCTTTTTTGAAACATTTTATTAACAGTATTATGCTAATGAGGTTGACTGTGTAAAGGTTCGGGATGAGGGGTGGTAATGCCGCTAGTGTGCTTATTGGTTGCTTGCCCGGCCCCTCCCCGCCCCGCCCCCTAAACAACTTCTCTGATAAGCACTGCTAAATTTCAATGTTTCTTTTTATTGACGCTAATTGAATTCCCCTTTTTATTTATTTCTTTGTTCATTTATTTATTCCATTATTTAATAATTTATTTCTCCATGTACTTGTGTTTTGAACATTTTTTTTTCTTCATCAATGAAAATCCCGCCAGCAAGGTTCTCAAATTGCGATCGCCTTTGCGCAAGTTGTAACGTGCGCACGCAAATTAAAATGACGCGGTGTAATTTGCGTGCTTCGGGAGTCCCTCGCACAAGTTTAAACTTGCGTGCGCAAGTTTAAACTTGCGTGCGCAAGTTTAAACTTGCGCAGGGGACTCAAATTGCGCTCGACAAGGCTAAAGACTAGACTGAAACATGCCTAACCATGGTCCAACTGTTTGAAAAGACTGACCTCTTCATTCAGTGTCATTAGTCTGGTGTCTGACTATGGAGAAATGTGTAGTGAATAAAGACTAGTTCCTAACTTGCCTGTTTTCAATACCTTAAGTTTTGGGACTCTTATACACAGTATTGAGAGTCCCAAATTTTTGGACTAGCCTTGACAGTACAACTCAGACAGGTTATTGTTGGAGGACAAGGGGGAGATGGTAGAGTGACAGGAGGTTGCAATTGACATGGGTACAACTGTTATCACATTATTAGACCTATCCAGTGTCTTGGTTTACATTTGTAGCTAGTGCTTTGTCCTCATCCGATAATTCCAATTCCTGATATCAATTCCAGAGGTCATTCACTGTCATGATAGAGTGATTGCACAGGATGGCAGCAGGCGCAGTCACAGCCCCCTCTATCATCCCATTGAGAGTACCGGTGGCGGGAAAATCCCAAACGGAGATTGACACCAACACCTACATTGAGCTCAAGACAGGTACGCTAACTCCATTAAACTTGTGATTATCAAACATTGTTTACTCCCAAAGAGAATACACTTTAAGACAGGGATGTAGTCAAGTTCATCACACGTCCTCCAGTCTCAATTCGTCTTGCAAACTATTCAAATGACCTTTGATAAAGGAACGGTATTCCGTTTGTTATTTTTCATACACTGTTATTTGCTGGACTTTTGATTTACTTGTGATTGGACTTGTGATGAACTCGACTACATCCCTGCTTTAAAAAACTGTATCTGTGATCATGGTGATCTGTGTCCAGCTCATGTTAAAGGGAATGTACATCATTGGCTTTTGCTGTAATTTTCAGAAATGAACTATTTGAGGGGTTAATATTATAGATCAAATATTGTTTAACTGACATGTTTAAAAATTTGTGTTTCGAAAATGCTTGAAAAACCAAGAAAAACAAAAATTGTCTAAGTAGTCTGGTTCCCTGACTCCACTAAAGATAAAATGGATCAATTTATAGTTGTCGGAAAATTGTAAGGTAAGGGAACCAGTCTAGCTGGCCTGCACCCGTTGATGAACATGTAACCAATAACAAACAAAATTTTGACTGAAAAAATGGTAAATTTGGACCAGTAGTTGAAAAATAGTTGGGTTTTTTTAACGGTGGTCAGCCGACCACTGTTAGAAATGTATACAAAAATACCATTTTCTTGGAAATGACTTCACACCAGGTGCCATAATTTTACAGGATGCTCTAGACTGTCATTAACCAACATCCTAGTAAGGTTTTTCGTAATAAAAGCTTGGTTGTTTTATTTGTTGATGTTGTATATTCCCTTTAAGCATTGCCAGTCTGAAGCTGCAAACGTATATTTGGGACAAGTACATATCATGTATCAGATGATAACCTTCACATTTCAAGGTTTGGCACATTAGACACATTGATTCAAGGGAACCCTTTACAGTTTGAAAATCTGAGAATATACCGCATGCATAAAGGCAAAGGGAATGGCTTTGTGTCACCAGGATAGGTATGAGTACACTTTTTGTGCATTCATTGCTACTAAATTGAAATAAAGAACATTCTCTGAGGTACATACTGCAACGTAATTGGTTTATTCCAAAGCTCTTCAAGTTCCGTAAATGGTGCTCTACCAAGCAAAGTCTTCGTCTGAATAACTTGGGTATGGCTGACAATAACACATGTATCTATGGCAAGTGGCTGAATGCATTTCCCATGGAAGTACATGTTACTGTTGCTTTTTTTGCGAAATAATTCAGACATGGCCCTTTACTGGAAAGCATTTGTAACTTTTCATGCTGTAGGCTTCCTTTTCAGGAAATCAATTGTGTTGATAAAAGCAACAGGAATGGTGATTGAAAGTCGTAAGAGTGGTTTCATGGAATCTTGAGCACACCCGAAACCGACATAAGTGCACATTCACATTATTGTGCACAGGTTTGCCATTCTGTTGATGTCTTTTTATTCCTCAGATTTTCCAGATACTCAGATCTATTTCACTATCGATGGCTCAAAGCCAGATCCCTTTCAGCAGATAGGGGTGAGGAAGACCCAGCAATACAAGAAACCCTTCCTGCTTCAGGAAGGCAAGAAAACAGTCAGGGCAATCGCAATAACCAAGTAAGTCCCGTCAACCCTCATCCTGCCAGACCCAACAAAATGCAACAGGTGTAAAAAGTCTGTGGGAACTTACTTCATTGGCAGTCAACAGCAGGAGCAGAAATAGCCATATCTGAGACAATGAGAGCTGGCCCATTGAAGAGTGCCACTTTTGGATCTTGTGGTGGCTGGCAGTCACAGAGTTTGATGCACTTTGGGTTGGGGTTAGAGCAGGGATCTAACTTTGACGACCATAGGATGTTGTTGCTTTAGCCCTATCCCCCTTGAGTGATTTACTCGGAACCTTCCTCGCTCTTGCAAATTTCAACACCATAAATTCTACATCCAAACTGTTGGAGTCTGATTATGGTGGTATGCCTAGCCCCATGTAAAGCATAATCAGTTTACTAGTGCAGTACCCACCCCAACAGATTCCAACAAACCCTATTGTTGAGTTTGACTGGATGGGGATTGTTAGAGTTAAGCAGGGATTTTAGCCAAAATACCCTGATATAATGTGACAATTCATAAGGTGGAGTTTGCGTTGGGGTGATGTAAATTCAATATTGAGTTTAATATATGTCGGTGAAGGAATTGATTTCTGACTGACTTGATTGCAACTCTGTAGTTGGCTTGTGTTTTATGTGCTCTCGTTGCACCACACACTTCACATAATGAGATGAAACAGTGGATCAGAATTAGTTAATTTACATGACCAAAATTTGTTGAGGTATCCAAGCACAACCAATTTAATTGAAAGTAAGTAATTGAGGTGTATTCTTGAATGTTTTATGTAATAAGCTTATCTTTTCTATTTTCTCCCGGTGACTCGTTCACGATAGAACCAGAGAGAGTAATGTCGTCAGCAAGACTTTCACTGTGGAGTGGGTACCAGGCCAGGAGAAATATGACACAGATGATGAGAGCTTTCAAAATCGAGTCACTCGCAAGCAGACACCTGGCCTACAGGTTGAGTAGCTCCTGCAGAAGGCTCACTTCTTGCAGTATTCTAATAACAATAGAGATTGGTCTTGTGCACGTATCAACCAAGGTTCTAATGTTGCAGTACAATATTATAGTCGTATTATTATTACCCCTGCTCATCAGGCTAATGAAAACATTCCAAAGACAATCTTAGTGGGCGGGTATACAGCTTGATACTGCCATATAGGCGCAGTTGGATTTATCAAACAGACAACCATCTCTGCCCTCACAGGTACCGGTTTACTCCTGGGTGGGGAGAAGCAATGAGTGACAAAGTGTCTTGCCCAAGGGCACGCACATCGTAACCTGAAAGGCTGAACTCAGACCCAAAGCCTGCAGAATTGCCAGACCACAATGCCTAGGCACTCCGCACCCCAAATTTGGAAATCATTCTAAGCTTGCTTTCATAACAACAATCAATCCTCCAAAATCAAAAACCGGGTTTTGCAGTAGTTTGAGACTAAGGATTGCACAGTCCCTTCAATATACCATTACTGCGGCTTTAATGATTTCTAAAATGTATAAGTACAAGCAATATTCCAATGGTTTACTGTGAGTTTACTTTGGAGAAGATCCCTGACAAAAGTGCTCACAGAATTAGGGTTCATATCTTTCACTTTGAAACTTGTCTGTATCATATGATGTCAAAAGAGAGCATTGCATTTCATGGAAAAGAGTCGCAGCATAAATTTCAGATTTGTATTTTATTTGACTGTTAGAGTTGGAAACAGCCAAGCTGAGTTGTGTGGACTGTTTGCAGTCTCCCATCAATGATCACAATCAACTTTCACATATTTTTTTTTTAAAAAAAGTGGGGTTTAACAATGAGCCAATTCGGCATTCCAAAATAGTCTGGTGCACAACAAGATTCAACAATTTTGGGGGGGATAAACGCGGCAGATAAATGCACACAAGGCTATGGGGGACATGGTAACCGAACCTGCATTCTGTGTAAATTTCGTTCGCACAAAAGTTTTGACACACAAAACACCTAGAAACACTTTGTTTTGCAAATATTTTTCTTGCAAAAGGTTACTTCAGAACATGACAATCTCTTCAATTTTGCTGGTACCCGGCCCACTATGCTTTTGCACGCATACGATGAAATGTTTATCCCGAAAGAAAAATAATCAAGTCTTGATGTGCACATGCGCAGTTGGAATACCGAACTGGCTTATTGGGCACATTCGTATAATAGTTTTATGATCATAAATAGTTTGACATTGCTTGATTTGTATTGGGCAGCTGACAGCCAGCAAGACAACGGCAGCAATCATGAAGAAAGTGTTGGAGGAATCTCAGAAACCAGTCCAGGGGTCCAACTATCGCAAGCCTACCACAGGCACCCGCTTCATGGAGGCCAGAATGGGCAACAAGTCACGGCCAGCCAGCACATCAGTCAAAGACAAAGCCAAGCAGAATGGCCAGGTATGTCCCAAGGAGCCATTCCCGTGCGGCTAGCAAGCACACAAACTTACTGAGCTAAGACAATGTTTGGAACCAAAAAATAGTTACCGGCTGAAATTGTGTGCGATGTGTATTGCTTGTGGCTGGTTCCAAGCCAAAAACGTAAATTTGCATATTCTGTGTATTGGCTTCTTGAAGTTGTGACCCGATTCAAAGGCGGATCGGGAGAAGGTGGGAGGGCAATGGGGCCATGCCCCCCCCCCCCCAAAAAAGTAGCCCTTTTGTGTGCCAACCTTGCCATCTTTGTGTGGACTTGAAAACAAAACAGGTCCACACAGTGCGGGTTGTGTGGACCTTCTGTGGACTAAGCCAGGTCCACACAAGGTTTCCCCCTCTCTGGAAAACAGGTTTAGAGGCATTTTTGGGTAGGGGCTATCCGTCGCAAAATGAAGACAAACACTCAAGGAAATCATGGTTAAAAAAAAATGGGTTGAAAGAGTGTTCACAGTGCGAGTAACATAACTTTTTTTCTACGGTTTTTCTTAACTACACGAAAACACAAGAATGTCCACACTAGGTATGTAAGGTAGGCCCGTGTGTTTGTGATGACTAGACGAGAAGTGAAGAAGCCTGTTTGTAAAATTGATGCTACTGTCTCCCTCTATGGATTTGTGCAGTATGAATAAAAGAGATATAAGAAAAGGGAAAATGAGGACCCCCTAACATCAGATGAGGTCCATCAACCCTTTCTACTTGAAATACCTTTTGTCTTTTTGCTTAAGAAACCTGCAAGCCCAATGCCCGAGGATAAGATGAGAACTCCACCTAAGAACCTGACACAGGCAAACCGACTGCAACGAGAAACAGACTTCCTCAAGTAAGAATTCTTGTGTAGATCAGATAATGTCGAATTTTCATAAATTGGCCTTTAACATGTGTGTTAACATATGAATGAAATGGTCATTATGATTCCGTGTCCTTTTCATGTAGGTGTATATTCTGTGCTGCAGACAGACCAGCGGATCCATTTGCTAGATTCTGCATAGCATGTGGTAATCCAGTGCCTCCGCTGCCTAATGCCAGACTACCTCCACCAGAACCAGCCCAGGTATGGTCAACGTATCTGCCCCCTTCCTAAAGTATGACATTCATGCTGTGTGCCTTTCCATAGCACTCCATGTCGAAGATTTCATAAGTTTAGTTGCCGCATGTGGCGATATTTCCTTTATTCAATATTGCACTGCCAGACTCTTCAAAGCCCTGCAAAGATTTGCTAGCAGGGTGTATGTTTGTTACAGAGCATAGCTTTTTGATATCTTCTGAGGTTATCCCTTGGTGGGGAGAGGCAACTGAAGTAAAGTGTCTTGCCTAAGAACACGAGCACCATGAACCCTTTTTTTGGTTGAACTTTACATGAGTCCAATGTATTTAGCATTCTGTCAAGTACAAACTGGCAAATTATAAATTGACGAGAAGGTTGATAGATCAGCGTAGCAAGCTGTTAATGTTACAATGCGTAATAGAAGAGATTGTGCTGAACTGATCAAACTATGAAAGTTTGACTTATTAGTGTGCTGGCTTTTTATAAGGCTCTCTTATGATCCGGCCTACATCCAGGTACCGGAAAGTCAGTGTCGCCATTGTAGTAGGCAAAGATCGTATAGCGCCGCGCGCAGTAGTAGTAGGCAAGCCTTCAAAGCTGTGATGGATGGCAAAAACTGAGAAAAACGCGGAGCCAACAGCCAGTGCTGGGTCTGCATGATTATGACCATTAGGCCAAAAAAAAAGTCTTTGGTTTCTGGTATGGAGTTTGCCCCAAAAGTGTTTTTTTGTTTAACTTTTTTTTCCGTCAAATGTCGGCTGATGACTGCAAATGGTGCTCGACTAAATTTAGTGCAAAATGTATGGGAGCCGAGAAAGGCCACATAAAGCTTATACTCAATCGTCACCCCATCTAAAAACACGTTAAAATTGTGAAGCAGCAGGATTCCAGTCAAACCAGTAAGTTTGGCGGTTTTGAGACATCATCTTTCATTGAAAAAAAAAACTTTTTAATTTTGCCGACGACGACGTGCGTGCAGACCAGAAACCAGAGCCTTTTTGTTTTGGCCTTATGCCATTTGATTAAGAATTTGCAGTTATTTTGTGTAAAAATCAGCCCTACTTTCTAGTTAAAACGCATGATGTGGTTGCTAACCAAACGCTTGCCTACTGCAATGGTGGCAGATCATTGGGAAACCAGATGATCACATGATACTTTGAGGTCATACTATTGGAACCTATTCATGTTATGAAGAATTTAGTTGTGTCATCTTGTATAACCCGACTATACAGGTTCTCACTTGGGACCGCAATGAAAATAATTTTTTTTAAACAATTTCTGCGTTATCCCCAAATTTCCTACTGCATGGGGACTTTCTAAGTTTTATTTAACAAATTTTATACGATTTTTGATAAATTTTGATGTGTTTTGTTAAATCTTAACTTACATTCAAAGTGTATCATCATTGTGTAGAAAATGCAAATAAATCAAATCAAATCAAATCAAACTTTGATATTATTTTTTACCCAGCTCGGCATGTGTGTTGGATGCAATGCAATGGTGCCTCTGAATGTGACTAGTTGTCTGATATGTGAGATGCCTATTGCACCACAGCTAGTACCTCAGGCCTCTGTCAAGCTCAAGGTAGGCTGTCATTTCAGTGTTCCTAAATGCCTGACTAGTCACAGGCAGTCCTCTGAATATGGTGATCCACATTTCTCCAGCCCTGTCAAATATTATTCCAGTTACGGTGAGCAGTCTTCCCAGTATTGCTTCATAAACTGTTACCCAAATTTTTCTAATCTGCAGTTGACTTCTACAAATTTGTATCTGGGTTGTATCTGCGATCATAAATGAAAAGAATGTTTTTCTGGTGTGAGGTTTTACTGTACACAAATGTCACATGACAAAATCTAGTTGTGCCTACTTATATAAATTTAATTTGATTAATTTGATTTTGTAGGGATTTAGTGTTTGAAACAATTCTGTCGTCTACAAAGATAGTTTCTTTTGGTATTTTGTGACAGTAGATTGAATTGTTTACAAGGGATATGTCACTTTGACCTTTACTGTTCTCAGTCTTGTCTCTGTGGATATCAAAAATAAAATATACCCGCAAAATTTGGTAGCACTTTGATATCTGATTTTTTTTTGAAGGAGAAAAAAATATATGTGTGTTTCGCTACAGGATAAGCTCGTGTGCAATGAGTGCGGGACAGGCAACCCAGCCAACATGGAGTATTGTGTCACATGTGAATGCCGACTGACTGGTAATAATAGACACCTGAAGGTAAGTGCATGTATCTCAGTTTTAAAAACAATTCTGAGCCCCGTGTAATTGCGTGTTATCGGAGTTAGCTAGTTTTTTTTTTATTCAAGCTTCATGTCGCCGTTCTTTCCACGGATCACAAAAAATTTCAGTGTTCTTTCAGCAAAACAAAACAAATCACATAAGGATGCGTGTGAATGTTTTCGTTTTGCTGAAAGAACGCACACCTTTTTTGTGTTCCGTGGACAGAACTTTAAAACGTTGGTTGTGTTTAAAACTCCGCAACTTGAAAAGTACATAAATGATTTGAATGATTCTTGTACTAAAAGAAAGCTTATGAATTAGGCTTTCATATCCTAGATTTTGAAAGTGCTACATGCAGAACTTCACTAAAACAATGGTCCCAACATTTGGGTGGTTTTTTTTTTTACTCACCCTGTACTGTGCTGTTGCCAAAAGACTTACTTAGACATCCTAATTACTGGCAACAATTTCCTGGAAATCTACAAGAAAAATTTCTGAGGAATTTCCTTGAACTGTCTGAAAAATATTCTTGGCCCTTAACCAGTTTGAGTCGGAGGCTGCGTATACATGCAAAAGGTTTTGTGGTATTTGGAACGGATGACAAATAAACACACAGGGAGCAAGGCCGGAAATATCTGTCAGCAACCCGCTCGCAGCGAGCGAGGCTGGAAATATGAGTGCTGCCTGAGGGTGATGGCTTCGACCGGCCTGGCTTGAAGTCGAGTGAACAGTAATCCCGCGCCTCGTTCCGTTCTCGTCAAAATAATGCCTGCAGGAACTGGTTAACATGTTAAGTCTACCCACTGATGTCATCTTGTATTGAACTTACCCTTTCTATCAATGTGTTTTGCACTGAAATTTTCTACAGATGGTGTGGCCGAAGGTATGTTAAGTGCAAAATTTTAAAAACAAGTACTTAAACTCTGGCTCAGTAAACAAAGGTGGAGGCTTTCAAAAAGCGGTGATGGTTTTGGGATTGCTTCCAGGCCTGTTCATACTACATGTAAATGCAAATGCGACGTAAAGACACGAAACATTTTCTTAAGAAATTGCACAAAAATTGAAATGTATTCAACTTTTGCAAGTTTGCGGCACAACCTTCTGTGATGTCACAAATTAATGTTCGCACTTGCTTTTGCACTGATTATGAACTGACCATACTCGGACTTGGATTGGTGGCGGAGGATAAGGCTATCTGAGAAGAATTTAACTTTTAACCTATTTTCTCATCTCTAGAAGGCTCCAGATCTTCCCTGTTCAATTTGACTTGTTACACTTTTTTTGAAACTGCTACAAAAGTTTGTAATGCATAGATTTGCATGAAACATATAACAGCCTTTCTTTTCATGGAGCAGGAGAAAGAGTGAATTTTCATGAAAACTCATGTCTCATTGGTGCCTCAGCCTGAGAAACAAATAAATTTTTAGCATTACAGACAATATCTTCGTTTCACAACTAAATGTTTCATCTTGATGTTTGGGGCTTTGGATGTGAGACAGCCATTGTGAGGTCCATTACAAGAATTGCAGATACTTGAAATCAAAGATTTAACCAAAGGCCAAAGCAGACTGTAAAACTGAAATTTAATGGTGTGGATTTTTATATCAGAGATGGATAGGGATCAGAAATCTATCAGACTGACTTGAAATTCTCATGGTGTTTCTGTAATCTGTATGATTCTTTCTTTTTTTCAATTTTTCACTCGTTAAATAACAGATGGTATTTCCTGAGGTAGGATATGGAATTGACTTTTTGGGGGGCAAATCTTTACAATTCTAATGTGTCATTAAATATGCAAGGTGGTAGAGAGAGCTAGTTGTTACAACTTTGAAGAAAAAGTTGGAGCACGACCTAAAATTAACTAGATAGTTTTGCAAGCATCACTAGAGTGCACAATGGTTGGATACTGTAGTCAACAAAGAGGACCGCAGGGTACTGTAGCATCCCTGGTTCTCAATAGCCTTGTTTCATATAAATAAATTGTAGAGGGAACCATTGACATGAAAGTAATTGTGCAAAAGCATGGTGAAAACCAGCAGGAGTTATGAGAAGTATAACACACACAAAAGTGAATGCTGTAGCACAGTTAAACAGTGATAGTTTGGCAAGGATCATTGGAGCCGACTGTTTTAATGCATGCACAATGGTGAAGGTGAGATTGACACTGTTTCAACCTGTGCTAGAGCTTAGCCTAAGAAGCAGATCCAACATTGCGTTTTGCCCTTCACCGACGTATTTTTATAACCCCGTATACTCAGTGTTGTGCCAAGAGATTGCGAGAAAAAAAATCACTGGAGTGGGAATCAAACTCATGACCTGCTGACAAGTGCAGACGTCTCACCACTCAACCACCGAGCTTGCCGAGGTCGGCTGGGCCCAATTTCACGGCACTGCTAAGCACAAAAACTTGGCCATTACAAAAAAAGTCTGGCTTATAAAAGCATGTTACCAGCCAAAACTCAATGTGATTTTCATGCTAAGCAAACAACAGCTGAATACTAATCACAAGCAATATACATCACTTGGAGTTTTGACTGGTAACCTGCTTTTATAAGCGAGACTATTTTTGTGCTAAGCAACTTTTTGTGCTTAGCAGCGCCCTGAAATTGGGCCCTGGCTGGTTCAAATCTGGGCCCAATTTCACGGCACTGCTTAACAGTTAGCAGAAAAGTTATGTTTAGCATAGCAGACAAATTTGCTAACCTTAAGCACTATTTCTATTGTTATGTCACTAAGTTAAGCAAATTTTTCCTCTGAAGTAAGCGTGCATTTTGCTGCACTTATGCTTACAGTCTCCATGTGAGCAGAAAATCGTGTGCTTAGCAGCGCCGTTAAATTGGGCCCTGATATAGCAGCGGGTACTGTAACCAAACTATTCATAAGATGCAAATTCCATCTTGTGAATAAGCAGATCCAAGCATATACAACATTTGGCCTCTTTTGTATTATGATGAATTTACTGTCTGCTAAAAAGTTCAAAGTTCAAAGAAGTCAATGAGACTTCCAAAAAAGAAATAATAAATTGCCTGCAAAATGGCAAGAAAGTATGGTACTTCATGAGAAGTACCAACTAATTTATAATGTATAGAATACAAGACCTTTAGCTTGGTTTGCTCAACACTCATTTTGAAGGTTTGGCATCATGAACTCAGGAGTTGTTTTATCTTAAAATTATCTGAGAAAGGAGTTTATTTGCCCTCTCTCTCTCTCATCTTGTCAGCCATCTTGGATCTGCTTCTGCTTAGTTTGATGCTATGCATAGCCTCTGCTTAATCTGCATTCATTTTTCATTGCTTTGAAATCTGATACAAGTATCTGAGGGAATTTTGGTCATCAGTAATCTGTTTTGTCTTTGTGTTTCATTTGTGAATATTTGTATACATTTTGGTCAAAATGTGATATTTGGTAGCCATATGTGACATGTGGTAGCTCTTCGATAGCTTGCCAAGATAGTTTCTACATCTGTGCATGACTTAGATTTACACATCAGTGCCTTAAGTTGAAGAGAAATAGACTGGTACATTAAACCCCGCCCACTACACACATGAGCAACAATGCGTGTGCCTCTTCAATGGCAAAACTGCATGTTTCAGCCGCACACATCTTAAGTACGTGCATACGCACGTTGGACTTTTGTCCAAGCATGTTGGGCATTAATCACTGCTGTGATTGGTAAAATCATCATGGGGCGGGGTTTAATGGATCGGTCTATTATAACCCAATCAATTGCATTGACTAAAATGTCTACAAATGCACCTGTCATGTAGGCAACTTACAGTGGGACATCTGCCCCTCCCATGCCCATGAGAGGAGGGAGGCTTCTCTGCTGTAACAAGTGTGGACGAGTCAATAACAGCGATGCTCGCTTCTGTGATTGGTGTGGGGCCAAGGTGAGAATCAGAAAATCCCAAATCCTTTTTGTCTAAAACAAGTTTCAAACCCTCCAAAAATGTGATCCGTCTATAAATGTGTGGACTTGCCCTCTCTTTCTTAGTTACTTTTCTTGCCTAGTATTTCTTTGAGAATGGCAGATGAAAAGACCTTTGAATGAACCTCAGCAATTGAATGTGAGTGCCACTACAGTCTACTTTATCTTCAATTTACTAGTTTTTCTGACAAAGACCAAATTATGATTGGTCATGTTTTTTGTACTGCAAAGTAAAATCCAGAACTGTTTACCTGAAATTCTGTTGCACATACTAAGGTGGCATTATGTTGCCCCCCCCCCCCCCAAAAAAATATCCTGGCCTGCAATTATTTTTGGTAAAGATATTTGCAGACGTGGAAGTTAAAGACCTACAAAAACATCCCTTGACACGTTGTGGCTTATCTCATATAACTAAGCAACAAAATCTTGGCTCACTGTTAATCAATCTTGTGAGTAAACTGCTTACCACTTTCAGTTTCCATTATTTACCGTGTATAGTGTGAGAAAGTTGCTTTTGCCTTTTTATGGGATCGTGGGGTTTTTTTTAAAAATAAGGTGCTGCAGTCTGCTTACTGATTAGACTGACATGAAATATGCAATTTGTAAATTCTAGTACTCTCAGTACAAAAATCTTTCTCAAAAGCAAGAGAAAGTTTCTGCTATGATCAAAGAGTAATCCCTCTAACTTTCACAAGTTTCTTTACATGTACATCAACAGAAGTAGAGATAATGAGCAAATCATAATGACAAGTACTTGACTCAGGAATTGTCATCGTCAAGTAATCCTGTTCTTTTCATTTCCTAAATAGCCAGCACCAACAACACACCTTCTGACTTGCTCTCGATGCCAGAGCAGTAACCAGGCTTATGCTACCTTCTGTCATTCCTGTGGCTGCTCCATTGAGCCCCCACCAAGAGAAGACCCTCGAAATAACGGCATAACGGTCGGCGGGAAGAGCACGTCCCAGGTATGGTCTTAATGCAAACAAAGACATAGGGTACGACTCTTTGCTTTGTGAAGACCACTCTGCATAACCCCCGAGAACCGACACACAAAGGTCTCCACAACAGATCCTTTCAGTCCTCGGGAGTTGTGTCTTTTGTTGGAAACGGTCCTCTGTACTAAGTTTGTGTGCTTAGTCTATGGGAGAGTGTTATATTACAGGGACAAAGGGAAACACAAAGCATTGTCCTCAAGAGTATAGTAAAACACGACTGTATATGCAGAAGTGTGCACATGTGGTGTGTCCCTGCTATTTGAGCTCACAAGAATGGTGATGAAGCGACATCTACTATTCATACATGGAGTCCATACCCTGTTTTTGCTGTTCAAAGTGTTTGTACTTTTAATACGAGATTCATTTGCTTACCAGGTGTATAAAAAAGGCCCCAGCTGTGTGTGAAGAGTGTGGTACTGACAGGGATAAGATTCTCCAAGTTTCCTTATGTTGAGTTATTGCTGGTCCAAGAGGGCCAGCCAAGAGTCCTCACTGCACCGCACTGACTGACTGACTGACTGACTGACTGCCTCCCCTTTGAATGATGTGTAGACTGGTTATCTATCTAGCTAACTGACTCTCACTTGTGACTTACATCGGGTGCTGCTCGTGTCATGTACTTTCATGATACAAGTCAAGTCTCCATTCGAATAGAAAAGAGTAGATATCACTCCATCACGTTATCACTTATTCAACAAACATTGGAATCAATTGAATAGAATTGTGTGCACTCCGGAACCAGCTCTTGCTACTAGGCTTGCCTTGTCTTGTTTGACATTATTTTTTTGTGTTCCTCGGAGCAGGTTGTGGATAAGCAAGCCAAGTCAGCCTGGGTTCCTATGTCCATGCCTCGGCCAGAGCCTGAGAAGCTGGCTGTGGGCACGCAGACGACCGGCCTATTCTTCCCGTCCAACAAGAAGCTAGAGCAACAAGGCAAAGGTCAAGGCGATCAGAGGAATCTCTCTGAATCCACGGGGGAGAAGAAACCAGTACTGACGGCTATCAGCCCAGGAAAAGGTAACAGTCTGTAAAGTATTTTAGCTTTATGTTTTGGGTGTTTTGACTTCTTTCTTTCGTGTGACACAAAATTCCAAATTACAGCAGTCGTCTTCAGTTGAAATTTTGCTGGTCTCAGGAGGCCAGCCTAATTGTCCTTTTTGCACGTACTTCGCTGACTGACTGACTGACTGACTCCCCGACTGACAGTCACTTGTGACTTAGACTGGTTGTAGGCTGGTGAAGAGAACCGGGCAGTGCTCTCATGTAGGATTACCCCGTAACACCAATGAGTGGGCTAAATCTTGCCCATTGTGTAGACTACATGCATGAAAAGACTTTCAATGATTAGCTACCCTGAATCAACTGAAGAGAATTGTGTGCGCTTTGACTTAGACTGCTCTTCTTGCACCAGCTTTAGTAGGCCTGCCTTGTCTTAAATCATTCCTTATGATCCAGGATTTACAACTTTTTTTAATACCTGCATTTTGGTTGGGATGTACATGTAGGTTATTGGCGGCAACAGATGGATCACATTTGTGGGCATTTGAAAGCGTATGCACAGAACAACCAAGACTTCAGGAACCTGATTTCAGAGCCACGGATGGGCAAGGTGAGGGTTGAAATAATATCAAGGGAAGGGGAAGGATAAAAGGATGAGAGTAAAGCAAGGATAGGGGAACCAATTCAGCAAGAAGAAGAGGAATCTAGTATGCTGCTCACATTTATTGGTGGGGGATGTTTGTTCCTGAAAACTGCCTTTTAGTGCGGGATGGTTTGATTTAATGTGTTTACCATCTTTGTTTACTGTAAGAATTAGTGGAGTACCTTGGCCTAGTGGTCTAGAGCATTGAAATCGTGGTCTGCGGGTAATTCTGCAGGTTGTGGGTTCGAGTCCAGCCCGGGGTTATGGTGTGTGTGCCCTTTAGCAAGGCGCTTTGTCACTCATTGCTTCTCTCCACCCAGGAGTAGATGGGTACCTGTGAGGGCAGTGTTGGTTTCTTTGAGAGGTTGATTAAGAGCGCCGAAATGGCTGCCTACCGGTCATGTATGCTCCCCAGGGAGTTGAGAAGGTTTCAGGAGTGTTTGCCCGTTGAAACAGAGAAAATAATAATTGTAAAGCATTTGATACCCCGTTGCGGCGTAAAAGCGCTTTTAATGCCTGCTATTATTATAAGAACCAGTCACAATGGGTATACATGACATGGAATTGTTAGCCAGTTATCTGTTCTAGTTAAGCAAACGTCTCCAGTGCTCTTGATTTTTTTTTATGTTTTAATGTGCATCTTCTGGAAAGTGTCCTCAGGCCCTTGGACATCATGCTTCATTGAGATGGGGATAAGAGTCCATGTTTAATTTTGTAATAATTTGCCAAAACTTTCAGGCAACATTTTAATGTTTAAAGTCTCAGCCAACACTTTACCAAGGCTTCACCTTGAGAGTTCTAATGCTTTGTTAATAAGTATCAAAAGAACCTGACTGACTGGTTGAATTATAACAGTTTTTTTTAATAGTTGAGCAAAGAAATTGACTGGAGTGGGGTTTGAACCTGCAACCTCCAGATTACCGTTCCGGTGCTCTACCAACTGAGCTATCCAGCCCTGTGTTGGCAGTTCTCCAATTTGTCAATATCTTTGTTCAAGGGGCGCTAGTCAGAAGCCATAAACCAGTATGCCATACAGCCAGGGATCACGCCCAAAGTCACGATACAAACCTGGGAAATAGCAAACAGGGATCACTCAAAGAAGATACGGCTTTTTTTTTTACAAATTCTCAAATGAACCACAAAAGGAAACTGACTAGGTGAATTATAACAATTTTTGAAAAGTTGAAAAAGAAAAAATCTGAGCGGGGTTTGAACCTGCAACTTTCGGATTAACGTTCCAGTACTCTACCAACTGAGCTATCCAGCCCTATGTTGGCAGTTCCCCCAATTTGTGAGCTGTGTAAAGTAAATAGGTCTGAAGACTTCTTTTAATCCAAAGTAAAATAAAACTAGAAATCAGAACAGGTAAGTACAAGGTAACGATAATTACAAAATTTGGGTTCCATTAGGACATTTTGGAAAAAGTGTAAGTGAGATTTGATTATTTTTGTTTATAGTCAGTGCCCCATATTTAGTACATGCTGTGAACAAAAGTTTGTGGTCGACCAGAACTTTGTGCCTTTATTCTGTCACAGCTTCAAGGAGCCACTGTGCATGAGGATGGGTATGAGCTGAGCATCACAGCATGTTTCATCCTACGAGGCAATAAAGACGAATTCACTGGTAAACCGCTGGGAATAACAAAGAAGAGCCTTTTGAGTGACACAATTGATGGTAGGTACACAAATAAGCAGGGGTTCTGGATTTTATGGAGAGTCGTTGTGTTGCCAAATTCTTAATTTGAGAAGCAATTTTTAAAATGATTTCTTGTTTTCACGGACAATACAAAGCAGTAATCCCTGCCTAGTAAATTGAGCAATTATTTTTTGCACACAATATACTTCAATAGTTATAAAATTGAACAAAGAAATTGACTGAAGCAGGGTTTGAACCTGCGACCTCCGGATTGCGGTTCTGGTGCTCTACAAACTGAGCTATCCAGCCCTATGTTGATGGTTCCCTATTTTGTCAAGATCTGTTTTCAACGGTGCTCAGAAGTCGTAAACCCATTTATGCTAGGTAGCCAGGGATCACGCCCAGGAAAATATACTGTATTTAATGTGTCATTAATATGCCTGTTTGTAGCCATGCTGAACTTTGATATAGTCGTGTTCCCTAACGTGGCGCAACTTACCCAACTTTCCTCATGTAGTGTTGCCAAACCTCTTTGTTGACAAACCTCAAATTCATGCAGTAAAACACTGGTACTTTTACCTTATTATTGCTTGCTATTTAACCTCTGTGAGTGATTTCGGTTTCATAAAATTTAATCCGAAATTCAAAAACGGTGGCGTCCGGAAATTGGGCACAAATTGGCGGACTGTTCCCTAACGTGGCGCACTTAAATAATCTCGGAAAATTCCAAATTAACATTTAAGAATTTCTGTACACTTGATAAATTCTGATAAATCATTATTATCTCTACTTACATACCCAGCCAGATGTTTGTCATAAAATTATTTTCTTATTTTTTCGGGTCATTTTCAAAGGGTTCGCTTTGCACAGAAAATCATGCCAAAATAAATTTTTCTTCTTACTTTGTAACGGGTAAATAAACTCGCAATTTATGAACGGGAGTGTTTAGAACTTGATGAAATTTCACTTTCTGTGAAATTTCAGTTAAAACTTTTGCTCTAGCTAGGCGCTACAGGTGAAAAATCAAAGTGTGCCACGTTGGGGGCCGCGCCACGTTAGGGTACATCAACAATATATGCTCAGCATCATCTGCCTTTGTTCACTGTTGATGACACCATATCACCTGTGCAGTAGCTTCTTGCTTTGATTTGCAATTCTTACCATGGAAAAAAAATTAAGTGGGTGTTTGGATATGTACTCTTGAAGTATAAGTATATTGCTTTTCGCAACATGTTTAGTAACCAATGAAGTGTCTAACAAGATGGGCAACGCACCAGGAACACCAACCAGCAAACAAGAGAAGCCATCCACACCCAAGAAAAAGTTGAAAAAGAAACCAGCGGATGACAAATTGTCTGTAAGTATGTTCATTGTCTGTATGTTAAACTCCTTGTGCTACCACCACCATACTTCTTGACGACCAAGAAACAAAGTTGTAGGAAGGCCAAATAACCTTCCTTATAAACAAAGAGGGCCCCCCTCCCCAACTTTTACTGGTTCCAGAGAGCCAGCCTCTTGGCCTCTTTGTTGCTATCTCTCTGACTTACCAACTAAATTCATGTGAGAGACGGGCAGTGTTATTGTATAGGATTACAATGAATTAGCTCAATTGTGTAGAAAAGAAGCGTCCAGTGAATAGCCATGCTGTATCTATTGAATAGAAGTGAGCTGTTGGACCAGCTTAACTTGGCTTGCCTTGTCTTGTTTGATTAAATATTATCAGAAAAGGTGGAGTATGCAAACATGTAGCACAATGAGACGAGAAAGCAGCTAATAGCTTGGAACGAAATGGGGATGAACTTGAATGTCAACCTTCCTTTGTGGGGTTGACACTTCTCGAATATCCTGGTGGAGCGCTGTGGTCCAATGGGTACAGTGTTTGACTCGTGTCGTAGTTTGTGGGTTCAAATCCTCACAGGTAACTTGGTGCTTGTGTTCTTGGGCAATACCTTTTACTACAATTGCCTCCCTTCACCCAGGAGTATAAATGGGTACCTTTGAAAGTAGAGACCAGAAGCGTTGATCTCGAGCTGCTGCAAAAAATGATCTAACTGATCTTGTGAACAGGGGTAATAATTGTGAAGCCCTTTGAGACCTTTGGTATATAAGCACCACATTATTATTTTTATTTATTTTGTGTCCAGAATGTGAAATGTTGGAAATCTAACTGAATGTGGACAAGTTCGTAAAAAAAAACCCTTCTGATAAATAAATTTGTATTTGACATCTTCAGTGACTCGTGCATGAACAAATGATTTTTGCAGGCCATAGACCGGGACCTAATCAGGGAGTTAGGAGCCAAGGGAGATGGGGATGATGAGGAGGTCCAGCGTCTGCTTGATGAGGTCAGAAACATTCTTGCTTTGTCTTAACCATTCAATTACTGGGCTTATGGTTTTCCACATCCTTAAATGCTATTTCGCCACAACTATAGCATTGGTCTCAACTATAGCATTGGTCCCAACTATAGTATTGGTCCCCACTATAGCATTGGTCCCAACTATAGCATTGGTCCCAACTATAGCATTGGTCCCAACTATAGCATTGGTCCCAACTATAGCATTGGTCCCAACTATAGCATTGGTCCCAACTATAGCATAGTTAGGACAGTCCCTACTGCATTATTGCATATGAGCTGGCACCACTATAGTTGGCTCCATTTCAAAATATCTAAAATCAAACACCAGTTCAAAATAAACTCAGGAAAACCTGTCAAACTAGCATTTCTTTAATACAAGTGCTCATTCTACAGATTTCATATTTTATTTTCAGTGTCAAATTTGGGGAAAATATTTACTAACAAGTGCACGAAAAGAATGAAGAAAGAAAGAAAAAAGAAAACAAAATTTTTGTAAGCGGCACTAAAAAGAGGATGCTACTCATAATTGCTCAGGATCAAGTTTGAGATTTTGTTTACAAGTGACACTATTGGTCTAATCTTTTGCCTTTTTTTTTATTTATGATGATGATAAATTGAAATAAATGTGTTTTTTTAATTTAAATTTTGACATACATCATTTCATGTAAACATACTTTTGGTGTACATTTAATTAATGTTACAGCCTTATTTCTTTGCATGGAGTTTTTGGAAAGTAAGCATCTAAAAATACCATAACTTCAGTCGCAAAGCTACGTCTTTATAGCCATTTGCCCAGAACATTTGACAGTTAAATATTGTTTTATTGCAGTGTACTTTAAAGACATAAAAAAGTAACTCCCTTCCACAAAAAAGGACATAATTAATAAAAGGATTTTTGTTTTTAAAGTTGAGCAAAGAAATTGACTGGACTGGGTTTGAACCTGCGACATCTAGATTGCCATTCCAGTGCTCTACCAACCGAGCTATTCAGCCCCATGTTTGTGGTTCCCCATTTTGTCATTGTCTTTGTTCAAGGGGTGCTAGTCATAAGCCATAAACCCATAAATGCCATGTAGCCTGAGTTTGCGCCCATAGTCAAAGAAACTTGAAAAGACCTTGGCCTGAGTCAATCCTGGAACATCATATACATTATCCAAGTTCTTTTCCTGAACTAATCTTGGACCCTCTTTGTTGCATGGTTTGTAGGGAGCTGATGCCACCTGTGAGACCGGCGAAGGTATCCCAGTACTAACCCTAGCTGTCATGAATAAACACTGGGACTGCCTGGAAACATTGGTCAATAATGGAGCGGAAATCAACAGAAAAGCAGGACCGTACGTATATTGGGTTCAGAAATCGCAACATCCCTATAGGATGTGAAATAATGGTTAAGCTATGGGTTTCCGTTTCAATTGTTGAATAATGATCTGTAAAGTTAGATGGCCAATATTTTGCTTGTACGGGCATCTCCCTGACCAATACCAATTTGTATTTGGGGATGTGTGACCAGGAGAATGCTGATGGACAATGTTAGACAAATAAGATATTTCCAAAATTTACCTGCTGCCAGAGATTGGAGAAATTGATTTGGGGTAGGGGCGGAGGTTGTAAATCATCTGACACCATGGTCACTGTTCATAGTGAATGATACTGGATTCTGGTCATGCTGATAAATACACATCAAAAAAGAGATGCCAATGACAGTTTTGTAAAAACCAAATGGCGGAGGGGGTGTCAAACCCCTACACACACCCCCTCTGCACCCCTGCACTTTGTACTTGTATGCAAAGGATTAATGTCAAGTCAAACTGATTTGAGGGGAACATGGAATGAACAACTTGAGCAGCAATAATGACCTTTGATGTCAACAGTTGACCTCCAGTCACATTGTACTCTGCTGATATTGTGCATATGAGGCCACCCTAGATTTAGCCTGTACCAGCACGTTCGGTTCAGGGATGCTCTGTACCAGAGAAAATGAGGTTCTTATCTTAGCCATACATGAACATAATGTGTAGAGAATATTACTCCGCTGTAATCCTTTTGGGTGCAGTGAGATTGAACAGTTAGAAAGCCTGCAGTGAATGGTGACCAAATCCCATAGGATCAATAGTACCAACCTTGTATCATGCATCAGGCACAACATAAATGTTCTTGCTTTCTTTGGTCGCCAATTTTGACTTGTGTTTCCCCAACAGCAAGGGTAACACTGCCCTCCATGAAGCAGTTCTTCTCGGTAATGAGGGCAAACAGGGTGTGGAAGAACTTCTGGCACTCGGGGCCAGCTCCAAGGTGAAGAACGCCCGGGATGAAACAGCCTACGACCTGGCCATCAAGGGAGGAGAAGAGGCCATTATCTCTCACTTTGCCTCCACGGCCGGCCAGGGAATGCTGGACAAACTCATGAAGCAGAGCTCACGACCCCCGGCGGAAAGATTCTGAGACTATCTTTGCTCGGATGAGGGTGCTGTAATGATGTTATTTTGGGGGTATAACCAGACATGTATCCAACTTGCTGAGCATGAAAGTTCGTTTCCAGTCCCATTATTGAATCAAGTAAATGGAAAGGAGCCTTTTTGGGACTTAAATTGTAGAGCTCGTATCAGGAGCTTGCGACACCATCACGGTGTCTTTATCACAGCTGGCGTTGTTGAGGCCCTCGTGGTCTGGTATATAGAATATCATGTGATGGCTGTGACGGAGGACACTTATATCAGTGAAACAGCTCACACTCTGCAGGACCGTTACAGAGAACATACCAGTAGGTCAGCTCCCCTGAGGCTGTAGGAATCCGCAGGCACTGCCCCCATATGAATAGAGATGGAGGGTACGAATGTGACTTTTCTAGTTTTTGTACCCAGAAAATGGTAGCATTATAGCACCCTCCTTCACTCAAAAATATGGCTGCTTGTGTGAAGTGAAGGCGAACAAAAGACCAGATGTTGTAGAATTTTGCATTCTGGATATTCAACTGCTATCCAGGATACTGACAGAGTACCCTGAAAGCATCAGTCAAAGCACCTTGTTAATTCAGTATTCTTGAAGTTTTGAAGTACTTGGTAATAATTTTTAATGTAACGTTTCGTGATTTACTAAATTCAGATTTATGGTGTTAAATTAGTCGTCTGCAAATGAAACCTTCTGAAGGTCCGTCCTCAATGTATACAAAGTAAACTAACATTGTGTCAAACAAAAACATTTGACTATGTACCTATCTGATTGACTGACTGACTAGGGCTGCATCCAAATCAGCTGTCTAGAGCTAGGTCTAGGTCTGCGCCCATTAAAAATACGCGGGGACGCGCTGCCAATAGACGTAGCCCTAGCTCTGGAAGCCCATTTCGGACACGGCCTCACTGTCTCTTTGACTTGGACTGGTTGTAGACTGGTGAAGAGAGCGAGGCAGTGCTTTTATCCAGTAAAGCCAATGACTGGGCTCTAGTGACTAGACTTACTAGGCTTGTCTTGTCTTGTTAGAGTTTAGATTAGATCAGTGTACAAGTCCTTTATAGCATTGCAATTGGCTGTAGGGTTTTAAAACTGCGAGTATTGTTGTAATTGGGGAATACCTTGTAAAACAGATTTTACATTGTCTTTCAAAGAAAACCTTTTCATGTACATTGTACTGTGTATATAATTTGTGTGAATAAAAGTTCATCTACTTAAAATAAGATTCTGATTTTAATGTTCTATATCCATTGAAATTGGTAAAGTGTGAGATGTCATCTGTAGATGGGAGGTAGTCGAAAAGTCTCAAGAATACTTGCAAGTTGGGGAGGGGCATCATTCCTTGACCCTTGTTCCTCCATCTCAACCAACCCATTTAGTATCATCCTCTGACAACTAGGACCTTGAGCTCGAAGTAATTCATCAACTGAAGTATGGCTTTAACTTGAAGCTGCAAGAGACTATACACCTTCAAATACACATTGCCCGACCCCTCCGCTGCATATGTGCTTCTCTTTTTGCTACTTTTTAGTACATGAAAACAAATTGAAGTTTTGACAAAAACATGTCCACAAACCAGTCATAATAAGTTAACAGTGGCAAGTCTTTACATCTCTGCATAATGTTGGGTCTTCCTGTTAAATTTTTTTCTGGGAAAATTACAAAAATTTGTGATACAGTCTTTTTAAAAGCAAAGCAGAAGTCTTAATTGTCTATCGCCGTATTCCATATACACCAAAAAATGTATCGACTTCAAAATGCTATACAGTCAGCTGAGCCGTATGGCAATTGCCTGTAAAACCCCCTATAACTTCAGTTTGAATAAAATGAAAATCATTCCCACATTGGTGGTTTTCTATCCTGCAATGTTTTTAAATTGTATTTAAGTATTGGTTAAGTCTGCCTAAATACCAGAGCAAAGTTGCCGTGTGCTGTATTAATTTGCTTTTGCGCTTCAGGCTATTGCAAGCTATTTTTTGTTAAGCCGGCTACTGTATGAGGGGAAAAAATCCGCATGTGACAAGGAACACAATTCAGCGCAAATCCCAAAAAGCAACGTTATTTCACCCCTCGAGCGTATAATCTTTAATGCGCCAGCCGCCGGTCGTCATATTGAAATGATTTCCCCCCGAAGTTGCCCTCCGATTCCCCGAATCTTGCCAGTAACACGTACGAATGGCAGATATCCGCTTGCTAGGCCAAGAAGTCACGTCGCTACACACCGCCCCTGGGAAACAGGGCCCCAGCTCGCTGCGAGTGTCTCAAAAACACCGCTTCCGAGTCAGCCGCACCATCTGAAATGTATTTGCCTATAATTGTTTACATATGACTATTGTTGTTTTGCTTTTTAAAATCTTCGTTACTTGGTTCATGGGGCTATAAAATGGAGCTTGATGGTCTAGTCCTTTTTTTTTTACCATCGCTATACATTACTAGTTACTCCCAATTGTTTAGCCTTTCCGCTTTAAACTAAGTTGGTTTTTAAACACTATCATAATTGTAGACCGTAGTTGCAACCCACATCCAGACTATTATCAGTCTGGAGGACGGTTTCCACCGTTGCCAAACACTGGTCATTCCTCTGCCCCAAGCCTGGTAATGAACTGACACTCCCTAGTGGCCTTCATTCAGCCGGGCATTTCTTCATTTTACAGATACCAAAGTTTGAATGGTAGTTTATCACCGAGTGACCTCAGCTTGACCCCTAATAATAGTTGACCACGATCCAGGGTGGAGCGGCTTGCATGCTTGGTGTGACCACGGACCTTCTGTGCTTGACCCGCATTTATTCTTCCAACCTCAATCCCGGAGGGAAACTGAGGACCTGCCATTTATATTTCTCAAGGCCAACTGATAAAAATCCTTTTCTGGGTGTTTTATAAAATCTCCTTTGCTCCTCCAACCTTATCCTTACTCTGACTGTCGTACTCATGATGCGTTCCTCGCAAATCCTTCAATTTAAACCAGAACCTGATCCGGGAAAGTGGATAATGCATTCGAAGAAAATAAAATTAAGCCAATATTTAGTCAAGACCAATAACATGCATGCTCTCAATTATATCACGAAGGCCCCCTTCAATGGCGAATGCGTTGTGGTAGCTGTTGTTCGAACAATCTGTTACTGGGCAATTGCTTTGTAAAAGAGCGTACACAATGGTTTCTCCATTGGAAGGGGCCTCCAATAAACCAGATCTTGGAGCCAACTTCATCGTGCCATAGGCCTATAGGAAACAAATCAGTATCGTCATCATCGGGATTATCCATCGTCGCAACATTCACATCCATCCATTCGATTTTAGTTGTTTGAACTAAAGAAGGAAAGAGTAATCGATATTTCCAAAAAAAAATGATGGAATAGAAAATTAGTTTTTTCCCCGATTCGACACGAAACTTTGCCTTTTCGACAACAGTAATTGAAGTCACAGATGATAAAATGGAGTTTTAAGCCTATTGTGAAAAAAAAAAAGAATAGCAAAAGATACAAAAGTGAAGGCTAAATTATTAGTACAACAGCAGCCGACTTGTATCAGTTATTTTGTTGAAGGCAAGGAGATTGAATGAGGATTTCTTGAGCGGAAATGAAAAACTGTCAAAATGTCGTCAGTTGTGCCGATGAGTGCTGAACAATGAGTCGGGATAGAGTTGCCAAGTCAACAAACTCAAGTACCGTGCCAGGTGTGTCCGGATGACAAGTGGCCCGATACCGTTGTCTTTGTCACCGTTCCTCTCTTGAGTGGGTTTACGTGCCCTGACTCAATTGCTGTTTCAAGGAACCACTCCAAGCCTCTCGAGACTCGTAATATTCACTTTGTACCTTTGCGCCCGCCGAACAGGCTGTGGTTTTTTGAGACAAATGCCCCGGGCTGGGCGGGTACGGTATTGGCGGCATGACATGCATTCATCACTCGCTCACATGCTCACATATATTTGCACGACACATTTTACAGTTAGTTTCTGCTGTTGAACACTTGAACTTGAATCTTTGGTATTCTCACAGTGTTTACGTTGATGAAAGTTTATACAGTTTGATGTTATCACTACTAATTTAAACTGAGTTCCATCTAATGATGTTTCCGGGTTTTTTTCCACCCCATGCTTTTTTAAATAGATTAGTTATCATTAAGTGTAATTTATCAAAATGTCAACGAGATTCAAGTTGCATGCAATGTCGTTTAGTGATATCTTCTTCAATGTATTTATTCCTACAAAAGCTGGTGCAATTTCAAGCTTTAGTTAGGCATTTGAGTAGTTTCTTACTCCGAGTGATAACATTTGTTACAATTTGTTACAATTTGTCATTTGTATTATGCTGTCATATTTTGAGGGAAATTCATCTTAAATTCAATATATTAAAAATGTCGCTTACCAATAACACAACACGTACTGTAATTGAAATTTGAGTGCTATTAATCTGTAACGGTTGATGTGCATAACGTGTGGGGCACTCAGTTCAGTTTATTTTTTCCTCCTTGGCACCCTAGTTCGTGCTTTTGCACTCTCTCATTTCCAGATGTCTCATTAACATGAGACAAGACAGAAATGTTCAGTTTAGCAAGACAGACTGGTAGGCCTAAAACACACCATAGTCTAATCAAATCAGATCGGCGGTATTGAACTGAGGGTTGTCGGTGGTTGAAACTGAAAGCAAGGGAAGAACCACGGCTATATGAGCGCGTCGATCAAGACAAGTCAACAACCAAGTATTTTTCAGCAGCATGAGGTTTTCCAGGGGTGTTTTTGTCGGTGCAGGAGAAGTGCAGCCCAAAGATTTGATAGCAAATGTAAGTATCTGTTCAGAGCATACTATTTATCAGTATCACTCGTTGGTTTCGTTTTTTAAATGATTCGAACAGCCTTCCTGCAGTGATTTCTCATACTCCACTTACGATCCACTGTGTCATCGCGTTTAACAGTCCAAATCATTCCACACCTAGACGGAAGTCCATGTGTACCCGCAAGGGTTTGCCAACTAACTGAGCCATGTATAAAAACGTATCTCCACCAACAGACGGGGATTCAAGTACCTAAACATGAGGATCGTAATGCCACCGGGAAGATCAAAGCATCCATAGCCCTCAAGAGGACAAAAACGCCGGCTGCTCCAACAACTTGGACTTAACAACTCGGAGAGAGGACTTAACCAGTCCCAAGCACCCTGAGATGCAATTAGTGTCGGCAGATTGCCTGTTCTTGGGCCGTACCACAAGGACCAAATGCGGCCTTTCGCCCAGTCCTTATATCGATACAAAAGCAACCCACTGTTGACTCAAGCTTAATAATCCACAGAGTAAAGTTGCCCGGATCCAGTGTTGGTTCAATGAACCATTGCTCCTCGTGCTTCGACTTGATGACAAGAGAACGAACGTCATAACAAGAGAACTATCTGAAGAAACTAGATTGTATCCCCATACAGTAACAACTGTATCCGTGCTTGGAGGGGAAAAGTGTCATAAACATTTTTATCTTTGACATTAAAACAAAAACATAAATCAGATGACAGGACCTAAAGTGAGCCCACAATCGCGAAGCATAAATTGATGGCTGGTCGTGAGATCTCTAGGGGAAGTGAGGGTAACCTTTTAAATCTGTGCTTTTTCCTCAAATGCACAAAGTAGACTCAAGAGACAGGCGTTTTACTGCCGTGTGATGACGATCTCTTTTCTCGACAGAAACTGATGTAATGATAGCTACCTTTAAAACAAAATTCGTGACCTGATCGCGAGAAAGTTAGATCCGTGAGACTTTTACCAAATGCAAAAGACTATAGACCTCCTCGTTTCTTGAACCACGACACCGATACCTATGTACTTCAACATATGTGACAGGGGGAACCCCCCTCTTTTGTGTTGGTCATTGTGTTACCAGAATCTCAGGAATTCTTTTGAGATATCGGGGGGGGGGGGGGGGGTTGCTAGGTAAATAATAGTCTAGCGTGTGTATAGGGTATATGGACAATGGGGGGGGGGTATCCCTCTGTCACTTATCGTGCTGGGTACATCAGATTCATAAATGGATCTATAACTAGAAGAACCTATTTTCGGAGGGCCAAGAAGATGTTGCTGGGATGGGGTGGACCCCATTGACGCCGGGAGCTATTTCTTCTCTTTCTCCTTTTGTTTCATTTCATGAATCCCAATGTGGAGGGGATAAGGATGAGTAGACTACAGCTATAGCAGTCGTCTCAAATCTTTCCAAGGTCAAATATATATATTTTTTAAAATCGCCTTTGGGGGCGGGGAAGAAACGGTCCCCGGACGCACCAGAAAATGGTTACTGCAACATCGTCACTATTCCAAACTTCTGTTTCCGGCCGAGTATAATAGTTCATTATCGAACCCTGACAGCCTCGCCGCGCCCTTTACTTCGTGATGTTATAGTACGTTCTCTACACTCTCACTTCGTGTGATCCCTGTTCGCATCCATAGTGCACAATGTTGTAGATGAAGTGGCAGACCCCATCCTTTTGTGTGAGTTTCTCCCGTCCGGAAACTTTCACAAATAATGAACTTCTCTAGATAAGATCTTTCTTGATAAACTCACAATCTTATAGCAAATGCCAAATCCTTGTATTTCAAGAAAATACAATTGAACAAAAGCGGGCCAATTTTATTGTTCCAATTATATTTGTCAAAATGTGTAAGAAAAAATAATCATAAGTTGGACTGCGTGTTAACACTTATCATGGGGACACATCATAAATATTAATTGTGTAACTATAAAACAAATGCCCTCCAAGCGCCAAAAATCAAGATTCGCAATACACATAGCATGCTAGTTGTAGTTCCATGTGTGGTTGTCTGCACTCTGACAAAAGAAATAACATCGAATACAAACTCACGAATACCTGTATTCGTGTATTGTTTTTATTACGAATTTGGGTTTTCGGCAAAAAAATACGTCTGACTGTGCCTGCCACCAGTGTGGCGTCACTTATACCAGGATGTTCTTTGACACTTGACAGCTTGGCGTCCATTACTGAGAAAGCAACGCTCTCGCAGTAATCACCGTAAATTGAAGTTTGCGGTGGCTATATTAACGGTCATAAAAACCCGTGGCGCACGATAACGTGCATTTCAGACGATAACCGCATCGATAGAGCAATGTCAGTCGACTTTTACAGCAATTCGAAAGATAATCACCCTGGAATTACCTCGGAAGAAACAACCAAGAGATAAAAATGAGAATACACGTAAATATTTACAGTTCACGATAAGTAAAGTGAAGTGATCCTTTATTGGGGCTCGTATGGAGCGGGGTATCCCTGCGAAACATCGGAGTGGTTATTTTCCCGCGAGATTTGATGCATCGTCAAACTTTGCCGGAGTACTGCGTGTCGCCATGCATCACCAACATCAGCCACTTGGCGCTCAGGCGTGATCCAGGATTGGCTGCATGGGCCCGGTCAGTTGCATAGCGAGCGCCAACGCGCCGGCTGGGATACATTTTCACACTCTGCCAAGTTCATTTATCAAATCCTTCCCCAGGAACATCAACATCAACGGTTGTTGTGAATACACCAGCGACAAGTTAGACAAACAACGAGCGAGCTCTTTTCAAAACCGTGGAATCCACGTTATTGAGGCAGCGCCGTGAACAAAGTGGAAGTTACCGTGCCTTCTTTTCGGTCAGATGCCCGCAGGACAAGAGATTGCCAACGCGCATTGAACTTGCATTATTGAGGTTTGCCCCCGCGACACAGACGTGCGTACCCGTACCGTGTCAGCTCGCCATTCATTCTGATATCGTCATGGGCAAGTTGACGAGTTGGTTCAGTTTCTTACGCCAGTCTCCCCGCATCATCAGCATGTCTTCCGTGGAATACATTATAACGCGTGTGAGGAGTACACAACTACGGGTGATCTTCTGTCTTTTAACGCTTTTCATGTGCATCTCCTTTGCCGAGGTAGGTGCATTAGATTGGTATATTGTTTTAAGGGGCACTTCGGGTTTTCAATGACTATTTGCGTCCTCTTTTTATTGTTTTTCGTTCACACCCATTAATTACGCAGTTGCGGCTATTCACAATACATTTATTAACTCTTCTGTTTTATTGTATGAAAATAAACAAGTTTTCACTCTGGCAACTATTTAACATTTTAGGCATACAGTCTTAAAACCTCTTAACTTAAGTTAAGAGGTTTTAAGACTGTATTGCCATGATTGTTTAAATGTTAAATTAGTTGCCAGAGTCTTATGAGAATGAAATGGTCATCAAACGGCATTATTTTCATGTCCACATTAAGTGTGTGTATTGTTTAACGTTAGTTCTTTTGTTTTGATTAGTTGTTTTGTTTTGTTTGTTGATTTGTTTTGATTTCCCAATTTCGGCATTGGAAGGCACATCATGTCCACGTCCGAGCATAATGTGAACGTAACAGCTATCGACGTAATAATATCCTTTCTACATCATACATGCCGACATCGTACAGACAGAGAGGTAGGCTGGAGAATTATTGGCTGCGACTTCCCACAATGCGCAGCCACGTAGATGTGTGCTCCCTGACTTTCAAAAAATGCACTTGAATCAGAAAATCAAGTTAAGCCCCGTTTATCATTAGACCAGATATGTCTCAGCTAACCTATAGATTCTTCGTCAGAACCTAAGTGAAAACGATTATGAAATAAATGGCTTTTATTTGTTGATATGAGGGGGAAGCTGTCTTGGTTTTTTTTTTTGGGGGGGGGGTGCCCTTTTCACAAAACTTGTAATGACATGGCCTTCATGTCATAAATCGACTGCCTGACGACAGCTTTTTTTTATTCCGAACTTCCGAATTGCATTGCAGAGTGGTGTTGTCAACAAAGCTACAACGTCCTTGGGGATATTTTCATAAACTCTACCTGTCACAAAATTAGAATGTCGAAAACATTTACGGATGAGTTGTTTGGTGTTGTCAAAAGGCAACTTTGCTATTTTGTGGAAGAAGATCGTTTTTTTTTGTGGGGGTGTTAACAGTTGATGCGTGCTTTCTCAACAGAAGTTCAGTCTTAATTAAATGAAGATTTCCAGTTTGAAAAAGACACACTTTTCTACTCTTTTAAAACTACATATTTTAAAGTTCTTACCATAAGGTACTTGTGGGGTGATGTTCCTTTCAGAACACATCTCCCCACTATTTTAACAATAGAAAAACATCACCCCAGAAGAGAATGTTTAGAAAAAGGGATAATTGGAACACAATGCTACCACCCCACAACTCCATCTGACTGGGATGTCCGAAAAGGTAAATAATTGTAAGGGCATACTCATTGTTTACATTAAACAATATTTGATTCCCTGTTATGCTCGTCTGATTTTTGTTTGATTTCTTTTTCATGTTTATATGGATCATTAGACTTTACCATAGTACTAGTATGACTCATCAGAATTATGTTTTTTTCCCAAACCATCGATTTGCAATGATTTGATTAAGCAATGAAGTAACAACATAAACGATCCGTGAATCGATTGTCAAACTGTGGTGAACTGCACTTCCAAATTTGTTTCCCGAAACTTTCAAATTGCCATAATGTATTGAAGTATTTTTTTAACATATAAAAAAAATGAAATCTTCGCCTCGGTGCATCATCCGCGAACCGAACACAACAAGGTTGAAGACCGTGTCGGCAGAAATCTGCAAGGTCTGGTCAGACTCATAAATGCCGGGTGGGTCAGTCGGGGGTTCTTGGCCCAGGTCGTGAATTCAGAAGGCCGTTTATCCACCAACCTTCATAACGTAAAACCCTTCATCTCTCCCGAGAACCGTTCCCATCTAATGTTTATCGTCTCATAGTTTACCTCGTTAGATACCGACGGGTAAATCGATACGGACATCAAAGACTTGCCTGCTTTGATCGCGCCGTCAAATGGCATTGTTTAATTCCTTTGAAACTACCAAGAATTTCAATGGTTCGGCGCCGGGCACTATGTTTTTTTGAGCCGTCAGCAAAACCTGCTCTGCTTCGCCCACGTGCTCCGTGTGTATTCCCCAAAAGCAGGACGATCGAAGTTCAGGGGGAAATGACTTGAGTTGGTCTTGAAATGCAAATAGAGCCTTGTCATTTTAATTTGCGTGTGAAATCACGATTGTTTACTTTGCAGTAAATGGTCATACAAACAGCTGTTTATCATCTTCCTTTGGTAGATGCCGCGATATAGATATCCCTCAATGTGTGCATTAAGTATTGACGTGGTGTAAAAGCTTCGTTACGATTGCCGTTCGACACTGTACGGCAAATCATCAGATATCATGACGATATTTTTCTTTCAATCGGAGTTAATATACACTGCGTGTGATTTACTGCCAAATCGCTCATGACTATCAAACCCTGTTTCGTGTGATAATCGCCTTGGCTCCTTGACTTTATTGGGGGGGGGGGGGGGAAGCAAGCCAGAGCGCGAAAAACTCTTTATTTTCAGTGATTCAGAATGTCAAAAAATTATAGAACAAGCTGTAGAGTGTAGTGGTATTAACCTGATGGAAATGAAAAATCAACTTTCGCCGTTCTCATGGAGACTTTTGCTGCACGATTGTGACTGGCCGACTCACGCCTTGCGTCGTGTATAGCACATGCTCAACAAAAATAGTGCATGCGCAATATAACATTGACTAGCATTTAGTTTGTGCATAAGTCTATGGTGTAGCCCTTTTTGCGCTACAGCATTTTCTGTTCTGACTTGTTGCACCGTCCGGACTTGTTTCAGAAGTCGGCTTCTTAACACAAAATAAGGTTTTTCATAACAGCCTCTCAGAAATTTAGTGGTCGATATTCCCCTTTAAGGTCGAGCATGGCTCCATTGGCCACGAGATGAATACACCAATTTTGTTGCAGAGTTGGAACATAGAGGAAGAAATATTAGAATGACCGTTGTGGTGCTTCAATGGTTATTTTTTTCTCAAATGATTGATATTGTCGAATTATCGCTATGATGGCAAGGCTGATGAGCGAATCAGCACGTCAGATGGCTTAAGCTTGCTGTCAGTCAAGCCGAATAGTGTGGACTCTGTACGTTGCCATTGTGAAAAGGGGTTGGTCCGAATATAATTGTGTGCCACCAAGTTCCCATTCAGAATTATTGTACCCTTTCACAAAGCACAATAATTATTCCACCTGTTGCCAAAATTGAATGAGTGGCGTACAATGCAACAATGGGCGCAGTTCTGTTCGTGTCGTGTTCGCCGGGGAGGGAGCTGTCAATCACTTTTGCATCATCCAAAACTGATGGGCTCAAGGGAAGTCCACAGATCATGTGGGACTTCTGGTCAAGTTCAGTGAACTCTGACATAGTGTTTGTTTTGGTTAGGGAAGAGACACACCCTCACTCCCTTAAGACATGTATCATACCTCCCCGGCAATTTAAGTGTTTGTTAAATTCAGATACAGATATATTGGAGAAAAATTGTGACCTACGAAATACATAAAGTTGCTTTGACCTGGCCTGCTGAATTGAGAACAGCTTATGTGCAGTGTATACTGCTTCTTCGCTATATGATGACAGATAAACTTAAATCAACGTGTTCATTTATTTCAAATGTTCAACATGAGAATATAGTACACATGTACTTGATCCCCATGCTGGTACACCGATTTTCTATTTTGCAGGCTAAGAAAGTTAATACTTTTTCGATTTTTTTTTTTACAGGGTCTTGACATTTCATCAGGTAGAGTTGTTTCATCACGTTCTGATACGGGTACTGGGAAGACATCAGGTCGAGTGGCTGAGTTGGTCTCAAGAGAAGACCAAGAGAAAAGAACGGGTATACACAAACTCAATAAAACAGGGTCACTGCAAGACATCCTTGCAGATGAAGGACTGCCGAAAACTCACAAAGAAGGGGCGGTGCCCAACAGGAGATACGGCGTCTTCAGCGGAAAGAGGAGTTCCTCTCGTTTGAGGACGGTTCAGACGAGAACAGCGAAGCCAAAACTCTTAGCTGAAAGTGATGGAGATGGTATGAAAACATGGGAGCAACTTTGGAACGAGCAGGCACTTCCTCCCTCACTGCCAACCTCCGGTGAGATAGATACGGATGACTATTATACCTACGATTACTTCGAGGATGCTGAAGACGATGATGATGATGAGGAGGACGAAGAGGACGAAGATTCCAAAGGACTTTCCATTGACAGGAGCAAGAAAGACACCTCTTCAGCAGAAAGCAAGTCGCACTCCCTGGATCGCTTAGCGGAGCTGGTGACAGGGGCAAACCCACAGATGGGACCGGTTAATCTTGGCACGCCCAACCCGGACATAGAAATCACCATCGAGATCTTGAACGGGGAAGACGCCAAACACGAAGACGTCGTTATATCTATGGATCTACGGGATGATATTGTGGGCACGCCCGCGACACCAGATTCGCGTCGACACGATGGGGAGGGAGCGCCTCGACCGGAAGGCGAGACAGACCATGACAACGTCTTGATCCCACCAACCAGCAAGATTGACGAGGAGCCTTCCCAATCAGAGGAGGAACCAGATTTGGGTGGGCCTGACGATGATGACCAAGATAGTTACTACTCCTTCGAGTTTGTCACACTACGTCGACTACCTGACCCGGATGCCATTAACTTCGAACCAGGTAAGGGAACGACGCACAGACAGTCTTCCAATTCATAAAAGACATGGAAGAAACCCCCTGCAGCAATTGGCTATCTTGTAGCAGTGGAAATAAAACCCGTAGAGAAACTTTAAAAGGTTTTTTTAATCGAAAATCACAAGCAATGTAGGCCTGTATATAGGTCCACACGAAGAATATCAACATCTCGCTGCTCAGTCAATTACAGTCTTAAAATACACGGGCCACAATTCGGGTCAAATTTGACCTGCAATCCGGGACAGATTTGACCAGACACTCCTCTGGGTCAAAATGATAGTTTTAGCTGCGGGTAGCAGCTCAACAAATCATCATGTCTCTCCGTCCGTCCGTCCGTGCTTACCACGGACCACTTGCGGGGTACCTGTCCATTCATCGACCTACCCTGCAAGTGAAATCTTTAGAAAAAGGGGTACCCCAGAAGAAAAATATTTAGAAATAGGGACAATGAGACAACAATTCTGGCTGGGATGTCCGGCGTCTGTCCTTCCCGTTGAGTAGGACGTCCGGACGCCCGTCCGTCCGTCAGTCAGTCACAAACGTTGACATTGTCCATTGCTCCTACATATTTTGACCGATTTCAACCAAACTTGGTCAAACGTATCAGTAGCCCAGCCCCAACATGTCACATGACCAAGCTGGGGTCAGAGGTCATCATGGGATGATTGGGGTCAAAAACCTGATTTTTTTTTAAACTCAAAACACTACATCCCAAAACAATCACGTGACTCGCGTATGGACACGAATTCGTTGGCCCGCAGCTTCCGAGATCCAATCGAGCTTGTTTTCTTGTGAAAAATGACACTTTTCCCGGTTAAAATTACTATTTTTTGCGGCAGAATAACACCTTACATGGTTAAATGGCCCAGAAACGTGACCCAGAGGAGTATCAGTTTGTGTCGAATCTGATCCAGGACTTTTAAGAGTTTATTAAGTTTGAGCACTACCATGTATCTATATCCATACTGTGGTTCATGTCGAATGTAATCAAGTACGCGTACCTCTCAGTTTTTAAAAATAAATCCTTCGAGCACATGCATCTAAAATGCTGGGGAAAAGTGAATGGTAAACGTGTGGCATGAGCAGATGCCGAAGAATGCATGAAAAGTACAGCGTGACTTCTCCCCATGGCGAGGGCCAACACGGCTAATAGGCCTCCCACTAGAACCATCAGCTAGCGAATCAAGACTCCATTAACTCTTCACGCGATAAGCGGGCGTTATGGAATGCGATGACGGATCACCCATCATTTCAAAATTTGACAACAATCAGCTGTCTGTAGGACTTTGGCAATGAGGATTACAATATGCTGATGGTTTCTGAAACCAATATTGGGCATGGGAAGGATTGGGTTGGATTGCAATGGCCGATAACGTACGAGATTATCAGTATAAGCATTGCGGTCAGTGCATGACCCATTTCTATGGCGGGAAAAGAATACCGTGGATCAAGGAGAATTATTTTGACCCGATGACAGTACTCAGCTGTCTGGATGACAAAAATGACCATCATCATCGATCCTGTAACCCTGTGGGTCGTGAGGGCACCACCGATGTCTTCGAGCCGGTCCAGTGTCAGTCTCTAGGAAATTATGGAAACGGAAACGGCAGGCCTCGTGCATGTGCGGTCGGTTGGGTTTTTAATGAAGGTAGGGGAACGCCGGGTGAACTTTTGCAAAATTTCGAAACGGAATGGGGGCGCCATAATATGACCCAATAGACCATTATCATGTTGCAGCCATTTGATTTTTTCCCATTCAGATCAAGGTAACCAAAGCGAGGCTGGAAGGAGAAAAAGTCGGGTTCCTTTTTTCACAAAAAAACATTATCATTCAGTACTGTTATTGGATACAGGGAACATGAATATAATGGTGGAAGCATGATAGTTAAGTTTCTGTCAATGAGATAAGCGAGTTAATAATTCATGTACGTATGACATATGGGTACGTATGATATATTTGCGCACTAGTCTTGGTGCGGTCCAAGAGTGGCTTTGTATTTTTTGTATTCCCCTTAAAAAGCAGCCGGTCCGTGACAAGCGAGGTTGCTATCAACATGATGAATCAAGTCCAGTCTTGGCAATATTGGCAGCGCTACCCATGACATTCTGAGCACACCTCACGCGCGCTGCATTCAATGTAATGCGTTCGTGTGAGGTATACTCGGAATACCTGGGTGCTGGATAGGGCTGCCAATAAGATTTTAAAGATTAATTAATAAAATTAAGTGCATGGGATATACATTCATATACTCCACAATAGGCACCGGGTAATGATGTAGTGAAAGACTGGTACCCAGTCTAACTTGCCAAGTCCAAAATTTACAAACATTTCTTGCCATGTGGTGACATTTCCCATTCGTCCTTCATTCATTTCTAAATTAATTCCGATTGACAGATGACCCCGAGGAGACGATTGGGACGTGGACTGAATGGTCCTCCTGCTCAGCGTCGTGTGGGGGCGGTAGATCAGAGAGGTCTCGGTCCTGTGGCTTCTCTTGTATGGCAACGGAATCTAAGGACTGCAACCAACAGGCATGCCCACGTATGTACACCATCACGTTTGGTATAAATGTGTAAGGAGGTTATCATAATTGCATCATTTTGTAAAGGGCAACATGTTCCATAAAATATCCTGGAGTTGGTGCATGACATGATACACATTGACAGTATTCATTATCGTCTTCAAGTACGATGTAACTCCATTCCATATTCTTGTAAATTTGGGAGTCAATTTTTGCCGCCCGCTACATCCCTCCTTAAAAAAAAATTCAACGAAAGGAATTTTTTTATGTAGCGATACGTTTATTTTCTTTAATGTGCATGTATTAAATTAACGACAGCGCAAGTCACACAATTATTATGTGCACAACAGGTGGAGGGAAAAGTGAATCTCGCCCAGATGCTGCAGTCGAGAGACCTCAACCACCTTCTGTTGATTCGGAGTACTTGGAGACAGTCTTAGACCCAAACAACTTCGGTAAGAATCGTGCAGACTCCTGGCCGTTAAAACCACGTAGGATCATTTGCTATTACTCTGAAAAGTATCCAGTGGTTTAATGACAGAAACTTTGCTCAAAGTGAAGATAGGACTGGTATTGTACCCTGTGAAATTACTCCTCTCGAAATGGTATCATTTGGAAGAACACTAACATTGAAGATCGTGTTTAAAAACAAAAATCCCCCCAAAACACGTTTTAGGCCTACTTTGTTTTCTCAAAATGTATGATATCCATTTAACTGAAACATCAAAGGAATTGATGTAATGCACCCTAATTAAGATTTTGAACAATTTTGTTTTCGCTTCAAATAAAAAATATGCACAAAAGCAAAATGATGTTAGTACTTCCACATTTGGCAAAAGTGAACATTGTGTTGCTTGATTTGCCTCAGATTATTTTACAAGAAGTCTTTATTTGGTTTGATACATGTACATAAACCCTAATTACTCCCCCCAAAATAGAAATAGATCTTATGTGAAAGCCGGTATGTTTCAATCAGAAAGATCATAACAGGCCCTATACTGCATGCGAACTTGCTTTTATTTTAAACAACACAAATGAGTTATATAAAATCCTTATCTTAATATCCAAAATAATGTGTCATTATGTTGTTGTTTGATCAGATACAGACAGTTGCGAGGAGTGGATGGGGTGTCGCAGCGAGACGCTTCTCTCCTACCTATCTCGACTTCAAGACCTACCCAACTGCCCATGTTTCTACCCCACAAACCTCCAGCGTAACAACGCTATATGGGACCGGCAGAAGCGCCAAATGTTCCGTTGGATGGACACGAGTGGTGAGGATGCTAGGCTGGATGTGTATAAGCCCACGGCCTCGTACTGTATCATATCTTTACTATCACCGCACAGTACCAGCCTGGCGGCGCAGCAATGCTGCTACGACGAGAACCTGCGGCTGATCACAAGGGGGTCTGGGGCGGGTACCCCACAACTCATCAGCGCTGAGATCTCGCCTGAACTCCACTACAAGATCGACATCATGCCCTGGATTATCTGCAAGGGAGACTGGACCAAGTACAATAAAGTCAGGCACCCGAATAACATGCGGGAGTGTAGGGAGCTTCCGGATCAGGCCGAATTCTACCGTTTGTTTCAAGAGGCCAAGAATTTCTGAGAAGGGCGTCACAACCAGCAAAGGTGAAAGTCCTCAAAAAGCTCGCACATTTTTACAACGAGGGTCGACCAATGCCTCATAGACATGTCCGATTATTGAAGAAGCCTCCGGGCAACATACCGGAGTTGTACATCATTCATCGAACCTTGGATGCCCGTTAAAATCTACCGCCAAAAATCGCCTAGGGGAGCCAAGGTTCCCCTGAAATCCTTGTACTAACTCGGAACCGTCTGTGGGTTGACCACGGGGCATGGAACCGGTGCGTCGACCGCTCAGTCCCGCTGGTCTAGGAGGGCAATGACATTTTGACCGTATCATCACCGGACTAAGCTGCAATAACAGTTACATAGGTAGAATTCATACCACAACAAACTTGGAACCGCGTACCTCACCTATAATACCAGAACTAATACCCGGGCATGCGCTGAGAGGCAGCACTTGTGTTTTGGAAACCTCGAAAGGGTATCCTTGTTCCTTGATATGATGGGCAATGTCTTGGGCAATGTATTACGTGTACAGTGCTAGAATTCTGTATTGTATAAATTTCTCAGGGACATCTTGAAGACTATATATTTTCTATTTATTAAGACATTATTAACAGGTCAAATGGCACCCCGTAGTTTATTTGAACTTTGTAATCATTTTGCTGGTCTTTCACAGAAATGCCCAAACCATGACCGTCTGCTGAAGATCATCACTATAGGCCTTGTGTTAAGGCAACACTTCGTCGTTCTCTCTTTGGTAGCCACAGTTTCATAATCCATATTGCATTGTACAGATTAAACTCCTCATTGGAACATATTTTTTGGAACTCATAATTTCCTAAAACTATTTTCGTATTAAAGTCGCTATAGCGTACAAACGCAGTGTGCGTAGAAGTTGTTAAAGACCCGCGTTAAAGTTGCTGTCCACGGTGCTCATCAACAAATCCAATTTATTTCCTCCTAACGAGTTTAAATTTTAATGTTGTATTTTCATGAAAAAAACCCCTAAGTTTCCCGTTTTTGGCGTCTTCAACCCTTCGACAAAGGGTTTTGTTTTGTGTTGTGTTTGCGCCTAAAAAGATTTGCTTGCGTTACTGTCGAGCCGCATTCGAAATTCGAAATTGATAATTTCTTAAATAAACGTGGACGATGTTATTTTTAGTTGGATGTCTCATTCAAAAGTACATTGCCAGAAAAACAGCATTTTAAATGGTCCTTTTTTCGGGGAAAACTCAAAACAGCATGGTGACATGACAGCAACTGCCCGCACAGAAATCCTATTCTCGTTGCGTGAGATCGGAAAACAAGATTCTTTTCTCAAAGTTGTAATGCTAGGTAATCTTACCCATCCAACATGAAGTATTTCACTGAATGTGATAATAAGTAAAACGGAAAGGAAAGATGGTTTATGTGTGTGGAGATTGGACGTAATTTTGACAATGAACGTTAAAACACGAAATGCACGTTGGAAATAAAGTCACCAAGTAGGCCTACACGATGTGAATCCATTCCTTCAAATCAGATACTGGGTTTACTATTGTCTCGAGGTTGAAAGTAGATCCCGGGAACGAGGCTGGGAGACACCGTGGTGATATGAGAATGTCACGGTTATCGTGACCCATACTGCGCCCGTGTTATTCTTCGTAATGATTCCTGTAACCGCCCTACTGAGCCTTCACGGGGCATTAAAGTCTTATAGGCCAGTTACACACTTGACGCCAAGTACATGTATACTGGTTGTCATTGGTTCATGCATCTGATTGCCCATCTAAATTTAAGACCTATCTTTAGTTCATCGTGATATCCGTTGTGCAGTATCATGATCACTATCCCGTGTTTTAACAAAAATCTGAATGTATCCCTGGCATTCAATAAAATGGTATTACCGTGAACGGAATATCTGAATGACAACACGATATGAAATCGTAATCTCAATAAACTTTCAGATAATAAAAAATGCATTTAGGGGTCTATACTATTTTCATATACATGTATAGAAACGTCTCGATTATTCGTCATAACTCATAACAAATATTTTTTTTTTGTGGAAAAGGTAAACGCTTACCCAAGACAGAAAATAAACCACAACTTTGAAGTTGTATAGTTCATTTTTTTTTTTTACAAACGGTTTAAAGGTAAATTTTAGACTCTTGAACCAAAATGTCTTGTCCATATAAATTAATTTTATGTGAAACAATATTTGCCATAATGATTCAATTTACTAATAAAACACGAAACTGAGATTCAAAAACCGCAACGCAAACATGAAATCTGATCATCGCCTCAGGAAAAACCACACGCAGGTTTGTGGTGTTTGTCGGATAAAACTGGTATTTTATTGGAATGAGATCTATGGCCTCAGGGAAGAAGGGCTTGTAAACTAGGGTTAATATTGTAGTATCAAAACATATAATTGGAGTATTATGATGTTGATACATCTCTCCACAAGAGAAAGGTTTCCTTGCAATGACCGACTACCAAAGAATTCATCATGTGTTAAAGGCACGTGGGAACAAAACCTGGAAACGGATCTGTCAATTTAATGTCAGAGAAAAACCTTGCTCTAATTGAAGATAGCGATAGTACCAAATACCTGTGAAATTATTCCACCACAGAAATATTATCGTTCGGAAGAAAACAAAAATTGAGAGGGGGTTTAAAAAGTGTGCCCGTGGGCAATCTTATTTTACGTGCGTTGGCAAGGGAATCCAGTTGCGAGAGCCAAAATATTGTGTACATGTACATGTATACGCTAAAATGTATAGCCGGGCTACCCCCGAGCTGTAACTTCAAGTTCAACAGGTTAGTTGTTATTCACCTACTTAAAATTTGGAGCACTTGTGTCGTTTCAAACGAAAAGTAGGTGACGGTACCTTTCACGGTACCTTTCACTTTTGCCAACAGATGACAACATTATCTGAGCCCCGTTCTCTGAATCTGCTTAGTATTAATTTAAAGGGTCCTTGCAATGACTTTTTCTTGGGAACATGTTCTGTGCAACTTTCTCCTCTTAAAATGTATGACAAATGTATGACATCCCTTATTTGTTTTTAAACATTCACAAGCTTTTCTGGACAACTGAGGGCGCAGTTGCTGTGATGCCATTTTAGGAACACATGTTCAGCTTCGTGGCTTGGTGTTCAAAATGTGAACCCAAAACTTTTGCTCATTGAAAACATTTGTGAGAAAAGTTTGCTCACTGGCTTACTCCCATGTACTGTACGGAACAACGAATCAGCAAAGAAAAGAAAATTTACAACAGCAAAATATCCAAAATTCTGGCAACTTATGGTGCTGAAATAACTGTAACATGAGGTTTCTGTCTGAAATGACATCACACTTGTGCTCATCAATAAGGAAATTGCATTAGCATAAAAACTGAAAAGGCACCAAAATACCCTTTAAAATGGCAAAACGAAAATTGAAAATAAGGTTAAATGGAACTCAAACTCAAAGGTGCATTTTCAAGGACTGCATAAACAGAATTACATTGCATGGGCCCTTTTAAAATTTTCCAAGTAACCAAACTTCACCGAGCAAGAGCTTAGGTATAGACCTTCGTTACAAACCAAGAGATGCATGGAATGAACGTCGCATGTGACTAGCAATGAGCCTTTCTTTTTTCCTGGAAACGCCAACGATTACAAAAATGTATAAGCAATGCTTTCGCAAGTCTATGAACTGGCTTGGAAACCATAAGAATTTCTCGCGGTTCACGTGTGGATGGGCTGGTGCGTCGAACTGATGAAAATCGAATGAGAATCACACATGTACTTCGACAGCAAAGTTCGGTTTAATTTTCTTAAATTAGAAAAACAAATGTGTCAGTCTACTTGTGCTATTCACTTGTGCCCCAATTATATTCAACGATGGTTTGAAAATTGTGTTTGGGGCTAGACATTATAAAAGAAAGACGTCATGGCAAACAAAGAAGTTTCTGTACACAATTGGAATTAACAAAACACGTAACTTGTATCCGTTTGAATTGTAGCCTTCTTTATTTGATTAAACCATTTATCAGTTAGACACCAGTCATCTGCAAAGGACATTATTTTTGACATCATTTTCCTCGTTATATGGAAAGATAACTCCGGAAAGTTGGCAAGTTATTGAAAATTGACTACATTGCTTCACCGGCTATGATAACAGACGGTACTGTTTTACTGTCTGCTCACACCTTAGAGGTTAAACGCCCTCTCTGATCCAGAACCAACTACAGGGTCCAACACATCGCTACCATCTGTTCAGCTTAGCCAACATGGTATTCGTTTTAAGTCTTGCTGTCGAATCTGTTGGCTTCTGCATAAGTTATGACGCTGAACATTGCAAGATGTACAAATGGGGGTTGTACTAGACCCTGAGGTTGTATTACACTACAGGTATAAGACCTTACTTCAGACAGTTGATGTTAACATCCATGCTCTGAAAACTAACTTCTTTAGAATGTCAGTGTCCTCAAAAAGTGTTACAAAGTTTTAGCAGTTGATTTTCCCCAGGAACTCTAAACATCTTAGTTTTTAACATCCACCGAGACGTTTTGGGTGATATTGCATTATTGTTGAATAGAGACTTAACCTAGTCACTGTTACTTTTTTTAGTTGTCTTCAAGCCCTTGATTTCCAGTTACAATTTAGGGTGATGATTCAGGAAACAGTCTTAAATGATGAGGGAGTTAGAACAATATTGGACAACACAGATAGTGTCACCAAGTTCTTTTCAAAACAACTGCAAGAATAAACTCCTTTTTTGTTTAAAATACAAAGAGCCAATTAGTCTGTAGCTGATGTCATCTTTGCTCTGGCGATAATGTAGGTCTTCGTCGAGGCACAAGGAGTTTAACTGATCCTGTCAACACCACCTGCAGAGAGGAAAGGTAGAGATTGTCTGAGATAAATCACTAATAACTTGCAAACTAAAAAAAGATTTTCATTTCACATCAACAGTGGCACAGTGTCATAAATGGTGATTGTACAATTCCATTTTTTATTGCGGGGAAATAATTAATCACGACAAGCAGAAAAACCACTTCTTCAAACCTTGTTCTAATCCTTCATCATATTTTCAATAGCGACACCCCTTATTTATTATCTTGTCACTGTAAATTGAATGTAATCCCCAAAGTACATGTCATCTATTGACCCGAGTTTTGAGCAGAATGTTGGTCTATCTGCAATCTATTAAACTTGTCTTTGGAACATGAATACTTGTTAATATTATGTACTAAAGTACATGTATATCTCTCAGTTTCAAACAACTCATCTCGGCACCAAGTTTATCCAGGAGCTCGAAGGATGGGCTAGCAAAAGGCCATGCACGAGTAAGGATTCCTACCAGTCACTCTGACTCGAATGTGAAATTGAAGATGGCAGATCACAGCTTGGTCATCAATATCAATCACAGAATCAGGAATAGGTTTGGCCAGGCAATAGGCTGCTTACTGGTTACAGGAGTAACACACAAGCATGTCAATTTGGACTGTGTTAAATACACTGCTACACTTCATCTTCACGAGACCGCTAACATTTGCTTGAGTATTCGAATTGGAAAAATGCTATTCATTGGATGATCTAATATTTGAACATTCGGTATATTGGGCACAGCCCTACCGGTTGTGCAGCAGGAACCAAGCCTCGGTATGGCAAGGCTGTGCTGACTGAATACTTCAAATCAGTAAGAATATGAGATAACAAATGCAGCATACCATTTTGTCAAAATTTCGTATTCCTTCCCATAATCCCAAGTCCACATGTTCAGACAATCCTGTCTAGTTTCTCAGGTTTACTATCTCCGCCAAGGAGGTTATGTTTTCATCGTAATGGTTGGTTGGTTGGTTTGTCTGGTTATATTTTCATCGTGTTGGTTGATTGGTTGCTTTGTCTGTTAACAACATAACTCAAGAAGTCATTGACGGATTTGCATGAAATTTTTTGTAGGGATAGTCCTTGGTACAAGTAGAAATCCATTAGATTTTGGAAGTGATCCGGATCTGGGTCTGCATCCAGGATTTTTTTTAAGGATTCTGCACCATTTATGCGAGTATGTCTTGTGGGTGCACTGACAAGCATATCAATAGTGGCGCCCTCCAACACTCACGGTCATAATGCCTTGGTTGTTTCCCATCAGGGTATTTCTCATGCCCCACCGAAGGGTCCCACATTGGAACAATATGGTAGGGAATTGTTTAGCCTTGGCGGAGGTTTGCGCTCTCTGAGTGCTTTCTAGTTTCCTATTGCATCTGCTTATATCTTAGTATACTTGCCAGACACTGTAATGAACCCTACAACTCCACTGGATGATTACTTAAAGGGAATGTACAACATGTGGTTTTGCTGCAATTTTCAGAAATAAATGGATGTGCAAAAAATAAATGTGATAGCAAATATTGTTAATGTTTCATGTTTTGGGCTTGTAGATGCTGGAAAAATCAAGAAAACCAATCATTTTCTTGAAGTCTGGTTCCCTGACCCCACTTAAGATGAAATGGAGCAATTTGTAGGCTTTGGGGAATTGTAAGGTCAGAGAATCAGTCTGGCAGGCTTGTACCTCATCACAGGTGTGTAATAATAAAGTGCAAAGAAAATGCGGAATAACTAAATATGAAAAATTAGGAGCAGTTTTGAAAATAAGCCAGTTTTCTCCAATGCTGGTCGGCCAACCAGCGTTGAAAAAAAAAAATTCTTGCAAATGTCAGCACACCAGAAACCACAATTTTACAGGATGCTTTAGACTGTTCCCTAACAATCTGGTAAGGTATTTCGTGATAATTTGATCATTTCGTTTTTTGATGTTTGCAAATGTTGTATCTTCCCTTTAACCTTGTGATTCAGCCCCTATTGCACATAGTTATCATACAGTGACAAGGTTAATAAACCCCTTGGAGAAAACAAATGTCATATCAATATTTTCTTCATTATCTCATTGCTTTTTTATAAGGAGATATAAAGCTTTCTAGGGAGGTCTCAACCATCCCTCTGACTCCATACCTCCGAGCAGCCCTTGTCGATAAACCCCTGTCTCGGCATGTTTATGTGAACCCTTCTAACTTTCCCTTACCTCTTTCCTCTCACTGGCCATGCATGAAGCCGAGCAGGTTACCAGACGACGATCAATATTGAGAACAGTTATCTTGGCTGTGACTGCCTCATCTATGAACACTGCAATATCAAAAGACATTCAAGCTACTGGCTAGAGGCTACCACTGAGCACTGACCAGTTATTGCCTCGATACAACATCTGAACAGGGTTCACGCGAAAACTTACTGCCGTTGCAACTGGCCAATTAACGTTTCTGCTTAGAACATTTCTGTGCATAGAAGCTCCATGATCAGGCCACAAACATAGTAGATTGGGGAAGAAATGATACAGAGGGGTCGGATGGGGGCATAAAAGAGAGGATGGGTAAAATGATTGAAGATTTTTGTGCTGGTCTCAGAGGGCCAGCCACTTGTTTTCTTTGTACCTATCTGACTAACTGACGGATTCACTCGACATCTGACCGACTCAATTCTGTCACTTGTGAGCAAGGCAGTGCTATTGTATAGGATTACCCTGTAACACTAACGAATGGGATAAATCCAGCCCCTTGTGTAAACCGGAATCACTAGATGCATGAAAAGACTCAGTGAATAGCAATTCTGAATCGGTTGAATAGAATTCTGTGCACTTTGGGACCAGCTACACTAGTGATTCAGGCTACCTGATGAAATACTGCATATACTTAGGGGAGGGAAAGGGTTCACGTCAACTCTGCGACAACAGCTTACAAATTGTCAAGAATAAAATTACAATTTGGCAGAACTTACAAGGTGCTGGAAATTCACACATCTGCGACAACACTATGGATCCAGGACCAGGCAGCTTTGTACCCAACAGTGCAGAGATCAAGCTGCATGTTTTTGAAACATAAGGAGCAAAGGTTATTGTTTATTCAAACAGTGAGGAACTGCATCTTTGACCTCAACTATGCTTAGTTTATGTTTTAAACTCGGTCAAATGATATAGGCCTATGATTTGATATGTTTTGCATTGTGTGGAGAATATGATGACGGATATTTTTCTTCATAGGTAGATTTTTCTTAATCAGTAGAAAATAGCTCTTTATGTTTGCTAGTTAATAAAGCACAGTACTTGGCACATAGCCTTCCTAACATGGTTCATCTCACACACACAAGATGCTACAGGGGGAGGGGGGGGGGGTCATGGCAATGAACATGAAAGCAGAAGGTACATGCACTGATTCTCAGATCCGACATCATGGGTACTTTGACCGGCAGTGGCAAACCGAGTAATAAACTGGGTGAAAACAATGGCATACAATAGCAACCAGAAGAACTTCAGCACGCAAACACACACGCTCAAAGCTAAATTTGGCGAGATTTGTTTTCACCCAATACATGCGTCACCAGCAGCAGCACAAGGTTGTCGTTAAGGTCAGTGACGGGAAGTGACATAATGCCGCATCCGAGAACTTACAACTGCGAGTGTGAGGTTGCTTTTTATTTTTGAATGGCATCAATTGAAAATTGAGGGCGGTATTGAAAAGAGCTTTTCCTTGCTCTACACGTAGATGCTTCAAGTTCTAACTATTTTTTTTTTTACTAGGCTCTGGCTCTGCGTGATAAGCCTCCCATATCCATTAAATCTCATTACTCCTGAAAGTCTTTCGTTCATTCATACGTCCATGATAACATACTGACCCGTTTACAAGAATTCCATGCACAATGCACCGTCCAAATCGAGTGTTTTTAGCAAATTCTGGGCTGATGTGGATGGGGTTCGTGTCGCCAGTCAGATCGGCGAACTTCCTGACGTCCGACGATGAAAATATCTGTGTTAACGAAGCCGATTCTCCCTCCTTAAACCAAAGTGCCGACTGGGTTCTAGAACACAGCGATCTTGAAATCAATCTTGTAAAGTTCCCTGACATTACCAACATGATTGAGAACCGTTTGAAGCAATACATTCCCTCTTTACACATTTACAGTCTTACACTAAGCATTTATCCCCCACGTGTCTCGTGTGTTTACAAAATGATCTATTTAATAACGTGTAGTTGACAACTTATAGTTGACAACAATTTGTAGTGTTTTACAAAGCGTTTCCCTCTTAAGATATTTGAAACATGTACCATAAAAATAGTAGTAATATCGTTTTTATAAACACTAAAATGTGAACATTTATTCGGCAGACCAAAATTGGCACCAGCTATACGAAAATAGAATATAGCTCAATTCCAGGATAGAAAATAGAGGGCGTCCTTCATTTATAATAGTCCGGTTACAAAATTCATGTAGATAAAACATTTTTGTGTCGATTAGAAACTTTGTTGAAAGATGCCGCAGTCATACGTTTTCCCCCGAGACTATTCGTAGGCCTACTTTTTCATGAGTTTGGATTCTTGACAACTTGAAGAAGTCTTTTTTTTTTCACGAGGAGGACAGGTGGAAGGCAGTATGAAATGAGCAAGAGAGGGCGTTATTCATAAATTGCGGTAAGTTCCGGTATCGGTAACCATATAACCATCTGCCTGTCGATTTGTCTGCTGCGCAGCCAAGCATGAATAATCACATTCAGTCGCTAATCTTCGGGATTTTCTTCGCTCTTCGCGCTTAAGTTAAGTGCTTGTCGCTAAACAAAATCAAGGTAACTTGATGATACGTATGAATTTGAATAAGATGCTAAAAATTTGGAAAAGAAATTGCATCTTGATGCCACTTTTTTTCCATCTCAAAATGCAAAATTTTTGAAAAGACATGAATCTGGTGTTAAGAAATGTGAAAAATTTCCAATTTTGTTAGGAAATACTTTAAAAATTTACTTGGCTCTCCAAAGACTTTTTACACAACCGCTGAAGTGGCGTCTGGATACTACATTCTTTCCGTCTTCTTAACAAGTTAAATTTGCTGTTATTGGGGTGTGTGTTCTTTTGTGTTAGTTTGGGTTTTTTGTTGTCTTTTGCAAAGAATATAATTAAAGACGCTCCGTGTCAAATCTGGTTGCAAGCAAAGTCAACAGATATAGCCATGATATGTGCTTTGAAATTTTAGTTTATTCTGGCCTAACTTGTAGTTAATTCATTTTTACCGTTCAGTTGGCCTCGGTTTGTACAGAAGTCACCATGGGATGTTGCGCATCCAGTAACACCGGACCAAGAGATACTACTAGGGGTGCAAGTAGTTCGGCCGGTGCAGAAAGGACCAGAATTCGAGTTCACCCCATATTCCCAAGGATGCGGTTAGGCGGAGGAGGCAGGAAGACTGGACAAGGATCCCCTAAAAAGTCAGCCGGGAGAGGGACAAACATGCTATGACTTGCCTGGTCAGTAGATGTGAACCTCAAGGAAATCAGCATGGCTCCCTGCTTGATACAGGGCATTTGAACCTGTAAAAAGGAAGTTCTCACAGGAATCTTTCAGGAATGGAGGGAGCAATTTGCGGTGCAAAACTGTCTCGTTATCTTGTTTGAATTCTTCCAATGGACTTTCAGCGCATCAATATCCTTGGGATGGTTGGTTTGGTCCTTATGTTGTAGAATGTGGACTTGACTCCTCAGTGTACATTGTACAGGGGTGCAGTTTTAAGATCAGATGCCCTCATTGATATTACTTTCTGCAGTACGCCTCCAATCTCTTATGGCATTTGCCGTCTCTCACCCAATATACATTGTGTAATTTACTACTTACTTGTACTTGGTACTTGGTTGGTTTCCTCCTGAAAACATCCTCTTGGGATCTTGGCTAGGAGGTCAATCATTCCAATAATAATTCCAAAATGACTGAATTTAATCCTACAAACCACTTATTATCCTCTTGTGAAACCATTTTATAATCATTTTCCATATTTTGCATTGTTCTGTAATACCATCCAGATCATTGAGTCATGTGTCTTGAAGACACTGAGCAGAAAAATTGAGGTGCTCTTGCAAAATTGAGGTGCAAGTCTTCCGAGGATTATCTGCAAGCAATATTATAGATCGCTCCACAAGTTGGCTAGCTAGTAAACCACATATGCCAAGAAAACCTTTGATATATTAACTCCTAGAAAGTTGTGTGCTTGGCAGCAACATGAAAAGTATCTCCAGATATCTATGCCAAAGACAAGATTTTATCTTAAAGGTCATCTCATTAAATATCTGGGATAAGTTACAGACACGTTTATCTGCAACAGGCCCATAGTATATCGGGTATTAATGGTGGAAGGATTCTAAATTCCCTGGAATCTACCAACATTTGAGGGATCAGCTCTGTACTAAATTGCGGGAAGAAGGTCAGACTCCAGCAACCAATACTTGTCGCAAATAATCCCAGATTTTTAATGGGATGACTCCTTAAAGATGCATTCCCTGTGCTATTTCGAGTTAGACCCTGAAACATACATTTGTGTGAGACACCAAACAAGAAAAATCCACTGATGTTATTTCTTTACAAAACTGGAATTATTTGTGGCCAGGGTGCGTTCATTTGTATGCAAAATGAAAGCCCTTTTTCAGAGGGTTCCAGATGCCCAAAATGGGGATTTTTGTTTCATTAAACCTAACCTTCCCAAATCCATCAAAATCTGTTCCCCCATTTTGGGGATTTTGGTAGGCAAGCCATGAGTACCAAGTCCATCAAAATCCACCTATAGTAATGGTGGTCTTGTTATGGATTTCAGCGGATCTGGTCCTGAAGCATTATATGAAGCAGGGTCGGTGGTGGATTTTGGCGGACTTGGTCCAGTGCTTTGTGAAAGACACTATTAGGATTAAAACAAAACATACAAATTGAAAAGTTGTTAAAAGAATATCTTTTAAGAGCATGGGACAAACGTCTTTAAGGGACGGAGATTGAGCTGAAACCACAGTATTATTAGGATGGGAATCTTCCTGAAACCCCCAGAATCCTTCATCTTGCACATTCTTTGTACTTGGTGGTTTAGCTCTACCTTTCGTCTTGCAAAAACCTACAAAACATTGTGGATTTCGGAGGATCTAGAAGGGTTAGTGTTACATGTAATAGACATTCACTTACCAACAACTTGTTTGGGATTTGTACAGCAGCAATAAGAAATGTAAGATTGTCATAAACATTTGTTTTTAGTCATCACAAACACCCTGTATCGACCATGATGCAACCAAATTTACCATAACCTGAATTTCTGATTCTGAAAAGAATTGTCAAAATTCCAAAAAAAGCAACATTGTTCATAGTTGACATCATGTGTCTCATTTGCTTTACAATTTTTAATTGTCTTATTCCAGTTTACTTGTACCCATGAATTATAAAAAGCACCTGTTCTTGCCATGCTCGTCCTTATTAATATCACAAGTATATGCTCTTCCACAGTATGTACTATATTATTTTTGTAGTATTTTTCAAAATTCTTGTTATTTATGTGCATGTAGCACAGGCTTCATATATTAAGTATATACTATTCATTGATAATATTAACTACGAACTAAATATTACCACATACCAACTTGTATATTATACATAACAGTGCTGTGTTAATTATTTCACATTCCAACTGTTGGTCTTTGGAAAAGATTGTCAGTTGTGCGTATTTCCTAATGTTGAATACAATAAATGGGGAATTCAAGATTTTTTTCCTGAAATATAACTCTTCAGAAATGGAGACAAAAAAACCTTAGAAATTTAAATATCTCTATAAAAGGAGATGAAGTTCAACTATATTTGCATAAAAGCGGCGCTGAAATAGTTAATCACCTTTTGGTGACTCGACTTCACTTCCTACATTTGCCACTACTTGTCTGTATATAGCCGTTTTAAATGACTATCATACCATCATCATTATCATCATAATATAGGTTAACTTGAAGTGTCTTTGTCGAAGTTACATTTTTGCTATATATCTGTTTTGTCTCTTCTTCTTTTTTTTGCCCATTTTTCATGCACTTTAAACCTGTTGTTAGTATGAGTCTCAAATTTCCTTTATTTTTATAACTTTTTCTTCTCTGTTAAAACGACGACTTGGAATGTTGAAATGATGAAAGAGATGACTTAATGCCCTACCACATGTTGACAGACTCTCAACTTTGTTTTGCAGAGTAGACCTATGCAATCACGTTACCTCAGTTTTATGATGTTCATGAAGTGTGCCTTTGTATTTGTTCTTTACATTGTTTTTATAGTCAAGTAAAATAAAACCCTGCTGTACATCTTGCAGTTTACGAAATGGCTTGGTTCTGAATGCAAGTTACTGGACTTTGGTTTTTCATTAAATGAATTTTAATGAAATAGATGTATTTGAACGACGTATTTCTGTATTTATAGGAAATATTTAGCACAATGATTATTTGCAGTTGGAGTCCTAGATCCTATTTATTGGAAACGTTTTGCACAATAATTATTTGTTATATCTTTACATTTGTTTTGTATGTTGTGCCAGGAGTATTACTATGGTCTAATATTTAGGGGGATCATTTTCTGGAGGGAGATTCAACGGCTTTGTTAATGTTTTTGAACAGCGGGGGCATAAGTTGGAGGAATAAAAAAAATGCAAAGCGTCCTTGACCCCAGCGTGGCCACTCCTTGGGATTCATCCCAAGATCTGGGATTTTTGGTTGTAAAAATATCATAATTCTATATGATTTTAGGCTACCGCATGCTCTGTTAAATTCATTTTGTACACTGTTCTCCATTGCCTTGGGAATTCTTGGCTTTTTTACTGGAATCGTGGGAATTTCAATTTTGATTTCAATTTTGAGTTTGGGGGCAGATCGTTCTCCCCACTTGATTTGTGCCTCTTGTTGTGCTTTTTGTTTGGCCATCTTTGCTACAAAAAAAACCGACAACAATTTAGGTGATGGTAGCTTTCCCCAAATCCCTCCTCTCAAAAAATGTGTTAACTGCGCCTTGATAGGCCAGTTGAATGGTTGAAAGCAGCATGGGAGCTGCAGGCGGCTACTTCCTTGCCTGGCCGCGCCCACACGCAAACCATAGACATGACGCAAACGAACTACTGTTGTTGTTGAAGTACCCCCTCTAGTGTTTCAAATTAATCTGTCAATGGCGGTGAGTTTGACGGACACTTGCACTAAAAGTTGCAGAACAATTTTCGTTTTAGATTTGGATTAACTTCATGGTTTAGTTAGCTAACACAACGTTCATATGTATGCAAAGTTACCTGTATGCATAGTTACCATGTTGGTTTGAGTTTTTTGATGGATGCCTGGCCATCTTCACTATTATTAATGATTTCAGACGGGGCTTGTGATCAATCATGACACGTACTTGACTGTCCTCTGGATCAAAGCGTGGAGTTTAGTTAGCCCCATTCTGTGGCCACATAACTGTACTCGCTCAGTAAAGTTACTTTACGGAGGGAGTCTTAGTTATACATGTACATGCAGTAATGTGGCCAGAGAATGTAGCTAGATTGTAGTGCTCTATGGCTGGATCAAGAGTTTTTGGTCGAGGCCTGCACTTGTGTACAGTGTCTTCCGGCATTTTATTTTATTTCCTTGTTAAAAAAGAGAGTTGTCAACATAACAACATCCACCCTTCTGATTCTCCATTCATGATAAATTTATTATCTTTGTGCTATGATAATATATAATTAAGTCGGAAAGGATGTGCAACCTTACGCCACTTCAGCGATTGTGTACAAAGTCCATGAAGAGTCAAGAAAAATTTCTAAGTATTTCCTAACAAAATTGGAAATGTTTTTCAGTCCAAGATTCATGTCTTATCATTTCTGTAGTGAATGTGTAGTGCAGTGTTTAGTAGTGACCTTCATTGAGATCATATATGAAGAAAAAAGTGACGTCAGGTTGCAACATTCTTTCCGTTTAGGCTTCTGTATGTTACTATAGTCTGTGACTTCATATCTATAAGTAAATTAGAAGTGTATGTGCAGAAACATTGTAGCTGCAGTAGGCCTTCATCATGTTTACATTTGTGGAGCCAGCCATGGTATGAGCATGAGTGGTGGAAGGAGGAATTTGCAGGCATGCAACTTTTCCGCTGATTTCCTCATTTTTTGTTAGTCCTCATGCATGCCATTACAAATTGGAAAACACTGTATAAACTCTTTTGTGCTTTGGAATGTCCGTGTTTTGGGCACAGAATATTGCCCCTGTAGTCCTGCAGACATTTTCACTCGGCATGCTCGGTGCTCTTGTGCAGAATACATCAAGCAGTACTTGGGGGTATGGTCTATAACCAGGTCAACTGTGATAAGTAGACTGCTCAAGGTTACATAAATTGGCTTCCGATAAATGCAAGCTGTAAAAATCGGTCCCAACTACAGTTTGGACAGTCCCATATGTTGAGATGATACCAACTATGTAAACAGCAGACTACTTGCAGCAACATCAATTAGCTGCCAAGGAAGGGCAGATCACACACTTAGTGCTTCTTCAACCAATAGCGTCACCAAAATGCAGGGTAGCATAGACTTAGAAACTTAGAGGACAAGTGCGCAAGCATAGTTGATCTTTTTAATGGCTTCATTTTGTTTGCTGGATGAGTCTTGTCTGGATTGTCCCAATTATAGTTGGGACTATCCAAACTATAGTTGGGAGGATGCTTAAATTGGGGCATACTGAAACCTGATTGAAGGACAAACATCAATGGCAAAAGCATTTAACTCTGTGATTTCACACCTGCGGCCAAAATTAGGACTGGATTGATGTTTTCTTGTAGGTCCCTGGAGAAAATAATTTTGGGGTTTAACTGTACTGAGACTGCAGTAACCTAGATCTCTTGATTCACTTTGCAAAATACCAGGCAACTTAAACTTTTGCTTTACATAATTTCACCCATAACTGTAGAAAAATAGGTGCTTTTGCTTTTCAAAATAATGACGCGAGTACAAATGAAAGCACTCACTGTACTGCATCTGCCTGCAAAATTGTTTTGGATCAACTTTACTCTCCTGACTTTACCATGTATCCCTGGTTCCTGTAGTGGTATGTTTGGATGTTTATTGTCATATTTGGTCACTTCGCTAATTATGTTTTCCTCGGGGGGGGGGGGGGGAGTTGTGTTTAGTTTGTGAGATTCATTGACTGCAGTACTGCAATTCTTAGGACATTTTGTAACAAAATCAAATCATGTCTGGAGAGTACATTACAAAATGTAAACTTTTCTGTACTTTCATTTAGGACTGTCGGAATTTGGAAGTTATTAATTGTCAACAATGGCATTAAGGAAAATTCAGCGACTTGGAATCGAACCGCCAATTGTAGAGCGACTTAACAAGCATGGCATCTTCACATGTCAGGTGAGTGTTTTTAGTTTTTCTTGTTGGTTATATTCAACTTATAATATCCAATGATATTGAAATTATTGGCACTACTTTAGTACATATCCTTGCGCATAAGTGGAATAAATTTGTTCAGTTTGTACCACCTGTCCAACCGGTCTTTCTTGTTTGGTTCCTTTCGTTTGTTCTGTTACATTGCACATGCAATACAAAAGTTGTATCATTTATACATTTTGTCAACATGATGGATATTGTAACAAAAGTGACTTCATCTTGTGAAATATTTTTTGGTATAAAAGAACAGTTGTTTAATACGAATTTAGTTTGACTTTCCTGATGTTTCTCTTACAGTGTGAACTACAGAATTGGAAAATGACATTTGTTGATTAGTGCCAATTTTTATTTGGTAAATCAAATGTCATTTTCTGTCTAGACTTACAAATGTACCAAGGATAATGAATGTTTATGGAATAAATGATGTACAGGAACCATTAACTATGTTGACAGTTGATAACACTGCTGTTTCTGTCGGATGCAAATTTCATAAAGCTAAAGATGGTCGTAAGCTAGAACGCCCTCTTGTAGATACAATATAAATGTAAGTTCATTAATTCAGTTATTCTATTACGTATGGTTGTATCTGTGTGGTGACCGGATATCTTCCACTGTCGAAGACTCGGGCAAGTTGCAAGTCTCCCATCCAGACCACGAGACTATATAACCAGGGTGCGGCGGAGTGAAAGTCAGTCCCATGTGCAGTCCCGTCAGAGTCCCATCCTGTCAGAGTCCAGTCAGTCAGTCTTGTGTCATTGGTGTCTATGTCTGTTTGAAGTCTCGCCAGAATTTTCTGCCAGAAGTCCTGTAACACATTAGTTCGGCAAGTTTCCATCCAGTCAAGTAAGCCGTATTAGTAACTTCGTCCAGTCTGTCTTATTTACAGCCGCTCGTTGGGTCGGCCGAGGGCAAGCCTATCAAGACTGGCACAAATGGTGTCAGAAGTGGGATACATGTAGGTGCCGCAGTGAACTTCAAGACACACAAATACACTGCCTGGAGAACACCTACCTAGGAAACGTCACCTACCAAGGTGGGATGGCGAAGAATTTGTTGATTGAATTTGAGGCAGAAGACGGACTTCAGTCCACAACACAAGTACATCTGATCTGGAGATCGAAGTGGAATCGAGCAGCTGCAAGCAGAACTGTGCCTTCTTAGGCTACACCAGCGTATCCTGAGCTACTGAAGGAAGGATGCGATTGCCTCTAGAGCAAGTGGACATTTTTCCAAGGCTATCGAGATTCAAGCTACTAGAGAATGCATTTTCTGCGCCATGCCTACTACTTTGGACGAAGCTGTGAGTGATGCCCTTGTGGATGAATGTTTCCAAATGATAGCGGGAACAACAAAGGGGCAAATTTCCAAAATTAGCTAGAGTGACACTGTGTGACACTGAAGCAGCTTTGGAAGAGTTTAGAAGAGTTTAGGGACTGCTGGAAGAATCCCAGGGCCAAGTGGTGTTAACCCAGAGAGAAAGTAAATGAATTTAATAGTGAAAAGAGCTCATTCTTGTCTCCAAGGATGGCTTGGACCAGCCTTAAGACAGCTGGTGGAAGTCTCCTACAGACTTTGGTTAGCACCTTGGTGGAGATTCAAGTGGGAAAAAGCACTTGCGCAGTGAATTTTATTTTCGGCGACATTGGGGAGTTAGTAGGGATCCTTGGGATGGGTTTCCTGCTTGCCAAGCAGTGAAGCTTAAATTTCCAGACCTTGGAATTTATTCTTAACGGCAGGAAGGTGAAGTGCACAGACCTCCAGGTTAGCAGCAGGAGAAGCAGTTCGACTACCAAGGAGGGGAGAGAGTCAACAATGTCCACGATGAGGCAGGATAGAGGAGAAGAGCCTGCTAAGAAGAGAGACTTGGTGGAGGCCAAAGCAGAGCAGCCCAGCAAGAGGTTATGGAAGGTGTAGACACGAGTGTCATGTACGGTGTCTTGTGCACCTGAGGAAGGGCCGTTGGACTTACCTGTGAAGGTAGTGCCTAAGATGAAGGAGCAGGAGACGGCCACAGGCCTAAACAGGCAAAGGAACCTAACAAGGAGACGGCTGTGACAGCTGAGGGGGATAAATCTCCTACCAAAATAACAAGTGCCTACACTCGATCAGTTTGAGGATTTAGTCAGATTTAATTACAAAGTGGAAAAAAAGATAGCCTTTGGAAATAATGCGGTGCATAATTTTTTATCTAAATGGCAAATTCTTGAAAGTATTGTGTAGATTGATAAATTTATGGTACAATTTCATTTATATTTTGTTTTTGTGGGTATGTATAAAAAAAAATGAAAATAATAAATGCCCCTTTGGAGGCCAGGAGTTGCAGAAGATGTGGAGCTAGAGGCTGATGGGCGAGAAGGAGAGGGCCAACAGGAGAGAAGGCTGAAATAAACCTGTCACCGACTCGGGTGTTTTAGGATGAGGGAGAGGCCGCTATGGAACAACGTTGACGCCAGCGCCTACTGGGAAACCAAGAGGCATGCTAGAGGTGGTGTGTGAAGACAGCTGGAGAATGGTCGACAAAGACAAACCTGAGGAGTACAAGCTAGGTGCGAAACCCCTTCCTGCATGGTCGCAGCCCGTGCTTCCGGAAAAGCTTCTGCCAGGAAAAGCAGTACGCATGCGAGAAACAAGGGAGACTTACTTGTATGTACCACTTGACATCCGATTACTCGTTCCACCTCTCTCTCCCTAGGATTCCTCTCTCAACAAATAAATTATGGGCAGAGAATACTTTGTATTCTACTTTGTATTCTACACAGAGTACTGCCTGGGCAACAAGAATTAGCTGTATGTCTCCTGTTTATTTAGCTAATATAAGGGTAGACCCCAACAAAGTTTTGAGTTTCTAGTTGCAAATTTACTGAAAATTGTTTGAATGATAAATTTGGCCTAAATTAAGTTAAGGAGACACTTGTAAACCACAGCTTTTCAGAGAAACTCCACTGTAAAATAATATCAATGAAGATTATTTTAAAACTTGGCACACTCCAGACAATACTGTGACTATTGAAATATTTTATTTTTAGCATGCATTGCCCATCGTGTATAAATAAAGCTTCAGGTGCAGTAGCAGAGTGTAAACATTTTCATTAGTGTGCCTACCTTTGCGTCAAAATGTTTGGTAATGAACTTCACACATGGCCATTCATACTGTGTAAGTATTTTAATGAAGTTACCCAATCGAAATGGATACAGAGGTAGATTACGAAAAATATTTGAATTTATACTCAATAATTTTGATTATTATCAATGTATATTATACAATGTCATGTTTTCTCAGTGTTTATTCAGTAATTAATAAACTGATGCTCATTTGACATGTTGAATGTTTCTTTACAAATGCAACTGTGATTACATCAAAAGGTTAGCTGACTTCATTTGTATACTCCCTATGCGTGCTTTCAGTAAATGAGAGCGCCACCTTGACTGTGCCCCAAATCAGCCCTGCTGAAAATCTATGGTGAGCTGGATCAGCGATTGAGTGCTTTGCATGCTTCCAGAACAGGACCTGTGGGAAGAAGTAAATTGGCATCGAGAAGAATAATCAAGAAGAGGAACCAAGACGAAGTAGAGGCAAGAAGAAGAACCAGTACCAATGTCCTAAACAAAGGGTACACAGAGAGAAGCGGTCACAGCCAACCATGGCACAATAAAGAGAGACACACAGCCTTGGTGCACTAGTAGTGCACTTAGTAGTCAAATTGGTCACTGATAGGAACCAATTAGCCTACATTGTACATTAGACTCAATACCGTACCAGTCCAGCCAAGCCTATGTGCATTAAGTTCAAGCAGCAGTGTTGATTACATTGAATATTTATGACTCAATCTGAAATGAAAATAATTTTTATTCCCTATTGAGAATTGGTTGGATTGTCGTATTATTAAAACAAGAAGTTTACTGTTGAAATTCAATACATTTGTTCCCGCTGCTTGACTTTGAGGTTATGTCTGATTTATGTCTGTCAGTTAATGTTGGTCTTGTTTGTCTGTCAAGTTTTGTTTGTCTGTCTAGGCAATCTGCTTCAACAATGAGAAAGTATTTAGCCAAGCCTTCAGGACAGACTCAAACTATAGCCAATCTCTCACTCCAGTCATTCCTTCCTTTCTGTACGTTCTAGGCTGATGTCGCCAGTGAAACCCCCCCCTTTATTCTAACCCTCTTTTCCCTCCCTATGCATTCTATCATTCCTTGACGTGAAGGATGCCAACATCAAACTCACAGTTGCGACCCCAGATATACTGTAACTTTTGAAACCCACTGTTGGTTGTGTAAAATTAACTGCAAAATTCAGTTTATCGAAGACCTTGAAGCAAAACAACTGCCATAGAGAGAGAATCGTCAACTACTGAGGGTTCACTGATGTCAGCAGTACAAACTAAAATGATGAAAATCCACAGAACTGCTGAACACAGGCAAAGAGTTACTGAGAAGGACTGCGAGAAAACCAATGTTGACTGATATGGAGCCAACGGAATAGGAGAATTCCAGCGATACTAAGAGTCATGGATGAGGCACCAGGCCAAGGTGGACAAGATGGCGAAGAAGACAAGACATGCTGCCCGATTTTGACTTTGGCATCGATATCCATCTGGTTACGGAAGCAGCAAAAGTCCAGGTAATACTCTTTATTGGACAAAGTACTGCCTCCCAACCAGCCAACCTGAGGCGTCAGACGATGGACCACTGAACCGGTTTTTCTGGCATCAAGAAGTAGGTTTATGTCTCCTGTTTATTTAGCACTAGCCTAATATAAGGGTAGCCCTCAACAAAGTTTGTGTTTCTAGTTTTGTGTTTCTCATCGCTGGTTCCTGTCAAGTGTATAGCAACCAGTAACTGTTGAAAACCCAGCAGATTGGTTGTGTGAAAGTAACTGTAAAAATCGGCCATTGAAGAGCTTGAAGCAAAACCACTACCAAAGAGAGAGAACCATCAACTACTGAGGGTTCACCGATATCAGCGGT